AATGCAAGATTAAATGTTGATGGTGATATATTCTGATCGAGTGAGTCGACCCTCCATTGCTCCACAATATGCTGGTTTGTGATATCGATCCACCACATGGGTTTGCAAAGTATACATTGCAGATACTGGATATACTGCATTTCGACAAGTGTGCGTGCATCTCCATGTTTATCTCCGGCCATTCCAGATTTCATATCGATATCGGCATTGTCATCGTATAGCTGAATGCTCGAACTAGCAACATGAACCCGATGCTGGAAACACGTTTCAATGATCTGGCCAATAATATTTTTGTTTCTGTAGTGAGTAGTATCCGATTTTACAATAGCCGTTAGATTTTCAAATATCCCGCCTTGTTCCAACTCGGTACGTATTGAACTGTCGGAATGATTGTCGGCAAAATCAACAAGTGTTTTGAGTAGGTTTACAATACCATTATAACCATACAGATTTATATCTCTACGTGAATAAATAGTGTTGAGTTGGTTCACAATTCCATATTCTTGGAACGCCTTGATCATCTCGGCCTTGTTTGTAGATTTCTGAATCATGTCGTTGACATATCCAAACAGGCGCAGATAGTCATACATATCGACATCACACATCAATATCGTCAATTGCTCAAAAACCAACGATCGTACAAGTGATACAGGAAAGTCGTGCATTTTGGATGCAACTGATCCTGCTATCTTGATCATGCGTGTTTTTAGTTCAGAGTTGTTGCTGTATCTGATACACAAGTCGTTCAGTGTTTGAATCAATCCCGATCTTATCAACTCGGCTGAAATCACTTCACAATTTCTAATATCGCATAAACTCTGAATAGCATCAATACTTTGATCAACCACTTCTTGATCGACACTCCTGTATTCATGTCATGTCAATCCAACCATGTCAAATTTACCAATTGTGATGACTGGACACACATTCATGCATAACACCACATACCTGAGCGTATTGACTATTGCTGGAATGATGCCACATTCCGCTGCTTTTACTGGGTTATCACGATGAATATTCCAATACATGGCTTGGAGATTTTTGATAAAACCAACAGCAACTGAACCATCGGATGATTCCAGTCGTGAAACAAATCCTAATACCACGATGCCAAACTAATGATATTGTTCAATGCCAAGTATACAATCAGATCAACATGACATGACACTGTCCAAACTGATCCAATATTGTATCATTGTAAACATACATTTTCATCGTCAATACCATGACAAACTTGCAAGAACAGGTCAATTGCCAATCTGAGCACTTCTTGATTGGACTCGTGAACAATAATCTCGACCATTGGCTTGATGTCAAATCCATCCTCTTGACTCCAGCGGTTATATTTGTACAGCTTTTTACATGTTTTTATCGCCTATATGCATATTGACACTAGATGAGTTGAATGTCAATCATTTGGTCAATATCAATCATGACTTGCCGCTATTTTGACCTGACGGTTTGATGATTGCATGAGCTGTGCAATTTGGTTGCTTAGTCGATGTGATACTTTGAACTCATTATTACTGTACATCATTCTCAAAAACACTGTAGCAAACTCCATTATTTTGATCTACACAGCACATGTTGATTATTTTAGTCATGAACAACAATCCATTACTGTTACAATATATGAATACCTGTAAACTGGGTCGATTATACTCCAAATACTTGACTGTGATATCTTCCAGTCCAATACTCTGTAAGCGAGGCGCTACATTTATATATCATGCCATTTCAAACCAACACAAAGTCAGCAACAGTTTGAATTCATCAATAATCCAATGACTACTAAACTTACTGTAATTCTGTTTTCTCAACTTCAGTATCAATACAAGCAGTCTGCCCCATATTTCATCAGCCTTGTGTAGTTGAGCATCCGTTGTTAATAGTTTCAAATCTTCCAGGCGTTGAATCAACTCTTTCATGTTATCAATCCACTCCATGTTTGATAAAATTAGTAAAGTTGAATTTTGATCAAATTTTGATTTGACAATTTCATTCATGCGAATGTCCAACAATTGCCAAGAATTGTTCATGTTTGGATTGTTGTAAAACACATAAACGAGTTGTTCCATTTTAGTATTGTTTTGATCAGTTTTTTGTAACAAAATTGGATTGTTATCAAACATGCATTTGGAAATACTGTAAATTAATATTCTGAATGTGATCGTTGTGGATTTGGTTCAATAAACAAGTTAGTTTACTACAACACATGGTAATGGATTACTAAACATCATCATAAATCAGATGGACTGGACTGGAATGAAATGAGATCAATGACAATCGCATTACAAACAGTGTGTGGTGATTAAATCATCGAGTATTTCCAAATACAAACTTGAATGAAAAGTCTTGCCACAATACTGATCAACTGTATACTGTTTACACTGTGGTATTATTGATGTATTGGAATATTTGATGTTTAAATACACAATGATTGTTGGAATATCCAGACGGATACTCCTAAGTGATAACCTGTGACAAAGCTAATTCTAGTAGCGCACACTTTGAATCTCCAAATTAAACCCTTCATCACCACCAATCCATATGCTCCAAACTCCATTATCCTCATCTCTAGGATTCGAGTCCCCAGTAACGGGTAAATGGTATCATTATTAAATTGACTAATTACAGAAATCAATCCCATTGGCTCAACTACTTTTCGTTTACAACCGCTAACTATCAAACGTGTTACTTGTTCGTATCACAAGACAAACAATCAACTACTATTGAAGCCAAGATATTCTCTTATCAATAAACAACTCTTCAACTATTTCAACCATCTAATTAACTTATCACTTCTCTTCACTACTCTTGAAAAGACCAAGTCTGTTGATCTTGGATTAAAGTGCAAACTTCCTTTTTTATTTTACACTTCTGATTTGTTCTCTTCTGATAACTACTAACAGTATCAGACTATACTCTACTTTATACATTTAAATTTAAATTTATACAAATCACGAAGCTCTAAAAATTCTGACAGTATACATGAAACATTGATACCAGTTTCTTGACCGTCAATTACTGCTAAATGTGTCCATAGTTGTCACACACTGTTTATTCGAGATGTACAATCTTGGATAAAATACTTGGTGTATAATAGTGGATGATCTGAAAGGATTGGTTGCTTACCGTGCCAGATTCATGCTCTGACTCGAATGAACACAATTGATGAGATTCACCCATAATCACTGCTATATTTTGTCCAAGATTGTAAAAATGAATCAATGCCATTAAAACTGAAACTGAATAAATGGTACTTGAAAGTTGCAATGATTTGGTTGATTTTTGTGTAGTACATGCCAACATCTAGTCAGCGTTCATTTATTGCAATCAATAACTTGCTGAATTCGATAAAATCAATACTTGAACTCATGTTTTACACCTTCTACATTTATGGCTGATAAATAGTAAAATGTAAATACTAGCCAGGTTTTTAAAACTTGATTCTTGCACGAGCCGACTCGTCCAACTTTCCACCCCATTCTGACACCAATGATTCAAGCTCATCATAGTTTGCAATGCGTTTGTTGTAGCGCTGTCCAATGACCTTGTTTGCCAAATCCGTTTGCTCATCATTGGTACCACAGAATATCTGTTTAATCGATGTTTTCAATGCAGAATTGGCATCAATGACCATAGAACACCTTGGATGACCAGAGAGTGAACCATGAAAATACAGAGAATTTGATGCAGAAACAAAATACGTTGAATCTGGAACAGAACTAATGTTAAACATCAGTATTTCTGTATACAAAACACAACCATGACAAGAATTGCAGATCCAGAACAACAGAATGTGACTATTGTACATAACTTGCATCAAAACCTTGTTTGAAGACTTGTTTCAAAACTGGATGTAATGTATTCTGGGTTGACGGAAATGAATATTCAAAATCGTTGACCAATTGCATGAAAACAGGAATCCCAATCAAAATCAGAATTGAAATTGGACACATTAAAGTCATTTGTCATCATATCCCATGGCCAGATACCAGTATTCAAAATAGGAAATAGTCAATGGTTATTGAAAATAATCAATATTTGCCAAAATCCAAACAATACAATCATGATAACTTACTGGCTACCTCAAATCAGCAAATCGTTTGAAAATAATACCACAATAACTATCAAACATTGAATGTAATTGATGATTCACCAACAATACCACTGTATGCGGTAGATTTGGAATATCAGATACAACAAGTCAAGTGTCGACATGGCAAACGATGAACTGGATGTGTTTTTCCAGCATTTGCTTGACCCAAGAAATGGTGCTGGGTTCCATCAAGATTACGGATTCATAGTATGATATATTCAACATATTTGGCGTCTACATCGGCACTTATTACCATTTGATACAATTTCTGCTGTAATGTGTGCTGTTTTCCCATCACTTTACCAAGAACATCTGAATCGCTAAATACATGATGAGCCATTCGGTCTACATTGATCTGAGCGTCCGTTACAGTGTGATGATGGCTTTTGATCAAAGTACTAAGCCAGAATGTAAAATATACATACAATACAATGTATCGTAGTAACTCTTGTTCAGCAACTCATTGATTCAATGATAAAGTGGCTTGTATTGATTTTGAATGATACTTTTCATCAAGGAATTGAATGTTTGATTTCAAGAGTTTGTTGGGATCTACTTTGATTGGGTTGTCCGACTTGAGCATATATCGAGGTATGATTTCATGAGTAATAGGTTCAATATCATTGCACAAATAGTGGGTTGCTGCTTTTACAAGATGGTTGGTTAGATTTCGTTCAACAACATGATACTTTTGACCGTTTTTAGGTTTGATGAAGACCGAGTTCACGACCAAAGTTTGTAGATACTTGGATCTTAAGGATGTGCTTGTGATGTGTAATGTCATTGAAGTGGTTTTGGATAAACCCAAGAAAATACATTTTGGAATGGTATCAACAAACAATTGGGTTGGATTTATTTTCTATTATTATTTAAACTCGTTGAAAATGTTGGAAACCTGTTACAAAGTAATTCTGATTTGGACGAAAATAGTGGTTCAATTGGTTCACACAGAGTCCATTACGAGATGCTCGGATTGAGTTTTGTCGTTGATTTATTGTTGCCATTAGGAAAACCCCAATAACAATATCATGAAAATGGTTGGATCAACGGTGAATATTGATGTTAAACTCGTCAAAGTCAAACTGCGGTTTACAAAACGTATCCAAGGATTCAGGAGTCGAGTTGAACCAACAAAGGCGTACAAGCAACTGATTCAACTACAAATAGAGCATTGGAACCAAGTAGGCAAGTTAAAGCGACAGTTTAATAGACATATCAACAAACATCCTTTCCACCCAAAATACAAAACAATACAATGCAAGACACATGTTCACCAATGTGGAAGAGTTGATGCAAAATATACCGAAGAAATCACCAACCAAAACATTGGATATTGGCTTGATATTCAATTTGGGTATATGCTGCAAAATGTAGATACTGAAAAGACAATTCAATTTAATATTTCAGATAATACATTATTGTTTAATGGTAACAATCAATCCATGATTAATATGGATATTGAGATTGTTTTGGATCTGATTGACGGAAATAATATTATTGAATGCATGAAACATCATAATTCAAAGTATATTGTTGAAAGTATCTATGAGTATGCTATCCTTGCAAATAACACTGGTTGTTATCAGGTCATTGATGTATATGAAACAAACCGTGTCAATGTATCAATCAACAATCCAGTAACTGTTGATGCAATACACAACACAGTATACACAATCAATAATATGGTTGTTGACCCATTCACAATACTCGATAAATATTAACATATCAAAAAGTTTAAATTTATTCAAAATCAAAATCAAATTCATCGACACATCATCAATCTGGATTTGGTTCTTCGAATTCTAAACCACGCCTTTTCATAAAATTTTTCAAATTTCGTCTGGTACTGGTTACTTTTATCCCTGCCGCTACATACTCTTCTTTCAGTTGCTTTTCAACCCTTGGAGTGTGCCTTGGTTCGGATATCTCTTTGCCCTTTACTAACGCCAGCTGTTGTTCCAATCCAAGGAATTGATAATCATGGTATTCTTTAAATTTTTTCTTTCGTAGTTCTTTAGACTCTATAAGCCTTTGCTTTAAACCATCAAGGACTTTCTGATCCTGTTCGTTTAATATAATTACTCGATTTGAAACAGTATTAGCAGACTGGTTTTGGTCAATTGGTTGTTGCTGGGTTTGACTGGAAGTAGTTGGAATGGGTCGATCAATCGGTTGTTTTCGACTTTGTTTTGGAGTGCTTGGACTAGGTTCATTAGCTGGTTGTTGGTATTGATCAAAAGTGTTTGGACTGATTTCATCGATTGGCCGTTTCCGACCTCGTTTGGAAGTGCTTGGATTGGGCTCACCAATCGGCTGTTGCTGAGTTTGGCCAGGAATACTTGAACTAGGTTCATTGGCTGGTTGTTGGTATTGATCAAAAGTGTTTGAACCGACTTGATCAATTGGATCAGAAACTTGGCTGAAAGTGCTTGGATCAGCTACATCAAATAGGTCTGTCCAGTATTCGTTGATAATGCTTGAATCAATTGTATCCGTTGATTGTTGTTGGTTTTGGCTGGAAGTACTTGGATTGGATTGATCCATTGGTTGTTGCCAGTCTTCAAAAGTGTCTGAATTGATTGCATCGATTATTTCTTGCCAGTCTTCTGGAGTGCTTAGACTGATTTCATCTACTATGAATTTCCAATATTTATCGGGAGTGCTTAAGTCGACTTGGTTCATTGGTCGTTGCTGATTTTGGCTGGAAGTACTTGAACTGGGTTCATTCACTGATTGTTGCTGGTCTTGACTGAAAATGTTTAAATCAAGCTCATCCATTATGTCTTGCCATTTTTGATCGAAAGTGTCTGAACTAGGTTCACTGGTTGAGCCAGACACTCGACTGGAAGTGCCTGATGCTTGTGGTGAGCCATTGTTACCAGTCGGTGTCAGTATTGCATTGGCGGTTGCTGCTGTAGTCAATACGAATAAAATATCAACCAATTTCATTAAGCCGATGAATAGTTTAAACTATTAATACAAAAGTAGAGTGTTGAAACTGATGTTGATTGTAGGACTGAACATATTCGATTGTATTTGTATGTTTTGTATAGCAAACCAACCCTTTTAGGTTAACCAACGACACAGGGTTATTTGATTGCTTGTAGTGAGCAACTATCAAACCATAGTATGCTGCTCCCTAATCACAATATCATATTGATCAATTTGATGATCATGTCGATTGAATTATGCTTTTACGACCCTTTGATCAGGTATATTGAAAATCACACCCTTCATGAGTGTTGTGCAGCCACAAACGCTTTGCTTTACAATCGTATTCATGTATAATGGATCACTCCAGTATTCATCCAACAATGACTGTATTCTGAATTGCAATATACAATGATTACTACACATTGACTGCATTGAGTGTTTGATATACAACAACCACCATATGACACACAATCAGACTGTAGTGTTGAATCTAGACTTTGTGCACTCTTAGTAATCATACACTGTATGGTCAACAAGTTTGAACCCATATTCATGTATTGTGTTTGGCTATCAATGTTGTCAATACAACTCTGTACACACATTTGCTGTATTCTGAATCTCGAATACGATCGCAATCTAGTTCAACAACAACGATGACACATGTCAGTAATGCAACTGTTTGAATGCCAATCACCATCAACAATACCACTGACTGTTTATTACACACCGACACTGTTATTTAGCAGTTCATTTGACGTCAATACGACACATGCTGCATAAACACCGCGTATATCGCATTACAAACTGACAATACAACACTAATTGACCAATATCAAACCAGTTAATGACGCAATCTACATTCGACTTTCAACAAGTGTATTTCTCCGTTTGTTGTACAATACACGACATGATCAGTTGATGGTATCATGAAAATCTGACTGATAGTTACACGTACAATCAACACTGGTTGTTATCATGTCATTGATGTATATGTAATAAACCATGCCAATGTGTCAATCAACAATCCAGTAATTGTTGATGTAATACCAAACACAATACACAATCAATAATATGGTTGTTGATCCATTCATGATACTCGACAAATATCAACATATCAGAAAGTTTAAATTTATTCAAAATCAAATTCATCGACACATCATCAATCCAAATCCTAATTCGGTTCTTCAAATCTCAAACCATGCTTTTTCATAAACCTTTTCAAGTCTTGTCTGATACTGCGTATTTTTGCTCCTGCCTTTTCATACTCGTGTTTCAATCGTATTTCAGTGTCTGGATCGTATCTTGATCCAGATATTTCTTCTCCTCTTTCTAGCGCTGACCATTGTTTGAATCCAAGAGCCATAGATCCATAATATTCTTTGCGTTTTTTGTCTCGTATTTCTTTAGACTCTACAAGTCTTTTTTTCATGCCATCAAGGGTTATCTGATATTTTTGGCTTAATCTAGCTATTTGATTTGTAACAGTATTGGTAGACTCGTTATGAATCATTGGTTGTTGTTGGTTTTGACTGGAAGTGCTTGGATTGGCTGCATCAATTATTTCTTGCCAGTCTTCGTTGGAAATGCTTAAACCAATTGCATCCACTGGATGTTGCTGGGTTTGATCGGAAATATTTGGATTAGGCTCATTAGTTGGGTCAGAAACTTGGTTGGAAGTGCTTGAATCAGCTATATCAAATAGATTTCTCCAGTTTTCGTCGAGAATACTTGAATTAATTGTATCCGTTGAATATTGCTGGTTTTGACCGTAAGTACTTGGATCAACTATATCAGTTGGCTGTTGTTGGTCTTGACTGGAAGTGCTTGGATTGGACTGAATCATTGGTTGTTGTTTGTTTTGGTTGGAAGTACTTTGATCAACTATATCAAACAGTTCTTTCCAGTCTTTAAAAGCGTCTGAATCAACTTCATCTATTAAGCGTTGCCAGTATTTGTCGGGAAATACGAGACCGGGTTCATCAGTTGATTGTTTCCGACTTTGTTTGGAAGCACTCGGACCGTGTTCATCAATCGGCCGTTTTCGACCTCGTTTGGGAGTGCTCGGACTGGGTTGATCAATTGATTGTTGCTGGTCTTTGAGAATATTTGAATTGACTGCATCAACCAAGTCTCGCCAGTCTTCCGGAATTCCTGGATCAGGCCTATCAATTATGGCTTTCCAATCTTGTTCAGAAATACTTGGACCAAGTTCATCAATTGGCCGTTTTCGACCTCGTCTGGAAGTACTTGGATCAACTATATCCATTATGTCTTGCCATTTTTGATCGAAAGTGTCTGAACTAGGTTCACTGGTTGAGCCAGACATTTGACTGGAAGTGCCTGATGCTTGTGGTGAGCCATTGTTATTAGTCGGTATCAGTATTGCATTAGTGGTTGCTGCTGCAGTCAGTACGAATAAAATATCAACCAATTTCATTAGATTGGTCAATGGGTTTAAACTATTAATACAAAAGTAGAGTGTTGAAACTGATGTTGATTGTAGGACTGAACATACTCGATTGTATTTTTGTATGTTTTGTATAGCAAACCAACCCTAACCCTTTTAGGTTAACCAACGACACAGGGTTATTTGATTGCTTGTAGTGAGCAACTATCAAACCATAGTATGCTGCTCCCTAATCACAATATCATATTGATCAATTTGATGATCGTGTCGATTGAATTATGCTTTTACGACCCTTTGATCAGGTATATTGAAAAGCACCCTTATGAGTGTTGTGTAACCGCACAAACGCTTTGATTTACAATCGTATTCATGTCAAATGGATTCCTTCGGTATTCATTCTGCAATGACTGTATTCTGCATTGCAATATACAATGATTACTACACATTGACTGCATTGCATGTTTGGTATACAACAACAACCATCATGACACACAATCAGACTATAGTGTTGAATCTACACTTTGTGCACTCTTAGTAATCATACACTGTATGGTCACCAAGTTTGAACCCATATTCATGTATTGTGTTTGACTGTCAATGTTGTCAATACAACTCTGTACACACATTTGCTGTATTCTGAATCTCGAATACGATCGCAATCTAATTCAACAACAATGGTTGTACATGTCAGTAATGCAACTGCTGTTTGTATGTCAATCACCACCAACAATGGCACTGACTATTTATTACACACCGACACTGTTATTTAGTGGTCCATTTACATGACTAGACTTCAAGTTGTCGTTATACTACGTATTCTAAACATGATTTTGATATTACACATCCAGTTCCATCACATTGCTGCTGATCCATCATTGTAATGCTGTATACATCAAACACTGTCATGTCACCATAACCACAACCAGTAAAACGACACTCAAGTTGTTTACTGTGATCAGTATATGCAACCCAGTGCAACTACACATACTAGATCCAGTCTGTTGGTTGTTTCAGTCGACATTGATTCACTTTTGACATTTTGTCCAATTGACAATACAAATGTGTCGAGCTGAACCCAAACTACACGACTTGACTGTTTGTGTCAATTGGATCGTGATCGAGCTATGCGATCATGATGTATTCAATCAATACCATGTATTACCAATGCAATAGTATGCGTGATCATCGTGTATCAAACAACTACGATACACACTGGACTGATCCAATACATGCACGGCTTGAACATATCACACAATCAAACATGGACACGCCACATTAGAAATACATATAATATCAGCTTGTCTAATGAATTGTATTCAGTCGAGTTTATTGAGAGTCTGTTTGTGACTCTTGACAGTGTGGTGGGTGTTTTCAGGCACGACTATTTGATCAGTTGTAGTTGATGATGATTAACACCAAGAGTTCTGGCGTACATCATACCAACTATAAAATAATCATGGTCATCATCCATTCAACAAATAACCAGTTTATTGATATATCTGTTTAGTCTCCAAACTTTTTGTAATTAAACTTTGAATGCTTACTGCCACGACGAGCACTACTACGACGAATACTACCAAGTCGTGAAAATGATCTCCTGAGACCAGATCTGCCATCTGAACCTGAAGTGCTTGGTTGCTCAGGCAATCTAACAGTATGCATCAAATTCATGATCAGTATCAGTATATCAATTAACACATTCACATATCAATATCAAACAACTTACTGTGGTAATGGCCAGAGTACCCGATCATTGTTTGAAATAGTAGGATACCTGTTACTTGCAGTTTCACATCCACATCCAGGACCAAACCCAATGCGTGTATTTAGTAAATCAAATGTCAATTCAAGTTGGGTCATAAATGGTATACCAAGAATTGCATTGTCATTTGAGCCAACTGTTACAGCAAACAGGTCTACAATTCAACATTATATTAGCCAGATTAATCAAACAACACATATTGCATACAATTGTCAAATATTTACACCTTTTAAATTTTCCAAGATTGACTTTCTGTATATAGTCTTTGGGACCCAATCTGATCTTTACGACGGAATCACGATTGTCATCAGTTACGGGGGTTTGAGCATACATTACAATTGTAAATGTCGGCAGTTTTCTCCAATCAATATTAAAATTAGATTCAGACATTAGACGGTGTTTCCAAAATATGTCATCAATTTCTTCCGGATTGAGTTTGCGCCTAGATTTAGCATCCCAGATAGTAATCGCATCGCTATCAACAATAGCCTTGACCAACGCTATCACGACTGTTTGAGGAAAATGCATATATTTAGAACATGTTTCCACATGCGAGTACAAAATATGGTCATCTTCTACAGTTTTTTGGAATTCCTCGGGCAAATCCACTTGTTCGTCATTGACTAGTATACTCTTGATGTTGACAGTATGATGATCATTTGTTGGTGAATTTACCCATGCAACACTCCTTCCATCCGTTCCACACTTTGCAGTGATTTCCGTGTTTCCTATATTGATGAAGCTTTGCTCAAAAAGATCAGAAGGGCATAGTTGAATGCCAATCTCGTTATTGGGAATGACATTATTGCTGTACAAACTATCCATTGCAGTGATTGGTGAATGATGTTTTGACAAAGAAAAGTGGCCAATCCCAAATACTCCATCAAAATCTGGATCGATACCAGCTAGACGTGCCGATTGTTTTTCAACTGCTATTACTGGTAAATTGACGCCAGTTATTGCAGTACCCGGAACCGTCACAGCGGCTGTGGATGTAACTCCTTTATACTCTTTGTCTTTGTACTTTATATTAACGGGCTCACCACTTGAAATACTTTGTATAGCCAAACCTACATCGTTGCTTGAACTAGGAAGTGGTACGATTATATCAGAAATCATTGAATCGACTCGTAAATTCAACTATTTTAAACAAGTGTGAGATTGATTAAACGTGGTATTGTTGATATCAAACTACAATGCATGACATGATACATACATTGACTCCATCAACATTGGATTTAATTGTGTAGCATTTGTTAGCATCACCATCCAATTCAACGGGTGATCGTTTTGATAGTCTATTGCTTGATTGACTGGCACTTTCAAAAGGTGATTCTAATGAAACTCGAATTGCAGCAACTGCTTGTAACGCAAGTAGAATGCATTCTAGAGTAATCAACATTGTATCGAGTAGTGTGATGAAAATGGGTTGAATCTGGTAAATAACTGCTGTTTTATAATGACGGCAGCTTCAAGGGTGACCATCAGCAATCTCCAAATGAACGACCACAAAAAACACAAGTACACCATATAGGGTGAGCAAACGCGAATACACCAAAGTAGACAAAGCTAGAAACATTTTGTAGAGTGGACAAACCAAAATCACCATGTAGGGTCAACAAACCCAGAAACTCCCTGTAGGGTGAATCAATATACAAACATCGCTCTTGGTGGAAAATCAACTTGAGTAGTATACTGTGTTGATATTCCCAATTGCGGTGATACACCCAGTAATCAGGTAATGTCAAATGATCAACCCAATTGCATCTACAATCTATTATTACCGCATATATTGATCCATATTTCAACATGATGCAATAGATTATGCTAGAATACAACATGTTCAGTTGTTTATTCATGCTGTTACTGATATTACTTGATGCATGCCACTGGTCACCGACATACTTGGTTGTTCAATTGACCAATGAATCACTCTCAGCATCCACTCGTGTTTAGTTTGGATTAAACTGGTTTGAATTCATTAGTGTTGGTATGAGATTCCAACAAACCTTGATTATCATGTGTGTAGAAAGTTGAAACATTGTCATGATTCAGCTATCCTGTACAAATCTACTTATTAATGGCAATTTTAAAGTAAAACAAGTTTTAAAATGTGTTCAAACAAGTCTAACCCTGACTCGAAATAGTCACCAACACTCTTTACACCATCAAGCTTTAAAGCAAGCTTCGGACACCGCAAGACAAGAATAGAATTAAATAGTTGCGAGTTATGAATCAATTGTTTAAAAGTGATAATAGAGGATAAGTTAAAATAGTGCGTTTTGAGCAACACATGGTGGAATAAAACCCGATAAAGTATGCAACTATGGCCAGACGTAATGATAGAACAAGGAAATGCTTTTATGGATTGACGTCCTTGGTGATCCAGCGATCAGTTTGTTTGTGATGAGTCTGGGATAGATACATGACCTCATCAACAGCAGGAGATATCTTGCGGTGTTTGGTGCGAGTATGGGGTTGATTTCCCATGTTCAGATGGTCTACACCATCAACATCAAGCAACAAAAGACAAAAGTTGGCCCATGCAACTTTGTGATGTTCCTGTATTTCAGAATTGGGTTTGGCTGCAAGAGTGGTGGGTAAAGTCAGATCTGTAGTTTGCTTGAGAACAGATGAATGTGAATCATCATCGATGGGCGGAGATGCAGTGTCCGAGTGAATGTAATCCAGAACTCCTGGCTCACTAGCCATAGGGTGATGATTTTCGGACACGAGCGGACGGAGATGATGGTTTCCCATGAATGAAATGCCAGTAGTTTCCAAAGTATTTCCAGAAGCACAACATGCTGCAAGTGGTTTAGAGGCATTCTCAGTAGAGTCTGCCTTTTTGTTCACATCGATGCAGTCAGAAAGAGTCCTGACAGTGGACGGAGCATAAAGCGATGGCAGACGCACAGGACTTTGTATGTCCAGTCTGTCCTGACCTGGTTGAGGCCAAGCAAATGATGCACGGCGTAGTGATGAAATGTTTTCCCAAACCTTGAGGCGAACGGCTTCCCAATCGACATTTGGTCTTGAAGATCCGTGGTCTGCAAATGGAAGTGGAACTTGATGATTAGTTTGCAGGGGATGATCTGCTGACATGACCAGATGCAGAGCACCAGAAAGACGGTATTGTTCCTTGGTGCCTGGCAAAAACCTAGATTAAATTGAAACAGTTAGAACATGCATACTGTTTTTACAGATAAAGCTTGTTCAAAACAGTGGTGCCAAGAATAGGATAACAAGTCATGATATGGAGTCAATATTGAGTTCAACACGTCAGAATGGTATATCGTAATTAAACCCTCGCAACCAAGCACATCACCCCGTAAAATACGAGTAGAACCATATTACTATACGGTTTCCATTCATAATTTAAAAGCATAATTAAAGGAATAATAAAACTGGCTCGTTCCATTATTTTACTAGAAAACAATGAAATACACGGGTCATGACTCACCAGCAAACTTCACCATAGCGAGAACCGTGAAGAATGTCAGCAACACTGCCTGACCGAGAATCAGCAACAAAAACCAGGACATTGCCCAGGATGTCGTTGGCTGTTTTCGGTTTAATATTTGCACAAGAAAGACGAAGAACATCCATGCTGGAAGTAATGGAGTCGCTATCCATAGACGTAGATGGTAAAGCGGTATCTGTATTCAAACTCCCAGTCGTACCAACAGCACCCTCATCAGGGCTAGATTGAGTCATGAAACCTCGAAAGTAAATGGTTCTATTTGCAGGACGACCAAAAGCCTTGATAGTGGCCAGGGATACATAAAAGTTGTTGATATCTTGGCATTGTCGAATAGACTGTTCAAGCTGAGCTCTCCACAGCGGAGATTGAGAAGCAACAGGAAGATTTGCGTTGAATAACTCAGGCTGGGTAGTTTGTAGTTGCATTTGGTGGTCGTGCTCAGGGTGTTGAGAAGGGTTAGAATGAGTAGTTCTTGGGATATTGGAAGTATTACTATCCAATATCAAATGGGCTTGAGAGGAGCAACCCTGACCTACAGGCATACTTTGAGCAGTGATGTTCATGATGTGTTGGTGAATCTCGCAGATGGTCAGATCTGATGGGAAACTTGGTTCGTGTCGGATGAAATCTACGCGATTGACAATCAAGATTTTAACGACTCGAAAAGCTTGGGTTTTGAGAATGATATACAATGACTGCTTGTGCATACAAATCTGACTTGTTCCCAATCAGATCTGTAATAACTGGATATCATTTATATTTGAATGATCAAATTCAATTTTATGCTCTTTTACATGCACAACATCAGTTGTCATTAAATAATACATTATATTTCACTTGTGTTATTCAGCAATAATAGTACACTCGATTGTATACACTTGAAAATGTATTTAATCAACCCGAGTGTATGACATTAAATAACTTGAGCCAGAATGAAAACGTATTATATTTTAAAATACGAATTTGAAACCATCGAACTAGTTAAACGCAACGAATATCCAAAATCGCTTGAAACAGTTCACAAAACGAGTTTTATTTTACGCGAATGCGGCTGTAATTTCCTTTTCAGGCATCAAAAAGCTGGTCTTGCAATCTTCAGCTTTTTATAGCATTACAAAACTATGAGCAGCAGTATCTCCACTAGCACAAGCGATATTGCTGCTGCTACTACTACCCATGCTCACACCCAATCAACTCCCCGTCCTGGTGTTACCGTTGTACTTGGTTCTCAATGGGGTGATGAAGGAAAAGGAAAACTTGTCGATGTTCTTGCCCAAGACATTGATGTGTGTGCCCGCTGTCAGGTAATCTACTATTTGGACAGTTTATGATCACTTGTTGTGTGCATGCACTCTACTATCTGTTCTATCGTTATAAGCTGTACACCGATTTTTAGTCTGCAAGTACATTCTGTAGTTTTAAATTGCAAGCATGCTCTCTTATTAGTCAGCCATTGCACTAAACGATAGAATCTATCAATAACTTTTTATGAATTGATCTCATTCTTGCTGCTTACAAGTGTACTTGTTTGCATCCATTACATCTCTTTCATTTGCTTTTTGCCTATCAATCCATTTCAGTAATGTTTTAAACAATCATGTGTTCTTTACATTAGCAATTCAGAGTCTAGTACTAATGTAGAGAAACTATTTTTTCCATGCATGATCTCAATGCCTTATTGATGAGTTTGGTTTCAAAGATACTGAACAAAACCTTGTTTATTTTTACAACTTTAATGATACTAGGGAGGAAACAATGCCGGTCATACAATTGTTGTCAATGGGGTCAAGTTTGACTTCCATCTCTTGCCCTCTGGTTTGATCAACCCAGCCTGTCAAAACATTGTTGGAAATGGAGTCGTTGTTCACCTTCCATCCTTTTTTCAGGAAATCGAAACTACAGTTTCCAAGGGTGGGTTTATGAATGCAATTTAATGTCGAGTTTTTATTGTATCAAATATTACTCGATTTACTCACTCATTGTTTAGGAATCAAGGTTGCTGGTCGTCTTTTTCTTTCGTCTCGTGCTCATTTAGTATTTGATTTTCATCAGATCGTTGATGGCCTCAAGGAAGACGAGCTTGGTCGTGGTAGTATTGGTACTACCAAGAAAGGTATTGGTCCAGCCTATTCATCCAAGGCTAGTCGCAGTGGTCTTCGTGTCCATCATCTTTTCGAGTTTGAAGAGTTTGAGGCCAGTTTTAGACAAATGGTTGCCAACAAAAAGAAACGTTATGGCGATTTTCAGTACGATGTCGATGCAGAGATTGCTCGATATAGAGACTATGCTGCTCGTTTGCCCGAGTATGTTATTGACTCGATCAAGTTCATGCATGATCAAATCAATAGCGGAAAGCGTGTTTTGATTGAAGGTGCGAATGCATTGATGCTGGATTTGGATTTGGGTACCTATCCCTATGTGACTTCCTCCAACACCAACATTGGTGGTGTGTGCACTGGACTTGGTATCCCTCCGCAAAAAATTGGCAGGGTAATTGGTGTTGCAAAAGCATATACCACTCGAGTTGGCGCTGGTCCTTTTCCAACCGAGCAACTCAATGTACGTAGCCTTTTGCATTAACATACTGCAGTCAATACTATTGAAATGTGCATTGGCTTAATCTATTTGCATCCTGATAGGCTTCTGGTGACATTCTGCAGACTGTTGGCCAGGAATTCGGAACCACTACTGGACGTAAGCGTCGTTGTGGATGGCTTGATACTGTTGTTTTGGAATACTCCACCATGATCAACGGCTACACCAGGCAAGATTGTTTCTATTTTTTTAAATTACATGTAAATATGGATCTGTCGACTAATCTATCATGTAACCAGTCTCAATTTGACCAAATTAGATGTTTTGGATGGATTGGATGAGATCAATATTGGTGTTGCATATTACTACAATGGCAAAAAACTTGATTCCTTCCCTGCCAATCTGCACGTATTAGCCAATGTCGAAGTGAAATACGAAACTCTACCTGGTTGGAAAATTGACATTTCCAAATGGTAAAATCAATGATATATGTTTCATATTGTTATATTTCAGCCTTATGCATTGCACTAGCACAAAGGCTTACAGATATCATGTATTTATAAATAGCCGCAAGTTTGAGGAACTCCCTGTGAATGCACAAAAATATGTTTCTCGTGTTGAGCAACTTGTTGGTGTTCCAGGTAATAATTGAGATTGAAATCTGTATTATATTAATTGGAGTTGCAACTAACGTGATTGCTATGATTTACTTTAACTAGTCGAATGGATCGGAGTTGGAGTTGCAAGAGATGCCATGATTCACCGTTCGTTAACATGATTGCAATGTCTATTAAAACCTACATTCATATTGGGTTTAGACCAACTTTTATTTTATAATGGATGCATGCATGCTTTACAGCCGTATTCATGTAAAATGAAACAAGTATGTCTATAATAAACAGCTAGTCATGAAATGATTGTCGATTACTGGACAACATTTTGTCATTTGGCTTTTCTCCTGGTGAATGACATGAAACCAACAGCTGTATTACCGAATGCAATCGTTCTCTTGGACTAGAGCATAACTGATATTAGAATACAAAATGAGAAGAGTTGAATCTGGATTCAAACTTGGTGATCATGCCATGCACGATTCCAAAAAAGAAATCTTAAATCCAAACCATAGTTTAATATTGCTAATGAGCATTGGATTGATTCAATGTTTAAGCGTAACGAATATTGCATATTCCAAGCAAAATACAGACAGTTGTTGTAACCAGTGTTTTACGTGAATACAACTGAATCAAGTTGATGGGATGACGTCGATACCTACATCCATGCAAATGCAATCCACCATGCAACCACCACAGCAACAAATGCATCCACAATTACAGCTTCAATACCAACAGCAGCAAATGTATCAACAGCAGCAGTTACTATTGCAACATCATCAACATCGACAGTTGCTTCAACAGCAGCAACAGCAGCAACAACAGCAACAGCAGTTGGTACTACAGCAGCAGAAACAGGTTGTACCAGACTACAAGCCAGAATTACCGGATTCCATCAGTCCTGTTAACAAGAGTTATATCACTCTTTTTCGACAGAGAGAGGAAGGCTACATGAACCTGTTACAGCAGCAAAACAGTCGTTTGGACCAGTTGTTTAGAGAAAAACTACAGGAATCTCATGCCCTTCAACAATTTGCTGCTCGCAACGTACTACTGGCTAGGACTGAAAAGGAATCGGCTAATAGGCCTCGACTGCGATCTTTTATATTGTAAGAACATATAGCATAACTGTCATGATATGGACAACATGTTTGATGACATGTATGACTATCGTGTAATTTATTTTAGCTCAGACGAAGATCAGGAGCATGCTGCAGATAATACAGTTACACTTGTTCCAATTCGACTAGATATTGATTTGGACGGCGCTAAACTACGAGATACGTTTACTTGGAATCTTCAAGGTGATTTGATTAGAAATACTCGAATCGATGCTTTTTGGTCATGGTATTAACTAATCTTTTGATTTTAGATGATGTGGTAACTCCAGAACTTTTTGCAAAAATACTGTGCGAAGATCTGGCACTGTCTGCTGCGTTCCAGCCACTTGTAGTCAAGTCCATCAAGGAGCAACTTCGTGATTTTTTCCAGCATGCTCCCAACACATTGCTTCCCCTTGAACATGACACTCGTGGAAACGATGATCAGGATGTTGGCACCAAGGATTTACCTGAATTACGGACAGTCATCAAGGTAGACGTGACATGTTTGAAATGTATGGATTTACTATGCCATCATTCTATTCGCCTTTGCTCAATTTGCCCAATTTGTCCAATTTGTCCAATTTGCTTTGCTATATAGTTGGATATAACCATTGACAATCAAGCCATGGTGGATCAGTTTGAATGGGATATTGGATGCAAACGTAACAATCCCGAGGCATTTGCTGAACATTTGGTCAATGAGCTAGGACTCGCACCCGAATTCAAGTAATATTTTTGACAAATCAATGTTTAGAAATCTGTTGTTTGTAACCTAATCGATCTGGTCGTTAAATTCATTCTAATAGAACAGCAATATCTCATTCTATAAGAGAGCAAATGCACACGCTATCAAAATCGCTCCTCTTGATTGATCACAAATTTGATCTTCCACTTCCGATCCCTTCCACTGGAAGTGGGTTGATTGACGATGATGATCTTGCCACACATTTTCTGCCAGAAATCAAGTCTCAATCCGTGCTTCGTGGATTAAAAGAACATGGAGAGTTTGGTCCGTATTTGAAAGTTGCTAGTGCTGCAGATTTTGAACGTATTGAAAAGGAATTAGAACGAGATTCTAGGTATGTCCATGACATGTTTAAAGACTTTAAAATCACACGATAATCACTTTTGTAATGGATTCTCATTGTTTTTGGACAATTTTTAGACGGAAACGGAGACAAACTCAGCGAAGCAGGCGTTTGGTGACACTTCCAGATCGTGAAGCAACGCGAACAAATCGTACACCTCTGCCCAAAGCGTCGCATTCTGCTTCCAATTCAGTCGCAAGTAATCTATTGGCTTCAAATATAGCTGCAGAGAGTGACACTGCTTTCAATAGGCATACTGGTGCCCCGTCTTCCGCGTCTCGTACTGGCACGGCTTTCTTTGGATCAGGGACTTATATTTCAAGACGAAGAGGTTAATTATTTCAAATAAATACATCTGCAAAGCGTTTTCCATGTTGTATATACCATGGCTTGTATTTTGTATGGGGTTCAAAACGTTTACAGCTTTAAAAATCAATTTTACAAGGATTTGTATTACGACAGTTGTGTTATAGCAACAAATCATCAATTTCTACAGTGTTTCGATTCCATGATTTTCGCATTGGATAGGGTTGATGGGTATGCTGCATTCTTTTTTGTTTCTGGCTGGGTGTAGTTGGGATAGATTGATATGATACTACTGTTGACATGTCCCGTGAACTCCCAAGCAAATCATCTGCATCAGAATCGCACATTGCGTTGTTTTTAAATCTAGTCTCGATATCCGATTCCGTCTTGTCGGTACACATATCATCGCTATCATCAGATTGGATTATACATATTTGCCGTTTTGTTTTGACTCGAGCCGCCTTGGTAGGTGTATGTTCCAACCACACACATGTATTGACTTGGTTTAGATCTTGCGGCATTTTAGAAATGTGATGGTCTTTAGTGCAGTCATCATTCATCAGAACCATGTCATCGTTTTCTTGTAGTTTTACAGGAGAGGTATCATCAGACATTATCGATGCTTGTAGCATGTGTCGTGACCGCCGACGCTCGACATAGGCACGCATAGATCGCTCAACACTCGTTGGTGCAGTTAAAGGGTCATGAGAATCAGCAAAGGCAAACATATAACCAGGTGAATAGGTGCATGTTTTTTGATATGGGATAGGTGTACCACCACTTAAATCCTCAAAGCAGGACATGTCTGAGTCGGTATCATTTAAGCAACAGAGAGTGTCTGGCAATTTTACTTTGGGTAATACGGGATGAGGCGTAGCCAAAATATATGCATTCAATAATGGTTCAAATCTCCTATTATTTTCAAACCGCATGGTTTCAGAATGAGTTGAATTTAAAATGGAATAAATGGTGACTTGTGAAAACACGGTCAATAATATACACCAGCTTACCATTTTTCAATGTGGGTCAACGAGTCGTTTGGGCTCAATTCCTGCATCTCTTGCAAATATTTGCGCAGCTGTTCAATAATTGTTTCGTATGTATCATTTGAATCAGATTCTTTAAAATGCAGCAGGTGGTTCAACAGAGCAGCCACCACCGCTCGAGAAAGTGCGAATTCACTGTGCATTTTTGCCAGTGTGCAAATCGACAAGAGCATGTCAGGTATAATCAAGTCCGACGTCAACATGGCGGAAATATTTATCAGCGATAAAAGCGACGATACAGTTTTGATTATTTTTTTGGCACAAGCTGTTGCTTTCAAACCCGATTCAAAACTGTGACAAGTTGGATTTTGATTGAATTCAAGGTATGCCAAAGTGCATAGAATAGCAAAGCAGGTATCAGCACCATGTGTAGTAGAAACATTTGTCATGTGATGACAGACAATCCGAGCATATCGAGAGATCAATGTAGAAATGACACGCAATGTTTCAAAATCCCAATCAGGTTTGACATTTCTTAAACGCAAAAGCCATGCTGCAGTATACAGAACCAAATCGTATGTAAGGGACAGATCGCGATTAGACATGGACTGATTGCAGCTACTTTCATTGCTAGAGTGATCTGCATGGTCGTCCGCATTTTCGTCAATGGGTATCGAAACAGCTATATTCACCATTGTATTCATCTGTACTCGATCCTCGTCAAAACAGTTTTCAACCTCGTCCAAAATATACTTTAAAACTCTTAATGCACTCGCAACTTCGATCTGCGCAATCATCCATACAATCTGCATCATCTCGCTCTGCAATGGGTATTTATTGCGCTTGCGCAATTGTCTTTTATGTATGTTTGATAGTGATAGTGATATAGATACTGCTCGAGCAGAAATAATGTGTTCCCAGGTTCTACGTTTGATTAATCGAGTAGATGTTCGCCAAGCCCAAACGTGTTCCTGTGCAAGTTTTGCCTTGAATATCTCTGTTGGTCTGTATGTATATGACCACAATCGCTTGAGCAATTCGAATGCCTAGATAAAGCCCCAATCCAAATACATGGATGGTTTGATAGCTGTTAGCAAATACATATCCGCGAGTACTGTTTGCATAATTCAGATCCTGAAACATACATGCCAATCAGCACCGTGAGATTCACATATAACAATCATATGGGGAATGATGACACCTTGAACCGTAGGGCTTGCAGGGACCACTTGTTCAAACATGTGCTGAAACACAGCTGGTAATAAGTAATGATCTGGAATTTTATCCTGAAGCAAATATTCTATATCTGAGCAAGATCTATTAGAAGATGCAATGAATCTCGGTGTTTGTAACGGCACAGATGTTGCAGCCAAGGCACGTCCGACCGTAAATGCTGACAAAATTCCTAATGGCAGAATAGGACGAAATCGAGGATGGCAGGTATCTACAGAAGATTGTGTATCAGCAAACAAGCTTTCCTGAAAAACAGTACATCCAGATGAATGTTGTTGATGTGAACTGGAATATGTATGCAGAATGGGCAGCCATGCTCGCTGAATGAATTCATCAAAACAGTCCATGAATGCAGCAACATGACGACGGATGGGATCTGCAAGCGATGAATGGGAAGATCGATGGCTGGAAAGTTGTTCAGAATTGTTATTTCTGTTTGTATTGGTTTTAAACCTGACCTTTGAATGAGGTCGTTTGGGCAGTACAGATGATGTAGTTGGCAAATCTAATCCTGAACCATGTTCATTGTGACTATGCGTAGATGTCTGCAGCATAACATCAGAAAGTGCGCTGGGTGATACCAGCACTGCATATTCAAGTGACTGGAGTCGACTCTTGAGTTGTCTAAATGTACTCTGCAGTTTCCTTTGATCCGCCAATGTCAGATCCATGTAGTCTTCTGGCTATTAAACCAAAATTTCTAGAAAAACTACAAGTTTGTATTGACAAATTTTACTGTTTAAATTTCAATAAAAAACACTTTATTGTTTGGCACAAACCAGTCCTTTAATCATGTCAAAACTGTTTCCGTCTGGCTGAAGTAGTCGCTCAGATCCATCACTTGTCACTTTGGCTTGCAGCAGTCCTTGTCGATCTAACCCAACAATCACAGCTTCTTTTGCAACTCCATTCTCCATGATCCTTACTTTTTGATTGCTAAACCATTCAAATAAAGAATGTAGGTCGAAAATGATGATTGTTAAAAAACAGTACTGCCATCTGAAATACTGTAAACATGTATTACCTGTGAAGCCATTTTTTATAGTACATGGGCAAGAAAGGTTCAAAACGACTCGATTTTGTAGAATGCTCAATATCACTCATAAACAATCCATACAGAGATTCAAATGTATGTAATATGGCAGCCAACATGGTTTCATTACTGACAGTGTAACCATTTGGTGCATCAGATGCAGCTACCAGATCGTTGATGCAAAGCGTTGGTTTGGGATTACTGACATTCAATCCGCATCCTAATACAAATATCGCGTAAGCTTGACAAGGATGGAATTGGTGACAACTCGTCCATTGAAACAATCACCTACCAACAACCAGGCTGAATGCACCCTTGTAAAACTCGGACGTAATCAGAATCCCACCAATCTTGCGCGGCCCATCAGAGGTTTGAGCATAGATATCGTTGGGCCACTTCAAGCACACTGGCAGATTCTAATCATTACAAAAGTATAAAAAGTTGAAGCAATCCAAATAAATACTAATCTACAGACAAGCAGTTTGGTATACCTTGCAATGGGGTAAAGATTGAACTGCCTCGACAAGCGCTAGTCCAAATAAATATTGCAACAAGACAATCGATGAAGACTCCTTGTGCGACATTTTAAAAGAAAACTGTAGGCATCCTTGCTGTGAAATCCATGAGTTGCGACCCCGTCCTAGACACACAATAGATGGTCTGATGAATTAGAAACAAGTCAAAAGATGCATGCTCAAACATATACGCTCAACTCACCCCGTCCACACAGTTGATGAGATCCAACAAAAACAGTGCCGTCACTCAATGCACCGCGTAGCTTCATGTTTCTAATCAACACAGGATTAATGGCTTGGTACCTTTATAAATGCATTTATGATGGTTTACCTTTCCAAAACAGACTGAGTCGAGGTCACTACACGTCCATACATAATAGGCAATCCAAACGACTCGGAACCATTAAAACTACTTTTCAATCGCCTAGCATTCAATTCAGATATGTATGCTTCAATATTAAACATGTCTAGATTGTTCAAATTAACGTGAGCATCTCGATTGCATAAAGCCCGAATCTGTAATATCCCAGTAGATGGTACAGCCTCTAGCAAATCCAAATCCATCAACTTGGATTCCAGACGAGGATGAATAAACGCAGGATTGATAGTAAGTTGCCATGAATTGTGAGTGTCATTGACATCAACATATGTGGTCATTGCATTGTCTATAGATTCAATTTGAAGAAATTCAAGAAACTTTGTTTGCTCAAACTCTGTTTTGAAATACAGTGAAATAGGGCTTAACATGGGCAGATCTGCATGATTGATACTAGCAGAGATTGATGATGGTATTGTCAAGTCATCCGAGTTCAAAACAAGTCCCAATCGTTTTAATACGTTCTTGAGCAGTGCAAATCGACCAGATTCGGCAGATTCCAATGAAGCAAGGATTTGATTCAAACGTGCTTGTTCATCAGGATCAGTGATATGAGCAATACGAGAACGGTAGTAATCAGCAGATACCTCGAGATGAGGACCAACAAGTATAGCTTGACCAGAACCAACACTGCAATCGACAATTGCTGGTTGATTATTTTTGGCATACGTGGCGAGAATAGTGCAAGATCCATTGGGTTGAGCCAGATCAGTCACGATAGTAGTCAAGACATGATCCTGTCGAAAATCAAAGTATGGTCCGCCATTAACGTAGATTGTTGTAGATGCAGATTCACCATCAAACATGGATGGATCGTGTATGTTAATATCCATAGCAAGCGCACCAGCCTCGGATTCATACTGAAATAGAACAGGAGAAGTAACTGAACCACAGGCAACAGCAGAACAAAACTTCAATGGTCGCTGACCAACCACTTCGATTCCTTGCCGACCTACTTCAAACTCGACACTGGAACAGGCAAAGTAGGCTCCAGCACAGATACCCAGATACTTGCCACCAGTAGGATTGTGACTTGTGCAGTTAGTGGAGTCCATGTATTGACGAATGGCTTGGATGCCCAGTGGGTCCAATGCAGCCAAATAGGCCAGATCTCTCCCTCCAGGCATGACCAGCAATGCAGTAGATTGCTGCCATGGAGCAGTGGACAGAACATGACTATCGACAGGAATAATGTCGTATGAATGCGACAAATGTTGCCTCAGCTGCTGCATCAACTGACGCTGCAGACTTGATACTCCCGGCCCATTATAAACGAGAATATTTAATCTCGACATCTTACAACTACTACTTGCTACTGTGATCACAGTCTTTGTGGTGTTTACTCCAGTGAACAGCAATTGGTTTCTTGAAACAAATCCTGATCCTCGCTGTCGATACTTTCCCACTGCTGCTAGTATAAACTCCAGATTCTCAATTTATATTTTACAGCCGTATTCACGTAAAATAAATCACTTGTATTGATCTTGGATTGTCTTGGAATAAAGTATTTCCTACTAGAAATTGATTGGTTTTTTCTAAAAGTTTTGTATTTAATATCAGATAGGTTTGTATCCAGTTCAAGAAAAACAGATTACAGCTGTTGTTTCTGTCAATCACTCAATGTTTAGATTGGAAAAAAGAAAAGCTGAAGAAATGTCAAGAATGTGCACAAAGACTAGTAAACAGCTTACAAAAATGCTATTCAGTAAAATTAGTATCAATCCAGAATGAAACTGTTTATCATGTATTCTGTCTTCATTATTTTACGTGAATACAGCTGCAATGCATCAGTTGTTTTACCATGCTACTGTTACGAGTTCCGTGCTACGGGCTGTTCATTACTACTCAACTCCATCATATATATTGTAAAATCTGACAATTTTAAACTCGATTGGCTGAAGGGTTAAACCACCATGTACTCAGCGTACAATCATCTGAACAACTGGCTAGTAATGCTTGTCTTGCGTTCCACACTGCCGAATACACCACTCCTGAATGTCCTCGCAATCGCTGAAGCAAATCTCCCTTGTCTCGATCCCATAAATGCACTGCGCCATCCTGTATGCATAGATTCATTATAAATCAATGATATTTCTACAACCAACAAAACCATTCAAGTCAAGCTTACTTCAGATCCACCAACAATCAGCGAGTTTCCTAAAAACGATGCTCGAATGAAATTCTTGGATGTGTTTTGGTGGCCCTTGAACTTGCGAATTGGTCGTAACTAAAGGATCGTACAGATACAACACCAGATTCAATTCAAAAGATTAAAAGACTGCTCATTACCAATTATGAGTGCAGTATCTTTACCATGCGGATATCCCACAATCGATTCGAATTGTCTTTGGAACTACTTAGCAGCAGAGTGCCATCCGAGTTCATTTCAACACATGTAACTTCGCCCAAATGCGACGAGATTGTCTTGATGCATAAACCCGACACAATATCCCAAAATTTGATTGTGTTGTCCTTGGACCCACTAATTATCAAGTTTCCAAGTGGATTGAATATCACTTTAGACACAGAAAGCTGGTGTCCGGTAAATGTCTTGGCAGCTACTCCACGTTCAATGTCATACAGTCGCACTACTTTATCGTATCCGCCAGAGACAAGAAATGACTGACATTCCACACAAATATACTGTAAACAAGTATACCAAATCTACTCATATACACGGTACCACAAACTTGATAGTGCAGTAGTATAAATTTACAAATATTAAAACTTACGTGGGTTGGATGGTATTTAACCGTGTACATGTCACCGCTGCCACCAGAAAGTGTGCTCAAACAGGGCATACCAGAATCATTGATGCTCCATACTTTGATGGTAGAATCACCTGATGCACTTGCAACATAATTGCCATTCAATGTAGATGTAACATCCCATATACGAGATGTATGACCCTCTAATATACCCATTTGAACACCAGTTTCTGTATGCCATACACGGCATGTGTTATCACTACAACCCCAAAACTATTAGCACATGTAACATATCAATACATGCCGAATGGATAGTCAACTCACCTAGATCCCGACACAATCTGTTTTCCATCTTCTCCAACAAATTCTACACACTTGATATTACCAGTGTGACCACTAAACACGCTTTTGACAGTATTGGGCACAACCAGCGATGAATAGTCCTGCAACAAACTTGAAAATAGACATAAATTAGCAAGTACAGCATTTAATCTCTCACAATTCAACCAGTCGGCAAAACGTAAACACGACATTTGAAATATACTCACGAAGATATTTTGGGGGTAATTGTTGGAGCATAGCGTGATGAACCCATTTGATATGCAATCGCCTGTCTCAACAGTTTCAATAAACGCTTTGGTGGTACATACACAGCTCCTAGATATAATCAAAATGATAGTTGTTAAACCAACTGAACAGGGTAAAGCTGCTTTACAAATCAACGCAGTATAATATATTACAAACTACCTTCGCGATCTCCTTCATCATAATCAATCATACTTTGGAATAGCTCTGCTAATTTCTCTCTAAAACAAGTATATCTGCATTAGATCAAACAATCAACAACACAGCATGCTTTTAAACTAGTACACCTTGATGGTCCAATGCCTTCCCAGTTTTTAAACAAAGGTGAATCTTGAACAGACTTTGCAGTAAGAAGATAGCACAAGTCTTTAAACTCATTAGGAGTAGTTTGCAAATGCTCCAAAGGCTTCAATCGCTTATTCAAATGCGTAAATGCCTAAAGGAATAACCATTTAAATGGATCAACATCTGATTCACATTCAATTGCACAACACTAGTCTTTTGGTGCGTAAATATGCAGGCTCAAACCTTTTGAATCTCATGGTGCTCAATATATTCGAGATACTGTTGTTTATACGCTGCATATACAAAACTCTTGTTGTTTCGAATCAAGGGACGAGAACACAACTTGTCGATCTCGGGCCAATCTCCATCTAATAGTCCAAATTAAATTACCACTCATCTTTCTAGCAATATGAAACCATTGCATGCAGCATTGTATTTACCAAAAATTGCTTTACGCATTCGCTTAATCTCGGAATAGTTTTCCTCTCGCTCAAAAGCCTTTACATTAGCCTCATCTAGTAAGATCATCTTGGAAGATGCATAACCCTCATCGCCAAGGTACTGGGCAATCAATCGCACAATATCCTAAAAACAGTGTCAACAACTTATATTTCAAAAAATAGATTCACAGCAAATATAAACTCTTGCCTCTTTGATATGGTCGTTATTGGCATCAAATATATCCTCTCGAGGATCAATGACGTTGTCCATGCTCCATCCAGACACAATCCGCTGGTGCTTTGCTAGTTTCAGCCAACTGTTGTGTATTTAAATAGCAGATATATAAATAGATTAGCCAGATGGCATGCGCATGTATTAAACAAGTGCTGCAGTGTATAACTTGTAGTGTTTTATGCCAGTTCAGTGCTCACTTTTCTTCCTGAACTAGTTCAGCACTGCCAGCTTCTGTCTGTTTTTGATTACTACTATTGCTGTCCATGCTACTCTCTACAGATGCAACAGTCGGAATCTGAGCATCCAAAGTCAATCCATGAACAGCAGACACAATAGAAGCAGCAGTGGGTGTAGTATCATCCTCGGCCAAACTCATGGTTTCAGTATTTGATGTTGCAGTAGTTTGGTATAAAATCCCACTTCTTCCAGTGCCAACAGTATTCAATGGTTTCTCTGGTAGTTTGTATTAGATTCCAGGTTGGGTTAAACAGGAAACTTGACAAATTAAAGGTTTCCCTTTAGATACCCCACTGCAATCCATCTTTACAAAGCACTCGTTTTACTACATTAAACCCAAACTGGTTTATATAAAGATGTGCATGGACCAATAAACTACCCACAACGCTGTGTAGACTCGATTGTCGAATCTACCAAAAAACTAAATCCAACATAAGCTTAAAAATGTTTGGCAATCTTTAAATTTATTCAAAAATAATCAAAACAATTCCTTCAATTCACAGAAGCTGTTCTTGCTCTGAGTTTGCTACGATCAGAACTACTGTGGTGATGACGATGATGACGCCGAGATTTATTCTCAGTTGGGGCCGAGTCGCCAGTGCGAGGCTCGCTTTCTGATCCAGCACTACTGGTTGGAACAGTCTTGTACACTGAACCTCTAGTGTTACTTCCAGACAAATTCAAATTCTTTTTTCCAGAACTTCGTTTGCTTTTTTTCGGTGTTGCCATCATTTCTTTGGGACCGCTTGTAAATACTTCTGAAAGGGGCACTTGGATAGCTTTTGGTTTTCCTTGTTGTCCCGGTTGAACAATCTTGCGCGATTCTGGACTCTGATTAATCTTGACAGTAATTGACGGAATAGCGGCTTGTAGCTGCAATCTGGACATTTCCGTGATGTTGGGGCATCCTGTCACATCCACTTCCTTTAATGTAGCACACGATTGTGCTAAATATCCAGTAACTCTATCCGTCATTTTTCTACACTGGCGTAAAGAAATAAACTTCAAATTCCGAATACTAGCAGAAAAATATATGATGGATGCGTCTGTCAACTGTTCACAAGCTGTAAATTGCAATCTAGTAAAGCTTTGCGATCCCAGAGAAAGATCATACATGCCGCCATTGGTGATTCTGCTACAAAATGTAAGATTCAAATCTGTCAGATTGTAGCATGATGAAGCAATCCATTTTAAACAAGTGTCGGTAATATGATCAGAATCCCTCATATCCAACGATCGAAGTCGTCGGCAATATTGAACAATCAAAAAAACTCCAAAATCCGAAATACGTTGGCATCGACGCATTTTTATATCCTGCATCTCTGGAGTGCCTGGTAGCAATCGTTCAAGCTGCTCGTCACTGATCACTTTACAGTATGATATGTTGATGCTTTTCATATTGGACCAAATATGTTCGTTGAATCCGATACCAGAAATCTGACTACAGTGGCTAATGTCTAATTTCACTAGCTCAGGACACCCTTTAGCCAAATGAATCAACCCGATATCCGTTAGCTTCCAACAATTTGATACATTCAAACACTGAATGTTACGGCACCGTGTAACCAATGTACGTATATCATTATCTACAATCATCCAACACCCAGTAAGATCCATCATGGTTAATGTTTCGCTACCAAGGTATGCAAACACTTCCAAAGCCTTTCGATCGATTTTACGAAACTCGGACCGTAGATTTAGTACACGCCAAAACTGTTGCATAAGCAAAATCTCATTCCATCGTCGGCATACTCCTCGCAAGCGTAACATATCAGAAGGTAAAACGTATGAAAAAATAATTTCAAGATGAGCTTCTGTTGCATCAGTAATGCTGGTTAAAGTTTTGTGGGGTGGAATTTGAAGCTTGCGCTTGACTTCTTCACGAAATTTAATTGGAACTACCCACTGTTTTGCTGCCATTGTGTGATATTTTACTGGTGCAGACATACTTCGGGCTTTGGAAAACTCTGCTGAAGAACTGAGGGTGTTTTTCAATGTGCTCAGCATTTTACCAAGAGCGCGTTGGACATGTGTAGATGTTTCCTTGTCTTTCAGCACAATAGACGTAATAGGTAAATCCGACTGATGTAATGTGTATGTGCTCATTCCAGACTGAACTGCTGGATCGGGTATAGAGTCTTGGCTGATACTTCGCGAAAACTCCTTGAGCTTGCTTGGCTTGCTATTGTCCTTGGCTTTGCTTGATCTTCTACGCTTGGAAAACAGTTGTCCAAACGGAATCATTGATGACACTGCAGATCCATTGGAAGATCGTTCTTTTTCAGCCGACTTTTGTATATCCATTGCATTTCCAAGACCAGCTTCTGATGACTGAACAGTTGAGGGTTTTTGAGCTTGCGTCAAACCAGAAGATACAGTATGTGTAAGAGCATGTTCAATGGGTAACACGCGACCTTCTGCCAATCGAAACCGCTTGTCTGCTTCAAGAGAAATCATTTGGAAATTGTCTGGATATTGTTTCAAAGCCTTCCGCATTGCATCAGCAGACAGCACTAAAAGTCGGCACACGGTGGATTTGACCCTGACCGATGCAGTGCGATTTACACCTCTTACGACACCCACTTCACCAAAGAATCCTCCTTGAAAAACCTGATCATACACTGTATTGCCATCATCAGAAACAATTTCAACCTGGCCATGCGCAAGAAAATACATTTCAAGTGATGGCTGCCCAGCACTGATTACCAAATCGCCTTCCTTCAAAGTGCGGATAGACGTGCTTAAAGCCAATGTGCCTAAAAACCCTTCATTGCATTTTTCAAATATGGGCACTTTGCGCAATCTGCTAACTGTCGCCTCGATATCGAACCGATGCTTATCACTATCAGGAACATGATGCTCTTGCAGCGCCTTTTGTCTCGCCATAAACAACGTGTAATTATCTTTGGCTCGCTCATGAATCTGTCCCATAAGATTAGGGTAAGTTTTTAAAATCGATTGAACTGTATCGTTGGAAAGCTCAACCAATGTGGTTTTACTACTTGCGCAGACTGTTGCAGTGCGATTTACTTCATAAAAAAGCGACACTTCGCCAAAAAATGAGTTGGCATCCATTTGAACATAGACTTGCTTGGCATCTTCGGAAACAACTTGTACTGCGCCGTCAATCACAAAGTACATTGAACGACCGATTTCACCCTTTTTAATGATGATGCTGTTTTTTTCTGCTACAAAAATTCTTGATGCCAATACAATCTGATGCAAAAAGGCTGTTGGTGTATTGCGAAAAAGCGGTACCTGTTTGAAACCCAAAATACAAAGCATTCAAGTATTGAAATACCATAAATGCGTTAAATCATTTGGATCAATCGCAGAATTGGCATACATTCAGTACAACGTACAGTTTTCAATTTTTCACGAACAACTTCCACATCAGTAATGTCATGAACTGCCTTGTCCAGATTGGCCTTTTCTCTTGACTCAATGTACTGTAGTCGCTGTGAAGCCTCTTTTTCAATCTTCATTTTCACTTCTGGGTAATTCTCCAGCAAGCTGTCCAAATCCTTTTTATAAAGTTTAAACACCGTGACATCTCTCGTGGCACATCGAACAGATGCTGATCGCTTACTGCTAAAAAACAGTCCAACTTCTCCAAAAAAACTGCCTGGGTGGAACTGGGCAAAGACTTGGTTGGTCGTCTCATTAAATACCTCTGCTACACCTCGAACAACAAAAAACATCTCGCTGGCCATCTCACCCTTTTGAATAATCAATTGATCGTTGGTATAGTTTACTGGGCGAAGCGAAAGTGCCAAATTGTGGAGAAACCCAATCTCGCAATCGCGAAATAATGGAATGGTTTTTAAATCCTGTTGAGTGACTCCGATTTTGAGCTCCTCGCCAAATTCAACCTGGACTGAAGACTCTACTTGTTTGATATGAGATGTGTATCGCTCTTCAGCTATTTGAGCTATTGAAACTGCTATGCGTGGATACGGTTCAACGGCTTTTTCCAGAGATTCCTTGGTAAGAACAAGAAGAATGCTTCGGCCCCTTGCTCGACACGATACTGTTCTATTCAAGATCAAAAATATCAAATATACAAACAGTTTTTGATTAATCAACAGTTTCAAGATATAAAAATATTATTTTATTTCAAATGAGCTAAGCAGGCATGAGCATACAGACTGGAACTTGATTTACTTACCTTGGTATGGAAAACAAGAGTCCAATTTCACCAAAAAACGACTGTTCTTTGAGCACATTGATAATAGTCTCACCTAGCAAGTCAATACATTAAACATTATTTTCATTATATCAGTATACCAAACTTTTTAAACCTCCGAGTTCATACACTCATACCAGGATAACGCCTTTACCCAACATGTGCATGAATCTATTCATGTCACATATTTTAAAGTTGTACATTCAAAAGCTACTCGAGATTTAATGTATTCGACACCTACCATCTTCGGAAATGACTTCAACTTCACCTCGAAGCACAAAGAACATGGCACGGCCCACCTCGCCTTTACGAATTACATACGCACCATCGCTAAACACTCGCGTTTTCATTAGATTTGTGAGCGTATCGATAAACCCTGTGTTGCTTGCATACTCTTTAAACAAGAGGTGGTCTTCAAGAAATCCACGGATGGATATGTCCATTTGGAGCGAGGGTTGATGTTGTATCGAGTGTAGACGGCTTTGAGTTTATGGAACTGCTTGGGATTTAAAAACGTGACAGTTTACAGCTGAAAACAATAGAATGAGAACGAGATGAATATTTATTTATATTTCAGGAACCCAATTTTGTCATGTTTTGAAAACATTCCGATAGTATCAAGCAGGCTACTTTTACAGCATTTCAAACCCGTGGATTCCTGCAAAACTGCACAATTGGTTAGCGTAGATTCCAAGTGCAACGTCAGTTTTTGTCAGAACAAGACCAGAATGGCATTGTCCTATATTGAGTCGAGTGGACCAGCAGATGTGTCAACAAGTCAGATTGTCGCCGCGATGCAGGAAACACGGGTGATGGATGCCTCTATCCAAATCAGAAAATGAACCTACCGATATTTGCAAAAAAGCAGCATTACCAAACAAGAATCTGACCACACAAAAGTGTGGTTGAATGAGTTTTACGTAAATGCTTTTTAAAAAGCATGATACGCTGATGGTGACAATCACCTGCAATGTGTCGTTTTATATTTACATTCTCATTACCAATAACTGTAACTCAGCCTTTTAAATACTATATTGCTTCATTTCCACCAAACTATGGTTAATATATTTAAAAATTAGCAATATTCATTCAAGATGTGTCGGGCTGTTTTTCTTCGGAAACGGGCATTTGCTGTAATAGCTGAGTAAATTGTGTACTGATACCAGCAAGCTGCATTTGGATTTGTTCAATAGCTTTTAGCCGTTTAATAATTACAAATCGAGTGTTGCCTTCCATAGATTTGAGCTCCTCGTCAGTCAATCTATCCAACACCTGCAGCGACGCGGCTAAAATTTGAAATTCAAAGCAACAAGCAATGCAATAAAAAATAAACTCTCAAAGCTCAAAGCTCAATTATCAATAAAATATATACAAAAGCAATGTATTCGCTACCTTCTGGCGGAATCATATCATTTCGCATGGGACCTAGCGGAGTGAGATAAACTTGCTGATGGCCCAACACACCGTTTGCAAGTACTCCCATTGTGACTGGCGGCGCAGCAGGATGTTGTAATGGATCTAAATACGCTGGAGTTGGAAGCAAAGGCATGGGTCCTGCTTGTGGCATATAACCTGGAGGAAGCATAGCTGGTGGTGCTTGGGGAAATATATGGGGCGGCAAATTTCCTGCAAAAGGCTGAATGGGTGGATAGGCAGCAGCCGCGGCAGGATCTGGAACCGGTACTTGTGCTGGTGGTGTTGCTGATAAATCTGTACATCAAATAGATAGTTTAGTAAATAATGAATTTACACCAAAACTAAGTCTGAATTAAAACTGTACTCACTAGGCATATCTAGAACCGATCGACGACTACAAAAAGTTTAAATGGATATTAATAAAAGTAAACAGCAAAATAATTCGAATATTCTTATAGCCATGTTTACCAAGTGGGACAAGCCTGCTGACGTTCTAACCAGCTGCGAAGACATCGAAAATGAAAAACATGTCCACACGGGAGTCGTTTGGGAGCAATAGGATTGGCACGATGACCAACACCTGCTGCTGCACGTGCAGCAAACCCAACAGGAGCAGGTGGAGGTACTACAGCAGGCACAGCAATCATTTCTTCACGACAAACAATACACACTCGATCCATCTGTGCCAACTCAGCTTCTGTTGCATTTGGATACCGTTGATCCATGTTGGCCGTTGCACGGTAGTATTTGATGAGATCGCCACACTTTTGAATAACACTTCGCAAAGTCATGTACAAGTCACGCACAATATGCAGCGGAATGCTATAAAAATGCATGATCGCGAGGAAAAACAACGAATACCCAACCAGTTTCAAAACATCTAAATGTAGCCCACATTAAGATGAGCATATATAGATGATGAAAAATGACTATATATCTGAAGCCTAATAATACATACCAACAGTCAATTCAACGTAACAGAAATATATGGATTTATCTTCCCATGGAGCTTCGCTTCGCAAATCAATGTTGTGTAAAATATACTTTGCGCAAATGGAGATGAGCACAATCAGTCTGATTGAATACTATTCAAACGTTTTAAATTAGAACCACGGTATAAAAACAAAAAACTCGTCATTGATGTGCATGCAACATACTTCGAATGCAAATAAAATCATCATTGTTGGTCCATGAGCAACCACGCTATTGACGGCATATCCAAGAAAAGCGACATCAACTAGCAGCAAAAAACCCATTGCAGACAGAGTCCGAATATGAAATAAAGCAGTGATATCGTTGGATTGTTCCATCTATCAAAAAAATCAAAATATTAGCTATACTATAATCTATGCTATCGAAAACGAACGCGGATTATACATCTGTGGCGATCCTGTCATGTATCTACAAGAAACTACTCACGTGGTCGACCTTGTCTGCACAGATCCAGTGAAACATCTTGACAAGCAGCAGTAGTACAAAAAACAATACAAATCGCCATTCAAACTCGTACTTGAATATGGTCATTGCGATGCATGTATCCATAACAGAGGACCAGGATCGTTCATATAAATGCTAGATGAATTACAATTGAAAATCCCGTTCAAATAAAAGCAAAACGTTAAACATGCTAGCCCGGTTTGAATACAATAAGGAATCCAGTAGCGAATGATCCACAATAGGAAAGAATACCTCGACTTCAATAGCACGTAGCTCTCCAAATAAAAGTAGCTGAAGAGCATGGCCACATAGATATATCAAGTAGAAAGCAGAGCAGCTTAAAATCTAAAATAGTTTAATATTCATAGCAGGATATTGAGTAGGATTGGCTACAGATCAGCAGCATTGATATAAACTTGGCAAGCAATGATGGCAGCAATATGTACCAGTAAACTACCAGAGCTTTGGGCTATATGGACGCATGCAGGGAAAAACATTCCATGACGCTGCACAAATGCATTGTAAAGTACAAGCAAAGAAAGAGTAATACTGACACCACCAAAGAGGGTTACTCTAGATACTGCCATGACGAATAGTAAAGTTGCAGTTTTGACTTTGATTTCAACTGCTTCATAGTCACGTGTTGAATTCACGTGATTTGGTGTATTGTTTTCCAGCACAGGATATTATGCTTTGACAATAAACGTGAAGCCATCTCGACTTTATAAATCTCTTGAAATCCACAATCTCAACCGGATCCCTCTGTGCCAAATCTACATAGCTGTTCAAAAATAAATTGTATTTCAATTATGCAGTGGCTTTTACTTGCTTTATGGACCACACTTGCAGCAGCCGATAGAGTCTCTGTAGAATGCATTCCGAAAGACCATTCTTTGGTAAATACTGGGATAAATCGCGCCGTGGTAAGCATCGCTGCTCCACAACGATCCAATATGTTTATAAACATGAGCGTCCAAAACACAACTGTAAGTATTGCCTTTTAACATGCCTCTCACAATTTATATGGCAGTTATTTTACGAATCTGTAAACTTGACTCGGTCAAAATGAATTAGTCTCGATGATTAAATATCACCTGAAACTTCGCGTCTGACATTTTTGAAATTACACCCTATTGATTTGAAATGTACTAGTTTAAAGTCAGTATCAATGCAGCTGCATCCGATCTTTTTGTTCCTGTGGTGGGTATAAACGATTATACAGGACAAACAATCAATATTTCTCCGACAGGTCCAACACAGACGGTTTCAATTATAGAAAACGATGTAAATACAGGGTTTGGATTTCAAGGAACAGTGTCCATTCCAGGTACTCAATTAAATTCCTCAAACGCACCTATATTTGGAATCAAATCTCAAGATACCAATACTTTACCCATCTACACCGCCAATCAGGGATACTTTGGATTAGGTTATCCCCAGGGAGCAAAATACGTTGCGAATCCACCAACAGTAGTTGATGCTTTTATTAGTTCTGGAAACATGATAAAAAATGAGATTGCTCTTCAAATGTGCTCACCAGTATTTTCAAGTCTCGCCTATATAGATATTGGCAACTCGCAGCCATCTACAAAGTGCGGATCAAATGGAATTCCAACCATCTGGGCATCTTCGCCAGATAGATCTAGTATTTCTTTAAACGTAAAAGCTGTGACTGTAAATTCAAATCCTATACCATTTCCAGCTTCATTCCAGATGGGTACAGGCGCGGCTAAATGGTCACAAATCGATACCATCCAAAGCGTGATTCTTCTTCCGTCAAGCATGTTTTCTATTTTTGTAAATGCGCTAATAGGATCGGGCGGATTGCCTCCTGATCTTTTACAGTCTTCAAATCTGTCTCCATTTTTATTTGGCGAAACAGTATACAGACCTGCTTACACCATTTTTTGGTACAACCTGCCTACAATTTCGTTTGATATCGTATCCAATCAAATTGGTCCAGATGGCATCAATAACGCAACACTTCGAATCACTTTGGGACCACACCAATACATTATCAAAGATGCTCAAGGCAACTGTGAGTACAATCATATTGAAAGCGTGTCTAAACTATTTTCATCACTACACTTGCTAATATACCATACACATTATATATGTTCAAGTCTTTATGGGGATTTCTATTGGTGACGATTCAAAAGTGGTGTTTGGTCAATCGTTTTTATATTCCTTGAATGTCGTTTTAGATCGCGCCAATGGGTACATTGGATTTTCTCCTGGTTGTGCTTGCCAGACCAATGTCGATGGATTCCCAATAATCCAACCACCAAATGCTGGATCGATCCCATCTGGGTAAATTGATGTGTATTTTAAACATGATATACATGAAGCAACTGTGATTTATATATAGTATTGATATCTTGTAAAATTTAATTTGTAGAATCGTATCATCTGGTAATTCTACCACAACTACCAGTACAGCTTCTCAGACAGCCCAGTCAACACAAACAGGTAATGCATTTAATTGACCATGTCTTGACCTAGTGAAAAAATAAGCTAAACTTTTTGTTTAATGATTTAATCTGCAAATACTTTTAGCCGTTGTAAGTTCAGCAAGAAAAGCCGCTATACCATCTGGTCTTGGTTTATCATTCATCTCTACTCTACTCGTCAGTATTATCCTATTGGCCTAATTTTATTTTCTACAGTAGACCCAACAAAAACATAAACTGATGTTCAAACTTGTTCATCATTGCCTATCAATTATGAAATTCGCTTTTTAACCCTGTTAGTTGATATTTGACTTGATTAAAGTTACGGCCAGTATCCACATAAAATGAACCATCTTTTTTACATTATTTATCTTGGATTGATCATTTTGCTTCGAAATAAACAATCATCAAATATTCGTTGAGTTTCTACTACAAAATGACTATTTCTTTATACGAGCTCTGTTGTACTTCAATATCAGGCATGTAATTGTTGTTTGTATACCAGTTAGTGTTTGGATTGCAAGAAAAGAAAGTTGGAGATTGAAAAGATGTGGAATGTATTAGAACAGAGATGTGAATATTCACCCAGTATTTTTTACAAAAATCAGCACAAAAATAGTAAACTAAACGAGTTTGAAAGACACGATCTTGCTCAATAAGATTGGTATCAAACATGGACTGCTCGTTTATCATGTATTTTGATTCTCGTGGTTCATTTACGTGAATACGACTGTAAATTGGAATGAAAAATGTTCGATTTAGTCAACTTTCATCTACATGGCAAAATGCTCAAGCCACATGTGACTACAAAATATATTTATTTGCGACCAGGTCGGTTTGGTTTTGCAAATGCAGGCTTTCTAAGCGCAGATGGGGAAGCCTTTTCAGTAACTTGCTTGCAGTGATCTTCAAAACTTGATACAAATTCATCCACTGTATCCACCTCAAACTATGGTGTACAAGTCAAAAATATGTAGATATTAGCTTGTTAGACTATTAATCGTCAAATGCACACAATCTGGATATACCTTTGCTTTAATGCCGAGTCCCAAAATTGCCTCAGCTTCGCCAACGACGTATGAACGAGATGCAGCAAACAGCATTCTTTCTTTTACTTTACATTCAGGAGGCGATACATATGCAAATGCTAAAAATCAAAATAGTTTTAAATGTACACGCTCATATGATATAGATTCGCTTGAAATATGATGCAGTTCAATAACATACCATAATCATCACTTGATACAGACTTGAAAAAGATGAATCGAGGAGCTTGTGAATCAATTTTTCCATGAATTTCTGACAATTGAATAGACGCAGAACAATCCAAAAGCATAGTTTCTGTTTCTGGATCTACTCGCTAAGTAATATTACAAAAAGCGTTAAAATTACCGCCAATATAATACTAGTCAAACACTTGTACATTAAATGATAGATAAACTTACAAGAGAGATAAAGTTAATCGAACCATTTTTCAATTCTTTGAATGCTTGGTTAGCTTCTAAAGTAAATTGAAATGCAACTCCAGGTGCATTAGATCTGCGTGACGATATGCCAATTTCTGCTGTACTCTAAATGAAATTTAAAAAATCCATATCAAATATTAGTAACTTGCATTATTGAAGTAATAAAACAGCAGTCCAAGTAAACCAACCTCGGAAGCCTTGACAGCAGCAGCTTCAAGTTCCCGTTCGGTGAGTGGGGCTTCTGCATGACTGTGCTTGACATGACAATGAAACCCTTCCAACGATAGATCATCCTTTAGCAATGCAAAATAGTTAGTTTGATTCATGTCTTTACAAGTTGACATTACTCATGCAACTTATAGGCGTATTCACGTAAAATGGGTCATTAAATAACAGTTCAAATACGTAATAAACAGCCAGTCTCATGTAATGATAATTCTCATCAAATTTACTGCAAACATTGAGTGATTGACATGGAAACAACAGTTGCATTCCCAAGATGTGCAATCATTGTTTTTTAAACTAGAACGCAAATGTATCCGAGATTCAGAACAATCAAACTCAATATCTGGATTTAGACTTGGTGATCACGTAATGTATAGTTATGCAAAAAAGAAACAAGACAAGTTCAAGACCATACTCTGATTGTATGCACCATATAATAGATGTTTGAAGAATTGAGAATGTTAATTTACATGAACAATCGTAGTTCAAAAGTTACCTTGGTGGTGGCATACACAGTATCAACAAAGTTTGAATCACCGAGCTCTTTTGTAAGCGTAGATTTAGATGCGGCATACAGCATCTTATCACGTACCTATATGCATAATCATTGCTTTAAATAGTGAATTTGACTGCCAAGCTTGAGATATTAATTCCAGTTCAAAAACGACAGATTCAGAATAACTTTACTTTGGCAGTATCGGGAACAAACTGCATAAATACCCATTCGTAAGAACCCATTTCATTGATTCGAGAATCAGTTCTATACATGATATAACAAGGGGTGCTTTCTTGTAACCATTCACCCAGTTTTTCAAAGTCTAAATACAATCAAATGGTTGCAGATACATGCGGTTAATGCACAACAGTAGAAAAGTAATTCAAGATATAAACAATGACAAAATACCTTTTTCCCAAGTTCCAGATACATGTATAGTGCCAGTAACATTGATACTTTCTATAAATCAAAATGCACAACTATAGTTTAGATCTGTAATAAACCGACTGCTTAATCAACAGTAATCAACTAACCATTGACAATTTTGGAGCAAATTGCTCTCACTTTATTATCTGTAGTATTGCATTCGCAGAACAACGATACCAATTCTGCTGCAGGTCTGATGCCTGATTGGTGGGTCATGTTGAGCGTGAAGATCGTGTTGCTCAAACATGACAACTCAACCACCAAATCACCTGATGTCACCTGTGTGTTGGTTGACTTTGAAAATCAGACACTTTGCAGCAATAATCAGCAATGGGAAGACGAGCAGCAAATACGAGCACTGCCAAACCCACTGAAAGTGAAACTCCTAGTAAACGTGCTTCCAGATCTTCAAATCCTATTACTTCTCAAGTCAGTTCAGAATCGCCTAAAAAGGCTGCTGCAACTCCAAAATCTAAACGAGCTCCTGCTACACCCACAAAAACTCCAAAAAGAAAGACAAAGGCTGCTTCTACTCCAGAAAAACAAGATGCTATAGACACTGCAGATGATTCTGAGCTCCCTGTTGATTTGTCAGATCCCATTTTAGAGTCTAGTAAAAATATATCAACAGATTTACAATCCCAATCAATAAATATACTTGAAACTACTCAAGCCATTGATGAACCGTCAGAAACCTCCAATCTACCATCAACATATGAATCCACAATGGTATTGGACGACTCGACTCAAACCATTTCATCTAGCATTGATGACTTGGTTTCTGCTGATCTTTCAACCGAAAGTATCCAACCCGAAACAGTTGAGCCAACTCCGAGTACTTTCCAATCTATTGTAGAATCACACACATCTTCTGTAGCAGATGAATCTGTTGGCAGAGGATTGCATAAGCGCAAATCTGTATCCGATGACATGGACAACAATCCCGAAGCCAAAAAGCGTAGCAAGCGCATGTTTCAAATGCTGGTTGGTACTCTGCAAACTGCCAAGAAGGATCAAGATACCAACATGTCGGAAGCAGTAAGTACTGAATCTTGATGCCACAATTGTATATATATATTAACTTTTATTTTGGCAATCACAAGGCCATTAGACGCCAAACTATCGAACAACGACTTGCAGAGAAACTCGTCAAGGAAAAGGCAGAGCTGGCAGATCGCATAAAGAAAGAACGGGAAGCTGTAATTGAAAAGCGTCGACTTACAGAACAAAAAATCAAAGATATTTCTGTAAGCATGGTTTGCATCATCAGTTTATTCGATCCATGCATAGTTTGTCAATTAAATACCAACTGTTGATGAATATTAGGAAGAAATTATCGAGTCTCAAAAAAAATGTTTGGAAAAGTTTATCTTTACAAAAGCATCGCCAGGAGTGTATTTTATGCCTGCCAATCATAACGATCGTACAAAAAAGGTTCTGGTGTCTGCCATCACGGTCAAGACCGAGGCTGTATCTAATGCTGATCAACCTTCAAGTCATACCAGCATAATATCTGTATAAACCACTTTGAATTTGCAAAACTGTTTTTACAATGTATTCAGTATTGGTTGTTATTATCAAGAGAAAACAATGAGACTATACTGTCAAGTGGTAGTCAAAACACGTGCTGGAAACTAGGTTGAACCCATCATGTTTGACTTGGACTCGGTTTATTGAAAAGTATTACTGGCTACTGGATATGAATATAATGGTTAGTTTGACTCAACTCCAATTATACATGATTTTTGAGCATTCAACCCATGGCTCGGTCAATTTATTAAGCAATTATTGTAATCAGTAATCGGGTGTGCGTGACACTAGTTTTTGAACCATTTCAAAGGCACTGCTTGAGTATGGATACACTCGGCACCTATAGTTTATTGTATAAACGAGTATACAGTTTAAATTGCAATAAACGTGTGAATGCAATTCAGATACTTGCTACATGCTTGTGCATTGATAAAACAAAACATAAGCATCTCTACTTTGACCAAACTCGAGGTCATTGCATTGGCTTCCGATCGAGTCACTCCACAAATGCCAATGGCCTGTATCTGTATTGCGCGTATGAGAAGTGTAATGTCCGCCATGCAATTCACCAGAATGGTTTGATACTGCAACCAAGTCATACTCTGCTGAAGTGAGTTCAGAAGTGTAGGCATTCATTGTAAACTGATGTATGGGAAACGTCACCATTGTATGAAGCTTACGGCTTGGTATATCTGTCAAGGGCAAAACCTGAAACCGTTTTAAATCTATTGTAATAATCAGTTCAATTAGTCGAATCAGTCCAATCAGTCCAAACAGTGCAATCAGTCAAAAGTAAATATGACTACACCAACATTTTAATAGTGTACAAAGATCATTCATGACACTTACGGATAACAAGCACCGATGGAAGACGTGAGATTCCAAGTTGCTTGATGGCCAATGTGTCACATTTACATTTACCACATCGATATGTATCTAGTTTTTCAGCCTCGAAAAATGAATCTAGACATTGATCAAGAGTCACACCATCTTGGTCTATTTGCAAATTCGATGAGATCAAAGGAGCCGAAATGTCCCAAAATGTATCAAATGTGGTGGATGTGGTCTGGCATTCAAGGCATGTTACAGTACTTTGAAGTTGGCCACTAAAAATATCACATATTGGACTGTTGTTGAACTTTTTGTATCTATTCCATGACACGATTGTCTTTTGCCTGGTTCTATAATTCCAAGGTATTACAATATGCAAAAATAGTAAATGTGACCGAGTAGGATGGTGGGTAGAGTTGCAACATTACAATTAAACAGTCAACAATCAGTAATGGACCTACGTCAGTTGATCATACTGTTCATCGGTATAGGAAAACTTTGTTGGTCGTCCAGTATTCACGTCTTCGTGTAATCCATCCAGCAAAAACCGTAAAAATTCTAAATATCTCAGCCAAACAGTTAGTTTAAAACACTATAAATCAAATTGGCAGGCGTTGTCACCGTATACCTTGTGAATCATGCTGACTGCCAAGCAAATCAAAAAAATGAGTAAATGTGTTGAAAATAGCAGAATCACCAATTACTATAGCAGATAACAAAACCGTACTTGTAACCGCTAAACTGCGGAGCCAACAGTTCGATTTGACGTTTTAATAGTAACGGCGATGCTATTTTGCCACGTCCTGCTGAATCGACATGGTTGATGTTTTTTACAAACTCGCCAAATGTTTTTGCAATCAATCCCTTGGTGCTACTTTGTAAATTAAAATGGGATAGATACTGTCCAGATTCAAAATACGCCATAAACTTTCCAATAGAAAATAAACACTGCAAGATAGAGTTCATAAAACACTACAGTAACCCAATGCATCATTTAGTTTGGTTTTAAACATGGACATTAGTTAAACCACAGCCATATTGTCCAATGGACATAAATATTATTTGCAAAATAGCTTACTGTGTTGCCCAAATTTTTCAATCCGATCGTGTATCCTCGTGAACGATACAAGCCACCACTTGCACTATTTTGTACATCATGAAATGCTACTGACGGTTCACGTAACAGTTCTTTTAATTCTGGATGTATACCTGATTGATTTGTACATATGCTGTTGTATTCATTTAATCCCGTTTGGATTGCAGTAGTGGTGTGTATGTCATTTGATTGCAAGCGTGATATATCTGCATTGTGGTGTGTATACAACGACTGCCTGGAATGACTGTAGGAGTTTGCAATGTGATTTGTAGCCAAGTTGTGGCTTGACATTGATTGTGTAGAAACAATCGATTCGGCAGAATTGTTATTCAGAGATTTATTATGAGGTTTATCATACGATATGGAGCGTGCATTACAAATTAGACCACTTGTTTGGCGCATATTATGAGGATGATTTGTATTATGTATACTTGAACTGTGCGATGGTGTGGAAATTGGGAATGAAATGTGTTTTGACTGAGCAGATACGATATTTGTATAGGCGATCTCGTCTAAAATAGGTCTAGATTGTGACCGAATCGGTTGTGTATGGCATGTGGGTATGTTTGATATATGATATGATTGTTGATGCAGTTCACTAATAGGTGTATTGGGCTGCGGCGCTGCTAATTTGATTCTGGATCTGCGAATTTCACGGGCTGTATGATTTACTCCTGAATAGGATGGCGGAATGGATGCAGGCGGCACTGGGTTTTTAAAAAGTGATGCTTGATCATGATTTGATTTACAAGCAGATCTGTCGTTCATAAAACATGTTCAAGTTAACTAGTCTCAAATACTACACTGATGCGTTTTACAAACTCTTGAACACTTACACGACTGATTTTTGATTTTGTTTAAAGGTGGATGTGTTGCTTTTTCTTGAACAAGTGGTTATAGACGATGATCGAATGGGGATTGTAATTTTTGAACCACAAAATTGTATTGTGCTTTCTGATTCTACCGCAGCACTATAGTGGGTCAAATTCAATTGATTAAATACACGTCGGGTTGCATCTTGAATGGAATTTGTCGAAACTCGAGGTAATTGTGATGAATCGTTATAAGCCGAAAACCGACACTGAGCCGTATGGGTTTGTGTAGTTTTATTAGATGGCTGAAAAGGTAATGAAGATTCTCTCTTGTTAATGGTGGTGGAAATTGAATAGCTTTTTGGGGCTGTTTTAGTTGTGCGTTTTGTAGGCTCAGGTTTAGGTAAGATATTTAAGCGCGACGATGAGGAAGCAGTGTTATGGCGAGTCGAATGTGCATGTATAGAATCATGAGTTTTTGTGGCTACGGAGTAGGCATGAATAGTAGTTGAAATGTGTCTAGTATGGCAAGAATCTAATGGCATAACAGTTGAATTGCATAAAACAGGATAATGGCGAGCAGAAGCCATTTTTAATAAATACTTTCATGAAATAGCAAAGCAAATAGTGCAAGTGTATTGATGGCATTGCATTTACCATTTATTCACGTAAAATGGAATACTTGCATTTATCTTTCAGGGACTGTCCCTATTTTGCTTTGGAATATAAAGTGGCTAAACATTCGCTGCGCTTTCCTACCAGAAATTGACTGTTTTCCAATAGACAACGTCCATCATATGATGCGCTGTGTTGTATTCTAAAATCATACACTCGCAGTTTAGTTTAAAACCCGCACGTCTCGAAAGTGTAACTGATGTTACTATTTTGATTGCCCAATCTCAACTCAATCTGTAAGAGGGTTGGAGATTGAACAAGTGTGGAATGAAACCCATTCAAGTCACGTGGATAGGGTGTAGTATAAATAAGGCGTGCTCGAATGTTTGCAATCAATTCAATAGTGTTGGTGACACGAATGAGATTGTATGATGGGTGGACATTCTCGCAACAGACCGGAACAAGCTAATAAAACAAAATACATTTCTACAACAAAGCACACAGAAACGGCATACTTGAGCAAGATTAAAAAACCAAGCAAAAGGGTTGTTATGCCAACTGTTGATAATACCAACCAAGAAAAAAGCTCAGTAGAGGACACTGCTACAGAAACCAATTCTAATATCAATGATAATGTGGCCATGTCTTGCTCCTGCTCTTACTCATCCAACCAATCAAGCAACTTATATACTGATACAAATAGTAACATTGATGCTGACTGCAACCACTCGGACTTGAATACTGGCAATTATTATACTACAGTCAACCATAGTCCAACAAATACTGTGCTGCTACATTCTCAAATACTTACGAGTTTGGCAGATGCATTTCCTGACCACACAGAATCTGCTGTTTTGGATAGCCTGCAAGTCTGTAACTGGGATGCTGATCAAGCTGCCGATCGTCTGTATGCTCTGTCACTAAACTCCACTGTCGTATCAGAAGAGCAAGCATTAGAGTTTCCATCAGAAGAGGTTCGAATGCAAGTCATTCAACCACGAAACATGCTCACTACTGCTCCATTGACTGCAAAACAACGCATGAAGTTACTTCAGAAACAGTCCAAACAAAATTCCTTGTCAGTCCCTAATCATTCTGACCAGCTCCAGCTCAGTTCTATAAACTCCATATACACAGATAAAAATCATGATCAGGATATAAAGTTGCTTGGCGAGATCTTTCCGCAAATACATTCTGATACATTGAACGATGCTTTAAATGCTCATCAAGGTGATTTGACCAATGCAGCGGCTACTCTATCCAAATGGACTCAAAAGGCTGATGGTGTTCTTGATATCAGAATGACAGAAACTTTGTTGGAAAAAATGCAGCAACTATTTCCTTTTATGCCTGCCCAACAACTTATATGTGCACTCAAAAAATGTGATGGAGATGTTACTGTTGCAGCAAATATGCTGCTCCACGAGCCAGTTTCTGTTTTATCGCCTTCTGATTCCAAATCTACAGAAAAAGACAATACCTGTTCGTATCTTAATGCAACAAAAAGCAACACTACAACAGTAACGAATCGTGTCGAGATGAACAAGAAAGAGAAGCAAAATCCTGGCACGTTGGGTTTGTTTGAAAATGGATATACCAACGCACAATCAGACAAAGGTGGCGAGTTTTCTTGGACATATATGGGCAATCAACTTTCTACTATATCAGGCAAATCACAATTAGCTACAAGCACTGGCTCTAAATTTGCGTTTTCTGGATCATCGAATGAGGAAGATCCGCATATATTGCGATCCAAAGCACAAGAGTATCTCGAGTTACGCAACACGTCTTTCCGCAAAGCCGCATCTGCCTTTATAAAAGGGAAACCCAGTGGGAAAGCTGTTGCTGCATACTATGCACAGCGAGGCCATGACCTGTCTGCCCAGATGTGGTCTTTAAATGATCAAGCAGCTCAAGCGCAACTCGATATAAACAGGTACTATATATATGGTTATTTGAATTTTTCAGTTCAAGTGTCTTATTTTTGATGAGTTTAGAACCAAAAGCAACAACGATTGCAATGTACTGGATCTACACGGACTTAGTTTGAAGGAAGCCAAGCAAGCAGCATCTGAATATGCCAACGAATGGGCATGCAATCGTAACTCGGGACGTAAACTTAAGATTGTTACTGGAGCAGGGAATCACTCGGTTGGTGGTCAAGCAAGACTTTATTCTGGTGTATGGTCGCATCTACAAAAATGTGGATGGTCAATTGAAGCAGGCGGAAACGGATGGTTTTTTGTAATGCAATAGGACTCGCAAACTTGTTGGTTTTGATAGATGGCGTAGATTTCTTGTATAATAACACTGTTTTGTATCAAACTAGTATACATACTACTGAATGAATAAAACTATTTTCCAGATGCATTTAGCTTGGAAAGCCAAAATCAATGCAGCACAAAAACACTTGATTATGCGTGAAGATGGCTGTAATTGCATTTACATAGCCAACTAGGCGATGGAAAATCTCTCCAGCCAAGCCTTTTGCTCTACAATACGATTTATATGCAACTCAGCCTTGGCCGGTTGAAAGCAACACAAGAGCGAAGACGCTCTTGTATTGAGCATTCAAGACGATCCGCCAGTTTGTAGATTTAGCAAAACACTGGGAATGCCGATGTTCCAGGAGGAGCGACCGCTACCGCTATTCAAGACTTCAGTCTCAAGTCCTTATAGTAAAAGTAACGGCTACGACACCAATTACGGCAAGCGTCACAACGGCTGGTACGAAACGGCGCTGCGGTATGTCCGCTCTATTCTTCAGAACAAGGATACTCGCAAGGTCTTCTTTTTCTTGTTGTTGAATCTTACATTCACCTTGATAGAGTTTCTTTATGGTAATCATCGTTTCTTGTGGTCATATAGATTTTGATACATTTTAGACTGGTGTGGAACTCGAGAGGGGATTGCATCCAGGCACAAGCATCATAAACCCTTTTTGGCTAATTAACGGCTTAATTCTAATTGGCGTTAAATAGGATTTATTACAAACTCTCTTGGATTAACTGCTGATGCTGTACATATGCTATTCGATTCGACCGCCATTATATGTTCATTGATTGCATCAGTTATTACCAAACGAGAGGCTACAAATCATTATACATATGGGTAACAATTCTTGATTGAAAACCAATTCGACTGCATTCAGTGTATGCAAAGCAATCTGTCAATCAAATAAGCTAGCAGCATAGAATATCAATTACTAAATATAGACCGTACTCTGATTCAACTTATGGTTTCGAAACTTACGGGTTTACTTTTTTAATCTAATTATTATGCAGATTTGGCCGAGTAGAGACCATGACTGGATTCGTCAATGCTCTCTTGCTTGTATTTGCATCATTCCATATAATCTGGGAAGCTATCGAGAGATTTTATCAGCCAGAGATTAAGGAGGCCCAGTCGTTGCTTGTGGTGTCGATTTTAGGATTTTTGGTCAATCTAGTTGGCATCTTTGCATTTGATCACGGAGGTGTCCTGGGAAGTCATCATGGACATGATCATGGTGGTTGTGGACATGGACACGATCATGGTCATTCACATGGACACGATCATGGACATGATCATGGTCATTCGCACGGACACGATCATGGATTTAATCCTTTAATGCATGGTACATTATTCGTTGGCATATGATTCTATTTTCACATTGTCTAATCAGTCATGCTGCATCGACATTCTAGGCATGTTTTTGCATGTGCTTTCAGATACTCTTGGATCAGTTGGCGTCATTGTGTCTACTCTTTTGATCTTGATGTTTGGTAAGTCTAGATCATATCAGTGCTTTCATTTCAGATTCCGCATGGTTAAAAAATGTTACTAAGCTGAGTTGTACTCTACATGAATATAGGCTGGACATGGACAGACCCCCTTTGCTCCATCTTTATTGCTATCCTGACAATATTTACCACCTGGCCGTTGTTGAAATCAGCCGGAAACACGCTACTTCAACGTATACCGCCTCATATCGACTTGCTTTTATCAGAGGCTGAATCTCGCATTCTCTCCATTCCGGGTGTTGCCTCGACATCTCCTCCCCATTTGTGGGAACTCAATCAAGGCAACATTGTTTCTTCGATTAAAGTCATGGCGCGTCCTGGTGCGGATGAAGGGAAAATACGGCTAGAAGTTGCAGCGGTGCACAAGGAACTGTTTGGAGTGAGAAACTGTACTATTCAGGTGGATAAAGATGTCATGGCTTCGTATTGATTACATGCTACGACCGAGTCTTTTGGTTAGACTCAAACTTTGAATCAATCGGAATTTAACTAATACACTAATAAGGGGTTTTACTGGCACATCATCACCTTTTTTCAAATGTACGTCCTATAAACAACTTCAAATTTTGATGCAGCGGATTTATTAGTTCTATGCACATGATAAAGTATACGGTTGGAAGAGTTTAGAATTTCATCTAGGATGTGGACTAAAACCGTTTAGAAAACTCTTGGTATTGATGCATCATTTCTACAGAAAGAGTCGGCAAGACATTCTTCATAGCCTTTAGAAAATGGTCCAAACACTACCATCAAATAATAATTCACATACATCTGATATTAGCCATTCATCCATTTTCATACTAAACATTGAGTGATTTACCAATTCAGACTGGCTTGATCTGATTGCGCACAATGCAGCTTCTCTACACAGACTTTTTAAATCTGCTCCAGTGTACATCTCACACTGGCTAGCAACATCCTCTAAATTCAACTTGGGGCAAAGAAGCATCCCTGTGGTATAGATCTCAAGAATACGTTGGCGAGCTAGAGTATCTGACGGAGGAGGCACGTATACGACCCGATCAAACCGTCCCGGTCTTAATAATGCTTCGTCAATCAAATCAGGTCGATTGGTTGCAGCCTATTTCAAAATTATCAAACTGTATGAATACCAGCAGTAATAACGAGAATCAATCAGTGGACTTACAAGAACTAGTACACCTGCTGCGGATTCGATGCCATCCATTTCGTTTAGCAGTGAAGACAGAATACGCTCTTGAACTGCATCTCCAGTACCTTCTGTGCCCATACTTCTTTTCCCAATAATTGTATCCACCTCATCAATAAATACAACTGCAGGTGATGCTGATCGTGCACGTTGAAAAAGCGATCGGACTATGACACAAAAAACAGTAATGAGATACAGCACATTCGTTACAAGTGTCGATTATGATTGAATCTGCATAAAAACCAAAGACTTGCCTATTCGTTCAGAGTCACCGAGGTAGGCAGAATACAAACTGGCTGTATTGAGAGTGAAAAACGATGCATTGGAAGTGGATGCAACAGTCTAGATTATCCCAGATTTATCAACCAACAGACACGGGTAAATCAAAATGTACAAATTCTAATGGTGTACATGTTTGAAAAGACACATACCCTGACAAGTGTGGTTTTGCTACATCCTGGTGGTCCATACATAAGAATCCCTCTACATGCACGAAGACCTAGTCGTTTAAAAGTATCCTTGTACAAAATCGGCCATTCAATTGCCTGTCGCAAAACAAGTTTGACACTTTCTAGTCCGCCAATAGCGTCCCATCTAGTCGATTCAATAACAGGTCGTGTTCCGCGCAAAACACTTGCTCCAGGTAATTTCTTTAATGCAATATCAAAATGATCCTGGGTAGTAACAATAGATGATGACAAAGCTGATAGTAATGCTGCTTCACGACATAGTGCAGCAAGATCGGCACCAACATAGCCAATGGTTGTAACAGAAAGGCGGAAAAGATCTACTGTTGGGGATAGTTTTAGCTTTTTTGTAAGTTCACGCAGTATTTCCAATCGTTGACTTTCGCTTGGAAAATTCATTACAATTTCGCGATCAAATCTAAAAGTTTGTAGCCAGTTTAAATCATAAATTGTTGGAGCATGAACGGATAACCATGGATTTGAAAGCATACACGTATCAATTCTGAGGTGTTACCTTCCTGGTCGACGCAATGCCGGGTCGAGAGCGCTTGATCGATTGGTTGCAGCAACAATAAACACCCTGCCTCGACCCATCATCCCATCCATCAAGGTTAAAAACTGGGCTACCATGGTTGTGCTGCCAGAACTATTTCCCTCTCGTCTAGGTGCCAATACATCCTACAGTCGTGAAAAACAATGAAACACCATTGATCACAATCAAAATAATCCATTTAATTGCACAGTTGTAGATCAGTAATAATCATTTGAAATTAAACGAGCCAATGCAGTATGTTACTTACAATCTCATCAATAAAAAGTATCACTGGATCATTGGGAAATTGCACGGTGGCTTTACGAGCCTCATCAAACCTTTGACGTAATCGCTCCTCGCTTTCTCCAATTCCACCTCCAAATACATCCGACGCATTGATCACAAACTATCAGTAGATATTGCATGAATTATGTTTAGAATTGTAATCGACTATATGTAGGTTTGGTTACATTTGCTACAATTTAAAAGCATCAGAAAATTGTAAACTTGTAAAATATTACCAGTTTGGCCTGACATGCCTCGGCTACAGATGAGACTACGCTGGTTTTTCCCACACCTGGAGGACCACTTAAAAGTACAGCTACAAAATGCCAAGTCAACACATGCAATTTAAACCAGCATTATAATACATGCACGTAAAACGAATATCTTCACCTTTGGGAACATCAATATTTAGCCTGGATAAAGTTTTTGCATAACGGAGCGGATATGTTACCAACTGAAGTAAAGACTTGTATACATGGTCAGATCCAGTTGAAATCTTTGATTGAGGCTGGATTGGCTTGTTTTCCACCGCCATTTTATCTTGATTCGCATCCAATTTTGATGGTGTGTATATATCCACATTAGTGTTTTTATGCACAATGACATCTGTGTCAATATCGCCATCCAGCGTCTCGGTAAGATGAATCTGTCCAACCAAAAATAATTGTAAGCAAAATCACAATACTAATCAACTAGTGCACACAAAAATGAAAAGATAAAGCACCTTGACTTTATAATTTCCATTAAATATGGTATCGTCGATTGTACATCCAGCCGAAACAACTGTATCAACAAGTATTCTCAGCACAACCTAAATTGAAATTTAAATATAAAATTGAGTTTCCATGTATTTTAAATAAGCGATATAGTTTTATACATACATTTGGTGTGATAGATACTGGCGTATCTTGTTTACAAAAGGATATTTGCTTTAGATGAACAATTTCGATTACCAACCGCAAAGCTCGAGAAAGTTTTGAAACGGAAAGTGTTTTCATTAACGCAACTATAACAGAAAATCCTATTAAACTCATGAACATTCAATATTAAAATGCATAATAGATCAATAAAAATCAAACATACCTGGATACAATGAATCAACCAAATCTTGTTTCTGTTCCCACATTGATATTTCATGACTAGTTGGTGCACGGGATATATTTGTACTAATAGTTGTAAACTGAGGCGAATTAGTCAATGATTCTGATTGAAATTCCGATGCGTTCAAGCCATTAGAGCAAGCCCGAGTCTTTCCATAATACACCTACAAAAATACAACTTAAATTCAGCACCAAGCCATTCCAATACAAATTATATCAATTACAAATTCCAATCGATTGCTTACACGATCCAATGTAATGGCGATACACCACTGACCAAAATGATCTTTGCCCAGCTTCTGAGCAAGTGGAAGACTCACACGGATGCAAGGAGAAAGTGTGATTGATTTTGAATGAATATACAGCCAATGCTGTTGTTTCTGTGCAGGCGGATTAGGTTTGGATCTGGCCTTTACATCGCTTTTTTGATTCTTGGATTTCTGATGTTTTGGTTTTGGCATTTTCAAGTGCAACTTGGCCACGAAAATTCGTCAAATAAAACCCACAATCCACGTGACTGTTTGAATTTGGCCAAATTTCAAACCCAACCAAAAACTGAATACAATTCAGTTTTGATCGAATACAAAACAATTGTCACTGCATTCATGACTGATTGCTCTAGTCCAACCAACCAGCTATCGGAAGATGAAGATGGAAATAATTTAAATGAAATCGCTAATACTTATCTTCCCTTTGTAGAATTTAATGCAAAAAAACACCTTGACCACTATGCAGACCATAGATTCCCTCGAGGCACCTACGCTTGGGACTATCTCGGACCTCCATCAGGATTAGTCCCGTCCAATATCCCTAAATCTACTAAAAACTCATTTACTGATGCCAACGAATTGAGTTCCAATAACAGTCTTGAGGGTAGGTTTGACACGGATGACTGCGGATCCAGCTCTAACTCGTCTGTAACAGAATCTGAATCTGAACTTGATACATCGTCGAGCTACAAGTCAAAGAATCGTAAAACCAATACAAGGCATGGCAAAGCTGCTACTTCTTCGAAAGAGATCATAGGTACTCCCACTCCATCTTTACCTGAAACTGAAGATTCCACTGTCAATTCAGAATCACTAGGCTATCAGACTCAAGAACCTGAAGATCTATCTGATCAGTCGCAAAATTTGAATCCATTGCAGCAGGATACGAAATTACGAAAAACGCAATTACATGATCAGGAATCAGAAGCAAGCATACAATCGTCTCGCTCTGCCCAGAGCACTCTACCATTTCATACAGCACGAGCCAAACTATCTCATGCAGAACGTAGAAAGATATTGATGTATTTGAGATCGAAGCAATCAAAACGTCTGGATAAATATCGGCGCGACGGGGTACTAAAGCTTGAATGGGTTAAAAGACTTAAAGCGTGGAAATGTGGGAGAGATACAGCTTGGGATATTCAAAACTATCGATCAGCAGTTGTAGATGTTATATGTACCCAACGCGCCGATACTCTTAGAATGAGTGTTGCAAACGATAATGGTTCCGAAGCAAAGCAAATACATAGGTCTAGTTTGCATTTATACTTATGCGTGTGTAAAGATATGTTGGTTGTAACTGCACCTGGCTAACGAATATAAAACTGACTATAGAAGAAACCCCGGGTTTTTTTCAATGGGAAGCTGGCCTGTATATTACTCACAAGCATTCAAGTAATGTAGTTTTATTATCGAGACTACACTTTGTAGATCCAGACACTCAACTAACGCATAATATTTTATTCATGTGACTATTTTGTATATTGGTGATGCGTTCTGTTGGATCTAGTCCTATCTATGGATACTGTTCACTCAAAACAACCACATCTGCATCCGAAGCTTACGAAGCATCATTAAGTGTTCCTGAAGGGCTTGAGCATATGGCTCCGCGACCGAGTTTTGTTAAAAAGGACCCGAAAGCAAAAATCTGGTTAAAAGAAAGTTTTTTGGAGCAGTACGCAATTATAGCACAAGCCGAGGAAAGGTTTCGTTCCCAGTCTGAAAAATCGAATGGATTGGGTACGAGTGATGAATCCATTCACGACGAAGATTTGAATTCGGACAATTGCCCATGGAGATACGGACTAACGTAGGCATTGATCTAGCAATTGTATTTTTATTTAACTGTATTTACACTAAATCTCAATCTATATTATGCAACAGTGACGATGCAGATCGAATCGTAGATGATGCGATTAAACACTTTTACAAGATATTGGAAACCATGGACTACGCTCTGACAAATCTTTGGTAAGCATGATTTGTATTTTCAAATAGTCTGATGGCATTTACACTAATTATATGATGCAATGTAGGACGAGAAATAGAAAACGACATGTCCGGCATGATTCAATTTTGTCCATGGCATATATGATAGGAATGCCGGAAAAGTAAGTAAACCAATATAGATGACATCATGCAGCAACCTCGGATGCCGTATCAAAGTATAATCTAAACATTTCCCAACTGAATAGTGTGATTTCAAATGCGAGAAAAAGAGTCGAAAGAGTAGTACTTTTTAAAAGGCCACACCCAATTCCTGAAACGGTGGGTGTTAGAAGGACGAAGCGAAAAGACCTGCCCAAAACCCCCAAAAAAAAATCTCGGCGTTCAGTAGTAGCTAACGATGAGACTGGTGACAATTAGTATTGCGAACAAAGGTTTAAGAAAAGATCACTTGTAGATTGCCAAGGCCAAGTTACATGACAAAAACATGTGGAGGACTGTTGTGGATAATAAAGTTGCAATTCGTCTAAACATGGCAGGATTATGCAAATTGACCACTAAAATAAAAAATAAGAACTGCAAGCAAAACTGAGTTTACAGCCGTGCTCGTAAAATAAGTCACTTGCGTTCATCTTGCGGTGATTGCTTCTATTCTGCTTTGGAATAAACAATGGCTGAATATTCCTTTTACTGAAAATTGACTACCTCAATACACAACGTCCATCATATGATGCACACAAGCTATAGTTTTGAACTGATTATTTTTTGGCATAGCCATGCATTGCACAATTACCCGACCCATATATTAAGCTTGGCCTCGAGTGTTTTCAACAAAACTCGGCAAACTTGTTGCATATTCCAAACCCCAACAGATACGCTTTCATTCAAGAGAACGGACTGTATGTCTTGTGAATGCAACTGCCGCCTGCATACCAATCAATCAATGATGTAATGTTTATAAAAGTGGGAAATTGAACAAGTCACGGATGTACTGGGACTTGTAAATGCTGCTTTGAAAATTTGTTTTTTACAAAATCAAGCACAAGAAAAAATCAATGAATTTACAAGAATTGTCCAGTAAATTTACTGGAAATTGGCATCAATCATTTCATGACTGGCTGTTTATTAGACACCCTTATTTAGTGCTCTGTTTTACGTGAATACAGCCATAACTTGAATTCATTGCATAGTTCTGCTTTGACAATAAAACAACAAGGCAGCAATATCCACCCACTGTTGTACTCCTTGCCAGTGTGTCAGAATAACAAGGATTGTTAAAGTGCATTGCTTGGGCTCGGCCATTACGTGTGGGTTATCTAATCAATCATTTATTGGCAAGGCACTGACTCTACTATCAAGAGACCAAAGTGTAACTATTACCGACTGCATTGACCTCTCATGGACCAGCAACCTCTCTCTCAGTCTGAAAATGACGCTGATACTCACCAACAGTCACCGACTAATTTGAATTCAACCAGACAGCAGTCACAGTCGCCCACCACTGCAGATATTATTGCGACTCCACAGCACCCCGTTACTACTATGCCTAGTCGAGAACACCACACACCTCATAATTTGCCAATGCAGACACCTCCATTACGACCACTAAGGCTACAGCATTTTCATGGCTCAGCTCGCCAGCCTCCTTCCATATCTACTTCCAATACTGGAGTCGCAAACACTAGTACTGTTGCTGGATCAACTGTACAGAAGCAATATAGTGTAAATGTTCAGCATCCAGAAGTTACAGATGACGATGAAGATGACCACAGAGTGGTAGAGGTATGAACATGCACTACAAGATCTAGTCATTGATTATCATCATGAAATACTTTTAATCTAACCTTGCTGAATGTAATCAACACCTTGCATGCACGTTGTCTATGCAATGATAAAAATTCTTTATTGGATTTTGATCCGCCCTGCTTTCAAGTCTGATCCCACTGGAAGATTCGAAAGATATTCACACTGTCTGGGAAAAGGAGCATACAAGGAAGTGTTCAAGGCATTCGACCAAGAAGAAGGAGTAGAGGTTGCATGGAACCAACTACGTCTGGACCACCTTTCCAAAAAAGATGCACAACGCGTGTTGTTTGAAATTCAGTTGTTGGAGGGATTGCGTAATGACAATATTATCAATTTATTTTATTCTTGGGTCGCACAAACTCCCAACGGATCAGACGGCATCTATTTCATTACGGAGCTCATGACTTCGGGAACCCTCAAATCATATTCAAAAAAGACCAAAGGGCAAATCAAACCTAAAATCTTGCGAAATTGGGCTAAACAGATTTTATCAGGGTTGGTGTATCTACATACCAGAGACCCACCCATTATTCATCGAGATCTAAAGTCAGAGAATATATTTATTAACGGGAACAATGGACAGGCCAAGATTGGAGATCTAGGACTAGCAGCAGTAAAGCGGCGAGAACACCTGTCTTCAGTTCTTGGGTAAATAGTAAAACTCTGATGGTATATAACTAGACAAGCTAGAGAATATATGCTAACATTTATCCATTAATCTTATTGAACTATGAATTATGCGCTGCTTTGGGTTCATGTTCCTCGTTTGATGTGCAAATTTCATTTTTTTTACCATTGAATCACGGGAAAAATGTCCGCTTTTGATTGGCCCAACTCGTTCTTTATTTGTTGGTCGTAAACTCCGCTTTGAAATCTTTAATTCTTGCGCTGTTTACTAGAACTCCTGAATTTATGGCCCCGGAATTGTATGACGAGAAATATGACGAGCGTGTCGATGTGTATGCCTTTGGCATGGTAAGTAGCAGCATTGCCATTATATTTGATTGTGACGAATCTAACCATTGTATTCTTGTGTTGGACAGGTTCTGCTTGAAATTGTCACAAAAGAATATCCTTATTCTGAATGCTCAAATCAAGCTCAGATCTATCGCAAGGTTTCTACAGGAATTAAACCTGCTGCATTGGCCAAAGTCACAGATGACGAAACCAGAAAGTTTATTGCAATATGCATTGAATCGAATCCTGTATTACGACCTATGGCTGCCGATTTATTGCTACATCCATTTATTACAAGTGATTTAGGAATGAGCACAAGTGCCTTGGATAATGGTCCGAGTGATACTAATGTTTCTAGAGTTGGCAGCGACTCTACTTTTGCACCAGCAACCATCCCCAATGTCCAATCGATTACCGATTCATCTTTCGCGCTATCAGACAGGCGGACTCTTTCTCCTGCAAGTGATAATATGCGATCATCAGTTGGTCAGTCTGCTTCCCCTATATCCACCACATGCAGTATGACATTTACTCGCACTACTGCTGCGCCTGCATCTCCTAACATTGTATGGGAGCCATCACCTGTTTCGTCAACTTCAGGCGTGGCCACTGCTAGCAATGGTGCTGCCTTTACTAACACAACTGTCTCGGGAAGTTCAAATGGAAGTAGCGGTAGCTACAGCAGCAATGCGCTGGGTCTTTGTGGTATATATTCCCACTCTACAACTCTTAAACTGTCAAATGATTCAGACAGTTCGGGAGAATGCGGATCTGCTACACAATCTACTCAGAAAATTCTACCCGACGTATTTACGACTGAGGAGCTTGCAACTACTCCATTTTCTGTGTTGCAAACTCCACAACAATCATTGCAGCAGTATTCGCAACAGCAACAGCAGCTACAACAACAGCTAAAGCTGTCCTACCAACAACCACCGCAAACCACTCTTTCACGTATATGCTCTGTAGATATAATTGACTTTGCCGATGACGACATTATCAATATCAAAATGGCATATCGTAGTTTGGCAACCGCTGACACTTCGGATATCAAATTTCCTTTTCACCTGGGTGAGGATACTGTTACCGATGTGGTTGCTGAAATGGTTCGCGAGGAGTTGATTGGTGCTGCTGATGAACAAGAAGCTCGCAGACGCATTGAAGAGGTTGTGAGGAGTGTTCTTAGAGGTCAAAGGGTCGGAGGATTTTTGAGCACGGGCATGTTTGGCACTGTTTTATCGCCAAAATCTGGCACATTGGGATTGAATACCGACACCGTTTTAGACACTCCGGCACCCCTCTCTCATCAGACATCCAGTGCTACTATAACCGCCTTGTCTGTTCAAAGAGAACGCCATGCCACGGCTACATCGACTACCTCTGCTCATACAACAGCAAGTACAAATAGTTCAGATGTTTCTGCAACTCCGGTCATCACCTTGTCTGTTGCCAAAAGTAACTCCGACTCGAGTACTTGTATGCAAGAATCCATCAAACCTGAACCTGTAACTGACTGCATTGATTTTATTACTACCCCCACACCGGCCTCTAGCATCTACACGACCCGGTCAATGGATCAATCGTCTGCACTTAAAACAGCATATACCACCGTCACATCCAGTATAGACGCGAATGGTTTTATTGTTTCTGCTCATGACTGGCCTGCACCTGTTCCCATTACCCCCACTCATCCATCCACTTCTGCATTGACTCAATTTACACATACTTCTTTGATCTCAACCGTGCCTGCGTCTGTATCTATGGCCAGTCTGGTCAACCCAGTACTTACTACCACTTCTGGTTGCACTGTATCTTCAACTTTGAGCGATTCGCGATCATCACAAACATCACCCATAATAAGAACACCCTATAATGAAAGTAGGACTACTTTAGGAGAGAATTCTGGATTGTATATACCCACCCAAACCATGTTTCAAACAATCTCTACTAGTCATTCACCAAGTATTTTTCCTACAACCGATGTCAAGGATACGTTGTCTGAGGCTTCTAATCTGACTCTACCACCTTGGGGTGATCGTGCTGGTATATCGACTTCAGCTTCACAATCCCCTGCACATACTTGTTCAGCATCAGTGTCCTTGACTACTTTTGCTCAACCGGGTACACTTGCATCACAGAATGTATCTACTGCTTCATCTGTGGCATCATCCAACGCAATGAGCATTTTGACGGATTCGACTACCGCCTCTGTACCTGCTTCTTTAACCATACACTTGCCTAATCAAACTGTAGGTCGAACGACATCTCCCATCTGTCTGTCTGCCAATGCTTCGACAGGAAAAATAGAAGATCGGCTACGCCAATTGCAGGAGTTGAATTTGATTGATTTTCGAAATAAGCTTGGCGGAAATACTAATCTCTTGGCGACTGGGAGCGGACAGCCTGCAAGTGTTGCATATCTGGCTTCACATGCTGCCACCCTACATCAACAGCAAAGTTTACCAAGTGGGCTATCAATCAATGCCATACGAACTGCAAGTGCAAGCTACGACAGCAGTTTTTTTAAAAATACTGTGCATTTATCTCAGTTGAACTTACCTTGCACTGCCAACACTCAGGCGCATAATATAAATACGGGCATTGGCTGCTCTGTTTCGTCCGCTGAAAGGTCTGAACTACCTTCTGTTGCATCGGCGTTTCCTCCTCCACCCGTCTCGGCTCGCACACATGCTGTGGGATTTGATGGTTTGCAGCGACCAGTCATTACCATGGGGCGTATGGCTGCTGCATCAGATCTTTCTGGTATAGCTACAACAACTGCAAATGGAAATATTATAAGCTCATCTACTCCATCGAGTGTGCCTAATAATGAATCTGCGTTTTTCACTACACCTCCTGCTAGTGCAGAATTGGACCCCTGCGTCGCCATCGCTGAATTTTCAAAATTAGTAGATATTGAAATGGACACTAGGATAAATATGACTGAACTGTCACGTTCTCCACCATTAGCTCCTATAAATGGTGGGGTAATAGCTAGCAATAGTTGTATTAATCTACGCTTGTAAAAATATATTTAATTTCTATAAACTCTTCTGGACTGTGATTGACAGAGTATGACTTGGATTCATGACTAATTTAAAACCTAAAGTTTAAATCCACCTCACTGGTTGATTCAATCTCCTAACCACGTATAACCCATCACCAAAGTTTATGTTTATTGGTGATGGTTTATATGGATAAATTAACTATGCACACATGACTATAAATAAATATGTTGGGTAGTTACGTTGTAGCTACTGGCATCCATCGAATTGTATGGCATATTTTGTATTTTTGGTTGGATGCTATTGAATCAACGACAACCCTCTACTTGAACCCAATACAAAATTAGCCAGCGCATCGGCAAACAAGACATACATGAAACGTGTATTCAAAATGATACCATTTATACGTCATGTGTTGAATTAAACTTGATTGTATAACCCAAAAAAAAGTCAAAACCCTGTCCAAGCAATATTGAATGTTAATAAAAATAATAATTTATTCGGGTATTACAACCAGAAATATGATCTAGCAAGATTCGAGTAAAGTACTGGGATGCTGACCATGGGCTGCTGGGACTGCCTAGATATGAAAAATTGGAATGGTGTTAGGTGAATGATTTGCTTTAATTGATAATATAATTTCATGAATACCTTGAGCATGTCAAATACACGGCTTAGATCAGAATGGGTACCATCATCGTCATTGGATTGATCATTAATATGCCAAAGTTTGGCTTTATGGGTAGGATTCCCGAGCGCGGCTTTATTGCCTTGATTCCAGAGCGCAGCTTTATTGCCTTGATTCCATAGTGCGGCTTTATTGCCTTGATTCCAAGGTGTAGCTCTAGATCTGGACATGATATTAATCCTCAAGTTCAATACTGGACTTGCATTCGTATTGGAATGTACATTCCGACCTATACCGTGATGTCCAAATGCTTTAAAAGGATGTTTCGAATCTAAACACAATCCAACATTCAATGAATCCAGTTTAGCCACAACATTTCAAACCAATCTATAAACCCATCCAACGACATATTGATTCAAACAGCACTCATCAACTTACTGAGAATGCGTCGATGCCATTCATTGGATTGATGCTGCATGGTAAGCTGATGTAATTTCGAGTTTAATCGGTGTCTTAATGACGACAGGTATTCAAGATTCAATTTTCTATAAGTTTTAGTTAGTTGTTGCATTTGGTTGTCTAGATCGTTGAGTGAACGAGTTTGCTGATTAGAGGGTTTTGAAACGGATGGCATAGCTAGTGTTCCTATGGTGATGCTACCCTATAAAATCAAAGTGTGAGTTTCTTTTATACTGATGCTTAAAAAATCAACCTTGCAATGCAGCGTTTACTAACTATTTGAACGTTTCCAGTTGATTGATTGATATGCTTGTTTTTTTCGACATGTTGAACGGACCAATATTTAGGTCGAGTATCTTCAAGACCAATATTGGGTAAATGAGAGCTAGAAGGTGACCAGGACCGTTTCACAAGATTAGATTCACCCGGATTGGTATCGATATTTCGCATCAAAGCAAGTTGATTTGCGGGTTTTTCCTGAGTTTTGGATTCGATAGCAGGTGGGTTACTTGTTTTTGAAGCATTATCAGTTGAATCTGTAGCTTGATGTTGCATGCGTTGTTTAACCCAACCACTCAACATCACGGCAGCCACAACAATATACGCAACGAGAAGCATAGCAGTTATGGCAGTAAATATCTTGCATAGTTTGGAAGACATGATTTTTTCTGTATAAGCGGAATCACTTAGTACATCAAGTTGTGGGATCTGGATTTTCAAGTCGGGTGAAGGGGTTTTACTAGATGCCTCGGGACATGTTTTTTCCGTGATCACATCCTTGACTGGATCATCGTTTTTGCATTCGGGAGAGATACTCATTATAATTTAAGTAGATGCTTACTGCTGTAGTGGAAAGTATGCAACACGGGAACAGTCGCGCATTTATACTATGCAAGTGGCACAATAGCACAAGGAGGTTGATAGATCAAACGAACACGTATTGGTTACAATGAATGGCAAAGCCAAATACAAGTCAATCTATTTGATGTGAAACTCGAGTAGGCAACAGCCTACTCAGCTACTTGTGTCGGATAATTGCTAACGGATAAAACACTGAATTATCAAATGATCGATACTACAAGATTCACACAAGGAGCAAAATCGTCGAGCGTTTTTATTGACATGGCTATATATGAGCTCAGTATGGATCCTCTATGATTTCTATCCTGCAAGGATTGGGTGTCTACCATTCAACTATAAGCCCACCCCTTCTTGTTCAATCAACTCATCGTATGGATTACAAACATCTACAGCCCAAAGTGCCCTATGACTCAACTTTTTACAGACATGCACAAACTCGACTAGTTGAGCTAAGCCTATCTGTGACATTTTCTGGTACTAACAGGCATGAATACAGTTTTGCATTCATATCACAAAAGGGCAATCTTTGCTAGAACCACTTATATTGCAGATTAGAAGACGCAATGGGGCACCAAGCCATTTATGGGAGTCGCGTTTATCAGTCAAAACCAAGCTCATAAAGCCTAGAGGCACTTGAGATGAAGAAGCTGGTTTGAAACCAAGAAACCAAAAACACATTTAAAACTGCAAGTGAATGATATATTAGATTACCAAGTCTGCAAACAACGCAAACCATCTTGAGATTCCCGGTTAAGAAGAGGAACAACAACCATTTCTGTCCATGATTTCCATAGTGCATGAACCCTTTGCTTTGATGTATTCGATAGCACGATACAAAATATAGCATCATATCCTCCAGCTGAAAAGATATAAAATGTCAGGATATCATGATTATATCATGCAATGAATCACATCAAGCAATCGTTACCTCCTGGAACACCGCACATCAAAACACCTGGGATTTCCATGCATGCATCCAACAATTTAGTTTGTTCAGGGGGTTCAATAGGAGCACCAGACAAACTGGACATATTGCAAAGGCAACCTCGAATTTCCTAAAATCAGAAAATGGAAATTCAGATAGAATCAATCCAACCAAATGGTAATATAAAAGGCTAATACTGCATGGTTTACCTGGTAAAGAGCACTGATACGCTCAAGTTTCTGCACAATCGGGTAATGATCGAGTGATTCAGATTCCAACAGCGTATGCCAGGATGCAGCAGTAGTGGTTGCACACAGATCGATGGCTTTTTGGTATTTCCCGGCATTTGCAGTCGAGGACACACTACACAAATCCTCGAGTATAGTTTGAATGGATTTGTTCAACTCATCAATCTTGATCCACAATGACTCGGCTATCATCACAAGTAAATTGTCAAAATGATTCAATAAAGTTTAAATGCTCAACACACCATCTGAAGATACGATCACATACCCTCAAGTGGACACCTTTTTTGCCAAGCCAGCACGGTTGATACCAGTTTGGGAGTGTTACTACCAGCAGCCACATCTCCTAGCATGAGCTGCATTCCAGGTGGGAGTTGGAATGGAGTGTTGACCCAATCCCATCTACAGCCATGTATTAGTCACCAAACCATCAGCAATAGATTTATACATGGATTATATCAGGATTACTTTTTGGTGACGACATGATAGACTTGATGAGCCAGTTCAGTTTGTAGTGCACTTGCATCAGTTTCATGATTGCTATGACTGCTGGCAAGAGCCTCTACAGCACGAAATACGGGATCCAAGATCTGTGGAGAGAATCGTCGGTATCTATGAGTTCCAACTACAGCTGCACTCACATCAAACCCACTGCCAATCTTTCCTTGAGCAACACAGTGAGCAGTCTGTGCAAGGTTATACAGTATTTCCAAAGAAGCAGTATCATTCTCACAACGAACAGTCATATCAGTCGATAGATTCACTACACCATAATGAGCCAACAGACTGGCAATAACAGATGTAGTCATGGCTGCTGATGAACCCAAGCCAGTCTTACGGACTTGTGCAATCGTTCCATGCGTGGAATTAAACTCTGGTAATTGACCCAATCCTGTCGCTGTTAATTCTAATCCAAGTCGATTCAACTAAATGACATATCAATCAATTCATACTAGTATCGACCATCTTCTACTGCCTTGAATATTGGTTATATTCAATCCAAGCATCAACTTACATCTGCAGACTGCGAATAAAAGTCGTTATCAGCCAACACTGTCATTTGGATTCCCTTTCCAACCAGTTGTGCAAGATTGGCCAGTTTATGGTGCAGCACATAAAATGAAAATGAAAGTGCTGTTTCCAAGAATGGATTGAACGGAGTAGATGATGTTGCAGTAATTCTTGGTACTCCCATTTGGTGTTGATCATCATGACAAGTTGGATCATGAAACTGAATCATGTATTCCCAAAACCCATCAGTAAACTGCGGTGATACCACTTGGATGATTGAAGTAACATCAGATGAGTCTTGCTGTTGATGAATTGACTTGATGGTTGTATGAAATCGAGCATCCATGGCTACTACCAATCCTTGAAACCTGCGATCTAGAACCAGATAACCACCCGTCAGCAAGACTTTTCCTGGTGCAGTAACTGTAGTGGAATCAGCAACACTAGCATATATCAATCTGTCAATAACAAGCTATCCAGTTTATGATGAAATCATCTAGATTCATTCAAATGTCTGCATTGTTCATAAACCGACTTACCGCATCTCAGACATGTTCAAATCTGAGGGTAAACTCGGTCCATTTGGTTTAATCTGATCAACCATTCTTGGATATGAAATTGTTGATACAGTTTCATGTCAACGTTTGTACGCTGATGTGTACTTTAAACGGATTTAAAACAAACTTGAATTCAGATGGGTTACATGCTACTCTCGAGTGTAGACCAGCATACCGACTTGTGTAATGCGATCCTAGCGATACCTAAAAATGAATCAATTGCTGGTCTGTTTAAAACCAACACGCTATAATCATGGCTCAAGAATAAAAACTATTCATACGATCAAAGACTATCATTTATTATGAAAATTACGTAAAACCAAAGTGATGCAAACATAGAAGCAATTGAAAAGATTGAATAACTGTATCTAAGCCTAAAAACCCAATAAATAACCAGAGAAACATGCAGAATACATAGATGGATTTATAAAACCACGCAACTAGTCAACAGTGGCAACCACGTTGATTCTTACGGTACGCTTTACTTTACGCCATTTACAATTTTTATAGTCTAGAATAATCCACATGCTCTCACGCTTGCGCACACCAGTCGGGTCATCATAAACATGCTCATTGAGTTTAATTTCCCTGATGGTGTCATTCGTACTAAGGTAGCGGCCAAGTAGAAAGTCTTGGATTAGATTGGAATCTTCGGGTGAAAGGTCCGTAGATCCGCATATGACATCTTCAAATGCAATCTTGGGGGTATTGAAGGATGGCTGATTTTGAATAGGGTCGGGAGCAGGTGCAGGTGCAGGAACAGATGGCGGATCAATCAGAGGTAATGATTGACTCTGTTTAGGAGACTGAGAGAATTGTCCCAGTGAGATTGTACCACGTTTTTTGATGCCAGCAGCAGCATTAAATAAATCTTCATCATTGTCTGACGCAACATCCGTGGAACCAAGACAAATAGGTTTATCGACGGAATCTTCAGAAGCCGATACCTTGAGTTTACGCTCAGTCTTGTCCTTGAACTCGAGTTTTGCTTTTCTTTCTTCATCCAGCTTGGCTCTTTTCATGCGACGTTCATTCTGTGTAAGCTCTTTAGCCTCACGTCTAGCCTGCGCTGCCTTGTCTCGTTCGCGTGCTTTACGCATTTTTTCGGCTTGAGCATCTACAAAAACATTTGCATTATAATCATTAGTATTTTGTCAGAATAGAGACATGACAGTAGTAGATTTACCATCTTCAATCTTTTTTTGAGCCTCCGTTTTAATCTTTTCGATATCTACAGCCTGCTCAATATCAATCATTTTGATTTTGGATTCCTTTTGAAATCCTTTTGCTCTTACAGGAGTAATGGCACCAGGTGAAGATGCATGCGGTGAACCAGTAGAACTCGTGCTGAATGAAAATCCATGACTAAAACCTGAATGAGTAAACAAACGAGTACAATGTTTTAATAAACTACAGACATGCTATTTAGAAAGGATAGTCGGGTACTTACGCCGAGTATTTGTGGCAAGTCTTTGGGCAGGACGTAAAAAGGCACTATTAGAGTTGGGTCGTTTGCGAATTCCCAGCGGGGTTGAAGCGAGTGGAGATTTACCCGAGCTTGAACGATTATGCGACATGGAAGTATCGACTTGGGTCAAGTCAATACCATATTCAGCAATACGCTCATGAAGGGGTCTAATTGCATATTCTGGTTTGAAAGTAAACACCTCATTAGAGGCGAGTGTGGAAGTAGATGTAGGAGAAATAGGTGTGCTGGAAATGGCAGATGCTGGACGAGAGAATGGTAATGCAGAGTGTTTGCGTGCTATATGACTAATAAAGACGAGCACTTTAGGAAATAACTGAATGGTAGATAATTTCTGACGTAGTGGATATAAACCAGAAGACAGTTCAGGAATTTGAAGAACGCAGGTGGAATTGATGTAACCGTTTGAAACCCATGTACTGAGCATATCTCCAACAAGACGCACATACGGGTGAGGGTCAGCACGTCCAAGCTCAATGAGCTTGTCTGCCGGTAGTTTCAAATCCGCAGGAAACCGTTTACGGGGAGAAGATAAAAGACCCAAAAGAAAGCCAGCACGCAATATAGGAGCGTCAGACAGGACATGCCATTTTGTAAGAATAAAAACCAGTATATCGGCAGTGAGATGGATAGCGAGATGATCGTAAATGTGCCAAGGAACAACTAATGCTCTAGTGGTGAAAAAAGAAAACACTCGTTCAAGTTCTACCGGATCTATGGACGAAGCAGTGGGCTGACTAACACTGTGGGTTGACATGTGTGCCTTGTGGGTAGGAGCTGTAGAAGAAAGGCCTGTAGTGGGGGTAGAATTACTATGGTTGAAGAGAATGGCAGACATAAGATGGGATGCAGGTGCATTCAAGTACAGTTTGAGGACTCGAGTCTGGACTAAAGCGAATACGATTGCGACGGAGCCAAAACTCTACAAGCGCAGTAACTTAAACTCACTCTCTTAGATCTTATTCCACAGTCAGCAAAATTGCACAGTGATGGAGCAAGTCAACAGACTGAGAGTGTTTATTATTAGTGTAGAACTTCCTGTAGGTGGATAATCTCTGTCAAAAAGTATAATTTGAAATAGCTGTCAACAAAACACCAGAAATGGACCAAATCAACGCATGCGGAATCGCTGGCTGGATTTATGGCAGAAAGCATGCGTATTTAACTGCTGCGCTTGACATGTTTGCAGTTGTGGGATTGAATACCGTGCTGACGGTATGTCTTTTACACACCAAGTCTGAGCAAAAGTCTCAAATGTCCACATCAGCACAGCCCTGTCTGAATCTGATTGGTGGAAATAAACTAAAGAGCAAAGACGATCACTAACTTGTCACAAGTACACGTCGTCACGTGAATGCTTTGATAAACGACGAACACGCTTTGTAGCCACAAGCATAAACAAGAAGTTGAACAGAATTGAACAATTCCAGCCGACTCGGCTTAAACTCATCTTTTATTATATCGGAAACAGCTTTGATCATGATGCGTGCCTTTGACCTCGTGCTATCCGTGTGCTTCGTCGTACCGTCTGTTTTTTTAAATCCACCGATTCATTTTCTTGGTCATGGTGTACATGACTAACCATCTCTGCTCGGCTTTTTTGTGCTGCACTCTTGAAACCTCGTTTTACCGTCATCAGCTTCTTGCTGGGTTTCTTTGATCCTGTCTTTGCTTTGCTATCAACCTTTCGCTTTCCTCCATGCTGTCCTAGTTGAATATTTTCAAATGGATCTGTCGGTCGCTTTGGTATTAGGCTAGATCCTCCAAACTCCTGCTCAGATCCAAAGCCAGCCTCCAGTGGTGATGATCCCGAGTATGATGCTCTGCTTTCGCTATCTATTACTGATATATTTTCAAGTGGTTGTGGAAGCATGTGTCGTGATATATACTTGCTCGTGTGTGCTGCTATCGAGGTAGATGCGTCCTGAATAGCTGCTGTAGCCGCTGCTGTCTTGGCCCAATTACACAGTCCATATGTATCATCGTCCTCTGTATCTTGAGCTACAGATATATGCTTTTGTACAGTCTTGACAGGTACAGTTGGTTGTGCAAGCTTGAATTCAAGTGGATGTTGTATCTTGTCCAATTCAGCTACAATACTAGAACCATTGGCAGACTCGTCTGTAATGGGAGTAATATTAACTGAAACTGCCCTTTTGCTTTGTCTTGAAGGAGATAGTTTGCTTCCAGCAATCAATGACCTATTGGATGGAGATACATACCCATCATCAACATCATTCAACACAGGCCCCATATCTGATGTCCGGATAGATTCAAGCGTGTAGTTGTCATTTTCATACCCAATGCTCCAGCCTACTAAATCAACACCAGGCGTCTTGGATAGTGTTCCTGGTGATCGGGCATATACAGGCGACATACCTGGGCTTGCTAATTGACTGCCTGGATAAAACCCTTCCACTGGCACGTCCCCACCAAAGCTTCCTCTCAGTCCACCTCGAGCATTCCCATTCGGTTTAGTCAGAAAAGTAGATTCTGATTCATACAGTATACCAAATGGATTTCTTCCACTTTGAAGTCGTTTCTGCTCAACAATAGTATCAATCTCTGATGATGATAAAGCTGTTTGCTGGACTGATGGATTGCAGGAGTCTGCTTGTGGTGATGTTGATGATTCAACATGTGCAGCTTTTTTCGCTACAGCTGACCTAGTCGTCCTAGTACTCCCAGTAGCTTTAGTAGTACTTCGAACCATAATCGATAAGACTTTAAATGGCAGATAATATCAAACACCCCTTGTTCCAGTCTAGCTGTCCTCGCAAGGTTTTCAAATTTTTAGCAAACTTGACTAGTTGTAAAAATCAATTTACAGACATATTCACGTAAAATAAAAACACTTTTGTATTCATCTTGGAATAAACAATCGTTACATATTTGTTGTTATTAGATATTGATTACTTTTGAAACTCTGTATTCCAATATCAGATACGTTTGTGCTCAAAAATGCAACATATCTCAAAAATGCAACCATACATTCTGGTCACACAATGTTGACTTTAAATGTTCGTTTTGGAAGAAAGGTTGAACAAATGTCAAGGATGTATTGAAACAAAAATGTAAACATTTGCTCTGCATTTTTGCACAAGAATAAGTTCAAAAACAGTATTGTCCAGTAAGATTGACACCCATCAAACATGACTGTTTATTATAGATTGACTTGGGTACTCCATTTTACGTGAATACGGATGTATTATTGGATTTCAAGCATGTATTCCAAACATCAATGCCAAATCGCATCCTATACTACTATTCAATTGGCGCTTACCAAGACCACACCATTTGGGTTTGATGTAATCATTTTATAATAAAACGCTTTTATATGACCAACTATTATACTAGCTGGCTGATTGAAATATCTCCTTTGAATCGTATTTTGGATTTTGCATTTTGCATTTCGCATTTGATATTAGAGTAGTAATGGAGAAAATGTTGGTATACGACTACGAATGATTTTAATGGCAGCATCGCCAAGAAATCGCTGACATTCACATAACGCATCCGTGACTGATTCACGAGTATGCATATCGGTAGCCATGGCTTTTGATGCTAGCGGTGGAAGCAGTGAAGCAAGATACGGTAAAAGTGTCGGACCCACAAGTGCTGCTAATTGCACCAACACATTCAAGTTTGCAATGAATTGATCCTAGGTATAAAAATAAGTTTATTTTTCTATACCCATTCTGCATACACGGTTGTAAAAACAATGTGATAGGGTTGAGTTACCTGATTTTTTACTGCTAGAGCACATCGTAAAGGTGCAATGATTTGCGATAGTACTGGTGCGATTTTATTGGCAGCATCAGGCGACGCCATCAATTCCTTTAATCCCTGTCCAACTATAAACACATACTAAACTAGACCCTTTAGTGTATACTTTTGATTCAATACCTCTCATCCAAGGATAAAGTGGAATCACCTACTGGATGCTTTGTTTCAATTAATCCTTGGAAAAATACTACCATCAATGGATTGAATGATATCTCTTGGATAGGTCGAAGCCAGTAAAGTTTGTGTTTGACGGATCCGTGCTGTAAACGACAGGGTATACCACCTTTGGCATACATGGCTGCAAAAGGACTTGTAGATGCCACATGCACAATGTAAACGTGTGGAATAAACCAATGATTAAACTCGACTCATGAGCAACATCCACCACATTCATGATAGTTACGTTTTGTGACTACTGGCACCCATTGGATCAATGACTTTTAACCCATGCAATGAGCTGATTTTTTGCATGGGTTTGACAGGGTCGTTTGAGGTTGTATCGGGTTTAGATACTCCCGTGTAGGATCGGGTAGGTAGTGTCCCATGTGGGTTAATGTTTTTCACCTACATGTACAACCCATTATACAAGTGATCCATCACGCTAGATATTAGTTTAAATGTATACCACAGAATCTAGAAACATTGAATTCAAATCCATGACTAGTTTATGGGTGTACGCCAACCAGTCTCCACTCTACTCACTGATAGTGTACGTGCAGTCGATACAGGCACTCGTCCAGTGGTGTTTTTAGACAACATAGACTTGCAGAAACCAACACGAATAAGAAACTTGAAAGTGAGTGACAAGACGAAATGGTTGTTTTTGTCGCGTTATCAGAATTAATAAAAGGTTGAAATACAAACCGAGCAAACTCGTCCTTTGATGAATCATTGCAAACTAAACATGGTCACAAGAGCATAAATGGGTCGCCAAATATAGTTGTAGAGATTAACATGCAGGATTTGAATCGAGACAATCAACAAGTACAGCATATTTCAAGATTGCATTTATTGATAAAGATCAAATATTTAAAAGATAAAAATAAACAAAAAAGATCAAAGAATATATTTGTAGATATGCTACCCTGTTACTTAAAAAAGCTAGTGATGCTAATTAAAAGTATGTAGTCCAGATAGGGCTTAGGGTGATCAAAAAATGAGATTCATATCAAAAAGGAATAAAATACAATTTAAAGCAATTGTAGTGCAAAAAAGTCAAACCCCCCATTCAGAAATATAAACGGGTGGGAAAGATAAAAAAAATAGTAAAATATAGTGTATGAGTGAAAGGGTGAATAAAATGCAAATAGAGGCCTGAAAACGAAATAACAGCAACTTTCCAAGATACAAAAGATTGAGTATTCAAATGTAGTTGGGTATAGTAGCGTGGCTTGAATCTCCAACATCAGACAAAGATTCAGAAAATACATTGGCCGCTGCAGATGTACTTGTGCAAGATAGGTGCTCTATCTCGGCAGGCAATACTATGGATGAAGTAGCTAATGGTGGGGTAAAACATGAACGCGCGGCTGAATATTGGTAATTGGCTGGAAGCCGCTTGGTTTTCATGCCCGGATGTTTATGCTGTCGAGAGTACGCCGACGGGTGTAGTTGAGCGTCTCTGTCTTTACTTTGGGTTGGCTGAAAATTGGCTCCATTAGAAGGAAGTGGAGGCAGGGTGGTCAGCTTGGATAGCGAGTTACGATGAATAGGATTAGGAGAAATGATTGCAGTAGACTCGGGGACAGATGGCTCGATAGAATGGCGGGTATTGATAGAAGCAGGCAGTCCATTTGCGCACAAGGGAGGGGTGCCAGGCGACCCAGTGGAGGTCGGACTTGGCATTAATTCAGCAGCTGTAGCCGTACCACTTCCAGACAGTGGTCGGTAGTGTAAATACAAGTGTTGCAATGACATCAACCTTTGAGTAGGCGACGAAGGAGGAGAAAGCGATGATAGTGGAGAGCCTGATGCCGACATTGAAGAAGTCGTAAAAGGAATAGAAACGGATGCGTTTGGGGAATCCGAGTCGGGCACAGAGTCAAAAAGAGGTTCAGTAAGAATGGTAAGAGGCGGATGAATACCGTCGCTGTTGGCAGATGTGAAGCTGCGTTCTCTTGGCGGATTGCCGCAGCGATCTTTACCAAAATTGATCTTGTGTTTGATGTAGTCGGGGTGCATACGCATGACCTGAACAGCCTTTATAGCAAACAGGATATCTGTAAAGCTGACAAAGGCAATCAGTTTTTCGGGCACCAAATTGATGAGTTCGATATCACCAAATGGAGAAAAATCACGACGCAGTCTAGCTTCAGTAATTGTATCATCTGCTACACCAATATAAACATTGCGAGATGCGCATGAGTGTTGAACAGCATAAGATATGGTAGAAGGCAATCGGGTCGCTTTTCCCCATCCAAGCTTCAATCGCTTGCTTTTGAGAGAAAGACCTTCCTGCACACTGCGTCGGTAAAAAGCAGCAGCATCCTCTGCATTCACAAATGTTGCAAAGGCAATGTTTTTTTCAGACATGTACTTGATGTTTTGCAAGACACCACCCCGAATGATATCACAAAGCTCCTTTGTAGTGACTTCTGGACGAATTCCTCCAAGATACACTGTGCGATTAGCAGGTTCTTCAACTTGCAGAGTATCATCCAAACTAAGCGCATCTATATTGTGGTATGCTTGAAGAGCAGCGAAAAGTGTAGCAGCAGTAGGAGCATCGGAGGAATTGAAAGAAATAGATTCAGTTGGCTCTCTACTTTTCATGCTGCTCTTTAGTCCAGTTGTAGAAGCGATTGTCTTTGGAGCACACAGAGGGTGGTCTAGATTGGATTTGCTAGCCTCGTCCGACAATGCCCCATCGACACCTTGGTAAGACTGTGACGATGAAGTTTGAAATGAATGCTGAGGCATGGATTGGGGAAATGAGGATATTGCAAAGTAAGATGGATGTAAGCAGCGATCACGTCCATAGTGAATTCTACGAGAGGACCATTCGGCATCACACGACAGAAACATGATGGCCTTCATTGCAGATTGTATACTTGCCATGTGCACAAAAGCAATTCGTCGATCAGCAAAGATTTTGATGGAGTCAATCAAGCCAAAGTGGGAGAATACAACAGACAGAGCAGATTCTGACATATATCGAGAGTCGAGGTTGCCGATATACACGTTACGAGAAGCACCATGACGAGCCACAGCATCGGCAATCAGAGGAGATAGCAAGGAAGGTTTACCCCAGCCCACCTTTACATCCGGAGAGAGAATCATCAGACGACGTGACTGGATTGCAAAAAGCAGGGCACTGGCAGCAGAAGCATCAAGGAATGTGATGAATGCACAATTTTTATCTGGTAGTATTCGGGCGTGTTCCAAGGCACCAGCCAAGATATGGTTAAGAAGCATATCCAAGGTGGTTTCAGAAGGAAGATTTCCAATGTACAGCGTGCGCATAGATTCATCAATGTAGAGCTGCTGGTTTTGAAGTGGTGGAGGCTGATCAGGTAGCTGATAGAAGGATGGCTGAAGTAGTGGAGACTGATGTGGCAGATGTTGGGGGGAAAGCCGTGGTAGCAACCCTATGTTTAAATACGGGTTTATAGCATGATGGCTGTTTGATGAAAGGTGTAAAGTCTCAATTTGCGATGCGGCATCTGCCGAGAATTGCGAGCTAGATGGATTAGTGATCAACATCATGTCGGTCGTGAGAGTTGAATGAGGATGGAATCCATTATTGTTTGAATTCAATGCAGGATGACCAGCATATGAATGCTTGTTTGAGGTAGAGAGTGAGCTGATTGCATTTACAGGATTGCTGTTGAATGTCGTCGAGGACGTAGTCCTACGAGAAGACACCAATGGGTTGCAATGGTTGTCTATAAAGTCACTTCCAGTAGCAGACGAGTAGATCAGATGGTTATTGGGAGTGTGACCATTGGTGGAGGCTCTAAGATGAGTGCAATGCTGCCGTTGTAGATGTGGCTGTATTCCAGCGAGTGTCCGCCCGTTGATATCCATAGTTTGAGGGCAAGTCCCAGCTGTGGTATGAATAAAAGGGAGTGGTTTTAGATCCAGTAACGATGAGTTGGATAGATTACTATGGACACTATCAGTGTAGATCGGATTGGATACTTGTGCACTGCAGTCTGTATATGTTGCCGAGTTTGAAAGTTTCGACTCCAAGTTTTCTGTTGGCGATACAAATTTCATGCAAGGACGAAGCTGCGGGTCGGCAAGTTGTGAGTCAGATATGAGTTGCGAATCTGTTGATTCAAAGCATTAGTTTAGAGTTGGACATTAGCTTAGTTGTACAAGACCAACTTGGGTTTGGCGAGTCTATTTGTAGTTGCAGAGCAATCGATGCTCAACAAGTCTAATTTGCATACAAGTTATAAACAGACTCAACCCAGTAGTAACACAAATTGACTTTTAGAGAAGATTCAATCTACATAATTAGTCTGAGTTTCAAAAAACTCGGACTTGTTTAGACTGTCTAGTCAATATCCTGGCTGTTTTACACACCATGACAAGACTACACCCTTGTTATCCTACTTTAAACTACAAGAAATATGGATACATTGCTAATAAAATCATTAAACTCTACCTTTTGGTTGTGTACTTTGAGGGCACGTCTTGTCAAGATGATTGTGTGTTGATCCAAGCCAATGATTATGAGGTTGTTCAAGTGTAATTGCATTGTAGGTTTCTGGAAGGTGGATTGGAAATGGGTTGCTGATGAATGCTGGATTGGCAGATGTTTTGTGCTTGTCCATTCCTATAACCCAATCAATGTCGAGGATTCAACAAGTAATTTGTAAAGTGAGCGGATCGCTTAGACGACTTGCTAGTCTCGTCCACTGACAATCACCATAAATCTGTGGTTACAAAAGGATTCCGCATGTGGACTAAAGTCCAATACAAAGGGTTGTTTAGCTTAACGGCCATCTTACACGGTATGATTACCAGTTGATATCAGTCTTGCTTTGTCAAAATACATTCTTGAGCAAATGTTCAAATTAACTCTTTATCTTGCAAGAAACAGGGTGGAATGCATGGTAAGACTCTAGTAAAATGTGATGGTCATCTTGAAATGTTTGCATACTCGAGTAGATGATATTACAAGACTTGTTCATACCTTTGGTTGAATGTAGTGAACATGACCAATGCATTGTCTATGGATAAGGTGAGTGCGGTCAAGTCGCTTTTTACATACGCTTGCTTGGATACAACGCCCAAATGACCGCTAACTTCTGTCATGACAATCTAACCCACGCCGACTTTTTATAGGCTTTGGCTGCTGCTTGCAGTCACCCGAGTCTAGGATTGAGATGGGATGACCTATGCGTAGCATGCACCTGTCTTTTGGGCTACACTCCGACAAAAGTAAGTTTCATTCAAACCACCCTTTGCATTCATAACTCCATCTCAATCTATTACCAGTTTGAATTAGCTTCCATGTTTGGAGATGCAGTGATGCAAGCAGACCGATTGCCCATTAGTCAGAGTCAATTCAAGCAAGTCATGGCTACTAGAATGTCAAAAATAGATCCAGATGAAACCATCCGACAGATATTCCTACTGCTCGATACTGAATGTAAGCAGTCTTGATTGTGATGTCGAGTTTATCGTGACTAAAATACACGTCAATCTGTCTAGCAAAAGGATACATTAACCAAGAGGATCTAGGCAATGGGTTGAAAAAGTGTATTCCCCATCATTCTCAGTCACTGGAAGTTGGATCCATTCTGAGCAAACACATAACATCAAACCAAAGTGGATTCAATGTCAAAATCACATATCGACAGTTTCGACAGATTATCGCTACATTCACGCAAAGCAAGTACAGCGATATCAAAGTATAATAAACAGCCAATTCTCTCCCCATTTGCTGGACATGTCAGTCAGTACGACCATATTAGTCAAGTTTCATTCTGTGTGATTTATTTAGTCGATAGTTTTGGATAGAATCGACAATAATGTTGAGAATTATTCTTGAACCATCCGATAACTGCTCAAATGACCATTGACATTGCTGCTGCCAGAGAATACCTACTCGCCCAACGAAACGGATGCAAGAGTCATACCACTGCTGAGCCTTTCTTTCATGATCCAAAAAAGGTACACAGTCTAGGCTCTCAGCTTCTTCAGCATGCATCTGCTCTTCCTACAATCGAAAAGTTTGCCATCATTGACCAAGTCTTTCATGCATGCATCGACACTGGCCACATTGAAGAAGCTAAGGACCATCTCACTACTATTGAGGCTGCTTTTCCTTTTGGAAAGTCTCTTCGCACTCGTAGACTCTACGGTCTTTACCATGAAGCCATGTCGGATTCCACCAAAGCCATGGAGATCTATAACCTTGCCTTGGATACCGATGAGGCCAGTATGCCTCTGTGGAGACAGTCTGTGGCCCGCTTAATTTCATCTAACCAGCGTCCTCAAGCCATCGAGGCTCTGTCTCTTTATGTAGATCGCTTCATGCAGGATGTGGAAGGTTGGACCATGCTTGCCAAACTGTATGCTGACGAAGGTCGGTTTGAGCAAGCAGCATTTTGTCTCGAAGAGGTTCTGACACTCCGTCCTCAACATCCACTATACAGAGTGAGGTATGCTGGTATTGTCTCGAGTCTCGGTAGGCTTAGTCTCGCTGTCAAGGTGTATTCAGCTGCGTTGGTGACCTTGCCGGATCATGTTGGCGCATTATATGGATTGAGAACTGTTACAAAAAACATCTTGGATCTCGAGACTGTATCTAATAAGAAATCATCCATGGTTCAGACTGGATCGTATGAATCGGATCCCATCATTCCCTTGGACAGAGTCAAGATGCTTCATGTATTGGCCAAAGAGCGACTATTGGAATTGTATGAAGCTCAAGGAAAATCAGGCCAAGACATGACTAGCATCTTAAAGGCTTGGTTACACTCTCAAGACCATTAATGTTCTTTTAAAAGCAATTAAATTTTAGTTTACAAATGAGTAGCTCAACATCTTAAATTTATTAAATAGTCTAATTAGAAAGTGTTGGTTGACACTCAAACATCTTGCCATACATCTTCTTCTCTTTGATGGCATGCTGCTTTAGCTTGGCGTTCAACTGCATCCTTTCGCGTGTGTATTCTGTCCACTCGCTACCTCCAGCAAGATACTGTTCAGGATGACTCTCGAGTACACGCTCGAGTGTTTTTAAATCCTGGTCAGCCAGATCCAAATCACGACCAAGACGGGTATAGGCTTGAGCACGACGAAACAAGGCTTTAATGCAGTTTGGATCGGATGCAAGAACTTGAGTGCATTGGATAATTGCAGCAGGAGAATCGTTTAGTTTGAGTTTACAGGCAGCGTAATTGAGTCGACACGACTGCATGAGCATACTCAGCGTATCCAAATCAATTTCTCGGGTTTCGGGAGTATCGTCATCAGTGCAGTCACTCACAACACCAGACTTTGCACGACGAGCAGACTCCACCTTCTCTCGTCTCATGTCTGTCACAACCGAACTGGTATCCAAGCTTTCCAAGAGTATCAAGGCACGTTCGTATTTCTGCAGTGCACCAGTAAAATCCCCTTTTTTGTACAACACACCACCATCCTGTTTACACTGAGGAATCTGATGATATTTTTCCAATGAAGTCATTTCCCATGGTTCCTTGACAAACGAATTGGGTGATTGGACTTGAACCAACTCGATTTCAAATTCTAGAGGAGCGCCATATAACAGCATCAAATCTTTGTTGGTATCCATTATTTCTGCAGATGCATGAGCACAACATCCAGCACCAGATCTAACAGGTGGAAGACCTTTGGCAATATTGGCACGATTTAAACGTTCTTGTCTTTGAACAGTTTCCAATTGAACAAATCCCTAAAAGCCATCCATTCCCATTATAATAAAAACCACACCATGCAGCGTTTAGAAAGATAAACAAAACAAGACATACAGTGGGTTGTGCTTACTTGACAGTATTCGGGCATGCAAAGAAAGCGAGCACGCTCACCAACCGACATAGATTTAACACACAACTCGAGTGCCTTGACAGAAAAGTCATAGCCTATACGTAACTCAAAAGGATCAGCAGAATCAGTATGGTCTCTTGAATCACAAATCTTGCGACGAACTGGAGGAAGAGCGTCAGGAGTTGAATCAGGAGCTGCTGTAGAGTTGGACCAAGAAAGACGTGAAATAGGATTAGGAGAGTTCGTGTTGCAAGACACCTTCTTTTTCTTTGTAGTATTAATCGAAGCAACAAGCTTTTGAAACATTTCAGATTTGTCAGTCATCACAGAGTCATTGGAATGAGTGCAATTAGAATCATGCGAGTGATGGTTTGCTTCAAGTAATTCCTTTTCATGAGTAGGACTGATGTAAGCATGAACAATGTAATGCAGTTTAGCATTTGAACCTCGAGTCCATTCAATAGGAGAACTGACAGTGTTTGTAAGTAATGGCAGTTTAATGATTCCGCCGTCTGGCACAATCTCCATTGCATGAGTAGAGCAAGCCATGATGTTCACTTGCAGAATGTCGCGGAAGGATTCTCAAGTCGGACGAGTTGAACTCGATTTTTACTTGATTTCATTTACTTGTAGTTAACTCTTCTTATTACTTTCATCTATACTAAATCATGGCTCTTAAAATTCCAAAGATTGGTCTTCCTCAGATGCTCAAGGATGGCTACCAGGTAATTAGCATCTTGATTAGATCTTTATTCACTTGCATGACTATCGGAACTTGACTGTTGACATTCAAACTGCTTTAATCTGTCTTGGGATCTACTATAACTCACCATTTTTATGTTTTGTTTTTATCAACTGTTTGTGGATGCTGTCTTTATGGCTGTTGCTGATATATGAACTATACTGTTGGATCGTTTTTAACCTGACCGGTCTTTAATTTGACAAATACTCAAACTTGTTGTGCTCCGACTTGACTATTACAATGTGCTTGCCATTGCTTGCTGTTCCTTGCTGTTGCTTCTGCAAACTAGCACATGCAAGGTCTGGAGGAAGCTGTTTATCGCAACATTGCTGCTACAAAAGAATTGACTGAAATTACTCGCACTTCGTTGGGTCCAAATGGTTTGTTTTTACTGTTTGCATATCAGATCCAACTTCATGTTCTGATTTCAATCATCTTCATTGGATTCCTGGCTTATTATTTATCCTCTCGCAAATGATTATTCAGGTCGCAACAAAATGGTTATTAATCATCTCGAAAAGCTCTTTGTTACTAGTGATGCTGCTACCATCATGAAGGAACTCGAGGTCGTGCATCCCGCTGCTCGTCTGCTTGTTCTTGCTTCCCAACAGCAAGAAACTGAGGTGGGTTTTTGTTTGTTTGTGGTCGATCCGTCAGTCTAGACTCATATTATATCTTGTCATGTTTAGATGGGCGATGCTACCAATTTCGTTGTTGTTTTTGCTGGCGAATTGCTACAGCAGGCAGAGTATCTTTTGAGAATGGGATTGCATCCTTCTGAAGTCATTCAAGGCTACGATCTTGCTTGTAAAAAAGCTCTTGAAACTCTTGAAACTCTTTCTATTGAAACCATTACAGACTGTCTTAAACAATCCGAACTGCTCAAGGTTGTTCGTAGTTCCATCTGCTCCAAACAAGTAAGTCATCTTTTGCATCAAGCTTGTCAGACTCTTTTTTTTAATTCGCTTGCTATTCTGTCTATATGTATACTCTAGTATGGATATGAGGATCTCTTGTCTGAACTAGTTGTCAAGGCTGCTCTCGAGGTCATGCCCAAGAATACCTTCAACTTTAACGTTGATAGTATTCGTGTTGTCAAGATTCTTGGTGCTAGTATCCACGATTCTGTAGTCATCAAAGGCATGGTTTTTGGTCGCGAACCAGAAAGTAAGTGGATTCAATTCTGTGACCTATTGAACCGTTGCTGCCAAGTGTTGATTGCTGTTCAGTCTTGTCTAATCTTTAACTTTTTTATACAGCCGTTGTTCAACATGCAACCAAGTGCAAGATTGCAATCTTTACCTCTGGTATTGATGTCGCTCTTACCGAAACCAAAGGCACTGTTTTAATCAAGAATGCAGACGATATGCTCAACTTTAGCAAGGGTGAAGAAAAGCGTCTTGAAGCTGCTATCAAGGAACTTGCCGATGCTGGTGTTAAAGTCGTTGTTGCTGGTAGCACCATTGGCGAACTGGCTCTTCACTTTTTCAATAGATTCAACTTGCTGGCTGTTAAAGTATTGTCCAAGTTTGATTTACGTCGTCTATGCAGAGTTACCGGTGCTACGGCTTTGACCCGTTTTGGTGTTCCTACCGCAGAGGAGATGGGCCACTGCGATATTGTCGAGGCTGTTGAGATTGGTAGTGATCGTTGCACCGTCTTTCGTCAAGACGATGAGTCTACTAAAACTTCCACGATTGTTCTTCGCGGAGGCACTCAAAATACACTGGATGATCTTGAGCGTGCTGTAGATGATGGTGTCAATGTCATCAAGGCTGTGACAAAGGATGGCCGTCTTCTCGCCGGTGCCGGTGCTGTAGAAATTGAACTTGCTCGCATGCTGCAGACTTTATCTGAAAAAACTCCTGGTTTGAGCCAATACGCTATCCAAAAGTTTTCCCAATCTCTCGAAGTTATCCCACGCACTCTTTCCGAAAACGCCGGTCTTGATGTAAGTGGGGTTGACTTTAAATTCAATCTTATCAACACCAACTAATATCTTTAACCTATTTGTAGAGCACTGAAGTGATTTCCAATCTATACGCTGCCCATACTCTTGGAAAAACAACATTTGGTGTTGATATCGAGGTACATAGTTCCAGTCAAGACTTGGATCTGCACCTATACTAACACTGCTTGATGTTTATGTTTCATAGAGTGAAAAGCAAGGTATTTTGGATGCCAAGGAACATGGCATCTTTGACATTTTGTCTATTAAAAAGTATGCGATCAAACAGGCTGCACATGTCGCTGTGACTATCTTGAGCATTGATCAGGTACTATTGCATTATGCCAATGACTTGTTGGATAGGATGCTCTGCATCTTGAATCGTACCTAGCCAACTTTACTCATGTCTCATTTTTGTAATGTGTATTTCTAGATTATTATGAGCAAACCGGCTGGTGGACCCAAGGTCAAGGAGCCCAGCAAGGACTGGGATGAGGATTAGTCACGCCATCATGTCTAGTTCAGCAGTGTTTTATCCTAGTTGAACACTCTGATTTTGCGTACCTCTCATGTTCTGTTTTTTTCTCTACTTGTTTGCGATGCAATGTCTTTTTTTCCATCTTACAAATGAATCAATGTGATTGATAGTTGATATTGTTTTAGACTTTGGGTTTCATTGCACAATTCTTGAATTTTGTCAAGTTTGCCAGATTTGCTTTTCAAGCGTGTTTTGAATGCACTGTTACGCTTTTAACCCTCCTATTCTACATTGGGTCATCGAGCCTAGCCACTGCAGTTGACACGCAGTACACCACTAGAATGATGCTAATACAAAGACTCCCAATGATGAATGGATGAGCCATTGCAGATCCAAACACCATATTCACTGTCAAGCTGAATGGATGACAACGGGTTAGACCCAGTACTGATGCGCCAAGATCCCATCAACAGCCCATTGCGTAAACTCCACGTTCGTAGCCAGTCGCCATTATCCGTCACCGCCATTACAACACTCCCATGTGCACTATGTGCATAGGTACTGGAACCATTCCATCCAAATGCGCCATGATGTTCTAAAGGTGCCTGAAAATCAATCAAAGGGATTGTGGGTGTACGAATATCCCATAAATAAATCTGGCCATTCAACGAGGTGGATATAAGTTGATGGGGTCTAGCATACCCTTCTTCCACTTCATCTGTATCTCCATACACTGAATTCAGTGACACCAAACTAGTCATACATGATGGATGTCCAGTGACTTTGGATGACATGGTAAATAATGGCGATTTCGTTCTAGATTGTCGTATATCGTGTGCTCGTATCAAACCGCTTCGTGTTCCTGTATAAAGAAGCAATGGCGTATGCACATCAAAACAAACCGACATGATATCGGATGATGAGCTGCCAGTGTAAACCTGTGGTGTCAAATTGCCATGCATCCAACTTGGAAAAATCAAAGTGTTTCCATGACTTGCGCCTAAATAGATTGAACAAGCATAAGCAAGTTTAATTTTCAAAATAACCCACTACAATCCAAATACCATCAACCTCGTACATAAAATCTACTATATTTTACCTAGAGCGATTAAATGATTGAAACGTGTATCAACAGTGCTACATTTGACAGACACTGGATTGTCAAGTTTATACCGCCATTTTAACCCTGATCACCAATGGTTTTAAAGTACATAATGGAATTAGAATGATACACTGACATGCAATGTATACACCATCATAGTTTAAAATGAACCGAGACTTGCAGTTTATATTCAACAGGTTGTCACCCCTATATGCAATCGGTTGATGCTGTTCTGAATGCGCGATAAAGATGTGCAGCTCATCCGAGTCTAATGCATTACCACGTGTGGTGACTCTATCCATTCAAATGACATGTTCAGCAAATCAGATATTGAACTGAACGAGTCAAGTAGTAAACAGCAATTTCAACACATGTCAACAAAATAAACTTGCCCCACAAATTGCCTGTCCAATACCGATCCTGAAATTAATGAAGTGGACTATCATGGCAATCATTGTAGAAAATAAGCTATAGTTTAATACAACAAACGTACAGTATAATGTGTGTTTAAATCTCGCAACCTTCAACTCACATTGCTACTTAGACTAGCGAGTAATTTAGATTGTACGCATGCAGATTTTAACGGTGATGATCGTGTAATGTGATTCAAGTGAAATATATACATATTGCGGTTGTCGAATGTAGTCACAGCCCACTGTTTAGTTTGATCTATACTGAACCCAGTGATTTTCGGTTCTTGCTCATACATTTCACCGTGTATAGCTTGTGTCAAGATAGAACCATTACGATGTAGATGAGAGTACATACATTCATAAATATTGCTATAATTTCAAAATTAACTCGAGAGTTTGCGGATTTAACTGATGATTTAAAGTGTTGCGATACCTGCTGGACATTTTTTTTGATATTTCCCGATCCAACATGGCAAGTGGCATAGAATTGTAACACATACTAGAAACTCGTCGATTGGGATTCATCTGTATAAAAATAAAATTAATGTATACCAGTCTAATAGTTTGGTCGATTGCACTGATTACCTTGGTTTTTCGTCTCAATTCAAGATTCAAACAAGCAGCATCTTGTTTTTGTTCCAAAGACATTGAAGCCAATGCACCATGAGAATATTTTTGAACATGTGATGTGGTGGCATGTTTATCTTGAGTTATTTTGAAATATCGGTTCCTATCTGTATCCTACAGTCATAGGAATGAGATTTCTGCATTCATAGTACGACCAATGCAAGATGGAAATAAGAATCAAGATTACATAGTAATATCCAGGAATAGTTGAAGTGGATGCAGACGCAGACGCAGATGCAGTTGGATGATCCGATGCGGTTTCTGACTGTTTGGGCTTTTGAGCCATTTGTAACTGCATGTTTTCCAGTCTCCATTTCCTCTCACTTTCTCTATGGTCTTGACTAACATCAGATGACTGTAATGAAGAATGCTTATTGGATCGAGATGGACGTTTGCGAGTGGTTTTCTGAGCACTTGAACAAGACTTTCTGTAACTCATGCTGTCCTAGAGAATAGCATTAGTTCGTGCCAGCTTCCATTAACATGAATTTATTTAATGGCATCTGATTGGCTGTCTGAATATCAAATGAATGTGATTTGAGCACCCTTATTTAGTGCTTCATTTTACATAAATACGACTTTATTTTCCATAAAAGTTGACTGATTTGTGGAGTTTGTATTTTCTGATTTGTAGTGGTTGACTACTTGCTTGCTTTGGATTATTCTATCATGCTGGCTTGCTCAACTGTACTTGGTTCTGTTGTGGCAAGCCGTATAATACAATATTCCAAACATGCGAGGAAGTAGATGATCGAATCTATTGTACCATTCATCCATGTGACTGAGAAGCAAGTGATGAGCAGCATTCTTACACTGAAAATCTTGACCTTGAGCATAATGCTCATTGAATGAGAAAATTATTATTCGCTTTACCTCTCTGATGCATCACAGTCACAATGTATATCAAGACATTCGTCTACAAACAGATGGAATGATCAACTGTGTCTACCAAATAAAAAAATACATTATTTTGTTACAACTGTATGGTTTTTAGTAGTGTAACGAGTGGGTTGATGCTGTTTAGTCTGAATAGATTGCTAAAAAGACATTTAATATTGAGTCTGGCATGACTGGCTTGTTCAGCACTGAGACTCCAAGTGTGTTGCTGATGCACTCGAGTTTGTGAATGTTGGTGCACAAGAAATCGAATCTGCAAGTCTTGCTAATCCCAAACGGCAATCTTGGATCGATTAATCATGTCCATGTCCTTGCAAGATGCACTTGCTCATTGCAGTGAACAAGACCAATTGATCTTCAAGCCCTTGTTGCTGAAAATGCAGCGGGCTGGTATCCGGACAGGTACTTGCTCTATGGCACAATCCTTTTGAAGGTATACTCGGATTTACTCAAATGTACAATTATTTTTAGTACTGGATGTATTGACAGCTGACAGCACTAGACTTGGCAGTCATATTGGATGTAATATCAAGGTATTGAGACTACTGTGTTGGGTCTTTCAGAGCGAATGCTCAACTTGTGCAAGGCTAACTCTAATGTGGAATTTAGGACATATGTTTACTACAAGACTCGCTGTCTTGCTCGCTTTCTAAAAACTTTCAATCTGCAGCAGATACACTCCAACATCAGATTCAGCAATACAATGTTTATTCGACTGGAATTTCCAAGTATGTGTTGATCTGCTCATTGTGTTGATTCATCGCCCATTGATTGACTTGGAATATCCAGAATCGATGATATGTTGGATGGTGGACTTCAATCTGGTCAGATCATTGAATTTGCAGGACTGCCTGCTTCTGGAAAAACTCAGGTAAACGAACTTGCGTTCTATTGATATCTAAACTACCGATTTGGTTGATTAAACTAAATGATTTAAAATATATGCGATTGTAATATTGTATGCAGCTGTGTCATTTTATTTCTGCAGAAATGATTGCCTCGTCTCCATTGCTCAGAGTTACATATATAGACTCGGGTGGTACGTTTTATGCTAGTCGGATCTTGGAAATGATTTCTGGTGATGGGTTTTCAAAACGATTTAACCAAACCCTTCAGGTACGTCGATTACATCTAAAGCATACTGCATTGTTTTGAATGAATGCATCTCATTTCTTGTCAGTATTGACTCGCGATAACTTATTAGGATTCAGCAGATATGCTGCAAAGAATTACCCATGTTCGATGTTTCAATGCATTTGAAGTCATTCGATATCTACAAACACTTTCTACACCATCGAATCATAAAGTAGAGCAAAACGATGCCAATTTGGAGTTGTTGTCCACATGTTCCAACATCCAGGCACTTGAATCAAATCAACCGGCACAACCACCTCATCTCATTATTATCGACTCTGTTGGTCAGCTATTTTCTCCTTTAATTGGGCAAGGAGGTATGCATTTCTATTGATGACTACTATGATCTACCACATTACTTGATGTTTAATACTCTGCAATGCCAAACATACTAGGCTACGCGACTTTGGGATCCTTTTCAGATCTGATACAAAAACTAGCCAAAACGCTTTACATACCCATTATCGTAAGTATTGACTCAAGTATGTTTAAACCAGCTGAAGCTTTCTGTCAATGTATCAAATAGTTTGGTTTTATTCAGCACAAAACAACTCGTTGGTTTAATATTCAAAAATGTGTTGATGAATCCTATTCACTTTAAATACTATAGACTGTGAATACATCTGTTTCAGCTGGATTTATAGACAACCGGGTAGACGGTGGAGAATCATTGGCATTCTCCACAAATGCTAGCCAAAATCATTCAAGCCAAAATCATTTAGGGTTTGGTATGGCAGATGGGTTTCGTCAAGTATCAACAAAACCAGCACTTGGTGGTATGTGGGATGCAGTTCCATACTACCGTTTATACTTTACTACATCATTGAATGACGGACGTGCTGATCTGTATCGGGTATACGATGAGTCATCCAGCTTTAAACCTCGATCTCTGTCCAAAATCTCCTGCGTACTTTCAAATGAAACCCAACCGAGCGGTACACATGTGATTGAAAATGTGGTCGAGTTGCTAGACGGACCTGACAAATCTGTAAGTTGAATCTCATTTCCATCCACAGCAATCATCAATCCTAGTACTACATGTTTATACTCGGTTTAAACTCATTTCATTGGTATAGAAAATTGGACACCAGTGTTTGCTCTTTGTTTCGATTGATAGCGTGTACAGTGATTGATTAAATCAAGCTGCAGTTTGTAAAACCCATGATGGCGATTCACAAGACAGTCTCGAGCAATTCGTACTAGATGACTTGTTTTAAACCTTGCAATTCAAATCATAATTCGACATGATTGTAAAATAATAAAGCTGATTATTTCATTTCAAGTATGAAACCAATCATTTGATTGCATTATGATGAACGCTGTATTCATTCAAGCCAGTTCCAACAAGCGCGACGGGATATAACGATTGTAATGATAAAGCAATGACTGCGAGATACAGAAAAGTGTTCTGTTTATGTGAATGCGACAGTAAATGACGGACTGGTTTTATTAGCAGTCATTTCAGACATTTTCAATGCAGGTTTATATCGTTTTCACTTTATTTCTACTTGCATATCGTTCGCAGCGACTATTCCATCAGCGTAGCTCATCTGCAGCAAGATTATCCGCCACTGTAGTTTCTTACTATCAACCAGACACTTGTATCAACTTTTCTTATCTGCCATTCACCATGCAAGCCGTTGTTGTAACCAAACCAGGTAAAACAGACATTAATGTGACATGATCTACAGCTTGGTTTTGTAGCGATTAGTATTGATTGGAGTTCAATCCGCATGCTTACTGTTGTATGGTATGAAATAACCATTTGTTTTATAGGAGATGCTGCATTTTTAAAGATTCAGCAAGTGCCTGCTGTAGTTCCTCAGCCAAGCCAGTTGCTTGTTCAAGTCCGATCCTTTGCACTCAACAGAATGGACATTAGCCAAAGAAATGGGCTTTATCCACCACCTCCAGGTGCTTCAGATATTCTAGGAGTCGAGTTTGCTGGTGTGGTAATTCAAACCACTTTGGATCCAACAACAAAGTTCAAAGTGGGTGACAAGGTTTTTGGGTTGGTTTCAGGTGGTGCATATGCCGAACAGGTTGTTGCTGAGCCCAGTTTAACCATGCATATTCCAGATGGCATGTCGTTTGAAGAAGCTGCCGCGATTCCTGAAACATGGTTGACGGCAACTCAGGCATTGTTTTTTGTCAATCGGTTGCAGCCAGGAGAGAACGTCATGATTCATGCTGGTGCCAGTGGTGTAGGTACTGCTGCAATTCAACTTGCAAAGCAAGCCAATGCGTAAGTCTGATCTGTGGTGTGATGACTGATTCAAGTGATCGAAATGACTCACATTGTTGTTACTTGGCAGTCAACATATCATCACCACTGCTGGAAGCGATGCCAAGACTCAGTTTTGTAAAAGTCTTGGCTCTACCGTGTCCATCAACTACAAAACTGCCAACTTTGCTGATGTCGTCAAGGAAACTACCAATGGACGCGGCGTGGATGTTATTGTGGATTTTGTTGGTGGACCATACTTTAGCAAAAACTTGGACTCGCTTGCAATGGATGGTCGTATGGTGATTCTGTCTTTTCTAGGAGGTGCTGTAATGGATGAAAAGGTCCATCTTGGTCCAATTCTGCGAAAGCGATTGCAAATCAACGGATCTACTCTTAGAAGCAGAACTGTTGCCTATCAGACTATTCTATGCGACTATTTTGTCGAGAAAAGTTTGCCTCTTTTTACCAACGGAACATTCAAGCCCATTATCGATCGGGTATTTGAATGGACTGATATCATTGAAGCCCACAAACACATGGAGGCCAATGCGTCCATTGGCAAAATTGTCATGCGCATTACTTAAAGTTTGTTTCTAGTTCATGCCAGGATGTTTTATTCAAGAATTGCAAAACGATTTCAAGCAAATAAAACCATCCTCGCCATATTAATCGGATTTGGGTTTTGTTTCTATTCGACTCCAAACAAGCATTTTGATAGATCGACTGCAAAAACTGCGACAGGCATAGAACCAATAGAGCACAGAAACCGATCCTAGGAAAATTATTTCAGTTTTAAATATAGGTATAATGGAAATTCAAGACATGGATAGTGACTAACCTGCTGGAGCAAATGGAAAAGAAAGCCAACTAGAAAAAGGTCCAACCCAGGTTTTTGGCATATAAAACATGGCATCAGATCTCCATGAAACAAGAAATCCGATCTGTAGAATCCAAAAAAGTGCCCAAAGACCCCACGATACTTGCATTTGGAACATTGATTTGTGCAAATTGACATTGTTGGCTGATATGGGTGACGTCGAGTATACATCGATCGGTGCATGACATCAATCCAGATAAATATCAATGAAACCGTACATCTTGACCTGATTTATAAACAGATTGAAATAAATCAAATGCAACTTACCTTTGGCGGTATACTCTGTGACCAGTTTATCATGCTGTCGTTGAAGTTTGACCCATTTAGCGAATTGATTCTAGTCGACATTATACAGACCAGTTAGCTGGATTATAACATGGTTAAACAGTCGACTGGTATTTAATTGATTCAGAATTGGCATACCTGAGCACTAATACTGCCAAGTTGGGTCTTCAAGTCCAGAATCTGTTTCTTGAGTTGCTGCAGCTTTGCAGCATTACCACTTTGTCCAAAGAGCAATCCTGTCCATTCGTACAACTATAAAACATGATACTATTAGTTGAGCATTGAAGCAGGCTGGGTTGAATGCAGTTGAGATTACCAGCTTTGATATGTAGTCGAAGCCTATGGTACTAATTGCTTGAAAGATCCATGCAACAGCTAGAATGTAGACCAGTTTGTATGATGTGTTGTGTGCCATTGCAAGATGTGGAATTTAGTCAAATGTTGAACTAGTGCAAACTGTTCATCTCGATCTGCAGTAGCGAATTATGAGCCATTGCTTATCCAAGTGTCAATCTCATGCACATACACTTGAATGGTCGATACAATTCTACCCGATTGTCTTTATAAACGATTTATCCAACTTGCAATTGTATTCACGTAAAAACAAGATTCTTACTATTACACTGCATTGGTTACTGCCTGACTGACAATTCATATTTGCTATAAACGAATGCTGGCATAAGTGGTTTAATCCATAAATGCAACGTTAATTCCCGTTTAATCGTTTGAATTCAACAAAACTCCGCTTTAAAACACATGAAATCTTGAATCCATTCATCTTGCATTTCATACCTGTTAAATCATACCTTGTTCACTTTACTTTCAATCCATTTAATTCCAAACCTTGTTTCAATGTTCAACCATCAGTCATATCCAAGCAAGCTACTGCCACTCATCTTTCTTATTGCTCCAACATGTCTGGCAATAACGTATCAAATAGACGATATCACTCTTTCTGTAAATAGTACTGCTGTTCTCTTGACACCTAAACCATTTGGCTTTCTGTCTAGCAACTCAATGCAATTGTCTTGGACTCCATCGCCTCTTGGAAACGCATCAGCCGCTTTGTCATGGGTCAAGGGTGTATATGTTGTTATATGCAGTGCTGGCCAAATGAGTGTATGTTAGTGTTGTAATTTTTTCGATTGACTTGGATAATGTGCATGTGTTGGATTGACAACTGTCAAATCTGGTTTCAGATTGATAGATCGAGTACCTTGTTGACTAATGCATTCCATTCATCTTTATCCATCCAGACAAAAACAGGCACTAAACTGATGCGTTGTTCTGACCACATTGCAAGAAAGACCCAGTGTGGTGAAATGTATTCAATTGCTGAACTTCAAGTTGATCCAACGGATTCGACCAGTTTGACTCGTACATGGTCGCCCATACCCACTGGGTTTAAAAACGCATATTTGGCTTGGTGTAATCGTCGAAACAGCACCAGCAACTCGCAAATAAACAATCCCTCTCGGAGTCGCTTTATTGAATCGGATGATACCTCGCTTCAAAACCATCACGATGATACATCTATTTTAGATCATACAATCGATGCATCATATGAGGACGTGTTGTTTACAGGATCAGTTACGATTCATTTAATGAATGAGATGGTCGGTTCGAGCGAGCTGTCTTTGCAGGATCTTATTGGTTTGATTAGCACATGTGTGTTTATATGTCTATGGATGTTTGGCGTTTTAAAATGGTTCTGGAAATGTTTGTTAAACTATGATCAGGTAAAGTAGTATCAACTTGTCGATAGATTTTTGAAATTGGGGTCAAGTGCACACCACTTGCAAGTCACCATGCACAATAAGAACAAGGCTAATCAAAACATTGGTCGTGTATTCTAGTTTAAAAACATTTGGATGGTACAGCTCATTAGCGCTTATATCATGTGTATCTTGCTTTGCAATATTGTTCGTATTGCAGCGTATTTAAACATGGAGTCTACAGGTACGCTTGCTTTTGTGTAATCTGGCTATTGTCTAGCTTACTGCACCAGAATCAAACTGTATGCATCCACACTCATACATTTCCCGGTTTAATATCGATTGATAGGTGCATCAATGGATGATACGTACGCTATTGCTTTATATATATTCGAGTTGGTAGAAATATTCATGTCCGTGTCTATCCAGTTGCTGCTCAGCAAGGGCGTTTCAATTGTTCGAAGTACATTGACGTTTGTTGAACGTGATACAATTGCAGGTATTGTTTTTATAGCCATAGTCTATGATGCTTATTTTAAATATACTGACTTTTGGTTTAAAGTGCTGGTGATTGCATTTACATGTACATTTGCTTTTTACGGCTACCACTTGCCAGGCTCTCTCGTAAGCTTTTTGAACAATGGTTTCAACAAGGTAGCATAATGTCTTGTTAATCTCTGTCAATTTGTCATGTGTAGTTTGGATCGTTGGCTATGGTTACTACCGTGTATGTCGCATTGGCATGCAACTTGCAGCACGTTATGAATATACTTGAATATCATATTGGAACATTACAGTCGACTTCCTATTTGGGTAGATTTGGCCAGCAAATAGTTCCGACAGAACCATCTTTAAACGAAACCATCAATGTGTATGAATCATTACCAGACACCAATGCAGAGCAGCATTCCAATCGACGGTTTTGGATTTCTCGTAATCAAATATCACACCAATCGGATGCAATGCACATCACAACAAGCAAGTTGCTATGGTGGCAAACATCGACTCTGCGTACTGTTTCCATCACTGATCCTATATGGAATATCAAATCCATTTACATGAAGAAACTGGAGATTGTCAAAACATCGCGGTATTTTCTCCTGTTTTGGGGTATACTGCCTGCAGTGGTAAATAATAGTGCCTTGTTGTATAGATGAGGCTTAAACTGATATTGAGTGATTGGATGTAGACTCAGATCTTGGATATTTTTCAACTCGAGGCTTCGCCAGCTCCATCCATGTGCGTGTCATTTTTTGGCCACCTGGTTATTTTTGCATGGTTTGTGTAAGTTTATGTTGTAGATGGAGTGCTGTTTGATTGGCTTGATTTGAGTAGTATGTTAATTCATGGATGTTGCGATTGATCTAGTGGTCAACTTGGTCCTAGACCTGTTTCAGAAGTGGTGCGTCTTGTTGGTATTACTCAACGTCCATACACAAAACACAAGTCTATCCTACGGTGATGGCTTAATTATACCTTGTTATCTTAACCCCAATAGTCTCGAGTGTTTTCCTAATACAGCTCGTAGATTATATACATTTTTAAATATATATATACGCTGATTAAAAAGTATATTATTGATTTTTCAAACTAGCTACGTACGACTGAGTTTGATATACGAATACCTAGTAGAGATCAGCACGACGAATATATTGTAAGTATATCACAAATGAAAACTAGTGTTTCAAGGATTGTATATAAAACATGCTTACCAGAACACGCCGACCACGGCAATGATGACACCAAGAACGTTGGTCCAAACAACCTTGTCTTGAAACACGATAAAGCCGAGGATGATTACAATGCATAGTTTAAAGTGACCTACTACATTGTATGTACTATTATTGCAGAAACACAATGCATGAGTAATGAAGCAGCACAAATGCAAGCAGGTAGAACTTACATTGGGCTTGTTTTTCCAATAATCAAGAATGTAGACAGATTGACAAAGAAAGCCAGACATGCGCTGGTGACAATACTCATGATGGCGGAAGATGTCCATTCAAAGTTGTAGAGATTGTGCATATCGTCGAATACAGGAATAAAGACAAGTAGCATGATGGCAGAGATAGGAGCCTGATAGTACAAGAGCTGGAATGAATTGACATCGAGTTCCTTTTGGCGAGTGCCCACCCAGATCTAGATGAAATCAGATGGGATGAGTAATCAAGATTAACGAGTAAAAAGGTTAAAACATACTTGGTACATGCCAGCAGCGGCCACACCGCCAAGAGCCAGAATGGTGCCAATGATATTGATACGAACATCGGTAGCACTAGAAATGGCAACACCGAAGCAGGTGACGGCAAGAGCAGCCTTGATGCGAATAGAGAATGCAGTGTTGTAGTAGAGGGTCTGAACAGCAACGATAAAGGGAGTAGTGAGGACCTTGGCCATCTGATAGAAACCAACTGAGTTGTACTGCAGACTCAGATTAGTCAAGACCACAAAGGCCGAGAAGGTAGCACACAGACGCAGGATCTCTCTAAGAGGAATGATCTTTCGTTCAAACAGACCGTAGCGAGCACATAGTTCCAGTCCTAGAAAAGTAGTGACAAAGTGGATGACAGTCAGCAGAGTGCCAAACTTGAAGCCCTCCTTGTCAAAGACCCATTTGTTGGCCAGTACGATGCCGACTGAAGATACCAGGTTCAGAACCATGTAGAATGCATTGAGCATGTTAGCAGTGGAGTGCAGAGACGGCACAACCATCAGAGGTGGAGAGAACTGTGACTGTGGAAGGTGGATGACAGTGTCTCCCAAGCGGGGAGACATGGGATGATTAGTGCCAGAGATTGGGTTGGACGAGCGACCTGGGTGCTGCGACGGGAGAGTAGAGGGAAGCAGCTGCTCCTGCAGCTGCTGCATCTGTCTTGCATTGTTGTGGAGTGACTGCTTCATTCTATGGAGTGGTCTTGCAAGGTCAAGATCAGTGATAAGGCGGAGTTGACATCGAGTCTGACTTGCCTTGTCAACGATCTTGCCATGAACAGACTGTGTTTCAGACACTTGGCTTCCACCAGAAACTCTCTTGCGAGATCGCTTTCTACTCTGTCAGCGCTGCAGCGCGAGTCTCTTCTCTCTCCATTACTGACTGCTGACTGGCTGCTGGTTCAAGGTCGAGATGCCATCACAAAAGAGTTTCAGTTCACCGACTTTGCTGCTGCATTTGGCTTCATGTCTCGTATTGCCATTGCTGCTGAAAAGGTATTTGCACTGTCTGTGTCATCTGTTGTTCTCTTACTGACTCTTCTCACATCGGATTGTTGTTTTATAGATGGATCATCATCCAGAGGCAAGTCCTAAACTTGATCATCTCTAGTTCATGTCCGTTTTCTTTATTTGCTCACTTTTGTTTTATTCTTTAGTGGTCTAATGTATACAATCGAGTTCAAATCACTCTTTCTACTCACGATTGTTCTGGTCTGAGCATTCGAGATATCAACCTGGCAAAGGTGATTGATGATGCTGCCACTTCTTCGGGTCTTGTTTGGGCTTGATTCGTTTCAATGTGCATTCCATCACCGTATTCACGTAAATGGATCACTAAATAAAAGTGCATGTAAACTGTCAGTCTCATGATGTATAGACTCGACAGCAGTCGAACCCAATGTCTGGGTTCAAATTTAGTGGTTGTAAAGCCTATGACTATACAAAAAAACGCCATTTCAGTTCAAATCTATAGTTTTATTATGCAATGACATTGTGTTGATTGAATCGAGATCATCTATTAAATTCGGTTTTATTAGAAAGGCAGCATTCAAATCCATTTCAAAAATAATCAAAGTGTTCCATTTACGTGAATGCAGCTTTGATGGAATCTGGAAGTAATGTTACTCTAAAGCTCCTTTCCTTCTTTTCTTTAGCTATATCTTCAATCATCACTTCTGGAAAGTACTCTTCAACAAAATCTGCGACTACTTTTTGTGCAACGGGATTGAGAGGTCGAGCCATTGCAAATGCGTGTTTGATATCTCGATATATCTCGGGTGTAAGCGAATGTCCTGCTTTCATCATGGTAAACATGGCTTGGATCACTTCTTCTCCCATTCCACCTCGAGCTAATAGTCTGAGCAGGGCTTGATATCCATCTATATTTAATGCTAGTTTGTCATTGTCGATCATGGCTTGAATGGCCTTGGCTGTACGCTCTTGTCCTAGATCTGCTGCTGCTTGAATGAGTATAGTTACAGATTCTGCTTTGGGATTCTCTTTAGATTTAAAAAGTTGTGTCCACACCCTGACTACACTGACTAGATCATTTTCTCTATGGTTTGCTACCATCACTTGGCACAAAGCTTCTTCGCAGAGTACTAGATTGTGTTGGCTAAATTCTTGATAAAGCTCCAAAACTATTTGACAATGAGACTTCAATTTGTCAATCAAAACAGACTGTGGTGATAAAAGATAAGAATGCGCAAGATTCGCTGCCTCTTTCGAGTCTTCAACAGTTGCCTTTTCTGAGATTGAATTCGCACCAGGCTTGACAAACTCTTTGGCAGATTCTATAATGCAGTTTTCCAGCTGTGATTGATATTTTTGCAAAATCGGTTTCATGAGTATATTCTGAGTATGCCCAATCTTTCGCATCCTTACAATCACTTTGGATGCCTCTGTATACTTTCGCGCATAAATACATGCCAGAATAAGGCTAGCGTATATTTCTGGAGATGGGTGAAGTTCAGCCTTGCTCATGCTGTCGAGAGTTGACATTGCCGAGATAATATCTCCTGCTGCAACATACGCACCCAGCGTTACTTCAAACGTCACTTTATTGGGTGCGATCGAGCTGTTTTGATGTTGAAGACCGCCCCACAGTTTTCGGATCATAGAAATGTCAGAATCTACTGCTGCTGCTTTTAAAACTGCATTGTACAGTGCAATGGTCGGACGAATTCCTTTTTCTTGCAGTTCATCAAACATTGCATACGCTTCGTTGGATCTTTTCTGAGCCGTAAGTCCATCAATGAGAGCACAGAAAACACCTATGGTAGGAACAGTACCACGCGATAAAAGTAAATCGGTATGGGCAAGAGCGCAGTCAGTGTGACCAACATGGCTGGCATATCCAATAAACTCGAAATGCAGTGAAATATCTATACCACCTAGCATAGAGTCGGAAGTATGAAGAATAGCCAATGCTTTGTCCAACTCCCCATTATTGATTTTGCTACGTACTAAAGGTCCAAAGCTGCCACGTGTAGGAACTACTCCAACGGTCTGCATATAGGTATATAGCTTTTCAGCCGATTCTAGGTCATCCAGTTGGCAGAAACCACTGATGAGTGTCGCACATAGATTTGGGTCGTTTTCAATAAATCCCTCAGTCATGCGATCAAAAATTCGCTGAATAGCCTGCAGATCTTTGTTTATAACCTGCATTTTAACAACCTGACTGTGTACTGCAGCGGTTGGTATAATTCCTTCTTTTTCCATACGATTGTAAAAACTCTGGGCTGCTTCTGTTTGTTTAGCAGAAATACACCCCATCATAAGAATCGAGTACGACTCTGCATTGGGAGGATATCCTTCCTTGATTGCCTTTTCCAGCATCTCAGTCGCCAAATCAATACTTACAGAGTTGACGGCAATGCGCAGGAATTGGTTGTAAGTGTCAATGGTGGGTTCAAATCCAGCATGTTTCATCTTGACGATCGTCTCTCTTGCATAATCGATTTTACCCACTGATCCATATGCATGAATCAGTATCGAAAACATATCTATAGTTGGTTGTAGTCCCAATTCTGAACAAGTACGAATCACATCTTCCATTGCCAGAAACTTGGGTGGATCCTGCTTGCTCAAAATCTGGAGAAGCCGCTTAATATCTTCTATTGTAATTCGTTTCCGCTGATGTGGATCTAGAATCAAATCTCTAAATTTAAGCCATGAAACAATTTTATCGTTCAAAGCAAGAGCTTTAGAAAACGCTTCATAATCGGCTTTGTAGAGAGGCTTCACATGTTCAAAGTTTACGCTTGACAATGGCTTGTGTAGACGGAATGACAATGTAGAGTCTTGAGTGAGAGTAGGTTTGATTAGCTTTAGTTTAGAGTGTGAGTGCTTTTGATGACTGTGCTTGGCATTGTGTTGAGGGGTTGATCGCTTTGCATCTAGTGATGATGACGAGTTGGAAAGCGATAATGATCGATGATGAATGTCGAGTAAACCAACTGAAAATCTGTTCAATATCAGGTTTTGCTTTAATAATGACAAGTGCTGGACGTTGGAAATAATGCTTGACATGGTTGGATATATAATAGTGGATAGTATGAATGATATTCGATGCAACAGTAAAGTGCCAAGAGTGTTTTATGCTGAATAGCAAAAAATAAAAAATGAAATTTTTACAATTCAAAACAAACTTGGCTAGACAGTTTGATTTCAAACTCTCCATTTTAAACCAGTTATTATTCACTTGCAGTTGAATAAAATCTATCAAGTGATTCAATGCATTATTATGTAAACTAAGAGGTTTTATTTTCTCGAGTCTAGTGTATCATAAGGTTGCTTCAAAGCGTACTCGCTTTATAATTGGTGCTGTTCCAGCCAACTAAAGCGATATTCAATAATTATGATGAGATTGCATTTTCACAACTATATGATGGTTTAAAAAACAAGGACATGCATTACTCTTTACCTGTGCAGCTTCCAATGCACTATTTGCTGCCGCGACAGCAGCAGCAGCGACTTTACGTTCCTTGCGCTTATTCTTTTCCTGTTCTACCAGATTTTTCTTGACTTGAGCCTAAAAGTTTGAAGAGTTTAAAAAAGATAGTTTTGGAACAGATGCAGTTATGCTGAAACAATCCATTTAAACTATTACCATTTCCTTTTTCCTGTCTTGTTTACGCTGCAGGATTCTTTTAGTCTTTTCCTTTTCAATCTTGTGTACAGCAGCCTAGTCATGCAGTCGATAGTGAGTTTACAGAATCATATAATGCCGCTATGCATTACAACTTACTCGCTTGGCCAGCTTTTTTCCAATCGTTTCCTCTTCCTTGACATTCAACGCATCAATGAGTCCGAGCATCTGTGACTGGTCTGCAAATTTTTTGCCCTTTTTACCTTTGGGCTTGATGGGTCTGCGAGAAGGTTTGGTCTTGGTTTTAGACTGATCGTCACTCTGATCGTCATCCGTCTCATTCTCTTCATCGGTATCCATAGCTTCTTGATCATGCTGCTGCTTTTCGGTCGACAGTGTATGTGATACTACCGGACTCTTGGTAGTATCAGACTGTTCAGATTCAGTATCAGATGGTTTATTAGCAACACAAGCCAACCGATCTGCCGTTCCAGCCAATTTCTTTCCAACCCGACCAACAGTTTGACCGCTACGAGCCATTGCATATGCATTCTGTGCTTTCCAGTTGAGCTGATGAGAAAACGTTTTTCGCAATGGAGTAGCAGGTTTTGATTTGACTATACCAGTGGTGGATTTGCTATTGGGTTGATCTCGAGTTCGACCATTGGTCGATTGTCTATATGTTGCCCTTTCCTTTCCTTGTCTAGGCCCACTTGGTTTCATGCTTTAGGCTATTCAATGGCTGATTATAATAGAATTTTACAGTCGTATTCACGTAAAATAAAAACACTTTTTTGTATTTATCTTGGACTGATTATTTTGCTCTAGAATAAAAATGGCCAAATATCCGTTATTTTCCTACTAGAAATGGATTACTTTTGAAACTCTATTCCAATATCAGATACGTTTGTGCTCAAGTTCAACATGTCTCAGGAATGCAACCATACATGCTGGTCACACAATGTTGACTTTAAATGTTCGTTTTGGAAGAAAGGTTGAGCAGATGTCAAGGATGTATTGAAACAAAGATGTAAACATTCACATTATATTTTTGCACAAGAATAAGTTCAAAAAACAGTATTATCCAGTAAGATTGACACCCATCAAACATGACTGTTTATCATGTATTTTAGTTTACGTGAATACGGATGTAAGAGCAAATGAATAGATACTATTTTGATATAAACTTGAAAATCAACGAGAAAAAGGTAGTTTTTGGATTCAAAGTTTATTTAAAATAATAAACTCGAACCATTCAGCTCACTTGAATGGCAAGTTTAAGCTGAATAAAAACTAGAGTTTCTATCAAAATAATAGTCTGGAATTATTCTCTCGAGTTTTTATTGCTGGCAAGAATGGACTAGCGAATGCGTTGAAGCTAAATCTTGACAGCGCACACGATGGAGTAAATTCGATTCGTTTGGATCGAGTTAACCAATTACAACACATTGACATGGCTTCGTTTACTGTCGAGCAAGTTGCTACACATAATACTGACAAGGACATTTGGGTATATTTATTATTGCTATTGTATAATTAATAAAACATTCTCTCCAACTCACTAATATGAATGGACTGTTTTACTATTAGATTATCGTTCATGGCAAGGTAATCCAACCATGCATTCTGTATAGATTGTTCAGTCTTGTTTCTGTGAATGTACCAAACTCTACTTTTTAATTCTGCATTCAAGCCAGGGTGATGCCATGCACAGATCTTGAAAGAGGTTTTGGGTCAATGCACACCTCGTTAAACTTTCCCATTGGCAAGAGGTTAATAACTAGAAAATACATTTTCCGGTTTAGGTATACGATGTTACTCACTTTTTAAACGAGCATCCTGGCGGGAAAAAAGTACTGCTCAAGGTTGCTGGCAAGGACGCTACCAAACAGTTTGACCAGTTTCACAATGCAGCAATTCTCGAAAAATTTGGTCCTGGTTTGCTGAAAGGAGCTCTTGGATCTGGTGCTGCTCCGACCCATGTGGCTGCTGCTCCAACCCATGTGGCTGCTGCTCCAACCCATGTGGCTGCTGCCCCTGAAGCACCCCTTGAAGGTATTGCCGAGGGTGAAACCTTTGGTGAAATGATTCCATTCGGTGACCCATATTGGTATTCTGTAAGTTATTGTCTAGATCTTCATTGTTGTATTTCAACATATGCGCTCTATTTTATCAAATTCAACTCTGTTCATGACTTTTATATTAGGATTGGTATTCTCCTTACTACTCCGAGTCGCATCGCAAACTTCGTTCCTATGTACGGAATTTTGTTGAAAAGGAAGTCATGCCCAACTGTCATGAATGGGATGAAGCCAAGCAACTTCCTCGTGAATTGTTTACCAAGGCTGGTAATGCTGGCATCCTTCAACTCATTAATGGCACTCCGTTTCCAGAAAAGTACTCTGAACGTCCTCCGCCTGTAGGCATCAAGCCAGAAGAAATGGATGTATTCCACGAATTTATTGTGGCTGATGAACTTGCTCGATGTGGATCTGGCGGTGTACTGTGGGGCTTGATTGGTGGTCTTGGAATTGGCTTACCACCCATTATCCACTTTGGATCTGATTATCTAAAAGACAAGGTTGTCAAGGATTGCATTCAAGGTCGAAAGAATATTTGTCTGTGCATCACCGAACCCAGTGCAGGATCTGATGTAGCTAATCTGATGACCGAGGCAAAAAAAACTCCCAATGGCGAGCATTATATTGTAAATACTAGACATTGATATTATATGGATTCAACCATGAGCAGTTTACTGAAATTTGAATCTCATCTTTTCAACCAAGGTTAATGGAGAAAAAAAGTGGATTACCAATGGAGTGTTTGCAGATTATTTCACGGTTGCCGTGTAAGACCTTGATTTTGTTGTATATGATTGTACCTTGCATCTTTTTATTCTCACAATTGATTTCACTCTGACATATTGTCAAGTCGTACTGGTGGTCCAGGTATGAATGGTGTGTCCTTGCTACTGATTGAAAAGTCGATGCCAGGTGTCAAAACCCGACACATGCCATGTTCTGGTGTCTGGGCCTCTGGAACGACTTACATTACATTTGAGGATGTCAAAGTTCCTGTCAAAAACCTTATTGGCAAGGAAAACAAAGGGTTCAAATGCATCATGTATAATTTCAATCATGAGCGCATGGGCATTGCTATTCAAGCTACACGGTTTGCTCGTGTTTGTGTCGAAGAGTCCATCAAGTATGCCCACAAGCGTAAAACATTTGGAAAAAAACTCATTGATCATCCTGTTATCCGTAACAAGCTTGGTCACATGGTACGCAAAGTAGAAGCTACTCACGCATGGATGGAGTCCCTTTTATACCAAACCAAATGCATGCCAGAAGACCAACAAATGCTCAAGCTTGGTGGTCCGATTGCGTTGCTCAAAGTTCAATCCACCCAAACCATGGAATTTTGTGCTCGCGAAGCAGCTCAAATCTTTGGTGGACTATCCTACTCCCGTGGTGGTCAAGGTGAAAAAGTCGAGCGACTTTATCGTGAAGTTCGTGCATATGCCATCCCAGGTGGATCAGAGGAAATCATGATTGATTTGGGTATTCGACAAAGTATCAAGGTTGCTCAATTTATGGGTGCAAAACTTTGAACCCAAGTCGGTAAAACCCTTATATACCTATGCTCATTCTTGTCTTGAAATTCCTGGTCTTGGTTTCAAACCATACACCTTTCAAACGTGTCAAAATAAACCAAGATTTCCGGAAAACATCAGTTTCATTTATTTGCGTTTCTACAAAGTTGGGCTATTCCATCATGTATAAAGCAAAGATTTGGCAAAACTGTGGTTCAAATCAATCGAAAGGGCTCCATCAAGAGCATTCTCTCTTAAAAGAGAAAAAAAAAGTAATGGTTGTAGGGGTAAAACAGAAACTAAAACGAAACACCAGGAAATTACGCCTTGGCTGCATTCCCGACATGGAACATAGCCAAGTAGAATAAGATTTTTTAAATCTTGAAGGGTTAACAGCACTTTCCAGACGCAGGTTTGGCATTGGTTGTCGTGGGTGCGACAGTGATGCTTTTGCCTGCACCTGGTCCTGTTGCTACGCGGTTACTTTCATTTTCCATTGCCTTGTTGGATACCACCTTGTATACATCTGAAATAGACGGTTGCAATAAAATGTTAATCCAGTATTTCCAAATCTAAATGGTTGCGCGATCCAACCCAACGAGTCAACTTGATCAATGACTTACTAGCAAGAATATCTTGAAATGCAGTTTCAACATTTCCACCATCCAAAGCAGAAGTCTCCATAAACAACAGTTGATTCCGAGCTAATATTGAAAAAATAAATACACAGCCTTGATGTTCAGTGGGATCAACTCAACTTACTGGCAAATTCCTTGGCCTCTTCTGTTGGAACAGCACGAAGGGACTTGAGATCGCTTTTGTTGCCTACCAACATGATAACAATACTGGCATCTGCATGATCCCGCAGTTCTTTAAGCCAACGTTCCACGCTTTCAAACGTTTTTTGTTGTGAAATATCATATACAAGTAGTGCACCGACAGCACCACGGTAATATCTAAAGTTTCCAATACATCACATTATAAGCACATTCTGGACTAGAGTGTTTCTATTCATTGAAGATGCAATGCTTTGGCAAGGAAACACGTTTAAAAAGCAAAACTTACGCGCTAGTGATGGCTCTGTAACGTTCTTGGCCAGCAGTATCCCAAATCTGAGATTTGATTGTTTTACCGTCAAACTCGATACTTCGAGTAGCAAACTCCACCCCAATGGTTGATTTAGAGTCCTGATTGAATTCATTACGAGCGAATCTGGAAAGTAAGTTGGATTTGCCTACACCCGAGTCACCAATAAGGACAACTGTTTGAATTGTGATAAAACAGACATGTTAGTTGAGCCAAAAGATTGAGTTTGCCATGTTAAAACCAGACAGGATAAAGAGGGTGTTTTAAGCACCAAGTTGGAATATAAGATCATGGATAGATTTACAGCATCCATTAGATATTGATTCTAGTCTTGAAAGCATGCATTTATAAACTTGACAAGTAGACGGCATTTCGATCAGACGATGCGTAAACAATGCAGTGTGGAATGCAACACCAAGCAGTTAGGATATATACCAACGTATATATTCCGTAGACTGACTGAATAGTAACACTCATCAGTAGCGATTAAGACCAGGGAAGCAAAGCCTATCCTGGTACTGCTCAGCAGTAGACTGGGAATAAGTGTTTAGGAAATAGCAAACATGACCAAAATGGATTCCAGTATATTCCGTTGTACATAGCAAGGATGTGATGATTGACAGAGTGACTAGTTTATATTATAAACTGTAAAGTCCTGATAGTAGTTATGAGCAACACAATCCAGACTAGGGGTTGCTCATCCTGATTATGACTATCGTCTAGATGGCTCATAGTCAGGGTTAGTAACCAAGACCACCCAGTCGAGTCTAACCCATGTAGCCATGATTTAAATCAGAAGTTGATTCAAAGAGTCTAACAGCAGTACCTTTGAATAGGTAGTGGTAATCGTCAGAAGCCATTTGGTAGTTGTTGATGGATTGGTGTGGAGAAGAGTTGCAGAATCACTCGCGTTTGTATTGTCAAGTTATTGGCAAACATAAAAGTTTGTCAGATTCAGTCAATCCATCAATCCAAAACTAAAACATTTTAAACTAACCGAAAGAATTATTAAAGAATTCTTTAAAAACTCTTTAAAAACTAGATAATTATTCTTTAATAATTCTTCAATCCAAAATCAAAAGAATTCAATGATGGCTCATGTGAATTCTATTCAACTCGATACTCTTGAATCTACTTCAACTGTTTTATCCACTCGAATGGATGAAATCAAACTCACACAGGATTGCTTCTCTCGTAGAAATACTGCACTACAATTCCATTCATGTCGACAATTACCCATCGAGTTGTGGGCTTATATTATTGAACAGGTCGCATATCTACCAACTCCTCCCGCTCTTTTACCCAGATACTCTTCTCAGTATACTTTGTACAGTCTATCGCTGGTTTCTTCTGACTTGGCAAAACTAGTTGTACCCTGGCTATGGCGTAGTCCACATATCAAGTCTATGCGAGCTGCCGTATCATTCTATAGATCCGTGATTTGCTATCCATCCACCGTTCTCAGTCATGCCAATTTGCTGACTTATACCCATCAGGTCATGGCTCGTAACAAGTTAAAGTCTTATCCTTCGGCATTGTTAGGTGCGGCTGCAGACTCGCAACTTCCTCCTGTCATCTCGTGCGTTGGTCCATACTCCGCACGCGGCTTGTTCCTATTCTCTCAAGTGCACAGTATTTGCTACATCAATCCCGACCAGATCAGCTTGCTTTATATGTTGCTGGACAAGTGTTTAAACTTGCGTCGGATTCCATCCAAACTTTGGTGCACTTTGTCATCAAGTTTGTATAATCTTATTGCTTCTCGCATTAAATCCCTTGACATGATCGAAGTGACAGACAACAACCACAATTGCTTGGATGAAATTGCAAAGGCTGTTGACCGTGCTAATCGAGACTGGGTTGGTGGTGCGCGCAGCAGCTCAAGTGCAAAGACTGTGCTGGATATCCCTGATATACGAGACTTGGTGGAATGTCTTTTGCCTTCAGTTCGTCGATTGGCCTCATTGTTTACTCATTTCAAGCAACTTGATCGTTTAATATTAGAAGACGAGGCTTTGTTAAAATCGCCTGAAATTGTTCTTCAAATTATAACGTATTTTCATCCCCGCCTTAAAGCTGTCAAACTTGTGAATAGTACTCCTGCTGGATTTACAACTGCTACCCTTGTTCATCTTCAACACGCTTGTGCACAGCTGGCATATCTTTTGCTTAAACGCTTTACATTCTGCAAGTCATTTACAATCTTGCCTTTTAATTCACTGAAAAGACTGGATTTGGTTGAATGCCGATTTAAAAGTGATCAGGTCGCGTTTGCCATGATATCTGCGTGTCCAAACCTAGAGGCTTTTACTATGCAAACGTGTATAATCGATACTCCTATATCACACGATAAACATGATGAATTTTTTGAAACATTTTTTAAAACTTTAATTTCAAATTCCTTGAAGCTTCTTTCATTATCAAAAGTAAGAACAGTTACTTTTAACAATCAATTCGCCACAGACTCGGTTCCTGATACCAAGTCTTACGCCCTAACCCTTAGCTCCAGGGCTATTCAGCTCCTTTCAACAGCAGCTCCGCATCTCCGTCATATTATACTCGATCAAGTGGTATATGGAATTGAGCAGATGCTGTTGCTAACAGAATTGTTTCCAAAGCTGTATACGCTGAGTATAGTCACTCTTTCCTCAATGACTATAAACACGGCGATTGAAATCGCTTCACCGCTTAAAAGTATACGTGCTTTCTCGTTAATCTGTTTGGCTGTTGATGATAATGAATCATCCGATATGTTGTTGAGGTATTTGGTCAAAAGATTTGATCGTACGCTTGAATCAATTGGCATCTCAAATAACGTTTCCCTATCGGCAGTCGAGGAAGCAGTGAATTCCTGTAAAAACTTGCGGAGTTTGTATTTACCCCAACTGGCTAAAGATCAAGCCGATATCAGTCTCTGGCTTCAACAGCGTAGTGTTGGCTATGAATTCAGTTCTGATTGCGAGTTTGATTTTTGAGTATTTATTATGACACGAATGTAGCGTAAATGGTTGACTAGATTTTGAATGAATATCATTTCGAATTGTTTCAACAACCAAGGGGTTGGCACCAGTTTGTAATGACTAAGTAGATCCTTGGATGGGTTGCTGGGCGTTTTTTGATAAAATAACTTCCACAGCTGTGCCAGTAATCCATGTCTGTAGATGCTCAGGCTGTTTTAAATTCTTAATCTCCCGAATTCGCGCTACAATGTAATTGTTGTAAATCATAGCCAGCTTTGTACCCCTATAGCATCTTGCCTCAATATCCGCAGCCACCTGCAGTAGAAAATGACTATTCAACAAAACAGTATTTGTCAGTCGCTACACTAGACAGTCTTGCCACATTGGGCTTAACGTGTCATGTACAACTCACCTGCGTTCATCAGGGTTGTCAATACAAACCAAGTTCCAAATCCAGTTGCTACTGCATTCCAATATAGGAAATACGTTTTTCAGCTCGTTATAAATTCGCTCAAACGACCGTTCTCGATCAGTAATATTCATTCCCTGAACGGTTTTTGCTGCTGGGGATCGTATTGGAAATGTTGACGTTGTTCGCAGTTCTAGTTGTGAAAGCGGTGTGTTTGAAACGGTTTCTTTCAATCCTTTTTTCCCTATATCCAAAAATATAAGCTATTGACTTGCATAATAAACCAGTACTGTTGAGATGATGGATGTGGTAATACAGTTTACGTACCAAAAAGAAACAATCTTTTTGCTGCTGGATCTACTTTGATGGATTTGCCACTTGCAGTTTGAAAATCAGAATGGTTTGTTTTGGTACCAGTGCTGGTTTGGTGTCTATAGTTTGAGCTTTCTTGATATTGTCTGCCATTGTAATCATCCTGTCTGGATTCTTCATTATAGGGGTGTATGGCAGAACATACTGCACTGGATTGAGCAGCAAGATCGTCCATATCGGGATCAGTTGAAAACATATCAAGTGTACGCTTACGAACAACTCCAACAACTGATCCGTCCTTGAGTCGCGTCATACTAGTTGGATGATCAAGTTAAAACAGGTCCAATGTAGTGAGTTAGGTCATTGATATGAATGCATAAAATACAGCATCGTGTGGTACAATGAAACACTACTTTAATTCACGAGCACTTTTGAAACCACCAAACTTTTCAATGGCTGATGAGCAAGGCATAACAGGCATATCGGCCAAATCTGCTCCAAATCGCGGTTTATGTACTGAAGGGTTGGATAAAGCGGCCTTGACCATTTTCTTGACTTTGAGAGGATCTCGACATATATCACAGTGTTTTTCTGGACACAGTTCGTCTTGGTTTTTAGACTCTATTAAGGTGCGCTTGAGTTTTTTTGTTTGAACATTCAAGTCTACCATTATTTTTTTTTCAGAAAAATACTCATCGGTATACTTGTGCCGACAAATACTATCGTTTTCACAATACCTGACAAGCTAGCAACCAAATTGTACAAATAATAAAATATAAGCAACCAGTGAGTTGATGTTAAACAAATAATCGTGAGAAAAATGCCATCACCATACCTCGTTGAAGCTTTGCATGGCATGCGTCCTATATGCAGAATCAAGGCTGTTCAGTTGCTGCTGGAGCATAAAAACATGTCGATCCCTATCTTGTCTTGAGTAGTATAAAATACACCGACTCACTTTTCCGTCACGACCAGCACGTCCTGATTCCTGATAGTAGCCTTCAAAAGATTTGGGCATATCCCAATGAATCACAAATCGGACATCTTTTTTGTCAATACCCATTCCAAAAGAGATTGTTGCAACAACTATGTCTACAGTTTCCCCTGGAATAAGGGGTTCGGTTGTACCATGTTTGGCTGTAGATGTTTGTTTCGACGGAGTGGTGGAGGCTGATGCTCTTTTGGTCTTTTTTTCTTTTGGAGTGGATACAGCTGTGGTTACATCCGTGCCTGACCATGCTTGAAGAATTTGCTTTCGAGTTTTTGGCGAAAGTCCAGCATGGTAGCACTGTGCTCTTATTTGATTTGTACGAAGCATGCTGGCTACATCCTCGCATGTTTTTCGTGTTCCACAGTATCTAAGCCAATATTGTTTTAGTAAATAGCATTAGGATATCAAATCTAGCTTCAACTTGGAAATTGATTACACGACAAAGTCTAGTGCACATACATGATTCCGCAAAGAGCAGTGGATCTTCCTTCAGAGTTGCTTTTTTTTAATCGTTCTCGTCTGGATTCGTACACGTTATTGAGAAATTTAATTATATCGTTGAAAGGATCATTTGTGTCTAAAGGTTTAAACCGTACTTCATAATGCAAGTTTGGTCGATTGAATGATGAAATAAACGTGTTTAGCGATGTGTCCAAGTGAAGCTGCTTTACAATATCTGCTTGAACACTGGTGAAATATAGTATAAACATAGTCAGTCATAAGATAAAAAACGCTGGCATAAAACAAACAGTGCTATTTATATGATTTATGCATAATTTACCTAGCAATGGCAGTGGCGGTAAGAGCCATGATAGGAATGGTTGGATAGGTGTCTTTCCAATACGATAATTTGCGGTAATCGTCTCGAAAGTCATGTCCCCATTCACTGATACAATGTGCCTAAATAAAAAACAGTGTTTAAATATTGAATTTACAAGTGTTGGTGTGGCAGATAGGGTGTAATAAAGCATAATCATTCATCAAATATATCAAGTTGAACATAGATATGTACTTCATCCACCACAATTCGGGAAAGCATTCCTGCTTTATTGATTTTTTGCATGGTGGCTCTAAATTTATCCGTTGCAAGCAGTTCTGGAGTGACTAGTGAAATAGCAAGTGCAGATAACAGAGTTAGGAAATGTGGATTTCCAAACCATCAATTGGATTAAACAAGCCTAATTACCATAAAGTAATTTAGTTTTTGGATTTCCAGTAGCCAAGTCCTTTGTAATCTATATTTCACGATAAGATGCAAATGTATAATTCAAGTTTAGATTCTAAATTTTGGCTAGTAGACATTCAATAAAGATTGAATACCTTGTCTTTTTCAGTTTTTTTGAGACTAGAGTTGAGAGATGCAGCCTTGATTTTGAGTTTCACAAGAGCATCAACTTGATTTTGCTAATCCATTTCAAGCGTGCCATTGAATGTAATTTAAACAGTATAGTAGCATATTGAGCAATCAAATTAAGTGAATATATGTAGATATCAGACAATTTCAAATGGCTTACGATTAAAGCAATCAAGGGTGAAATCACTAGAGTAATTCCAGGAGAGATTAGTGCAGGAAGTTGAAACGTAAGCGACTTTCCACCACCTATTTGACGAGATTGAAAAGATGAATCAAGTAAGATGTCAATCTCTAGTATTATCAATATCCGAAAGCAGCAGTGAATCACCTGTTGGCATTAGAACCAAAGTATCTTTTCCTAAGATGCAAGTTGATATTAATACAGGCGTAGATACAAGACAAATGTCAAACCAGCATTGGTTCATGCAAGGAATGAAAAAATCAAAAAGACTGATTACAACGCAGTGATTGATTTATAATCTTGACATGGACCTTCAATGGAGTATATAAGGAGCGAGCATGTACCTTGCAGAGTGGACAAGATGATTCGCTCCTGTTCCCCGCGGAAGTCGGCCAAACCAAAGATGGATTTAAGAGTGTGATGAATTTTACTTTTGAGTAGTTCAGTGTAAGATGACTGGTGTGTAGTCATGGAAGATGCGACAGGACCCAACTCGCCTGTAGCAATGATGCTTCTTGGAATCAGAAACTTGTCCATTATCGAATGAAGATTAAAAAAGTCTGAAGATCGCGGACATTTTTATAAAGTTTTGTTGGCAAGTAGATTCAAACTTGAAGATACGACTCGAATCCACAATTTGAAGACAATTTGAATGTACGAATCGAATCCACAACTCGAATCTTACTAGAAGGATTCTTGAAATGACATGTTTGTAGTAATGGATAGAGTCACGTGTGGTATAAATATTAACCAGCAATCAGATTCGTCGAGTTAGTCAAGCTATTCAGATGACGACTGCATCCGACGACCATCCACCGCTACACTCTCCTGTTTCCGATACTTCGTCGTATTCATTGCCATCTTCATTAGCAAAAAACTTGTCGCTGTTGCCATCGTCTCTTATCGCTCTTTCAAATGTATCGATAGTAGCTACAGGATCCCAACTGATTGCTAATGTTTTAGAAATAGGCTCTCGCCTATCATCTAGCAAACATGCAAAAACTCCATCTAAACCACAGAACCAATGCAGTCTTGAACAATCTTCCCGAAATCCATTGGCATCGCTATCCTTGCAACTCCCTCCACTGCTTCCGTCCCTGCCTTCCAACAGACGACCCTCGTACGAATTCTTCAAAACTTTGGTATTGAGCTCCCCATCTGCTGAAAAGTCTTCCAAAGCAGCTCTGGTGGAGCCTTCTGACGCATTCGAGTCTTGGTCTCATACCTCGGATACACTCTCTATCACTCCCTCCACTAGCATAGAATCCTACTACAATCATCCATCCAACAGCATACACGGTTCGTATAGCTCTGCTGCTAAAGGTAATCCATGCTTTTTATCCATGCTGATTCTCACATGCTGACAAAAGCTTGGTTTAAAGCACCAAATTTTTTGATGCTTTAATCTGCCACTGAACATTTAAACTATATCTGACATTAAATTCTATCCAGGTGGGTCTGTAGCGTTGGATCTCTCCGTTCGTGCTGCTGTAAAGGCTGTTAACTTGCTGGGCTGTTTGGGTCATACTCTCTCCAACATATCTCAACGAGTCATGTCAGCTGTCGATCCAACTATTCATTACCTTGCATGCTCAAGCGGTATTGCCACTCATACTTCCCATCTGACTACTACTAAAAAACCCTTGAATGGTTCTGATCCTTCAACTGCTGATTACAAACCAACCTCTGGGCTACTTGAATGCAGAAATTTTATGCTCGCAGGTACAACTAATATAGCAGCTCATATTCCATACGTATCTACTTTAATGGACTGGATCCTGTACAAATCTCCTTCTCCAGGTCCATTTATTGGAGCTACACACGATGCGCTTCAGTCCTTTCACGTACCCTCTAAACACTATCAAGATACTTATAGTGGTGCTTCGAGCGTATCCACCAACGGACTTTCCTTTTCCTTTTCTGGCTGTTCATCTCTGGTGTTTTATGAGCTAGGTGCTGCTGCGTGTCTACAGCAATATATCAAGCCACATTACCTGGAAGATTGTCAGTTCCTGGGTGCTTCTTACGGTGCGCTTGTTGCTGCCACACTTGCTCTTGGGTTGGACCCAAGTGTTGTTAGAGATCTCTTGGAACAGATCTTTGTCGAGTCATCCAAAAGGTGTGTTGATTTGTGCAGCTATACTTTGTCGTGTATGGTATCAATTAATATGACATGCTATCTTGAATTAGGCTATTGGGTCCGCTGTGTATTATGTCAGAGCAACTTTCTCATGTGCTTCAGCATATACTTCCCTCTGATGTTTCCCATACTCAAGGCAGACTATTTATTTCTCTTACTGAATTTCCAAGCATGGTAAACCATGTTGCTAGCAAGTACAATAGCAAAAAGGTACTATACTGTTTTTCTAAAATATAATCACATGTGGAGATGCAAGTTATCTCGAGTTGACATCAAAATGCATTGCGTATCTACAATCATCATTAGGATCTGACTGATCTGCTGATGGCAACATGCTACGTTCCTTTACTTTATGAAACCCCAGTGAGCGTGAATGGCGTTGTATACATGGATGGCAGTATGTCATTTCCCACACCAATCCTTAACAAACGAACGATTACAGTGAGTCCCGTATCTGGTGCAGCCAATATTAGTCCAGCTTCAGACGTGTTTGGAAGAATACACCATATTTTGCCACTTCAAAACCATACCGAGATTGATCATCTTTTTAAAAGTGGTTATGCTGATACTCGCCAATGGCTACAAGATCAACTCAATCAAGGCGTACTGACTCGACTGCTCTTTACTCACGATCCTTAAATATCATGATTTGATTGGTTTCTTGCCATCTTTTTGCAACTGTATTGAATGAATTAAACTGGAATACCATTTTGTATCGAATGAAATCATAGTATTATTGAAATTAAAAGCACTAGATAGGTCTCGAATGGAATCAAACCATTACAAGATTAAAATGAGTAACTCTGATAAACTGACGTCTGCAAGGATCATATTTGTGTACCAGCAAAAAGTCGTTTTAGATCCTGGCACAACACATCTACAGGTTTTGATCCATCCAGCACGATTGTTCCAGGCTCAGATGTTGGTGACGGAGCCTCGAGTGCATCAAATTGACTTTGAACAAGATTCAGTCCCGCAAAATGGCCTTGTCGAGCTTGAATTCTTTGAACAATAATATCCTGTCGACACTCCAAATACACTATGCAACTTTTAATGGGATGAACTGCATGACAAAGAGTGTCTCTATACAACCGTTTCAAACACGAACATGCCAAAATAATCCATTGTACGTTCGTTGATATAGTAGATATGCTGATCATCTTGGTGGATATAGATTTAAGCCATGGCAATCTGTCTTGATCTGTAAGTGGAAGTCCTTGACTCATTTTGTCAATATTGGATTGGGAATGAAAGCTGTCTGCATCGAGAAACTCTGCTAAACCCAGTATGGATCCATCAACTAGTGCTCTTGCTAGTGTGGTCTTGCCACTTCCAGCTACTCCCATGACGATCAGTACTTTTACTTGTTGGGTGTGTAGCATTGTTTGATGAGTAAAAGTTGATTTGAATCAAATAAAAGTAGATGCGACAATCAATCCACTATCGTCTCGTGCCCAAGACTCGTTTTATTACAGCTAGCGACAAAAAGCATAGGAATGGAGAGATTGCCAACAATCATCAGTGTGTTGGCTGGCTTGAATGGCAGCAGCATTGATTGATCGTGTTTCCTATATCACAGCGACAATCCGACTCGTCAGCACGTCAGTTTACTGAACAATCTGCTGATCCTGTCGATTCAACATAGAACATCACTTGTTTGGTCTTGCTCTGACATGATCTTCAGTATTACATCTATAGTTTGTACACTAGCCTAATCACGCAATTTTACAAACGGACAGTCCACGTTTTTAAAATATGGCAACGACAGCTTGTTTGATACTATTAGAATGGTTTCAAAACATGAGTTTGGACTGTTGAAACCCATTTTCATTCCTTTTGTCGCTGTGATCTCGATAACAACTTGTCAATGGTAAATTTGCCCAAATGGTTGGTTTCATGACAATTTGCACAAAAAACTGAAATTCAATTTGAATGTTTTTTACATTTATATCCTTTCACTTGATCAATAAACATGTTTGTTCAAAGAAGTTTTGCTCGACATCTTGCAACTACTTGTGCTTTATCCAAGCCCAAATGTTTAAACCTATTTCAAAGAGCATACTCTGTCAGTGCTGCTGAACAAGTCAATGCAGGTAAAACTTGCATACAAAAGTGCATTACGTGGTTTTATAGACTGAATCTAAATACACATCCAAGTTGAAATGTTGATTCCGCTATATCATAAACATGAATTAGTTTGCTATATTATTTGGTATATAAAATCTCACATGTTTGTTTTATCGAGTGATAGATCTTAAGCAAGCCATTAAAAATTCAATCAAGACATCAATGAAAAGCGGGAAAAAAACAGAAACTGCTGTTTTGAAATCTGTCATGGCGGATATTATTTACATGGAGAAAAGTTCTCAGGCCAATCAAGACATATCTGCATCTGCCATGATACGAAAAGGGATTAAACGTCGTGAAGAATCTGCTGTTGCTTTTCGTGCCGGAAACAGGGAAGATTTGGCATTGATTGAAGAATCTGAAATTCAGATTTTGAATAGCTTGTTACCAAAACAAATGTCTGAAGAATGCATTGCAAAGATTATTGGTGAGATCAAAGAACGGATTGGGGCCAAAGGACTTGGAGATTTAGGCAAGGTGATGAAGGTTGCAAATACAGAATTAAATTCTTCTGTTTCATCCATGAAGCTTGTATCGGAAGTTGCCAAAAAGATTTTGTCTGCTTAACCAAACCCAATTTTATTTTCATTACAATATATGGCATGCTGCCAAATTAAAAATCTTCATATTGAATCGTATTTCAAATTTAATTCTATACAAATCAGGTTGAATAGCTTAGAGATTCAATGCATAGACCAGCAGATAATTCTTCAATGTTGAGCCAAAAACCAAAACTGAAACTCAGTCGCGTTCTAATATTCAATGTCCGCTTGTCCACCTCGCCATCTGGTAGACTTTGACATACCACCTAGTGCTACTGCTATAATGGGAAAATCCAAGGTGCACTCTCAAGGTGAGTCTGTTGGTTGGAAAGGTTGCTTGTTGTAAAACGACCGTGGTTTAGACTGACAGTGAATTCGCTTTAGAGCACGTTAAACGGCAGATATCCGACCTATCAACAAGGTCGACGATTTCACACCATTTTGGTATTGCAGCAGAACCAAGTGCTCAAAGACTTTCTGCAAACGCACTGCCCAAATCCAACCGTACCGTTTATCATGGACAAGACACAGACTCGTTGCTTCCAGTAGTCAGTCCGTCAACCAACAGCAATGGCCGCGTTTTGCTCAAAGTAAAAGATACGCTCAAGGAGAGTCAGACGGAACTTGAGCATCCATTGACAGATACATTTGAAGTAGGCAGACCAGCAGATGGTTTGTCTGGATATGTAAGAGTTTGGTTTTCTTTCAAGACAGTTGCATTGAATGGAGCGAATCTACAGCAAGCAATGTAGCATCTTATTGTTCCGCCCAGAATATTCGTAGCTGCTCTCTAAACTATTTGATTGTGTATGTAATACAGGTTGATATACTTTCTACCAATGTAGATCTTGACAAACCACAGTTTCGCAATGACAAAGCTTGGTCGCATTGTGGTAGTTTATACAACACGAGCAATCGAGTATCTACACAATGTTCGAGTATCACAGTATCTAGTCCCTCGTTGCAGCCTGAATCCAACGTTATGGATAAAGTTTTAACAGATAAAACAGCAATATCACAACTCCCAGATACATTCGAGGTCGAGCTATTGAGAGCTGCACAAAGAATAGAGAAAGAACTTGGAAGGTCTGGAATTCAATCCAGTCTTGATGTATATTCTTCAGATATATCGCTTGAGAATATGTATCCTGAAACGGTACCTTGTGTCAGCACAGTTGCAGCTGGTCCTTATTCAATAGATCGGGATTTGGTCGTAGAGTTTCCATCACACATTATCACTGAAGAAGTTCTTGATCGACTCTTAGCAAAGCTGACGCTTGAAAATGCTGCAGCGGATGCAGTCAAGGCTGTTTCAACTCATGAACAATCGATTGGACAGTCTACCAACACTGTCACAGAGTCTTTGTCTGCCAATGTGTTCACTCCAAAAAGCAAGGAAACCATTATATCTCAAGAAAACAAACGTGAAGATGTTGTAGTCTTGAATTCCAAAGCATGCTTTCCAGAGTCCAGTCATGTTGCAACTCCAGGATGTGATTGGGAACTGCCTCGTAAGTTAGAGTCATCTTTTCATCAGACTAAACTTGCTCTTCATTCAAACCCCACTACCACAACCACTTACAAAAACAAATGGCACGAAAAAAATACGGATTTATTGTCATCCTATTCAATTCCGAATCAATCTAAAGAACATCAGCATACGAGTAATGTGCTCAATCCCGGAAAAGTTTATGCAGCAATGTCAGAGGATCGACCCTGCTCATTGAGTGTTGGTATACGTTTTCAAGATACAAAAAATGCCACGTTGCATCTTATTTCTGTACTAAAAGTACTCGTCAAAAGCTTTTCTGCAAATATCATATATATTCAATGGTGAGTCGAGTTTGAGTTGAGTAATGAGCAATTCTGGCAGATAAATAGTATATCATTGGGTTGTAACACTTGAAATTATCCAGGAAAGGCACTGGGTTCAATATTGACGTATCAGCATGGGCTGGAAAAGAAATGTCCAAGAAACAGCTTCATACTGCCGTAAAAAAACAAATTGAAGAGACTATACAAAAGATTGATGCGTCTCGCTTATGGATTGTTTCATTACCTCATCAAGCTTCTAAAAAAAGATCTGCACATTGGCCTCGTAAGCAGTATTGGATGCAAATGGTTGGCCAACAAGATTGTTTTCATTTTGACGAGCTACACAAAGCAAACACTCATTGCGTGATTGTCGCTCCATCCAAAACTGCAATCCAAATCCTTGAAATGATTCATGAAACTATCTTGTCTAGCAACTCATCAAGAAACATGAACACGGCGGTGGAGCAAAAGTTTAAAGTACTAGGTATTAAACACGCAAATACACTTCCAGTACATGTAGCAGAATTGATATCGCCACATGATGTTGGTTCGGCGAATTGGTACAGCTCTGTTTCTGATATCACAAGGATACACGGTTGGATGATTTTTGCAATCCAGCTTGAGCCATCGCCTATTCTAGTGTTTGATATGATTGGTAATGTATCATTACTTTTATCGTTTAAATAGACTAAATACTAGTATATTAATCTTAAAAATGCTTTAGATTTATTGGATAAACAGTCTCCGGGTAGCCGTTCAACTATATTTGCTTCCTACGACTCGAGCAGCACATTCTCATGGAAAACCTGTTTTTTTACAAATACGCAACTATTTGTCTGACAGATTAGAGTTTTTAATGAATTTGCAAATACCTTATACTATCTTATTTGACCATTCAGAACATTAATATTTTTGGTTTAAGATATGAAAGAGATTACGACGAATACATGGCTTGCCATCTTTTCCAATTTCATGTTTTGATACTATTCCCATTATTGTCACATATAATCATTTGAATGGTAAGAAATAATAAAAACTAAATGCTAATTCGACTGTTTAATTGACTCTAAATTCAAGCATTTGAGCTTTATCTACTTTTCAACATTTCAAAATTCAAGTTTCTATCAATGAAGCGCATAAAAACATTACATTCTAGTTCCAATCAAGGTGCTTACGTACCTCGTAATTTAGGTGGTCAAGATGATCATTTATCCAGAACTACTAGCAAATATTCAAACAACAGCGCTCAGCACCCTATATCAACAGACAGCATTGCCAGATTACCAGTTCCTGATCGACGTATTAATTTGAAAACATCTACTTACTCTATGCCAGTAGAAATTGGATGTTTTTCATATGGTCCAGATCGAGGCATCAAAATGCAGTGTCGAGAAGCATTGGTATGATAACCTCATATTCGAATATCTACTTTACCATTATGGTTTAAAAAGTATATTGCCAATGAATCCTTGCTCGATTATCTTGCTTGGGTTGTTAATATTTGTGATTTGGTGTCACTGTAGGGCTACTATCATTGTCCAACATTGGGAGCCAGTTTATCAGAAGGATTTTCTGATAGATTTATAAAGAGAGACCCGGCATCTGAGCATTTGGATGCACTGTTGAACTGTGTAAAAGATGCTAATCAACGACTTCAAGCCAATGGGAAAGCACCAGTTATTCCACAAATTTGTACATGTGCGTAGTTTACTCTTATTACAATTGTATTCATGTAAATGGAATATTTGTATTTATCTTGCATTGGAGTAGACTGGTTAAATATTCGTTATTTTCCCTACTACAAATTGACTGCTGCTTCAAACACGACATTCATAATACAATCAAACTATAGATTTGGATCTATCCTTTCCCCTGTTTTTGGCATGAACCGATCCATCCATTGAAATCTAGATATTGAGTTTGATTGTTTTGATGTTGCCAAACTCCATTTTGTTATATCCTAAATCCTGGACACATTCGCATTCTAGTTCAAGAAAACAGATTGCACATTTCAGAAATACAACTACTGTTTTCTTGCCAATCACCCAATGTTTGGTTTGTAGAAAACAAGAGTTTAGATTGAACAAGTATCAAGAATGTAGAATTTATTGGAGTCGTGATGTAGACATTCGTTCCGTTTTTATACAAAAACAAGCACGAAAATCAGTAAGCTCTGTCAAGGAATTTAAAGAGTACAATGCTGTTTAGTAAATTTGGCACCAATTATTTCATGAGATTGGCCGTTTATTACACTTTGACACCCTTATACAATATTCCATTTTATGTAGATACAGCTGTAAAAAACTACTAATCAAAGTATCATTTAAATAGACTATATAATGCTCAACTGATATCAATACAATATTTGAATTTTCTATAGGGAGAGGCATCATGAACAAGATAGCCCAAGTGCCCTATGCATCCAACGAGACATGGGAGTTTGGCGTGACTTTACACAAAGTATATTAATCTTCTGATTGGTGTAGGTGCATTGTATTAAAAACTGACTGTCTATATTGGCAATAATTCAGGGAACAATATATATAGAGGAACACGAGTCTATAGAAAAACAAAAGTCTAAATTTGGTGCGACAGATAGGGATGCAATGTTTACATATTGGGGATACAAGTTTGAGTCACTATCTACAATTCCCATTCCACCAAATCAGCTTGAGCATGATGATCCAGTCTTGAAAAACAGAGAAACTGCAGTTGTAAACACAAATATTCAATTCTGTAGCGTATTCAAGACAAACTATGGATCTCACAGTGTTGTCATGGGTGCCGAAGTGGACTGTGTTACTCGTAAGTATTCCAAGTTTGGACTTGATGTATATTTAAACTATAGTGCCAAGTCGTGTTTTGGCACTCGGCATCACTAACGATCCTTTGATATTCACTGCAACTAAAATCATTAGGTGAAATTGAAACGGGCACTTCCCCTCAAAGCGTATATGCTGAGCTAAAGACCACTCAAGTGATTGATACTGATCGCAAAAGACATAGTTTTGAAAAGTAATATTATATCAAATTGATTGTGCCAAAGTGTAATCTGACCATCATATTTATTGGTCATCTTACTTGCAGTATTTTATTAATTTTTTAGATTTAAGCTTTTGCGCATCTGGCTGCAGTCTTACTTGGCAGGTGTGCCAAAAGTGATTATTGGATTCCGTACTGGGGATGGTCACATTTCTCATGTTCAAGAATTTGATACATCTGAGCTGCCTCGTTTGGTACGAGGAAAGCCTGGCATGTGGGATCCCAACCGATGTATTGCATTTGGAGATCAATTTCTAGCATGGGTCAAACAAGTGGTCACCATTGATGACTGGAATACTGTCTATACTGTCCGATTTGACTCGAATAAGCAAATGATTGAAATGTTGGCACCTGTCACTGGTGGTGACCAAGTATTTATTCCCAAAGATTTTAGTCTAGAGAAATAAATTGAAATGAGATTATCGGCAATCATCGTCATCAGTGCGTATCATGTGTTTAGAAAGTAATCGCATGCATTTCATCCAACATCACTTTTATGGTCGAGTTTGATTGTTACTTGTGCGACTCCCACCACCCAACCCAGTGCCATTTTGAAGTTTAAGAGGGTTTGTGGGCTGTAAATTGAGTCTCCATCTTTACGAATGGTCAGATCTTGATTGTTTTATAGTCTCCAACAGGGTTTAACAGGATTAAATAGACAATGCAACATTCGTTGTGACTAATGGTGTGACATGATTGTTTAAGCTTTAGCACCCATTTCAACATTGCGCTTACAACTTTAATATATTCATTTCGTGTGCTTGATCCATCCATAAATGTGCGCCAAATGATGATTTGTCAAGTCAAATGGGTTTGGCCTGTCGCACTGCATCTATCAAGCGTATCTGTTATCAGATTACTGGGATCGTAGGTTTAGTTCCAAAGTGAGCTTGGTGATGGTTGCTGAAAACCTCTTTATTTCTGTATTCTCATACCTATTGTCACCAACCGTGATCAATTAGTGAATGGAAAATCAAGAGACTACACTTTACTATAGCTTAAATAAAAACAATGCCACCTACTGCCGTTACTCTCAAGCATGCATCGCAAGCAGTAATCACCCAACATTCTCAGACCATTGCGCCAGTTTTAGTAACGATTACTGGTATTGTCAAGGATGAGCGATTTCAGGAAGCCCAAGTATTGGCACAGGTGATTATAAAATAAGTGCATGTGTTATTCTAGTTTCTGAGATCATGCAATTGGACGCATCTAAACATATTGTCAATTTTTTGAACCCACATGCGTAGTCGATACTTGCAAAGTACCCAAGATTAGTTACTCTGAAAATAGAAGGCGATGACCCATTTGCATACCAAGTCAAGCTGGCTCAATTAAAAAAAGTATGCGCTATTGACTATTTGCATTGCATATATTATTTTAAATATAAACAAGCCACTGTTATTTGGTAGTTTTCAAAAAGTCTATGCAGTCAAACCAGCTGCATCTGACATGTACATATTTACTAATTTGATGTCTGTTGAAATCTTGTAGAAATATTCTCGCGTTATAGATTCTCTATATCCAGGATGTATTATTGAAGTGAGTTCTCATGGTATCATGACTGTTGAAGAGTTTGTGACCAAAGCAAAAGACCAGTACGGAGTAGAAATACTACAACCAGCAGCTGTTTACAAAACCATGAGCGATACTGCCCATAATGAATTACTACGTTCCAAAAAGACCGATAGTCGCCTCGTCAGTATGCAGATTAAAGTTTCTGGTGTATCAGTTGGACAGATTTTGATACAAGTAAGAAACTGAATCATGAATATTTTACTACAGTAAGTAAAGTGCATTGACCTGGGCTGTCAACCCAATTTAGCTTTTCCACACCGTCTGTCCCAAAACAGTTGCACACTTTTTGAACTTTGTAAAAACCCCTGCAAAGAGTGGTTTCACATACAACGGATGTAAATTTGATCGACTAGTTCAAAATGGATGGATTGAAACCAGAGATATTGAGCCTCTACATAAATCAACCGAGGCAGAAGAGTGCATCGCAGGTGAGTTTTATCAATGCCTTGACCCAGACAATCCCATGCATATCAATTAATTCAAACTTTAATTCAAATGATGCATAACAAGATGAAAACTTTGTCATCAAACACGATCGTCGTGGTGTGGTATCAATGGTGAATTCTGGTCCCAATACCAATCGATCGGCGTTTATGATTACATTCAAAGCGATGCCGTTTTTTGACTACAAGTACGTAGCAATCGGACATTTAATTGATGGGGATAAAGTGCTGGATGCTTTGGAAATAGTGCCTACGCTGTTTGAAAAACCAGAAGTGGACATTGAGATTGAAGGATGTTGTTTGTTTGAGAATTAGGCCGAATAAAAATGCGATTGGATCTGATAGTGAATTACAGCTGTATTCAGTATGTTGAGACACTAGACAAGGATGTCAGAATACATAACAAACAGTCAATTTCATGACATGGTTGGTGATACCAAATCTACTGGTTTTTCTCGTAGTGATTGGCAAGAAGCAGCTGCATTTCTGGGCCGTGTAATTTCTGTTTTCTTGAACTAGAATGTAAATGTATACGAGATTTTGGAGTACAGTAAAGTGGAGTTTGTATTGTAAATGGACGCTGAGTTTACTCGATTGAGACTGGACAGCCAGTAAAATACACGTGACTGACAGTTCGGACGATTTTTTAACAGAAACTCGGATTTGTCCAGAACTATTATTCATAAATGGTGACTAGAAATACTCTAAAGCGTACAGCTGATCAAAGCGAGTCCAATGTGTCTACTATTGGCACCCCTTCTAAACGCAGATATTCTGATTCAGAAGACAACTGCCAAGAGGCTGTAGCTACACCGACGCGCAGATCTGCCCGAATATCCGCTATTAACACTAGCAGCAATACTAAAAAGAACAAGACTGTTTCTATTATTGCACCAAAAATATCAAGTTCAATTTCTGCTAGTATTTTGAATGATGCTCTGCCCAAACCTAATGAGCCTGTTCCATGTAAGCAGCTTGAATGCATGGTGGCTATATCCGAACCTTCAAGTCCGATTTTGTATTACATATCGGATCTGAGACTATTACAGACTGCTTACTATACTACTTGCTGTTTATATAATATTAAAACTGTTATTACTTGTTGAGTGAATCAGCTGAACCATCCACCGCCCAGCAAAATACCCCTTCAAAATCTGGACGACATCTCATTTCAGATTCTAAAACTCCCAAAACTCCATCTACATCTACAAAGAAATTGGAATCTGTGTATACTCCTAAAGGATCTGGAAGTATATTTCAGGGTGCAAAAGCTGCTTTTCGTCGATGCAGCACTCCATCTCGTCTTGTCGGGCGTGAACGAGAACGCAATATAGTCCAGCAATTTTTGCTGGATAATCCATTTTCTTGCAAATCTGGATCATTGTATATTTCTGGACTTCCTGGAACTGGAAAAACGGCATTACTAGAGGAATGCATTCGCAACTATGCTAGCAATGCTTCAAAGGTAGTTGAAGTGTTTAAATTTAGATCTTTACTCGCTATTGAGATATTGAGCTCTTGCCTAGGGAATAATTGAATCTGACCACAGTCATCAACTTTGACATATTTAGCTGTCTTTTCCTTTGAAAATCGTCAAAGTAAACTGCATGTCAATTTCTGAACCAAAGGGCATATATACAAGCATTTTGTCTCAGTTAGGACTGTCTGGACACAGTATTTCTGAAGGATGTAAAGTATTGGAAAATGTATTTCTCCCAGAAACCAAATCCTTGACCAAAAAATCTCCGTTCCAGTAAGTCTAAAATCTTCTCGTCAAGACTATTGGCCAAGGCTTTAACTCACTTTTAAATTGGTAAAATGTATAGTTTGCTTATTTTGGACGAGATTGACCAGCTTGCTGTTTCCAATCAAGATATTCTTTATCAATTGTTTACTTGGGCCAACCATGCAGATTCACGACTCTCTTTGATTGGCATTTCAAATACTGTGGATCTCACATATCGCCTTTTGCCTAGACTGAGAACTAAAAACTGTGAGAATGCTATATATTAGTGGAAATACCATTCTTGTTGCTTTGTGAAATCAAAATCAAAATACTTATATTTTATATTGAAATTATAAAGGTGAGCCGCAGCTCCTTAATTTTGACCCATACAAAGTGTCAGAGATTACCGAAATCATTCGAAATCGCCTGGACATGGTTTCAAACAGTCCAATAGGAACGACAATTTTTAGCGAAAACAATCCCCCATCCACTCCTTGTAGATCACGAGGGTCTAATCTGATGTCCCCAGACACTACCACCATCTCACTTATGCAGCCCATGGCAATTGAACTAGCTGCTCGTAAAATAGCTGAAACGGGCGATATTCGCAAAGCACTTGATGTATGCCGGTAAGTTTTGTGGCTGCATCATCAATCTTTATTGATATTTTCAATAACAACACCTCATCACGCACATTTTTCAGGCTTGCTTGGGATGTTTTACTAACCAATTTAAATATTTAGAACTGCCATTGAGTTGGCAGAAACTGAAGAAAAACAACGGCAAGTAGTTGATGAACAAGTCAAAACAAGTAAGCAGCTAGATACTAGCATGCCACCAATTTCTGATGCGATGAAAAGTAGTGGCAAAAACAGTTTGATTGCTAGTACACCTACCAAGCTTGCAGTTCCAAAAGTCACGGTTCGACATATTTTATCAGCAACAACCAATCTCTTTGGTTCTCCAAACACCAATAGAGTCACTGGGCTAAGCATGCAGTTAAAGCTACTTCTTTGTACTTTGCTTATCATGAAGCGCACTTTAAATGCTGATATGAGCATAGACAAGGTATATGTTTCATGTACTTTGACAAAGCATGCGTGCTTTTAATCCGAATATCTGTTTAATTTCAATTTAATCTGAATTTAAACTATGCTGTATTCTTCAACTCTTTAGGTTTTGGAGACATATCTATTACTATGCCGATACAGAAACCAAGTCAATCCCCTAAAACGCACCGAATTTATGGATCTTTTAACAAATTTAGAAGCACAGGGACTGATTCGCATTGCTAGCGGTAAAGGAAAAGAAATGCGCCATGTGAAGCTTGTTTCTATGACTGTAAGGCCAGAGGATATAGAACTGGCAGTGTCTGCAGTTCCTATTCTGACAACCGTTTTGGAAAACGCAAGCCTGGCATTAGCTTCCACTAAATAAACATCATTGGAGTATAAATAAATTGATTTTAAATAATACAGATGAACTGGCCATTGTTTCTTCATTCTGTAATGATTTTCCAGGCTACTGCTAAAACGATTGGAATTTTCAGCTAGTTTAAAATCCTGTAACGTGTGTGGTTTTCTTGGGTCTTTGCTCAACTTCCACCTAAAATTTAAGCTATTGGATTAGCTTTTTATGAATAACGAAAAAAAGTTGCTAGACCAGCCCATCTATGCTTGAAATCATTACCTTTTGGTCAGTTTTACCAACAATCCGCTTCAGGGTGTCGCTCATATAATAAGGCTTTTCTGGTGAACCATCATTGGTTTCACAGTCTTCCAAAAAGGACAAGAAAATAGTATCAATCGCCATATGATAAATAGAGAAGAAAGCTGTCGCGACCATGTACGCTTCTACAACCACGACCATAACTGTAATGAAGGGAAACTTGACATTGGTGTATTGAGCAGCCTGGTAGCTGAACCATAGGTAGCAAAGAAATCCACACAATGTAGTTACACCTAGTTTCGAAATAATTAAAATAAAATCGGCAACAAAATCCACAGCAACCAATCTTAGCGCATTACGAAGCAATAGCGATGATGCCTCTGCTGCAGACTTGAAAAATGCTTTTCCCTTGATTGCAATGTAAATATAAGCATTTTTGTTGATGAATTTCATGAGCATTTCGACGCATTTCATACAGCATTGGAGGCATGCAACGATATATTGAATGGTTTGATTGTGAGTTTTTTGTGCTTGACGCTGGATGTACCAAAGAACAATTCGCACCATTTCAATCAGGGTAAGAAGAAACGATCCCAAAGCTACCGATCCCAAATGATATCTGCATACACGGTAAAACGAATGTAGGACTGGCAAGTGCTGCAACTCTTTCTTATTTAAAGTCCAGTACCACTGAGCAATTGCACCTGCAAGAGTGATCTGATTGATTCCGCTAAGAAAAGTAAAAAACCAGATACATCCTCCAAGATGATACCAGATCATTTGATTGCTGATATTTGGATCTGTAATTGTCAATCCAAACGCAGAAATTCTGACTGGGCCAGATGGCGTCAAAAGGTAAAGCATGACTCCAATAAAGTACACAACCAGCAAAATAAGTCCAGAGTAGATCCACATTGGGAATAAAACTAGAAATTATTCATGCAAATGATTAAAGTCTGCTTGCACCATGACCTGTATATGCTAAAATACAGACTACGCGGTTAAAGTAATGAAACTTAAACTTACCAATCAAAGGCATAGTAAGCAATGCTCTGCTTGATTCCTTGATGATTTGGATTGCAATTCGAACTCGCTTAAAGATGGCAATAGTAATTAAAAGTAGTAGACCGGCAACTACTGCGCACACAATAAAGATGACTTCGGATGCCACTACTTCATTTTTAGCTGATAAAATCTGGCCACCAATCGAGTAACTAGTTGTGCTATTAGAACTGGATGATCCACTGTTGTTATAATCTTTGAGTCTTCCTTGCCAGTAGTAATACAGCCACACTGAAACGCCAATCATTATTACATTGGAAAGTAAAATGACTGTCCATACAAAGATGCCTGCCATCCACTGCATGAAAATTAGCCATAAAAAGCACAAAACTAAAGCAATCGCAATAAATGTAGCAATAACTGGCCATGTAGACCACAAATCTGTAACGGCTTGCACAGCATAGCTTCTACCAGCTGTTAGGATAGCGTTGGTACTGATGGTCGCGTTTCCTGCAGTAAAAGTTTGATTGACATACACGGAAGGAATAGGCTCAATCGGAACACATCTGCCTAGTACAGGAGTTGATTTGTATATGTATGAACTGCATGTTTGATCTGACATGTATGAGGTGTAGTTAAGAATCGACGGAGTAGCACTATATATGCAGATACCAGTACTGGGAGTTACAGTTGCAATCGTGATATTAGGACATGATGCAATGCATACGGCATAATTTAATTCCACTGGATTAAGGTAGTAAAGATATGGCTTTGTGGATAGGTCAGAAAGAGATGCATTTAAAACGGTATTGTTCATTCCACAGAACTCGCCAAGGTAGTCGGTAGGAGTTCTGAATTACCCAAAGCCATATACAGTTAGCCATCAATGCAACAAACCAAATATCTATTTTGATATTTCAAAACAAGATGTTTACAAAAACAGATTCAAAGCTTATTACTCACAAAAGGCGACGAGGATCGCCAGATGAAATAGCACTTTGAGCAACAAAAGCCATACCAATCCAGTACAGAATAAATAATATTAAAAATATAATGTCTCGGCATTTTCGTTTCGTCACTATTCGCGGTTGAAGTCCTGCAGCACCTTCTGGAGAAACTCTGTCTTTATTTGAACGACCCATTTGGGCAGAGTGTGTGGTTTCCGCCAGCTTGCTTTTGGAAAACGTAATATGGATAGGCGAGTGAAACCTTGATTGTTATTTCAAGGCAGTAGGATTTGGGTTTTATTTTCAAAACAGGCTATTACAGCCGTATTCACGTAGAATGAAATACTAAATAAGAATGCAAAAGTACATAGTAAATAACCAGTTTATAAAACAGTTGTTAGTTTTCATCACATTTACTATACAGCATTGTCCATAAACTCTTTAGATAACTAACTTTCGTGCTCATTTTTGTATAAAAAACTGAACAATTCCAGTCAATCCCACACTCTTTTAATCTTTAGCTCTTGTTTTTTCACAAAATCAACACTATGATTGGCATGAAAACAAGTTGTATTGACATGTGTAATCGTGTTCTTTTAAACTAGAACGCGAATGTATGAAACTTTAGGATGCAGCAGAAAGTAGTTTATAGAGTCGTATTGACAACATCAAAACGGTTCAACTCAATATTTAGACTGAAATGAACGAGTTTGGATTCAAACCTGTCAATTGTACAATGTATGGATAACCAAGGGGAAAATGACACGCTCAAAAAGATAATCTCGGCTCAAACCATAGTTTGATTTTGTTCATTATATAATGAACATTGTGTATAAAAGAAAAATTGACAATGTCTATTAAAGCAGTCATTTATAGTAGGAAAATACAACGAATACCTAACTATTGTTTATTTCGAAGCAAAAGAAAGTCACTGCAAAATAAATCCAGAAAGGGATTTCATTTTATATGAATACGACTGTAAAACAAACTTTGCAATGTTTTACTGTACGCTAGTTGGACGAGATGCAATAATAACACGCACAAACACAAGTCCAATCGGGCCAACTACACTAGTTTTCAAACACATAACATCAATACGGGACAAAAGGGTTGAAAGAATTAATATTTCACTGCTAAATTTGACATTATAATGGCTTTTTGGCAAAATAGAAGCTATAATAGACATGTTCAATTTGTAACTGCGGCCATGTTCACGTAAAATGAAACACTGTATATTCATTTTTTAGAATTTGACCATGTCGGTTTGGAATAAATAATGGTTAATATTCGTTACACTTTGCTATTGAAAATTGGCTATTTTAATAAACAACCATTATACAATACACACAAATTATCTCTTCAAATGTGTTATTCCCTCACTTTTGGTGTCATGCATTGCAATCCGAATATTAGTTTGACTGTTATGATGCTGTTAATCAAGCCCTTCTCTTACCGTATCCTAAAATCTCGTACGCTCGCGTCTAGTTCAAGAAATCAATGATCGCACGTATCAGGAATGTAACCGCTGTTTTCGTGCCAGTCACTAAGAGACCAGCCAATTTGATACATACCAAACTATCATTTTACAAAACCGACTGTTTATCATGTGCTTTGATACTCTTAGTATTTCATTTACGTGAATACAGTTGTAAATCCGATTACTTTTATTTCATGAAAGGCCACAACGGTTTTATGGAAAGCTGGCAGTCGGATTTTTTCATTGCTCACAAGTCAAATTTATCTACAGCCTATCAAATATTTGAAAATAGTCTAGACTGAATATCTGTAGACTGGAATCGTGGTATAGCCTTTTGATTATTTTGTCATACTTGGCTTGTTTTCAGCCAAATACAATCATTCCAATGTATTGACTGCAATTTTAAAACCCAAGATTTTATTGATATATTTATATCTACAAGCAAAGTATTCCAATCAACAAGAGTTTTTGAATTGTACAGTCCGTTGAGCACGTTTAAACAATGATATTTTATCACTAAAGTATAATCAAGAATATTTTATTGGCAGTAATGTTTAGTAAAATAGCACAGCTTGTATATTTTGGACTTCAAGGTATTTAATGATGGGTAATTTGTACTGACAAGTCATTGTCAAATATTCAAGATTTTGAATTCGGTTTGCCATTGTGGCATAAAGCTTTTACTATCAAGGCCAAAATTTACGCTGGACTAGAAATCAAGAGTTGATAACTTGACCCGATTTATACAAATTGGTAGCACTTTAGAATGGCAAGCTCAAAGCATCTCACGGATCCCAAAAAACCTCTCAATCAGTCGTCTATAGGCTACAGGCCCACTGTATTTACATATCTTGCAACGACAAGCCATCGGTCTCTCACATCATTCGAGCAGAAACTACATCTGGAAAAATACTTTGCTGTTCGTGTTTTACCACCGCAAGGAGTCTTTTCAGATTATATGACCGGACAGACGTATCAACAGATATTGCGTATCAAGAATCTCTCTAAAATGAGCAAGCGAGTATCGATTTTACCTACAAAATCCGTCTTTTTCAAGCTAGACAAAAAGGATATGTGGGACAATGTATTGATTTCTCCTGGAATGGAAAAAGAAATGACTATAGTATTTAATGCAACACCAAGTAGCATAGCATCTGCCAATACGGATCAGTCTAAAGCAACTCATACCGATTGTTTTATTGTTCAAGTACAAGGAAGTAGCGACATTACAGTTCCTTTAGTGGCTTACCCATGCGTTCCGATACTAGAGTTTGAATCTGCCATAAATTTTGGAACTCTATTACGCTGCAGTGATAATGATTACCCTTCAGTTGCTGCTGAGCCAAATCCAAAAAATATTCAAGATTTACCTTGCAAAGTCAAGCAAAATGATAGTATAGTGCACGAGCATGACTTGGTTAAAAACAGCGATTTTGACTACAGATCAGTTGGCAAGAGTCTAAATTGGGCAGTCAAATATGTGACTATTTGCAATGTAGGAAAAATAGCCGCTTCATTTGAATGTACATGGGACTTATCATTACCAATCAAAGTCACACCAACAAAAGCAACACTTGATCCATTTGATACTAAGCTGTCGGGAAATAGCTGCAAGCTTAAAATCGAATTTTTACCAACTATTTCAGGGCCTTTCAATGCAAAGATCTACATAGATCCTAGTGGAATGACATCTGCTCTAAAAACAAAAAACCCCATTTCAAACGATACACGGCTTTCAGTCAACGTATCTGCCAATGTAATCGATCATAAACTTTGTTTTCGAAATGCTCGTAACGGTTATCAAATGGACTGGAAAGACTTCAACTTTGGCACAGTGTATTACGGAGATGCTATTCGATATCCAGTTTATATTGAGAATCTTTGGTTTGAATCAGTTGCATGGGAAATTTCTCGACTAAATCAAGACGATCCAACCATATCCAACATCAATAGCATGATAAAAACTCGTCAACCAGTGAGTCTTTCTGAAGAAAATGCCGAAAACCAGAAAGCCATTTCATGCGTGCCATGTTCTGGAAACCTTCTTCCTGGACAATCCACCTTGGTTCACTTTAAATTCGAGCCTCATCAGTTATTACTTAAATACGGATTCAAAACTAATCGTGCTGCCATTCCTGCAAGCAATTATCAAACCCCTATGGAGTTGAGGGTTTTAAATGGTGGTGGTGGCTTGGGAGAAAAAGCCATGCAAGTAGACTTTGTAGGCCGAGCATGCGAACTACTAGCTACCCTGTCTTTGAATAGCTTAATATTCCCCGATACTCAAGTTGGATCTACAGTGACTCGAACGATTGAACTGAACAACAGCAGCAATCATCTTGGATTTTATTTTTATTTTTCCAAATATGCTCAGTTTCAAATATCACCAGCATCTGGGAAGCTTTTGCCTCTTCAGAAAATTGCCATTCACGTCAGTTTCAGGCCCCATCAACTAGGACTTTTCAACATAGCAGCAGCTTGCCATATCAAAGCATGCACCAATAATTCAAACCATATTTCAGCTTTTCATGGAATAGAATCCGGGAAGATGGCATTTGATGACAAAATCCTAACAATACTTTCAGTTTCGTTATGTGCGACTGGCATTCCAGTGGAATGTTCTCAACTAAATCTTGTTCAATCGACTCATAGTCTTGAGCATTTAAGCACAGATAAATCAAAGATAGTTATACAAGAGGTCGGACTGAATGAGGTGACTTCAAATATCTTACAGAATGGTACTTGTTCAAAAAGTCGGCTAGATATTGCTTTGCCCAGTAATCATTCCAAAAAGACATGCGCCTCGCTAGATTCAATCGAACCGCCAAAGGTAAATCGCGATTGGATCAAACGAGCTGAGCATTATTGTATATACACCGACTATATCCGTAGTTGTCGGTCTAAACGGATGACATCCAAGCAAGATCCCCGGCTTGCACAAACTAAAAAAATCTACAATTTGAATAGTCATTTGTGCCATCAAACCATTTCAGATGTAGATCCAGAAAACGGTCTATTGCCACCACAACTAAAGGGTAAACTTGATTGCTTGGGTATTTCTGAACGTACAAAAAGTCGGATTTTGGCATCAAATGACCTGTTTTGGAAATAAATTGTCCGACTTTGCTGATACAATTTACTATTTCGGATTATTCATGCTTATTTTATAATGTCATTGTTCCGACTGTTGTCAATTTTTCAAACCCAGCTACTCTACTAAAAATGAGTCAAATATTATTTTAGCTGGCATTTGGTTTGTACAATGCATGATCCTGTTCAACTCATTGTATCAGATCAATAATCACAGGTATATTTTTATTTTCTTTGCTCCTCTTCTATGCTATATCTACCATAATCTTCAATAATATTTTATTGAAAATAAACCTTATTTTAAACTAAACTTTATCTAGTCATCTGCTTTATATTAGTATGTATTTCTGGTGCATTCTTTACCGATTAGACAAAGCTGTAGACCATAGTGAGCAAATTAGGAAAGAGTCGAGAGTTTAAATAGTATATTTTAACAATATTTTTCGATTAGATACTGGCAGATTTGTAGATTCATATCGCTTTATACATCATACAGTAATGAAGTGTAATTTTTAAACACTCTTGATCGTTATCAGAAAAACAATTGATGCAGTTCATTACAGCCGTATTTGTGTAAAATGAATACTATTATCCTACACTAGTTCCCTCAGTTTGAAATATAGTTGAATATTTGCTGCACAGGATCAAACTCGGATACGTTTGCATTCTAGCTCAGAGGAATAAAAGTTGTACGTTTCAAAATGCAACAATTGTTCCCGTGCAGATCGTCCAATATCATAATGTTTGGTTGTAGGAAAGGAGGGTTGAACAGATTGTGAGTTGCCAAAACACATTCGTTTACTTCTTGGCGTTCCACTTCACGTGAATACAGACCTAAACGGCTTGTTTTTCGACTTGAGAAAACTTGCCCAAGAAATTGTCAAAATGTCTAGGGTTGCTACAGTGGGTCTGTTTATGGTACTGTTCCTGCTACTGAGCTTTCCGCAGGGATCGCTGGACATATACAAGGAATCACTTTTTCAGCACTACAGAACAACACTTCAGGTGAGACTGATAAAACTGCATCATGGTGGGCATAATTATTCTTGAAATTTGTAGTCTATTTGCACTCGCCAGTTCATAATGGGCTACTTGTAGTCTATATGCCGTAACTAAAAGTTGAGCTATTTCAGATTAAATCACTAACAGTATCATTATATTTACATTTATTGTTGCTGTATAACGGTTGTGGTTCAACTGTTTTGGCTTAACCAGGATCCATTTCTTGATATTCCAACTCCACGCATTAAATGGGTTGATCCTATTCGATTAGTTAGGCACGAACATACTTCAAGAGCTCATTTAGAATCTCTGCTGGCTTATTTGCAGACCATCCCACCCAACTCTCCGATTCCAGTTCCCGTTGTTACTGCATCACACCCACAGGTGATTCTTGATGGACACCATCGAGTTTCTGCCTCTCGAATTCTTGGATTAAAATTGATTCCAGTTTGGGAAGTAGACGATTTGGACGAAATTGATAATTGGGACAAAACACTGGTTCGCTGTTATGCTCAAAGCAATGGACTTCGTATGGCTTTACATGAAGTAACTCGGCGCGCTCGTGAAGGCAATATTGACTGGGGGATTAAAGGAACACGGCATGTTGCTCATTTCCCCTTGTCTCGACCGCAAGCATCTGGAGAGATGTTCATTGAAGTTGCACTGGAGCGAGTAACACCTCGTGTCAACTGGGGATCGTGGATCTCCAGCAATGATGTCTCTTCAAGAATGAATGACATTGCTGTTCCAAATATTGGATCTCGAGAGCATGTTCGAGTTCCCGGCATCAAAGTGTAATTGTTTTCATAATTATAAAATACATATTTTTCTTACATAGTTTTGTGTTGGTTTACGCATGATATTATTATACATTTTATTGGTTATAGGTAAAACTATTCAGGCATCAATGCTTTGTGAATTAGATTCGGCTATTCATTTTTCCTGAAACCATTCAACCTATTGTATAGCAGCTCCAGCCATTCAATATCTTCATGGAATGAAGTGTCTCCAGCTACTAATGGAGCAGAGTGACAAGACCGATCTGCTGCCAATGCACTCTGATTGCTCGATTGCAAACTGCATTCCGTGCGAATAGGCGGAACTGATAAATATCGATTTGGAGATGAATTACGTGTGGACGATCCATGAGCAGAAATAGTGGGACTCTTGATCCCACAAGGTTGTTTTCCAAGGTCTTGTTTTTCACGAATTAAAGCACATTCACCTTGTACTGCTTCTCTCTGAGCAGTGTTGACTGATTTGCTATCGGTTGAAATGTAAGTGTCACTATGTGTCCGATGTAACTTTGGAACAACAGAAATGTGTTTAGGTTGGTCAGTCGTACTCGCCACATCATCTGTTTTAGTACAGTTGTCAAAATATGAACTGAGATTCCATAGAGCTTCGCGACTTTCATCTTGACTTGAACGTCGTGCATCAACTCCCAGTGGCTTGCTCACGTTTTTATCCAAAGGATCACGGCACACACTATCTGGTGAACAATGGTCCAGTTTAGCTTCATCTTGAAGATCTGATTTGCAAAGATGCTCGGTATTCTGTTGCTGATTGCCATTCAAGTTGACTGTATCTGTGATCGAGTCTGCATAATAGAAATTCTTGCATTTTCTCTCTGTGGGTGATTTTTCAACCAGTCGTACCAAGTAATTGAGATAAACATCTAGATCTATAGCATGATTTGTGTCAATATATAATAACTGGGTAAATAAATATTAAAAACTAAATCAAACCTTGCAGAAATTTGCTGAAAAACTTGTTTTTGGAATTGGCTTGTTCTGCAGTATAAAGATTTCTAGTTTTGTTACGCAGTCGTGAACAAATGTCGTTCAATTGACAAGAAAATGCACTGGACTTTAAATTTACACCGAGTAAATTATTCTTGCTTACACGAGATTCCTGTGAAGAGTAATCAAGCAAGGGGAGTATTGGCGTACATAAAGTACACCCAGAGATGCACAATGAATTCTGATCAGTAGTAGATATTTCTATGGTTTCCTGAGTGCAGTTGTTGGACACACGTTTGCTCATATTTGCTGATTCTTCCAAGGTTAAATCTGCGTCAATAGTCACATCCTGCTGCTCATTTACAGATATAGCCGGTGTATCTGACCAAAGCGTGGTTTCATTTCCAATTGAGTAATCAAGCATTGCCTTGGAAAGCAAAGGCAGTGATGATTGGGATTCATGTACTGTTTGTTGGAGCTTTTCGCTTGTATCATTACACGCCAAGTCAAGATCTGGTGTTGACTAAAATCGAAAAAATGAGTTTTTACAAAAAATATATGCTAGCATGCATAAACTTACATTTTTCAATTTAAGCACTGGCCGAGTTTTGCACAAATCAACTAGACTTGGTTTTAATTTCTCTGAATCAAGTGTCGATTCATTGTGAATCATATCAGCGACAAATAGCTCAGCTTCTACAGCTATATTTTGTGTTTTTAATTCTAAAATGTATCATGTAAGTGATATAAATCCAACAGTTGAACAAACAATGCACATCTTACCTCTGTTTTGACGCTTTAATTTTCGAATGGTATTCAAATAGCTACTCATTGCTGTTTGCATTTCGCTTTGAAGCAGCTTATATTCCTCTTGCTGAAATTCATTTGAACATGTTAAACTACAGTCATAGTGTATGGAATAGAATGAGAATATTGTACAAACAAAGACTGACCAGGTGCAAGTATTCCATATTGGATGATTTTCCCATTGCTTGTAATCTTTCAACAGTGTGCCGTAGATCTACAATTTCTTGGCATTGTGCCACTATCTGAGATTTGTTCAGTCTTGCTTCGTGAGCCTGTTCCGCCATTTTTCTATCAAGCAGCAAAATATGCTTATTCACATCCAAGCCAATCTATATGAACATTTGTTTTGTAAAATGCATGGTTACAAAAACAAAGCGCATACCTGAGATAGCATGACATTGTCGGATAGCAGTTCTGCATTGGTTTTCTGAATCTGTTTCAAGTTGGTGAATAAAAGGATCAGTCATCATGCAATCCATCTCCGACATGCTGAGCGGCACTAGACATCAGTTTTTAATCTGTACAGCATGCATGTCCCGCATTCAAATTTCACATACCGGGATAGAATAGGCAGCGTTACTTGGTTTACATTGACTGCCAATTGGCGCAGCAATACAATTGCTGTTACGTGCAATCATGGATGTTGGAGTAATAAAAGTCGTTTCTTTTGATAGATAAGCAGGAACTTGAATACCCATCGATAAAGGGTGTAGATTATTTTGGAAATGGGTCGATTGCAATCTGCCAGGGTAAACTTCTGATCTATGTATATCTTTATATGAATCGAGTCAGTGGAATTAAAACAGAATCTATTGACCCATATCTAGTTGGATCTTGATATGAAATAGAGCCAAATGCAATTTAGCTTGGAGAAATGACTGAAATTCATCATGTATTACTGGATATACCTGCTTCATCACCTATAGTTGGTTGAGCACAATCTGGTGCAGCTCGCATCATGATAACTTGAATTCACAGTAGCGTTGGGGTATATTTAGTAGATAGTACCAATTTACCAGCGAATAATGCTTGATTATAACTCCGTGTTTTATGACCGAATGCATAAAAGCCGCATCTACTGATTCATGCTCTTCAGCAACTGTTTTTTTGAATGGCTGCTATACATAAAATGGATATTCAAGTTCCGCTCAGGTGAGCGGAGCGTGTATTGTTGATGCTGTAAAGGCTGTAAAGTATAGCCATGTCGCCAGCTACATAGACATGTATGGCACTTGATGATTTTAAACTCCGCCCAAAACTGCCATGCGCAAGTAAGCTTCTTGTGGCCATTCTGGCTCATTAATTTACATTTTTTATTTGCGCAGTCTGCCTTGCTTCTGGTACTCCTGTTTTTGTTATCAGCCAAGCATTATTGTCATGTCCCGCCATCAACTGGGTAATATTGCCATTTGATTTGAGTCTCTACTGATAGTAACTTTGCATTTGACTGTGAGTTGCATATCCGCGTAAGATCCACAACGAATAAATGGATCACTCGGATTCGCTGTAGACTAGTTTTAAAAATGAGCAATTCAACTCTGTTGTGGTCGAGGTTTGATTTCATGCTAAAATATGATTATGACTGTCACAATATATGCTGTTACATTTACATCATCTGACAGCTGTTTTTCAATAGCATTTGCTTATAATAGTTGGCAGTAACTGTTGGTTTGAACAGATTGCATCCAGATCAGCATTTTCGTTGCTCTTGATTTCAGCAATTGAATCCTAAAACCCCTAATCCAGTTGTAATGGCTCATCTGTAAAGAATTGAATAGATTGGACTTGATGCTTGTCGAAGCAGTATTCAAACCAAAATACACGTTCAGTCGTATCTTGTGCACCAAATAGCTTAAACGTCGACAGTAAAAAAGTACGCAATAGTCAAGACGACACAGTTGGTCAAGTTTATTGAAAGTGTTTCATAACTTGCTCGTATGAGACTGGTTGTACCGCAACTTTTGCAGTGCTTCAATAATCTGTTCAGCATCATTTACGATTCGGGAAACCAGTACCTTGCATGTTGGAATATCATCAATCAGGCCTACTACCTGACCGGCTGTCCAAACTCCATATTCTGGATCTCCGGTCGTGTAGACTTGACGACCACGTTCTCCAGACACCAACGATCGCACATCTTCAAACTTGGCACCTCCTGGACGCTGTTCAATCTTTACCACCTCTAAAGAAACCTTATTTTTGAATACCCTAAGCATCCCAACACCAAATTAATTGATTTATACAAATATAAAATTTTAGATCCAACCACAAACCTTGCAGTATTATGAAGCGTACGAAACATGAGTGCTGTATCTCGTTCAGTTGCTGCGACAATAGCTTCCTTGATGTTGTGGTGGATTGGAGACTCTACAGTGCACATAAATCGGGTGCCCATATTTGCACCACATGCACCGAGTGCCAGTACAGCAGCAACACCACGTCCGTCCCCGATTCCTCCAGAAGCCAAGTATGGAATTTTTAAACTTTTGGCAGCCTTGGCAAGAAGGATCATTCCACCCACATCATCCTCGCCAGGATGTCCAGCGCATTCGAATCCGTCAATAGATACAAAATCCACACCTATTTTCTATACATTGCATAAATTAATCCATCCTACGGATGGGTCTGAACGCCATGACACTTACTTGTGCAGCAATCGCATGACGAATAGCAGTGCATTTGTGGATCACGATAATTCCTGCTGCTTTAAATCGTTTGACGTGTTCATGAGGGTTGCTACCAGCAGTCTACAAGTAGAGTATATTAAATATCATACCAGAATTCAAACATGGTACCAAAGTATATACATTGCAATGCATTCGTCTTTACCTCGACTACTTTTATGCCCGATTCGATAATTACATCAACATATTTCTAAGTTTTAAACCCAGTCAAAACCAGTATGCTTCAAAAACTACAATGGTGGTTTCATCCTCTGAACATTACCTCGTAGGGTGGAGGGTTGATGGCTGGTAAAATGGTCAGATTTACTCCAAAAGGTCGAGAAGTCATTTTGCGACAACGTTGGATCTCGTTGCGAAGCGCATCCGGAGTAGGCTGAGTAAGAGCAGTGAGTATGCCCTAAACATGATGGAAAACAGTATCAATAAACGTACACATTGTGCAGTGCTGTATAGGATTGACAGGAGTGTCAATGGATAATGTATTCATGGCATGACCCTTGCATGACCATGAATGCATCATCTAGCTTACTCCCATCGTTGATCCTGTAAAAACTCGAGGCTTACCAATGCACCAGCATTCGATACTGCACTGGCTAGCTCTGCAGTACCAACCCATTGCATTCCACCTTGCATCAATGGATGCTGTACGCCAACAGCCTCTGTAAACTTGGTTTGGAGTCCCATGTGATATCGGTTGAAAGCTTTGAAGGAAACCCAATTCAAACATTTATCCAGAACAGTTGATCATCTCTTGCAATCTTATCGATCATCAAAAGTAAACGACTATTAGCGTGTAGAATATGCCAAGTTCAATCATTTATTCTTGTTCAGTAAAATCTGTGCTTACTGTTGCCCACCACAACAAAACTCGGTAAAGTTGGTGTTGACACGGTCAATGCATCATCAACGACACCCAACGTTTATCAAAAACTATCAAATCTGTCAAACTAAAAGTAGAAATAAAAACATATATTATGTAAATTTCATAAAACAAGACCCGACCCAGCACAATAAATAACTAATATGGGATAAATCAGCCCAGATGGGTTTGCAAAGTGATTGAATCTGGAGATCTAGCAAGTAGATTACGAAGTTGCTGATTTTCTAGGCGGAGTTGAGCAAGTTCCTTCATCATACTCGCCATTGGCGATTCACATTGTAATAATTCGGAAATATAGCCCTAAATCATGTGGTTAAAACATGCTTTAAAATAATAGAAATACATTGCATACAAGATCAAAGGCCAATCATTTACCTCTTGCAACTGAAACTGCCGAATTAATTCAAGATGCATATTCTGTATATTAGCTCGCGTTTGCTGGCGATGCTCATGTAGACATTCTTCTACAACGCTACGCAATAATCTATATTGTATAGAAGTATTATCTATCGATAAACTGCCATCAGGGACTTTTGAGACGGCTGTAAAGGCCGGCTTGGTTTCATGTGAAGTCGATAGACCCATATGCTTAGCAATGCTATCCGTATTGATGGCCACATCATTCTTTACAAGCTCATCCACAACACTAGGGATGATTTCACGCTGTTGGGGAGCTTCAGTAAAATCTAATGGTAGTTTAGATGTTAACCCCGCATGTGTTCTTACAGTTGAAGTGGTGCTACTGGCAGTATAACTTGATAATGCAGGATCAGTGGCTGTCAAAGTAAGACGGTTGGTCATGTTGCTGTAATTGGATGCAGGCGTAGTAGTCAAAATACTGTCAGCATCTACAGAAAGAGGTGGCGGAATTATAGGACGATCGGGGTTTTCTGCACTGGCCACAGGATATGCACTAACTACAGATGTTGCAGCGCTAGACAAGGCACTGTTTAATGTTCGTGTAGAAAAAGCAGCTGTTGGTGTTTTCGAGTAATCTAAAGTAGTACTATCAAGTGCAGAGTCTTCAAAGGGTAATTGCTCGATTTTGAAATCTGGTTTCGGGTTTTCATGCAAATGACCAGCACGATTATTTGTAGATAAGGCTGATTTATCTGTAGTGGGTACAACAAACGGGGATTCATCGTCATGCATCTGAGTTGATTGCATTCGTGAAATTGGTTTTTCATTGCTAGAAACCGAATGAGCAATATCTGACGATTGCTTCAACTCTTTGATCTGAGATTTATCGGAAACAGAGTTCAAAGATCCAGAAAACGCCTGTAAAGTAAATGAGTATATCCAAGATTTAACATGTAGCTTAATCAAGTAGACTAGATTCAAGCATTTCAAAAGCATACGCCTACATTTGTTTTTAATAGAGCCTTGCGGAGATCTTGACTATGACGTTTAGATACCTTGTCTATAAAGCAAATTAAAATCACACGTCTATAGCATATATGACTAATATATCACAGCAAAACCTACTGTTATTAACTGGACTGAACATAGCCATTGGATCTTCAAACGAAATAGCAGGTTTGGTAGAGTCTTTTCGCTGGTCATGTGGTGCCGATTGAATATTTTTAGGCAATATCGCTGGTTCTTTTGATGCCACATCGATTGCCCACTAAACATTCGAGTTAGATGCGTGTTGATACAACGGTTGAAAACAACACGATACACTAGTCAAAGTTGACTTTTATAAAGTAGTCAATATTGATCAACTTTACAAGCAACTCACCCTAGGAGGCTGGAAGCGAATGCGAGAAACACTCTGTTCAGTCAAGGTATCAAATTTGTGAATGACAGCCTTCATACGAACGTCATAAACCAACACGGTTCCTAATGGGTAGAATCAATAAATGAATTCAATACGCAATGTAGAGTAGATAACAAGTCTGCTCAATAAGCAATATGACTTAAAAGTATCATCAAATACTTGATAATGCATGTGTAGATTGTGAAAAGTGCTACTTACCATTTGATGTGCCTATAGCTACAATATGATCATCATTTATAGATACACTCATTAAAGGTCCGTCCGCCTCATATGATTGAAGAATGCTAAAATAAATGTCAGTCAAATAAAATTCTAAAGAAACTCGAGACTTTAATCATAATTTACCAACCTGGATGAAGAAGATTGCTGAATATCATGAAATCGAAGTTGCTTATCTAGTCCAACTGTACAATAAAAATTCTTGTTGCAAGGAGCAAACGCAAGACCTTGAATGGGAGCACTATGAGCACCTTTTTTTACCTGAAAAGGATCCGTTTTATGATTTACATCCCAAAGAGCGACTGTTCCATCATCACTTGCAGCAGCCATTACCGATTTTTTAAAAGGATAAAAAGCCAATTGATTGACACTCTAAACCAATTATAGAAATCACCGAAAAGGCACGTTAATAACCCGACAGCATTACGGAATATGGCATTTAAAACCAGTATACTCACAGCAACAAAAGGAGTCGAAAGTTTTCCAGAAGTATTGTGTTTAAGCGATTGTACAAGAAGCGAGCCAGATACGGATCCAACAGCCAATTTACCATCGTCTGCGGACAGAGCAATGCAATTGACAGAACTATCCAAAGGCTGAACACAGACAATATGAGTGACGTTGATGGATTCAAGTGTTTCTGAAACATGATACTGCATAGATCTTACCGCTGTGCTAGAAACAAGCTTGCTGTCTTTACGGTCCCACACATGAACAATACGGTCACTCCCACCAAAATATAAATATCTGGATGATTTCCATCCAAACGAACAGGCTCGTATCTACTCATTTCATACAACAATCATGATTAGAGTCTATAGTAATTATCGAGAATTTCAGTATACAAAAGTCAAGCCTACCAACTCGTTGCTGTTGGGTGGGTCAATGAAATCCACTGCCGATCCAAGATGATCATAAAGGGAAATGCCTCTCTCAGTGACTGCAGCAACGGTCTTCCCATCCGGACTCCATGCAAGATCTGATATGGTTCCATCAAGACTTGGAGTGACTGAGAGAAGAGGAGGCTGATATTTGATGGGTTTGGACAAACAGTTGCGTTGGTTTGGCGGACCATAATTAAACATGACTATAGCAGATGAAACGGCTGCAGCAAGACCATACTGGGTGGGCAATACTGGAGGTTTGGGTTTAGTTTTCTGCATTATTAACAAGAGTGCTGATGAATTGCACAGAATTATACAGAATTGCAGTGTATATCTTTATCCTGTTCTTGTCCAGATTAAAAGATCTTGTTATCAGCTTGAACAAAAGTTTTGTGGTGATTTGTCAAGTTTTGAAGTTGATAACTCAATCCTACAACAAATTCTGCATTCATACACTGAAAAGTAGTTTAATAGCAATTAATTGACTGAATCTACTATATTCGACTGCTGGTCATCACTGCAATGGTTTCTATGGCTTAATTCGCCTAAAATTAGGATGAACAGCGTTCATCCTACAAATCAAACTATAGATTTGAACTACAATTACTCTACTTTTCGAATTACTATAAATTGTAAGATTGAGATTCATTCAAAACCAGATATTGGGTTCGACTGTTGTGATGATAATCTCGGATACGCTCGCGCTCTAGTCCAAACCAAAGATCGCAGTTTCGAGAGTGTAACTTGCTGTTTCCATTCAATCATCAAAAGACAATTAAAAGCCAAGACAATATTTAGTAACTGACAATCATTCCATCAGACTGGCTGATGTGCATTTTGACACTTGTTTCATTTTACGTGAATACAGTTGTAAATCTGATTTCTTGCCAACAGTCAGCAATAGTTTCATCAACCATCTGCACTTGAAAGAGGTGAATTGAAGTGCAGTCTGTACATGCCACCAGCACCCCCTCCTCCACCTCCTCCGCCTTCAAGAGCTGCAGCTTCGGAAGCTCCAGCACCTAGCAATGCTCTTCTCAAGTCCATTGAAAAAGGAGCACGCCTTAAAAAGACTGTAACCAATGACCGCAGTAGTCCGCTGGTAGATGGTAAGGTGTTGGATATACATGCAGGATGTGAATGAGCAGTATCTTTTACTTTGCCATGTCAGTCTATACTGTCTGGAACAGAACATTGCTACTATTTTCAAGTAGCATAATGCTTTCATCTAAACTTGGCTTAAATAGTCTTGCCCAATAATCTAGTACAAGTATCTATTCAAACTTGATCCAAGTGCTGATATCGCTATATGTTTAAAGATAATGTCTATCAGCATTCAATTTCATCTAAATAATCTGTAATGTGTATTTCTGCCAGATAGAATTGCTTGAATTTACTGATTTGAATTAAAAGTACCCAAATCTGGGTCTTCACAAATAGGATCGAGTTCAATGGGAAATCCGGTTGTTCGTCCTCCCGGTGGTGGTGCGTTTCAACCAGAACCATCTAGTGGTCCTCAACTTGGCGGATTATTCGCAGGAGGAATGCCTAAACTGAAAAAAACTGGAATTACGCATGGCAATAGTCCTGGTATGTCGTTTGGATTGCACTGATTCATTTCAAAAGCATGTTTACTTGGATCTGACGCTTGTTTTTGAGGTTTTTCTATATTGGTTCAAACTGTTACTTATATTTCAATACTATACTTTGTACAACTTTAGGCAACAACTCTTTTCAGAGTACGCCAGTACTTCGTCCTACGACTGCTTCCTCGGGATTTTCAGGAAACCGATTTGCAAATGGAATGGGTGCCTCGAATGATAATGGAGCTACTTTTCAAGGCCGTGCGAGCGTCAGAAAGCCTAACGAAGCTTCGCCTCCACCAGTTGCTTCTCGGGTTGCTCCGCCCATTCCATCTTCTGCACAGGTAAACCATTGTTGGTGTACTAAACTATGGGATTTGAGTCATGGCTGATCACTAACTCTGATATTATGATTAAATAGAGATCTCCGCCACCTCCTCCTCGCCCAAGCCATCTCGCTTCCGATTCGTTGCCGAGTACCTCGCGAGCATCTGTAGTTCCTCCATCACATTCAGCTTCGCGACTACAAGCAGCTCCTCCATCGCCTCCTGCTCGTCCTAAAAATTTGTCAGGAAACACATCGCCAAGGACATCTACAACCAACTACCAAAAGCCACCAGTCTATGGTGTAGCTTCACTAAAACCTCCCAATTTTCCTGATTCAGCTCCTAGACCAAGTGATGTTTCTGGACGAGGATCACGAGCTAATAGTGTCAGCGGAAGTGCAACAGAGGTAGATGGTCGGTGGGTCTTTAAAACCGATTTACCACCTGCACGTCATTTTCCTTCAGGGGATGCACCATCGAATCGTGTAAATCGAGCACCACCCCCACCCCCTTCACGATCATCCATCAATAGGCGACCACCACCACCCCCTCCACCTCGATGAAAACACATGAGCAATAATGTGCATGAGTTTAATTTTTGCCTTGTCGTGGGCATACATCTAGCGATACAAATAATAGGCAAGGCATTTCAATAAATCCCTTTAAAACAACCCTGCTTTAGATTTCAAATTTATCATGACTTGGAAATCAAATGTATTTTCAATTCAACGTTGCAAGTGCATTCAAATGATTTACATGTATCTTAACCAGTCTGCTTTTGCAATAGGATGAATTGGCATTCAACCCTTTCAGTAATAAGTTCAAAAGATAAACCGCTTTGAAATAAATATAGTTTATTCAAAAGGTTCTTCAAAAGTTGATTGCAATACAGATCGTGGCCGTGAGTTTAATTCTGCAAGCTGTTTTAGTTCCAATTCGTATTCACCATCTTTTGGCATCCATGACATAACAGAACGTTGCATTCGACCGTTACGAGTACGTTCTTCCATGACCGTCAGCATATTCACCTTGACAGCCTTTTCAAATGTAAATAGGTTTCGAACTTTGCGTACTGTGTTGTGCTGTTTGATTTGTGATAGCTCTGCCTCTACTGATGTTTGTTTTGTTCGATCACTTTCTCGTCGAACAACGTATTTGTTGTTGACTTTTAGATAATGGTCTTCACAGTATAAAAAGGAACCGATTTCAATAAAGTTATCGACTCCGATAGGTCTACGGCATTCGTAGCAACGTGAATGATCTCTGTGCCAGTTTCTTCCAAGAAGAAATATGGGACGATCATGTATTTCTTCTTCACAAAATGCACAAATAGCACTCTTTTTTGAACCATTTTGCAATTCCTAATTTAGGTACAATTCAAATAAAATTAGCATTGGGTCTCAATAAACAGGCATTGTAAAAAATACTTGCATGCATTTCTTCAGAACAAGACGTTGCTTGACTATTAGAGACCAGCTCTTTGCCAAGGTGGGAATCTTGATGCGATGGGTCCGCAAGAGTAGATATTGAGTCTTCTATTGTTCCGGTTTGTGAATCGCCAAAATGATTCATGTCATCTGATGGAGATTTAACCATTGTGCCAGCAGAGGAGTTTGATTCATGTCCTTCTACAGATTGTGAAATCTGGGTATCGCGACGAGGGCTGTGTGCGTTATCATACAAGTCATCAAACGAGCTGTTGAGAGGAGGCTGTAATGAAACCTCGAGAAAAGGCATATTTGGAGTAGACGTAGAGTAGACTGTAGATATGGGAGAGTCGGCTCTTGGAATATGTAATGCAGAATGAGTGGCATGAGATTGGGTTGCTTGACGAAGTTTTCTTCTTTGAGATATTTCCTGCATTTTATTCACAAGAGTCGCCTTTGCAAGGGCAGCACCGTCTTGAATATCCACAGCATCTGCGAGTTCACCATAGCAAGAGATTACTCGATTACGACGGAAAGTTTGATTAGAGAAAGATGATGGCTCGGGTGAAGATTGAGTTGGAAGTGGAGAATTTGCAGGCGATTGGTCGACAACCCACTCTTCTTCAAACACATCCATCTCTGTCACTTGATCCATACGAGGCTTCAAGGATGAACGTGTCTGTGTAGCACGAAGTTCCTCTAAAAGACTTTCCAAGTTGACCAGCACATTGCTTCCATTTTTCCCCAAAGATCCAAGATTTGGAGTGGAGCTGCCTTTTACTTCTAGACTTTGTTTTACAGACAGCTTAGAGCCTATATCCTGTAGTGAATGATTGTGATCAGTATCAAGTATTTGACGGTTTACTGGCTGTTGAGAAGCGAGTGGGTCAGAATGAACAGGTGGCTTTGTAGAGGATATTGACTGCTGAGAAATAAGTGGACTAGAATAGACAGACGGTTTTGTAGAAATTGACTGCTGAGAAATAGGTGGACTAGAATAAACAGACGGTTTTGTAGAGGATGGCGGTTGCTGATATGAATTATTAAAAGAGCTATTGGCAATATTCATTGATTGCCCCGAACGAGGTGGGAATTTAATTGGGGCTGGTCCCTGTAGATGGGAGCTATGCACAGGACCGTGTATAGAGGAGCCAGCTGTGTTACCAACAGGTCTGATGGCCTTGTCATAATAAGCAGATGATCCTATAGCAACTGATGGTTGTGTTTGGTTCGAGTAGGCAATCCTATTGGTAGCATCTGCCGCAGGTATCATCTCAGAACCAGTCTGGGTTTTACCATACGCCACAGATGCTGGTGGTGTTCCATTTCGTGGATATGCTTGCGAAGCAGGAAAACTCTGTTGAGCAGGTGTCTGATTGGGTCCAGAATGTGTGCGAGGATTATATAAATGTGTAGGCGGAGAGCCTGTCATTCTGCGGGATTGTAATGGAGGAGTTGGAGTAGTAGGCGAGCTATATGGATTTCTTGATGGTTCTGAAACAGGATGAAACTCCATGGAATTACGGCCGTCGCCGTCGTCATCTTCCAAAACTAGTACATGAATGAGTTAGCAATTGAATATAATGAGCACTCTACTCTGTCCATCTGGTTTAAATGACTTGAATGGGATCCATCAGCACTTACTAGAGTTTATGCAACCCATTTGTTGCTCGTTGAATAAATCGGAAACTCGAAGCGACGCGTCGTTCAATTGCTCAGTCACGTGTAGCAACACTCACTTTTTGCTTGCTTTTTCCACTTGACCAGCCATTCCCAAACATGTTGCTCAACTCGTTTGTTACTGTTGCTCCTTGGATCAGAACCCTTCGTCCTGCACTCCACCCAAAGAGGATTGCCAATTAGTAAGTTTTTGATTGTTTACACTGGTCTGATTATCATGTCTTTACCACTGCGTACCTCGAGTTTCAATACTAACGTTTATGGATATACAGCTCGACTTCAATTGCTACATGGGGTGCCTTTGCTGGCATTGCTGCTCTCTTTTTTATCGAGCCTACTTCTCTTGCACGTCGTGATATCTTCACCAACATCCCGGTTGTTGGTGGTTTCTGGCAAAAGAAACTGGATGCTATGGAACTCAAGGATTAATCTGCATCTTGAGCACACCATGGCTTTTTGGGCCTATTTCTGACCAACATACGTTGGATTCTTGTTCCTATTCTGATCCAACAATAAAACATCAAGAATTCTTTCTCAGATCGATCTTGTATTGGGCATGCCCTATTAGCTACTCAATTCGTCGAGATACCATCTCGATCTGTTCTTTTATTGTTACTACTTGTACTCGTAGAAACCGCGACCAGTCTTTTTTCCAAGCCATCCTGCATCCACATACTTGATTAAAAGTGGAGAGGGACGGTACTTGTCATCTCCAAGCTGAGTGTGCAGCACACGCATGATGGCAAGACAAGTATCAAGCCCAATGAAATCACCAAGAGTCAGTGGTCCCATAGGAACATTGGTTCCGAGTTTCATGGTAGTATCAATATGCTCCCGAGTAGCAATTCCCTGTTTTCCAAACGGTGGATATTCATAAAAATCAATTTTAAATCCTAAATGGGTCGAGTCTTGATCGTTCCAATTCAACTCACCTCTTGAAGTACATAAATGGCTTCGTTGATGTAGGGCATCAAAACACGGTTTGCAATAAAACCAGGAACATCTGCCGACTCGGTAGTGGTTTTCCCCATCAATTGTGCTAACTGAAGTGTCGAGGCCAATGTTTCTGGAGAGGTGGCAAGACCAGGAATAATCTCAACCAATTTCATGACAGGAACAGGGTTCATAAAATGCATTCCAATCACCTGGTAGTACATCATCCACCAAAATACTGAGTTTAGATTCACGCTCAACTCATAAGCCCATCGATTGCCTTTAACGACCAACAAAAGTACAAGCGGCTGATAATTCAGCATTTTGCTTCAATACATATGAACCATATACCTGTTCAGGACGCTTGGTCGATGCAGCAATTTTGGTGATCGAGATGGACGAGGTGTTGGATGCCAGAATAGCATGCTTAGGAGTGATCTGATCTAATCCTACAAACAGCTCTCGCTTCAAACTTGGACTCTCACTGACAGCCTACAATAAAAAAATATTGCTAAATTGTCCAATCTAAAGCCACATTGAATCTACACAAACATGACATACCTCGATCACAAAATCAACTTGAGCAAAGTCTTTCATGTTGGTTGTGGTGCTAATCCGACTTTTCGTGGCAGCACACTCTTCCTCGGTGATCTTACCTTTAAGAATATCCTTTTTAAGAAGAACATCTGCAAAACAATAATAAATTGAGTGGAATGATATCATTCAAACTGATAGATCAAGACATCAACGTCGTGATAAATATGTAATAGTTGGGAAATACACAATCACTCAATAAATGACATACCAAGAAGCTTGACTCCTTTTTCAATCTGCTTGTGATTAGAGTCGAGCAGAATCACTGACTTTTTGGCAATATGTGCAGCTACATGTGCAATACCCATTCCCATTTGGCCAGCTCCAATCACACCAATAGTATCAAACCTCTTGGTTGCTACTACTGATGTAGCAAATGATCTTTTCATAGTATTGGCTGATTGCTTGGAATAAACAGCATAGCGAGAAACTGCAGACAGAACAGGAGATTGGAACATGATGAGATGTGCAGAGTTGAGTTGGTGTGATAAAATATCTTTCAACTTATGACTATTCACGTAAAACGGGACACTTGTTCTGCAGGGATTGCCTCTATTTTGGTTGGAAATAATGGTTAAATATTTGTTGCGATTTCCTATTAGAAATTGACCTTCAATAAATACGTCCATCATATAGTACTCACAAGCTATAGTTTATAAGGCATGACCATACATTATAAGATCACTAGATCCATCCATTGCAGTCCATGTATTGGGCTCAACTGTTGATATTATCAATACAATTCTACAAACTCGGATACGTTCGTGTTTTGGTTCAAGAAAATAAAGATCAACGTATCAGGAATACAGCTGTTGTTTCCATACAAGTCACCCAATGTTTGGTTTATAGAACAAAGAATTGAAGATCAAAGTAGTGTAAGATTTACTCAAACTGTAATGCAAACATTGCTTAAGCATCCGATCAGTTGTTTACACAAAAGTTGAACCGCCGACTATTCAGTCACATTTTGTTGATACAAAATATCATCAATCCACTTTTAACAAATTTAAAATATTAAAGCCATAATCGCTCAGTAATAAAAATATAGGCCAAATAGATTGTGGGTTAAAATAAACTTCAATCAAATTGCATGGTCATCTTTCCAGTCGGTATAAACAACAACCGATAATGATTTTAAATGCGGATTTGAAGATATCACCTAAATTTTCAACAGTATCCAAGTTGCAAAATGATTAGACAGGCATCTGCAAGTATTCTTGCACCCTTTATACAAGTGAATCAAAAAACTTACATCAAGAAATAGATTGGGAACTCCATTGACAATATGATGAATAGTACGAGAGATAGTCGGCAAAACTCCCGCCAATGGTATTGTCTTTGTAAACACATCAGGCTTTGCTAGCTCTGTTTTTATAACACCCTCTGTTTCGCCACCATCATCAGTTACAGCTGAAAGAGTGGATGCTGTAACGGGATTCAGTTCTTTACGATTAGGATGTGATTCAAAAGGCTCGTCTTTTAAAAAGCTAAACTGCGGCTTAAATTGTGACAGTAAAAGCTCAAATGATTCGTTTAAACAAGACTGCAAGACAAACTGAAAATCGGAACTATTGGATGCACATTATAAACTAAAGTTGGTAATAGCTTTTGAAAAAATGTATCAAATCTAAGATATCTAACAGTCTGGCAACCGGACAAACACACCTTTCCAAAAAGTCGCGAGTCTCGTCCAAAAGATGCTTTAAAGTCGATTCGGCCACATATTTTTGTTTGATTCCACCATCCTCAACAGTGATTCCGCCATCCTTGAGAACCATATCCTCCTTGCCTTCTGGGGGCAGCAAATACATATCCATTCTAAAACAACGATATAGTTAGCAATACGATTTAAATGAATGCCAAGCACATCTATTTGATTCAAGCTCAATGACGGTACCTATGAAGCAGATCCTTTTGAAGATCGTCATGCTCAAACTCTGTTCGAATCTGGTTTATAATATGAACAAGCCTTGTGTAGTTTATGGGACCTTTAAGAGGAATACTAGACAAAGCATATCACAAACATACTGGCACATCAGCAAGCATTTAGAACCATGTATTGAATATTATATACTGACCTTCCTACGACAGTCTCGACAATACCTCGGACCCGAGAAACGCACTTCTCCCAGCCAATATTCAAAAGATACCAGCTAAAAGTCAGATATTGTCTTTCCACCTCTTCAGATATGTGTCTAGGTTCGGCAGCCAGTAAATGTGGCGGATTTAGACTTTCGTTTAAATCTTCATAATCACACTCTCTTTGCTGGGAAAGAGTGGCGACGCTGTCTAGGTAGAAAAACCGTCCAAGAATACTAAGCTGGATTGTTGTAAAGATCGTCAAGAGATTAAGCAAATAAATAGATGATATTGTGCGAGTAAAACTCATGATCTTGATGTCTTCCCACATCTCAAGTTTGGTAGTTTTTAAAGGCAAACTGGCCAATGGATCCGATTTGGGTTGAGATGGATTATTTTGTTGCTCTGGATCAATGCTTTGATTCTGCTCTGATGTTTGATTTTGATCAAAGGAAACCTGTTTGGATTGAGATCGAGATTGCTGAAGTTTCGCAGTAACAAATTCCACATCAAGAGAAACAAATAGATGCTCACTAAGGGTTGGTAGTAATGATGATACTACAAATGAGCAGTCGTTGAGATTCTGTTCAAAATGCCGTTTGATACTGATGTAGAAATAAAGTAGCAAAAGTATACAAGGAAAAGATGGAATGTTGGCATCAATTGCAGAATACAGTTGTCTTTAATTAGTTTCTTATTTGAATTGCTACTACGGAGTGCTTTATCTGTTAAGATGGAACTGTCTTGTATATCAAGTGTTTATTTCCACTTACTTGGCCTTTGACACTTGCTCAACCTCACGTCTTGCTTGAGACTCATCCCATTTGGTCTGAGCAAACTTGATGAGCATATATCCCGAAGCAGCAGTTCCACATACCCATGCCAGGCGGGTTCTGTTTCTAGAGATAAGCTCTGATAGCGAAGACCAAATCGCCATGAATGTTCAAGTAGTGATTTGAAGGTAAAATATAAAATAGAATCAACAATTTATTATTGAACTCGATCGTATGGCAAGTATCTTGCATTCACCACAATAAATGTTTATTGTGATGGCTACACTACATCAAGGTTTACAGCTAGTTGTGGTGGACATGAGAATGAAAAAGTATGTTTTTGGTTATATAGAAACTCAAAAATTGCACGTTTATTTTAGGTTAATGTAGACTTGAGGACGCTGAGGGTCGTATCAGAACAAGACCGAATGAGTGATGTTGTCGAATATCCAATTCAAAAGAGCAGCAAGTTATTTAGCAAACTGATCGTGTCAACAAGTCAGATTGTCGTGTATAGGAAACGATCGATAAATACTTTTATTCTCTCACTATTCCCTCTGTCGTCAGTTGTGATTTCAAACTCAATGTCACTGCTGGAATCTTTTAAATGTATATCAGCATTCATGTTTCTAATTCAACCCAGTTTATTCATGAAGAAAAGGCTTGTTTTAAAAGCATCCTTTGATGATCAGTAAGATGTGTAGGAAACTGTGTTTTGAACTGGATAATCAGCGAGCCGCGTTTTCCAGCTTGCTTGTAAATAGGCATTCCTTCATTAGGGACTGTTTTTACTTGGTTTGGAGTGACTGTTTCATTGACTGGCACCTTGAGTAAACGGCCATCTAATGTTTGAATGTCCATATTCCATCCTGTCAAAGCCTTCACTAGTGGAATATCTACAGAATACACAATATCGTTTCCCTGCCGAGTAAACTGTGGGTGCTTTTCCTCCTTCACCGTAAAAACCATATCCGCTACACAACATTTTGGATTTCAAACAAATGGTTTACATTTAAATGATTAGCCATAGCTTATATTGATCAATCATATTGTAAAAAATCATCACAAGCTGGAATTACCAGGAATACGGTTGGGACCTTGATCTCCCTCTTTAGGAAATATCACTTTAGTTCCAGCTTTCCATCCAGGACAAACCTCCACTGTTAATATTTTATCCACTAGAGATGTAGTAAAACCATCATCGTCGAGAACCTAAGCAATATACAGTGTATAATGAGTAACTTTTGGCATTCAATTTGATCATGTAAGATTGACTACAAGACAAACTATTGGATACCTTTCTAGAAATTTTAATCTTTTTTACACATCCAAGATACAACTCCTGTAACGTGAGGATAAGGTCAAACTCGATGGGAGGATCTTGCACTATGGCAGATTCAGAAACTCCTTTATTCATGCCATGAAGACCTCCAAATCTGGATCCAAAAACAGCCTTTTCCGACCCCCCGTGCTGAGAAAAAAAGTCTGATATCATAGTATAAGCTCAGTGTATCATGCTTATTATCAAAATGTGTTGCTTACCCGAAAATGGATTTTTACCACCGAAAAACTGGTTAAAAACTTCGTCTGCGTCTCCATGAAACTCGTATCCTCCTTTGTATCCATCAAAATCTACGGTTCAAGATGAGTTGGTGGTACTTGATGATTTCTTACAAAAAAAGGCAATACACATTACTAAATTTAGGATGTACTCCTTTTTTTAAGCCCTCGCTGCCATATTGATCGTATATGGCTTTTCGATTTGCTATTTCAAATATACAGGCATGTAAACAAGTGTGCAATACCATATCATAGTCACAATGAAATGACTGCAAATAAAAAGTTGATTAAATATGTACTATTTACCATTACTTAATACATGATACGCTTCTGCAACTTTAAAAAAATCTTCCTTGGCTTCCAAAGCTGGGTTTCGTTCGGGATGAAGCTGTTTGGAAATTGTGATTGAGGGTTAAAATTAGAGTCATAATTCATACATAAAAACATGCATATATTTAAACGATAAATAGCTGGTCACTGGTATATAGCTAAATAAACCAAGGACAGCAAACAAGCAACCAAAAACCCCCTTAAAGACAGGCGATGAACAATTAAATACATGTGCTTGAAACTGTATCTTTACCTTTAAAGCCATTTTGCGATACGCACGCTTAATATCATCGTCATCTGCTGCTCGGTTGATTCCCAACACCTTGTAATAATCCATAACGAATTTTTAAAAGTTTGACGCGAAGTTCGTTTAAAACTCCTTTCAAGTCTAAATATGTTTTTGCTGGATACCTAGATAAGCAATCACTTTATAATTGGATATTGTACATTTAGGTATTTAATATATGAAACAGGAAATCATCATGCAATACCCATTGTTGAACAAGTTTGTTTTGTATATAGGCTTTTCATGTATAGGAAAGACGCCTAGATTTGGTCGATATTTCCTGGCACGCTGGTTGGATATACTTTACTGTATCTCATTTCTAGATAATGTAATATTTGTTTCAGTTTTGCATTCAAACTACACATTCATCAAATATTTTATTTTTGAAACAATTAGAGCTTGTAAATACTCGAAACCCGCCGAGCAAGATTATTCAGTATCAAATTCTGATGAATTGATCACTTTCTACTTACACAAGGCTTGTTTATTTAAAAGCAATCTTGTTTGAACTTGATCAATGAATAGGCAAAAATAGACGAGTCGAACATTTTCAAGTCAAAGTTTGAATTAGTCAAGTTGACAGAATTTACTTATTGAGCCAGCCAGATGAAAAGTTGTCGAGCGCAAGATATCGATCGACTCTTGACTGATTTATTTCCATTCTAGTAAAATAAAAGTAGAAAATAATCATTTCAAAAAGACTATCAAGTGGACGACAGCAAAACCCTCGAGTTTGTAATCGTTGATGAATTCATCTATAAATATTTTTACACTTTGTCAACTTGAATAAAGGAGATTGTTAGACATAATCCATTCGTAGAGATAGCGATCAAACAACGTAGGTATCCATTTAGCTACTATTTTGGCAGTCTGCACTACCAGGATATTTATTAATACCGATATTGAAATATATGCAGTGATTTACAGCCCATTTCATTAGCAGGCGCTATTTTCAAACCAAGAGCCATGTCATCAATGCAAGTCTGTGTATTGCTTACAGAAGACACTAATCCAACCTCTGCAGCTAGACCTCGTCCTCTACGCATACTTTTCCATCCACAATGCATGGAGAAACTGGGTCTTGTTGCTGGTGATCTTGTTCAAGTTTCTTCTCAAAGTGCATGCAAGGTGAAAGACTTGTGAAACATGGAGTTTTGACATCATTGCTCGTATATCTGGACTACTCGATGGTCATACTAATAGACATGCTTGAATAAAACGTTAGTCTTTAGGAATTATTTGGCCATCTCGTACTGTTTCTGCAGAACGTAAGTGTTGTAAATCTTTTTGATTTCGAAATTGTGCTGGTCAGATAACAATAGATTATGGTACATGTTTTGATTTACAATATTAATGCCATCAATAGATATATCTGTTTCTCAGCATATACTTGATACTGCAAGTTTATTGGAAGGAAGCACTGCTACGCTTTCCCTTGTTTCTGTACCTGCTGTTCACGCCGCTATAATTAATCTAGTCTGGCTACACACCCCAGAGTTTCATATAGACGAAGCATTGTCAATATACGTTAAAGAAATATTGTTGGAAACAGAGTATGTTTGCAGTGGACAGATGGTTCGATTCCAGTATTATGGAAAAGAGCGATTGTGCATGGTAGACCAGATTACTCCTATTGATCCCATCCAAATCAACTCCGACCCACATCAAATCATTCCATTCAGGCTTGTGCGATCTACCCGTGTGAGATTTGAGCAAGCCAAGGTAGGTCAACTATAGTGCTCTGAATGCAAAATCAAACCGTGTTTTTTAAACTTATCTACCGATTTAGTCAACTGTTGAAACTCGAGTAGGAAAAGTTGAATACAGCACCATTGGAGGATTGGGGGAACAAATATCTACAGTTCGATCCTTGGTTGAATTGACGCTATGCAATCCTGAACACATTTCTTGTCTTGGTAAGAAATTTTGTTTGATCATATCTTTACAAAACTGGCATGTCTTGGATACGTTGTTTACACATTTCAATACTACAATCAGGATTTCGACCCCCTCGTGGCATACTTTTATTTGGCCCTCCAGGCACGGGTAAAACACTTTTGGCTCGAGCAGTGGCATACGAAACTAGTGCACATGTAATTACAGTAAATGGATCTGAAATCATGAGTCGATTTCATGGAGAGGCAGAAACTAGAGTGGGTAGTTTTCCTGTTTACTATGCACTATGTGCGACAGATTCTCTAATTCAACCTCGAATAATCTATAGCTCCATCATATTTTTCAAGAAGCAAACGAAAAGTCTCCATCAATCATATTTTTGGACGAAATTGATGCCTTGTGCCCAAAACGAGACGAGGTAAGCAGATTTCAACTCTTTTGAAGCATGCTATCTGATACGATAAACAATGGAGTTTGTGTTGATATTTCTTGCAACTGTTTTGAAGGGTGCTACCGAAGTACACCAACGTATCGTAGCTGCACTATTGACTCTTATGGATGGCATAAACACATATTCATCCAAAACAACTCAACACCATCGGTTAGTTGTTATTGGTGCAACGAATCGACCCAATGCAATAGACGATGCACTACGTCGTCCAGGAAGATTTGACCACGAAATTGAAATAGGTAAAGCTACTATTTGGCGCATTTTGACTTTTTCTAATGGTAAGCATAACCTATTATCAAATCTAATGTAGGTATTCCTTCCGAAATTCACCGTTTTGAAATCCTGCAAGCTCTTTTGAAAAAAGTCCCAAATTCATTAAATGATATGGATCTACGGACTATCAGTGCCAATGCACACGGATATGTTGGTGCTGATCTTGCTGCAATCTGTCGTGAAGCGGGTCTAAAAGCAATTCAGCGTATTGAAGCAGAATCATTAAATGCAGGAGTGGTGCAAACGGATGATGAAATGCACCTATTAGGTTTGTAACAAGTATATGTAATTTAACATCTACATGAATGGGTAGTAGTATTTACCATGGCAGAATTATGGTGTTGTTTACCGTGCACTTTTAGATTTGCAAATCACGTTAGAAGATATGCGTCTGGGCATGTCAATGGTTCAACCTAGTGCAATGAGGGAAGTGACTCTTGAAGTTCCAAAAGTGAAATGGACTGATATTGGAGGTCAAGAAGATGTCAAACAGAGATTGCGAGAAGCAGTAGAGTGGCCATTGAAGCATCCAGAGGCGTTTCTCAAATTCAATATTTCTCCTCCAAAAGGAATTTTACTTTACGGACCACCTGGTTGTAGCAAAACGCTCATGGCTAAAGCTTTAGCTACTGAGGCTGGATTGAATTTTTTAGCTGTCAAAGGGCCCGAGGTTAGTAGACTGTTGGTTTATGATGGTAGTTGCTCAACACTAGACTGTATTACATGTTGGATAGACTCGACTTTCTGTTTTGAAACTAAACAGTACATTGGCATTGATTATGAGTTAGCTATTCAGTAAATGGGTTGGCGAATCAGAAAAGGCAGTACAAGAGATATTTCGCAAAGCGCGGGCTGCATCTCCATCGATTATTTTTTTTGCAAGTATTTAAATGGCTTTTTATCGTGTACAATTTATATACCTGTACTTATATGTAAGTTTTAGGATGAAATTGATGCACTTGCAGTTCGACGTGGTGGCGACGATGCTTCTGTAGCAGATCGTGTTCTTTCTCAACTTTTGAACGAGCTGGATGGAATTGAACCGCTGATTAACGTTACTATAGTTGCCGCAACCAATCGGCCAGACATTTTGGTAAGCGAGTATATTTGGCATAAACTTTAATTTTATGCAAATTCATTTATATGTGTATTGATTTAATTTTTGATGACAGGACACTGCACTTTTAAGACCTGGACGGATAGATAGTATTCTGTACGTCTCGCCACCTGATGCAGATTCTCGTGAGCAAATTTTTCGCATTCAAACAAATCGGATGGCATGTAGTGACGATGTAGATCTTAAAAAACTTGCAGAATTGGTAAACTCGTGCCATTGCAACTTTAAGCAATATTTGCATCAAACTAATGGCGTTTTATGTATTTTTAATCTATAGACTGAAGGGCTTTCTGGTGCTGAGACTATGGCAGTATGCCAGGAAGCAGCTCTACATGCCATGGAGGAAGATTTGCATGCATTGTGTGTATTTCAAAGGCATTTTATTGATGCCATCAAAAGAATCACACCGCGGATTACACCACGAATGCTTGAATTTTATGATAATTTTCGCCAACGATGTGGGCTTCGTTCGGTGTGATTTGGAAAGCAACCATCATCTTTTAATCCTTGCTACACATCAGATTAAATTGCAATTTGATTCAAGAATCGAAAATTTATTTTAGACGTCAAAGTGTTTAAAGCAAAGTCAATATTAGATTTGAATAAACAAAGTCGAGTCTTGTAGAAGCATTTTTATCTGAAAGACGTGTCTTATTCTGCTACCTTTACCGAGTCAGACCGTAGTCGAGTTAATATCAATCAAACTGGAAGCAATGCATGGATATAGTTGATGTGATATAGCGATTTAGTGTCAAAAGCATTTAGGTACGAGTCAAGTAAATTGTGGGGTGGATAACTGGAACAAAAGTGTGGAGTGGATTTATCCAATATAAGGAATATAATTGCACGCGTCCAAATAGACTAATTTATCTAAATAGAGAAATCGAGCTTAAGCTACTACCCAACTTCAAGATCACAAGGTGCACATTGAAATCCAAGAGTGTAATCATTACTTTTCTTTATTATATAAGATCAAATACCATTTTCATACAAATTACTATCCATATCTAGGATTTATCTGCTGTAAATAGATGACTAGACTGCTACCACCAAGCTATACTTTGATGCTTGACAACTTTACTAACTGCTCTAGTACTATTAAATAGATATTTCAACTCAGGAAGCTAAAATGTCTGCATCTTCAGAATTTCATCTGCAGCTGCTTGCAACTGCCGTAGCAGCTACGCTTTTGGGTGCCTTGCCTCCACTTCGATCGTACCAACTCTATAAAGAAAAGGCGTTTGATTCTATGAGTGTCAGTGAAAAACGTATAACTGCAATGATTTTTATTGCCATTACATTATTGCATATTGGAGAAGCGTTCAAAGGGGTAGCATTTTCCATGCTTTTCTACAGCCAAAGTAACTTTTTGGGTATCATGTAAGTCGTATCCAGTTAAATCATTGACAGAACCATCACGTTTACCATAAAAATATGGGACACATTTCAATATTAACTAATTATAAATAATTGTATGAGTGATGATTAGTACATTTGCACTGATTGCGAATTGTTCTACACTTATTACTGAAGTGGGCAGAATTTTGATTATTCATGCCATCATCTCTCGTGCGGCCGAGTTTTTAATGAGGCCAATAGATACTCCAGCAACTCGTACTCGTAGTGTCATCTGGCTTCGAATAGTTGGAGGAATACGTATTGCTATCCCAATCTTAGTTGCTATTGGTGGAAGTAAGTTCAACTTTAAACCTGACTGTCAATCAACTGATATGGATACAGCTACATCTAAGCATTTCATGCATTTTCAATATATTAGTCACTCCATCGCTTTTTGGATCGTTTGCAGCTATCATGCTTGCTACTGATGCCATCATTTGCACAATCATTTCTGTTGCAGTGAGTTGAATTCAATGAATAGTTGCACAGGGTTACATGGATCCTACTGAGTCTAATTGTGACTGTATTGGGTAGATTGCACTTCGAATCAATGAACGTCGTCGCAAGGAACTACTGCCGGCTATTTCCAATTACGTGTTGTATTCCAACGCAATCGTGACTTTTACTATTGCATTTTCTGCAATGATTACTATGGCTATTATTGGAGCTGCAAACAATGGTCAATTTGGTGGAAAGGTAGTGTACCCGACGACTCAACACACCAAACATAAGGGCTACACATACTCACTATTATATATGTTATAGGATCAATCGGACGCTTTTGTCCAATGTTTACCGTATGTAGTTTCACTCGATTCTGTTTTTTTATAATGTACTCACGCGATTGGCTTGCCTGAATTAGATCGGTACATGCCTCCATTGTCGGAATATTGATGTGCTATGCGTTTTGGAATGTAAAAGAGATTCTAGCTACAAACTCTCCAACTGGGACATCTCCTCGTAGGGTAGGACATTCATTTGAATACCAGTGTTAAAAGATTGCATTGAAATAGTTCTCACACCTTGAAATTATAGGCCAATGCCACAGGTCTGGGTCGAAATGTCTTTACTTTTTAAGTTTTTGGAGATTCACAGTACTAGCTTGCTTTTTATCACAGCATATGCATTTTCAATCAGTCCAAAGACAATAAATCTCGACTCAATTCATTATGACTGCTATCCCACAACCCTATTTGTTGGCCTAAGCTATGCAAAACATAAATACGCTTAGCATGACGGCATATAAAAATGTATACTGATTTATGATCAAAAACGATTTGATTCTGGTTTAAATGCATAGCATACTACATTGGCGATCCATTTTGTGACGCTTGCTTATCCGGAACAATATCTACATTGCTGACAGAAGGATTTTGAGTATTTGTGGAGATACTGTGTGGTACAGAAACTTGCTGAGCATCAACTATATGCTTAGTAAGAGCCATGACACGGTCTTCGCTCATTGTTAACCGACTCTACAACAATAAAATCGACATCAATATATCGAGTAGCATAGAATAATATTTAAAAAAATGTAAATCTACTCGACCAGATATGAAAAAATCGGATTTTACCTCCAAAATGCTCATGGTTTGAGTCAAAACATCAATTTGCCGAACAATATGCTGAAGCGTTGTTGAAATTTGGTCAGACGAAGTTTGAACTTCTAGTATAGATGTTGCTGGCTGTTCAGGGGAAGTGGAGTGAGCAACATTGTTATTAGAATGCAAAGGAGTATGCTCCTTGTTACTAGTATACTCCTTGGCATTTAAAGTTAGTTTAGTGGAAATATTATTTGTTATGTGTCAAAATCATACCATATTCGATATTGATGATACGCCTATATCCACAATTTCAGGAGAGTAGTTTGTTGGATGCACTGTTGACATTCCACCACGAGAAGCATTGTCTATCGGATGGGATTGCTGTGGTTTAAAAACTAACCCACCTGGACCATTTGAAATTGGGACATTACTAGAGATTGATGGAGATTTTGGTCTATGTTTGGAACCGACCTGTGTTTGTACAAATGGATCTGTGTGTAACTCATGCGGTGGATGTGGATAGCTACTTGCAGCATGAATACTCCGACGAGATGCTTGTGCAGTGTAATTGTCAAAAAATCCATTGACTGGCTTATCGAATTGGTCTATTTGATCAAAGTTACTTTTCCATACCATTACCTGAGAATCACTGCCACCTGTTGCAAAGTAGTCTCCAGCAGGAGAGAATACTGCCGTGGTGGTCGGACCATTTTTGTGTCCATGAAGCGTGTAAAACAAGTGACCTTCCTTAACATCCCAAACCTAGAAAAGTATAAGCACAAAGTCCAAGTGTTAAACCATGAATTATCAACATGCTTTGACTATTGTGACGGGAAAAACACGCATTATATATACTTTGATTAAACCGTCCATTCCTGTACTAATAAGCCATTCTCCATTCTGTCCGCCAAACGCAATGCTATTGACCCCACCTGCTACAGTAAGAGCATTTCCTTCCGATCCAGACGCTGGTACTGAATGTGCATCGCCATAGTGCTGAATCAGTTTGTGAGTCCGAATATCAAAAAGTTTAATTGAGCGATCCGATGAGGCAGTTGCAATAACAGAGCCTGATGGATGAAACGCGACAGATGACACCATGCTACAAGTACCGTGTATAATATAAACTAGACTGTCAATTTCGATCCAACTACTGTTTAGCAAGCTATTGATTAAAATATATTTACCCAAGATGATCCCAGTAGGTTTTAACGCATGACTTGCTAGCAAGATCCCAAAGACGCACAGTCTTATCGTCACTTCCTGATACAACTAGTCGAGAATCGGGAGAAAACCTCGCAGTGCGAACCCAGTTGAGGTGACCAGCAAGAGTGTATTGGAAACGAGACCGATGGGTCGACCACAACTAGAATAGCAAGCGGAAGCATTAGTAATTGCCCACATGGCAGATCTGAGCCATCACAAATTAAGATTGAAATGCAAGTTGTGTCGAATCCAACATACTTTGATAGTCTTGTCGTCTGATGCTGTTAGCAACTGCTCACTGTCTTTTGAAAACTGGACATTTCGTACAGTGGATGTGTGTGCTTTAAACACAGTGACGTCCCCTTTACTATATTAGAAAAGTAACAGTCAGGTATAAGCCAGATTGCAAGGCATTTTATGGTTCAACAGATTTGAACATACACATTGGGTGTCCAGAGTCGGACAGTTTTGTCCCTAGACGACGAGGCAAGCAGCTGTCCAGTGGATGCAAAATCAACACTAGTAACTGGAGCCTAAATTGATATCAACAAATCTACATGGTCAATGGCATGAACTGACCACATTACTTGAACAACATTCATTCACCTTGTGACCAACAAAGCGGAATGCTCGTAATTGTGGTTTAAAGTTCCATATCATCACTGAATGATCCATAGATGTGGAAGCCAGTTGTGTCATGGACGGTTTAAAGGCCAAGCCGGTAATAACATCTTTATGTCCACGAAAGGACCGTTCCAAGGTTGGATCTTGCATTTGTAAGACTGACTATTTATAAACAAGTGAATAGGCATTGTGTATGCTATTCAGTGAGAAATACATGGTCCGATAATGCCTATTTAGATGCATGCAATTATGCACATTCAAGATACGTTACCATTGTCACTTATCGGTCAATTGAAATGGTAGCTCGTAAACTACCAATTACAGACATATTCACGTAAAATAAAACACTATTTTGCAGCCACTATCTCTTCTGTTTTAAAAGGCAATAGTTAAATACTTGCTATGCTTTCCTATTATAAATTGATATTCTTGAATAAACATTCTTCAACACTCTGTAAAACTCATGCATTCCAGTTCAAGAAATCAAAGATTGCAGTTTCGGGAATAAAACTGTTGTTTCCTTACCAATCACCCAATACCATAATGTTGATTTGTAGAAACAAGAGTTGTAGATTGAACACATGTCGAATATATTGAAACATGCAACATTTGTTCAGCTCTTATTAATGGTCCACGTTGCGTGAATACGGCTGTGGTTGGCACATTTAAACTTCGAGTCTAGCACGCTCACTACACTATCGCTCATCTGGATATATTCTGAAACAAAAAAGTGCAAGACTTATAATTCATTATGAGGTTTGGAATCCTCTGATTGCTGATGTATAGCACGTTGCATATCGCCAATCTTATCTACAAGGTATTGCAGCATGTTCCTTACTAAAAGTTCGCCAACGTACTCCTCTACAAAACCACCATCTTTATACAAAAACATTGTAGGATAACCGTCTGCGCTATTAGTTGTACAGAATTCTAAAATAACAAAACGTGTCAGATATAGTTTCGGATCTTAAAATAAAGCTGTAAAAAATTAATGGCATTGGATCAACATACGCTCTTCGTTGGTGCAGTCTATTTTTGCCATATGCAAATTAGCATCTACTAGCGATTGTTCATTGACAATTCTTTTCTGAAGTTTAAGCCATTTGGGAGTGAGTCTATGAAGAATGCAATAGCAAGTCGAGTTAGAATCCATACGGATTGAATTGGATAAATCAAACTTTACAAGCAAGGGTATCAGATGCATGCCTTTTACAGTATTTACACCAGGTTGCGCTATAAAATATAAACTGGTAGCCAGGTCGACTCATAAATACTGGAAATTCGCTAGGTAAGATAAACTCGATGGACTTGTCCGCCTCAATGGCTTGAGCGTCAACTTCTGCCATGGTCAGAAACCTTTTTTTAGGAGCTGCCTGCATATTTAAATGCGCATCATCTTGAGCACTCACTATAAATGAAAATGCCATGACAAATACTAACGCAGCCCGTATTATCAATGAACTCCTAGTCATTCGGTGTCTTATGTATACTACTTTTACTTGATTAGCTGCAATGTTTGACAAGTCTTGTTGCAGCTGTATTCGCGTAAAAATGGAACATTGGAGTGCCAAAATACAAACAATCTCATGGAGTAATTAATACCAGTTTCCACAAAACTTACTGGTCATTGTGTCCTCTAAACTCATTGACAATTAATTAGTCTTTCTCTCTCATGTTCATTTTGTATAACTGAGCGAATGTTGCATGTTTCAATATATTCGACATGTGTTCAATCTACAACTCTTGTTTCTACAAATCAACATTATGGTATTGGGTGATTGGTAAGGAAACAACAGTTTTATTCCCGAAACTGCAATCTTTGATTTCTTGAACTGGAATGCATGAGTTTTACAGAGTGTTGAAGAATGGAATACTCTTAGTAATAAATTATCTAAAATAATTTATTTGAATAAAGCATCTCAGGTTACTTGGATGGCATATCCAATGGATTTATCTGGGTAAAGACCAAATTAGCTGCCATGCCACAATGATCCGACATATGCGTGAATGGTTGCTTGTCGACAAGAAACGGCTCAACAGAAACGTTCTTGAATTGAACGCTAGTTGGAGTGGTAGATTTGGAAATAAGATGAAACAAGTAGTCAAGACACTTATTTTCTGGCTCTTTATCAGTATCAACTATGGTACAGGTTGTTACCGGGTGCTCGTTTAAACAAGTGTAGGCAATATCTACCACATCAAACAATTCTTTTTGAGATGTATTCTTTGAGATTTCGCTTGGTGTTTGCTGATCTTGAATAGACTGAGATCCACTTATAGTGTCCACTAGAAGTTGATATTCTTTGCTATGCTGAACACCATCTAGTCTACTGAATCGGCCGTTTACGTTGAAATCACCAGCAAACATAACCACGCCTTTGGCTTGCTGAGAATTGGTTGGTTCGATTGGATCAAGTTTAGCAGAAATAAACTTTGAAGCTCTTTGCAATTGATCAAGACGAACAAGTGAAGATGGAGAATCCAGTGGTGGATCTGCTTCGTAGCTTGCTTGAGTGTGAGTTGAAAACAACATCAGATACTGACCTTGAGCAACTTCGATTCGAGCATACAATACTCCTTTGGCAGCCAGCCTATGGTTTCAAATGCAATGTTCAGATCATACGATACAAACATACGCAGATAGTCCAATAGGCAAATGGATGCTATTTTCCCAAGAGTATGGGCTTACCAATCGGAATGAACTCCTCGAGGATAGGTGAGATAGTCTGTGTCAGTTATGGGAAATCGACTGAGAATCAGCAATCCACCATCCACTTGGCCAGAAGTCCAAGATGGTAGTGGACAAGCACAATGGTATTCCAACCCCTGTTCTTTGGCTAGCCGAATAAACTCTGAGCGTCGAGTAGTGCCAAATGCAAAGCATTCTTGGACACTGACAACATCGTACGATGAAAGTACAGTTGATGCAAACAGTCTTAGTCGCTCCCATTTAAAGTCACCGTTTCCAGAATAGATCCCAGGTGGACGCATAAACATGTTGTAGGTGAGTAGTCGCACTGAGTGCGTTGTCGCATCTGATATACTTGTTGACATATTCAGTATCGGGTAGCTAGGGTTAGAAACAGTGATTGAGATGCTGTAGTGATCGTATATATACTCCTTGATTCAAGCGTTTAAAGTTCAGGATGGTTGCAAGTATCTTGGTTTTATGTAGAGGTATTTATACACTACCATGCGCCAACACTAAATTCAGTCCAGCTTCAAATCACATAGCAAGCATGGTTTATTCGCTCTGCATTAATATTCCGAACTCATAATAACTCCGGCGGCAGCAGCAATCCCGGAAAAGGCGCCGACCGCTGCAGAAATCAAAACACATTTAGCAGTGGTGCATATACGTTTGCTTCGATGTTGACGTTCAAGCTCCAACTCTTGAATGCGTGTAGATAGGGTTTGAATTAGCTGGTCAGATTTGCCAACATGATCCTCAATAGTATCCATTTGCTGCTGCACTTGTTCAATTTTGCGTTTATTTCGTCTCTGGCCTTCTTCCAGTATAGAGCTTGAACTAAAATTTGACTGTGCTAGCAATGTAATGGTTTCTTGGATCGAATCCAGTTTCAAACTGATGTCACTGCTGGCCAACTCATTTGAATCCAGACACTCGGCAATGTGAGCATCAATCTTTTTAGTTACAGATTGCATATGTCCAGCTAATGAGTCATTGTAAGAGTCCAATTTGGAGACGAGAGTTGTAAGTGACTCTGAAGTGGAACTGCTACCCTTGTCCAATACATCCATTCGATTGGACAAATCAAGCACGTCTTTGGACAAAGTAGAGTCTGCAGTGACATCTGCCTTGTTCCCAAAACAGTCCCAGAATGGTATCGAGACATTTCTATTCTTCGACTCTGAATCATATTCCGACCTGTTTGGAAACTCGCCCCATTTGAACTGAGAAACAGATTTCGACGAGATTTGATTTGTAAGTGACTTGTCAGGCAAATGATTGAAAGCACCAATAAGCTTTTTAGAGGGTGATTGGCACATGAAGTTGGATTTCTTTGTTATAATGCCACTCATCTTTTTTGAATTTACAGTCGGACTGGGGTAAGGCTGTTGAATGACAAAGTTAGAAATGTGCTGTTTTGATATGGTTCAAAGCTTACTACATACTGTGTGAATTATCCTGGCCGGGTTGTCACAGAGCATGTGCGAGTAATTTGGGTTTGACTGGTGGGACTTTGCATCTGATGAAACTTTTCTCCTATGGTTAGACTTGGAGGCTTTTGGATTCCTGCTAGGGGTTGGTGGAGTAGGTAGTATAAAATGATTAAGAAAAATAGGTATACCAGCATTGTTTTTCAAGGGAGTCCGAGAAGTGTCGTCGCTTCTGGCCCCATTAATCATACTTTTCTGGTTGCTCATATTGCTTCAAACCGCCACGGCTAGCAACAATAGGGATAAGAATGAAGATAAAATAAAGTGAGAAACTGTTGGCAACCTAATTTCGTCATGTTTTGAAGCATCTAGTAGCATCAAGCAACTATTTAGCATTTCAGCGTGAATTATCCACAGAATTGGACAATTGTTTCAGATTAGTGTAAGGAATCTATATAGGTTGAACGTCATAACAAGACTAGACAAGAGGTGTTGTTCTATATTGAATCAATGACTGGCAGGTCGCTCAGCAAACTGACTGTATCAACAAGTTAGATTATCGCCTTGGCAAGGAGATATGAGCGATAGATGCTCCTACCATTCAAACCAATAATCCACTGATACTTGCAAAGCAACATCAAGGATGACAATCACTGACAATTTCTCATTTTATCTCTACGTTTCATGCTCTTTGTCATTAATCATAATCTTAATGTCTTGGTTGAAAAGCTTTATTTTTGGTGAAAATGCAATCTTGAAGTTTGCACAATCCAATTGAATCAAAACTCACTCGACTTTCATCTGTCTAGACTACTTTATCAAGGTCCATGGTATGTATCAAGTGTGAAAAAAAGCTAGCTGCCTTGGCTACTCCTGACAAATGGAAAGATGGGTCCCTCAATGTTATAGTTGGCTCTAGTGGCCGGAAACTGAATGAAAACAAGCTCTTGTCATCAAAGGCTAAAGTAGCCAAAAGCATGCCATACCAAAAAAGATGTAAAATATGCAAAGAGACGGTTAATCAAGCATCGGCCCATTACTGTCAAGGTTGTGCCTACAAGAATGGTATATGTGCCATGTGCGGAGTACAAATTCTGGACACTAGAGGCTACAAACAGTCGAGCAAATGAATTAATGTTTTGGTGCAGAATATCCGAGTGTTGTATGCCATGTTGAACATCTATTTATTTTTAACATAGTTGTCCCATCTAGCTTGCTCCTTATCGAGAACTGCTTGCTGATCGGCAGTGATGGGAAGGTGGGAATATGGACACTGCTCACCTTGCAGACATCCACCATTTAGTTGCTTGAAATGAAAAAAAACACATGGAGCATCTTTGAGAGTGTGAGAAAACGGACACTGTGATCCATTGATACAGCTGTTTGTTTTAAAGTGTCGACACACCTGTTTTGAACGAGCATCAGATCCAGGTCCATCATGCGAGAATGTGCACTGGCTTCCTTGCTTGCATTTATTATTGGCCCAAAATACACATGGCTTTTTGGGTTTATTATAGACATTTCTGATTCTTTGGGGTTCAGCTGGCAAGGCTTGCAGAGGTATGCATGCAGTTGTCGAATCAGTAGTTGATGACTCTGGATTAAATGATAGAGAAGGATGGATATATGGAAGCGATTCAAATGAGCTAATTCCAAATACTGCAGCAAGTGCAGATCCGATCGTTGGATCGGAAGAAGCTTTATGTACTATGGGATCTGGTGCTGGTATCTCATTAGATTGATTCAAACAAGTTGGTTGCATTGGTGCTGGATTACAACTGACCGACTTTTGCATATTGGAGCGAGCAACAGTGGGATTCTTGATCATGGCAGATGCTTTTTTTCTTGCAGGTGGGGTATGTTTGGGACTTGAACTTGCTGCTTGTCGCTTGCGCTTCCGTTTCGTACGTTTGGAAAGAGCAAGACTTGGTTGTGTGTTGTCAGTAATGCATGCCATCTCCATCTTTGTTAAACTAGAATCTAAATCAACTTCTTGGATCTCCCCATCTTCTATATCACAGGAATGGTCATTGATGGAGCAAATAGGAGATGGAAGTGAGGGATATTCGTCTTCTCCAGACAAGGATTCCATGATGATATTGGGTCGGATAACACTAGCAAACTGCTCAGAATCCTGAATGCTGGCACTCGAAAATCTCAAATGTTTTTTGGTATTCCAAATATTTGAAGGGTTACTTCAGAAACCCTTCAAATATTTGGCCAGATTAAAGTTGAACCTTTCATGATAACAATTTGATGCAACATCAGTTATCTGCAGACGGTCGGCAGGAGGGTTTTTTACAGCTTGTTGAACGACGAGCTGCAAGCACTACAACATTCTTTCAACGAGCTGGTTCTGCAGCATCATCAGACTCGTTTCTCGACGATGACATTGGTCCTAATCTTGCAAATACGACTGCAGGTCCATACTTGTCACCATTGACTGTAATGTCGCCATTAAATTCTGCCAACCAATCCTCGTTAAACAGTCCTCATAGCATTTATATTCCTAGTTCTCCATCCAATAATGCTGGGAGGGGAGGTCAGAGTCTTTTCTTTCCAGCTGGTCGAAGTTTCAATGCCCAATATAATGGTGTTTCTGATAGTGTACCATCCCGGGGCTGGCTCGACTGGCTTCATTGTCCTCCACTTCCTGATATTAGTGGAAATCGGGTTTTACGGATACACTTGTGGGCATCTGTAAAATACTGGTTTTGTGGAGGTTAGATTCCGTAATTTCCAATATTTTATCAGTCTAGTCTATTTTTTATTCTTTACAATGCACTCTACTTTTATTCGACGACCATTTTATTAACTCGATTCTTTATTTTTAAATCGCATATCTAAATAGCTGCAAAACTCAATTATCGCCTCGTAGTGCTGATTATTTTGGCTATTGTGGTGTTCCTTAGCTGTATTATTTCATATTCTTCAATGAACATGACTGAAAATACAGATAATCGCTCAGGATCATGGCTAAGGCTTCCCTTGTCGCAGACTGCTCCCCCAACACTCAAACCACCACTTTTACCCAACACATCAGATCCAGAACATGCCATTCTTCACCTTGCTTTTGGATCAGCATTAACTGATCCACTTGTAAATGTTTCATCAGACACATGGGCCTCTAACCGCTGTTATGCAGTAGTTATTGATGCTGGAAGCTCGGGTTCTCGTGTCCTAATATATTCATGGAAAGATCCAAGACTACCTTCTAAAAAAAATATAATCACAATTGAAAAGGGTTCTGAATTAGGTCCACTTCCACAGCTAAAAACATCACCTGGTATGCCATTTAAACAGTTTGCTAAATACCGTGGTTGCTTGACCAAACTCGAACAGTTTTCCATTCATCGATCATGAATGCTAACCATGCCATACCATTTTAGGAATATCGTCATTTGCAAAACATCCCCAAAAAGTAGCCAATCATATTCGCTCTTTACTCGATTTTGCAGCTAGTGTTGTACCTATAGATAAACACAAAAGCACACCCATTTTTTTATTCGCTACTGCTGGTATGCGTCTGCTATCATCTCAAGATCAGGAGCTTTTGCTAAAAATTTCATGCACATATGCACGGCTTCATTATAATTTTTTGCTTCCAGAATCGTGCATTAGTTATTTTCAGGTTATATCTGGCGAGCTTGAAGGAATATTTGGCTGGCTGACTGTAAACTACTTGAAAGGAACATTCGACAGCAAGCCTGATTTGAATCCTGTTGCGGGACATGACTCCAATGCTGTATCTATAGCAAAACACATCAAACCACTGTTTGGGTTTTTGGATATGGGTGGAGCTTCTGCCCAGATTGCATTTTCTCCCACGGCATACATGGCTAAAGAACATAGTGATGATTTAAAAACTGTACAGATACGGTTTCTCGATGGATTGGAGACCACATATAGTTTGTTTGTTTCGACGTTTCTAGGATTCGGCGTCAATGAGGCACGTAAGCGGTACGAAGAAAGTTTTATAAAGCCTTCAGAAACAACCACAGAATCTTTAAAAACGGCCTACAGAAAACAATCAACTGCACCTACATCGGCATACGATTTGAGTCATACAAATATCGAAAACTTTAAAATTCACGCGCGAGACATGTTAAACAAGAGGGATGAACTAGTTTTTGATGACCCTTGCCTTCCTCTTGGTCTAAAGGTCAGCTCATCTCATTCTACCGACTTGTCTACTATATTTAATGGCAGTGGCTCGTATGATGACTGCATGGCTCGAATTCATCCTTTATTGAACAAGGATATTCAATGCGCAGAACTTCCGTGTCTGTTTAATGGTGTTCATGCGCCTATCGCTGATTTTAGAAATCATCATTTTATTGGAGTATCAGAGTTTTGGTATACTTTATTTGATGTATACGAGTTGGGTGGCGAATATGATTATCAGCGACTACTAGATGCCTCTCGTTCTTACTGCTCTACTTCATGGAAAACTATTCTTGCCAAGCACGAACAAACTCCCTATCCAAATGTGGAGGATATGGATCGTCTACAATTTCAATGCTTCAAGAGCGCATGGATCATGAGTGTATTACACGATGGGCTTGGTCTGCCAAAGATCATTCCCGGCAATACAGACACAACTGGAGAATCAGATCAAGCAAACCACTTTCCAGTATTTCAGTCAATCAACGAAATTGATGATTTTCCAATCTCATGGACTCTTGGGGCGGTTTTACTCTATGCATCATCTACCATTCAGCCCAACACTACACGGCATTCTACATCGCTTGCATTCACTGTAACTGGTACTCGTTTTACAGATTTTATACCTTGGTATTTTGTCTTGATTGTGATGGCTGTGTTTTCATTTTGTATAGCATTGTTGTTGTGTTCTCGATATCTACACGAGACCAGACTGCTATTTTTTTCGTGGTTTGGTATCAAGTACAAGTCTGATCAATATGGAATAGTTCATGATGATTTTTAATTTAGTCTTGTTTGAATTCTTGATATTCTGAATGGCTATTTATAAAACTGTATAGTAGGAACAATAATTAAACTTTTATTTTAAAGCCATGCCTATTACATTGATTTTTTTGTTTGTTCCCTCAATTCGTTGATCTTCAAATGAGTGCTTCCAATTTTTTTTATATGCTCCTTTTGAAGTCAGGCTTGATCCATCAGGTGCTGATGCTGGCCTTTGTTTCTTGGGAGTAGTGTTTTCAATAGATGGCAAGAGAGAAAATGATTTTTCTGTAGGCTTATGAACTATCCGAGCAGATCCCGGTTTGGATCTAGGTTTTGAATTGGTATCAGTTGATTCTATTTTTGGTGGTAAGGGTGTTTGTGTTGATCTTGGATTGTCTACACCCAGTTGAACTACCGTGACATGAATTGGCTCAGATTCAGATTTTGACAAGGAACATCCACTATTTTGAGTATTGGTATTTGAACTCTCTGCACTGTATGGACGTTTCTTTTTAATATGTTGCATCCAGGATTTGACATTATGGAATTCGTGTCTACATTGGCATGTACGTATCCAAATGTATCAAGTTAGGTGTGTTGATGCAGTCAATATAAAACACTATTGAAATCATTTCACTCAACTGTTTTTGGGTGATACTTGTACAAGTATGTTCATGTTCATCACTGCATTGCAAGTGGTTTGTGCATGTGTGTGATTTGGATTTGTATTGATCAAAACTGTCTGGCGGTACATATTCTGCATTATATACCACATGGCGAACAATATTTTCAGGATGTATTGCTGCCTCACGATCACTCACTCCTGGATCGTGTGTTCTTATAATATTCGTAGCATTGGTTCGTGCTATGCGTTCACGATAAATTACGCTTGTCAGAATGTGGTCTACATTTTTATCGCGAAAAGCAGACTTGGTATCATCATTTGCATCCGTCTCGTGAGACTTGATGGCAGTGTCCATATAGGTATACAATTTTTGAAGTCCCTTTAGCACTTCCAAAAATACTGATTGGTCGACATGAGGTGCTTCTACACCATTTTTCTATTATACAAGTATCAAATGCGTTAATGCATTCAAACAGGATAAAAATAGTATTGCATCTACTTTTTCACTGGTGTGTTCAGCAAGAAATTACCTTGTCAAGTTGCGCATCTTCGGAAGCTTTGAAACTATGCGAGTCAATACAGTCTTTCATTATATCAATGATCTGTTTAATAGCGTTGCTTCTAGATATCAGAGTGCTTGCCGATTTTCTATATACCATGCATCAGTGTATTGAACCTATTTTAGTGGTACACACGCAATCATTTCTTTAAATTACCTCTGCTTTTCTCGTTCAATGAATATGGCTTCCTGCAACTGGCGACGTTGCTTTCGACAGGGAGCATGAATACGATGTAGCATTGCATCACGACTGACTTTTCCGTTATGACTAGATACCTGATCTGTGTCCGACTCGTAAGCAATAGAAATTGCAGGTTCTGATTCTTCTTTGTTTGCTGTATAAATTACGCTTGGTGGACATTTTTGTGACAGTAGTTGTGTGGTGGTGGATTTGTTCCATTGAGGCTTTTGAGAATTAAGCGTTTGCCTTGAACAAAGATACAACGATTAAATTCAATATTTAAAACATTAATGTAAATACAGCTCAGCACATGTTACTGACCACCAGCTTTGCATGGCTTGATCATTGATATCGATACCATTATCGTCAGTGTCTGTTGATTCATTTAGAGTAAGAAAATTCTGAAAAGTAATACTTTGTTTGCCGAGCTGATCTTGTGACATGCATTCGTGCTCATTATGGGTTGCATTGGTCCATTCATATTCACTGGTGTGATGATCAGGCAGAGCCACGCACACTATATTGGGTACATACTTTTCATTTGTTTTCGTATGGTATGATTGGCCTGATATTGGACGACTTTCAATAGTAGACTGTTCATCCCACCCTGAAAACATATCTGTGCCTGGTTTAGATACACGCGAACTGGCACTAAATGCTCTAGGTTTTCTATCCGACTCGTTTACCACTCTCTGATTGGTTTGCAAAAGACCATCATCTTGGGTTTTGACTTTAGATTGAATTTGAATTTCCAGTTCTGATACTCTCTTCAATGCAGCTTTAAGCTGACGCAGCAATAGTTTTTGATTCATACGACGCGTAGCAAGTTCTTTAAGCATAAGTTCTTGCTCTGTTTGTATGCTAGACTTGAATACACGCAGATCTTTCAATTCGTTTGATTGCATATTGCATGTTTGAGCGAGTTTGGTGTTTTCTGCCTTGACCAATGCACATTCCTTTGAAAGTTGCATAATTTTTGAATTGCACTGATCGTGTTTGATTTTCTACATTATTGCCATGCAGGATAGAAAAATGTTGGTAAACCTTGGTTGAATAGCTATTTAAGAATACAGTCCAAATGATTTCATGATGCATTTACCTTTTCATATTCAGATCTAAGTTCAGATTGAGCCTTTTCTACCAACAAAACTGTATTTTGCTGATACGCATTTTTTAAAACCTGTTGCTGATCTAGTTGGTTGTAAAACATTAGCAAGTTGTTTAAACCAAACTTTTTGATTTCACATGTTACCTCGGTTAACGCTGTCTGATATGACATCGTAGTCGTTGATTAGAAGCTGTATCTTTTGGTGAGTCTTTTTAATGGATCTGAAATTGATGGGCTCTTCTCCAAAATCTGTGGGTAAGGGAAGCTGCATGTTTGCACTAAGTTCATTCATTTTATCAATGAGATCTTTTAATTTATCCATAGCCTGATCCTTGGCATGAACAGAATCGTGTATATGTGTAGGAATTGTAGACCTCTCATTTTCAAGTGGATGTATGGATTGCCCGTTCAATTCTTGTGCTAATGGCTGTTTTCGTTGCTTGAAATTAAATGGTACATGATTCAAATCTAACCGTTTTGGACCTGTTTCATTGTCTTGTCCATCCAAAATATGTGCACTCATGTTTTGTAAGCCTGTTTTGAGGTTTTTTGTATCTACATGTGTAGACAACGAAACTAAAGGAGTTGCCTTTGCAGCACGAATGAATGCAGATTGTTCATCAATGCCATCATCCATTGCATAAATAACCTTGTCTAAAAATGCCGCTTTAGATAATGCTGCTGAAAAAGTCGTTTCTTGGTTCATGATTTTTTCTGTTTTTGATAGGGTTGCTTCTATCAGAGGACTGGTTTGGCACCCTTCTAAATAAACGGATTTTGACGGGCTTGTTCGTGGCGATATGTTATCTGTTGATGACAGGGATGCATAGGAGAGGTTGCTTTTAGTCGACAGCGGTATGGCTAAAGATGCATTTGAAGATTGAACAGTGTTTTTGAAGGATGGCAGTAATACGCCTACACTGCTACCTACAACTTTATCCATACAGCCTGTCTGCGAATCGCGTCCAGACTCTGACACGGCAGTTGGGCATCGTTCATGTATACTAGATGCTGTAGTTGGCAATAGTTTGATGGCTACAGTAGGTATCAAGCACTTTTGATTGGAATCAAAAAACTCGGGCTGGCTATTGTTTTGGTCCAGTTGGTTTGTACAAGATATGTTTTCGAATGCCACCTTTGGACTTTGCAATACAATGCTGGCTTGAGCATCTGCATCACTAGCGGTTTGTACAGGTAAACCATGTGGCAAAGCCAAGTTGGACATGTTGGACTCCAACACATGTGCTTTTGAAATAGGTTCAAGACTACTTTGAGATTTTACAAAGAGTATAGGCTCTGCTGTTGTATCGGCCATTTCTCCAAATAAACCAGTCGAGTTTATGGACTTAATTGCCTGGTGTGAATCACCGACACGCTTTATATCTACCGTAAAAGATGAATAAATCAAAGCTTAATCAGTCCAGTCATGCTGCAAGAATCACCTTGACAGAGAATGAATTTTCGCATGATCAAATAAACTATTTAAACTGACTAGGTCTCTGCACCTTGACCTACGCATCAAATATTCTAGTGTCGCAGTATTTTTAAAATCATTTTATTTTGCTAGTTTCCACTTCTAGAAACCCCACGAGCTGAACTCCACATATCTATAAAAGGAAGATTGGAGTCAGTGGGAGCTTCTAAAAACTTGACTGCAACCAGATACCCGAGATAGAGTGGCATCAGTTGATGCATGTTTGCACATCGTGTTTTAGTATTGGAAATGATGGAGATAGTATGCGAATCATCCAGCTCTGGACTTTTTGTGCTGGTTGGTAGATCGTCAAGTACAAAGTGAAGCAAAGGAAAAAGTGCGTTGTCCATTGTGGAAAGAGTCAGCTCCATCAAGGCAGATCTCCAGTGAACATACTCGGATTGTTCCAAATTGTGGCCCAACAGCGACAGGCTAGAAAACATGTCATTGAAACGAAATCTAAAATCAAAGTAATTGGTTTTAATTCAAGCAGTCAACCGTTAAATATAATCATAATGCCATGAATAAAATTGAATAGTAACATACCGGTCGCGATTCCACATGTGAAATACACCCAGCTCAAAACTCTTTTCTGAAGCTACAATCTCAGAGATACAATCTGCAACATAGTCTACAGGACATACGTTGATGATGTTGGAAATAAGTGGTACTTTGCCTAGCTGGATACATCCCTTGACAAGTCTCCACAGAAAATCATCTGTATTTGTGACTCCGGCAGCAGAATCTCCAGCAATATACCCAGGGCGAATAATGGTTGCAGGCACACCTCGACTCCTTGCTCGCATAATCAGCTTTTCTGCAACCCATTTTGTTTGTCCATATCCACTTCTCAAACCTGTACGAGATCCTTCAAGGCTGTCTGATTCTAAAACGCTCGCCCCTGCCTCTTGTTTGCGCATGTACTCTTCCGTATCCAGCACAGACGTAGACGAGACAAAATGCACGGCTTTCAATCGATGCGTGGTTGCTAGAACCAACGCTGTTCGTGTACCCATGACATTAGCTGCACGAAGCTTTTCATAGGGATAAACCCAATGAACCTAGAAAATTAAAGTTGAAATGCATGAGTACGCCCTTTCTTGGCAAGTTTGACTATTAAAAATCGATTTTAGCAAGCATGTTCTTACTAGAGCACCGTTGTGCACAATGGCATCTACCCTTTCTGACAGAGAAAGCCAAACTTCTGATGACAAACCAAAATGTTCTGATCCCAAATCACCAGCTACCGCATCAATTCTTCCAGAATCAAGCCACTCTTGATTCCAAAGAAGGTGACGTTGACTACTATCAATTACTCGTGATAATGCATCGGCATCGGTTGCGGCTCTGACCAAACATATTATCTTTGCATTAGGAAATTTATGCAACAGAGAACGAAGAATAAAAGCTCCTAAAAATCCTGTCGTGCCCGTCAAAAAAATGACCGTTTGTTTGTCCACAGATAATTTGGAATGAGAGTAACAGGGCAGATTGGATGAGCAGATTAATGAGTCATCTACAATTTCCAAATCGCCTGCATAGTCAAATGATTTTTCTTCAGCTGGTAGGTCTACTACAAAACTAAGACCGCGCTTATGAAGCTTTGCAGACTTTCCAGGCTGCAAAGATGTGTCTTTTTCTGCTCCTGAGATACCCAAATCCTCGCCTCTTAGACGCTCTACTGCCTTTGCCATTTCAAATATAGTGGACGATTTGTATACGATACCCAAAGAAGCGTCAATAATGAATGCATTGCGGATTTCAATAACAAGACGTGTTGCAAGAATCGAATGTCCTCCCAGTTCAAAGAAATTATCATGCAGTCCAATAGACATCATTGGCACATTCAGCAAAGATGCCCATATAGTGCAGATCTCACTTTGCAGCATAGTCATATCTGATCGTTGACCTTTAGAGCCTGCAGAATCTGCAGCTTTGGCCAGCATTGTATCTGGGAACGGAAGAATATTTTTGTCAATTTTTCCATTTGGAGTGAGCGGTAGTCGTGCAAGTGGAGCAAATACTAGATTTCATACATCAGTGGTGTTACAACTAGCTTTGAACACTATTGAAAATTTACAAGCCAAGCCAAATCAAAATAATTCAATGTGCTATATGAGATTCCAATAGCATATTCTCACCTGCAGGAATTGCATAGGATGGTAGTTTTTGTTTAAGATATGCACGAATGTCTCGAATAGTTTCACTGATATCTTCAATTGTACCCATAGGCACAAAATACGTAACAAGTGTCATTTCCTCGAATTTGTCTCGTCGCACAAGAGTGACATTTTCTCGAATGCCAGGATATTGACTCAAATGAGTATCAATTTCTCCAAGTTCAATTCGGAATCCCCTGATTTTTACCTGATCGTCTGCTCGTCCAGTGCATTCAACACTACCGTCAGGACGATACCGGCCCAGATCGCCTGTGCGATAAAGTCGATCACGAGGACCACGATAAAACGGTATCTTTGGATCATTTTCTAAACCGTGAATGCTTGCTGCACAAGGATTGAATGGATTCAGTACAAACTTGGAGCTGGTAATGTCTGGTAATGACAAATATCCTTCTGCAAGACCACCGCTTCGCACAAAAATTTCTCCTACTTCACCGACACCACATAGAATATTGCTTTTGTTGTTTATGATGAGAAGCTGCACATCTTTCATGCCTTTTCCAGCTGGCATGATATCCTTTTCTTCCATCAAATAAGCAGGGTTTACAGAAATAGGAGGTATTTTGAGAAAAGATACTGCACGTTGTGTTTCTGTGGTGCCATACATGTTGATAACATGCGTGTTTGAAGCAAGATGCTGCAATCTCAGCACATCGCGTTTGGTCAGCACATCTCCTACAAAAAATGCATGACGAAGGGAAGGAATAGAGCTGGTTGCATTAGCAGAGAGAAGTTGACCCATGGCTGGAGTAAGGTTTGTAACGGTAATACGCTGTATACTCATCCACTCGGCCAATCTCCCTGGGGAACCAATGTCCTCTGCAGTAGGAATGCATAAGCAAGCACCAAGAAACAGTGGTGTAAAAATATCTCTTTGAATGGGATCGTGCGCAATTCCACTGAGCATGGTAAATCTTTCAGCTTCAGTCAGTTCAAACTCTTGACTCATCCAAGGGTAGAAATGCGTAAGCGAATAATGCCTGCCACAAACACCTTTAGGGATCCCAGTACTACCGCTCGTAAAACTTAGCGTGCCAATGGAGTCTGGACCAATTACGACTTGAGGGTCTAAATCAGCACGATCCTGCAAATACTCGAGCATGTCATTATTGGTGTCGCCCCCACCAGTAAGAACCCCATTACTGGATATTGAAAGAGATGGTATTTCACAAATGATTGACAACTCCTCTTTAATGTAAGATCTAACGCTGTTGTCAAGAACCCCAGCCTTTTCCAATACAATCAGACCACGCGGTTGAGCCACTGTAAGGTATATGATTTGCCGTGCAGGTGGATAGGCAGGATCTAAAAGCACAAGTAAAAAGGACGCAGCAGTAATAAGTTGAACAGTACAACCATTCAACTAGTTAGTAGCCATAATCTAGATATTAGTATGAGAATTAGCAGCATGATCAAGCCTACCTATTACGCTAAACGTCGCACCAGCTTTCAACACACCCATTATGGCAACGACAAGATCCACACCACGATAGGAATATAACACGACCACATCTTCGCGTTTAATTCCTTGATTTATTAGGTGATGTGCTACGATATTAGCTGCATGGTTGATATCTTGGTAAGTAAAAGTGCGACTATTTCCAGACGACATGCTCTCAACAACACAGGGTCTGTCAGGATGTAGTTTAGCATTAGATGAAAATATATCTGTAATGGCGCCTTTAAAACCACCCCAATCCAAATCGGCACAAGGATCAGGAAGAACTGCCTTTGATGCAAGAGTGACCAAGGAGATTTGATTGATAGCAACGAGTGGATTTGAAGCAGCAGAAACGAGAAAAGTCTGTAGCTGATCGACAATATCTTGAATGCGACTTAACGAAAACAGGACAGAATTGTATACGATCTTGATTTGAATGGGCAGCAGACGCCGAAGTGTTGGTTTCTGAGATATAAAGACGGTCAGATCGCAGTTTGAAAAGGTCGTTGAGGAAGCAAGGGTGTCAGCAGTAGTGTCAGTTTGATTGAAGAAACGAACTTTGAACAGAGATGGCTGCTGAGCAGCATCATCCTTGCTGGATGCATGCATGCAAACCATCTTGTCAGCCAACACAGAGAATGGGATTTCATCAGCAAGAGCAGCAGTCTCAGTCTACAGACCAACAAGCAGATCGTGTGTTAGTTGAATAGGAAACAATCCTATCAGTAATGTATGAAAGACTTACCTGTTGAACAGCAGCCATGACATGAACAAACGAGTCCGAGTCCTGAATAGCAGTGCGTAAAACAAGCGGATTCGATGTAGAAGAAGACGAGCCAATAGTAATGTCTTGCTCGCCAGTGTAGCGATGAAGCAGCACGGAGAAGGCAGCCAAGAGAATGGTAAACGGAGAGACCATTTCATCTAGACTGTGTGGATTATTGGCTTGAGCAGCAATGGATAACTGCATGATTGCCATGGCAGTGGGTTCAGAAATGTCAACGACGAGCTCTGCCTCGACTGTCCGGATAGGAACAGGACGAGGATAGTCAGTGGGGAGCATAAGCTCAGTCAAGTCAGCAAGACGCAGCAGCCATCGAGAGAGTTGGTCAGAATGAGCCATTGGCAGTCTCGTTGGGATTCAAGAAAAGAGTGGAAGCATGCTGTTGTGCATCCATCTTGAACGGTAGCATCTTGTGCTTGTTAGTCTCGACTATCCCTGATGTTGTGTTGTGTTCTGTCCTATTATCCTACTGTCCTGTCTTGTCTTGTTGTCCTGCTGTCCTGTTGTCTTCTCTTTTCTTTTCCTGTCGCTCTCCACAATCAATGCTTCCCATGTTATCATCCTGCACTTCTGCCAACGACAATCCACAATCTGATCCATCTGTACATGCTCAACCTCACTGCATGCTCTTGTTTTTGGGTGTTCCAGAAGGCACTGAGCTGGGCATCGACTATAACGTTTGGGAAACTGGTCCTCGGTTTAAAGGCTTGAGTGGGGTGCCTTGTGGTATGCACTTTATCTATTACTCTACTGGCACCTTCCGTTCTGGCTTCTTTCTAAATATCATCACTGATGATCAGGCATGTCATCATTCTTCCATCAATCATCGCTGCATTTGAACCACTCCTAATCGACTCAATCTCTATCAAACCATCTTGTGCTGTTGCTGTAGATTCATGTCTGGCATTGGTGTCCAAAAACTGAAACTTTGGTCTTGGAGTTGGATCTGGAACAGTTGCAACGATTCAAACATAGTACAGTATCCTTGATTTCGTCGATTCAATCTGCATTAGATGAATCCTGTTGGATTATCTACTGGTACTTTTCAAGTCATATCCCACTCATCTCTTTACATCTACTATAAACTAGATATACATGAATTTTTACCCCACATGGGTCCATATCCAGTTACAAGCTCAAATAAATCTACGGACCATCTCCAGCAAGAACGTCAAAGTGGTTCGTTACGGAAATGGCTCAGATTGTCTTCTTATATTTCTCAACAACTAGTCGCTCGAACTCTTCCCGACAATGGTTATGTCAGTGCCATGACTAGCACTTCCTACTTTTCTGACATCCCCTTGACTACATCTAGCACAAACCTTGAATCAGTCGATGCTAACAAACACGACACCCATGCATCGGATCCGTCAAGCTCAACATCTCCAACAAAAATGACGGATCAATCTCTTGATTCGAGTGAAAGTGATCATCGCATTCATTTTGTGCCCATCACTTTGAAACACTCTTTTCCTCCTGGCTCTACTGGTACCCAAGTCACTAAATACAGTTTGGATAAATCGTATTTATTGGAAACTCTAATCAAAAACAACTACTTGAATGGTAAACCCCCAAAATGTTTACCATAAACCATTTGAAATAGGTGCACATCAAGCTTTACTTACCTCGTTTGTTTTGAATCTAGACCATACTCTACTGCTAGGAGAGTTTCAACTTGCGTTTGTCATTTTTCTTCTTGGCCAAGTCTATGATGGATTCGATCAATGGAAAGCTCTTGTACAACTGGTGTGCTTAAGTTGCGAGTCTATTGCTACTCGTCCAGATTTTTTTGTAAAATTCATAGGTAAATCTATGCCTACAAATCCATACTATCATGGTTTTAAGCTTGGCTGTTGAAATTGACTCGACGTATTCATCATATGGGGTTGAACTTGCACAGATTTGCTGAGAATTCAGCTTGAAGAATGTCCTCAAGATTTCTTTTACGATGCGCTGGCCTCGGGTAGTTTTTTACATGTGGCTATTAAAGCGATTGTATCAACCTGCCGTGATCCTGATGTCGTTGTCCCACCTACTGTATCTCGTTGTGTTTCCGAGTTGTCTGACTTTATGAAAACTCGCTTTAACTGGGACGTATCTGAACATGCAGATCAAGATGGAGAGTATGATGCCACTATGGATGACGAGTATGAACCTGTGATGGTCGAGTGAAATGTAAGGAATTCAAGTTCCTATAGTTTCAGATTAGCTAAACGTGCTTTTCAACCCAGATATACCAACCACTGAATAGACCCGTCCTTACCAGTCGACCCAATACAACACAAATAAACCTGGAATTGCTTTAAAAGATTTCTTGTAAGTTTTATTTTAAAAATGACGACAAAGTAGAGCAACAAGTGTCATCAGTTCTACACAAGTCGTGCCATTTGAGTCCGATTTGTATCGCTACTATAATCTACGTCGACGTCTTGAAACTCGCGTTTTCCACGTGAATTCAACCTATTCTCTATTACCAACCGTGCATCATGTCCTGTCTCCAAAGGCGCAGTGCTATGTATTGGTATCGAATCGGCCAAACTGGGTGGATCTTGTTCCTTGAGTAAAGTATGTTTGTTCAAGTCAAACATACTGGATGAAAGATCTGACAAAGACGGCATATGTGCAATATGAGTGTCGGATTGGGTTGACGACGCAGTGTAGCTAAACATGGATGCCGATATACTTTCCAAATCAGAGTATCCTGATGAAGTAGCAGGTACTGGTGGAACTGCTGCTGTTGGGTTGGCAAGAAGTAGCGTTTTATCTCCCGTTGAATTACGCAATTTAGACAGCTCAGCTAACCCTGATAATCCAGTTAAGCTAGTAAACCCAAGCAGGTTGTTGAGAGTATGTTGTGCAGCTGTTTGGTTTGACGATGATACAACAGCTGGTGTGCCAGTCGTCAAAGTGTTTTGCATAACCTTGTCAGCAGTTGATGTGTTTTGAAGGGTGGATGTGTTTGAAGACGATGCATGCATTGAAATGGTATCCGATGTCAAAGACGCTTCGCTAAAACAGTAATAAAGTAATAGTCAAACATGATAAAAGAGAAAATAATATAAATATCTATTTCGACTAAACAGGCAAAAATTTGCACAATACACAGGCTTAAATACAAAATCTTGGCCATCAAGCATATATACCTTTGTGACGTAGATCCAAGTGGTATCACGGATGAAAGTAAATCATCCTCGTCTCCATAATCAAAATCGAATAATGGGTCAGCCAAAGTCGATACCTGTGGTTCTGATATACCAGAATCCGAGACTGCTCCAATGGTTGTCAAAGACTCATTTTGAATGTCGTTTAAAAGGGGAATTGCTGGCAAAACTGGCAAAGTCGGCATAGATGAGTGATGCGGTGCTTGATTCAACTGATCCAAAACAGTGTTTTGCAAAGTATTCGGCAATGTATGCAAAGGCGAGTTGACTGTAGAAGAAACCGTGGATGAAGCAATGTTACGATTTTGAGAATCCCAGCCATGTGTATCAAACTGCTCAGATCGTTTTGTTGTGTCTTCAACATCTCCTATATTTGATGAGCTGCTGTTTTTTGAACTGCTTGAACGCGATCGTTGATCCTCCTTGTTTGTAGTTGCCGACTCTAAATATTGTAATGAAAACAATAAAATGTAAGAGGTGATGCTGATTTAAACCCAGCCCAGTTTCAGAAACTCTACAAGACATGAAAAATCAAACCATACCCTCGGATAGATCGATATCAGAAAAATATGCCTTGTCAATCACTTCAAGCTGCTCTGAGCTCAAAATATTGCTCTTGACCCAAAGTGCAACGACACGCTTCATTCTAGTCTGATGATCAAAAACGGTTCAAATTTAGAATATCTTGAATCAATAAGAAATGAAATGGTTTGACCTGTTGAAAGTCGTTAATTACCCTGTCTTTTAAATTTGCTTGTACAAGATTGGTAAATATGTTTTCCAGCTTCTCCTCAAATCGGCGGACATATACACTGGTTGTCGGTGCCTTTTCTTTGGCTGTCGGTTTAAGGGAAGCACGAAGGATAGAGTCGATTACATACAGTCCAGCTAGTTTGTAATCTGGTTGGCACTTTTGAACGAATTTTTCAATGCTATGCACAATGTGTTTGTAGAGCTGATAAATTTAATCAGTTGTATTGCAGCGTTAGTAACTAAATGTAACATTGATTCGGACAGGACTGGTCAAGTGCCAAGACTGCATAGAACGATATCTGGGGTCAACTCCAAACCAGACTAGAAAAACAAGTCTGCTAGATATAATACAGAACTAAAAGCATACTGTATCTATTGTTAAATCCACACATAGGTCTGAATGTATTCAATGCAGCTTGTAAATGCCAGCGTTTTCAGATTGATATAGCAGCTCTACAGACAAAAGACTGATGAAACTTGAACAAGTACCTTGATATGAACTATAGCAAGCTTTGTAAGAGTTGTTATCCGAGAGGCTGATACAGGCAGTTTGCTTTCGGACAGTGCATACAATTCTTTGTCAAAAGCCAACATTTCTCTTCCAGCAGACGCTGCCATAGTATAATGCCTTATCTGAGAGTAAAATTGAATGCAATTTGATTTCGATAAAAACATAATCCTGAGGATTTGACTTTGGGTTTTAGCAAGCCAATCTTGCAAGGTTTTGAACTTGAAATCAACAAGAAACCATCTTGCATCGTTGCTTAATTCAAAAACAGTTGTATTGAGCAAGGGCTGCTCTTGAAATAACAGCAGAAACTTGTTTTTAGCGTTTGTTGCAAAACCAACTTTCATCAACACTCGTCAACACTCGTCAAACTAAACCTGAAAATAATAAACCATTTTAATCAGCAATACGTACAACATGGGAAACACACTGACTCTGCCATCTACTCAGCGCTCTCCATCTACAGAAACACCTAATAATACTGCAGTCCCTGGTAACGCGTCCAACCATCAACCAGACAATACATCAGCTACCATTGCCTCGATGCTGCAAACCAATAATACTTACTTTGGTCCTCATTTCGTTTTTGATAATGAAAACCAGCAGGCACATCCAGACCAGCCATTACAGGCAAATCAAGCCTTTTGGGACGAAATCCTAAATGTGCTTGCTGGTGGTCCTGGAGCTGCAGAAACTGAGCTGGCTGGACTTCAAAATATGTACAACCAGGTATGAGCTTAAAGCTTGTCCAAATTCATCAATTATTTTGAAAAATGTATGCTTTTACTCTATATTCCTGTGCAATCATTTGGATATGCTTTCAATTTTCTTGGATTCAATCAGATTGGAGTTTATTGTGAAAATAACTCAAATTATGTCTAGTTACCACCTGCAGAATTAAAACGCACTACCACATTGCAAGCACAAGTTGCAATTCAGAAAAACACTGTGCGTTTAATCCGAGTTCCAAACTCTTCGTCTAATCTACACACTCTCGAGTTTTTATACGATTCAATTGCAGCGTGTCAAATCTGTCTATTCTGGAATGCGAGAGAATCATACGTTACCAATGATCTGGGTCAAACGACAATCAGGTAACTTATTTTTAGCTTTTCTATTTCAAAACCAATAATCTAATCATATATGTCACGGCTACTTGAGATTTATTGGGCCATCCGATACTCCAGTAATCCCATGGACGTTTGGTCCCTTTCCTGCTGGATTAGGACAAAAATTTACACTTCCAATCGAATATGCACTAGATCCATTCTCAGTTTTATCAAAAGGCACAGTGTCGATTCCCAATTCTGGACCAGAATCACCAGTCAGTCCCTTATCGCCAATACACCTGTCTGCACTCTCTGCCACCGCGCCATTGCTGAATGACTCGACACCTACATCGTCTGGTCCGCTTTTTGAATCCAACAATCCAATTGCCGTTTCCACCGTAGAAAACTCTGTTGTAAACATTGATTTGCATAATGATGTTTCCGAGATACCGCAAGAAGGCATTGAGCAATTTGAAGCGTCATTGGTAATGCCAGGTGCTTTGTTTCCGCTGTGTGTTCATTTTGAAGCAGATTTGGACAGAGGCGTTCATATTGATGGTAATAATCGACACACTATTTCAATCTGATTGAAAGTCATTGTTTAGCCTTAATACACGGATGCAGTTGTATTGTATCTAACTTTAATGCTATGAATGTATGCAGATTCAGAATCCCCACCACCCAATTCTCAGACCTCCTTTATAACATTCGCTATAAACCAACAAAAAGAATTCCAAGCCAAGATTATTAAGCAGTTGTTGATGGTAAGCCATTCCAGTGATGTCAAAAGTTGTAGTCGCCACTGTTTTGCGACGAGTTTATTAGTGATGGACTGATTTTGGTGATGCGACTGTAGATTAATGGAGCATCATACGCTGTTCAAGAGATTTTTGGATTTACTGAGCCAGAAAGCTCCACGAGCACATACGGTAATACGATATGCTTGCAAAGATGAACTGCTGCTAAAAAGTATAAATGATCCTGACACCTTGGTTACGCTCAAATCTGGTGGTCTACATGCCACATGTATTCCAGAATCACCATCCAGTTCAAAAGAATGTGTGATATGCATGTCGGAAGCCAAAGACACTATCGTACTGCCATGCCGCCATTTGTGTCTCTGTGGCGGTTGTGCTGATGTTCTTCGAATGCAAGGAAGGAATACAACTGGCACTACTAATAGAGGAGGCCCTCCAAAATGCCCAATCTGTCGTCAAGGTATTTATCAAGCTCAATTGGTATTAAACCAAACGATTGTCTGCATCTTGATATATATGGATTGCATACCAACTTTTTGGATTATTCTGCTAATGCACCATGCCCTCCTTGCGCATACAAACCAGTATTTCATTCATTACTACAGGTAAATCTACCAGAGCCATTTATAGCCAGAGATTCCATTGCTTCTCGTCGAAGGTCCAAAGTGGCGAGCAGAGCCTCTCTTATTGTTGCTCCATTGGATACCCACGGTGGCAATGATGGCACTATTAATGTCAACATGGTAGCATCCTAGGCCATTCGTCTATCTGTGTCTAAAGTGAGATTCTGGGCAAATGCTGGTTGTATGGGAAATTGCCATCCACCCCCATTCTATTATTTCAGTCATAAAGAGCACATACAAAAGCTTTCGTGATTGTAGTGAATGCGAAGTTCTTAATAAAGAGTATAAACAATATTTTGTTTATAAATACAAATTTAAAACCAAATCCTTTCTTCCTTTAGTATCTGCATTCCAACAGCACCATCCGGGACTAAGATGACAGATTCTACAAAACAGGACACCATTGCTGGTCGTCACAGTCAGCATGGTACTTTCCGACACGTAGCTGAGGAGACTGGTTTGTATGATCGTGTCATGAAAGATAACGATGTCGAATGTTCGCCACTTGACCTGACAAGCGCGCAGCAGCGACTGAAGATGACTGCTGATACTTGCAGTGGATCGTACTCTTCAAACCGACCTCGTCAATTCCACCACGGCACTCATGTCTGCCAGCATGGATCTTGCTCATCTCGCTCACTAGCATCATCTAGCACTGCGATACCAACGCAGTCAGTACCTCAACATCAAATTAACCTAGGCGCACATTGCTACTCTACTGAATTAGAGCAGCATACGTCCTTTACACATGCGTCGATAGTCAACATGTATGGGACAACACGACTTGATACGCAAGTGTCGACTCCACATCCTACTAGCGCGTGTGGTGGATCGCATGCAGTCACACCCCCTCGTACTATTGCATCCTTTGTAGAGCATCACAATGAAAGTGCCGCCATTGCCCTCACCTCTATTTCTACATCTATCCATACCGCAGCTCAAGCCATGACCACATCCACGATAATGTCTGCAACCCACGAAGCTTCACATTTGGAGCAACACTATGTACAAGATCAGTTTACTCATACTGCACGGGAAGTGGGCCAAATTACAGAGATAGAGCATGACGATGAAGAGGTTGATCATGATCGCTGGGAAGGAGTGTCGAATTCACCCTACGGCTCGGATGTTGATATGGACGAAGACTACTACGACGATGACGATGAAGAGGCTTTGGATGATTATGACGAGTCTGAAAGTTTGGAAGAGCAACCTGAAGACAAAACACAGAGTTTTGCTCAGGTGGTTGAGCAGCAAGGTGAACTTCGGAAGCAAATCCAACTTATTCAGGCAGATACCAATATCAGCAGTACTGAAAAGGCCAGGTGTATTCAGGTATGCCATATTTGGAGTCTTGGATTTTAACTTGTTTTTCGTCGCCACCATAGATACACATGTTGTGTAGCGCGACTTTCAAACCCTCTTGATGCCCAATCTACATCCATTGTAAACACATGTTGGCTGTGGTCTGTTTCCGAAAACATATCCCATCATGCTAGTAAAATCTCAAAATTTCACAATTCACATGTTTAGATGCAGTCTTGGCTTATTTGGCTACCAATCGCGACGTGTTTAAAGTTTTATTGATTCATTATTGGATAAATTTAGGAGCTCATGACTAAAAAATGGACATCCAAGCAACAGATTGAAAGCAGCAAGGAAGTTCGAAATATTAACAGATTGGCAGATAAAAAGTTTGACTTTGATAAAGTGACCGAGGAGGACAAAGTTGCTACATACCATGTAAGTAGCGTGATGTATTGCTGGATCTAATAAACGACATGGCAACACATGCATGCAAAGTGCCAATTGGGGATATAACATGTCTTTTTGCTATGCATATGCAACCCCATTTTGATCAACAGGCACCCAACATCATGGGTTGCAAGCATTACCAACGATGCACAAAGCTTCAAGCGCACTGCTGCGGAAAATGGGACACATGCCGATTTTGTCACGATGAAGTTTCTGATCATACCATTGTTCGGTAAATATACAATCATTGTAACACAACGAGTCTCGCTCTATTTTCAAAGCTTTTATTAATGTAAACTCTTGTGCGGTGTATAGGAGTTTGGTAGTTACAATGATGTGTATGTTTTGCAATACCGTGCAACCTGCTGGGCAAGACTGCACCAACCTTGCATGTGGAAAACGAGTTGCGCGATACTATTGCAAGGAATGCAAGCTTTGGGACGACGATCCACGAAAAACCATCTATCACTGCCATGACTGCGGCATTTGCAGAATTGGAAAGGGACTCGGTATCGATTACTTTCATTGCCCAACATGTAATGTCTGCATGGCTATTGGTCTCAAGGGTCGTCACAAGTGTATCGAGAGAAATCTTGAAAGTGACTGTCCTATATGCGGCGAATACATGTTCACGTCCACATCGACTGTCATTTTCATGGTAAGATGATTTAGAATAATGGTATAATGTGAATTTGCTTTTTAGTAGTTTGATTCACTAACCACTTTACAATGATAGCCTTGTGGTCATTGCATGCATCACAAATGCCATCAGCAATATACACAAACGTCGTACCAATGCCCTACTTGCTTAAAGTCGTTGGCAGATATGACAGAGTAAGTTGGTGACCATTGATGAAAACTTTAAATCGGGACTGCTTTGATAAACCATTTATTGTATTTTGATAGTTACTTTAAACGCGTTGATGAAAGCATTGCTTTACACAAGATGCCGGAAGAGTATAGCAATACCTTTAGTTTTATTTACTGCAATGACTGTGAAAAGAAATCATACGCATACTATCATTTTCTGTACCATAAATGCGGTCATTGCAATGGATACAATACAAAACTGCTGCAGACTCGCGAAGGACTGCCTGCTGATGCAGTGATTGCAAAAAAAGTGACTGAAGAAATACTTGCTGCTGCATCTAGTCCAGTTGAGCCCGTAGCAGCATCTCCAGCATCTCAGACTTTGCCAAGTGAACAATCGCAGGATCGATTAAGCATTGTATCAGCAATACATACCGTTGATCAGCAAATTGAAAATCAGTTGATATCTTCCCAAAATTCGTTTACATCCACCAATGAACTTGTAGCAACAAGACAACAAGCTTCATTTACACAACTGTCAAGCTCTTCTAATGGCTCCACAACCCGTTCATTTTGGTGTCATCATTGCCAGGTTAGTTTTATTCTATTAGCATTTAATGAACCCACTCCGTTTTATTAACAACCACTTTTGATTTTAAGCTTCCAACTCAATTATATACCGATGGAACCTTGATGAGATGTGTATCATGTAACTCGGATTTTGTGGAAGAAGTGTGATAATGCAACTAGACGACATGATTACAGGATACATTAGGCGTGCTGTTGTATTGTGCCGGTTGGCTTGTGTAGTAGACCATTGCTGATATCAACCCATCGCGACTCCACCGCTTGGATTGTCTCATCATTAACGTAGGATCTATACTTTGTTTCTTTATTGTAGCTGTCGCAAACTTTTTAGATTTTTACTGCCATACTCGCGTAAAATGAAACTAATAAATAAAGGTGCCAAAATATATAATAAACCGCCAGTCTCATGAAATGGCTGATATCAAATTTACTGGACAGCACTGTGTCCTCTGTTTTTTTATAAATCTGAACAACGGTTTAAAGTAGCATCCACATTTCAGTTCTCCTTTCTCATAACCAAACATTGAGTGATTGGTATGGAATAGTTGCAATCTGTCTTGAACGCGAACACATGAGTTTTAGGATATTGTTGCGATGCAGAAAATACGAGCGATAGATGCTCCTACGATTCAATCAATAGATGAGCAATCTACCGATATTTGCAAGGCAACAACACTCGGGATGACAAATACTGATAATTTCTGATTCTATTTCTCCGTTTTCATGTCTATTGTCATCCGTCGTGATCAAGAGATATTCTGACCAACTTGGAATTTGTCAATGTTGTCATCTTTTACTAGTCCCACTGGTAAAGAATTATGCTATTTTATGCGCACAGTGATGGTGACGGATGATCATTTCACTATTGACATTTGAAATGAATCTGCAAGGGTTTTAATTATAGTTTTATAATTAATCATGACCATCCACATACAAATAATACACGAATCAATGGATTGCAGTTTATTACACTAGATATCAATACAACAAGAGTCTGGAATATTTTATAGCAAGATTGCCCAATAAGTCGGATAGTTTTGATACCGTCACTCGATTAGTTTAGCCGATATCTACGCATTGATTTGCGAGCAGTTGAATAGTAAAGGTTCGTCATTCAGGCATTTCAGTCTTTACCACATCCATTGGAACAATCTTAAACTATACCATCTCGCAAGAGCTGTTTTGCCAATGCATCAGCATCGCACCAGTAGTGACCAGCAACGGAATGCAGACTTGTCAAGTTCGGCAGTGTCGTCATCATCTCCAAAGGCCACCAAGGCCGACCAGCTGGTCCTCAACTTCCTCTCAAAGACTGCCCAAGTGATTGTTCAATCCCGACTGACTGATGTTTCTCGTTTGGCTCGGCATGCAGATGGCCCGAGCTTCAATACTCTCGATAGTGTATGTCCTGTTAATAATGCCGATGTACAGGGCACAGTTGATACTGGTGCATATCCTACATCTGACCCTGCTTACCCATACATGGACGCTGCAGCAGTTGATAATCCATCTAGAGCTTCAAGAGATAGTCATTCTGCCAGAAGTTCATCTACTCAACCCAATTCCCTGCCCTCAAAGCCCCGAAAGCCTAACAAGTGGGTAAGAAATCATCCATGTTTAATCTAGTACAATATAGAATAAAATAGGCTCTGCCTGTAGATAGACGCTTATGCTTATCTACTAACACGGTTTCATATCCGATCCCATGTGAATTTATCCTGGACATGTAGTTCAATTTGGAAATGGACGATGTCGAGCCTATACGGGAAGAAATGCGATTCTGGAAGCTGCATTCAACTGGCGGAGTTCAGTCACATCCGTTGACTATTCAGATTTACCTTGATATTGGCGACTTGCCTCCATCGCACAATCTACTGCTAAAAAACAAGGCATCTCAAAAGCGACTACGTATTGGCAAGGAGTTTTTGACTGGCACTGATACTGCAGGGCGTACAATCAGAAAAACTAAAATCATTCTCGAGTCATGGCAGCTTTCTGTTTCGTAAGCAGTTTTTCGAGTTTAAACTATATAATCTGTTTTTATCAATGCTAATTGACTCTTGATTTGAATTTTAGGCGAAATGCTCCTGCAAACCCACCCGATCTGCCAGTTGTTTATAAAAAATCAATTGTATTTTTTCGATCGCTATATAGTATGCTACGTCTCATGCCAGCCTACAATCTATGTCGTAAACTTCGGTCCATCAAAAACACCCCTTTTGCAATCATGTATCGCATATCAACGACAAGAACCGTCTTTTTTGATGATGTCGGTCTCGGTAAGTTGGGATTATTGGATTCTATTTCTACCTTTGAATTTTTACCATTATAGTGACCGCGCATGTTTTGATTCTTTGTAATAGATGTATTGCATGTGAACAATGATATGCGTAAGGGACTAGTGGAACATACTTTTTCAGGAATTGAAACTCCACTTGGGTAAGCCATACATTTGATAAATTGGATTGGCATTTCAAATGTGCAGTTGAACTCAACTATGCGAGTGCTTATATTTTATGTAAACTTTTCCACCTGCGCTAATTTAAAATATAGAGTAATCAGCCTTCATGTAACATACCGAGCAGAATGTGAATTTTCGCTTGGGAATATAGAACACATTCTTGGAGATCAATATGGAGATATTGAAGAAGGATTCTTTTCTACTCCCTCAGAATTCAACCCACATCATGAAAATGATTCATTGGCATCGAATTCACACGGAAGTTCTGGTAGAACTCCAGCATCAATAGGAGATCCAAACACAGTAGATCGAATGTATACACAGTCTGCAAAAAAGGTTTCAATATCCAACCAGCCACTACACTATCAGCCTTTTACACATACTCCTTACTATGGAAGTCTTGATTCTGGCACAAGCAGCAGATTCTCCCATGATAAACGGCGAGACACGGGCAGCTCCAACTTAAATAGTCAGATTGACGACACACAACATAGTCATGTTTCTTCAGCACACGAAGAATTGCATGCGACTCGAAGCAACTCTCGACTTTCAATTTCAGGAGAGCGAAAAAAGTATGTGGTTTTTACACCTCCATATGAAATATCTGCGCTACGAAATCAAAAAAGACTGCATTCAGCATTTCTTCCTGATGAACCGCCGCCTTTCTTAATTAATAACACCTTCACAGAAACTCTCGACTCAGCATCCCGGCTTTTACCAAGCACAGCAAGTCCACCATTTGATATTACAAAACAAAAGCCTACGTTTCACACTCCATGCGCGTTTCGTGAAGTTCAGCTAAATCAGCAAGGATTTCCTACCCAAAGTCTAGACAGTAAACAGACTCCACAGCAGGTGATTTGCACAACTTTGAACTCTAAAAACTATTTAATATTGTTGTTTGCTTGAGCATGTAAACTAAGATATACAACTTTTTTCAAATTTTGCAGGGTCAATCAAATCTGGAGTTGATACGCCGACCATCATTTACACTACCATTTGTACCTCCTAACCGGTTGGATTCTGGTTCATTACAGAGTTTTGCTCCTCCGCCTCCACTTATTTTTTCACCATCGTCTCAACTAGTGCATCCAGTATTAAGATCATACAAATTGTCTCCTCCACCAATGATGCTTTTTAATTCAGCAGATATGGCAAGTGTTTATTAAATCGAATGTTGTATTTTTAATAGCTTAATGCACGTTTAACATTTTTATATTTGAATCTTAATCTGTCAACTAGCCTTCTAGCGATAACCTGAGCGAACTGTTACGAAGAAACAGCATTAATAACCCACTGTTTAGCAATACCTCGACAAACTCGATTGGTGACAATGTACTTGTTCGAAGTAACAGTAATTTAAAATACGGGCTGATTGGAGATGTACACATGTCCTCTAGTAGTATTTTACAGCAAAACAATACTCAAGTGTCTGTAGCTGCTCGCCGTGCTAGATCAAAGGTATTTACCAACTTTTAGATTTGGCACCATTATTCAATATAGCCACTTTGACTAAAAACATGTTTTAACACTGGCTACACATTGTGCTTAGAATGCTCTGGATCATTTTAAGATGATGAAGGAATTGAACGCAAGCTTTACTGATTCGATTTTGCCTTTATCTGCAGTGAATCATAATCCGGAAATGGGTGCGTCTCTTCAAAATCCATGCAAGGATATTACTCATGTATTACCATCAGATTGCTCTGATACTTGTTCTCCGATTAAAAATGCTGCTGCACTGCCCACATCTGGTCTTGACACTCCACACCAATCAAAAGCCCATTTTTGTCAAGATAAGCCGTTCAATTCATCGCCAATTAAAGAAGAATCTGAGGACAATTTTCTTAAATTCTCAAAGACTGACCAAGACATACCACCACAAAAAGAATTCTTCAACTTGGACCGACCTTTTTCACTTTCACTTGATCCTGTTCGATCTCCACAAAAAGAAAAAATAGGTTTCTCTTATGGACAAAACCCCGATTCTTTGAAGGAGCCAGAGTCCCATATTGCATTATTCCAGCAAAGCTTTCTCAAAGATATTGGTGATAAACAGCCATACATTAGGGCTACTGCGGTGGATTTTGTAGATAAACCATCGGTTCAAATGACGTCATCTTTGCGTGAGCCATTTTCGGGTACATCTACGACAAATAGCATATTTCAACAAACTCCATTATTTATGAGTGACGGCGCGGCCCCACTATCAGCTACTTCTAGTATATCTCAAGTTCAAAACAACAGCTCATTCTCTACTTTTAGGCCATCGTCTCAATTGACTCCTTTTATCCAAAAGGCAGCACCTACTTCTGATGCATTTGTCCCCGTGGTTTCAGGTGTAGATGCACCATCGTCGAGTGAGCCTTTATCTTTATTGTCTAGACAAGTTAGCATAGATCCATCATTTAGATTTAGCCCGTTCAAAAATCGGCAAGTTCCTATTATATCCCACCAACAGAAATCGAGCAGCTTGGCAGTAGACATCGTTCCGACTTCACGCCATGTAAGAGCCTCTCATGATTCAAATGATACTACAAAGCATCCCACCAGATTGGAGTCGAGAGCAAGCACGTCTTTGAATTTCTCGACGAGTGTTGATCACCCATTTAGGCTTTCCTTGCCATCCGACATTGCACCATTTCGATATCATCATTATGCCGAGCATACTCAGCAAGCAGAGTCATCAATTGTTCCCCAGTCCTCCACAGCCAAAGATACCAAACAAGAAACCCAAATCCATTCTGACACAATCACATCACCAGATGAAGTGCATACCCAGTCAGAGCACCATCCACACCGCCTTTATTGGCAGCGCCTACGTTCTGCAGGACTTGGACGTAAACCCAGCGAACATTTGGATGAAGAAGATGATTTGGTATTTAACATGTCCGAGTTGGACGTTAGTGATGATCATTTGCAATAAATTAAACCATGACAGCATGTTTTATAAATTAATATGGCTGGTTCATTTTTATTTGGCCATAAAATTATGTTTCTAGCTATATCATGACTTTGTGTTGATTGAACGACAGAAAAGTTCAAGTTGCCATCAATAGATCATCCAGTCTGGCCCTGGACAATGCACGCTTGTCACCTAGATTCATGCTGACCTTGCATTCAAACAAATGTTGAGAACATAATAAATAGGATAGGCCCCAATTCAAACCTGGTTTGATTATGATAATTGCCAGTGTTGGCGGTCAAACAAGCGAGTAGATACTAGTGTTTGTTTAGCAGTAATACACTTGATTTGGATGGCACAAGTATAAATGCATTCCAACAAGGGCCATTGTGAGTGATAGATACGTATACTGCCCATTTTGCACTCAGCCTGTATTTACTGTGGATGCAAGGGCATCGTTCTTTGTGTTGAAAGCATAGATGCTCATCTATTGTTTCTTATCTCCAAAATGAGGTTTGATATCAGGTGTTTGATCAATATCTGTCATGGATCTGGCCCGAACCGTACCCAGGCACTACTTCAAACAGTGGGCAAACAAGCTCCACTCGCATTTAGACGCGAATGGTTCACCCCACATTTGTTAGACAAACAACTCGTCTTATCCACTGTGAGCCTGAATCCTTATAACATATCTCATTGTCCTGACTTGGTCCAAATCCAACATTTTACTAAACTACCATCAAAACTAGTCTTTTCTACTCAAATACTCTTTACTTGCCTTGAACAACCCCTAATATATACTTTTTCAGCTGATAATGGCAAGCTCTTCCTCGAGGGTATTTAAGCTTCACAAAAACACCGTGACGGACACTCTGCAACATCAAAATTTCGATATAAAAAGTGTCTCCAATATGACTGCCTACGCCACGCCAGAAAATCTAGTGAATATGCGAGCAAGGCATCAACATAAAGCAAACGATGGTGCTGTTTTACTAGAACCGTCAAATAAAAGTAGCGCGCCTATTTATACCCATGCTACGGTAGCATCACCAACACTGCCGTTGCATACTCGTACCAATGTATTGGCTGTAATTATTCCTCCTGTTCCAAACTCGGTCGAGCATGTGTGTGCCCGCTCGTTTAGTCTATATGCTCCCGAGCAATCCGTGAATGAAAATACTTTGACTTTTTCTGACGGTCAGCAGGCAGCAGAGATTTTAAATTCATCCGCTTCACAGGATCAACGAGGTGATACTGAGGTCATGAAACATACAGATTCATCTGCCACAGTCGTGGAAAAGGGATGGTTGACTACAGTACTTGATGAGATGCATAGTGCAAGTCCGTCCACCGCAATTGAAATGGCTCCAGATGCATTGTCTTCATATATTTCCTGCACCAATAGTCTACAAGCGCAAAATATCTCACCTGCAGCCCAGTCTTCAACAGAAACTAATATACCATCTCGGTTTGATCAAAATACTCTGATCGCTGCTACTTCGTTGCAATCTCACATTCAGCCTGTTCATGAGTCTAATGTGTCTAAACCAGCACAGCCCAAATCCATTGCACCTTGCAGTAGATACTATACCCCTCGTGTTGCTTCTGCAGTGGAAGATACCATTAATACTATTGCTCCTACCAAAAGCGTGTCTGGTGCTCGTACCCCTTTAAGGATTGATACAAAGCTTGATAAAGAGATTGTGGTCGACCCGCAAAATACGGCTGCTACATCAATTAAATATATCTCCAAGTCTGACACTACTTCTGGCCATGTCGCACCCAAACAGCCTCCACCCTTGCCACCGCATCCATTTGTACCAACAGGCAGAAAATATATTGGAGATTGGTCACTTGGCAAAACCATTGGTGAAGGAAGCTCTGGAAAGGTCAAATTGGCTGAAAATATTGTCACAGGAGAAAAGGTAATGACTGCATTGAAAATTCGGATTCAAATAAGGTTTTAGGTTACGATGAATTGCTGATCTTTAAATGGTTTGTTTTGGATTCGTATCAATTGTGCTTGAATGTACCATGTGGAAATGACAGTGCGTTGTCAAGGCAGTGCGTCGACCCAAAATGTCCTCTGGTGAAACAGTAACAGAGTCAGATCTACACTCGCTAGGCTCTGATGCACTTGGTAAAATATACAAGCGTGAACTCTACATGATTCGTGAAGCTGCACTTGGAGCAATGCTAGATCATCCAAATATTGTAAAACTTCATTCTGCTGTTTTGGGAGAAAACCACTTTTATTGCTTTTTTGAGCATATTGTTGGAGAAGATCTAGTTGATTATATTACACGATGTGGCCGAATCAAAGAAACTCCTGCTCGTGGTATATTTCGACAGGTTCTTTCTGCAATTGGTAATTTTTATTTTTCTAGTGATGAACCCTTTGAAATGATGAATTACTTTCTAAAATAATGATTTGAACCACAATTTAGACTATGCTCATCGCAACTATGTAGTTCATCGTGATATCAAGCTGGAAAATATCAGATACAATGAAAAAACAGGAATGGTCAAGCTTCTTGATTTTGGATTTGCAACCTTTCATACAGAAAAAGACATGCTTTTGACTAATTGTGGAAGTCCGTGCTATGCTGCTCCCGAGATCTATGACAACAAGCCATATCATGGACCAGAAGTGGATATATGGTCACTTGGTGTAAGTGATTGTGCTGGCAATAGTTCAATCAATAGGTTGTGGCTATACATACAAACTAACTTGATTTCGTTAATGTTGATACACTCTAGGTTTGTTTATATGGTATGATTACTGGATCGCTTCCATTTGACGGTCCCACTTTTAGACTACTCGCTTCACGTGTTCGTGCTGGAAAAATCACTTTTCCAAACTACGTATCTGAAAGTGCAGAGAATTTGATTACTTCTATGTTGACGGTGATACCACGAAAGCGCGCTACTCTTGAGCATGTTTTACAACATCCATGGGTCAATCAAGGATATCGCACACGACCAGCGACTACAGTTGACCCAGTTTCTAAGGAATCTACTGCAGCTATTCAAATGGAACTAGTGAATCGTGTTCTTTCAGCAAATGTATGTGATGCTGGTTGTCATCTTATGAACATGCTGAAAGAAAGGATTCCTGAACGCCAGCAACAAATGGAGGCAGAATGGCGTCAAGCATCTACACAAGCCACATCAGAGAATCAAACCAAGGACAGTGAGAGTCTTTCAACACAAAACAATGCGTCGTCCAGCAACAACGTGTTTTGTCAGGATCAAGACACCAACTGTGCATCAGGCACTACCAATTCGATGATAATGCTAGGCGATGAATCGAGTATACTGGAGATTTCTGAAGAGTTTGATAATACAGTACACGATAAAAACCGAATATGGTGGAAACGTTTGCTGCACAACTTTGGACGTCATAGTCCTAGCACTTTCCAAAGCAAAACAGCGTCTCCAGGATCTACATCACAATCGACCCAATCTGAGGTCTTTCCAAGTATATCCGCCTCGCCTTCAAAGTCGATTTCAAGTCCACATTATCCAAAGACTGGAGGAATGTTTGGAAACAATCAGATTAAACCCGCAGAGTCGATCAGTCCAATAGATGTACCAGTCACTCAACCATTACTGACGCGTATCTTTAGAAGACGAGTTGCTACAACGAGTACCTTTACTGATCCACAATCCAAGGAGATCATGCCTGATATGTATACTGCAGCACGGCCAACATATAGAGCGACGCATGGACGCGCATATACCCAAAACGAGGCAGTAGCCTATAACAATGCAGCCCAAGGAATGGCAAGCAGCCCGTTAGTGGATACTTTAGATATCCGCACAAAAAACGAACCACCAACTGTTCCTCGATCATGCTTTGAAACAGAATGCAATGAAGCTAGCTATGCAGGACAAAGCGTGCATGGCATCAACTCGCAGCCAACAAAGGGAAACACAGGTCAACGAACATGGTTTCCACAGTTTCGTATAAAGAGACGCCAAGAAAAAGCATAATAATAAAGTTGATTGACAAATGAATTGATAATAAATGAAAGACTTGAACTGTAAGGCTGATCTGCAGTTTTGTATGGAAATCATGTTTTTCTTTTTTCCTACAACCATCATACAGGTGAGGTTGAATTGCTTTACCATCTATACTGCTTGCTTACGCAGACACTGCTTCTGCACCAAGACTCTACTTATAGATTGCCTCAATCTAAACCAGCTTTGTATTTAGTCATGCTGCGTCGTGCCAACTTTGGACTTGGTGTCCGTGCTGCCATGCGCACTCCTGCACCATGCATGCCCTTAAAAACCATGCCATTCACTAGACTGTCTTCTACTGGCGGTGCCTTTGGAAAGTCCAATGCTGAGTCTGCATGGTGGTTTGCAAAGGCTGCTGCTGCCTCGGCTGTTCTGGGTGTTGGTATTTCTACCTTTGTTCTGACTGATAAACACATTGATCCTCTGGCTCAAACCGCCGCGTCAGCTATGACTGCTCTCAAGCACAAAGCACATGAATTTGGCATCGAACTGCCTATTCTTGAGGCTCATGCATTCTCTACTGCTGACGCTGGTCTGCATGCTCCTCACTGGCCTTGGGAAACAAACTATTGGTGGACAACATTCGACCATGCTTCGTAAGTGAATGTTTGATTCAAGGCTGCGTCTCGGCCTGCTGTAGCAAAATTTTACATGTCTTGCTCTTTCAATGGACTCTTGACTGCTGTGACTTGCCCTTACTGTTCAACCATGTCCTAGTGTTTGCTTTGAGCAGTACACTAAAGTCAATAGGACTGGGTTGATCTACCAATGAGATTGCTGGGCAATCTGTTGCAGATGATGTCTTGTGATCTGGGCACTGACATTTTTATATTCACTTGCATCAATCATCTAGTCTGCGTCGTGGTTACCAAGTCTATCGTGAGATCTGTGCTGCATGCCATTCCATGGACTACATCTATTGGCGTAACTTGGTCGGTGTTACCCACACTGAAAACGAAGCCAAAGAAATGGCTGCTGAATACGAATACAAGGATGGTCCAGATGACAAAGGAGAGTACTATATGCGTCCTGGAAAGGTAATGCTTTTATTGATTGTCATTTGGCTTTTCTATTCAGTACTGTGCACTAATCATCTGGATTCATGCAATTTAAACTTTTTATGTTGACTGTTTTCCCACTCTAATGCAATATTTATACATTAGCTGACTGACCCTATGCCTCGACCATACCCTAACGAAGAGTCTGCTCGTGTAGCTAACGCTGGTTCCTATCCTCCTGATCTTTCATGTATTGTCCGTGCTCGTCATGGTGATGCTGTAAGTCGGTTTACTTTCAACAACTGCATTTGATCTGCTACCATCTTGATGCAGATCTACTTTTGATTAACATCTTTTTTCATGTATCGAACCTGAATTCTAAAACAGGACTATATCATGTCCTTGTTGCTTGGATACTGCGAACCTCCTGCGGGTATTTCTATGCGCGAGGGTCTTCACTACAACCCATACTTCCCAGGTGGTGCCATTGGCATGGCTCGCTCCATCTACGACGAGGTTGTTGATTACGAAGATGGTACTCCCAACAACGCCTCTCAACTTGCCAAGGATGTCACTACGTTCCTTACATGGTCTTCTTATCCAGAGCACGATCAGCGTAAAAAGATGGGTCTCAAGACCATTGCCATTGCTTCGACTATTCTTTGTTTTGCAATTTGGTGGAAGCGATTCAAGTGGAGCCATCTCAAGTCAAAAAAGATTGTGTTCCAGCCTCAAAAGGTATAGCTTTTAATTGCTTGAATAGATTCCAGTTTTTACTAACACCATCGACTTTTTGCTATACACTATAGATTCGCGAAGTTTAAACGCTTGCGGATGTTTGATTGTCTGCCCCCTAATCGCTGATGTTTTACAGCGTCTTCAACTTTTTACTTTACTCACTCCATTGATTGTCGTTCAAATGAATGCTTATCATGTTTCCCTGTCTGTGTTGGCTTGATTCTTTGCATATGGAGAAATTTAAGCATTGGCGCTAGCTGAATATCCTACCAATTTAAAATACATGATTTTGATTCATACTTTCAAGCCGAATATTTTTACACCAAACTTGAATTCCAAATTTTGTAAATTATACCGCAGCATGTGTGCTGCTCAGGGTGCCAATACTGATTTGGAAGATCTGTTGGCTGAATTAGATATGCCAATCTCAAAACCATCAAAGTAAGTTATTTCTTGGTAGCGCACCAGCCAATACCTGAATAGACTCGGTAGTTTGTAGTCGGCAGTTTGTTTTTGAATGGTCGGACAATAACAGTTGGATACTCTAGGACGGCAAATAAGCCCATTCAAACCAAAGATGGGTCTTCAAAGCTGCTTAAAACTTGCAAAGAGCCTACCATTATACCAACATCTACTCCAAACCAAACAGTGTCACGTCCATCTTGGCCTGGACTACGCGTTGGAGAAGTACTTTGAATATCCATCTACCAAATAGGGTAAACTCATATGCTAGAGCTAATGCAGCTTTTATTTGGATACTCATAGCCGGATGATTTGGATCAGCTGCTGGTTGAATTGGAAGATGTAACATATCCAACATCAAAAGTCTGTTCAACACCTATTCTATCAGAGTCGGATCAAGACTGTCAAAATAGTATTCTGTCAAAAAAACTTGGAAGCTCGCAGTTGTTGGGAAGAGCCAGGCAAGTTATTTGATTTTAAACTCCTAGTTATTACAGTAACAATACATTATTGATTGTGAAATATATCAGCAGATGTACGAGCCCAACACTTGGAAATGCAACTGATAAAATGGGATACAAGTTTTCGTGTGATCAACTTCGATGTATAAAATGTGACTTTCAGTGTCAGACTTTTACCAATAAGGAGTGGAATGGTCAGTGTGATTATCTGTTCTTTAGAAATTACATGCCAGATAAGCAACGCTTGTCTGTCAATTTGGATTCCAAAGCAGGCAAGTAATATTTTTTGATGTCCTAGTACTTCATCTACATGTATAGATATGCCCGATTTGACATGTCGTCCTAAATATTTGAGCAATAGGAGTTCGATCCTACTGTTGCCAATGCTCATGGATCTCATTGACAAAAAATACCCCTGTTTCTACGACTCAGCTAAAGTGGGTTTGTGGTGGTCATGTTCAAGAATAAATGGTATTGAATATCTGAAATTAAAGAGCAGATGGATGATGGTTTATATAGAATTAGTTGAAACCAAATGGCAGGCGTTAGTGAAATCAGACTGCTTTGTATAAAACTTGTTAGCATGCATTTGATACACTGCGTTGAGAAATAGCAAGAATGCTTTTATAACCACTCGTGTCGCTAGAATAGAAACACACGGAATAGCAAGACTCAAATACACCATTGTTACGTAGTCATCGTTGAATAGGCGGTATTTGACTGATTTGGCAACCCTCGATCAACAAAGAAAGCAAGTCTTTCGGCCGTATAACTGTCAACTCGACAAATTCAAATTTCATTTTATTTCGCTCTAAACCGTGCATCGACCTGATTGTATAGCGGGCTACTAACCCTATATTATCTATACAAACCAGTAGCGACCTTCTTAATAGCCAACTTCTTTGCCTAGTATCGTCTGCCTTGTACGGGTTAATTGAATGCCAACGGTTGCTGGTCGAGTTGTTCCTGAACCTGTAACCATGCCTAACCAATGTCAGTAGCCTTCGTGTTCTAAACTTTGACCAATCCTACATATCACCATCTAGTTTATCTTTTGCACGTTATATATAAATATTTGCATCAGGGTTATGCCACACTCTAATATTAGTGGAACTATGCAGTGAACTGCTATATTGCTCATGAACCAACTATTTTTTGTAAACATCCAGATTATTGACCATCTGCTATACATTATGCAATATCGAATTTTTAGCATCATCAGCCATTGTGGTAGGTCCTTCTCGCCAAATCACAGCACTGGCTCGTAAAGCTATTTCTTTTCAAAAGCGTCAAATGTTTACAAATATCTGCTGCATCGGGTAAGTGCGACTCTGATGTTTGAATTTTACCATTCAACTTTGGTCATACTGCTGATTACTATGATCAGAGTGTGCTATAATATTCATCCTTGTGTGATGCAGTAAAATTAAAGGAGTTATATGCATTGAATGCACATCTGATACTGTATTTTGTATTTTGGTTTAGCCTGTGTCCATTTTTAATGGTAATCATTTCTGCAGGACTTGGTACTCTTATCACTAGGCTTATTTCAAGAAGCACAAGTGTATCAGGTGGGTCATTTTGACTCCTAATCATCCTGAAAGCCTATTGACACGATGTTTTATTATTGCTTTGAATAGAATTTTTGCGCTGCTCTAATGTATCTGCAATGAGCTATCCTGGAATTCCAAACTGGAATGCAACTGTGGGATTGCCTTTGCTACCCAAATCAGATCTATGGACAGGCGCCACTATGGATGATATTTATCAAACCAACTACGATGTTGTTATCAACTTTGGTTTGGATGGTCCGCCAGGTGCTGCAGTGGCTTCATTTCAGCATCCGTGCGTGTTTTGGTATGGCGAAAACTATCCCTTTTCTCCACTCTATGAAATGAACCCAGGCGCCAGTGGAAATGCTGTTCGTGATTCGTAAGTTCAAGGTATTTTAAAATGATTTTGCTTTTATTCATAATGCTAAAGTACTCTATTTGATGATTGTGACATTTCAGAACCTATACAGCCGAGCCTCAAGGTGGATGGTTCATGGCCTTGTTGAATGGCATGTCCTCTGGTGTAGTCGATGCTCGTAGTCTTCAGCGATTTATTGGTTTGCAACTCAGATCTTGGGCAATCTATTCTGCTGAAAATGCTGATACACTTTCAATGCTTGGAAGCAAGCCAATGCAGAATACGATACCACTGCCTGCACTGCTATCTGCACCCAGCACAAATGCATTTATATCCCCAATCACAAACTCATCTATTGGTCTTTTGGGAACTATTCCCACACGCTACTGGGGTGATCTTGGTGGTATTTCAATATCTAATCCTGGATCTAGTGCTTTGAATGTTCAACCTGTTCCATGGTTCAACTATACCGGTGGCTCTGATAATGATCTTGATGTTTCCATTTCTAATGCTTTAAACGAAGTCATTCTGGCTATTTCTAAAGTTGATAAATCTGCCATACAGAGAAATATCAATTCAAACGTCAGTGCTACCAATGAGTTGTTTTTGAAAATTGGGAAAATTCTCAACGATCTTCCCCATGGAGGTAGGTTAAGAGCGCTTCATATTAGTTGTCACGATAGTGCATGTACCATTTTGTAGATATTAATGCATTCAACTATTTGATGGGAATTTGGATATTCAATAGCTGTTTTCTTTAACAAGATTGATCATGCCAACAAGCGGTACTCTTGGAATATGCACTACGGCACGGATATTCGACTGACTGCAACGTCCAACTTTCCTGTACCGGGTGTGCGTCTGATACAGCAACAAACCCAACTTGACAATGCTATCCTGCGAAACTCCAATGTTTCAGTTTATGGAAATGCTAGCATCACTCAAGGATTGCGTATTTTGCCCTACGTTGCCAATAATAAGCTTAACCTTCCTTTTGGAGGTCTTATTGGAGCCATTTTATACCCGTTTGGCGTTTCTTTTCTTTTACCGGTGAGTTTGTGTATGGCATTACACATAATACTCATGAGTAGCACAAATGTTTTTTGTAATATCATTTGCTGATGTTAATTATCAATATAGGTATTTTGCGTAATCCTTGTTCAAGAAAAGGAATATCGTGTTCTTGTCATGATGCAAATGAATGGCATGAAATCTATTTGGTATTACGTCAGTCAATATGGTAAGAAACGCATACCATGTCTTTGTAAACTGGTGACTTGTTTTACTTTATTAACACCACTTTATTGAATGGAATTAGTTGTATTTTATGTTTTGTTTGCCATTTCTACTGCCGTGTTTTTGATTGTTGGATATCTGTCCAAATTAACTCTATTTACGTTAACGGATCCCAGAGTTTATATCATCTTGTTTTTCCTTTGGGGTAATTTTTATTCTGGATTTGAATTGAAACTAAAACTTGAACCAGCTAACTCTATTCATGAAACTATATAGGAAACAATCAGGTTTCTCTTGCATTTCTTTTCAGTACTTTTTTCAATAGAAGCAGATTTGCTTTAGGTGGGCGATTGTGTAGTTTTGCATATGCTTCTTATATGTGTGCAATGTTCTTACAGCCATTGTTGTCTGTCTTTTGTTCAAAGTGATTGTGTTTTTGGCTGTCCTTCTTTCTGTTCTTATTGCCTTGACTGTCGACAGTATTTTTGTCAGTGGAAGTGCTCCACTTGCATACTTTATTTGGCCTCCGTTTGCTTTCTATCGCGCACTTACGGTTTTGAATAAAGCGTCGTATGCTGGGAGTTTGCAGGTAAATGACTGTATTTTATTGCTTGTGTTGTCTTGTTAGCTTTGATTATAAATATATCTGACTAGACTCTACCAATATTGTCTATTTATATCTGACCCTCCAACTTGGCAAACTCGACACACTAATTTTAATATAGCCATACAAGCTGTCTATGATCCGACCTGGCAACGAAGTTGGAAATGCTATTATTTTCATGGGTGTTGGTGTTTTCGTGTATCTTACACTGGCAATCTATCTTGCTGCCGTTCTTCCGTCCGAGTTTGGTGTTCGTAGACCATGGCATTTCCCTGTCACGGATACTATTCGCAAAATTAAAGCAGCAAGGTTTGCTAAAGATAGTGACGGAATCCATGTAAGATTTCAATGTGTTGGCTAGTTTACTTTGAGCTAAAAAGTTACACGATTTGATCGAGTTATTGTATTCATTTAATTTTTAATTTCATTGATTGCTCAAATTGATGTGCGAAAATAAGACCGCCGAGGCCGAGCTTGCACTGTCTATTCAGGTCGATGAGTCTGAAACTCAGTATGAGGATGAAGATGTCAAGGCTGAGCGCAATCGTATTCTATCGCGAAATTTTGATGCCACATCTCCTTTAATCCTATCACACATGCGAAAAGTATATAGTGGGAGGGGTGGTGCGGGCCCCAAACTTGCCGTCAAGGATGTCACATTTGCAGTCGAAGAGGGGATTGTATTTGGATTACTTGGACCTAACGGTGCTGGTAAAACGACTCTGATTAGTATTTTAACTGGGCTATACCAATCTTCCAGTGGTGAAGCTACACTTGCTGGATACAATATCAAAACCGATACAGCCGAAGTATATAAAAATATTGGTATTTGCCCGCAGTTTGATATTCTCTGGGAAGAATTGACTGTAAGCGAGCATCTCTTTTTTTACGCTCGACTCAAGGGTGTAACGGCTGATTGCGAAAAAGTCGCAGTGCAAAATGCCATCAACGATGTTGCTCTTTCTGGATTTGAACATCGCATTTCCAAAGGACTGTCAGGCGGTGAAAAGCGTCGATTGAGTATTGCCATTGCTCTTATTGGCAATCCGAAAGTTGTTTTTTTCGATGAACCTACGACTGGTCTCGATCCCGAAGTGCGTCGTCTTATCTGGGGGATTGTCAATACAGCCAAAATAGGCAAAACCATTGTGCTGACTACACATTCAATGGAGGAGGCAGAAGCACTATGCCAGCGTATTGGTATAATGGCTAAGGGAACATTGCGTTGTTTGGCTAACCCGATCCGTTTGAAGCAAGTGTATGGTGCAGGATTTAAACTTTATTTTAATACTCTTGAAGCGGACATGCCGCGTGCCATTCAGTAAGTATTGGCAACACTCGGTTGATTTATAACTGCACAGTTTATATTAACAGGATCGTGTGTATACTTTTTATTTCTAGATATATAGAATCTATTTTGCCTAAAGGTTTCAAAGTGATTGATGTTTTTGCCACCAATGCATCGTACGAGTTTCCAGGTGTTCCAGGTATTCTGCCTCAACTATTTCGTGGTATTGAGCAATCCAAGGACTCTGTGGGTATTTTAGATTGGGGTATTGGCCAAACGACACTTGAAGAAGTTTTTATTCGCTTGATTAGTGAAAGCGATGCTTCTGCCGAGTATTGATTGCTTTCAAGATTGCATACTTTAGAGACCGAATCACCCATCCAACATGAACATTGCTGTTCCGATTCGCTCCTACAACCATCATTGAATAAATCGTGGTATATAACTAGATTGATTGTTTCTGTATAGACACTATAAGACTATCGCATAATGCTTATTGAGGGTTTACCAATATACTCAATAATCAGGGTGCATGAATTTGACGCAATCCATATATTCTTGACTTGCAAATCTCGAGCTACTTTTCATCTGGGCTCAGCAATGAATAAACTCAAGAGTAGCGCAAGGCAGCAGAAAGAGGAAGCTCGTTTCACCTCGACACCAGCGACTATAACTACTCCCAAACCAAATACCCCGGCAGATGCCAAGTTTCGGAGCCAGACACTTAAAATTGTTGTCATTGCACTCTTGATTGATATTCTTGCCTTCACGATTATCTTACCGCTCTTTCCTAGACTCATTGCGCATTATGAGACTGTGGATGGACAAAATCCAGTTGAGTGGGTCTGCCTTGTTGGAGTAATGTTGTGTGTAGTTGGAAAATGCAGATGCATTTTCTAAAATACTAGAGCATCTATTGATCCCAAATGTTTCGTTTATCTTTCAAACCCTATCCTAGCGTCTTCTTGGTGTACTAATACATGAATACTTATTGGTATAGGAATCGTTCTATTACTCTGCCGCAATGGCAGTCAAGGCATTTCGTGAACGAATCGGTGGTTCTGGATCTAGGCTTGATATTATTCTGTTTGGCGGATTCCTTGGATCTCTGTTTTCGTTTCTGCAGTTTCTTAGTAGCCCTATTATTGGCAATCTTAGTGATAGATTTGGTCGTCGAAATGTCTTGTTGATCAGTATGGTAAACGATCCAGTTGGTCTGATGTTCATGAGCAGTGCGAATCCATTAATCTGCTTTATCTTTCTAGATTGGAAATGCTGTTTCAATGTTGCTTTGGATCTTTTCGGGATCTTTTACGGTTTTTGTTTGGTCACGTATTATTGGAGGTCTGACTGAAGGGAATGTTCAAATGTCCATTGCCATCATCTCTGATATTACATCGCCTAAAGATCGCTCCAAAGCCTTGGTATGTCTGTTGAATCGGGTTGTTAAATTATTGTAGTTATTGATTCGAGTTGTTTGAAATCAGGCATGGGTTGGCATATCGTTTGCGCTTGGATTCACTATCGGGCCTCCTTTAGGGGCATATCTTGCATCGTTTGATATTCATCAGATATATCCCTATCTTCCAGTGAATCGATACTCTAGTCCGGCTTTGTTTGCTTTTGGATTGATTGCCTTTGAGACTGTGTATCTGTATGCATATCTTCCCGAGACCAGCTCCCTATCGATGGCGGGTGATTTTACAAATGCTTCATCTCAAGAACCATCTACAAAAGTCAATGCAACCTCGAAATCATCCAAAACCACTACCTCGACCTCTCATTCCAGATCGACCTCTTCAAAGGATTCAAAAAATAGGCTATCTGTGCTGTCACTGATTCACTTTGCTTTTCTGTTTAGTTTTTCTGGAATGGAATTTACTCTAACATTTTTGACCCACGATCGGTTTGATTTTACACCCGTTCAACAAGGAAAATTGCTTGCGTTTATGGGTGTTTTGTCTGCATTGATTCAAGGTGGATATGTCCGTCGTGTTTCCCACAAATATGTTTCTGAACAAACATTGATTCTTCAAGGGATTATATCCTGTGCAATTGGATTACTTGTTGTTGGTGTATGGGCAACGAATATTACACGATTGTACATTGGTGTAGCGTTTTTGGCATTTACCAGTGGAACTGTGGTGAATTCGTTGACCTCGTTGGCTAGTTTGGTAAACCAAGACTCTGATGAACATTCTGGACATTCCACTGAAACAAAGAGCAATCGTGGGCATACTTTGGGTGTTTTCAGATCTCACGGTCAACTTGGTCGATCTATTGGTCCTATTTTAGCATGTAGTGGATATTGGATTGCTGGGAGTAGTAATATGTATATGGCTGCTACCGGTGTTATGGCTCTACTGGGTTTGGTTGTGTATTTTATGATTCCAAGGCCTGCATTAAAGCCGATGAAACAAGATTAAAACATGCTTGAGCCTTTTAGATTTTAGCTTTTTTAAAAATGAAGAATGCACAATAGTTTTCAAAGCATTTGTATTGGTAATAACTAGTTTGTAAGTAAACTATCCTAATCAGTATGCCCATGCAATGATGTTTGGATGAAGCCAGCAAGAGATTAGGGTTTATTCCTGCGTGCATCATTTTAGTTCATTACGACCAACAAACCCATGCATTTTGGCTACCCAAATAATGATGATAACCAGGCTGAGTGTCCAAATATAAAGTAGAAAATGTCGATTAGTGTCAAAGCAATTTGAAATAGAAGTGAACTGAAAACAAATCTACGGAACTTACGCCAATGTGTACGAAGCAAGATATGATTGCAGTACAGGAAATTCACCCAATGTTGAAAGACTCAACCGTTTATGACGATAAGTATAAGTACCCAAAATTAAATATCCATAAATTAAAACCAAGCACAATGCCACAATTGGTCCTTTAGGAAACTGAATTGCAACAGATCCCACAATTAACCCATACACTATACTGTTCAAGATCCATACCAATCGGTATTTTTTAGTGATTCGAGTCGAGAGTGGTACAGTGTAATTACGAAATACGTATGCATTCACAAAAGAAATAATGATTCCACCAATGGCGTACATGTAGTGAGCAATAGTATGCTCCCAAAGATCACGGATCCAACTTTTGATATCGGTTAAAAGGGGGAGAATAGGAGTAGCTGCTGGATCTTCTATTGCTGTTTGAACTGAATGCTTGAACATGACAGCAGCTGAATGAAACCCTGCACCTTGTTGGTATACTGCAGCAGCAATCATAAAAACAATAATCGCGATTCTATTGTCTAGAGTGAATATAAATTAGACCCGCAGAGATATGAAACAACAAAATAGCTTAAACTTGTAAACTATACAAACTTTTATCAAGATGCTTGATGAAGATGGCACTCTCCAAGAGAATAAAGAACTGCAGCGGCATAGAAATGATGGGTTCCAATAGTCGAATGATGTCGTCGCCAGCATACCATCCAGGATTGTCTGAAGTAATACTAGGAAAATTGATGACAACTGGGATTATAGTGAATAGTAGCGTCACTAGATTTGCTGCCAAGAATAGTCCACCCAAGTATACTGGACGCTGTTCATGGTATGGTTGATGAATGCTATTTAATTGATGGGTAGAAGTCTGTCCATCATGCATTTGGTATTCTACAGAATAGACATCGTTCTGTAGATCAGAGCCTTGTTGGTTCAGATGTTGATGGCTTGATAACAATGCATGCTGATTGATGGGTTGCATGACCAGTGTATTCTGGTGTTTATTTGAATGCTCCATATGTCAAATAGCAGGACAAGATGAGGGAGGTGAATTTAGGGGCCAAACATTGTGTGGCTGTATTGTGGTTGTCTTGATACTCCTTGAAGGTGTTCAAGCCATATTCACGTAGAATAAAACCTTGTCTTGCATTGGCCGTCTTGGAATGAATGATGAAATGTTCGTTATGCTTTCCTACTAGAAATAGACACTGTCAATAAACCATTGTCTGATGTAGTCAAACTATAGTTTTGATCTGTTTTTTAACCCGCCCTTGCTCTTTTTACAGACATTGTACAATTACCGAATCCAGATACTGGGCTCAACTACTGATGTTGTTAATACAACTCTACGACTTCATTGTTATATTCTAAATATCCGACACGCTCGCGTTCTAGCTCCAGAAACCAAGGACGAGTCTCGGGAATGCAATTGTTGTTTTCATGTCAGTCATCAAGACCGCTCAATTAAACAATCATGTCTAGTAGATTCAATGGATGCTTTTTACTACGCTGACACTCTTCCATTTCATATGGATGTCTAATTGGGTCAAACTAGTAGATTGACAGAGATTACTATTATAGCAAACTGATCCAAGCCAATCAGCACAATTAAAGCAAAGCAATGTGGCAGGGATATCATGGCTTGTATAATATTCAATAATGGCAAGGCTAATTGTAATCCGACTATTTCTTGTGATCTCAAATGCTGATATTTTGCAACTCCAAAGTTTGAACTTTTACCAACCAACTTAGCAACCAAATGTCTCCATCATCCCCAAAAAAGAGCGCTACTTCTCCTAAACGTAGTGCTGCACCTACTGATGCATCCCTAAAGGTTAGTTTAGTATTGCATGTATATATCCATCTAGATCTCTATTCTTTCCTTCTACTCTGGCCCATATCCCTATCCCAGTAGCGTTCGCGTTACTCGCAAACTAAACTCCCCTGGTCAATTACTGTTATTAATCCCTAAACCCAAGACATGCAAGTGTACAGATGCATGCAAATGTACTGCTGAAGGAAAGCCTTGTGTTTGCTCCACTGCTGCCTCTCCAACTCGCAATAAGTCCCCTGTAGAAAAGGCGCCTGTTTCGCCTGCCAAGGCACCTGCGAGTCCATCTAAAGCATCGTCCGTGTCTCCCGTTAAGCCTGGTTCTCCTACCAAGAGTTCATCTAGTCATGCTCACCAAAGCACTCAGCCATGCCACTGCACTAGTGATGGACTCAGTACATGCACGTGCAAGGCTTCTGGCGCTTCCTCTTGTGAATGTAAGGATGTCAAGACTTCTCGACCTAGTTCTCCTTCAAAAACTTCTGCTGCCAAACGCAAGCACCCTAGCTGTTCATGCGAGGGAGCTTGCAAATGCGAGGGAACTTGCAAATGCGCTAGCAAGTCTCAGTCGTCTTCTCCCACTCGCTCATCTGCTGCTGGCTCTCCTTCCAAAACCACTGCCGATGCTTCGGTGAAAAGATCCAAGACTGCTGCTCCATCCTCTGACAAGTCACCAACTTCTGGTTCGTCTCCACAACACCACTCTGCAGCAGCCAAAAAGGCATGCTGCTGTGGTGAGTCTTGTAAGAATACTTGTGCTAATGGCGGTCAGGATAGCTGCCATTGCAAGAAATAATACACAGACACTTGGAATAAAATAATGTAGTGATGGTGCTTTCCTGCACTTGTCATTGCTTTTTTATAATAGGAGAATTTGTCATGATATTCGTTGTCTATCTGCTGAGCGAGGTGGAGTCGTTGAATAGTTTATTTTTAGAGGAACATCAAAAGCAGATCCATCCACGTGATCAAGTTTGAATTTTCTTTTTTGACTTGTTTAGCCAAATACTGATTCAAGTTCAAGCTGCCAAACCGTTTGATATGCTCCGACTTGCAGTGTCCCATATGGGTAGGCTCTCCACCCGCCCCATTGTGGAGCCAACCTTGATTCGTGCTCTCAATCGACAATTTAGGTGTGTGTAATCAGTGATTTACTGACTCGATACTTGTGGCCAAATACAAATTGCTTCATTCAGCATCCTTGGGCTGTTTTGGTGATCAACTGTATCTAGTATTGACGTTTATAGTTTACTGACATTTTATTTTCTAATGGCTGAAATAATCAATGTATTTGTAACTCTGGACAATTATTGAACTGGATCAATGTGTAGCTCATTTACTCTTTTAAAGCCCCAAGGAATTTCAAGATCCCCTGTGGTTGGGTCAAGGTAAGATGGTGGTGTTTGTAGATTGACAATCAGCACCAATCCCTTGATCATGGAACCAATCATTTTGTTTAAATGACAGATCCACTACAGCGATGAGTAGAGTCTCTGTATCACAAAGTATAGCTGTACGTTATGCTACGTACGGTCAAGAATACAATCCCAGCACATTGGTTCGTAAACGCCGATTTGGGTTTTTAAAGCGATTGAAGACGTTGGGAGGTCGCAAGATTCTGTTTCGGAGAATGCTCAAGGGTCGTCGGAGACTTACTCACTAGAATTAAGACAGTTTATGCAATATAAAGAATGGGTGTTGAATGAAATATTGTCTATTATTGTGAGGAATACGTGGTGGGTTTAAAACAAATGGGATGCTAAGGATTTCAGCGTATATGATGAATGGACAGTCTCATCACATGGTGATTCACGTTAAATTTACCGGACAATGTTGTTCTCGACTCTTTAATTGACTGTTCCCTGGTGATCGGCATGGAAACAACTGTTGCATTCTTGAGACTAAATTGCTGTTTTGTTGGAGTAGGTTGTATGTGGTTTTAGGATATGAAGACGAGTTTTATCAAAACAGTCGAACCTGACATGTGAATTACAACGAGTGAGCATCATATGATGAACGTTGTGTTTTGAAGAATTAAGAATGTCGGCTGAATAGGTCAATTTCTAGTAAAACAATGTTTAACCACTGCTTATTCCAAGCAAAACAAAATGGTTGCTGCAAGATGTAGAAAAGTTTCAGTTTGCGTGAATATAACCGTAAATTCACGCATCAATGGATCGCTATTTTGGAATGCAAACAATACTTGAGAGCAACTCATGGGAATCATATGAAAGTGGAAGCAGTGGATTCAAAAACAGTTTATGTTTACACCAGCCATAGCACGGAGATTTCGATTATGCGGAGCCAGAATGGATAGACAAAAGCTGTTCAGCCCCGCCTGCAAGGGAATCCGCTTATGAAGGGATACTCGACAATCTCCGCCAGTTCGGCCATTCTGTCCATAAATCAACCAATACTGCTTTCTCAAATCTGTATTTATTCAGATCGTTTCCATTAGTTTTCCCTGCCTCAACTTTCCAACTTCCTGCAAACCTTTTTATATTATCACTGTTGCATACTCTACTATGTCCACCACTAGCTCAGCTCCTCCCCATCAACCCCCTGCTACTGATCCTGAACTGACAGACTTTTTGCTGCGTCTGCGCAAGAAGAACACTGATCCTGTTGCTCACAAATCTACTGTGGACTCGTACGCCAAGTACTGGGATGTTGATCACAAGCAAGGTCTTGAGAACACTGAAGATTCCGTTGCTGAGCGTCGCAAGGACTCTGACATTCTAACAAATCACTTTTACGATCTAGTTACTGATTTTTACGAATATGGTGTGTTGATGATTTCTGATCTGGTTACCCTTGCATACTCCTGGTGTTAGATCTAAGCTTGAATAGTGTTGATATCCTGATATCTATACTTGTCCTTTCAATAACCCTTCATGGCCCAATCCCCACATGCACTGCTTCTATGTTTTTCCATACCTTTAGCCATACTCTAAACTTGAATCGCCGCCGTAATGTTGGCTGTTTTGGCAATACCCTTTAATTTGACTTCAGTCAGATGCCTGCGGGCTATGTATCCTGGCTTTATTTACTGCATAGATTGCTGTCTTCATCCCTTGCTCTTTCAGCAGGTACTACTGGAACTCTGTTCTGCAAGCATGAATCTAGATTCTGCTGATCTCATGATTCGTCTTGTTTTCCGTAATCATATTTATCCATTTCGTCCGCACCCATGTAAAATGCAACACTTGCATTTATCCTGCAATGGCATTCCCGATTCTTTAGAGCACAATGTTCATCATATGATGCTCAAACTAGTTTTGAACTGATCACTCTTTGCATAGCCATACATTGTATGGCTATCAAGTTTAAAACCAGATACATTGATTGTAATCCGCATGCTGGTATCCTTGATATATAGCTCCTATATTCTAGAATCACATACGATCTGGTTCAAAAAAACAACCCTTTTAAAGGCTGAGTTTATACCGATCAAACTGATTGTATAGATGCCAAATCAAAATATGGATTTCACAAGATCATTTTTACTTTGCGGCTGACTAATCCATTATGATTGAATAGGATGGGGCACTTCGTTCCATTTTGCTCGTATGTTTAAATACTCGTCTATCCAGCATTGTCTTGCCCGCCAGGAAGATTATCTTGCACTGAAACTTGGTCTTGGTGCTGGCATGAAGTGCATTGATGTTGGCTGTGGTGTTGGTAAGTTCATCTCACTCATGTATAGTATCTGTTGCACTCCATCTTAAATCAATCATCAATTTTATCTAGGTGGCCCACTTCGTGAAATAGTTAAATTCTCTGGTGCTCATGTTACTGGTCTTAACAACAATGCTTACCAGGTTAAGCGTTGCCATTATCTTGCTGAAAAGCATGGCATCTCTAATCTTTGTGATGCTGTCAAGGTATGCCTTTAAACATTCATTTTTTACACAATGACATTGTTTTGCTAATTCTAGTTTGTACAGGGTAACTTTGAGGACATGCCATTTGAAGCCAACACGTTTGATGCCGCATACGCTATTGAGGCTACTTGCCATGCTCGCCGTCTTGAGAATCCATACAGTGAAGTTTTCCGTGTTCTCAAACCAGGTGCAAAGTTTGCTTGCTACGAATGGCTTACCACCAAGGCATATGACGAAAGCAATCTGTCTCAAAAAAAAATCATTCATGGCATTGAGGAGGGTAATTCGATTGCAAAGTTGTACACTATTCCCCAAACCATTGCGGCGCTCAAGAGCATTGGATTCGAAATTCTCGAATATGCTGATCTTGCCGATCCCAAGTCTGCCATGTACGAGGCTCAAGACCCATGGTACACTCCTCTCGAGGGCAGCTACTCTTTGAATCTTGAGAGCATTGCTCGGTGGAGGATGAATCCAGTTGGAAGAATGTAAGTCCTACTTGTTTGTGGTTTCTTGCATGTTATACTTGACTAATTTGGAATTTTTCTAGTGTTACCAGTGCTATGGTATATGCACTCGAGGTTCTTAGACTTGCCCCAGCTGGCTCACACAAGGTTTCTCAGATTCTTAACAACGCTGCCGATTCGCTGTCGCTTGCTGGTCGGCAAGAGATTTTTACCCCCATGTTCTTCTTTGTTGCCCGCAAGCCTTTGAACGCTTAAAATATCGATTCCTGTCTTTTAGTTCTATTCATCTCTTATGTATCACCTACCTATCTTGTTCCTGTTACCCTTGGGGCTTATTATTTTGTTTTTTCAAGAGAGTAATTTAAACGTTACCGCGAGGGTTTTTGTTGTATAGCTTTAGCTAGATCAGCAAATGCTTAATCTTTAACACAATAAATGCTTTTAAAGAGTGCTGTGGATAGACAGTGAATATTATATTGAAACTGCTGGCTTTGCTGATACTATGCAGTGACTGCGAGTCATTACTGCCTGAACTAGATTGTATTGGTTTGAATTTGACTTGAGAATCCACTGCGTGTATCTTTTAGAAAGAATCTACAAAATTTCATTCATTAGATTTCAACATTCATGTCTACAATAAAGCTGGTAAATACTGCCATCTATTCAACACTGGCTTCTTGCAGCCCATTAGCTCAACTTTATGTGCACTCATTCATCATTTCTCTCTATTCTTATTGAATAGGTCAAGGCTGAGGACGAAACTGACGTCGAGGTAACATGGGAGGACCAGCGAAACATCAATATGTTTTCCAAATTGAACACTCGTCTTGAATCTGTCGAAGAAGCCTACGAGGATAAAAAGGTTAGTGTTGCAATTGGTTGAGACTCATTGTAGTGATTAGAAAGATGCGATGCTGCATTCTTCTAGACTTTATTTCTACCTCCGACATTTGACTTGTAGCTCGTTTGACTCCATAATGTACAGCTGAAATGCTGTTACATCTATCGATCGAATTTAACATTGCTAGTATTACATCTACCATTTGGTTAGCGAGAGAAGGAATATCTAGATGACTTGACAAATGAATTGGAACTGGCAGATGAAGATGAGCCTGTCAAGTAAGACTCGTGCTCATACTATAACAGGAATATCGGATAGATCTTTATATTCCAGCTGAAAACTTGAACTGTTTAGGTACAAGATTGGTGATGCCTACATCTCTCTTTCTCTTACAGACGCACAATCTCGTATCGAATCTGAGCAGACTGTACTTGATCAAGAGCTAAAAACATTGGGTGCCAACGTGGGCAGTATTCAATCTGAAATGATAAAGCTTAAGGCTCTCTTGTATGCAAAGTTTGGTAAATCGATCAATCTCGACAAGGATTAGTACCTATATGCGATAAATGAAGTAAACTTTTTGCATATACATATGCAACCCTATTATAGCAACCTTTAATATGTTATCAAGTTTCATTATACGGATTTGAGCAAACAAGGCAGATTTAGAAACCAAGCGGTTGTCTTATTCACAATGCATATATTGATTTTGGTGTGGTTGGATGAACAAAGAATTCAATTGCATTTTATGTATTGGCTAATATTCAAACGCATCGGATCTCACTTGATATTATACATCACAAGAGCAATATTCTATTCAACTCAGACTCGAGCCTTTTCTAAACTTTTCTCGCGTCCCTCAGCATGAATCTGGCCCAGGTTTGTCATCTAGGATAGTTTATCGATGCAGTCAGTATATTCATATAGAAACAAAAGTACTTACTTTTAATACTTGAACTGATTTAAAACAGCTATCCCAATATGTTACGCAGCAAGTAGAGGACCACAAGGAACAACTCCCTCACATCACACTACAAATATGTAACTCGTTTATTGAACAAATGATAAAAACACTCAAAAGTTGCCATCTAGTAAAAAACTTGTCCAGGTCCACTGTCCGAAAGACTTTGTACACGGCCAAACTTCCCTGGTCATCGCATGAGCATAATATTATTGACTTGTGTTTTCCAGCACATATAGGACCGTTGGGTGTAGATTCTTTTGTTCCTTGGCGTGTTCATGACCAAACTATTTCGAATGAATGTGCATCCAAATTGTCCATGTTGCGTATTATGCCTGCTGCAGCGGAGCCAGTGGTGATGCCAGTGAAAAGCTACAATAGTTTGACATCACTTGCCTCATCTCCAGTAGCTGCATCTCCTGCATACGCATATGCCAAACCATCTGATTGCTTCAAAGAAACTCGCGAGCATTTAAAAACGGATACTTTTGATGTACTACACATTCGCATTATAATACAGTCCAAGAAAGATTACAACTTCCTTCAAGAGAAATATGAGGCTCAGCATGATCTGTTTCTTGTTGGATTTGCAGGATTATTGAATCATTGGATTCAGAATGAATCTATAGATTGGGAAAGTCCTTTTAATGCAACCAAGCTCTCCAGCCAGCAGCATTACAAGATACTCCCCGAAAATGTCAAAATATCTGTTTCTGAAACTCCCACAACTACGAGATTGGAACATGATGATGAGTTGAAAACACTGAAAATGTGGAGGCAAACAAAACATACAGTACAGTCGTCAGATCTAAACATATTGATTGTGCATGACCAACTAGCACAAAGCATCAGCAATAATGAATCTGACATCAACCAAAACAAGCCTGATACACTTTTTTCTACCATTCAATCCTTTTATTCATGTATTTTACATTTTGTGCAACCACGTTTATATCCTCGACCCATTTTAAGCAACCATGACATGGCTCAGCAATTTAAACTATTGGATTCGGATACGGGTTGTGAGCTACACGACTCGGTTGTGAACATGGTTGACGAACTACAGTACATTACAAGTATGGATTCGATGAATCTGGATCATCGTATCATGTATCTGTGGGGATCAGATGATGCTGGTCGCGCTTTTGTGATTCATCATGCATGCCAGCTTGCAGGTGTTGTTGTACTCCAATCTCCTATATTGCTTGCCAAAATTCACTCTGAAATTTGTTTACAGATTATCAAAGTAGCTAATCAGGTTTGTTTATGACTATTCTATCTGACTCACCAATATTCATAAATGACAAATTGATCATCTAATGGCTGGCTGATGTACTTTACAGATTCCATGGATGTGGTGTAGTATATATATTGAAATTACACACGTTGAAACTCGGATACAAATCGATGAGTTGTATTCACATGTTTCTAAACTAATTCAGAAAGCACCCAATGTCATTATTATCTTATCGGGAAAATATTCAAATCATGTATTGTCTACAAACTCGAATCTATCCTGCATGGTTCAAAAACATGCACTTTATGTTCCATTTCCACATTTCATGCAAAAGCAAATGTGCATTCAAACACAATTGTCAAAATGTGCTGACCAGTCAAGCATGATCTCTATTGTGAATGAAGCTATGGACATGTTTCAAAACATATCCACTGTTACCTTGATAGATGTGATACGCAGATGGTATAATCCGACCCATAAAACACTATTTCGATTTGTGGAGCTGCTGACACAAACACAGGATCAAATAGATACGCTTCAACAGGGACATCTCAAAAGAATCGCCAAAGTGCGTCCATTTATATGCATTTCCTCAGATAAATGGCATTCTCAAATCTTTTCAAAAACTCCAATTCGCAACACTAGCTCAGAAACCAATTTCACTGTGTCATACTATGTGGAATTGGCCAAAAATACAATTCAGGTACAAACCTTTTGCATAGTATCACTGTCCATGATATGTGCAACCAGTGGGTACGTTTTGGTAAGCGATTATGCCCAAAGAATCAAAATTTGCTTTGGTGGACACAATAACATGGACTACACATTTACAAACAATACATCATGCAATTCAATTTATAGAAGCAGCATCTCAGGGCAATCCAGACCATTATATTTTCAGCAAACATGTCTCGATCACTACTTGTAATTGATCTTGACTCGATTCTTTGCAATGAAACGGTAAATTCCAATTCGAGCTATATCAACCACGAGTTGATGGCTGCCCTGTGTGTAGAACTTGCTTTAAATATGATTCATGGGACGCACCATGCAAGTGCGTGCGTGTTCATAGCAACAAAACAAGCTAGTCGTGATATGATTTCTACTTTTACCAGAAACTCGCCACATCAGTCTACACTCGAATAAATAGTTGAAAAAATGAATGTCCAGAATACCCTTCATATTTTAGTTATAGATGAAGTGGGTACAAGTACTGTATACAAACCAGTAACATATACTGATTTTGTGGATGTAGAAGCAGATAAAGTATCCATCATTCTCATTACGAGCAAAGGAGCTGCATCTGAACTGGACAAACAAAGATGCTTGGAAGTAGTCGAGTTGGAGCGTCCAACTACTGACGGCATGGTGGAGATATGGGCAGAAAGACTTGACAAAAAGCATCGTATTGATCTAGTTTATACTAAACAGGAAGATATTATTCTTCGTGCAGCCCATATTCGCAAGATGCTCGGCCATTCGACTGGGTTTCTTCGCGATAACGCAATCTTATTTCGTGACAAATTTGCCATGAAAGAAATGGCAAGTACTCACGACTTCCCCGTTCCAGAGTTTAAAAGAGTATATTCTCCAGCAGACATCATCATGTTCACCAACTCATACGGGCTGCCCATTATTGTCAAACCCACTCTTGGTTCAGCCTCGGCAGGCATGCGTGTCATTCACACTCGACAAGATCTTGAAACTTACCTTGAAAAAGAGTTTTATGAGCGTATCGATGACAAGGGAAAGGTCATGGACTACTCTGGCGATCTTATTGTTGAGAAATTCCTGGCTGGTTGTCGGATGTATCACGTCAATGGTTATGCAAAACAAGGCAAATTGGAGCAAGTCTGGCCTTTCGAGTACATCAACACCAATTTTGAATTTACAATGGGCAAAGCATACGGTAATGTTTTCATTCCACAAACTGATCCAAGATGGAAGAAACTGGTCGAGTCTACACAAAAACTCCTTAATATTTTACCTTGTCCACAGCATCTCATGTTTCATCTCGAGTTATTTGAACACGTTTCACAGACTGGAGAGATCGAGTTTGTATTGTGTGAGATTGCTGCAAGAAGACCTGGTGGAAGTATTGCACTTTTGATTGACTTGGCTCTTGGTGGCGGCGGATTCTTTCCCGAAATCGAGTTTCGTTTAAGCAACGGTCTTGAACCGCGCGATCATGGATTAAAACCCATTGATCCAATTCAAGCTCTGGGTGATCTTATGATTCCAAAACAAATAGGCAAAATCGTTGCATTACCCGATCCTGCCGCATGTCCTGTTTCTGGACTAAAGTGTCATGTGCTAGCAAAGGTCGGATCCGTGTATACTGGATTTGACATTGGTAGTTTGAATACTGGTATACGGCTTGTTACTGATCACTCGTTTACATCTACACAAGATGTTCAAAATGCTTTGACAGCTGGACATGCATGGGCTCAAATAAATACAAAGTTGGAGAATGTTTTATCCGCCTGATTATAGGCACCATTCGAAAATAGTATTGAAACTTTAATATTTATTTATGAAGAAAATCAGTTTATGCAGAAATTTTTTGATCAATGGCCGACGCTATTCTAAATCTGTTAAACGTTATCCATCATCTGAATATCAGTCATCAAATTTGGTTAATTACGAGAGAAAAGATCTAATATGGGAAACATTTGATGACTAAGTAGAAGTTTTTAATATAGGCGGAAGAAGTCCATTTTTTTCAAAATCGGCCGTCATTTCATTAGGAGTTTGAGAAACTAGATTCAATCAAGCATATAAAGCATCGAATGAGTTTGCGAAATTTGAAAGGATAGACAAAAATAATGCCAATTGAACAGATCAATGCAAAAAATAAAGATTATAGACCTACCTGACTGAACAGCACTAGGTTTGCTAGCAGGCTTGATGGCAATGATCTTGATGTTTGACGTTTTCTGTGGCTTGAACTTTGTAGCCTTTCTAAGCGTGTTGATTTCGCTGCAAGTTTCAAAAGAGTTAGCAACCACAATTAGACAAGGATTAAGCAACTGGCCATGTTTTGATCAACTTACGCAATTAGTTCTTGATTAGCAGCCATAGTGTGTACATTTTCTGTTCGGAATGAAACTGTATTAGAATCCACGGTCGTTCGCAGTCGATTGATGCGCTCCTTGAGCTTATTATGTTGATCCAAATACTCTTGTTTTACAGTATTATCAATATCAATTCCAGTCAAACCAGTATCATTCTTACAAAACTTGTTGTATAGCGTGTGAACCATACTCTGCCACAATATAAAATTCTGATTAGAGCTGACTAACTTGGAATGTGAAAATAACAGTTTGAAATACCTTGAGAACATCAGTATCTTGAAAGTATTGCACAGCATCTTGAAGATCAGTTTTGAACATTTTAATATGTCTTAATACCGTGTGGCATTTGTGATGCTCGCGAACATATTGCTTTTTTGTTTCTTCTAGTTTTACTTGGTTTAATGTAATTTGCTCCTCCAAATTATTCTGTTCCTTATTCAAAACTTTGAGATCACCATTGATTTCCTACATTAAATAAAATAGACTGATATTTAGTAGTCTAGTCCAACAACCATCAAATGTTTGAAATATATGGTACCTGGATTTGTCGCGACATGATGGCAATGTGATTCTCGCGTGGCTCAACTTGCTCCTTGAGTTCCTTGATACGGAAATCAAGCACAAACTTGTATTTTTCAAGCTCTTGGTTGCGTTTTTTAAGATCATATACCTTGCGTTCTTTGTCTTGAATATGCTCGTCACGATCTGACATCTGTATTGGATAGAATGTCAAATTCCACCAAAGTGGATTAACAATAGTATGAGCTTTTATTGTTCTTGCATGATTTACAACTAATTCCAACAACAAAATACAACTTGCCTCTTTTCTTAAAGACTGAATCTCTTTTTCCAAGACTGTAATAATGTTTTCAAGCTTTTTGACGTTATCGTGCATCCTTTGAATTTCTGCTTTGTTATCTTCAATATCTTTGTTGAGGGTATTGAATTTTTTACGCATAATTCCATTTTCACCCTTTAGACGAGCACCCTCTTCTCTTTCGGTCCTTAATCGTTTTTCGTAACGAGATGTGACAGACATCATTTCAGTATCAATGTCCTGCTGGTTTTGCAAAGTCATTTCATCAAATTCACGCTCTTGCTGTCTAATATCATCCAAAAACTATGAATTATATTGAATAGATTAAAAACATTACTCCATCTTAACCTCTGTAAACGCTTGATAGAGTATAAAGCAAGCCAACAGCTACAATTTTCCATTTAAACAAAAAGTAGTTTGAAAACTTACTCGCTGAATTTCAGATGATTTGGAGTTGAGGCGAGTCTCAGCAACACCCTGCATTTCTGAAAGTGTTTTTTGAGTAGATGACTCGAATTCACGCATTTGTTTTTGCCAATTCTCCTGCAATAAGCTTGTATGATCTTGCTGCAGCTGGTATTTTTCATACTCTTCCATCAGCTGTTGATTGTATTTTATTTCCACTTCCTTTAATATTCAAATTTCCATGACAATCAACATGTAGGTTAGAATACAGTGTAATACTTGCTGAATAGTGACATGTTTAAAAATATTACATGAAGCTCTTGCACTTGACGACTCTTGATGCTTTGCAAATACTCTTGATGCTTCACATCTTCCTTTTCTTTTTCTGTCCGAAGCATTGAAGTCGAGATTTTAAGTGCTTCGATTTCTTGAGAATACTTTTCAGTAATTTCTTTTAGCTTTTCGTTAAAATTCATGTCTTTTAGTCTAAGCTGGTATTCATGCTCCAGTTTAAGCTCATCCAGATTACGCTGTAGTTCAGCCATAAGCACTGTCTTTTCTTCCAGATCTGACTTGGTTATAAGTATCTAAATGACCAATAAAAGCTTAATACTCTCGATTTGACAATGCTTTTGACTAGATAAAAACAATAGCTTGATATATCAATTAAAGTCTACCTCGTCTGCAAACAATATAGCTTTTTCTTTCTTGAGCCCATTACGCTCATCCTTGTCTGCAATTCGAAACATATATACACATCCATCTTCTGATGTCGAAAACAAAAACTGATCATCATACGATACACGCATCTTTGTAATCGGTGCGGAATGTGCTTGATGCTCTTGGTAATCGCAATGGTCACCAAATGGAAATTTTAAAGTTCGGATGGTTCCAGTGGACGAACCTAAGAAATACTTTGTGAGGGTTGATTTTCAACTGCAATGATTATAATCACATCAAAACTTGCCTACAAACAGCATTCTTCCAGAGTTGGAAATGGCAATCTGTGAAGGAACTATATCTGATTCAAACTCTTTGGTGACTGTAGATTCAGTAATTTCCTATAAACAGTCAATATAAATATTTACTCTGCGTCAGATTTTAATTTCAGATTTTAAAATAGTCGATACACAATATACCTTGATGTATTTATCAGATCCTACAGCATATACGATTTTTCCGTTAGGAGAACACACTGCACTATTATAACTGCATGCTTTGAGAATATGCTCATGCTCGCGCTTTAACTGTCGAATGTTCCAGGTATACACTGCTCCATCTGTTCCAGCTGATACAAGAGATTGATCGTCAGGAGTCCAATACAACGATTTAACCTTTCCATTGTGTCCCTTTAGATTATCGATATTGTCATATGTCCATGTAGAAAAGATCTGAATGATATTGCCGTGTGCAGCTGCAAAGGAGTGGCCCCCATTTGAAAAGTGACACTGGTAAATTTGTATATATACAATATGACATTTGAAACAATTTAAATTGATATAACGATATATGTAGATTTTGTATAGTTGAAACAAAAATTGAAAAGTATGATCATATAGCATATCTGAACACTAGACCATGTATTCTAGTTACCTCTTTGCATGCGCGTATGCCAAATTCGCGAACTGGACGCAAATCATCCATAAGAACATTCATCAATCTCAGCTTGTCACTAAACCCAGCAAGTAAATATAACCCTGAAGGATGCAAGGCAACTGAGTGAGCTTCTTCGCTAAAGAATTTTTGAAACTCGCAAGTACCGGTCTGGTAGTTCCAAATACGAATGGATTTATCTGAACTGCATGTCACAATAAGAGGCTTTCTAATGCAAAGATCAAGACCAGTCACCGGTCCGTAATGATATGCTTCCAAAAAAACATCAAATTTAAGATCATCTGTCTATTCGATCCAGAATTGTAAAAATATAGATTATTGAGAGGTTAGAATCATTACAGGTTATATCAAATCCAAGGCTTGATAGACCATTCAAATAATATAAACTTGATAATCGAGTCAAGGCATACTTTTGCTAAATCCGATGCAGTCAGTCCGATTTTTAAAATCTGATTAGTATCCACTTCCACAAGAAGAGTTCCTTCAGAAGTAGTTGATGCCATTGCCGTAACCTTCAAGCTAGCATCAGGAAGCGGAATTTTTCGAACCAAATCAAAATTTGACCAGTCAGAAGAAGTAAAGTCGTATAGCGATACAAATCCACCGGATCCTCCAACAGCAAAGCCTTGCTTCATGCTTTGTAGAGTAGCTATGGGACTGCAATTAGAAAACGCGGTTTCTTGGACCTTTTCCTCGTTGCGGATCATGAATATATATCCCTCTTGACTTCCAATAATGATGCAATCGGTCGTCATCCAGCAATGGCACACATAGTTCTAATACAGCCATTCATATTTGATAAGTTGCCAACATTTGTCTTATTATCTCATGACTTGAAATCAATTCAATAGACTGTTGTTTTACATACATATTCTGGTAGCTTTAAAGGTAGAGGACGCAAAACACCTTCTGCATATCTATATATCGTTGCAAATCCTTGGCCGGTAACACAAAATTCAGTTCCATCAAATGGATTGATAGTCACTTGATTGACAGCTTTATCTGGCGACGGTGATGCCGAAATTACGGCAATTGGTTTTCCCTTTTCCCAAGCATAATAGTGCAAAATCCAATCTGGTGCAGATAGCTGTGCCGCTAGATATTTTGAGTCGATTGAAAAAGACAGCGATGTAAATTCCTAAAAGGCAGATGTAATCAAGAAATGGTGGAATTGGCAGTGTCAGTGCCAATCACGATATTGCTATTCAGCATAACCATTTGAATGGTGCCTATACAGTTGAACGATACTAAATTTAGACTATTTAAACTTTAAGCTATTACCTTGCCCTGAGCTGTTTCAAAAGCCACCAACTGTCTTCTTTTCCGATAATTGTGGAGGTCGTAAACATGAATGGTTGGCTGAGCAGACCTTTCAGCGACTGCAAATACATGCTTATCAGATGATACTGTCACGGCAGATATTCCATTTCCAGACTCGGATATGGGAATGAAACGCTGTGCTTTTTGTTCAATGTTGTTTACTAGTGCAATGCGATTCAAAGAGTCAGTATACAAGTGATGTTTTGGCAATATCTATTGATGCTACAGATAACATACTGATAATATTGCTTCCCGCAGGATACATGATAGTATTTTCTTCAACATAGTATATGTTGTCAGGAATATCATTCGTGATACCAAAGACATATCTGTGAGTTGAATGCACGCAGTATTCATAATGTTAGTAAAACAACCACAATACTCGATGTGGCTAATTTGGAATAAGTCCATTATTGACTACTTAATACCAATATATTCGTTAGTCTCATATTCTTAAGCATAGTCAGTGTTCATTACCCGTGCTGAACTGATGCTATTGACATTGTTACAGATATCTGTATAATATATATCCAGGTTGAAACATTGTTACGTGTCGAAAATATCCTATTTGACAAGCTAGATATTATAAAACTCAATAAACCCCTACACTCAAATATATTATATTCCATGTTGGGTAGTCGATTGACCATAGTTATCAATAGCACTAAAATATAGACATTCACTCGGAATAATTTCAGGCACACCAGACACAATCGTCTTTCAATCTATAGCTGGACTATAGCCAAGAACTCGAGGGATGAGAATGTGCAAAATAATATTTCTTGTTCTTTCAAGTAAACCATAAATGCTTTGGAAACACTGACAGCATCTCAAAAACAAAAGTTGTCCATACGTCAACCTGCACGATTGGTTTGGATTAGCGTATAAACGCTCCATCGATAGGCTACATGCTTGAGCAAACGACAATCACGACCAGTAAAGCCTGAGATCACTCATTTCGACGCAAAACGAACAAGTGGCGGTTTTCATTCTCGTACAATAGATGGGCGTGTAGATATGGAGCAGAATTGCGAGACTAAGTAGGCATGTTGATGGGCCTGAAATAAGGATCAGCAGGCACACTATTGACATCTGCAGATAACATATTACACACAAAAGGACATCTTTGAATCAAATAAACAGACTCGGTAAAACTAGCGACATTCTGAAACAAGATTGCGCAGCATGTGAGCAATATCATTACTTGTGAGATGATGGGTTTTGAACAGAATTGGCTTGAGCCAATCTACGGTTTTCTATATCATCTATACAGCAATCTTGTTCAAATGGGGTTTTCATTCTCAAGCACAAGATGAGGTTGGTGCAACTTGGAATCAGACGACAGATTCAAGATCTGATTCAACGCCCAAAGATCCAAGGATAGCCCGCATGATTGAATGAATTCTACGTGAACTCAGCCCATCTCATCAATGGAGAAAGTGTCTTCACTAACCAATTATTTTGCCTGTTCTCATGCTCTTTGACTCCAGCTGTAAAGCGACCATGTGCATAGTACTATATCTTGTATCTGATAATGGCTTGGAAACCCCAGAATCTATCTATATTCATGTCGAGTAATAACAGTATCCAAGCAAACCAAGTATTTGGGTGTGCAGTATCCCACTATATAGCCATAATAATAGTCTTTCAATCCGTAAGCACAGAATAACTAGACTTTTCAAAACCCATCATACACTGTAATACACTTGCAAACAATTACTATTGAAAACAAATGTCGATTTATGTAATGCTAATTGCAAGACCACTGTAAAGCCAGAATTTGAGTGCTCAGCACCAAAATAGTCTAGGCAAAACTCTTGATTGAACATGGATTAAGCAAGTAGGATCAAAGTCTAAAAGTGGTGTTATTGAGCTGATGATGCATATTCTTTGAACGAGGATCGAGCTAAATATGATATTACATAAGACTCGCATTATCGATCGTAACTGATAATGTAAACTGGCTTAGATACTGGATATTCAGTATAAGAAATGTAAAATCAGCAGGGGCTGAGTGGATAGCAACACAGAAAGTACTCGACAATAGACAATCTAAAATACAGGGTACATGACAGCGACTGACGAGGATAAGCATTTGGACCAACAACAAACCAGCTTGGGCACAGGGCTGAACAAGAATGTCGTTTGCGCGTGTAATAATGTTGTGATTCGGCCACTTGCAGCTCGGTCTAGAATCTGCCTTCCCTCTGTTTGTCTGACAGTCGACCATTAGCTACCTGCCAATATATTGTATTTTTAGTCTACTCTTTTGATCAACCCTTGCTATTTTTGATCATTTTGCTTCCGCTCCATTTTAAACATAAACTGTACTATACTAAAGGTAAAGTCAAACCTTGCAAAACACTACTGTCCTGACTCCATACTCGACAGATCTAGTATTGAAAGTCAACTGTTTGCTGTTTTATCCGCCCATTGAAGCTTTTCTGCACTGCCACTTTGATCACTATTGTCTGTCTGCATTATATCCAAAACGTGTCGGATCTAAAGTTGCATAATTACATTACTCGCAAAAAGGTTCCTAGTCTAGTTACTTTGTCAAACTGACTACCTCTTAAACATATATAATCTAGCATACGATTCCAAACTCTACTTTTTTTCAAAACAGTATAATCCACAAGGTTTTTCGTATAAAGCTAACCTCCATCCCGCCTAATCTGGCACTTTGTATCTCATCTTGCTCTTTTCAAAAAGCTTTATCTGCCTACTAGCCCATCAAATTTTAATCTAGTCTGCAGTTTATTCACTCTAAAATGTCAGCACAGTTCGCTTATGCTAAAAATTTGACCAAAGACCAACCTCCTCCCCAATGGCGGGGTGATATAGATACGCTGATGAAGTCGTCCATCTCATTAGTAAAAGCTGCTACTCCGCACATGGAAAACGTCCGCGCAAAAAAACCTCCTGCGTGCTATGGACGAGTCAAAAACCTCGAGTCCATGGTTCCTGCTCAATGGTGGAAGTCTGTATTTGCAGATGCCATGTATCTAAAAACAGACGGCGATGTGGTAGAAGATCCTGATATTACTAAAGGCGAGATTGCTTTACTGGAAGCTATGCCTGAAATCAAGCAGATTATTCTTCGAGGAAGTCAACCTGACAGTAGCGATGGCCGCATTTCTCAAGGTAAATAATACACTTTGTTTTAGTTCAATTTTGATGCTGCTATGCTAGCGGCTGGGCTGCAGACTCGGTTTAAACCAGAGTAGATTATATCTCTTGCATGCATATGCTTTCCATCTCTCAAATCACTTGATGCATGCTCAATCAATAACTAACTATATGCTTTTGAATATACTCTCACATTAATTCAAATATGACGATTTTGCAACCATCCGCAAATCCAATCGAACTGCCGATTGTGAATGCTTGGAATGTAAACCTTGGCGTAATAATTTCCATGTATTTATATTATGCTTATTGACGGACTGTGTGATTGCTTGAATTCGGTGATCAAATGATTTTATTTCTTTGCTGATTGTGCCAATTAAATCACACTTTGTCAAACCCCCTCATATCTTTTGTTTGATGTTGATACCACGGACTTGATCTCTTATTTTTTCTTGATGCATTCTATTCGCTACTCTTTTTGGAACTGGTCAACATACCTTATTTTCAACACTAAAATGCTATAGAAAAACCTGCTCGTATTCTTGACCTTTGTTGTGGTCAGGGACGTCACTCGCTTCATCTAGTCAAAGAGTATCCTCATCTTTTTGTCCATGGACACGACCAGTCCTCCTATCTTATCTCGCTTGCTCAAGAGCGTGCTTCCTTTCAAAGCGTTACTACCCAGAGCTTTTTCACCGTTGGCGACTGTCGCCAAATTCCATACTCTGAAGACACCTTTGATTTGGTACTAGTTATGGGCAATTCATTTGGCTACTTTTCCAACGAGGACGGTGATCGTGCTGTACTGGCTGAAATCAAACGTGTTCTTGCTCCTGGTGGTCGTGTTGTAGTGGATCTTACAGATGGAGAATTCATGCGCAATAATTTTGCTGAACACAGCTGGGAATGGATTGACGATACTACATTTGTGTGTCGTGAGCGTCAGCTGAGTGAGGATAGACTCCGACTTATTTCTCGTGAAATTATCACTGTGTCCAGCAAGGGTGTTGTGCGCGATCAGTTTTATCAAGAGCGTCTGTATTCCAAGACTGAGCTTCAGCAGCTTTTTGTCGAGGCTGGAATGTCTGTTGATCCTGAAGGTAAAGAGTTTGCAGACAACGGCATAGTAACCATTGGCTATGATCTCAGCAAAAGAAAGGAGGATCTGGGTATGATGGCACAGCGTATGCTGGTTACTGCCTTCAAACCCAGATCGGGTGTTTGCAGTGACTATACTGCCCTCGATCTTGACGTGGCTGTCGAAGATGATACAACTGCATCAGGATTCATTCCATCTAATGACGATGCATCTAGCATTGGAGCCAGTGCCACGACTGTTACTTCTGAAGCTCGAGAGCATCCTGTTTTGAGCGTTGATCAGCTGGCGAGAAATCTAGATGCCATTGCTATTCTTGGTGACAACGAATCCAATTTTTTACTTGAAAAGGCAATCGTTCTCATGGGGGATACGTCTATGCCGTGTGTTGGAAAGCTCGGCGACACATGGAATCAGGAGGATATTGAAACAAGAAAACAACTTGTTAAAGCACTCTATGATATTGGATATTCTGACGAGCAACTTGAAATTATCGATACTCATAAAGATCTTGTGCACACATTGTCTGAAAAGTCGGTATCGTTTGTCCTCAACTTTTGCGATGAAGGGTATCAGAATGACGCGCTCAAAGAGATGCACATTCCTGCACTTCTCGATATGGCCAACATACAATACTCTGGAGCTGGACCCAACTGTTTGACCATTTGCTATGACAAGGGACTGGTCAATAGTACTGCTAGAACCCTTGGTGTGCCTACTCCACGGGAAATGACATATCTGAGCGATGTAGCTACCTCGGCTGTTGCTGATCTCAACAAGGTTGACCAGCTGATTCGCGAGCAAATCCTATACCCTGCTTTTATTAAACCCATCAAGGGTGATAATTCTCTTGGTATTACCAGTCGCTCCATCATCCACAACAAAGCTGAGCTTGCATCTTATATGGACGAGCTTTCTGGCATCGGCATTCGCGATGTACTTGTACAAGAGTATTTGACAGGCACAGAGTACGGTATTGGAATGGTTGGAAACTCAGAAACAGGATTCCATTTTTTCCCTACACTCAAAGTTGATTACTCCAAGATAGTCGAAAAGCAGCTTGAACCAATTCTTGGATATGAATCTAAATGGGATCCTAGCAGTCCGTACTGGTCCGATATATCTTACGTTGCCGCAAATCTTAGTGCAGAGGTAGACAATGATCTTCGAAAGGCATGCGTTGTTCTCTGGAAACGATTTGGCTGTCGCGATTATGCCCGATTTGACTTTAGAAGTGATGTTGGTACTGGAGACAACAAAGACGGACTTGGCGGCACAATTAAACTGTTGGAAGTCAATCCTAATCCTGGCTGGTGTTGGGATGGTAAACTTGCTTATATGGCCAAGCTTGATGGAATTGAATACAAGGACATGCTTCGTATGATCATTCAAGTCTCTTGGACACGTATTCAGCGTTCGTTAATTTGACGTTTTCCAGTCGCACAAACACAATGAGCTTACTTTTACATATTTTACTTGCTCATTTACTGTTTTTGGACAATCTTGAAGATAAACTTGACATGATTTAAAGTACTTTAAGAAATACCTGTTGTTAGCTACTCAAACACTTGACAATTTATAACTCGCTTGCCTTTGTGGTTATAGTTTTTATTTACTGCCTTTATCATTTTGATTCATTTAGTTTTTGTTATTTCATCTGAATTGTTTTGAATCTGATTTTTATCGAGTTTACAATAAATATTGAACTACTCTTTTACACTTGTATTCACGCAAAATGGTACATTGAGTAACAATGTCAAAATACATAACAGCCAGTCTTGTGGAATGATGGGTGTGATTTACAGGGCAACATTGGATGATTGGCAACACCAAAACAGTCAAACTCAATATCTGGATTTCAACGCATATTCCAAAGCAAAATATACAATCATTGCAAGATACAAAAGTGCACCATCTTACGTGGATGCAAGTGTAGAGCAAGACAAGCTGAATCTCAGACTTGGTAATAAACATTAAACATTACTTGAATCGCATGCGTTTTCAACACAACTTCAATGTAGATTTAAAAACATCACTTATCAATGACATGCTTCATTGATATAATATCGATATAGGATTCCAACTACCATCAAATATCATACTATCGAGTTTTGTGTTTCAGCACGACTTGAAACAGATTTGCTTAAAAAACTTCCCTGGACGTTTAATTATCGATATACTGCTGGCTACTCATTCAATATTATTGCCATGACCAAGATTTTTGGCATTGGTCTTACTACTGAAAAATCCAGTACTCCTATACGTACTAGTGTTGATTCTACTACTAGAAATAGCAATAGTGTTACTAGTGTACAGCATTCGTCTGGCTCATCTGCAAAGTCTGGATTACCTCCACTAGCTCCTATCTCAAAGTCACCTTCGAATCAGGACGAACAGAAACATCCATTTTCATCTACATCATTATATTCCAGCAATATCGTCCGAGGAGCCAGCTCAAGAATGTCGTTTTTTTCAGATGGGTCTGCCAGTAACAGCAGTCTGCACGATTCTCAGCATCCTGTCAAGCCACCTGGCCAGATTGACACAGCTAAAGGTACTTGTACTGTCTTTATTAACTATTAGTTATACTTGTTGAATCAATCCATTCATGCACTCCTTTAATTATAGCCGTATTCACGTAAAATGCAGCTTGTACTTGTCTTGCAATGACCATCTATTTACCTTGAAGTAGATAATGGTTCAATATGTATTGTCTTGCTACTATAATGTGCATTTTCAATCCTTTAAAACACAGAGTTCATATGATACAATCAAACTACAGCTTTGAGTTGAAATTGTTTTTTTGGTAGTCATACACTGTACGATCACCAAATTCACAACAATCCAGATATTGGGTTCAACTGTTGTGATGTTGCCAATCAGAATGCATAAACTCATGTATTCTAATCTTGGATGCATTCGCGTTCTAGTTTAAAGAACAAAGATCCGTTTCAGGAATGCAACTGTTGGCTTTATGCAATCATTCAATCTCATGGTGATCAATTTTTATTTTTATTCCATTATTCGGTGTTTTACTCTACATTAATACGGCTGTAAATAGGATGCATTTTTTATTTTTGCTCAATTTATCAATATTGTCGACTCATTCATCTGACATTGGACTTTTATGGATATATCCACACTTTTCATACCATTGTTTATTCATAGAGCCTATGCTTGAAGATTCTGTCAAGCATTTGCAGCTGGTTAATGCTCTGGGTACAAACAATTTAGATGCTGTTCTTGCAGCAATTTTAAGATTAACTTCGGTTCCACCTGCTATTGGATCTCCGCCACCTTCCTATGGTAGTCCACTTCATCTAGTATTGTCTTTATGTCAAAAATCCATAGTAGAAAACATCATTGCCACATTCTGCATGCCTGAATCAAACGGTGCAACCAAAAGCAACTCGCTGACATGGATCAATATGCAAAATTCACCCGATGGTGAAACTCCGTTGCATATTGCTTCACGATTAGGTCGACTTGATATTAGCGACATGCTATTTCGTGTACCAAATATTGATGATACGATCAGAAATGCAAATGGAAAAACTCCAGTGGAAATGGCAAAAAATGATAAAGTGATGGAGTTGTTTGAAGGTAAGTAACATATACCACGAATGTGTATTAAAAGAAACATGGATCAACACTCTTGATGTTGTATTTAGGACATCGCACCGACTTTTGCAACTCGATCATCACTGCCATCCAATCACACCTATTGAATGGAAAATCACAGTGTGTTATAGATCTATTTATGAATAATGATAGGGCAAGATCTTATTTGGCTTTGGGGTGGATTGACATCAATGCACCCATAGATACAACTACGGATCAAAGTATTCTGCATTTTGCCGCAAAAAATGATGATCTTATCTTGATCAACTGGACGCTATCCCAGGGTGCTGACCCGAACGTTAAAGACAAAAAGGGCAAGAAACCTCTGGATGTTAGTTTTTGAAATGTTGGATTGACTGGGTTTCCATTCCAGTGTTTTACTACAAATGCGTATTTTTCAACCCGTATATATGCTAATTCGTCAATGCTTACTATTTTAGCTTTGCAAGAAAGATAAAATCAAGGATCGATTAAAAAATGGTACATATTATTACATTTCTTATCATTTACTGCCACTTGTAGTTACTTGTCCTCAATTGTACTTGTTTTATACATTTCTTAATTCCAATTGAGCTCTTGTGCGTTTTGTGTTTCTATCTATATGCTGTGGTAAACCAGCTATTTCTCAAACACCCATACAGGCTCTTAATTTATCATCCATGTCACCAACGGCGATTGGTACGGCATCTACTATACGTGGCACACAGGAAGCACCTATTCTTAAAGGAACGCTTTTTAAATGGACCAACTATACAACTGGATACAAACCACGTTATTTTGTTCTTGAAAACGGATTTTTTTCGTACTATCATACGCCTGATGAATACCCAAGCAATTGCCGTGGCTCTATTTCTACAATGACTGCAAATGTGACAATGCCAGACTCGAATGATGCGAGCAGATTTGACATTATGTCGACTGGAAATGTACGCTATTCGATCAAAGCACGAAGCCCAGCTGATGCAAAAAAATGGGTTTGGCATCTGATGGAAAGCAAACGATTTTTGATTGACATGAAGCGTACGCCCCGAAGTAGCACTACTGCCGCAAGATTAAACAATTTGACAGGCAATAACGGAATTGACAGTATGGCTCAGAATTCTTTAGATGATTTGTGGGATCGGGACAAGGATGTTTTGGAAACAGTGGAAAGCACTACCTTGGATGATCCATTACTAGACAAGGTTACATCTGCACTGGATTTAATTACCAATCAACCCACTGACAACCTCGATACTTCTGGATCTTCAGCTCGAGACAGATCTGGGACTGGTCTTGAACAAGCTTCAATATCAGGTGCAGATGAATATCATGCTTGCCTATCAACCAATGCTACGACGGAGATAGACGATCAAAACGAAATACCCAATCGACCATCCATTTTAATTAAGCCAGATCAACTTCCACTATTGGCAATCTCAGGACCTCAAGCATCAATCAACATTCACACACTAATGTATATGTTGGAAATACAGCTGGAAACTCAAGAACGTGTGGTGCAAACTCTAGTCAAGGGTTTGACTGACAAGCTACCTTTGGCTGGCTCCAAGCCTTCTGCAGACGAGGTAACGCACAATACCACAACTGCACAGTTACCCGCTCTGTTGACAGAGTCCGTCTCTCACGTTCAAGATACTGCTAGACGGATTGTTGCGTTGTATGATTCGCGCGAGCGGATGTGGTCGAGGCGATTGCGTAAAGAAATCGAAAGCAGGAGGCGATGGGAAGAAGTTGTAGCTCGTGTAGCTGGAATTGACAACAATGCAACCTCTCCAAATTTAACCGAGGCAAATCATGGCCGAGTCAATGCAGTCAATGAGACTACACCAGTAGGCGTACCATGCATTCTGCCTAATGCTTCCATGGCAACTGCACCTACTCATTTTGATCAATCTTCGCGTCGATCTGTATCGATTCAAAGTAATCACAGTGCAAGTAGACAATATGCTGATGGTAGTTACAGTAGAACATCCAACACAGCTACTGATTATCAAAACAATAGCGCTTATGCTTGCTCGGAAAATGACGACGACGAGTATAATGGAGATGTATTTTATGATGCTGAATATGATCAAAACTCGGAATCATTTTTAGAAAACGCATTGGGCTTTAGCACAATGGATGATTCACCTGCTGTACAACTGACATGTAATCCCTTGACATCTCCAACCTCCGAATCACAGGGCAAGCATATATTTCTTGACAATGAGTCTTTGCAGGTATCGTTCAAAGGCTATCATGGCGTCGAAAAAGCCAGAAAGCACCTTCCACTAGATCCATCCATTCCCAAACCGGCCTTGGCTGTATGGTCATTTCTCAAATCTGCGATTGGCAAGGATTTGTCCAAAGTCACATTGCCGGTATTTTTCAATGAGCCATTGAGTATGCTACAGCGCATGTGTGAGGATATTGAGTATATTGATTTGCTATCTTTGGCCAGTCGGACCGGAAGTGCAAAGCTGAATGGCCAAGAAACAAAAGAAACTTTGAGATCGAATGGGCTACCTGATCCAGCAATGGAGGCTGCAACACATCTTCAAATTGACTTTGCGCAGATACAGCAGCTTCAAAATGAAGATGCGAGTTTGATGCGTATCATGCTTATTGCAGCCTACGCCATGAGTTCTTATGGTAGCACTGTTGGACGAGTAAACAAGCCATTCAACCCTATGCTTGGAGAGACGTTTGAACTGGTACGAAAAGATAAGCAGTATCGGTATTTTTCAGAGCAAGTATGCCATCACCCACCCATCAGTGCATGTTTCTGTGAATCGCCAGACTACGTTTTTTGGACCGAGTCAAATGTCAAGTCTAAATTTTGGGGCAAATCATTGGAGTTGCACCCATTGGGTAATTGCCATGTTTCGTTGCCCAAATACCAAGTGGACTCGGCAACGGGAGATCTTGCAGTTGTTGGAAGCGAGCACTATAGCTGGAAAAAAGTAACAACATGCGTCAATAACCTCATTGTAGGAAAATTGTCGATTGATCACTATGGTGATATGGTGATCACTAACTGGGAAACTGGTGAAACGGCGACATTGACATTCAAGGTCCGTAGCACAAATGGATGGTTTATTAGCACTGCAAAGGATGAATCAGGTAGCGGTGGAGGAGAGATTGTTGGAAAAGTCACAGACTCTCGTGGTCAAATTAGATTTGAGATTAAAGGCAGATGGGACGATACATTGACTGCCATACCTGTGTTGAATGCCAATGGTATGTCGTTTTCATCAGCTAAGCTTTTTCAGCGTCCAATTACATTGTGGAAACGATATCCGATGCCTTTGGCGTCATTGCAAAATTTCAACTATACAACGTTTGCCATGTCATTGAATGAGACGAATGCCGAGCTTGAAACCATTCTGCCACTGACAGACTGCCGATTGCGTCCAGACCAGCGTGCCATGGAGTGTGGATTGTGGGACGCAGCCAATACTGACAAGGAAAAACTCGAGATGCTACAGCGATCGAATCGGAAACGAGCCGAGACAAAGTTTCATGAAACAGGGATTCCTAGCGGACCTGTTCATACTGGGTCTTCAATTTCAACAAATGAGCCATGGTGGACGCCTCGGTGGTTTGTTCGAGAAATTGAACCGGATACAAAAGAAGAACATTGGCGCTTTACCAACGAGTATTGGACAATACGGCAAGCAATTTCCGAGGGAAAATTAACTCAATGGCCTGATTATGTCATGGATGTGTTTGGTATTGGACCCAAAACCATTGAATAGTCACTCTTTGGCGGGTAACTGGTTTGATATTTTTATTGAATCATCAATCATGCTCCACTATCCCATCTGCATTTAGTCATTCCTTAAAACATGTGATATTTCTTCAATCACAAATATATTTTGGTAAACAAATTTAAAACTCGATTGATTTTCAAAAAAGTAGATCTGAATACCTGGTGAATTTTAAAAATAGTCTGCCGTTTACATCATCATTATAAAGAAATTAGAGCCACTGCCTTGGAGAAATGTAGACAAAGCTCTACCCACAGCAAGAAAGACAAGAGATCCAGAATGGGTATTGCAAATCAATTACATGTGAAAGCTTTTGAACGCATCAGCGCGCTATTACTGTCAAATAAGGACTGAGTTGAACTTGGTCTTTGTCTGCTTTTGGAATCTGCGACCACACCAGTGACATGGATCCTAATCAACAGCAGCAAAATATAAACGCATAAGTACCATTCACCCCTATCAAGATTTCAAAAGCAATAGTTTACCTTGACCAGAAGGTCTTTCATGTGAATTGACTTCAGTCACATGAAACATCCAAAAATGGCCATTATTGCAGGCATCCATACACGGACCACATGGCTGAGTAACATGGTATCCAATCACATTACCGCAACCAAGACAAGCAACATCGCGAATCCGACACTGACAGTTTCTAGTTAGGTAATCATCGTACACAAGCTGCACACCAAATGGAGGAGCATCCGTAGAAAACAACTCGATATTTGTGTCGGCTAAAAGTATGGCTTTCATTCCCCGTTTGCATACTTGACTTGAGCAATGAAGACAATTAAGAATACACACCACTTTGCTTCTAAAGTGGGGTCGCATAGACTGTGTTGTATGAGCGTCCATGTAAGCAGATCCACTATTTCGAAGATTGAAAAGAGCTGCTGTTGTGGCAGCAGTCGGATTTCCACTGGCATAAGCTTGAAGATGCATTCGAAGTTGGTATTGCTCGGCTTCAGTTCGAGTTTGAGATTGTGATGAAGTAGGCTCTACAGTTCTACGAGATGGTTGGCGAGTAGTAGTTGATCCTGTGGATGGCATGGATGTTCCAGATACAGCGTTGGGTTGCTGGCCTGGTGTTGTACGCGTCGATCGAGTAGCAAAATAATTGTATCCGCTACCTGATCCTGCAAACTGCATATCCCACGGACTCATAAAATGGTGGTGCATTCCTGTTGATGAAATGGTGCTCATGGTGACTCGAGGAGATGTAGAAGAGACTGTAGAAGCGCCATGTGAAGGTACAGTCATTGTGGGAGCGGCCTGTGTTGACGCATTAACTCCTGAAGAACTTGCAGGTGTAGAATGTATTTGGTCTTGCAAAATAGTAGAGGCTGATCTTGAAGTATCCACCGAGTCAGTATAGTGTGAGGCTGATGGCTGTTGCAAGACGGCTGGAACTGAAACAGGATCAGTGATCAATTGTGTATTAGACGGCCTAGTGGGTCGTATCAAGTCTGGTGGAGTATCACTGGTCGTGTAAGTTTGTGTGAATGAATTAGATGCAGTTAAATGTGCATAATTAGTGGCTGGACGAATGATTAAAGAACCTCCTGAAATTATATCAGATGGCATAGATGACCTAGGAGCAGTAGATGACATAGATGGCAGGTTACTATGAGATTCTGGAGGTAAGACGGTGGATTGGGTGGTTTGGTCAGAAAGCAAAGTAACAAAGTTTGGCATTGTGTGAGATGTATGATTTTGGAAAAATAGGCGAGAATGGATTTAAGCAAAAGAACCGTACGATGGGATAGGTTTGAAGGAGGTGGGAGCAGTTTATTAACAAGATGTAGGCTATAGGCGTGGGGATGTGTTTGAAATGGCAGTTTACTGGCAGCAGCATTAACTGGTGAAATAGTGGCTCCATGATATACTAGAATAATATTGCGAATTGTTGGGGTGGAGAGCCTTGATAGTTGGATAGATCTCATTTCAAGCCACACTCACATGTGGAAAGCTTAAAATTCATATCCACCCCAAAACAGTTTAATGGTCGCGTTTTGGCCTAAAACATGACTTGACTCGAGATTTAATCCAACGGCAGAATTCATGTAGAAGTTATTTATAAAGCCATTTCTATAAACCGAGCGACCAGATGAATTCTATAGAGCAATGAGACTATCAGGACAAATTGTTTTTGGTTGCGAGCAAATAGTTGAACACGTGAGATTGGGGTGAACTCGATACTTTGCATAAATCACACTCACCAGTAAAGACTCAGCTAGCGATAATGGGAAAGAGGACTGTCAAGAAAGTGTCGACTGAAGAAGCTCCACTAACTGTTTCTCCCATCAGTGCAGAATCAAACAGCGACAAACCCCACATCAATCACTCCAGCTTTCCCACTACTAAAACTCTGCTTCTGGCAGCAGCTCACCCATCCTCCAGTCCTATTGTCAGTCAAGTAACAACACCCAATGACTCATCTGATATTATTTCCAACAGTGGATCTATCCCAGAATCTAAATATTATTACCGCTCTGATGAATCTTTGCTCAAGCGCAACAAGTCTGGTAAGGACAAGCTAGCAATGGCTAGTCCATTTACAACCAACTCCGAAACTACTACTGTTGTTTCTGGTACTTATGAATGTGACGATGCATCTTCAATGACTCTACAAACCCATACATGTCCTAATGAACCTGGTCCTGCAATAAGCGATCTAGCAAAGTCTTCACTTGCAATCAATCAAGAGTTATTTATTGCTCAAACAGCCTCGAGGCAATCTGCTGAACCCACTGTAACTAGCCCTATAATCAACAGGAACCAATCCCAGATGGATCTACAGTCTCTGCAAACCACAGATAAAATATGTGAACCTGTTTGTGACGAGAGTGTTGATTATAAAACAGATACGGATTCCATCACTGACAACAACGAAACTCTCAATCCTACCCAGCCTGGGTCACCAGTTTCCCTTTTGCCAGACAATGATGCTGTACTTGAGACGACAGATGATCCTGATTGCATTGCCAAGACTAAAAGTGAAGATGCAGAGTTCACCTCGGCTGATACAAGCCTATCTCTAGATCCCGAAACAGAATCTGTATCTCCAGCTGAACCTGTCATTTTAGCACAGCTGTCAAGACCCTCACCGGCTGAAGCATCTTTGACACCGCCAACGCAAAAACGTCCCAAAACCGCCATTTCAGCCATTTCAGCCAATGCCGCCAACACGCATCTCATAAATAGCTTGACGGACTTTTCTGGCTATACTACAGCCATGAATCAAGTCATTGCATTTGCCGAGCCTCTGCAAAGAAACTTACGGGCTCATCCTTTTATATATTCCCCTATTGTCTTTTGTGCTCTATTGATTGTCGCTCCATTCTGCTTTATATTTGGACCAATGGTGATATTCCTAGTTGTTGTGTACCATTTTTTGCCTGCTTTTACTAAAGCCGTATTTACATAAACGGACCACTTTTGTATTTATCTTGGCGACTGCCTTTATTTTGCTTGAAATAAACAACAGTTGAATATTTGTCCGCTTTTCTACTAAAATTGATTGCATCGCCGCTTCAATAGACATTCTCGATTGAATCAACACGACGTTCATCATACGATGCGTGCACAATCAAACTAGAGTTTTGAACCAAAGTGACGTTTTTTACCTTTTTTGGTATGGTCATACATTCTATAATCATCAGACCATTCATTACAATCTAGATATTGGGTTTGGCTGTTCTCAATACAACCACAAAATTTTGCGTTTTAAAATTTCAGACACGTTCGCGCTTTAGTTCAAGAAAACAGAATCACACGTCACAAGAATGCAATTGTACATGTCAATCATCCAATGGCACAGTGTTTGGATTGGATGAAATGAGAGCTGAGGATTGAGCAAGTGTGCGATTGGCTAAAACTGTTTGATTTTTTATACAAAAATGAGCACAAACCCAGTAACTCGACAGTTTAGAGGACACAGTGTCCAGTAAATCTAGTGATCATTGTCGAGACTGGCTGTTTATGCACTTTGGCATCTGATTTAGTGTTGTATATCTGCTTGAATACGGCGATAAAGACAGTTCAAGCAGATATACAACTCTTCCTGGACTGGACACACCATTTGAATAGCTACAGGGTTTTTCAATCAGCCAAATGGACACATTTAATGTCAATCAATTTTGTGGCATAGTCCTCCCTTTAAACTATACAGCCCAAGCAGGGCGTGTTTTTAGGTGTTAACATCTCGTATCCCTAAACTCCCCGATTTACCCTTCAAATGCTTACCTAGACCAATACCTAATCCTTCGTCCGCAACCGCTGAAATTAAAATTTGAACAGTTATATCAGTCTGCTTGCATCATCCATACATTATTTCCACAAAGGACCGTTTAAAATCATTTCAGAACTTAGCCTTACCAAAAATAATAATCGCTGCTAGTCAACTACGATTTTAACTCACCCAGCACTTTGAACGGTATATTGACCTGACGCTTCTGCAGTCACTGTTTAAATATATCAACGATATATCTCCAGCTTGACACATAATATATTACTACACAGTCGCAAGCAGGAGCAAGGCATCTTTATTTCGCCAACTCGACATTTAATCTATCTGCTTTGATCAATTATTTCAACCAAATGAAGCGACTTTCAACTACTGGTCTTTGTCTGCTAGTGCTCGCCACATCTGCTCAAGCGATCGTAATTGAGAATCAGACCACAAAAACAACCGATGTTGATACTCATTCAAATTCCAACAGCACTCCTTTACTCGCCGAGGAATCTTCTCATCACAAAAATTCTCAAGATGCTTCCGCAAACCTAAATGATATTCCAGCATCGGATCCTACTCCTATATCAGTTGAAGTTGTAGAAATCAATCCTAATCCTGCACCTTCAACCAATACGGGCACAGATCCCAATCCTGCACCTTCAACCAATACAAACACAGATCCCAATCCTGCACCTTCAACCAATACAGGAAAAGATCCGAATATGCATAGTACTCTACAAGAGGAGCTTAAACATCACTTGACACCAGTATCTTTACTCGAAACTGAAATTTCGCTTGATAATTCTAATACAGAAGATTCTGATTCTAAGGGTGATACAGCCACTAAAGGGAATATCGAGAAGCGAGGCGGAGATAAATCAAGTGAACCTGAAAACTCTGCAGAGTCCAAACCTAACGACCCTAACCCTGAATCAAAGCCAAAGTCCAAGTCATCAGATTCGAAATCTAAATCAGAGTCTAAATCAGAATCGAAATCAGAACCTAAATCTGAACCTGAACCTGAATCAGCACCAGCACCAGAGCCGGCACCAGCACCAGAACCAGCTTTTCAACCAGAACCAGCTCCAGCACTTGAACCAGAGCCAGCTCCCGTGTTTCAACCAGAGCCAGAACCAATACCAGTGTTTCAACCAGAGCCAGAGCCAGTGTTTCAACCAGAACCAGAACCAATACCAGTGTTTCAACCAGAGCCAGAACCACAGGCTTCACCTCCTGAAGAATGGAATCAAAAAGAGAATTCATCTCAAGACTCGTCTTCGAATCATCAAAAGAATAATTCAGATTGGACTCAGAAAAACAAAGACTCCAAAAAAGACAAATCCGACAAACCTGATAAATCAAAGCAGAATCAAGGCAAAAACAACTCCCAGGGTAAGGACAATAATAACAATTCCAAGGGTAAGAATAATAATAACAAATCTTGGGGGAAAAACGACGATCATGTAGATAAAGATCAAGCGAATCAGTCGAGTGGTTCTGATACTTCTCAGAACTCTGCACAAGACTCCAATAGTTCAAGTGCACAATCGACTAATGGTCAATCTAATAGCAAGACTGCCGAAAGCGAAAAAATAATCGCCACAAAAACCCCAGAAAAGGAGCAGTCAGACGACGGGCCAAAAACTAATGTTATAATTGGAGTTGTTGTAGCAATTTTATCTGTTGTGTTGGCAATTATTGGATTTGTTGCGATTCGATGGAACACACATCAAAAGAAACTTCGCGCTTTGGATATCGATCTACAGCTCAACCAAGAGAGCGCTTCGTCGCCTGGCCGTGCGCGAATGTTATATCGCGCAGGAATCAAGTCTGATATTAATCTGACAAGCTATACCAGTGCAGGCATGTATGGTCGAAATTCACTGGCTGGCTCTCATCATTCTGGGGAAGAAGCTGTTGTTTCCAATGGCGATCAGCCTGCTATACACAAGGTATCCAACCCATCTTCAGAAGAATGTGGTGTACTGTCTGAAAACTCGGTCGTACCTCAACCCATCTATGCCTATGCACATTGTAGACAAAACTCACAAACCGAGTTCACACATGGACAGTACGAGCCCTCGCTTCAGTTTGGATACGGTCAGCAATTTGACTATTCTCATCAGTACGAGCAGAGCCAACCGTATTATGGATACTATGCACCCCCACCTCCACCTGCCACGTCGCAATTTGGGGTCTCGCTTGCTCCAATTATTGAGTATCCTTCATATATTGCTCCAAACCCACCACCACATATTCCGGGAACTCATGGTGACTATGCCGTATACGGCTCTCCGGTTCATCAATTCGTTCATCCGATACAGACCAGCGACTATAGTATTTACACCACGTTACCACAACCTTATAATCAGACAACCACTACGACAAATGTGCATGCTTTAAATGGCCTAGTATTTCAACCCATGGCGACGTTCAATGATGATAGTGCGATCAATCTGGCAGAAGCTACACATACCAGCTCCATTACGTCCAACTCATTTGCCTCGCCATTGTTGCATCGGATTAATACGATTACTAGCTATCAACCATCGCCTCTTTTCAATCCTGTCATTGCTGAGCCAGAAAAGAATACTTCAATCTATGACAAGGATACACTCCCTATGCAACCCCGCGACAAAGGTGATCCATCGCGACTATCACCACCGCTGTTTGATCCCTGTGATGCCAGTTTGTATCCCACGCTTGAGCATGCCATAACAGCCATCACTCTAACGTCAAAGGGAGTAAAGCGCGAATCAACTAAATCGACTGTAAGAAGTGTGCCAGATCAAGGACAGGGATACGATTTGGACATGTTGGATTCATACTTTTCACCCAAAGAATCTGGAGGTGATCAAACAGTGTACATGCACAAGGATCAAATCAAACGACTAAGTGGACTCTCACTCTAAAGCATGATTCAATATGCTTATGTATGAATGGGTTCAGGAGAACAGATATACATCCACCTCTGTTTAAATCTACCTTGTGATGTGTCTTGATGTTATTCGAGTTTGACTCGACCACCACTGTATGGTTTGTTGAGGTGTTGTTTCAATATTAGAAACTTTAATCGTTCCACATCAATAAACCAGTTTAATTCTGTTTCTAAATAAGCAAGTGTAGTGGGTAGAGTAAAGATATAAAGCAGTTGATGGATAGTGGTTGGTATTTGATATATACACAATGTGGAGATGCCTTATATTTCATAGGGGTTGAGCATGAATACATGTAGGATAACAAAAATAAAATAAAAACAATACGAGGTTGTAGGAGTTTGAAGGGTCCTATGCTGATGTCTCGAAAGATAAATACATTTGTAGTGGGAATCCCAGCAGCAGATATGTTTAGGGATGCGGGTAATGGGATATCATACACGCATCTGATTGAAACTCGAAGATGAAATGTACGATCTATTGTCATCAAATGGATCAGACTGGGGCCCACCCGGTCTTCCATCTACAATAGTGTCTAGATCATCCACGTTGTCAAAGTCGAAAGCTTCTTTTACGGAGCTTATTTCACCACCCGATTCGTTATTGGCAAATGCCAAGGCATTTTCCGGAAGACTTTCTTCAGAAGTTGATGGATTGAGTGCACGACGTCGTACGGAGAAATATTCGATTGCGCACCAAATTAAGATGCTTATAAATGCCAAGCAAAATAAAGGAACAAGTCCTAATTGAACAAAGTTGATGGCAGGTGAGGTTGAGTTGCCAGATTCTGCATTTGCTTTTGGATCCCAAGGCACAATGGGCACGGCATTAGACGGTGGACGATTAGCAGGCACACCAGACACGCCTTGCCATGTCTTGACGTATGCAGACAAAGGCGTAGCGAATTCGTATGAGGATTCAACACTATGCATGTCACTCTTGAAAGCCGACAAGGTATTATTCAAGACTCTCCAATCGAATTTCCAAACGGACTCGGCATTATGTCCATTCCAAACACGTTCTTCAAGGACAATGGCACGTAGTTTGGGATACTGATTGAGAAAGGTTGTGTTGGTAGTGCATTGCTTCCACCAAGCAGACTTGATATCCACCTCGTTAGCACCACCAGGCGGAGGGGTTAAAGAGTTGGCAGTGACGTGATAAACAGTAGCTGTTGCACTGATCATCATTGGCTTGGCCAATTTTTCAGCATAGACTTGATAGAAATTGACTTGTCCAGGAACCAGCTCACCAGTGAACATGTCATGGAGTCTGTTGGGAGGTGGAATATCGTTGTGAATCTGTGGATAGTTTGCACCTTTGTAAAAGATGGATCTAGTCAACACAAAATAGTTTAGAATGGATTGAATAGAATCTGAACAGCGGGGATAGACTTACAGACCAACCCAGTCAACCGAGTTTCCTCCAGGCCAGTACGGGCCATATGGATCGTCTGACGGAGTGAGAGCCCCATCGCTGTTTGTATCGAGTTTAGAAAAGTCGAGAGTCTTTGGAAGAGCGCTATACTTGAACCCAGCAAAAGGGTATCCCGAGCCTTCAAAGGGAGACCAGACCATCAAAGTGTTGAAAGCACTGTTAGACTTTAGCAGACTAAACAGCTTATTCCAGACAGAGATAAAGGCAGTAGGTTGCTGGCCATAGATCATCCATCCAGCATTGAAGTCGGGAGCAAACCGAAGGAACACTTGACGCCCACGAGCATTAAAGGACGCACAGCGAGCAGCAATGCTTTCCAACTGAGACAGCTGGATAGAACTCATGGAGATGGTTGGAATGATGGATATCATGATTGCAGCATTGGTTAGAGTCTGGTCAACCACTTCAAACGACGGAGGGTCGATTTCAGGTAGTTCCTGTTGCATGGCAATAATAGCCAGATTGTAGCCTAAACGAGTGTTTGCAGCAACAGGAGAATCAGTGCGCAAGTCCAACTGTGCGCCTAGTAGCAGCTTTCCCAAAGTACCAATGGCAGGAATGGAAGCAAGATCAGCATGGGTGGAGTTGGAGAGTAGAACATCCCTTTTGTGTAATGGAAGCGACGGCATGCGGCTGTATTCACGCAGAATGGAATACTTTATCTGCATCGTTGATAATGGTTAAATATTGCATTGACTCGACATTCATTATGCCATCAAGCTTTAGTTTTTCCTTTTTTATTTGGTATATATTATATGATGATTAGATTCCCTTCAAGTTTCTTTTAGATTCCTTTTGGATTCCTTTTGGATTCCTTTTGGATTCCTTTTAGATTCCGATAGTCTAACATCTCAGATACGCTCTTGATTTAAAAAAACAGATTGCAAGATTCTAGTTATTTAATATTGAATTGAACAAAGGATTAGTTTTAATACAAGAATCTTTTTAGTTAGACAGAAACAAGAATCAATTTACTGTCCAATACTGAACAGTAAAGAAATTATCATTTCATGAAACTGTCATGTTGGCATTCTTGTGTTGCGTTCTAATAAAGTTGATTGCAAAATCAACTTGATTTTGTTTGTCTTGAATTCAACACTATTATGGACGACGTTTTGGTCCAACCTTCCAATGATGGTCACATTCCTACACATTCTTCTGATACACTCCATCAACATACTAGCTTGCCTGATACCGAACGCAAGTTTTGTTTTTTGATTCTATTCATTCCTGCCCTTGCAGTTGAAAGCCACCTGGCTTGAATATGCCATTCTTGCTCAACTAACATTGATACTAAATCCTGTTGATTAAACAGATATCTGCAGAGTCTGTCGTTTTCCTGGAACAGACGAAGATCCGTTATTCCATCCTTGCAAATGTGCCGGATCCATGAAGTTTGTTCATCAGCTTTGTTTAGAGGAATGGCTAGCCCACTCAGGAAAACAGTTGAGTTGCTTATTGCTCTGGCTGTCTTGATGTGACTGACATCTACTCTCGAGTCACTCGTTTTATAACGACTACTCTTGGTCTAGATGTTTCGCAACCATGCTGATCACTTGTTCTCAACTTTTTATATATTTGTAGGCACTGCGAGATTTGCACTCATCCATTTGTGTTTAGTTCAAGTAATATCATTGTTGGTTTAATGGGCTGATGGCACCCACGATTTACTCGTTCTATTCAGCCATATTCACGTAAAATAGAACACTGTTGTAGTGGTTGCTTCAGAATAGACAATATTGCTTTCCTCTTTTGGTATATCATCATTGTATGATCACCAGATCATTCATTGCAATCTAGATATTGGGTTTCTGTTTTCAATACAACCGCACCAACTCTTGTATTCTAACATTTCAGATACGTTTGCAATCGTTGTTTCCAATTCAACTATTCAATGCTTGGATGGAACGAGGGTTGAAGATTGAACAAGTGTGCGGTTGATTGAAACTGTTTAGCTTTTTATACAAAAATGAGCAACACCCAGTAACTCGACAGTTTACTAGACGCTGTGTCCACTAAATTTGGTGATCATTGTCGAGACTGGCTGTTTATTATAGATTTCAACTCCCTTTTTAGTGTTCTATTTTACGTGAATACAATTGTAAAAATACACATTCTTACTTTTAAATTATACATCTAGTTTATGCGGACTCTGCTCCAGTCACGATTTCATGGCATGTTGCACTTTACGTTATGATTCAAAGAGCTTATTCCAGCATGGTTCTGAATGTACGAATTGCCTTTGCAGCATGTCTGTGGCTTTTCTGGGTTCCATACGTCACATTATATACATGGCGTTTGTTTTTAGATCCATCAAGCATTACTGAGCGGATGATAAACTATGGTGCACCTGCTGTACCTCAGCATAGTACCTTTTTAGATTATTTACTCAACAACACCATCTCTTCAAACACCACCATCTTTCTATTTCTACCATTTAGGAGTTTAGGTATATCCTGGAAAGAGCCTATAAAGTAGGTCAATATGTTCAACTGATGATTAATTGTTGAATGGAAAAGTATTGCTTTGACGTTACTGACTAGGATTATATTTGAAAATCTTAGAGCTATTATTTTCGATATTTTAGAAGGGCAAAAAATAACCTGTGTAGGCATTTTGGTTGGCATTGCTTTTGTATTCATTAAAGAGTACATTGTGGTGAATACCCCCCGAGATGCAAATGGACAGCTGATTGGAGTAGGTGATCAGAATGCAGATGTAATTCAGGACGATCCAATAGTTGCTGCACCACAGGATGAAGAATTACATCAAGCTCCTTTGGCTGACGACCAGCTTGCTCCTCTAGAACAGAATTTAAACCCTAAACCCGATATATCGGCTGCTCTTGCGGATCAACTCGACGAGACTCTGACTGCTGAACATCAGAATATGAATCTTACTCCTACGTCCGCATATGTTCATTCCGACCACAGTTCCATATCTCTAAATGATTCAACTGGAAGTAGTTTTTATAACACTTCCAACTACGTTCCTCATGCTTATTTGGATGCTACACCCCTGCATTTGAGTGATTCTGAAACTGATTTGGAAGAACACATGGCATCCGTCTTAAAAACTGCCGCGATAAATCTGCAAGAGCTAGTTCAATCCAACACCAGCGATAAAAAAGAAGACGCTGTTTCTGCTCCCGACAGTCTTTCTCAGAGCCACAATGACTCCGTGCAGCTATCGCCATCTACTTCAGCGGATAATGTTTCCTTAAAACCCCGTTCTCCTATATTTCTTCATCACGATTCGCCACGAACTACTTATAAAAAGAACTTATCAAGCATACCTCAAAGCCAACTTTCTGAATCAGAATCATCTTCTGTGAGTTCATTGGAAGAAATTCCGTCTCCATCTCAAACATCTTCTAGATATGAGCTGCGTCCTCGTCGTTTGGAATTGAAATCTGCATCGGGTACTTCTTCAGCTTCAAACTCTCAATCATGTCTTCATGCTGTAGAAAAACCCGATGGTCGCACACCTCTTTCTCATGATCCCGCTCTTCATCATTCTGGGATATCCAAACTTTCTCTCCGGCGAAAGTCGTCACAATACTCTTTTGATAGTAATAGCAGCTCACATTCAAGTTTAACTTCTTTATCTGGACTTGGTTCTAGTTCAAAATCGAATACACATATAGGTGCCATGCCGCTTCAACCAAGCTCAGCATCAACACTGGACGAGCTCAAGCGTAAGTATGCAGATCAAATTACTTCATTAGAGAATGAAGTAGAGCGTCGCCGACTCAAGGGAAAGTCAGCTGCGGTATATGACTCATTTTCAACTTTACCATTACATAGTTCCAGTACCATGGCATCGTCATCATCCATAAAACGGTCTCCATTTGAAAGTTTTGAGCATGCTCATTCCAACACAAATATAATAGGAGCTTCTGGTCAGTCAAATGTACAAACATCTGAGTTGCCTGGATATGTTGACGAGTCGGGAGCATTTACAAGAAAAACTACTGCACCAAAACCAGATTGGCACGATAGTTTAGCCAACTTGAGAAGGCGGATTCTTGAAAACCCTGATACGAATCAGTCAGTTGAACTCGCCGAATTTAATGAGACCACTCAATTTTCTCAAGGCATTGCACACGGTTTGTCTTCTTCCATGAATGCTTCAAATACTATTCGTCAGAAAAATTGCCCAGAGTTTAGCACCACTACCTTGCTTGATAAAACACAGTCATCTTCAGAAAGTATTTTGCAAAACGGTACATACAAGACACAGTCATCTTTGATGTGGGAACAATCAGCCAGCACACAGGATGCTGACTCGTATAATTTGATTTCACGAGTGAACGAGAAATTTGATAAACCTGACTCTGCTGGATTTGCTGCCAAGAATCGAATTCTATTTCAACGAACTGGTACAATGTCGTCTAAACTACCTCTTGTTCCATTTGAAAATGAAGCAGTGCTGCCTCGACCAGATGCACGACTGCACAATATGGCTATTGCTTCAGAAGATTTTCGTGTCGGGTCTGCATCTTTCCGTGAGCCACTACCTCAAAGTGCATCTAGCTCATCATATGACTACGGATTTGATGCGCAAGATAAGACATATGATCGTGGGCTTGATAATCTTTTGGAAACTCCAGCTAAAGATTCCGAGCAAGTTCCTCCTGCTGAACAGCAACCTGAGCAGCAGCCTGAGCCAGTTGATGTACCAGCTCAAGCTCCGGCTCCTGTTTTGCCTGCACCAGCTCGACAAGCAGGATTTATGGTTTTCTTTGGAAACAATCCTGAAGAAAATGTTAATTTTCCTGACGAAGGTGCCCTTAATGTCAATGTAGGAATTGACAATGGCAACATTGTTGCCGAAGTAAACGGTGACATTAATGCATTTTTAGAAATTATTGGCGCACGTGGATCTTTTTTAAATCTGGTTTACAATGTTGTTGCAGTGCATGCTCTAGTTTTTGTGTGTATTGCTGTTGGTATCTGGATCCCGTTTCTTACCGGAAAAGTAATGTTTCTTATTTTCCGCGACGTATATGGACCCATGGTTGAGCGATTGATTTCATTGGTGACATCGATGCTACAAGTAGTGACTGATCCTATTCTTGATCCAATTGTGGACAGCTTGTTTATTCTTGGATCATGGCTTTCATCCGACGCTGTCGAGTTTCTTAATACTATTTTAGCCGCTATGAATTTGCCAGGCTTACTCAGCACCGTGAATCATAGCATTTTCAATGCAACCTCTGCAGTTATTGCTAATGCTACGTCTACAGCCTTGAATTCCAGCACCGCTCATGCTGCTGCTTCGGCTATTTCAAGCCTTGCGATCAACGAAACTATAAAGGCCGTTGTAACACCTACAATTAACGGTATTGTAACTGATAATTTAACAGCAACTTTGGAAACTACAGCGCTGCTTATCTCTGATCAGATTTCAAATGGCACAAACACCACTGCTATTCAAGCTGTGTCCAAAACATTACTTCCCGACATGCTAGATGACACTGCCTTGATGACTCTCATTGGATACACTACTTATGTGATTCTTTTTTTGAGCTATGCAAATCACACAAATCTATTTCGCCATCCGTATGCTCAAACTGCCATCTTACTTTTTAAAGCCACCATTCGCCATTCTATCCTCAGCAAAAAATTCATGTTCTTCATTACTGCAGAGATTGTTGCTTTTCCCATCTTTTGTGGCATACTGATCGACTTTTGCACTCTTCCGTTTTTTTCACACACTGGACTGATTTTGGCTCGTCAGACATTCTTTATAGATCACCCCTGGACAGCGTTGTTTTTGCATTGGCTAATTGGTACCACTTTTATGTTTCAGGTTGCAATTTACATTACATTTGTGCGTGAAATAGTTCGCCCGGGAGTAATGTGGTTCATGCGAGATCCAAATGATCCCCGATTCAATCCCATGCAAGATATTTTGGAGCGACCATTCCTGACGCAAGCGCGCAAGCTTGGTGTTGGAGCTTTAATGTATGGAGGGTTGATTCTTGGTGTGGTTGGCGGGTCGGTTGGAATCATTGTCGTACTACAGTATCTGTTCGCGCCTGCTTTTGGCATTTTTAAAATCTTTCCTTTGCGTTGGGAATTTCAGTAAGCCTTTGCGGTTGTGTATGCAATTTGACTTTTAATGTGATGTTTAGTTTCTAACGATACATGCTTATATTTTTGAAATTTACAAAACTTAGCGATCATTACTCCGAGTTTCCCCTGGATCTTCTTTTGTTTTACTTTTTTGTTCCATTAATGGCTAAACTCATAGATCTCAAGAGTATAGTGCGATACTTGTTTGAAGAATGGCTGAGACGAGCTGCTGCCGCCCTTGATCTCACGCACTTTTTGTTTGGCGGAGAGCTCCCAGCGGAAGATGATGGCTCCGACGTAGATCAAAAGCAAGATATTCGGTACATGACTATTGATTCTCGTGGACGTCGTAGACGGCGCAAACGATCGGCTTACTTTAGACAGACTGGAGCTGTTAAGCAGAGAATTATGCTTGATAATGGAGAAGCAGGTTCTGAAAAAGATACTATGAATCAGGACGAATGGGTGGATGAAGTTGAAGATGTGGATTCAGATCAACATGAAACAAAATCACATACGTCTCGCGAGTCACGTCGCCATCATTTTACATTTCCTGAACATCGTGCTCGTGGTAAATACCCTGACGAGACGGTTCAGGATGAGTGGGAAGATGTTACAGATTCTGAAGCTGGCAGTGTGGATTTGAATGGCAATGCACTACAAGATCCGGTCATTTCAGATGAAGAGTTTGCACCTTTACAGCCGCGCCAGCACATGAAACCTACAAACTATATGCGTGTTCCTAATCACGACCATATCGAAGTTATTCCTGGCGACAAAGTAATGTTGTTTATGAGAAAAGATGAAGCTATTTTTGGACGAGCTACAGAGACGCCAGAAGAAGTAGCCTCGAATTGGACCAAAGTCTATGTCCCAAACAGAGTTTTTCTTCGAGTTTATATTTTGTTAGTTGGCCAATTAGTTACCATAGTACTATCACTGGTTACAGCATGGGCTATTCCACTTATTATTGGCCGTGCAGCATTTCAGTTTTTGAGTTCGCTTGTGATTGTGCGCGTTCCTATTCCCAGAGAATTCCAATACACTTTACCCATCTCGACCAACCGTATCGACCTTCCTATTCACGACCTACACTCGTATCTCGCTGGAGTTGCGATTATCAATTTAATTGCTCTTCCTACAATGTATCTCTATCGTATGATACGGGATACAAATCTATTTGAGGAATTTTCTTACACTAGACAACACCATACAGTTCCAACTCCCAATGATCCAAATCTTTTAGATTTAGATAATTTGGAAACAAGCACTCAATCCGCTACAACACGTATTACCAAAAACCCCAATTCAACAGCTGTGTCTCGGCTTACGATATTTTATCAATGTCTTGTACTTTTGTTAAAAAAGTACACACCTGAAATGCAAACAAGACATTTGCGTCTTGCGCATTTATTAGCCTGTTTAGGCATTGTTATGCCACTGCTTGTTGGACTGGTTATAGACATATATGTTATGATTCCATTCCGGGGCAACTCGAAAAGTATCAACGTCATTTTTTTCGTCCATGATTGGACTAGTGGCGTGATTGTGACTCGCATTATATACTACATTATTATGGCTGGACCTGATAACCGATTCAAGGCGTTGATTGCAGAGGTAAGATTTTTTAACAAAGGAGTTTGATACCATGTGTTGTTTGATACCAACAGTATTATTTGTGGAATATCTAGACTGTTGCAAACGGGTTTGAGCAGGATTTCACGCCAATTTTGCAAAGACTGATTTACCCAGTGATAGCTACTACATCCATTTTGCTTCCTTTACCATTCATCAGCACATGCGTGGCCCAGATACTTGGTAAATATTCTAGTTTTGTATGATGTAATTAAGCTTTATAATTTGATACTCATTGATTATATTAGGTCAAAAAATGTACTTCATTCGCGATACACTATTCAAATACGGCATAGGGTTGATATTTGCTATGGTGATGAGCTACGAATTGATACTGACAGTTCATGCTTGGTTTGCAAGATGGTCTGCTCAGATCCGTGATGAGCACTATCGTGTTGGCAGACGCCTTCACAATGCTGACGAAATACCAGCAAGTAATATGGGCGTAGTTCAAAATATACCGACAGAGCGACCCGCTGATGATATGCAAGAGATCTAGGCGAGCAATAACTAGTTAATAGCACAGATCATGGTGGTTAAAATACTGTTTGTTTTTACTAAAGTGATTCATCCACAGCCGTATTTACGTAAAATGAAATACTAAATAAAGTACCAAAATACATAATAAAAGCCAATCTCGTGGATGATGGATGCCAAATCTACTGGGCAGTGTGTCTTGTCAGCTCTTTAGCTTACCGTTTTGTGCTTTTGCATCAAAATTGAACAGCACTACAAGTAAATTTTGAATGATTGGCAAAAGACCAATCAATCTTGTCAAACAGTTTAGAAAACACAATATCCGTAAATTTGGCATCCATTATTTCACAAGATTGTAAATGAGATATCAATGGCATTAAAGCAGAGAATCATTCTTATTGCAATGCAATTACCAGCGGTTTAATTTATTCGTCTGAAGTGAAACAGCCAATAATATGGACCAAAGCAGTGATCTGATAAAGCGTGGATGATCGCCATCAAAGATTAGGTCAAAAAACTGGGAAACAAGTCTTGTTTATTTATTCTTTTTGGTAGTAGATTTTTTAGCAAGCAGCTTGGGAGGTTGAATAACAGTACCAAGCTTTGTTTGAACACGAGGTTTAACCAATTTACCGTGCACGGATTGGGTGTTCCATTCTCGTCCCAAAGGCATTTGAATCATGCGCTCATACTGCTCACTAGTATAGAATCCATGTGGCAACTCAGGTAGCACATATTTTGAAACCTAAACCAGTGCAAGTTAAAATTCAATCAATTATCTGAAAATACAAAAACGGATTTTAGCTGTTCAATCAAGTCATTCCTATTATTTACCTTTGACATCGCTTTTGTATTGATTATAACATGCGATAGGTCCGAGTCCGCGCGTCGTGGACCACTTTTAAGAGAAGTAGCAGCCGTTGGTGTATCTGTCTTCTTTGACCCTTTTTGTTCATCTCCTTTTTTGTGCTTGTTCTTTTTACTATTTCCCGAGTTCAGCAATCCAGGTCCAGACCAAGATCCCCATCCAGGAACTTCAACAGGTGCAACAGGTTCATCTTTCATTGTGATCCGCTTCTTTTCTTCTTGAAAATCAGTTAGTACATCATCATTTGCAAACGCCATCCGCATCAAATCAACTTGATTTAATGCAGTCGCATGCAATTTGTGCACCATGGCTGGCCGTGCATTCTCTGCTCGTGCTTCTACATCAGAATCAGTTTCAGAATCATCTACTACAGACGTAAACTTGGCCCCGTTTTGTTTAGATAAAGTGGATGATGCGTTTTTTTTGTTGGATGCAAAAGAGGATGGTTCATGTGTATTAGGAGTGGGTGTGGCAGGTTTTTCATCCTCGAGACCTTCCAGTTCTAATGAATCATCATCATTGTCATGCTCATTCAATACCTTGCGTGTTTCACGTACTTGCTGGGAGAGTTTGGCTTGAGCTTTGTTTGCCTTGTTAATCTTTCGATCGTGACTATGTGCACCAGATAAAGATTTTTGAACTGCTGTTTCAGATACTGATGTAAGCCAAGGATTTGCATCATCATCACTTTCATGATGTTGATTTTCTGAAGAAGTTTTGTCGAGTTTGTTTGGCTTGGTAGCAGATTTATTTGAAGGTGCCTCGTGAATAGATTTTGATTTGCTGCTTTCAATTGGATCTAATGGTTTAGTCACCTCCGTAGACAAACTGGGAAAAGCAGCAGGTTTGAGGGCAGTGATCTTGGTTTTGTTGGCGTCCCCAACAAATGTAGATTGCTTTTCATCCTCCAAATCAAACGATTCAACTTTGAAAAGGTGTTTCTGTGACTTTTCCAAAGGTATATTGTTAGACTTGACGTCAAGCCTATTGCTCTTGAATGTTGATGTTTTAAAATCAATGGTAACTGGACCTGAGGCTCGGACGCTATGCAAATTCATGTCGACATCCATTTTAAACTCCTCAGTATTATCATCATCAAAATCAAGGGTTTTAGCGCCAGACGAGCGAGACTGAGGTCCAAACACTTTGCGACCAGTATTTCCATCCGATTGACTTTTATCGACAGTGCTATTAGGTTTAACCACACCATCATTCTCGTCTTCTTCGCGTTCCAAATCCAATCGTGCTTGTTGAGCAAGCTCTCTTGCCTCTTTTTTCTGCTGAGCCAACCCACGCTGCATAAATTTCATTGAAAGCAGTCCTTTTCCAGAACTGTTGTCTTCGTCTCTAATTTCTGCATCAAGAGCATCCAGTTGACTGATTCCTTTACGTCGTGCTTCAGCAGCATCCTCAACAAACTCTTTACCATCCAGATCCAATGCAAGATCGGCGTATCCATCAGAATCGTCAGAATCAACACCACGAATGCGACGTTTCAGCTCATCATGTTTTTTTAGTTGGAGAGCCAAAGCCTGGCGAGATTCAGAATCTATATCGTTTTTCCCTAAAATCTGCTTGGCCCATTTGCCTACATTTCTGTGTTTTAGGGACATGCGTTCTTTGGCACGGTCAAGCTCCATTTGTTCAATTTTGTCTTGAGCAAATTCAGGATCAAGTTTTTTGAGTTCCTCGACCGAAAGATTGTCGGTTTTATCCTTTTTCTTGTGGATTTTGTGATAGGTTTTGCTTTTAATCTTGGCTATTCGCTTTTGCTTTTGCTCTTTGTAAAACATGAGCGATCGCATTTTTGCCAGTTCGTTTTGGCGCTCAATCAGCTAAATGGTAAAATTCAGTGCATTGGATTTGTGAAATCGGTAATAAGATGTCTAGTTAGATGCAAACAAATAAACATATGTGATAAACAAATTGATACCTCTTTTGACGATATTTTGTTGAGCTCTAGTTCTTCCATCTCTTTTTGTTTTTGCTCTACAAGACCACTCTCCCGTAGCATCTGCTCAATTTCCTTTTCAAGATCAGTCATTGGCGAAAACTTTCCAATTAGCGCACCGCTAGTGATATGATTTGTTTGAGAAAGGCCCATGGGAAAAGAAAGCGAATCTGCTTCACGGTTTTTCTTGACGACTGCGGACCATTTAGACACCTCTTTTTTGGCTTCGAGATATGCAGCTTGACGGTTTAAACGATCTTGTACAACATGTGGAAGAGGTGCAGCCACAGCTTGCTTCTTTCCCTCACGATCATGAATTTCGAGCTGCTTTTTCAAGTTATTGAAGTTGATATCATCGTCAATTACACCCACCAAATCATCAAGCTCGATTTTTTTGCGAGAATGCAATGTATTGGATTTAGACTTTGCTTCGAGTCCAAATTCTGATTCGCCAAATGCTTCTGTGAATTCAGGTAAGCGTTTTCTCTTTCGAGAAGCATCGCTTCGGTCGTTACTCATGTTCTGTATGAATGTGGATAGCTTGGAAAGATCTTCAGTATCTCCATCAGATTCGTTATTATCGCTATACATGATATCATGTAAATCAGTCGAATTTGCATTGTCATCATCTGAGCCTAGATAATCAGAGTTATTGGAGAGTAACATGGAGAAAGTGCTACTGGCTTTAGACTGATTGTTAATAGATTTGTGGTGATTGCTGGGCTCGCTTAAAGTAGATTTCAAAATGTCTGGTTTTGTCTGAGAGCCGCCATTTTGATTAAGCATATCGGAAATATCCATATAGTCACCATCGTCTGCCTGATCATCCTCACTGTCCTCACTATCTTCACTCTCGCTTTTTTCATTGGTTTCGTCCATGTTGATGCCATTGGAATTGTCTTGCTTTTTGGTCTTTTTTTCAGTCTAATCACCCATCAAGCACATACCACATGAATATATAGCCAATCGATAAAAACCATCATAATGAAGCATATTTAAACAAACTCACCTTTTTGGTCTTGTTTGATAAAAAAAAGATGCCATATTTTTCCTCGTCACTAGAATTGAATGCTTCGCTATCATCGAGCTCCTCGTCGTCTTCCTCGTCAATTTCATTTACAGTAAAGTCAATGGTACCAACGTCGTCCAGAGTGCGTCCGACTGCACCACCACCACCACCTCGTCGAGCAAGAATTTTTCGAGCATCCTCATCCGAATCAACCTCTTCATACATATCTTCTGCATCTCGAGAAGTTGATTTGAATGGTTTGCTATCTTTACGAGGATTTTTGATGTGACTGCTCTTGCGATTGCTACTCTTGTGTGCACTCTTTGTCTTGCCATATAGTCCAACCATTGTATCAATATACTATATATGTTGCTTGTAAATCTGTCGAGTATATAACGTTGACTAATTCTTGTATCGAAATGGGTTTAAATTGAAATAAAATCTCGCAAAAAAAAGTCGGTTGAAAAAATTCAAATATCCGACTTTTTACATATTTAGTTAATATGAACAAACTCAACTGCTGATGAGAATGTTTGTGCAAAACAATTGCCAAATATGTTAAAGAGAATAATAGTCGATATGAAGAGTACTCGCATAAAGTGCATGCAAGCCTTGAATCGCATAGTAAATCTTGAATGGCATTCAAAACACATGAGCAAGCATTGAATATTACAACGGATGATTCAATGATTGACTCTTTGGAATAGATAATGGCTGAATAGTCTTACACTTTCTTATTAGAAATCAACATTCTCAATTCTTCAATAAACAACGTTCATCATGATGTTCATTTATTTACGAGATTGTTCCGCTTTATAATCAAAATCTCTATATACGAGGTTTTATAAGCTATTCAGGATAAATGAACAATCCATTGCAATTCATCATTTGAATTTTAGTAAACTGTCTTGCTTGATTCAGACACCACAGTCAGGTTTTATCCTCCATAAAAACAAGCTTGCTTCTATCTATACTAGACTGAAGCGTATGGGAATGCTGCAGAATTTTATCTTGTCGAATGATGACATCTCCCATTCTGGACACTTCACCACGTAATAGACTGACTTCGTTTAACAAACGCCACAAGACAGTGAGATTCGCCATTGCTATACAAAGCATGAATACAAGTACAATCAGTAAATGGACTGATGAAACTTGGGTAAAGCCTTGCGTATTTTTGGGGTTTTGTTGCAAAGCAAGTGGTCGAGTGTCAACTGCGCCAGTGTTGGCATCATGTGTTGCATTCGTTGATACTGTTTGTCTGGCTGGTGACTGACAAGAAACACGATCATTTGAAACAGTACTGTCTTCAACCTGAATATCATTAGCAGTGCTGGCAGAATGGCGTGATTGAAGTTTAACCAAGTCTGGGTTTTTTGTAATATGAAGTCGAAGAGCTGTCAGTAATGATATCTGGTATGCTTTAAGACCTTCAGGAATAGCACGATCAATAGCCATTTTGATCCATGTTGATTTGGAATACTCAATATCACAAGATGCTCTCATGCGTGTAATGTTAGGAGAAACAAATGTTAGGCAAATACGGGTGATTGCCTCAAATGCCGTCCCAGACGGTACATCGGGTGTTGTGTTGACTGAACGAATGCATACCATTCTAAATAACAGCGTTCAAATATGATAAATTGAGTGTAGCCCTGTTAGCATAATGGGCCAGATAGTAAATAGCTACCATCAAAAAGGCTCAACTCACAAATCTGTCTTTTGAACAATCTGATCATGGATTCGACACCGAGTCTCTTTGGGTCCAAGAGGATTGGTCAGGGGAATAACATATTCAACCTTTTTATGCGATCCTAATGTAACACCGTCAAATCCTATTTCGTCCGTCTTTTCCTCGAAATCTTTGGGATCATCCAATACAACACTTTCTGCTACCCAGTCAACACCTTTCAAATCTAAACATTCCCACAAAATAATACATAAATCAACATTACTCATATTTGAAATCGCAACATTCTACACAAAAAATACCCACTGCGATGTTTGCACTCGGTAATCCAAAAATTATGCAAAAACCCTGTAGTGGCAGATTTGAATCCATATAGCAAAACCCACACCGTTTCCAACGGTAGTGGGACATTTGTATCTAATAGTGGCTTCATCTTGGCATGAATTGGATCGCAGCTACAATCAACAGGCTGCGTAGATTCAGGAACCGTACGAGTTTGATGCGTATCCTTTTCAAGCGGGGTTTCCAAAGATAAAGGTTTACTGTCCGATATCATCTTGGACTTTAACGAACTCATAGATGGATGCGGCGCTATTCGTTTTAAAGGTCTAGGTGTATCTGATTTAAACACTACGGGGTGTTTTTGGTGAACAATATGTGCTCTATGAGATACGGGCTGCAAACTGGTGTCGGAAATTAAATCAGAGGTGAACTGTTCTATACTTTCTGCCACTGATTGATTGTCTACAGAATTCGTATCAAATGTGACAAGTTCGGCCAAACCAATATTTTTGGAAAGCAGTAACGATGCCGACGACACATTCTTGTCTGAGCCATACAGTGGTGATATGGTAGGTGGAAGAGATTGTGAGTACGATCGTGGTCGCGACGGATATTGGAAGCCCGATGAAATTTGAGAAACAAATCGCAAATCTGATGTGGGAGAAATTGGCGACATCCAATCAAAATTGTCAAGCTGCAATGAAGATGGTGCTTTAAAATCTATGGGAGAAGTGGCTGTAATGGGTACATATCCCGCAGACACGGTGCGGGAGTGTCGAGAATGAATCGAACTCCCATCGTTTGAACGAGGTATTAGCTGTGGTAAATCAGACAATACCAAATCTTCAGTTTGAGCAAGAGAGTCATCGCTTGAACGCATTTCATTATTAGGCAACTTTGACCGTATAATGTTATTAGGATATCCCATCCAGATACGAGTGGCTAGCTCTAAAGTGGTATCTCTTGTTAAAAAGGTTGCAAAAAAGTGCTACTCGAGTGCAGATTTAAAATATAGAAAATATTGGTGATTGAGTACATGACCAGCTGTATATGTCAAGATCTAAACAATCAGTAAAATTATGAAATTCAACAATACTCACCTTTGTGGTTGTAGTGGAAACCTCGATTGCGCTTGGGATAATCCCAACCACATTCTTTTTTTCCATGGAAATAATGTCTGAATAAGGTATAATGTTCTACAATACCAAACAGTATGCATTAAAAGCGATTAGTAACATCATTGACAGTTTATTTGATGGTTTATTAGCAGCGTACGATATTAAACTACTACTTACAGAATAGGACCAAATAATTTTAGCATTAAATGCTAATCCTTTTGTGGTAATATACAATCTTCCGTGAAGCAGCAAGTCTTTTTGCCATGCACAAGAATAGTCTTCAATCAGAAGCTCGTCGCTTTCCATTTCAGGAAATATTTCATGCATATCTGCATTCCGTTTCATACTTGGCATATCCACAGTCACCGAGTCTGGAGAAATTAGAAACATGGTCGATTCAGTTTCTGGGATAGCAGGAGTGGTAGGTGTTGTCAAATATGAAGTGGGGTTATAGGCAAACCATGATTTATGCGAAGTATCTAATGATTCAGGTGATTCAGTGCTCGTCTTGGTTTTCGGATTAGGTAGTGATGATGACGATGATTGAAATGGACTAGCAGGCTTTTTAAACACAAAAGATCGATCTTTTGTCAAGCCGGCGTCTTTGAATTCAGATGATTCAGATTCACGAGACATGTATGGATATTTTGGCTCAATAGGTACTGATCCGAGACTCGAAGTTCCATGAAATGCATGAAGACTTTCTATTTCACTAATAAATGCACTGGGTGGTGGCATATCATCGATAAACTCGGATGGGCGATATTCATGGGCATAAGAAATACTACGAGGCTTGTAGGGCTGTTTAATACCTGGCGATTTTGAGCCATTAGAATATGCCATAGTGCCAATACTCGATGAGGTTGGTTTTTGACGTACCGGCATGGATTTTGATGATATTTCAGAGTGTGTGGAACTGGGTGTGCTGATGGATCTGAATGAATTTGCAGTGGGTTTTGACATTGTATTTGGAGTATCCTGTTGGTCACTATTTGGAGAATCTAGGATAAAAATAGGTGATGCTTGAGCTGATGTCAATAAATCTGTGGGTTGACCATTTTCAGATGAGTTGAAAAAAGGCTTGCTAACAACAGTATCCGACAAAGTAGATTGTTCTTTGGGACTTTTCAGTGATGTGTCGGGGGTAGCACTCTTTAAAGAGGTATTATCTGTACTCGTGGCAGTGTCCATGATCTTGGAGGTATCAGCATTATCAAAACGATCACTCACAGCCAAGCTGGTGTTGTTCAATGAAGTGTTTTCAATGAATGTCATTGTATCGGGCTGACTTTTCGGTGGTGCTGAATTGCTGCTGGTTCTTGAACGTGATAAAATTCCGGTTTTTAGCATCTGAATAGAGAATGAATCACAGTTTTCAATTAGCATGCCCTTCTATTTACCAAGTCAACAACTTGAATAAAATAGATCGTCACTTGAGTATATAATAGAATGTGTAGATCCAATGCAGTCCAATAACAATTAGATTAGAGTTTAAGCAAAATATGTAAAACATATTATTGAAGGATTGATAACAGATAATCCTATGCAATACAATAAAATAGGACTGTATGGCCACTAGTGCACTCTCCCTTGCTCCCTTTAGTCGGAGATTTACAATGAAAGTCCCTTGTTGCAGTTGTATTCACGTAAAATGAAACCCTCAATCAGGGTGTTGAAATGCATAAACTGTTTTATGAAATGATTGATACCAGTACATATCAAATTTACTGGTCAAGATTGTGTCTTCTAAACTCACTAACAAAGTCGAGTGGCTTCGTGACCATTCTTGCATAAAAAACTGAATAGCTTTAGCCAATTCCATAACTCTTTCATCCAATCCAAACATTGGATGATTAGCATGTATAGCAGCATCCCTACAATCCCTGTTTACATGGACTAGAGCGCGAGTGCATCAGTGATTTTAAGATATGAACAAGAGTTTGATAACATTCCAACCCAAAGTCTGAGTTTAGATTGAGATGAATGAATCTGGTGATCGTACAATGTATGAGCATGTCAAAAGAAGAGAAAGAGATGATTATAGTTTGTATTATATGATGAATGTCTATTGAAGAAGCAGTCAACTTGTAGTATGAAAACGCAATGAATATTTAGCCATTGTATACTCCAAAACAGTCATTGCAAGATAGTATTGCATTAATGACTGTAGCTCGCAACAGGGTCGATAGCAGTATAATAATCCAGTGTAAGTTGAGAGGAGTGACAATAGAAAAAGCACTCACCGGAGCATCATTATTCAATGGTTCCTGATCAATGTGTGTGTCAACAGAGAGTGACAGTTCCTTCTCAGATTGAGTGGTCAAATCCATTGAACGATGTCAAGTGTTGGTTAAAGATTTGATTCTCAAACCAACAAAAACAGAATTGGTTGACTGAACAGATAGAAAGTTGACAATTCAGATTTAGTCTGAAGAATTGTAAGATTGAATCACTCCAGAATCAAACTCTTGCGTTGATAGTCTTGTATTACAATCGTATTTACGTAAAATAAGAATGTCAAAACATAAACCAGCTTATAAAAATATTAATAAATTGATTGTTTTTTGAATTCTAAAGTGACAGATTCATTCAATACAATTCAATACAATCTGTCATTTATTCAATATTGGATTTTCAATACGAATACGAATTATTATTTCAAAAATAAATCGCAAATATTTTACATAAATCTGCCAACTAGTTGATGTCTGTAAACCAAACCAACACCAGCAATCTGCTCAGGGCAATCAACGATCCTCATGCAGTGATTGAGGAATTGCTGTTATCATCAAAATCTCATTCTACACCTGGTAATCTGGTTTCTGTAGAATGTCTTGATCATGTCTAGATTACTAATACTGCATTCATACTCTATTGTCAATGGTTTGAAACAGACTCTGCAACTGAATCTACATCACATAGTGATCATGATCTAGTGCGCTCACACTTTGCTGCTCTGATTCAGTCTTCGACTTTCTTGAGCATGGCATGTCATTCACATCACAATCATAAATGATCGCACTGTACAACGTTGATATTCATCTTACTAATTCTATTTTTGGTTTGTAGATCCCATATCTGACATTGGACAATCAAGGATCTCTTCCAAATCACAGTCTAGTTCGACTCCGCTGCTTTATTCAAGACAATAGTGCATCGTTTGAAACTTATCCTAGCAAATGCTCCGTTTTCCATGCTACTACTGGTGAAGAGGTATGTTATCTACTGTTGATAAACTGGAATCTGTTTGCTTTTAAAAGGTCGTTTAACTCTGCAGATTTGTAGAAAATCATGAATCTGATTTATAGAGATACAGTCGAGGTGAGTTGTTGAACTATTTCTATTTTGGAATCGGCATGTACGATATCAGCATCTAATTTCCAACTTTTTTTCTGTAATAAACTCGAAAGCTTCCATGGGAGTTTCCAATCAACAACTTGAGTGCCATTCGCTCCTTTTCTGAAAAACAGCCTTACTTTTGCTTTGCAGTTCCAGCAGAGGCCGAATGGGTGAAATCTCACATCACTCCTTCTACTCATGAAACTGACTTGACACAATCGCTCGCACGTGTTGAAATTACGAGCCAAGATTCTATTGCTGCGTCGTCCAATCCATCGGATCTTGATAAAATGTACCACTTGGCCGTATGTAAGGACGGTGCACAGGCTTTTCAATCGTTGATGAAAATGAAAATGGGCCATGCTGATCCCACTCATGCCACGATTGTCAAGGTAGAATATAAGGCCATTCTTGCGTTATAATGCTACAATGTATACTTAAGATTACTGACATCAACGTTGTTGAATAGACATATGGCAATGAAGAATTTCAATTGAATGAAATTATCGAGGTTATTGGAATTCTAGATAATGCAAAATTGGATGCTATTGAAGACAAGGACATGTAAGACTGCATTGATTCAAACCAAATGTGTTGTCAAATATTAACACTGCTACAACTTTTACAGGTTAAATGAAATATCCTTGTCCAGCATGCTGCCTTGTGTTCACGTAATTTTGTCAGAAAAACTTGAAGGAAAACTAGTCAATCCATTGACTCGTATAATCTCAAATCCTCTGCCTAAATGTAAATTCTACTCTATTTAATTTCAGATGGTGTTGATTAGTTTAAATTGCAATATATCAGCTCAAATTTTGACCTTGTATTATTATAAATCTTGCTATAGTTTCTGAAGTGGCCCAAGCTCTTCGACAAACTGCTATTGATAGCCTGCAAGGTTGTTTGATGGGCGATGCACTTGCGGCTGAATATATATTTTTACAAATGTTTTCTCGCATGTAAGCTGGTTTAATTATTGATATGATGTTTTGGTTTGCGTGTCTAAATATTCAAGTTCACATATCACTATATATGCCATCATTTTTGAACCAGTACAAGTCGAGCTGGAGGAACTTTTCCTGTGGGATATCTCCCCATCAATCTATGTAATGCACCGCCAGCAGCCAGTTGCTTTGCTACGTCACTAGCATCTGCACTCCATCTATTTGTTCCACATGTCCACTATCTTTCCATGAAGCTTGAGAATCTCAACACAGGGCTTTGGATTGATGCAGATCAAGCTCGATATAATGATCAAGTTGATTTGGGTTGCGCAACGGCCGATCTTGGACTGTGTGCTGGTGCTCTGCAGCTTCCTAATAGCACACTACTTGTCGTGGATGAATCAAGTCTTACTGATGGAACGCTTGTTGATCGCGGAGTGAAAAACATTAAAGCCATTGGAAACGTTATCCAAAATGCAGAAGTGTCATTTGGAGTTGGATTAGGAGGATCCATTCAACGTCCAGTCGACTATCGCGTTTTGGTTATCAGTGAGGGAAAGTCTATGTTCAAGGTAAACCTGCTATTTCTTTGTACACTGACTATAATTTTATCAGATACTTTAGACTTACTAGAAGCTATTTGTATTGAATGTGTGATCGTTCGATTTAGGAACTTTGTACTATCCCCATTCAGACTGATCCCAATGGCTCATACTATACACCTGCACTTACACAGGATCAACTACACCTTTTGCGAATATGGATTGAAGAAACTAAACACGGAGAGCCAGACTTTGAGCCTAGCATGGACGAGGTTGGTATTGTTTTGATAAAACTTGATATAATATTTAAAATCTATTTTTAAAATAGACTTGGGATCATGAACTGAGTTGGATTTATGCAACTAAACCTTGTTTATTTCATTGATCCAAAAACAGAGAATCCAAAAAGAGTTTACTGAATCGCAACAAACTGCGAGAATAAATAACTTGCCTGTGGATGATGGCAGTATGCTTCTTCAGAGACTCAATCTTGCGCAGCTATTGTGCAGATCGTATGGATTGGGTCAAATGAATGATGAATGCTGGAAACAGGCAGGTAAACTTGAAACTGCGCGTTTGGCTCGATGTGCATCGTTTACAACCAGAAAAACATCAACTGCTAAATGACCGATTTATTATGCCCAGGACTCGAAATCAAGTCCATTAAACACTGTTTAAGCCTTTAAATTTTACTTGAAATGGTTCCTATTAAATGAAATAAAATGCAATGTATCTCATTCGCAGCTCAAGATAAATGAAATGAAAGGAAATATTTATATTTCAACTCAATTCTGGAATGTTCAATAGATATCTTGTGGCATCAAGTAGCCTTTCGGAAACAAGAGTTTTTGGTATGTAAAATTGCACAATTGTTTTAGATGAATGTGCAGACTATATATAGATAAAATGTTGAAAAGTGTCAATAAGTTAGACTATGATCATGGTACAGGAAACACGATGAATAGATGCTTCTGCTACTCAAATCCACCGATATTTCTAAAAAACATCGCCAACCTCAGTCACAACAAAAGTACAGTTGAACAAGTTTTATACAAACACCTCCCCAAGTACATGACATACACTGATGAGGGTTATTGATAATATCATTTTATTCTCCATAATCATCCTTTTTGTTACTAGCCATCAACTAAGCATTGTGCCATGGCCACATTTGCCAATATCATCAAACATCAATCTTTATCAGCGATTTCGTTTGGAGGTTGAAAATCTTTGTTTTCGTCAGCATATGTCACAGGATGACAACCTTGATCATCAACAGAATCATAAGAGCCATTGTTTGTCATGTTTGCCGACGCACCAAATTCAAATCCAACCTTATTTAAGGTTGGGATACAACTCGAATTCGACTTTTCTTCCAATTGAAATTGCTGCTGCTGTACAAACTGTGGGGTGATATTATCAATGCAAAACATGCCACTTTCAGTACTCTCATCGTGTTGATGATTACCTTCAGAAGGACTTAATAGATATTCGGATGACCGTGAAGAAGTAATAGGATAGGAGCCAGGAAGCTCCATCAACTCATCGTGATGATGATCATCCTCTTCCATATGATTGGGCTCATTCTCAGTAAATGAAGAATGAGAATCTTCCTGCTCGGTTTTTTTTGTAAAAGATAAAGGATCTGGTGCTTCAGCATTCAGATTAAAGGTTTTATGCCCTTTGTGTGCAAGTACTTTTGGCGCTCCATCAGCCATGTATCCATGCAGATGCTTCAAACTCCCTGTAGATGATCTGGCCATTGCAGCTTGGTATGAAGTATTGTGCGTGGATTGAATGGGACCATACGGATCGGATTTCAATTGCTCTTGCTGTCGTCTTTTTCCTTCGTGCTCATGTTGCTCTTGCTGCTGAAGCAGCTTATTTGCATTATAAATACAAGAAAGCAAGTCTTTTTGTTTTCGTGCTCGTCTCGTGTAAAACAAAAGATACGCTGCTTCTGTGACAATACGATCCGAATTGAGGAGAGAAACTGAACTATCGTCACAATCATACCACTTACCATTTAGTGGGTTTTTGACAAAAGCAGTATAATGGCCACCACCAAGCCCACCAAAATGATTCGACACTGCATACAGGTCATACAAATGAGCATCTGTGTCAAGTAGAGACTCGCAAGCCAAAACCTGTGACATGTCCAATCCTTCCAATGGTGCGTCCACCATGCAATCCAACTTAGTGCGACGTGCTCCACCCCGTCCAGTATTTGCAAAACGTTTCAAATGAATAACAAGGATATCTGGTGAAGAGTAAATGTCCAACTTTTTGCGAATAGGTCGATGCTCCATACATTTGCTGCAATACATGGTATCATCACCATCCAGAATTTCTTCGCGACTAAATTCTTTCAAGCAGCTATATAGATCAGATTTAATATTATTTTCGAGCTTTTTATCACTATGGGCTGAATATTCATCCACAAGTGGTGCAAAGGCGCTGGTCGAGTATTTGGGTGTGTTCATATACTGATGTTTAAATGAATCGGTCAAGCCTTGCTCCTCAAATAAATATGTAGCGTTGATATTTGTAAACTCGAGATGAATTTCTGTTTTGGAAGAAAACTCGAATTGTTGAATCAAATGACATGCACTAGCACTTTCAGTTGGATCTGATTGAGAATGTTGAGTAGATTCAATGTACGTTGGTAATTGAGGTGTAATCGATACATCATCAAGAGCGTCGTGCATCGATTCAAGTTTATCAAAAGTCGGATCTGCGTCACTTTTCTGCGGTACTGAATCATTCAACAGCAATGATTCAGAGAAAAGGGAAGATATACCTGAAGAAGCTACACTCGACATACTTTCATTAACCGAGGACGCATTATGAGTCTGTGTTTCTGCAGAATCCACACCAGCCGCATCAATCGAAACAGTGCTCATGTCAACATCAAGACTTGTTGGAACCGGAGTTGTGGCAGCCTTATTGTGCTTTGTATCTTGGATCAAATCTGCATCTTGCATTGGATATACCAAAACGGGCTTAAAAGAAGAGTTGTTTCCAAAAGAGTATAAGCTGCCATAGGAATTTCGAGATTCATCCTGAGAAATCCATATTTTGAACAGATTTGGAATTGGTTCCCATTCATAGCCAAGGTCATGTATGGACATATTAGAAGCATCGTGATTGAACTGGCCACTAAAATCAGCCGCAGTCAAGCCATCTGAACCAATAGAAAATGAGGCTCTATCCTTTATTTCTGGCGTGGACTCGGCTTCAAGACTTGCTAAAGTTTCAGTAAGTTCTGCGTCCATTTCCAAATGGTCATTAACATTCAGCGTATCTGCAGAGTAGTCATGCAAATGCTTCATTTCAGTTTGAGAAGCAAATGACTGATTGGATGAAGAAACATGTGTCTCGTTGGTGGTGTTCATGCTAGAAGATACCGAAGCTTGAGCAGGCGCCGACAAAGTATTTACTGAGGTAACACGGCGAAAAAGTGGATGTTTGGAATATCGACCAAGTGAAGCAGTTGCATGACGATAGAGAATGCGTCCAATTTCTTTCTGAACCAGTTTGGCATCTATGGGTTTGTCAAAAACAATCTTGCTTGGTAGGGCAATGGCAAAAGGATTTCCAAAGTTTTTGTTTGATGGATAGCTACAAGATTTAGTGCCCAAATCTGTAGACTGAGAAGAGGCCGTGTGTAAAAGTGTCTTTGCTTGGATTATGGGACCTTTAGTTTCCAACTCGCTTGTGTAACAAAAATCAGAGACTGGGGTCGAGAGTTCAAAGAGCCAGATTGCATCATTTGAGCCAAAATCTTGTACAGAAGCATCGTCTAAAAATACTTTGTAAAACTTGCATTGGAATATGTCGGCAACCATTGAAAAGGCCGGATCGGTTTGAGCCAACTGGGACCATCCCAATTGTTTAGCCGTGTGGAGTTTTAAATCTTTAACTGTACTATTTTTGGGGACTGTTACAGTAATAGTTTTAGGGCGTTGTGACTGTGTGTGTGGACCAGGAAAAATGTACGAAAGTGCAATGATTTCCAAGAGTACGACTTTGGGTTCAGGAATAGGCACCTGCAGATACATGTATGGATCAAACTTGACTGATACATTAGAACAAATTTGGCAAATGGTTCGATTTTTGAGTTGAGCCTGGAACAGATCTACAATAATAGAATCATTTCGCTTGCAATAGGCATTCCAAGATACTTTGGCAAATTCGTCCTCGGACATATCTTTCATTTCAGGATCCTCGACGTACTCTTTGTTGATAATGCGATTCAAATCCTCATGCAGTCCATCTAGCAAAGACTGAAGCAACTCATGGGAATCTTGCTGTCCGTAGCCTTGAAAAGTAGGATTGAGTTCACCAATGGTATGCTTGAATTCGCGAGGTGAAAAGCTCCGAGGTCGCTCTTGGTCATCACGCCAAAGTTGATGAATTAAGTTTGCGTATACCTTTGGGATGCGACCGTTCATTCCAAGAGGGTTGTTGCTATTAACTTCATTTTTCCAAGATCCAAAAAGAAAGTAGTGAGTGAGTGGAACAGTGTTGCTCAGACACTGTAAAGCAGAATTCATGAAGCACGTATTTCCTAAATTCTGCAAGCCTGTAGTTCCAAACGGTTGATCGATGAGATGATTTCTAGAGTAACTATTATTGATGTGGCTATTTACAAGCGTGGTACTGGTGTTTTCATCACTTTTTGGTGTGATTGTAGTGCGATGTACCTCGAATGGCACAGTAGATAATATAGAAGACGGTACAGCCAATGAAGTTGCATCAGAGCTCACATGCTGTTCAGTATATAGACTTTCAGCATGAACAAGAGTAGAATCATTCAGCATGGTTGATATTGGATTTGAATCGATAGAAACAGTGGTTTCAGGCATGGATGCGATTTGGCAAGATTCCAAGCCATGGTCAGTATAAGCAGATGAATTCTGAGCAGTAGAACTGCTGTTTATGACAGAAATATCTTTGTGAAAAGGAGGATCGTCAGAGGTTGTGCTGATAGCATCTGAGACTACGATTCCTGAAGTCCGATTGGATAGCTTATCAAAAGAAAGAGCGTTGGGCAAGGACATGCTATCGACAGAAGCAATAGAAGGAGCTAATACAGAGGTTCTAACCAAAGGACTCTGCAGTTTTGTATGAGGAGAAACAGCAACAATGGCACACCGCTTATGGTTGGTGTTGATGGGAATAGCTGCGTTACAATTGTCCAGATGATTTGTAGTAGGTATCATCTACCACAACAACAATCAATCAGGCAATCTGCAAGCACTCGAAACCTGCAAAGTTGTCTTTAAGTAACGTGACCAGTAACGTGACTAGTGTCGTGACTTGTGCTGTCAAAGCCTCGCTCTCGCTACGCTTGGCTTCATCTTCCAAATGTATCGTGAGCTCAGTCCTTCAAGACGGGGCAATAACACTGCTGGTGCAGGCTCTTCGTTTGCTTCGGAATCATCCACTACGGGAATGGTCGAGATATCTTTAGGAAGCTCAACCGACTCTTTGCCACTACATCTACCCGCAACCATCCACGAAGATTCTGACGTGCTTCATGTCAACAGTCATTCTACCATCAATGCTCGTAGTCCTACTCCTCGTTTATTGTCCTTGCCAATTAAAGATACTTTAAACAGTAGAATTCATCCACAGCCTATTGCCAGTGACAGTGACTTGGATGACGGCGATATTTCTTCATTCACGCCCTCGCAGCAGAAACAGACTCTAGACACACATGGCTTACCATTGCAGCGCATAAATAAGCTGCAGATCCATTCACAACAACCACTCTCAAATTCTCACTCTGGAACAAGGCCTGTTCATATTGATCCTGTTTTGATTCCGTTCATTGTGCAATTTATGGATTCTCACCAACTCTACGCATGTCTTCCCCTGTCATGGTTGTGGTTCAAGGCTGCTGTCGCTCAGCTGTATTCACGACTGACTTTCTCTCAACTCTCTGGGAAAAAACTGGCATTGGCACTTCAGACCCTTCAAAACTCTGTGATTCGCATGGCTACTGCTTCAGGATCGCTTAGTCCCACCCATCTCAACACCTCCTTTATCCCTTCCGTTGTTACAAACCGACTCAGTAATGGCTCATCCGCCACGGCATACTCTCAAAAAAGCTCTCCTTTGCCTCTCATGGAATACCATATGTTTGTAAAAGATATTGATATTTCTCAGATCGTGTTTGAAAATCCGGCTCACACTCCACTGCAGTCTTGGTATCAAGTACGCGACCTTCTTGGCCTCTGTGCCTCAACTCTTCATTCTCTCTCTCTTGCAATTGGAGATGACAGTTTTATGGATCTTCCACAAGACTACATTTATCTTCATGCTCAAATTGCATTTCCTCAACTCTCTCATCTCACTGTCGCGTCCAAATGCCAAAAATTACCTGAAAAACTTATTCTAGAACTACTCCGTGCCTCTCCCATTCATGGTTTATCAACAATCGATCTACCACGATGTTTGCCAAATATGGGTGCCGCCAGCTGGTTTCTTCTTTCTGAACGTGGAGGACGAGCTTTGTCTCGACTTGTTCTTACCCCAGCATTAGGTCCCAATATGCTTGGCTGGGACGAACATTTATTTTCAACGGGACTGGAACAGATTGCTCAAGCATGTCCTTCACTCAGGGTTCTTGATCTCTCTGGTCATTCTCAGGGCATATCAGACCAAGCACTTCTTCTTCTTCTTGCTCACACCCGAGATTTACGCGAAATTCATCTCCCTTGTGGATTAACCGATGCTCATTTGGTTGCATTGCTGACCAACGAACCATGGCATCATTTGGATGTGTTGGGTATCACTTGTCATTGTGTTGATGGCGAAGCTAGAGAAAAACGACCACCCTCCAAAGGTGGCATGTCTTGCAACAAATTCACAGATAGTGTCATGTTGGCTTTACTAGATCATCTCTCGGCAAGTATGTCAGCTGAAAGTACTGATCTTATGACTGTATATCTACCTGTTTATGCTCTGGGTGTAAAAACAAGTCGGAGAATCACTACAATTGAATGGCTAGCTGGTCTAAGTGAATCAACCCGAAAAGGTATTGAAGAGGTGGTATACAAGGGCAAGATTAGAGTGCTAACACCGACTAATCGTCTTGGAATGATGTTACATTAATTTATTTTGCGTTGGGTTCGAGTAATGGTTTAGTCAGTCTATAGACTGTTTGATACTTGGATTGTAGCAAGGCCGAGTTATCCTGTCTGTATTTTGCTATTTAATAGATTATCGAACAACCCGAAATATATAAATAATCATGGCCTTTATTTTAAACTCTTTGTATCCAGATATACAGTGTAAAGTGATAAACTATCAAAACATACAACGTAGACTGGCCATTGATCGCACAATGATATAAAATTTTAAAGCAGGAATGCCATTTGGCATTTAGATATTCATTCATTCTTTTTGAGCACTTGCATCAAAAATATCCAGCTCTTTTCTCAGCCACGCTGCAACATCTGCCTTGACCATTCCCTGCCACTTGACCAGTTGTCTAGACGTTTCTAGTCCCTTGAAGACTGCAACCATGATATTGTCCGGAACAATCAAATCAGGATCCTTTCTGTCAACAAACAGTCGCTGGGCTTCAGAGACCAAGTATGAGTTGGTAAATTTACCAATGATGTCCTGGATGATAGCACCTAAGCCTGTCATATTGTAGTCCTTCCATTTAGCAATCGCCGCCCAGTTGTCCATGAGAAAGATCCAAGCTGTCAAATGCCCAACAGGTGTGCTTGAGGCCACGTTCTCGACCAATGAGGTAATGTCTTGCTTGCGGATCTTGTCTGTAAGCGTAAGATCCAAGGTACGCATTTGAAGATACGACACGGGAGAAGATGCCAAAGCAAACAAGTACCGCGACTTTTCAGGTGCAAATGTAGAGTTCAAATGCTGCTGCAGTACCCATTCATAATTCGCTTCGTCGCCATACATCACACCAGCAACAAGAATGGCTGTCAGCGCGTCGGCAGTCACATCCACCTTGTCCTTTTTGCCCTCCATAAGAAGCTTGAAGTAGTCCAAAGCAGTCGCAATGGTCTTTTTATGGCCAGATCGAACAGCCTCTTGAAGAAGTAATCCACGCAGCAGGGCACGCATGTGATGTTGAGAGGTGTCTTTGGACGTCTCAACCCATCCGATGCTTTTCACCATTTTATGAATCACATTCTGTTCAAACTGCTGGATAAGACCATAGGACGGGTGATGAGCAAACGCCTTTTTCAGTGTACGGAATTCTCTGATTGCAGTTCCCCAGACAATCGTGCTTTCCTCATGTTCCATAAGTTTCATAAACTCGAGAGCAATAGTAACGTCGGAAAGCTGGCCAGAGTAGGTGAAAGAAAAGACATCGCTGAGAAGACCAGCACGCTCAACAGCGGAGAAGACGTTGATATCAGCACGAAGCCATTCAAGAAGATAATGAAGAGTGCGTTCGTCATACTGCACACGATACACTCCCGATTTACCATAGTTGGCCAAGACAATAGTGTCCTTTGGAATCTGAGTAGCCAAATCCACCTGAATGGGTCCGTGGGTAAAGAATTCAAAGACAGTTGGGTCAGAAACTCGCTTTACCTTTCCAGTATGGTTGGAGAACAAAGCAAAAGTCAGTGGGATAGCCCATGTCTGAGTGCTAGGATCCTTTGGAACATTCAGCACAGGTGGAATAAGCTTTTCGGGAACAGTGGAAAGTGGATCAACGAGCCCGGAGAATATGTAGCGTTTCTGAGTCACCTGGAACGATGATTTCTTTGTAGAGTCATCGGTAGAAGGAAACGACACGGTCACTAAAGGAAACCCAGGCTGATCAGTCCAGGTGGACATGAATGCAGCAATGTCGGGAGATCCTGGGTTCTGGAGTGCCTGCCATAGCTGAGAGGTATCGGCATTACCATAGGAGTGGCTGTTGAGGTAGCTTGTCAGGTGAGTAAAAAAGTAGTTTTGACCAAACTTGGTCTCGAGATAACCTTCAAGCATGCGCAACACAGCAGAACCTTTGCCATATGAAATATCGTCGAAAATCTCTTGAATTTCCTCGGGGTTTTTAACAGGAATAGCGATGGGATGGGTGAAAATAGACTCGTCGGCATTTTCTGCACGCATAAGCTCACCGGGTAGAAACTGTTCCAGCATTTTCCACTCAGGTTCAGCAGCGTGAGTGCCCTTGTAGGTCATGAATTCTGCAAAGCCCTCGTTGAGCCACAGGTCGCTCCACCACTTCATTGTAACAAGATTTCCAAACCACTGGTGAGCAAGCTCGTGGGCAATGGTGGATGCAACGCCTTGTTTGTTGCCTTGGGACGACACTTTAGGATCGTAGAGCAGAGCGGTATCACGGAAAGTAATAAGACCCCAGTTCTCCATGGCACCGGCCTGGAAATCGGGAATGGCAATAAGATCGCACTTGGGAAGAGGAAAGGGAATGGCATATGTAGCTTGAAAGTACTCCATGACCTTGACGGCAACCTCGAGTGCATATTTGCCAAGATCGGTACTTTGTCGCTGAGTAAAGACACGAACAATGACACCGTTTTTGGTTTTTGCCTCGATGGATTCAAAGTTGGACACAATGTAAGCAATCAGATATGAAGACATACGAAGAGTAGGAGCAAAGTTGTACTTGACAAGACCACTGGGTAGGGTCTTGACAGATGTGGCAGGCATATTGCTAATAGCATGGTATTCAGACTCGGTGGTGATGCTGATCACAAAAATAGCCTTGAACTCAGGCTCGTCAAAACAAGGAAATGCTTTGCGAGCATGAACGGGCTCCATCTGAGTAGTAGCCAAATATTCTTTTTTTCCCGTGTGTTTGTTAGTATAGGATGACCGATAGAAACCCTCGAGTGTGTCTTGAAGTTTTCCAGCAAAATCAACTTTTAAATTGTAGTACCCAGGCTCAATGGTTTGCTTAAAGTAGATCTCCAAGTATTGAAACTGAGTGATATTGGCAATATGATCCACTTCGTACTTGGTATCAGTTGAAAGAGTCTTTGGATCAAAAGGTTTGGTCAGATCGGGGGCAGCAGTCAAGGCATCGAGAGTAATGGCACCAATGCTCAACTCCAGCTGGTGGATAGCAATAAACTGAGTTGGTGTATCAACATGGATATCGATGGCAACAGATCCGGAGAATGTGGCAGTAGACAGCTTGGTCACAATGTCGAGATTGTAGCGAGAGGGAGCAATGCCAGCAGGTAAACGAACGCTTTCCACCTTGGAAATCTCCTTGTAGATTTCATTGGCACCCGCATCGGTGGAATGGAGCGCAGGCTGCCAGATTAATGACACTGCGAGGATAGCAGTTAGCACCAATGCCAAAGCACCCATAATAGGGAACACTCTACTACTACAAGATTTGCGAGTTTTGTAGGCATGGACGACCTTGAATGCATCTTCGTTTGCCTGCTGGAATGAATGTTGGATCAAAAAGATCGTCGGAGCAGTTTCTTGTTAGACACGCAACAAAAAGCAATAAACGAGTGGATCATGCAGACTGAATGACAGTTACATAACCCACTACCATAATACTGTCAAAAGAGAACACATGCTTACCAAAAGAGGCTCCAGCTGCACGGATGGGAGCGACGACATGGATGGATGGAAAGAATGCAGTAAAAACGAACAGAAATTTAGCAAAGATTGAGTAGCAAAGAAAGCGGATGCAGTTGGGTAATAGTAAGAACTCTAATATACTTTCAATCCAACAAAAACGATGAAAACAATAAAGTAGACAAGAGCAGTATAAAATCAAGTCGACCATGTTTAAAACCACAGGCGGCACTTTAAAACGGGCCACTTGTAGATGAAATGAACTGCCAAGGTTACTGCTGGGCTACTTTGCATTTCAAAATACACCAATTCACAAGCACATCACTTTACTCGACTCACCTCAGATTTGCGCTCCATGTTCGAAGAGTACTGCTGCATTGTCAATTCAGCCAAGATACTTATCAAACCGTACAACTATGGATAGAAACTTGAAAAAAAAACAACTTGCAGTAATTCCATTTTATTAGCTGCTGGGTCATTCGACTATTTCTTGATTGCTTTTGATAAGCAGATTTACATTTACCCGTCCGGGTACTACACGACTAAACTAGCTACTGCACTTGTAAAACAATCTTGATGGTTCTCTTGGCTGGATCCACACCAATGTAGGATTGGTTGAAAAGGTCATGATGGTTGATTCGAATAAGCACATATTAGATCACTTGTTGGAAGCCACCCAGTTTTAGACTTGAAACAATTGAACCCAGCTCTTGGTCTGAAATTTTACAGTTGGTGATAAAGGGTATTCGATGTAATAGTAAGCAATACATTGCGTGCATTACTAAGCCCAGCACATTCTATGCCAATCTTCTACATACAATGGATCGCACCATTACCGACCCCATACTATCAATAGCTACAATTTTATTCTCTAATGCATAGGATATTCTTACTTTTGATTTGACTGTAACCTAATGTGTTCCCTATTGATCTCTTGTGTTATTTTACAAAGCTCGTGTCGTTTCATTCATGGATCATCTGGAATTGATTCGGTCTTGCTCAAATCATCCAGGGATAGTACTTGAATTTGAAACTGGGTAGAATTGTGAATTTTGAACATGAGTTGTCTAGCCTTGTCAAAGACGAACGACTGTGATTGTATTGATAGATGCTGCAACAAAAACACTCGAGATATTGACAGATAAATACTTTATTCGAATTTATTAAACCATCTGGAATCTATTACATATGAATGGGTATTTCAAACAACCGCTACTCGCATATTGGTCATCGACTTTTCGTGTTCTTGTAATTCAGCCTGTATAACCACCAACTGCTTTTCAAACCGATCAACATCTCCATTAACACGGGACAACTCCAGTTCAAGTCGGCACAGATCATTCACATGCTTTATCTCTTCAGTTCTCAGGCGTTTCAGCTCTTGGATAAACGGATCAGACTAAAATCAAACAGGTAATGAGAAACACAGATTATGCATGCTCTAGTAAATATATGGCAGTATCCACTTACATCGTCAATAGGCGGACGCTTTTGTGGATTGTCAATTGAAGTGGCTGGGGATTGTGACACGGCAAGGCCGAATCGACCAGATAGAGGAGTAGTGGGAATATCAAAACTTGACTTTATATTTCCATGTCGTGCACCAACACCGCCATTGCTGCTTCCGCGATTCACATTAACTCCTATTGGCGAGTCCTTTCCTTGCCTTTCTTCCATGTATACTGCACTCATCCCTCTGACTATGGGAGCGGCACCTGGAAGATGGTCCCCGTGTGAGTTTAAATTAGATGGTGACGATATATATTCTGGAGGGACTGGCTGCTGATGGGAAGGTGTGGATGGAGGATGATGCGCATTCAGAGTGTATGGGGATTGCTGCAGCCTATGTGAGAGCGACAAAGATGAAGGACGAGGAGTAGGAGCGGACGAACCATGTGAGTTGTAGTGCAAATCTGGTTGAGATTCTCTTGATGTGTATAGTTCTCGCTCATTTCGGCGCGGATAAGTCCGTATGCTTTCTCTCATACTTCCACGTGGACCATGGCTGTCATGCATATCCCATGAATCCATAGGAGCATCTCGACGGCGATAGTCTCGATATTCTCTGTGATATTCAGGATGATCACCACGAGATAAATGGGGTTGATCACGATAGGATGGAGGTGCATCTCGTGGTGGATACCCACCCCTTGAATCACAAGCCTCTCTCGAATCTCGCCCAGGCCGGTAGCTTCGTTGCAAATAGTGATGAGAGGGCTGATTTTGTACAGAGCCAATGCCTGGAGATAGGTTAGAGGGTTGATGCGATCCCGCCCATCTTTCTCGGGATGGTGGTGGGGGAGGAGCACTAGCTGTGCCATATGAAGGTCCGTCTAAAGCTGCCAGATATTCATGTGATGACGGGGCAGAAGTTTCGGGTTGTGTTGAAAGAGGATAACGAGAAGATTGTGCGCTACCACGAACATCAGTGTATTGGTCATATACCTCACAATCCCGATGATATCTGCTACGTCCATGCTCTCGTTGCTGATCACGATATGATATATCTCGTGGATCCAAGGAATCGTTGTAGTGCAAACTTCGATATTCTCTATATTCTCTTGGATAATCTCTGTGATCCCGTACATCCCGAATAAAGCGACGAGGTCTTGGAGGTGAAGATGAACGGCCAGCCCACTCGCTGTCTCGATGACCTTCTCGCTCTCTACCCACTCTGTCCCGATGAATGTCCCGGTCCTTGCTGTTTCGACGACTATCTCTATAGTGATAGTCTCTGCCTGATGAAGAGCTTGACATGGAAGAAGACATTTGCAGTTGAATCGAGTCCTGTTGAAAACCATCCCGTTCGTCCCTAGAGTCTCTGTACCTCTCATTACGACGAGGGTCCCTAACATCGCTGTAGTCTCTACCATCCCTTTCATGCCTATCCTTGCGCTCACGGCCATAGTGAGCATCCCTGTATAGACTGGCACGACTGGAATGATACTGACCATGCGGGGACAAAGGAATATTAGAGTTGGGAAGAGGAGAGAGCGGTGAGGTGCTCGTGGGGACTCCGTTGGTTGGAGACTCTTTGACTGCACCAGCTTCGTAGTTGTCTGCAGTATCAGAGTGTGGACTAGGAGACTCTGATGATAGATGATGTTTGCCCTCCATGTGATGGTTGGAAATTACAATTTGTGGCAAGCAACCAATTTCAACGAAATTAGTTACCAAGCCGCAAGACTGCTTGACGGTTTCTACTCGTACATTCTTGCAAGAGTTGTGCAGTTGAAGACTGCCATCTGTAGTTTGAACAGTTTATCCACGTTCCATTATTAGTCATCGATCAAGCTACTCGTCATGTACTGTTTCAATGTGCTGTTGCTTGGATAGAATACTTGAACTATCACGTTGATTGTCCGCATAAAACTGTCATCAGCATCTCTTGGCTGCGCCAAGATTCCTATTCCAAAGGTTTAACCTTCAATGCTGATTCCACTGCTTCCCGCCCTTGTAACCAAATGCTTCCTTGGGCTGGATATTTACTTTATATCCCTTGGCCGTTCCTAAATATGTTATAGCAACGTGTCCATTGCCATCTTTCCAGAATCCGCCCTGAGCTTAGTCAAACCCTTTGTGCTGTCCAGATGTCTGTTAGCCTTTAGTCAAAAGGATCTGCAACAGATTGTTCATCCTGCACTCTTAGTTGTCAACAACCAAAGTAGACATTTCTTGCTAATCGACTAAGCTGTAAAGTCATGGGCAAAAAAGACATTCATCGATACCGACGCACTTTATGTGGAATCCTGTTTTGGACAAAATGTGTGCTCGCTGCGCTTCTTGGCATTGCTAGTGTTGGCATCATGGCCTATTGGGTCTATGACATGTACATCACTGCAAAACTTAATGAGCCTGTTTTAGGTCCTATGGATCTTACTCCTGAGAACTGTCAGCACCAACCTGGATTGTCTCGACTCGAACCAGCTGCTGGACGTATACTAGTTGGTTTCCATTTGGACTGGAAGTTGGAAACCCCATCAACTATTAAAGCCATCACTGGCTGGGCCCCTGCTATTAGGTACATTTACATTGTAATAATCCTGATGATGACTTGAAGTCTAGTTTGCTAGACAGAGTGTTGATTCTGATGTGCCTTGACTAGCAAATTACAAATGTGTAATTCAGACTAGAATGTTTGGCTCTGTTTCGAATTTTAGACTTTTATGATTTGATTAGACTTGATTGTTGGTAACACGAATCGAATGCACACAACTAACTTGTTTAAATGACCCACTTTGATATACAGCAATGCATTCGTCATGTTTGATCCCACTATACCAAATCCTATGGACTACAACCTGTTGACATGGCATGTGTGGCAAGTGTCCCTTGTTGGAGGCATTTTCCAATTGACAGTTCAGCCTGTCAATATCAATCAAATCCCTGACAGTACACTAGATACGTTTGCACAAGCATTGCGCGATCTAAATGCCAAGTACGGTGTCCCGATTCTACTGCGTTATGGGCACGAAATGAATGGTATACAATCTAGTTTTATACTTGTCTGCGAACCATACTTGATCATTTTATGGACTTTTGACCAACTTTTACATGTCTTGATTCTTTACCTTTTAGGTGACTGGACCGACTATGGCTACCAACCCACTGCATTCACACAAGGATTTGTCAAAATGGCTAAAAAGGTTCGCATGTACACTAACATGACTGCTATGGTATGGGGACCCAATTTAGGCGTTACATATCCTTTCATTACTTCCGAGGCAGATGTTGTACTTCCCACGGCAAAGTCTAATCCCATCGACTTTGCTCTGTTGGATACAAACAAGGATGGAAAAATCACATCACTTGATGATCCTTATGGACCTTATTATCCTGGAGATGAATGGGTCGATTGGGTCTCCATGTCGCTTTACTGGTATCCAGATGGAAACACTGGGTATAACATATTGCCTCCCGACAACTACTTTTTAGACAGTCTTCATGGGAGTGGTGAAAATATTCCCAAAATCAATCCTGTTATCGTCAACAATGGTGGTTTGCATGATTTCTATGAACGATTTGCTCACCAAAAAAACAAACCTTTCATGATTCCCGAGACCTCTGCGCCGTACATCTCATCCAAGCCCTTTATAAAGAAAGAAGCAGATATCAAACAAAACTGGTGGCGGCAAATATTTGATGCAGCAAAGAAACTTCCGCTACTCAAGGCGGTTGTGTTTTTCGAAGAACTAAAGGTAGATGACGAAGTTAGAGATTGGCGTATATTAGCCAATGACACTGTTCGTCCGGTATTTTTGGCTGATCAGAGTGCCAATAGACACGACTATGCATATGCCTTGGATCTCAAATTTACTTGCTCTGGCCAAGTCAAGGTTAAATAATGGCATTTGACAAGTTTTGGTCTTTAAATCAGCCCATTGGGTTCAATTCCTCATATTTACAATAGATGTGGTTGGATTCTTTCTGCAATCGTATGAGCTTTGGCTGTTTTGACTGATTAAAGACTATTTTATTTCAGAATATTGAATGTGTGGTTTTCATGGTTGGACAAGAGTCTGCAGACAAGTGATGTTGGGATAAAATACAAACTATTGAAAACATTTGATGGCATCGACCTTTTGCAGGCTTGATTTGGTGTCGAGTTATCAGAATCAAAACTGACATTTACTATTCACCAACTGATTCTGCAACTGTCATTTATAACACTATGCAGACCATCAAGTGCGTTGTTGTTGGAGATGGTGCTGTAGGCAAAACCTGTCTACTCATTTCATACACTACCAACAAATTCCCCTCAGAATATGTGCCTACAGTCTTTGATAACTATGCCGTCACCGTCATGATTGTAAGCGACTGCATTGCCTTTGTCACATCTATGCTTGTCTTTGTATTCATGTCTTGTGGCTTGACCTCTGTTGGGGCGACTAAACAAGAAAACAGGTCGGTTATTGGAAGGAATCCAGACGGGCATCAAGAGCCTTTTTAGAGTTGTGGAGTGGACCGTAGGAAACTCTTGCAGCCAGGGGACGACTTTAATTGCTATAGAATGGCTGGTCGTATAGTCATGTCCTTATCTCTTCTGTTTTCCTCTTCTCATCCGTCCTACAACCATATCTACATACAACTCCCTGGATAGATAGGCCTGTCTTGCTCCCTGACTGCATGGTGTTGTGCTTGGTGTGAGGCGTCTGCTCCCATCCCAACATTGCGTTGGGCATTTGCAGTTGTATCTGCTTGTTGCATAAACTCCATCTACTATGTATTTTGTCTGCTCTTATCGCTTGGCATTGACCCACTATGGTTGCTCGACCTATCTGCTGGACTGTCGTCTGCTGTATAAAACATTTTCAATCGGTCAGCATCGTGGCTCTTGTAGAATGCTTATTGAATTTCAATACATTGAATTCAGCATCTTCATCTCTCTGCCATACCACTTAATATGAGCAGTCTAAATCATATCATGGATTCAGTATAATGCTTGTATGCGAGACCCAGATATCTAAATCTGCAGAAATTCCCATCTTGATAAAATGCTACTATCCTATCCTGTGCCATGCAATGTCTTGTTTATTATGAAACTTGACCATATTCCTTTTGCTTTCATTCTACTTAGGGAAACGAGCCGTATACTCTCGGTCTTTTTGATACTGCAGGACAAGAAGATTATGACCGTCTTCGTCCACTTTCTTATCCACAAACAGACGTGTTTCTGGTTTGCTTTTCAGTGGTCTCGCCTGCCTCGTTCGAGAACGTAAAGGAAAAATGGTTTCCCGAGGTACTTGTCTTGATCGTGGTTGTCGAGTGTCACTTTAAACTGTTGTTTAATTATTTTTGGGTCTTGTAAAGGTTCGGCACCATTGTCCAGGAGTTCCGTGTTTGATTGTTGGAACTCAAATGGATTTGCGAGATGACAATGCCACAATTGAAAAACTAGCTAAAAATCGTCAGAAGCCCATCACAACTGATTCCGGAGACCGTATGGCAAGAGAATTGCAGGCCGTCAAATACCTCGAGTGTTCTGCATTGACACAAAAGGGACTCAAGAATGTATTTGATGAAGCAATCATTGCAGCATTAGAGCCTCCTACGAAGAATAAGAGGAAGTGTCTACTGCTATAAGTAGAATTGAGGATCTCAACAATAAGGTGTTTTGCTCTTTCTGTGTCTGGCCAAAACCTCGAGCTAATATTTTGCTTTGACCTCTCTTCCTCCTCTGTTTAGCCTTTGGAGTTTACTGGCTTTGATTTTTCCTTTTTACTCTTACTACTCAGCCTATCCTGTGGAAATTCACTCTCCATTATGACTTCCCTCCCATCGTTTTATTAAAACAATTTTCTACTTATTTTGAAAATATTAGTACAAAAGAGTGGGAGTCCAAGACTTGATTGTAGTTTTGGATTAAGTAATAGATGTTTATGTCGAGATCTTGTGAATCTGATATATAGCACGCTTGCCCCGTCAGCCCAATGAAGTCATGAATATGTGTCAGCTAAACTGTTGTTTCGAATATAGTGGCAATATGCAAATCAAGGTCATACAGAGCCTTTACTGTCACTTGGACAAGGCTGGAGTAGATATAGGCTATTACGGGAAATGAACCAAACTAGTTCATCTGCCATTGCAACTGTTATCAGACCCAAGTGGTTTGAAATACATTGTTGTTGATCACATTGAATACTGAAGATAGCCACAGGCTCTCGTGTTTAAAGTGTCGACAGTTGACTGTATATATGAACATAGCATAATTTAAAGATGTATTATACCCTAAGCTATTTTAAATCAAAACACCAATGTTTTGATTCCAGTGTTTGGATGGATAACAAGTATAACCACTCACAGTTGTGCACATCACACCTACAGATTGGGTTGAGGATTTGAATCTTGACAAGAGATTCATGGATTCATACGACACTATCCGCTTTTCTTTATATATCAGCATAGTAATGACACGACCATGTGTTGAATCAAGACGAATTCATAATTTATTGCAAAAGAATTGAGCATTCCAACAATGATTCATCAAATACTGCATTCAATAAAATAAGCTTGAAAGTCAAGACACAAGCCATTGTAAGCCCCATTTAAATCAAGTTTAATTCGCCATTGCATTTGAGTTTGATGCTTCCAGCAAAGGCAATTTCATTGCCCTGTGTTTTCAGGTAATTGGTAAAGGAAGTCGAAATGGCAGTTTGGTTGCTGTATCGCCAGTCGCGAAGCGTGGTCAAGTCAGCTCCTACACCTTGATCGCTCTTGAGTTCTTCAAAATTCACTACAAGCTTGAGTAACGGAAATTGAGCATAGATGGTTGGAGAAAATATTTGAGTCCACCAGCTTTGTTTGGCTAGCAGTTCAGTCATACCAGCAGAGGGTGGAAGATTTGGAGCCCATGGCATACCAGATTCAGGAAGAGCCATGGGTTTATTTTTTGATTGGGAAAACCGATCATAAAAGTTTCGAGCAGTAAGATTAAGGCCCACTGAAGATGCACCCGTAATAGCTCCTGTGAGACTGGCAACAATATAACCAGGCTGAGCTGCAACATTGACTCCAGCTCCTTCATACCAATAAAGTGAAATGCCAACCCAGTCGACCACATCGTCACCGGGGTAAAATGGACCATAGGGATCATCCTGGCCATTGATCACCCCATCGTTGTTACTATCTAGAGCTTTGAAGTTGGCTGGATCGGATTGATTGGTTGGAAGTGAGACGGCCAATGTACCAGCAAAAGGGTAAGCAAGACCAATGTTGGGAGCCCACATCATGGCTAATCCGAGGGATCATGACAATCATGCAGCGATATATTAAAAATCAGTATACATTATTACATATTATAATCAAAATTAAATCTGTTGAATATCAACATTCAAAAATGTTTAAAAAATATACGTACCAGTTAAATTGGTTTGTGCGCGAACAGCAGCGGCCATTTTACGGAAAGCCTGAATGTATTGGACGGGCTGATATCCATACACCATCCAGTTTCCTTTTAACCAACAGTTTTAAACCGGTATTAGTACTCTAGATATGTTTCAACTACGTGTATCTAGCCTTGATACTCTTTGAACATACCATTCATCTCATGACCAAAACGAAGTAGAATTGGCACGCCATACTTGGAGTTGTATTCGAGTAATTTTGTAGCAACGGTTGTATACACATCGTCAGGAATCGCGAGTGTAGACGGCATGATACTTAATTCAAGCATACTACCAGTCAATGCAACTTGCTGAATGTGCCACGTCAACATATTAAAATCAAGCGGTGTAGCAGCAGATGGAGTCATGGTCAAAAACACATTTCTAATTATGGGTATTAGGCCAAACAGTACAGGTGTTACTATTTGAAACCCAATGAATTTGAAAATGTGGCATTCGATTTTGCAAACAAATGACAAGAGTAAAATGCAATGAATGGCTGAATCTTATTTTGGGGGTTGATCATTCAACAAGTACACGTATAGGCATGGTAATGTTTGAAATATATAAGCTGAAATTAAATCCAATACTTTCAAGTCATACTGTATAGCTAGACTGTCCACCCTAACAGCTCAGCTGTTGCTTACAATCATGCAGCATTCAGATATAAAGTATCTAGAATGAATCATGCTGTTTTGACGAGACATTCAAATTATAATACAAACATAGTACTCACGTCACAGCGGGTCTAATACCTGTACGAGCCACATACTGCGTAGGAGTATCAATGCTCCAATCCAAGGCAACACCAAACATCATTCGTCCATTAGGTGGATTTAGTCGAATAGCATTATCATCCTGGCGCGTACATTCGGGATTTTTTGGTGAGATATAGACAGGAGAAGATACCATTCCACTTCCAGCTCCTCCGCCAATACCACCCTCTGATACATGCGTGAAGTTATAATGCATCATGTAGATGGTATAGCTCATAAATGCAAGACCGGCACAAGATATAGCTGCTGCAAAGCATACTTTTAACCAAAAGAAGCAGCCCACAACTCGATTACGAAAAGCTCCATCTTTCCCCATCTTGGAGCGTTTTGTATGTATATTTGTTTAATTACAGGAAACTTCGCGTTAAATGCAAACCAAGTTTTGGCGGATGCAAGGGTTGGCTTTATGACCATCTTCACGTAAATAAAACACTTGTGTCTTGCAATAGCTACTTTTTCTGGAATAAACAATGGTTAAACATTTGGTGTTTTCCTAGTAGAATGGATTACTTTTATAAAAACTCTCAGGGTCTGCCATTGCTCGACACCCACTCTTGATTATACTCGAATTATTTTGTACACGATTCAAGAATAAACAATATGGGAAATCAGTTCTTGCGACATTGGTTGAACAGTTGGTAAATCCTGTTTAATGAGTTGGTTTGTGGAATGGAATGTTGTCCAGAATAAGATGCGTGGTTGGGAATGTTGCCCATTATTATTGAATTCCGAGTCACATACGTTGCGCTTTAGTTTAAAAAAACAAAGATTGCATATTCCAGTAATGCAACTGTTGTTTCTATGCCGATCATCAGTCAACTCTATTAGGACACAATACTATTCGGTAAATTTGGCATCCATCATTGAGATTGGCTGTTTATTAGACGCCCTTATTTAGTCATTCATTTTACGTGAATATGGCCATAAGGGTGTTGCTATTATCAGGGTTGTAATCCACTTTCCAGATGCTTCGACGAGCATTTCATTCAACATCGAAAATCATGGTAAGAATTCGACACCTGGTTGAATGTGAACTGAACGTCGGGAGTACTGTTATGAAATGAAAGCATGGGTTAGCGACTACAACTATTCCACTCTAAAGACGACTTGACTAACATGGTTCTATAACGGATGGATTCTTGTCAACCTGTCGTGCCAACCTACAGGGCGTTACAAAGGAAGTTATCAAGACTGGCGATGGTGTCCATTTCCCCAAAGTTGTAAGTCTACTTGTAGTGTTACCATCTCAACAAGTGTTGGTTTAGGATGCTCTATACCCTTGTTTATCATGTGTTCATTCTCTAAATACTGTTTGATCTGTTATCGATTACTATGATGGACTGATCTAATAGATTGGGTATACTAACCCTGACTATCCTATGTATTAGGGTGACACTGTTACTATGCACTGTATGTTTCGCAATGAGTGACTTTTTATTGAAACCATCTGTATTTGATACTAATGACTTGTATAACCTGGCAATGGTCGCTCTAATTTGGTCCTACAGACACTGGCACTGTAAGTAAAGCGAATACCACATAGATCGTGCAGTGTTGCAGTAGGTCGTTTATCTATTACAAAACTAACACATTGGTTGTCAATGGTTTAGTTTACCGATGGTAAAAAGTTTGACAGCTCTGTTGATCGTGGTAAGCCTTTAGCTTGTACTTGAAGTGATATGGTCCAATCGGTTAGCAATGTTGGAAAAGCCTGTTTGGATGTAAACCATTTAAAACTGAACACATCTAGGTCAACCATTTGTGACCAAGATTGGCGTTGGCCAGGTCATCAAGGGCTGGGACGAGGGTGTTCCTCAAATGTCTGTTGGCGAAAAGGTAATACTTTATTTGTTGGCTCTACAGTAGCTACACTAGTACATTAGCTAAAATTGTTGGTTCACCTGCCACATCTATAACTCTGCTTGCGTAGGCCAAGCTGATTATCACCTATGATTATGCTTATGGAGAGCGTGGCCATCCCGGTGGTGTAAGTCTGCAATTTAGTGTGTACATGTTTAAGCGCACAAGCTTATTTCTTGATTTGATGTCTAATGAGATTTGACAAATGATTGGCAACTAGATCCCTCCCAAGTCTGATCTGATCTTTGAAGTCGAGCTTATCAAGATCAATTAAGGATCAATAAAGATGTGTCTGGTTATTCTGAATATTGATTTATTAGATTCTCAAAGCACATGGTGTTCAAAGTGAAAATAGTGTTTGATTGCTATATTATTTTACTGAAAGCAGATGTTGAGCAAGTAAAATGCATACCCATATCTGGACAAAAATCTGTAAAAAGGCTTTATAGGCGTTCAAAGAACAATGAGTGCTTGAAAGTGGATAAATGCTCAGTAAGCAAAAAGATCAACCGAATCAACAATGACGAGTATATCATAAGTGATGAAAAACCCAATGGTTTCATGGATTGAAAAATAATGATGAAATGACTAGAATGAAAATAGATGAACGTGGTAGCTGAAGTAGGAATGGGACAATTGAATGGCAGAAGTGTGGATATAGAATATTTTAATCAAAAGATTGACCTCTCAACATATAAGAATAGATATTGAAATTTGCTCGTCTTTGACCAATGACATCAATGCATTCATAATGGTTTCATATCCTTACAAGATAGGCTAGCCAAGGACTGGGGGTAGATAAAAAGCAACATGTGAATAGGGACTGCATATTAAAAAATGAGATAAAAAGATAGAATAGCTGGACGGGAGGTTATGATTGCAAGAAAAGTACACCGGAATTCAGAAAAATAGTCGATTAAATAAACTCCACCTCAAACACCAAGCAATGAGTAGTGAGAATGCTCAATGTGGTATTTCAAACCATTGAGATTCTTGTATCTTTTACCACAATCAGACACAGTGCATTGGTATGGCTTGTGAATTATGTTGTTCATCTCCGGATCCCCAGTGTCTTCACAATGACCGTGCTGCATATGATATTTTAGTCCTCCAGGATTTTTGTATGCTTTAAAGCAGCCATCAATTTTGCACTTGTAGGGTCGCTCATCCTTTGGAGTTCCACCATTGTCCTCCGAATCATTGGATTCGACCGAAGGTGCAACGATTGAAAGTGGAGTTCCTGCAGCTGCAGCTGCCAGTGTAGATGAGCTAATGGTACCGGTGGAAACAGTGGATCTGCTTTCATGTGCAGGCAGAGCAAAATGAGCAATAGTGTGGTTCTCATTGTTGCTATGAGACAAAATCTGTACTTGTGGCAAGGAGTGATTGGTTGCCAGAGACATATTTGACTTGTCGCAAGACAAGGTGCGTGAAAGCAATGGACGTTGCTGCGATGCTTGACCCGATGGTCGTTGAGCATTGGATGCAGCTGCAGAAAATGCGTCAGACATGGATTTTGTAGAGTCCATAGCATTGATATCTGGTATGCACGTATCCATTTCAAGAGTGTCTGTTGGTGTAGTGCCATCCACATCAATAGCCATGGAATCGTCCATGCTATGATCGCGCACTACTTGCGTTGGACCATCAAAGCAAAAAGGAATAGTCACTGGTTCGTGACTAATCTGATGCTTGTGTCGCCGCGACTTGGACGCAGCGTGTTGATTGCGTTTGCGAATAATTGATGTGTCAAATGCCGACATCGAGTGACCAGCACCAGACTTGCCTAAAGCTATTGCGGAAGATCCAATGCCACCAGTTGCTGCGCAGGGTAGTCGACTGTCGGCATAAATGTCGGATAATGCCACAGATTGAGTCTGTCCAGTATTGAGTTTAAAGGCAGATGCATTTGAAGCAGTCGATGTAGATCTCTTCATTGATGGATGAGAGCGAAAGTAGATATCAGTAAAGTTCATGGATGTGTCACCATCGCTCATATCAGTGTCCATCTCGTCAATACTTTCAAATTCAAAAGGCAGATCGTCATCAGCATCGTCTGATTCAATGTGGACATGATTTTCCTCAAAATGCTGAAGCAGCTCGTGCAGATCATGCAATTGCTTGCCACAACAGGTAAAGTCTTTGCAAAACTGATCCTCCAGACCAGCAAAATGCTCTAAATCTCGTGCTGGTGATAGTATTGCCGGGGAGCAGGCACCAAATTGAAAGTTGTATACAGCTCTATAACAAACAATTGAACCAAAGAACCCCAAAAGTTAATAAGCAACATTTTTGACAAGCAGATGTTGGAGCCAAAGTGTTGTGGTGTATTGGAATAATGGTGTGGGATAAAGTGGCCAAGGTGGATAAACTATCGATTCATCCAAGCTATACAAAGCCATACCCATGCATAATAGATATGCATTTGCAAGCCTGTTATTCTTTGGCAAATAAATGAGTAATTTGCCAAGAATGATTCTTAATACAATCGCGGTCATTAGCAAAAGCAAAGCTGTTGTCCAACTATACAGTGCGGCAGCTGCAGCATGTTTTTGCCGCTTTGCCGCATAGCCCTAACCAGTCAAACAGTGGTATCAGCGAAGCAGAAAATGCTTCAAGAGTAGTCCTCAAAAAATATCAGGATAATGCAGAGGCCGCTGTTTCATGATATTGATATCGTGGGGATACATGGATTACAAGCAAGACACTGCAAGTGTTGAAACCAGACTATTGTAAAGCAATAGCCATGACTAGGCAATTTGGGCTATCCGTAAACAGCAGATGGACTATATACCAAAACACGACTATCAAACAAGCCACTGTTACGGATGGATACACAGCTGGGCTTGTTAATGGGCATATGATGTTACAAGGGTTGAATGTAAAACTGTATCAACAGGGTCAAACAAAATAGGGTCTAGTGGAAAGATCAAGACCAACACTGGAGAACAAGATAATGATATCAAGAGGGAATGAGCCCATAATTATGGTGCAAATATCCATCTAATGCGATTGGTTGTACAGCCATCAGTGCAGAATACCCTTGTGTAGATGGGTATTTTATTCCCAGCGATTACAGCCATATTCGTGTAAAACGGAGCACTAAATAAGGGTGTCCAGTAAACAGTCATCTTGATGAAACGATTGGTGTCAAATTTGCTGGGCGAGTGTTCCTTGAATGAATATCCAAAGCAACATTCACATCACAGCTCTAGTCAATCTGCAACTCCAAAATGAACATTACAGGTAAATACTGGATAATCGGCATGGAAACAACGGTTGCATTTATGAAACATGCGCTCCTGTTTTCTCGAACCAGAGCGCGAACGCATCCGAATTTTAGAAACAGGAGTTTGTACAATCGAGTTCAGTACCTGGATTGCAGTCATGAACCTGATGATCGTACAATGCATGGTTATGCCAAATGGAAAGGGAATAACTTTAGATCAAATTATAGTTTGATTTGCATGATGGACGTTTGTCAAGAATTGAGAGTTTCTAGTATGCAAACACTCAAGCACTGTACATTCTAAAGCAAAGGCATTGACTGCAAGATGGATACAAGTGTTCCATTTTACATGAATACGGCTTTAAATTACGGTTCTTGCCACAAAGGGAGTGCATACATGGCTAGAAACATTTGAAATTACGGGATGCGGGTCGTATGCTGGATATTTTAGACTAAGTGGTCTGTAATGCATACATCTTGCAGTGGTAAATGGATCATGTCTGATGAATATAGACGGATGGTTGTAATAGAGAGTCCAATCCATCAAGCAACCAAGCCCGTTTAATGTAGATTCAAAGTATCGACCCGTTCTAATTGTAAATGTAGAAACGAGTCAAAATAACCACCTCTAGCAAGAATGGGATGACTAAGAACATTAGTCTAAAGTGGAAACAGGGATCGATAGGAATCGCTTGATACTGCACATCCGAAGCAGGGATGCATCATTGCAGTAAAAGGCCGCTTACTACTACTGCATCAACAATGGTGCCAAAGAATGGCCCATCAAGCTTTTCTAGTTGCAACCTGAACAAGTGTGGAAAACAAATGACTATACAACCAAACATTGGAGTAAAGTATAAGGCATTCATGGGAACAATAGGACTGAACATACTCAAAGAAACCGTCATTGCGGGACAGGGATTTGAGCGACCCAGCAAACGATTTCGACAAGGACCCCGTAGTGAATGAACGGGAAATGGACTCGAGCACCTTGCGTCTGTATGATTCTGATGTATGGGGCTGTCCATGTTGTTGTTGCTGTAAATGGTCCGGCTGCTGGCCAAGTAATCCGGCAGATGCAGCAGGATATGGAGGAGGTGCTGCAAGATATCTGTTTCTACTGTCAGTATCTATGCCAGTTGTAGAATGCATTCTGAACTGAACGTTTATAGAAGTAGTAATAAGTGTAACTGTATTAGCAAAACTATTTTGCTGGGTAAAACAAGTCAATTTTCCTAGAGCGATTCTCGAATCAGCCGTATTCGCGTAAAACACTAAATAAGGGTGTCAAAGTGCATAATAAACTGTTTTATCAAATGATAATTGTCATCAATTTTACTGGACTGCATTGTGTGATCGACATGTGCTGTTGCATTGCTGAGATATGCTAAACTAGAACGCGAGTGTATATGGGATTAGAATGCAAAGTATACAGAAAACATCAGAGCAGCCAAACCCAACACTAGACTACAGTGAGTCTGATGATCGTAGAATGTATGGCTGTGTTGAAAAGAATAGTTTGAATTTAAATTATAGTTTGATTATGCGCATCATATGGCGGAAAGATGGTTTAACCATTGTTTATTCTCAAGTCAAAGCAAGTGTTCTATTCTACGTGACTCGATTAGATTCATTTTTACGGCTAGTGATACGAGGTATGACCATTTATCGCTCATTTCTCCTGTACTGAGACGACAATCTGGCTTGTATTGATCTTCTGATACGATCCTCATCATTTCATTTAGACAATCTGCACACCAATCCAAAGCAATCCTACAATCTTACAAATATTTCCATCCCATTGTCACTACTTTTAATCATTTCATACTGTTAAATCCATTCAAGACGACTTACATTGTCCGACCTGTCTTGAATTGCATCGTTGGTGTTATTCGTCACACTAGCAATACTAGTTCAAAAACTTGCCCTTCTTTATCAAAAATGTCTGCAGACTTGGTTGAGCAAGGTAATGTATTGCAACTTGGTGCTATCCAGACAATTCTCATTTGAAACATTGCGTCTATTACAACTGTTTAGCATCTCCCTAACATGCTGGAAATAGCAAAACAGCTGGCATCATTCAGAGCTATCGACGAGCGGGTATCTACCTCGACCAAAGTGATTGGTATTGGATCTGGCAGCACCATTGTCTACGCAGTGCAGCGTCTAGCAGAACGATTCAAGCAAGAGTCGCTGCCCATTCAAGCATGCATTGCGACATCATTCCAGGCTCAGCAACTTATTCTTGAAGCTGGCTTACCCCTGGTAAGTGGCATTGTTGTCTTGCATTAAACATGTCGGGTTTTGGGCAAGCGCTTACATGTATACGCTGATCATTTGCTAACTTTACAATATGGTAGGGCACATTGAACCAATATCCACGTTGAGTAGACTACATCAATGACTGCATTGCACTTGTTTTTTGGGAAATGATCAGCTTATTTCTGTATGCATTTGTTTTTGGGAATTCAATACAAATTAGTCATTGATGTGGCTTTTGATGGTGCAGACGAAATCGATACTTCGTTAAACTGTATCAAAGGCGGTGGTGCTTGCCACTTGCAGGAAAAACTGGTCGCTTCCAACGCCAAACTGTTTTATCTGGTTGCCGACCATCGCAAAGACTCAAAAGTGTTGGGCACACAGGTAATAGATCCAAGTATCTAATGGTTGGATATCTTGCATCTACAAGTGTATATTTAAATATTGACATGCTAATCAACTGTTTTATTGCGTAACATGTGATAGTGGAAACAAGGCGTTCCAATTGAAGTAACTCCCATGGTTTACGTCGCAGTCATGCAAAAAATTAAAACCATGGGTGGCAAACCCACGCTGCGCATGGCAGCAAAAAAGGCTGGACCTGTCGTTACTGACAATGGTAACTTTGTCATCGATGCCGATTTTGGAGAGATTTGCGATCCAGCTGCCCTTAATGTCCAACTTATTGGCGTTCCTGGAATCGTCGAGACAGGTCTATTCTGCAACATGGTCAATGGTGTCTATTTTGGTTTACCAGATGGGTAAGTGAATAATACAATATGCGTTAACCCTGTGTGATCCATAGTGATGTCGGTAAAGAATAACTGCACAAGTTGTACTCACCTTGCTGGTATATGGATTTGAAATATAGAACCGTCAAGGCTGTATGAGTATAGATATCCTATATTCACTTTACAAACTATTAAAAACGTGTCGTTTGAGGCTAGTATAGACTCTATTATGGTATGAATGTCAGGGTTGGAGATTCACTCAGATATGAGGATGGATAGGCCCATCCAATAAATATTTGACTTCATTGACTTGTAAACAAGAGTGATCAAGACAAATAAGAGCATGCCACTTGAGTGCATATGCAACTTATTTGTCGACCAAAACAATCTCATTTATAAGGCTAGCAGTGCAAGGATGGAAGTATCATCATAGTGGTCTACCAGAACCATCATTCCATATACACATGGCATGATTATCTGAGAATAATTACTTTGGTTACAATACTGACAACACGTATATTAGCTCAAGCAGAGTATCTTTACAATCAAAAGTCTATGGGAAGGACTGGCCATAGCACTGGATGTCGTTCTGAAAGATCCACATCAAATCTGGCTTGTAGATAATGCTCCAGAGTTGCAATTCCAAATGAATGTGCTGTATTGGACGATGCAATGGCTGTCGAAACTAGAGCAGATCTCATCACAATCTTGTTATCGGCATTTGAATCTACTCTGGCTTTCTCCTGGCGAGCTTGGATCTGTTCCTGTTTTTGCTCTTGTTTGACTAGAATATTGGATAAATATGGTTAGAACAAATGATTATTACACTCGTATTCACAGAATGCCATACTACACAACCAGTCTTGTGAAATGATTGGTATCCGTTTTACCACATTGAATAGTTGGCATAAAGATAACAATTACATTCCAAAGCAAGAGGAAATCACTGCAGGATAATACAACAAGGTGATCCATTCTACATGAATACGGCTATAATTTGGATTTATAAAACAAGGCCAACTAGATCACCTTCTCGACGAAATGCCTCTGAAAACCGAAACATTTCAATCATTTCTGGAGTAAGCTCCACATTCAATTCGTCATAATCATCACTATGAGTGGTATGCTGTAGCTGATCAGTGTGCTCTTCGAGCTCTGCATCTGCTTGAAAGACTTCGCTCTGAACTCTTCGTTTTTTGAAAGTGCTATTTGGTGGGACTTTTAAAATTGCCTGTTCACAATGCTCGTTTGTATCAGATACACCATTCTTGATGGATTGAGAGTCTGCTGAATGTGGTTTATGTATCCATCCCAGACTGGTGTAATAATGGTAGATTTCGGTTTGGCAAGTAGAGCAGTAATCCGCCCATGATGGTTGGGCATTGGTATCAGATTCATTAGAGTGGGAAGAGCCAATATGTGTGGAACCCGAGGGAAACATGAGACTGCGAAAACTGGCTATCCTACTAGAACTAAAATGGTCATCACCAAAAGCCTTGAGCTGTTGCTGCGAGATCACCATTAAGTTGACTAGAATAATAGAAAGAATTTTTTCATTTTACAGCCGTATTGATGTAAAATGAAACTTTTCTGTAATGATTGTTTTGAAATAAACAATTGTTATATATTTGTTGTTATTGGAAATGAAGTATTTGTTTTATTGAAACTCTTCTAATATCAGATACGTTCGCGCTTTAGTTCAACGTATCTCAGGAATGAAACGGCTGTTTCCGTGCCGGTCACACAATGTTTTAAATGTTCGTTTTGAAGAAAAGGAAAGTTGAAGTTTGAAGAGATGTCAAGAATGTGGAATATATTGGAACAGAAATGTGATCACTCACTGTATTTTTGTACGAGAATAAACACGAAGTCCAGTCAACTAATGAGTTCATAAAACAGTATTATCCAGTAAGATTAACACCAAACATGACTGTTTATATAGTGTTTCATTTTACGTGAATACGGTTGTAAATGGAAAGTTGTTGATTAATAGCAACTTTGATCAAAACAGTATTATTCATTTAACCACTAGTTTAAAAATCAAAGTAGACAAGAGGATCTGTCTTGGTCCACGCAGCTGAATCACGACTGGTGTCAATAGCATGGAACTCGAGATTACCATCGCTATACTCGTGAACACGTACATGCACATAGATCTGATTGCCAACATGAATCTTGGAAAAGTGCATGATGCCATATTGCACTGGATGCTCAGCAGCTTGAATAATCTCATAGGTATCAAGAGTAGTGGGCAGCTTGGCACCAACAGTAGTGGCGTGGATCTCATCATCCTTTCGCAGGCGATGAATATCGGCAAGCACGTTGTGCTGAGTTTACCAAAACAAAAACGCAAGTCCCATTTGGAATAAAACAACGTTTGAGTATATCCAACTACACTTTTGCCATGGCAACATTTCTTTTTATCAAACCTCTGTTACCTTGGCAAACTCAAAAATCTCCTTGTCCTTGGTGTTAGGCGTACGCAGATTCAATTTGATCAGCAACGACATTTTCTCAGTAAAATCAGGACGCTTTCCATGAATAATCAAATGAGCCACACAGTGCTTGACAAACTCGTCTTGGTCATGCTTACCATCGACAAGTGGGGTTCCCTCGTAGCCAGCCTGAGTCATGAGCCATTTCTCAAATTTTTTATATTCGTATCCAAGTTCATCATTGATGTTGAATTGAGTAGCCTTGATGGTCAAGCGAAATTTAAATGAAGTTGGTACAATCTTGATTTTTCTACAAAATAAATGCATGTGGAATAGTTTAAAACCGACATTCGTGCATGCAATCAGATTGTCCATCAATCCGAATCACGAGCAATGTCACGGTTAGCATTATTGATCATTACAATAATGTGGTGGTCGGTTAAATAGCTTACCCAGGATTGACAGGACCATCAAAAGTATGATATTCAATGGTACGACACTGCATGCAACAAAGTACTGTGATTAGCATTGATGCTGAGTTGTAATGAATAAAATAACACCAGTCCACAGTAAGATACTCGGCCATCAATACCTACAGTGTCATCAGTTAAATGCACAACAAACTGTGCTCGCTCAGTAGTGTCCCTCTCTTTCAAAGCCTTGGCTGTAGTTGTTTCCATAGCAATAGTGTCCAAGGGTTAGTCAACACTCCTATACTACCATCATAAAAACCTAATTGATGCAACTCGCCACTGACGGTTATCGAGTTTTTTTCCTCATAAATGACACTGCGAACTATGAGATTTGGTGTTATTTCGTAGTAGTTAGTAAAATTATAATACTAGTATGCTGTGGGCTGCAGAAATTGCATACTGAAAACAGGGGGTGCGTTAGACTTGGACATAGTATCGGTTCTGCGATTAAAGAGTCGAGGTTTGAGATGTGTTGGTAAATCTCGACAGCCAAAATTGGATCATAAATCGTATCCATGGCCAAAGTACATTGTTGGGTCTACTCCATCAGCCACACTATTATTCCATTGCATTGGACCCAACTCCTTAAGCAGTCTTGATTTCATTCGTTTTATATTTATAAAGTACTACCAACCCGAAAAGATCCCTTAAACATATATAGGCTTCACCGGACATTCTTTACGAATCTTGGTATACAGCTCTTCGGCACTGGGAGTAAATTCCTTGTGTACCTTTCTCAAACGACAGCGAATCCATTCCAAAGGATCATTGTGGCGGACATCAAATGGCTTTTCACGCTCTTGTAACACGATTTTAAGCAACGCTGTCTTGATATGTGGTGTAGCTCCATATCGACCACGGCCCCGCAAAAACTTTTGTTTGATTTCCTTGGATAAAATAACCTCGCCATCTCTTGCAGTAATATCAGCTATATATTAAAATCAACCCCCAGAAAACAGTAGTTATTAGTGGATTGCAAGATTGATCACAGTATCAACTCCATGGTTGAAAACCACGATTGAAACAAACAACTTGCCAATATATGTTTTTTCAAGATCGTAGCCTTCTTCTTTGGCATACACAATGCAGCACTCAATAGCCTTCATCATGTGGCTTGTAATCGGCTTATCATGCCATGCAAGCTGGAGTAAGGCATCGTTTAGCGACAGACCTTGAATATTAGTACACAGTTCAATAAATCGTGTAAAATCCACATGAATATAGCTGTGCTTGAGCCTCAAAATCTAAATCACCAAAAATACAATCAGCTGCACATTCTTTCAAGTAGGAATAAAACCCTAGATCCGAATCAAGCAAGGTAGCATCAAGACAACATTGTAACGATTATGAGTAGCCATGATATGAATTAAACTACCTTGTTGCCTCCATCTGCAGCCAAACGACTCAAATAGTTGGGACGTGCTTCAATCACCTCGCCTTCTTCAGGAATACGTGGGTACTTATTTTTGCGTAGTGCCAATTGTGCACGTTTTAGTGCCTCAATATGATCAGGTGTGGAATCTAACCCAGCAGTAACACTCATGGTACTAGCAAGGATCTGTTTAATTCGGCCATATACTTGTGGTGATGTGGTATCCCTTCTAAGTGGAGGAACATTAACCGATTCATACTCATCCTTGTCCTGTGATTGAGGCAAGTTGGAATACAATCTTGGTATGGAAAATGTCAAGACAGGCTTGATTGCTTGGAAACTGTGCCTGCATCAAAGAACAATTAATATAGTACAAGTTTAGAATATTACTGGAAATCAAAGGTTGGATTGATCCCTGCCATCTTGGTTATTAAATGGATGTACTACATTGTGATGCAAATGAGCTAGATAAAATGGAAAATGTGCTTACCTAGAATAAAACACTGTTTTAGCGGGCAGTCTTGCAGCAGCTACTTGAGCAAACATCATGGTAAGTGGTTGCCTAATCTACAATTTTCTTTGAACGAAAACGAATTGAAAAATCTTTTGTGATGAAAATCTAAAATGATCAAAGTCGATCATTCAACAATGTGTTATTTTAGCACATCTTATCGAGTAGGTCGACTGCATTGTAGTCAGAAAAGCTGGCTTAAATGGGTAGATTGAAATTCAAAACCATCAGTCAGAAAATTCAAATTTGAGCAGCAATTATGCAATGTTTCCAAACTGACTAGTGTGTATTGGTGGTAAGCAAGGCTGCATTTAAAAGCTCGGATATTTGCCCACCAAGTGTGTAGTATTAATCTAAAATCTGAATAGGACTAATATTTAATCTAGCACAGTAAGATATAAATATCAAGTTTTAGCGAGATGGAGTAAAAAATTCCAAGTAGTCGGCGCACCGATATTCTGCAAGTATTGTAAATAAAGCTAAATTCGGCGTCGTAATAGGAAGCATACAAGATATTTTCCGAATTAATTGCTCAAACGCAAACGCTTATTCAACAAACTTGTAACCAAAGCCAAGTGGCAGTGGAGATGGCGAGTTGACTAAAAAACTAAAGACTAATTGCCATATAGTATATCAGATATTTGCAAGGTAAAATTAGTAGTGTATAAAGACTCCATGAAGTCATCAATCCTAGGTTCAAAACAGCCATCTTTGGTTGGGCTGGCTCCAGACATGTCAACTCGCACTAACATGACCGAAAAAATCAGAAATGTGACAGCTGATACTGTGCCAGATAGCCATTTCACGATGCTACATATGGATACCTTGCTATGCCCCAAAATCGAGCTATCTATAATGCCACTTCAAACACATGAGCAGAAACCCAAATCTATATCTCGATCAACAATATTGCATAAATCATCTACGGCCCTATCTACTCATCGTGATCAAGATAGCTCAGCCACGCTTATGCCAAATTCAAAAGTACTTCCAGATACATCGGGCTCAATACGTTCCTTTCTATCAGCGAGTCAAACTACAACGTCACAAAGTCCCAGACTACTTGTCAAAGGCACTGATATAAGTAGACGTAGTTCCAAGATTAAAAAAATTGCCTCGAACTCGCATGAAAAGTTGCCAGAGCCACCTCGACAATATGAACTACAGGGGGACAATCAGCATAACGCATCTCAAAAGTCTACATGTTTGAATACTCCAAATACGGCACTTTGTATTCCCACTGTAGAAATCAGTCCTCCATCTCAGTCCATTCAAAAAGCAGTTTTATCAACTAATGAGCTGCGATCAGAGGAAATAAAGGCCGAAACGCGACACTCCACAAATCAGTCTGTTCACTCCAATTCGACATCCAATCTGGACTCGGCACATGTTTCCAAAAATGGATCAATACCTGTAAGACGTAAACACAGTAAATTTCTTACTCCCCAAGAAGGCATTTCAACTCTTCAATTGAATGAGTTTGAAAAGCACAGAGTATTTCCATCTACATCAAAAGAGTTGACCTTACAATGTCCTTCATATCCCATGCTGGTAGATCATTCAGCCCATACAGCCAATTCATTTGAGACAAATACTTGTATTTCGTCACAAGACACGAAACTGGCAGCTTGGGCATGTACAGAGTCAGTCGTAACACGAAATAATGAGGCTCGTTCCGACATGATTGGCGAGTCAACTATGGTATTAGATGGCAAAATGAGTCCTCAACTGCGTCAATTAAAACTGATGAGTATTGGACATTCACAATTGCACGATATCAGCGACCAAGTTGCTAACAAGTCATCCATATTACACCTGCCATCACCATTACCCAGTCGGCACTTGCATATCACTCGATCCAACCATCAAATAGAATTGAATAGCACAAAAAGGTCCGAGATTTTACTAAGCAATGAATTTGTCGATACTACAACCAATACACAAACTTTCAAACCACATCCAAACTTGAATAGTAAATCTCATGTACGACCACTCGTTGCATTACGATCGCGAATTTCTGAACCATGTTCAGAAGATGGAAAAATACTGCTCATTCCAATTGACGAGTCCTCCAAGTCGATTCAAAAAGCCTCCAAAAAAACCACATCACTAGCTATGCCATCAATTGGAAAACAGCAAAATACATCAATAGAAACCCCTTTGAAAAGCAGTTTTTTATCAACACGACCCATTTCCAAACCTTTATCCGGACTATCCAGTCAAGCTGATATAAACAAATCTGACGATTCAATCAAATCAGAAATGATTTCATTGACTGCATACTCAACTCAGGCTAAGCAGTTCAAGCCAACTAAATCTTTGGTAGGAAATGATATCAAATTGGACAAGGCAGTCATGAAGGCTTTCAATACATCCGATATCATCCATCTTAATGCTCGCATGCAGATATACTCGAAAAAACACAATGCAATGCAACTCCCTGACAATACTCATATGGATCGCACCATCAACTTCAATTCTGCACTCAATATATCTGCGTGTAACTCCAAAATGGGAACAGTTGCTGATCTTAAAAGCGTAGACAATATATTTGACAAGAGCACATTGGAAGAAGGGAAACGAGTAATAATCGCTCATGGACAGTGGAAAAAAGCATATCGGTTTATGGCTACTATAAGAAGATTTTTGGTCATGTACAAAAGAGTATGTAAAATATTTGAGCTTTCTCCCACCAGAGTTGATATTTTAGATTTAAAAGGCAGCGATTCAATTAACGAAGAAGATCTTGAATTATCAGAAAAGGTTAGTTTTAATGTCGTAGTGTTTGGCCAAAATTGAAAAGCTGGTTTTAAAAAAGTGAAGCATAACTACAGTATCAAACTATTATTTAGCCTGTCAAACTTACAAATGTGTCAATTTTTGATCATGGTTTGCACTAGGTTAAATCGCTGTTGCAGTCACGGTCAGAAGTACAAGGCGATGTAATCATCAATGGGCTCGAGGCAATATTAAGTTCAAATATCCCATCATTTAAGCGGCTCCCCTGGAATCAAAGACTAAAATGTTGCCAAATTTTAGAGGTGAGGTTTGATTTATAAACTGAATATTACATGACTTGATAACTGACCTGATTTGCTCAATACCTGCTGGAATTGCCATAGTTGAAAAAATATCCTCCTGTAGGTAATATTATTTAGTATATATTGTTTGAAATCAAAAGCTATATATCAACATCTGCCATTAATTGAATAGGGAAAAGTTATTATTATGGAAGGCCATCGTGCCAATGCATTTTATTTTATTCTTTCTGGAAAAGTTGAAATCTTCAAAGGCTGGACCGAAAGTTGGTTTCGTGTAAGTAGCTCTTGTCAAAACTTTTTCTTGATATATATGTATTTATTTTAATGCATTTGCTAAAAACTATAAATAGATCAATTTTATCAAAAAAGGCGGTAGTTTTGGAGATCGTACTCTTACAGTAATAGACGATAGACGAACAGCATCCGTATCGACCGTTGAGACCACCGAGTTTCTTTGTGTAGATAAACGTAAATATTGAAATATATAGAAAATGTGAATTGCTTTATTTTAGGCGTATGTAAATACGCTACATCTAATGCATGCACTAACTTTATTTTTTGAATGCATTACAGGAGAATTTTTAAAGGTAATCGGATGTATCAAGTACAACTAGTTTACGGTTTGAGTCATGCCAAGCTAATCAACTATTTTAAAATATTTCATCATGCGCAATTTCTACCAATACAGTTGATAGAAACAGGATCAGCTAAACTGCATACATTACGTACTCGGCAAATAACACAACTTCCAGATTTTACTACTGCACCACAAGAGTTTATTGAAAAAGTATTGGCATGTGCACAATTCATTACCTTTGATGCGCAACAAGTCATTATTAATGAAGATGCACCGAATTTTCATATTTTTTGGATTCTTTCTGGAAGTTGTCGATGCATTCGCACAGTTCCTTTTATCGTGCGACCAACCGCTTCTGGAGATGGACATCAGTATGCTGCCTACGCGCCTAATACCCCAACAGACCCCACCGATACAGTAGTCTATGAGCCTCTGTCAATATGCGAGCTAACTATTGGTGAACATTTTCCAAGTGTTGTCAAGCCTGCAATGCTTAAAATTACGCAATCTCAATTTGGCGCACCCATGACTTTTGATCGTAACGAATGCATCCGATTATGGCAACATGAACCACCTTATCTGAGTCCAGTGACTGTCGTAGCCAACATGCGGGTTGAGGTAATGATGCTATCAAAGGTTGAAATGACCGAGATTTCCCCTATGGATACCTTGTTGGAATTGTTTGAACGGCGTGGAGCTTTGGATGCATCGATTTATTTGCTACAGAATGCATTCTTACAAAACCTACAGTGGGAATCATATAAAAAGAAAATAAGGGAAGAAGTGTTTGGAAAACGCAAGGCCAAAAAATAAAACAGTTTAAAGTAAAAGGCAAAAGGGACAAGAGTATTGGTTTGTACAACTACACGGTTGGTTTGGGTTAATCTGCATGATTATATAAGTGGAACATTGAGACTTTCGCGTCAGAGCAAGATCAGCAAGCATTTATTTATATGATACACTGATGATTGCAGCAATTTTTCATTCTATCTCTTCGTTTTCATGCCCTCTATCGTCGTCTGTGGATGCGATTCGCAGCATATTGAGTACTCAACATACACGTGACTTGGTTTCAAATCTGCTCAAGCTTCTACTGAAAACAAATGATCGCCATCGCTCACTCATATTCTGATATCAAAATGATGCATTTGATTTTCTGATCTGGTCCAATCTGTATATTGTAAAATGTCTGCACCACCCTCTCGAGCAGAGCGAAACAAGTGCTGGAAAGCTAGAGATCTTTATTTTGAATGTTTAGATCAAAAGCAACTATGGCTTCATGGGTTTGCACCCACCGAATACAATGAAATAGTACAACTTGATCCGCTTGCCAAGCATGGCAAATCTGAATCGGATCGCACACTGACCAAAGAGGAGCGAAACAAGCTGTTTACATGCCATCAATCTCACTTGTTTTTTGAAAAAGAGTGCTTGCCTAGCTGGGTATGTTCGAGTATGGATGTTTGCTTTGATATATGCCGAGTTAGACTTGCACATACCTATTGAAAAGGCTAGCAAGGTCAGTCTTGTATCACAAAATCCATAAACCCCTATTTAACAGAAATATGATTGGTGTATTTGGATCTGGATCTAGGTTCAGCACTTTAGTATGCTGCGTGTAAAAGATCTACAGTCCAAGGCAATGGTAGATAATCTCAGAAAGACACAAGAAGAGCGGCATCAAAAAAAGAATGAGTTCTGGGAACGGGTGAAGAAGAATTGACCCAGATTATTTAAGATATATACTGCCGACAGCCAGTCCATTAATGCGATGAAATTGAATCACACCATTAAACTTGGGACCATCTAATGGAAAGCACATTTCTTCATCTTCCACGCATCAAAATCCCAACAATCTTTTAGAGGTTGTTCACGGCCGTATTCACGTAAAATGGAACATTAAGAGTACCAAGATACATAATAAACAGCCAGTCTCGTGAAATGATTGATGCCAATTTACTGTACAACATTGTGGTTTGAACTCGTTAAAGTTTACTGGCTTCTTTTCTGACCTCGACGAGGAAACAACTTGCACTACTGAGATGTGCAATCATTGTTTTTCGAGCTAGGACGTATCCGAGTTCAGAATACAAGTGTTTATACAGAATTGTATTGAAAACATCCGTTAAAGTGGTCAATTTCTAGTATGAAAGCACAATAAATATTCAACTATTGTTTATTTCAAAAAGTGGCAGTTAATGCAAGATAAATACAAGTAATCAATTTTACGTGAATACGGCTGCAAAGGTCTGCTTTGGAAAAGTCTTTATATCGAGTGATGGATAGGGGAAGCAAAGGATGTTCTGAATGTACTTTGATGGATATGAAGTTATACTATTGGCATAAGGGATGCGACTGTGTATGCTGATAGAGCTGCCAGTCCACCAATGAAAACCATCTGAATAGCGCTATACAGTGGTTGTTTTGATGAGAGTGCGATTGCCTTGAATAACCCAAAGAAGAACAAGGCTGTGATGGTTACACCTATTGATATACGGAGAGCAAATTTAGCAGAGCTAAAAAACATGTATGGTGCCAAAGGAATAAGACCGGCACAAAAATACGAGCTTCCGATGGTCAGTGCACTTGTCTAGATTATCAGACATTCAGAAACAAGACTGTTAATATTCAAGACTCACATGTGACAATATGCAAGGCATGCACAAATGACTCACAAATGCACGCCATTTTGATGGTTTATCGAGTCCAAGGTCAAATTTCATTACAAAATCCAAAAACGTAGTTCCATCCATAGAAAGCTCCTCAATTAAAGGCTGGGCAGCCTTGCGAGAAATACCAAATGGTTTGAATACGTTATAGATTTCGCTCCAGTGATGTGCAGGATCGGCTTTGATTTCAAGGGCACGAGCATCACGCTGGTTATCAAAATATTCTTGTTCAGAGAGGCCAGAGAGGTATCCACCAAGACCCATGGAAATGGCACCAGCACAGATTTCAGCCAAACCAGCAAGAACAACTAGCTTAGAGTTGTCAAGTGCGGCGAGTCCTGCTGCCAGTGCAAAGGGTACAGTTAACCCATCTGATAGTCTAGTTGATATAAATCAAGAAAGTTAGTATATACTGCACAAAAATAGCTAGAAAATGTACACCAGCCAACAAACGCAATTATAATGGCTGCAATACCATCTAGATATAGCATGTTTAATTGTGCATGCGCCAATAAAGTGCACAAGATTAAACCATTCAATTACAGCCGTATCCATGTAAAATGGGACACTAGACCAGAGATGTCAGCGTAAATAAACTGCCAGTCCCATGAAACGACCTGTACTCCCAAGACGTACGCTTGTGCTCTAGTTCAAGAGAGCACAAACGCATCTGTGGAGTTTTAGGATACAATAGTTGTACATGATTGTATTGAAAACATCAACAGTCAAAATCAATATCTGATTATTCCCATTTGACGGTCACACTACAATCAATAGATTTGAAATCACAATTCAAACCTATAATTTGGTGCATCGCATCGCATGATGGATGCTGTGCTTTGAAGAATTGGCAATATCTATTCTGAATAAGCATTCAATCTGTAGCATAAAAGCACGGAATATTCAGCGATTGTATATTGCCGAGTAATCGCTGCAATATAGTGTTCCATTTACGTGAATATGGCTGTAATGTCAGTGCACGTGGTAGAATTATTGGCATGCCAAATGAATGAATATTTTGCAATAACCAATGCAGACACAACGTGACAAGTCTTTGACTCTCCACCAGATACCATGCAAATTAAAGAACAGGGTTGTCGACAGGATCACAACCATTAGGTGCAGGTAGATTACAGTCAAGCTGTGTTGTGTTTAGACTGTCTTTTAATCACCCAATCAGCATTTGATGGCATCACTAGCCAACTCAATTATACACCAAAAGCAAGTGACGATACATACCCAATAACGACGTCCTGTATGATATCCAAAATACTTGTTTCACCATCAACCTCGGGCTCTTCCATGTTCTTACCATTTAAATGGGAAAAGAGAGGTTGATCGCTATGAGAATAAACTGCGCTATCAGTTTTTCCTGTTAGACAATGGTCATAGAAAGTAGCATTTTTGACGTCATCGTCAACAGAGATGTGATGAGTGGGTTCTTTACAGTTGAGTGGTTCAGTAAGATCCATATCCGTAATGTTTTCATAGCGCATTGGTGCAGTGTGACCATCGATGATGAGGTTGAAAGGTCGTTCCATAATTTGCTGAGTATCTCTCGAGTTTGATTGCATGGTTAAAATGAATTAGGTCGAGTCTAGTGTATGATTCTAATGACTTGATTGAGACGCAAAGGAGTAAGCTTCTAAAGTGATTTTGGGTTAGTGAATGTAACAAGACTGTAACTGGTGCAGTTTAAAAGGCGTTAAATTGGAGGGTAGAAGTGGGGATCTCGACTTTAAATATCCAAAACACGCAAGTTTAAGCCCCTGCCACTCGTTAACCTCGCCCATGAGTAGTTTGCGAGCAATCTATCCACCAACGTGGTTTTAGCCATCAACAGCCATGATTTAGCCAGCATTGCGCTAAATGGTGTCTAATGAAAAACAAGCAAATGGCAGCCACGTGCCATTTTGTGTATTTTTTCGCGTTTCACCAGTCGCTTTAATCCAAGTTTCATACTCTAGTCATGACTTGAAGTCGTCACAGGGTAGCCAAACATGTGCATAATTTACTTTAAACCCCTGTTTCGACAGTTTCTTAAACCAGTGTTTACCATAACCCTAGAGATTGCCCACTAATTATAGCAATGCCACTTGGTATGATCCGTTTTCGAGCAGATTGGCAATTAATGCGCCTTCCAAGTGACCTAACTTGGGCTTATAATCATTGGATTTGGCAGAATGTTTAAATGTGATATCGCTTAATATACGCTGAAGCGTCTATTTAGACAATCAGCTAGATTTGACTAAAATTATCATCACTTTGAGTTCAATTCAAAACTGAACTCAATATTTACTGGCTTATCGATGCAACTTCCGAGTGGTGGCGATCTTCCGACGATTCTCAACTCGGACACAATCAGTAATCTTTTGATGCTTTTGCATCCAATACAATTTAAAAATGCCAGTACTCATTCATATCAGCGGCGTCTTTATTATCAATCCATTCAATGTTGACTACACGAAAAGCCTGTTCAGCTTTATCAAAAGTAGTACTTTTAGTATAGACTGCTTATCAGGCTAATATATCTCGACAAAACACCCATGCTCCTGATTCTCAATATAGACCAGTTGTAACCCATGTATTTTCAGTCCCGTTTCAATGCTGCTCTTGAGGAATCAACTTTGCAATTCCAAATGCTGATCCTGCTGCTGCTGCACCAACAAAAGCCATTTGGACTGCGCTGTAAAAGGGATGTCGGCTGCCCATCATAGCTGCCTTGAAGTATCCAAATATGAATAATGTGACAATGGTTGCTGCTGCTGAAACGTACAATGCATCAATGGCTGTTGAAATGAAAACATATGGCAAGAGCGGGACGATGCCTCCAATCTAAATTTATACAAGATATGAGTTGATAATAGTTTAGAGTATACAAGCTTTGGCAACGAAAGCTGCAGAATATACTTACAAAGTATGATGTGCCGATGGTGAGTGCACTAATCTATAATTGTAATCCATAGAAATGGTCCAAAAGCAGAATGGATCAGTATCTGCTGCATGAATAAATCTGTGCAAAACACTACTTCTTACCCAGGTTCGATTCTTGTCTGGTTTCTCAAGATTCAACTCAAATTTCATCATAAAATCAACCCACACATCCTTGTTTTGCTTCAGTACATCTACCATGGGCTTTACAATATCTGCTGAAATTCCATATGGCTACAAGCTCGTCAGCATTGCTAGAAATGACTAATATAAAATCATGAATAAAAACCAAGTGCTTACTTCAAAGATCTCGGCAATTTCCTGCTCTTCTCTCAGAGGAACAGTTTCGACCTCATGAACCTCGCGGATACGTTCGTTATCATAATGCTCAATTTCACTGAGACCTGCCAGGTAACCACCCAATCCCATGGAAATAGCACCGGCTACAATTTCTACAGTACTCGAACAATTGTGAATGTTAGTATATTTTCGGCATACCATGAACTCGGACATACAGCAACAGATGAAAAGATGGTGTCTAGTCTAGAATTGGCATGAATTTAGCCGATACACAACTGGATTTGGGCAATGGGTTGGATAATACCAGCAGTGCATTAAAAAGTTGATTTTCAAGGCATCTGAAATTATTCCCAGCATTGAGCAGGTCAAGGCTTGCCATGCGATCTCTTCAAGCATGTGCACCCTTCACAGTAAAGGATCGATGCACCCCATAAAAGCAGTTACAGACTTATCAGCTAGAATGATTGGCTGATGAGGAAATGATCCACTATGACCAATACAGTTTCAAGCAATTGTGTACCTGCAAGACCAGCAGTGATGACCAAACGAGAGTTGTTGAGGGATGCTAGACCAGCAGCCAGTGCAAAGGGAACCGTTAAACCATCCGCAAGACTAATACAGTTTACAGAGTTATCGTCAAAACAAAAAGATGTTAGTGAGGAAATGGGTAGATAGGAGCTATATAGATTGTATGAACACCTAAACGGTAAATATGACGTGAGGCCAGACAAGCAGGTTCAAGGGTGATGCTTCCTATTCTTATAAGGGATTTATCATCAGTCCACTTTGACATCTATTGATACTGGCATAGTTGAAAAGGATCACACCTATTTCAAACGACAATCATACGCAATGATCAACTTGGACGATACAGACTAGCCAACATAAACTATTCAAATCTACCATTTTAAAGAAATGGGTTTCTGCATATATTGGCATCATGCATGTACATGTAAACTGAAATAGATCTTACCCAACAATCACATCACGGATAATCTGAGCTCCTTCAAAATGGGGCTCTAATGGATGCTCAATCAGCTCTCCTTCTGGCTCTGGAATAAATTCGACACTGTGAACGTCATCGATGGGTGAGACTGGACGAACGTTGACCGATTGATGCTGTGGAGGGCTAGTCTGCTGGGACTGCGGCAAGCTCCTATCGGCAATATGGTCAGACTTGGACATGTATACCAAAAATAGCTATGGATTAATTTTGTAAAACCACAGTTGATGAATTATCAATTTTAGAGCTAAATGCACTTAGTTATTGCCTGAGGACATGGAACAGCGCTTGGCTTGCAGGGCTGTTTAGAGCCAAATGCTTTGATTGCCCTCATAACTAGCTACAAGGGATGAAAATGGAGATAAATGAGAAATTGTCAGCCATCTCTCACCCTTGATGTTGTTCTTTTGCAAGTATCGCTAGATTATTCGTCCGTTGATCTAGATGAAACAAGTATATATTGCTCATGTCTTGTGTATCACGGTGACGATTCGACTTGTTGACACGACCAGTTTACTGAGCGATCTGCTGTTCCTCTTGACTGAATATAGAACAATGTCATCCATTTGGTATTGTTTTGACGCGAAAGTTCAGCGTTCCGCCTATAGTTTGCAGATTAACCTAAACCAGTTGTGCAATTTTTAAGAATCCTTGTTTCTAAAACTTTGCAATATCCTGCTCGATGCTGTCAGGATGTCGCAAACATGACGAAATTGATTTGAAATACAAATACATCTTTCCACATTCCCTTCCTTTTGTTGCTACCACTGATCATTTTGGGCTCAAGGCGACAAAGGCTTAATGCCAGAAATTAAAATCACTCGAGAATATAAATCGTTATATAGTTTTATTAGTATTCAACAAAAGATCTAGGAAACCAACCAAAAGTATTGCCAGAGTGTTTGTTAGAAACAACTTCACCATACCACCAATCATCACCAGTTTCGTCTCGTCCTCCAGTTCTATACACTGATACTACCATGCCAGGTACCAGCGACACCTCATCATCAAACTCGGATGCAAATGGGTATATTGCAACTGCTTCAAATGGATCAGTGGCATATGGATCTTGAGCAGACTCGCTATTGCAATTGATATCACGCTCGCCTTGTATTGAATTAGTTGGGTGTGTAGAAATGGGAGCAATGGTTGGAGCAAGTGTTGAATGTGTAACCAACATGTTGTGTCGAAGAATGGCATCCGTGTCAACATCCATCCGAAGTTGTCGAGGTGCTGGAGCTAAATTTGAAAGCACAAATTATTAACAAGTATTTACAACCACTTTGATATAACCAGACCAAATATAAAAGGCATTTACCTGAGCCAGTCAAATCAACTAATGGCATATTATTAAAGGATGTCGCATCGTCTCTTGCTAGACCAGAACTTCCTGAAAAGTTTGATAAAGATCCAGTTTTTCGTTCAGGAGAATCAAACAAGCGCATAGCGGCCTCGTGCGCATTATCATCATATCCCCATATCTGGCTTCTCCATTGATGGAGCAGCAAAATATTCTTGGTAGCAACCTCGATAGGTCCACCCACACGCATATGCTCTCGAAATTTTTTCAAAATATCCTCTGTTGTTTCATGCACGCTGATTTGCAATGCATCTGCCAGAGGTACAACGATTTGGCGAATATTCTGGTACATGTCGCGCTGAACAATAATGACTTGAATCAATATCTCGTGAATATAATCCGTGACAAAATTCATAAATAGGGGAAGTTCTTCTGTAAGCTGTGCATTGATAGATGAATACGTTCCTGCAGATTCTGCTAATAGTTTATCAACCTATCGAAAATTTCGAATTACAGCAATGAGCTTTCATGGAAATAGTACACTGCATTCAAATCTATACTTGAGGGGTTTCATACCACATCACCCTTGGCTCGCATTGAGTTGGCCCGGTCATAGTCCAATAGTTTGGCGTCTCGCTTTCTCATTACCAATAGCGGTGCTTTGAAATGGTTTAGTAACTGTTCAACAGCCGGTATCATAACAAGCTTTATTTGGGATTCCTACAGATTTCAAAAGTCAGTGAGTGACAAGATAAAACATGGCATGCAACCCATCTGAAACATCAAACAAAACTTACGGCATCACGATATGGGCCAGTTATCAAGCGACCACACGTGGATCGATATCGTTTAATCAAACCAAGATAATCAATCTCGTCTGGTCCAGCAATGCTGTTTGCAGGAATGCTATCAATGTAGTACAGATCATCCAGACACACGGCCATGCCTTCTTCATACTCAACATACTCCTTCATTGATTTCAGCCATGCAGAAATCTCAATACGAAGCTGCACGATTGCCTCGTGCTGTTTAGTAAACTTTTCAACCAATGCATCATAAACTGCGTCTGACTTTTTTTAATTAGATATGTAGTTTGTAGAATAAATACAGTTGATATCTTCTCATAGTTGCAAAAATAAAGTGCATTACTTACAGTAGTCTCATCAGTGAGCCCTGTCTTTTTTTTCAACTGTTGGGATAAAAAAGTCAGCAAGGTTAGTCCAAAAGCGTATCAGTCAGTGACTCTTGAGCCTGGAATCATAAACTAAACCAACCTGTTGTGTACCACGTCCAATCATCTTTGTAATGCCATGCATGACATTGATCTTGCCCTTGCCGTCAACGTATTTTTCCACAATATCTTTACGCTTTTTAACTTCGTTGATTTTTTCAGCTACCAAGGACATGCTGTCAAATGATTTCAGCAAATTCTCTCCGTCTGGGTGGTTTGGTTCCATTTCTTTGATCAAAGACTTGATCAAAAGTGGATATTTAAGAACACGCTGTACTGGTTTGACAATAAGACTTGCTAAATCCCATGCGCCTGTTTTACCTTGCAGCTGACCGCGACAAGTCTAGAGCTCAAATAAAAGATTCGAGTCAAAAAATACATTGAAATAGTCAAATTGGTAGTCTGTGAACTATAACTCACCTCTAAAAACAATTTAATCGACTCTGGACAGGTAGGTGATGCGTAGTCAGACAGCTTCAGTACTGCCGCCTCATTATGTTTACAATAATTACAGTATGTCACTTCAATGGAGTGAATCATTCGCATAAATGCTTCACCCATGGTTTGAGGGTGTGCATTTGCCGCAGCTTCGAGCTCTTTTAAAAATACAGTTGAAGTAGCAATCACGTTTTCCAAATGTCCAAAAAGTAGTTTGTGGTCTGTGGCAGGAAGTACACCTGATTGTAGACTGGGCAAGACATAAACCTAGAGTTCAAATAGACATTGGATTAGTCAAGCAATTGAACCAAGCACTTTAAAGTAAACTTTACCATACCGAATGCAAGACATGCATGTCAGACAAATAGGTTCGCTCTGTTTCGACAATTTCCTCGACAATTTTAGTCCATTTATAAGCTCTTTTTGCTTCAGTCTCTAAAAGTTGATTGTCTTCTCCGCTACTTGATTGTGTGGTAAAAGAGTGGTATGACGCATCTCTGTTGATTTCTAATAATTTACCCACATTTGGATCTAGATAGCACATTCCATTTCCAGCTACGCTTTCTTCCTGGATAGCGACATTTGAATCTTCACCTGCATCATCATAATATAGACGCGTAGCAACACTTTCTCTCTGCTGGAGGCTTTTTGGTCTCAACGGAGTGACAGGACGAACAGGATTTGAGTGGTGGAATGACAGCTTGGCATCAGTTGGTAATTGTGAATGGGAAGCCGAGTGTTGTGATACAAATCCATGTGTTGGTCGATGATGAGAAGGCGATGTAAAAGAAGCACCCATGCTACTCAAAACAGCCAGTCTATTTTGAATGTCGAGAGATGCCATGGATATAGGACGATCACTTGATTCATCGTCGTAATTAGGTTCAAAATTAGTAGGCACGTTAGCTTGAGATTGTTGAGATGGGATAAATGTTTGAAGGTCGGATACAGAGTTGTTGTGGATATATGGTTTGGGTGGAGTAGAATCTGAAAGTCGACCAGAACTGTCTGAAAATGGGTTTTGGCCAGGAGAAGCAGGTAAGATGGTGGACTGCGGGCTAGAATTGAATGACGCAACAGCAGGAGCGGCAAGAGCACAAGGCTTGGGTGGTTTAGGTGGGGGAGGTTTTAAAGACCGACTGGGCCGTAGATCCGACTGTGATATGGAAGTCGAGAATGGCGGCATAACAAACGAACCATTTCGAGTTGATGGAGCCGTAAGATTGCGACGAGCAGTGGAATTGGCGCCAACAGATTTTGGCGATCTGATAGAGATACCGTCATTGATATTTGCTTGCTGCTCAAACATTCTACTTATTCGAGACACAGACAGTCGTTTCTTTTGAACAGAATCCGTTTCATTGTGGCTGGGATGGCGAGTTCTTGGAGAATTTGATGCCTGATTGGAGGGAAATATGGGTTGTGTGGAACCAACACGAACAGCACCTGCGGTTCTAAGTCGAGGGGTTGAAACGGATCTAGAATGAGTATTAGTAGGGTATGGAGCAGAAAGTTGTGATGGGAATGCAGTGGCAGATGATGTTTCCAGTGACGAAGGAGTTTGAGAGAGGCTGGATGGTTGCGATGAAGCAAGATGGCAGTTGGTTTGAGTATTTTCAAGCTCGATACTATTAAAAGCGTTGGCACTGGAAGAGTTATGAAAAGGTCGAGAAGAGAGCAACCCAGAAGGATGTGTAATAGTGACAGATTCAGAATGCCCTGCAAAGAGGCTAGCAACTGTAGATGGATGGTCTTCAGTCTTGACGAGATTGATTTGCTCAAAGCGTCTAGATAAAGCAGCTACCGAGTGACGAAGAGTCTGCTGTTGGCCATTCTCATCCATGTGATTCAATGACGATAAGCTTGATTCTGTTGGCCGATTCAAGTCTGCCATCGCCCTAATCAATTGCTGCACGCTCACCAAGATTCCAGATGAAGTGTCAAATTGGATTCAAACAACTTGAAATCCGACTTGATTGTAGCTGTTCTTGCTTTTAGTGTTCAACGCATTACTCGGACCTTGAGCAGAATTAAACTAGAATCGACTGCTCGAGTAACCGCATTCACGTAGATGAACCACTAAAAACTGAATGGATGTTTAAAGCAGCATTCATATGCGGTTTTAGTAAATCACATTCTTGACACTTGTTCAATCTCCAACTCTCCCTTCATATAAACTAAATATTGATTGTCATGTATAGTTGTATTCCCGAGATGTTCACTTGAACTAGAGCGTGAATAAGAGTTTTTAGGATACAACAGAGTTTCAATAGAAGAAACCATCAATGTCCAACAACCATTGTTTATTCTAGAGTAAACCAAGACTGCAAGATCAATATAGAAAAGTGTTTTACGTGAATACGGCAGTATTTCAAGCAATCAATTTCTAGTAGGAAAACGCAGCGAATATTTAACCAAAGTAAGACAGTTATTGCAAGATAAATACAGTAGTGTTCCATTTTGTGTGAATACGACTGTAGTACAAATTAGTTGTTGGCACAACTGAATGCTGCGCAAGAACCAACAGCGCTCACACAACAATAGTCCCGAGTCAGTCTCCCTACTAGCAGACAATCACTTCCAAACATCAGATTCGCTACTCTATTCATCATCTTCAGGCCAGAATCGACAACCAGTCCAACAAGCGTCGATTCAACTCTCCCAACTTCACACCACGCGCTCTGCCAACACCTCAAGGCTTCATCACAGACCTGTCCATCTGCGCTCTTTATCCACTTCCTCTTTTTCAAACAGCACCAGCAGTGACCATACTGAACTCTACATTTCATCACTTTCTACCTATAGTCCACCACCTCCTCCTCCTGTTCCAACCCTCACTCGACTCCCTGGTCATCGCTCTCTGCCTGTCATGTTCTATTCAAAGCCTGCCTGGATTACCTATTTGTTAGCCTTGTTTGGCTTGGTTATTTTCCTCAACTTGATATTCACTGGAAATGGTGAATTGTTTAGTCCCGGTCGTTTCCTCACAGACACTGACCCATATATGTGGGCATTGACTGGAACTGGCTTGACTGTTAGTCTGTCCGTTGTCGGTGCTGCATGGTAAGTCCAAGACACTTTGAAATTTATAACGAATAGATCCCAAACTATTGTCAGTACAAGCCTATAAACTTGCCTCTTCAATCCATGATGCTTGTATAACCAGCAGTAAACCCTCAGTCCTTGTCTAATACTGCAATCGCAGATTTGACTGTCGGCATCCCTGGTTCTTGTAAATGAATGCATCCTCATGCCCTTCAAACTCACTGCTAGAGTCGACCTATTGATCTCGACTCTAGAATGCTTTTTTCTACTCTAGTGTGCGTGTCTCCCAAACTCGCCCTCCAAGTACTTGTTTAGCGCGACATGACTTCAAAAGTGTCCTAAGCATGCATAAAAGGGTTGGCTGGCTGTCCATTGCATGTCTTGGACTAGAATTAGAGAATATGTACATTAGAACCATTGCGTTTGATTTTAAGATCAGAACAAGTGATTGGATGCTGGAATAAACCATGCATTTGCTTGGATCATCCTTTAATGTCTTGTACACTCTAGTTTAGATCTCTGATTTTATTTCCATTGGAATGACCGACTTGTCTATTCATGTACAATTTGCTTATTTTTTCAATTAAATGGCATATTTAGGGGCATTTACATTACTGGCTCTAGTTTGATTGGTGCTGCGGTAAAGGCTCCTCGCATTCGCACAAAGAACTTGATCAGTATTATTTTCTGTGAAGTTGTTGCCATTTACGGAGTTATTATTGCCATTATCTTCTCGTCCAAATTCAACTATGCATCAACCATCACTGGCACCGAGATGGTGTGGTCACGAGCATCTTACTTTTCTGGGTATGCTCTCTTTTGGGCTGGCTTGACTGTTGGCGTTTCCAACTTGTTTTGTGGTATCTGTGTCGGAATTACAGGCTCAACTTGCGCCATTGCCGATGCTGCCGATGCTCAGCTATTTGTCAAGGTGCTCATTATTGAAATTTTTGGATCCATCATTGGTCTGTTTGGTCTTATTATTGGTCTATTGATCTCTGCAAAAGTACGCGACTTTGAAATGGTGCCTGCGGTTTGATTTCTTGGATTTGTACTTACAGATCAAGCATTCAAGAGTTTTTCAGATTCACCACCTTTTTGCACTGCATTTTCTCTACTCACCAAAGCCCTTCGTTGTTACCCTTTAACTCACCTATCTATCCAATAATACTGGTCTTTATTAATGGATCGCTGCTGTCTAATGAAGCTATGGATTTTGTGATCCAACATGAGAATGTTTTTGTAAGGGCTTGAAAATTGCAAACTATGATAAACATTGACTCGAGAGATTTCAGACATTGAACCTCGTTTATTTACAGCTGTATTCACAAAGTGAACAAGGGTGCTTATACAATAAACAGTCGAGCTCGATATCTGACGAGTTTGATTGTGCAGCAAAAGAACAACAGTAGTATATAAAGAGCACCAGATAATACCGTTTATCCTTGACTCATTTTGAAGAAATTTGGCTGGTTTTAATTTAATTCATTATCTGATTCAGAATCTCATAGACTTTCACTTAATCATCAGCCTGTTCAAAATGAGAAAGATAAACGGTATTATCTGGTGCTCTTTATATACTACTAACAACCCCGGTCAAAACTATAGTTTGCATCATTGTGATGTTGTTTACAAGTACTGAGAATATCAATTGAACAAATAACCAATTTCCAATAAAAATAAAAATAATTTTGATAATTGTTTATTCTGAGAGGCAGTGACTGCAAGATAGATACAGAAGAGTTCCATTTTACGGAAATACAGCCGTAAAACAATTTTAGCGTAAAGTATTTTAAAAATATCCAAGATTTGCAAATTATTAAGTATAAGATTAGGCCTTGGGCTTGGTAACAGCGAGCACTTGCTGGGAAACCAGATCAAAGTACTCGCCACGTTTATCGACCAACTCAAAGTGAGTGCCAGATTCCACGATTTTTCCGCCATTGACAACCATAATCTTGTCAGCTCCTTGAATCGTCGACAGTCTATGTGCAATGACAAGAGTGGTTCTTCCTTTGGCTGCTGCATCCAGAGCGGCCTGCACAACCTTTTCAGACTCACTATCCAATGCAGATGTGGCTTCATCAAGCAATAGCAATCTTGGGTTTCGAATGAGTGCTCGTGCAATGGCAATACGCTGCTTTTGACCTCCCGATAGCAATCCTCCCTTTTCTCCAACAAACGTATCGTATCCCTTTGGCAATTGGCTGATAAAGTCATGAATGTTGGCAAGTTTGGCCGCACTAATAACATCTGAATCGGTATATTCCTTCGTGGCACCATATCCAATGTTGTCTTTAATGCTCATGTTGAACAGCGAAGGCTCTTGACCAACAAGTGCCATGTGGGATCGCAAATTCTTGAGGTTCCAGTCACGCACATCAAGACCATCCAAGCTGGCAGATCCAGAGCCTGCATCATACCATCTTTCAAGCAGTCCAAGAACAGTAGATTTACCGCATCCAGATCGACCAACAAATGCAACTGTTGTACCAGGGAGCACATCCATACTGAGACCAGTAAGCACCTTGTCCTTTGGGCGAGTTGGGTATGCAAACTTAATTTCCCGAGCAGCTGCTTGGCCTTCAACGACAGTGCGAGATTCACCAGATGGGTCAGAGTGGTTAATTTTGGACTCACGATCGAGCAGTTTGAAAATCGATATAGCAGCAAGTTTGGCCTTGGCAGCATCGGGTGTATGTTGAGTAATCTGACCAGCCGACATGGCTGTAAAGATGGTGGCAAAGATGACTCGGAAAACGGTTTGAGAATCGTACATTCCCCAAACAATAAGACGAGATCCGTAGTAGAATGACAAACTCCAAGCCCACAACATGATTGCCTGAGAGAAAGCAAATCCAAAAGCAGCAACAAATGCTCCCTGTACTGACATGCGATGTGGAACCTTGATTTGCTCCAAGAAACGATCGTAGAAAGTCTTTTCTTGTGTTAACATGACGACAGTGCGAATAGATCCGATAGCCTCAGTTGCAGTTTGACCTGCATCCTCGTATGCCTTTCTGGATTTTTTACCGTATCCGACCAATGCTTGAATCTGCAGATAACCAGAAAGACCAATCAGTGGGACCAACACAAGAGTAACCAACGCAAGCTGCCATGCACCACTAAATGCAATGGCCACACCAGCAATAATTCCTGCAATCGCTTGAATAGTAGCACCAAAAACTGGTCCAGTTACACCCTGCACAAGATTGGAATCCTCTGCAAGCTTAGTTGTCAATATACCAGTAGAGTTTTCGTCACGGTCAAAAAAGGCAATCTCTTGGCGAAGCATAGCACGGAATAATATATCACGAAGACGACGGGTAAGTTTTTGTCCAGCATACTTGAATAGACCAATCTGGCAGAAACTAGCAAGAAGTGCGACCAAAGACAAAACGACAAACATCAGAGCCCAAAAGTTGGCTCTGGGGGTTCCCAGAGACACTAGAATAGAAGAAAATACAACCGAGAACAGTGGCATGATAACACCATTGATAGCAGCACCAACGCCTCCAATGGCAAACAGCCACCACTCGGGACGATTGAGTTGAAGAATACGGAAGATTTCCACCTTTTCATTCTTTTCAGATTCCTCGTCAGATGCATCCACTTTATCAGAGGCAACAGATTTACGAGAATGTCTAGAGTCGAGTCGGCTGAGAGGATTCTCCGCGGCTTTGGCTTTCGGAATATCAACAGAATCTCTGGCTTCATCAACGGCTTCCTCAGTCATATCACCACCATCTCGTGTATGAAGTGTCTGAGCCTGAACCAAACCATGGTACACGCCTCCAAGGGCGACCAATGAATCATGTGTGCCGGTTTCAACAATTTCTCCTTGGGCCATGACGACAATTACATCTGCAGTTCTGATGGTAGACAAACGATGCGCAATCACAACAGTAGTTCGGTTCTTTGATGCCTTTTCAAGAGCAACTTGCACAACACGCTCAGATTCAGTATCGAGAGCCGATGTAGCTTCGTCCAAAAGCAATATACGAGGATTCTTGATGATGGCACGAGCAATAGCAATACGCTGCTTCTGTCCACCAGATAACATAGATCCTGCTTCGCCGACATCTGTATCAATGCCCTTGGGTAGTTTCTGAATAAATTCCCATGCATTCGCCATTTTGCACGCCTCCTCGACCATTTGGTCAATCTTTTCAGCGGAAAGACTACTAGCGTCTCCACAATAACCATACATGATGTTTTGACGGAGCGAGCAGTCGAAAAGAGTAGGCTCTTGAGAAACAATACCAATTTGCTGACGAAGCCAAGCCACATTTAGATCCTTGAGATTAGTGCCATCAAGGAATACGTTTCCAGAAACTGGGTCGTAGAAACGCTCAATAAGCTTGACAGTGGTAGATTTGCCTGAACCAGAAGAACCAACAAGTGCAACAGTTTTTCCCTCGGGAACAGTCAGGGTAAAGTCTTTGAAAATGGGAACGTCTTCACGAGATGGGTAGTGGAACTTGATGTTGGTAAACTGGATAGTGCCCTTGACTGATTCGGGTTTTAAGCCAGCATCTGATGAGGAGTCGATAGGCGACATACGGTCAATTGTTTCGAAAATCTTGTACGCAGCACCTTGGGCAGAACCCATGGCAAAAAGATGGGTACCGATACTACCAAGTGAGAATGCACCAATAATAATAGCAAAAAATACATTGACAACCTCGCCTGGACCCATAAATGTCGGGATAAGAGTATTACCGTAGTAGAATGCCAAAGCGTACATGTCGAAAATAACCATCTGTGTAATACCAATTCCTAGACCGTTGAAGAGAGCCATTCGAAGACCAAAGGCTTCTGCTCTGTCAAGATGCTTCGCGTACCGGTCAGCCTCGCGGTCTTCACCACCAAAGGCAGCAACAGTTCGCATAGAAGAAAGTGCCTGTTGAGATATGTCACCTGATTCAGCATATGCTTCTTGTTGATCAGTAGACTTTCCTGAGATAAAGCCAGATAACACCATCGCGCACCCAGCAATAATTGGCACTGCCACGCAAAGTACCAGGGTAAGTCTCCAGCCCTTGACAAAGCCAATAACGAAACCGGCTATAAAAGCAGCCGAGGATTGAATAATAAGACCGATTTTGTCGCTCATGCCTTCCTGAATAAGTGTCGTGTCCGCATTCATACGACTAGTGAGTTCGCCTGTCGATGTCTTGTCAAACCAAGCAACCTCCTGACGTAATATAGCCTTGAAATAAAGTTCGCGAATTCGCTTGGATTGGTTCTCGCCCGACAGCATCCAAAAACTCATTTGAATGTACGACAATACAAAAGCGCCAAGACCTATCATTGCCAACTGGAACACGCCATCAGAAACAGTAGAGTTTAGCTTGCTTAGACCTGCAGGCGTGCCGTCATAAATAATCAATGCATCCATGATGTCTGCAAACGCAATAGTCATATAAGGCAGAATGGCACCGTTGACCATTGCACAAACCACGCCAATAGTGATTAGGACTTTATCGAAAGCAGTTGCGTGCCGGTAAAGGGAAAGGTAGGCGACTTTGGGTCCAGTGGGATTTGCCTTTTTGTTAACCCATGGAAAGATACTTTTTTCGGGCTTGGCGACAACGGGAGGTTCTTCGACCAGATTGGGTGAAAACTCAGACACTACGACCGTAGCGCTGTCTTTGGTTGTCATGTCGTGATACTTGGATAGATAGGGATGTAAATAGGGATGTAAACAGCTAGGGGTTTTCAGGTGTGTAGTTGGTGAAAAAGAGATTTGGCACACTCAAAATAATAGTCAATGGAGTTATAAACAACTGGAATATAGATCTAAAAGACAGACCATGTGAGCCTCATTTATAGAAAATGCAGACAATATGTTAGCTTGCTTACGTGGGCGGGTTATGGCTGTAATGTTGATTAGGCGATACCATTGCTGAGCATGCTTTACTCTAAAATACATAGCAAAACAACATACAAAATTTTATAACCCGCAATGGAAAGCCATAAACAAGGCTAAATAGCAGCAGTTTAGCACCTCGGCCGCGGCTTTTATCTTTTTATACCAGCTTTGGATCAGTCATTGAATCTGAAACCAGACTATTTCGATATCATGGGTGCACCGCTACTCAAGCACTCTTTTGTTTATCTAAATGGCGCTATCACTCCTCCATTACCTTACTCATGGGCCTCCCACTATACAAAACCCCGGATAGGCCGAGTACAATTTATTCAGATGGTAGTTCATCAAATCCATTCCATCGCATTTAGCAAAGCGGGGATCGGATGGCTCAAATTAACCGCTTGCCATGTCACTGGCGTCATTCATCTATCTCGGCCTCTAACTGGCTGCATATCTTTTGATGCTAATACTCTAAACAATTAAATTTATCTATAAATCAAGGCCTAAATTTGACGGGTGCAGTGGTGGTCCGCTTTACCTAAAGACAGCCTAAGCCCGGTATTATAATCGCATTCAACCAACTGTAAAACATGTTTCGACTTCAAATAATCTGCAGCATCACTGAAAAACAGCAGTTGGCTGTGAAAGTAAAACTGGACGGGCGTGCTCGTATATGGCTGGATGCATCGTGTGTTGACTGCCATTGACAAAAAGCAATGACTTGGTGCTGTCATGTCGATATAGCTTTTACTTTAAACACTGCGTAAAAACTTGCCACCAAGCGGGCCCACCTTGCTATGCATTCAGCATTGATAGGAAGCCCGCTCCTTGATTAGAAATTTGCCATTGGGGTTTTTCCGGATAGCACTTTAACGTTTTTTGATTACCAAAAAAACCATAGCAGACAATATCAGGCCGATCCTTGCAAACTCATAGTCGACAATAGTCCAAAATGTCTAGACGGTAATTCTAGTCTTGGTGTTTGGATCTGATAACAATCGTACTGCACATACATGGTGAATATTGCTTCACACTATACTTGATTGGCTGGTGGACTTGGATAATACCATCGAGAGTATCAATGTGTAGTACCATGTTGGACATAATAAGAATACCCGTCTTAAACCTTGGAATTCATTGCAGTGTGCAGTCTTTAAAACTGGAAAACTCATCAGCTTGCGGAGCAATGACATGTGTGATGCATTCAATATTCATGATAATTTTGTGATGGGACTTTTTGTAATTGATCTCCATCACCTAGAATCTTGATCAATCCAAATTCAACTAACGTCAAGTCTATTATCAATCCAATGCCATCAACTCTGTTCAAGAGTTGGATATCCATCGATGCGTGCCTGTCATATTACTTGAAATAATCGTATCATTTCATCACAAACAGCCAAGTCCGACTACCATGATCTTTTGATCAAAATCATGTTCATACTAATGATTTTGATCAGGAATCGGTCTAACCAGCACATGACCATTCTTGAAAATATTACATTAACAATCCCGATCACTTGAGTAATTTGATATGACAGATCCAGCCATATATAATATCACGTGGCATTCGACATGCAACAAAACCTTCAAAATTACTACTTGTCCACCATATACTATGGGAAGGTCAGCTAAATTCTTCCGGTTAGGACAAACCAAAGTATGTTGTAAATTGATCATTGCATAATGCTAGCTATACACTCACTAACTCCATCATGTATAGAATGAACGAGACCGCATCAAAATATCAAAAAATACTAAAATAGAAAAACCAACATCAGAAACCCAAAAAAAAGTCACTGACATCAAGACAGCAGTTGATGCTGCTCTATCCAACAGCTTGTCAGTAAACGACATTGTCATGCAACCCGCTTCATCCACCAAATCGCATACCAACTTGTCACAATCTGTACAATCCAATCCACAAACTCCCGTACTGGACAAACGAGGTGTGCCAGTCAAGAGTAAAGTGCTCGACAAAGACTATGTGTCAATGATGAATAGCAGAAGGCTACAACAGCCAAAAAAAGCAACCAAACAATAATACACTAAACTTTTACTGATTGTTGGCTAATCAAAACTGTTGCGATTGATGCACTACAATGAAAACCCTATATGAATTAAATGCATTTGAATCTTGATTGCCAAGTGTTTGGAACCCAGATTATAATACTACATTTGTCAATCAATTCAATGGACCAGTTTTAAACATCATGTCAGTCGTCCAACCAGTCAACAGGATCGCAACTGCAAGTGGTTGATCATCACAAGTGATTTTCACTCTGTCCAGACCTGTTCAAACCTGTTCAAACCTGTTCAAACCTGTTTGATCCATATATGGTTTTATTCATCAAATGGTAGCTTGACAAAACCAACCATATCGCATATTCTATGCATGGTCATTTTGTCCAATATTACACCAGATAATTCAATACCAACCATTGCAGCATAATTGAGAAACAAAGTTTATTTGGCATTTTCAATAACGGACACAAGACAATCAAGACAAGAATCGAGTTGAGTCAGAATGTGGGCTACACATGGATTGGTTCATTGATGGACAAGTAACTGCACAACAATTAAATGAATTAATGTATCAACATTGACCAGACTGTTGTATGGAGCGTTCAAGTATGGCCAAAAGACATTCAAACATTATATGCAACTAGCTTATTTGATAGTTTAAATATAATAATCAGATTAAACCATGATGGCAGTGACAAGACACAGCAGACTGGCTGTCATTGCACTCATCCAGACACCAGATTCATGAACACCTGCTGCTGCTGCTTTGGCAGGAGTGTTGGCAGTGCCTGCTACTGGTGCGCCTGCAGTTCCAGCTGTATTGGTGGGCGGTGTGCTAGCAACAGTCGATGAAGGTAACCCAAATCGTTGCCACGGTGGAGGCTGGGGAAGAGCGTGAGGATTCAGGCCTGCCTCGCTGCAGGTTTGGTTGATCATGACGGCCACGGTAGTCAATCGCTCTGCTTGAAGGGTTGCGTTGCCAGAACATTGATTGTAACACAGACTATACATAATAAATACATGGATTGTAAGCCATCGTAGTGGTTGCAATGACCAAACACTGTCAAACTCATAGCATTTCAAACTAGTATTGGGAATGACATCTCATGCATTGCATATACCACGACTTACTCTCTATTGACATTACGGTAACATTCGCACGCAGTGTACAAGGTTTGATTAACGAGTTTCTGAGGCACACACGTAGCAGCTTCGAATTGATCAGAAACCACCAGACATAGTGAAAAGGTGTCCATGCATCCTTGTGCTGCAGTAGACATGGCGTTGGCTAAAAGTAGCAATGATACGGCGGTGTAGAATGGCATTCTGTAGATGAGCAGATTGGTGGTGATTGTGGAGTTGAGATTTTAGTTTTAATGTTCCGATGGCGGACGCAGTAGTCAAATTCGATGATTTGAATTCAAGTAAACAGGTGTAGACTGGCGGAGTTTAAACAAAGATGCAAATAGTAACAGTACAAGGTTAAACTATCAATGGGGCAACAAAGTCGAGTATAAAACAAGATTCTGAAACTTGTGGCTATTATCAAGTTGTACATTCACACTTAAATCGGATTATTTACATATCCACACTACTGCATTGCCAGAAATTTTGGCTAATAGTAGTGTGAAGCGATAGATTTGATACCACTATTGACAAGCACCTGATGTTAATGAAATATCAAATTAGAAGCAGCCATGTAGATTTATTGAATTGGAAATGTTACAGTGCCATTCAGCGCCAACAATGCATTAGGGCCAAAAATCGGATACATTGACAGCTATATTCGCGTACAATGAAATACTAAACAAAGGTGCCAAAATACATAATAAACAACCAGCCCCATGAATGATTGGTGTCACCCTATTTAATGATTAACATTATGTCTTTTGGGCTTTTAGATAAAGCTAAATATGCATTGGTCTTTTTCTTGCTTATTTTGTATAAAAAACTGAACAATGTTTAAAGCAGCATCGCATCACAGCTCCAGTAAACCCCACATCTGCTCAATCCTCAACATCCCTTTTTTACAAATCAAACACTACAAGCAAATATGGGTGATTGGCATGGAGCAACTTTTGTGCTTTCAAGACATGCGATCCCTCTCTTGAATTAGGACGCGAACGTATCTGATATTTCAGGATACAATGGGATTGTAAAATTGAGAATATCAAAACAGCCAATTTCGATATCTGGATTGCAATGGATAAATATGATTATGCAATATACAACTATCGAGGATGATTTCGGCCCAAAACTAGACATGTGCATTATACAATGGTTGCTTTGAGAATATCAACCAGAGTCCATTCCTAACAAGAAAGCACAACGAGTATGTAACCATTATTTATTCTGAAGCAAAATAGGAAAAGTCACTGCAAGATAAATTACAGAAATGTTCTATTTTACGTGAATACGGCTGTAATATGCCATCAATGTTAATGGGGATAGAAAAGGGTCAAGTAGAGTATCAGAGATAGTAGAGTTGGATAATCAAGTAACAGAAGACTAGCTTGCCCAATGACATGTATCCAAGGATAACCAGCATCAATAGCAGCAGAAAAGAGAATAGTAAGCTTGGAATCGAACAAAAATGTCATAGTCCTCTATTGTACAAGCAGCTTCGATCAGATGGCCATGTAAATAGCAGCCATAATGCTCATGGCGGATGTGATCGTAACCATAAAGGAAAGCGATTCAGTCCGTCCAAAGGCACTAGACTTGGCAGAACCGCTGGCAGCAGCACCAGCGGCAGCAGTCTGACTAGATGCAGCATTAGATACAGCAGTGGCCGAGGTTGCAACAGGAGGTCGAGTGGTGGACGAAGGTGCAATCCACGTCTGCCATGGAGCAGGCTGAGGAAGGGACTTGGGATTGAGGTTGGCGGCAGCACATTCAGCAACGATACTTGGATTGACCGAACCTGAAAGCTCAGCCTGGACAGTAGCATCTTCAGGACATTGCAGATAGCAGTTTGCTCTGTTTACGTAGTAGTAACAGCGACAGTCCTGATAAAAAGTTGCATTGGTGGCTTGCAATGGCATGCATGTCAGTGACAAGAAACTGTCGCTGTTTGTCATACAGAGAGCATACGTAGGGCCACATTTGGTGGTCTGGGCCATGACAGTGCAGCTAGACAGAGCAAGTACAACAGCAACAAGTAGTGAGAGCATAGTGATGGATATCGAGGGTGCGATCTTGAGAATAATTATGAATTTAAGCACTTTGGTTTTGAATCCAAAAGCGGCAGTCACTGGAGTGGAGATACTCGAGTGCAGCTGCAAACATCGTCCGGGAAACGCTGACTGCTGCTGTGCTTTACATTAGTGGCAATACGGGGCAATTTGATTCATTGACTCAGCCAGCATATCCATACCAACCCTGAATCAAGTGGTGCACAGCTGGCCATGCTAAATTGACAAGCGTGTTTAATCCATTGTTCCTTGCCAGTTCAATGTTCCATAATCTGACCAATTATACACATTCCCTTCCATGTCAAATAAAATGGATTTGATAGTAGGCGAGGCGCTTTACACACTATTCGATTAAGCTTTCAATCAGTACGCCTTCTTAATATGGCGAGCGCCTCAATGCCATAGCTTCAGACGCCTATATCGGATCGTTTATGTATCTACATAAATAGCGACAATGCATTCAACTGGTTCAATACAAAACGGCTGGTTCAACAGGGTTCAAATTATATCACTGCTAATTCAACATGGGCTTCAACATCACCGGTCTTCTCGTCAATCAAACCACCACAAAGTTGATCACTGGACCACCCAATAAAAAGTTTATCTGTGCTCCATCTGAACGCAAGCTGTTGACATATTCTGAACCCAAACGTATTGTCTTGCCTAGAAAGCTTCTGCTGACCATGGCGTAATATCCTGTCATTAAAACATTACAGTGCTAGTCTCTCGCTACCCAATCGCTGTTTTGCACTGACTCGCTGCAGCCTATTTACCAACAAAAAGATCTCGACTCTTTATTATACCCATGCCTTTTGAATTGGAAAACTACTCTTTCAATAAACTTCGATTTTTATTGCAGCTTTATTGTCATTTGAAAAGGTTGGTCAACCAGAAGGTTCCCAAATTCAGTACCAAACCTGACTTGTGCATTCTTGAATATGATTTCAATTACAATTTAGGCAAACTCAACTGTCCATGCGTGTCCTACAGCAATTTTAGGGTTCTTGACAACAACCATAAACACTCCGCCCATAGACGTCACCTTGAAATCTGCCTGAACACCATTAGCTACAACCTTTTCGGGGCTGGTTGCTGCACCAACAAGAATAATCCGCTCAATCCGCATTCCAAGTGACTCGAGTCCATCATCACTCAAATCTGCCATAGATACAGCTTGAAGTCGTGAAGACGTAGATGTCAGCTTACCCTGCTTGAATACAAATGTATTGAAAATATACTCTCCCTTTTGGAAAGCATACGAGCGACCATCGTCCACATAGAGCGTGCCTGTAGCAGCGCCACTTTTATCCAGCGCTACAATCAGTGTATATGGGTCTGCCTTGGACAATGAAGATGAACGACGAACACGATCACGACGAGGTACAATCGATCCTCCACGTAAAAACATTGGGATAACTTCCAATGGAGTATCCATTGTGAAAATACCGTTGGAGTTGGATGTGACGGGAGAAAAAGTATTGTAATTATACCAGTTGGCTGATTTGGGAAGGTATATATCTGTTCTAGGTTGCTCAATGGATGTGACAGGTTTCACCATGATTGCACTACCGAGCAAAAACTGGTCATCCATAGCAAACGTAGTCTCATCATCAGGAAATTCTTGCATCATGGATCTCATTACTGGGTTTCCAGAACGACTGGCTTGCGAAAAAAGAGTATATATGTATGGGAGAAGTCTGTACCGACGACGAATCGCATCACGAACTATTGTTGTGTAAGGCTCGCCAAACAGCCAAGGCTCTCTTCGTTTAGAATCAATATGGGCATGTCCACGGAAAAATGGTTGTAGTGCTCCAACTTGATACCAACGTGTGAACAATTCAGGTCCAGGACTTCCAAAAAATCCGCCCACATCCGCTATAAAAGTATCAAAGGTTAGAATGGGCAATTACATGATACAGAGAAATGAACAAAATACAATATACCTCCAGCAAAAGGAATGCCAGAAATGCCAATGGACAAGATCATGGGTACGGAAGCTGCCAAATGATCCCAGCTTGCAGTGTTATCACCCGTCCATATAGCACCAAATCTCTGGGTACCGGAAAAAAAGGCACGCGAAAGAACAAATGGACGATCTTTTCCATCAGCACGAGCAAGCTGGCCTTCATATGTTGATTGTTGAAACAATAACCCATAAATGTTGTGAACGTCTCGATGTTCCCAGCCATCGTGGTGAAGATTATCCTTGGGCATAGTGATTTCTGGACCATTGAAAACAGATGGCTAAAAAATGAATAGATTCAGCAGAGCAGTTTTTGAGAATCAAAAAATGTAAGTATCCCAAATAATACCGCCACATTATGAAACATTAGATTCAGACTTGAGCAGTAAAACATGCCTCATTCATGTCGTTCCATGTATATAGTGAGGGTGTAGATCCTTTGTAGTTTTCAAAAGCAAACTTTGACTTCCAAAAAGCACGACCAGCAGGATCGGTATAGTCAATCCAGTTTGAATTTCCTGGTCGTATAAACAGTCAAATAGATGTCAGTAGATCTATTTTAGATATACAGCCATTCCAAATACATCTGAGATCCAATGAAAATATCAACAAGACTAACCAGGCCAACAGTGTCCATCAAAGACATTTCCCTGAGCATCTCTGATAAACAGTCCTTGATCCAACGCTTCTTTAGACACGTAGTAATTGGAATCTTTTTTGATATGTGGATCGATAATTGTAACCATCTGCAAAATAGTCCGCGTCACATCAAGGTTAAAATATAAGCATATTGATGAATCAAAACGATCAGCCAAACCATCGATGCTGTATACAAAAATAGGCTCAAACAGTTGTCACTAACCTTGCGTTCTTTAAATGCAAGGTTTTTTTGCATTTCTTTGGGAGTGGAAAACTTGGCAGAGTCCCAGGTAAAATACCGTTTTCCATCTGTGTGCTCAATATCCAGCCAAAGAACGTCGTATGGAATATCGTGCTTATCAAATTCAGCATCAACGGTCTTGACATCATCTTCATTATTGTAGTTCCAACGAGACTGATGGTACGATACTGCAAATTGCTGAGGCATGGTAGGACGTCCTGTAAGCTTTGAGTAAGAATCAAATATATCTTCCTGAGTGGGACCAAGGAAAATAAACAGGTCGAGTACTCCAGATTCAGCCATCCAATGAGTCTCTACAGAAGTTGCGCTAGTTTGCTTGGTCATGAAGGGTACATAGTTGGAGAGTTGAAATTTGCTTCCTGTTCCCTTGGTTTTTTCTACATCTACCCACATCTCGGCAGAGTTTAAAAACAAAACAGCGGCAGAAAGACCTTTTTTATGTGACATGAGGAATGGGATTGAACCATACAAGGCCATTGGACTATCCAGCTCATGCTCAAAAACATCCAAATTATACAGACGGTAGGGTTGGGAAAACTCCTTGCCCTCGCCTCTAAATATATCGAATTATACAAATTGTTTAGAAATTAACTGGCGTTTTACTTCAAGGCTATAGCCATCTACTATGCAGTACATTCAAGAAGAATAAATTGGAAACGTGGCAAAAAACTATATGATCGTACCTAGTTGTTTTTAAAGAAAAGCTTGCAGCATGCTCAGGAATTCCATAAACATGACTAGATCCAGGAAAAGAAATATCAACACCAATGGATGCAGGACCACGAGGCTTGGAGTCAGTGTTTCCACTAAAGGTTTCCTCCCACATGCTTTCAACAAACTTGTCCTTGAGCGAGTTGATCTCGGCAGTTGCACTGTCTAGTTCAGGCACGGGCTCGACATTGTGTGTCTGGTTTTCAGACAAAGGTTCATCATTAGCAACAGGAGGGGATGGAGAAGCCTTTTTAGCAAAGCGAGGAATAGCGTTAGGGTTGTCCTTTGTACGATACTGTTCGAGATGCAGATAGCCACGCTCGTTAAAGGTGATGGCTGGTATATTATTGACAGCAATCTCAAAACGGAATGGATTGGCGTAAAGCGAAAGGACATTGTGCTTGGTAGGATCGCTGCCAAACTTTACCCGCCACTCGTCTTTGGTGGCAATCACACTCACAAACGAAGTGGACATCAGCTGAGGATCAGCGTGGCCACTAGAATGGCTGTTTTGATCTGTTTTGTCTTTGATAGATGCGGGATCGTCGCTTACTAGGGCAAAGGCAGCAGCTCCAGTGTATCTAGGATGCAGCGGGTCGCGCTCATTGATGCGCATTCGTATGGCACCACTCTGAAGAAAGTTGAATTCAACAGTAAACACATCGGTGGGCTCCAAGCCCATCAACTGCGCTGCAATGCGGCCATTCGATTCATCCATAACGAGAGATTTGGGCACAAACGAATAGTGTTGAGTAGTGTTGTCAGTGGCCGACTTGTCAACCAAGTCTGCGTAGGCTCGCTGGCGAGTACAAAACCCGGACTGCTCGCAGGTCTTGAAGTCTTGGTGTTTAACAGCGGTAGCAATAAGTGGAAATATAAGAATGAGTGGCAGAAAAGAAGCCAGTGATAGCCGTGCGGCATTGTATGCAACCATGATGAAGAGGGAAAGGACGAATGGTCGTATACAGTCGTTTCAGCAACGCTTCCTCTTCAAGAATGAGTGGATCTTGAATTGGAAAAAGTCTGGGAAACTCGACGGAAACTGTTGATTTATTTAAATTTAGTCGATTCTTCAAATCATGAACCGTATGTTGTCAGTAGTCTGACAGATAAATCCGTGTACATTGACTTGCATTTATTTTATAGTCTCCAGTACGTCTGTATCAACTACCAGCGTAAAGTGGGTTCTTGTCAAAAGATCAATACGAAACTTGGGAAAATGCTATATATTCCATAGCAACCTATTTTCTATCATGATTATCGACAATCATGATGGACGAGAAATTGTAGGCAACTATCACCATCATTGTGTTCAAGAGATATTTGCATAGATTTCGTTCAACCGCTTTTGTGTATGGTCGAGTTTGCTATTGCTTGATGATATTCTTTTTCAAATATTAGTAGATTGTTCATCTGCTGATTTGAATAACAGAATCATCTATTGATCGTGTTTCTTGTACTATGGCAATAATCTGGCTTATCAACACGGCCAGTTTGATGAGTGACTTGCGCAATCACCTGCTTGATGTCGTCAGTCTATTAAGCATGATGGAATTGGATTGAAATGTAACCAAAAATATATTTTTCCTCCTATTCTCGCTTCTTTTGTTTTCAGTGTGAAATACATTTTGAATAGAAAGTCGAGTTTTATTTTCCCAATTACTGCATTGATTGCTGAGCCAGTCATGATTCCACAGACTGCTGCTGCAGTATTCCACACTACTGTTGCTTCTCGCAGTGTTTCATCTGCTTCTAATATAACTGGAACTTTTCGTTTTCTATCAGCATTGACTGTGTCTTGCAGCTCTTTACATTTGGACTCGTTACGATCGCATCATCCGTTTGCTGCCATTCATCAAAGCCGATCATTATCTTCTTCAAGATTTCCATGGAGTAGCAATCAAAAGAATTCTTTATTTTCAAGTACTAGGTAATTGTGTATTCATTCAGTATCTTGGTTGGTTTTATAGCCATGCATTCTAATTCGCATTAATGCCATGTCAACATTTTCTACTTGATACTGTTGCAATCATGATATTTAATAGATTCAATACAAAATGTAATTCTATACATTCTTTCAAGGTATCACAATCTCGTTCATTCTGGTCATTCTTTGGAGCTTCAACGACCACATCTACTCAGGCTCTTGTCGACGCTCCCATTGTATCTGCCCCATCGATTGAAAATGCTACTAATACGGCCAGCACTGTTGGAGATCAAATTCTAAACGAAATTCCAGTAGAACCCATATCTGCTATTGCAGAAGGAACCAACATTGGAGATCTTATGACAGAGACCGCACTTGGTGCCATTACTCAAATTGGCGATCTGCATTCACTTGGATTGGCCAATTATAATCCAGTGGGATTATTTCAGATCATCTCAGAATACATCTATGTTTATTCCGGCATGCCTTGGTGGGCAACCATTGTTGCTTTGACCATCATTGTTAGAATTATTGTTGCTCCATTGGCAATCAAGGCTCAGGTTGCTGGTGCCGTGTTGGGAGGTCTACGTCCCAAAACTGATCCTATTCAAAAGCGAGTCACCCACTTGCGAAGTATTGGTGATACCGCTGGATCTCAACGCGAAGCTCAAAAACTCTTTCAAGTGTACAAGGACAATAATATCAGTCCACTCTCTATTGGCTGGGGTATCATTCAAGCTCCAATCTTTATTTCTGTGTTTATGGCCATCAAATATATGGCCGAGCTTCCTGTTCCTGGATTTACCACTGGAGGGTTTGGATGGATCACTAATCTATCTACTGCCGATCCCACGTATATTCTTCCCATTCTTTCTTCGATTGGCATGCTAATTACTATGGAGGTAGGAGTTGGATCTTGGTGTTTTCCATTAGGAGTTGTTGATGCATTGTGTTGATATTCTATCATATACCGTCATGTTAGTACTCGCCCAAACTTACTGGCTCTCCTCCTCAAAGTGCTATGATTCTCATGATCATGCGTGTTGCTTCAGTAGTAATGATTCCTGTAATGGGCGGCTTACCAGTGGTACGTTTCTTTTCGTGTTATGGACTCGTTGGCTATAGTTGATGTGAATAGAATGTATTGTAATACTGCGTGAAATTTAGGCTGTATTTATATATATGTTGGTCAGCACGGTGCTCATGATTGCGCAAATGTATCTCCTAAGTATCCCTGCAATTCGTGTCAAGCTAGGACTCTCTAAAGTTGTTCCAGCAGCTGTGATGGCTCCTCCCGGCATGCTCGTTGTTAGCCCAATTGGTCTGACTCATGCAGCTAAAGCCATTCAAGAAGCACGCAGAGATTTTACCAAATCCACCAATGTGATTTCACAATCTCTTGATAAGAAATAAACAATGATGCTTATGTCTTGAACATTTAGCATGTAAAATAAACTGGAATGAGTTGATCATGTATTTGATGCAAATCAGTTGAAATTTAACATATTGAAACAATAATGCAAGGTGAATCCAGTTGAATATACCATTGCATTAAAAGTTTCAACAGCATATTTGAAGATTGATCAAGTTGTCAAGACTTGTTAAACAATGATATGTAGTATTCCCAAACACGCATCTTATTCTAGACAACATTTCATTCCATAAACCAACTCATTGAACAGGGTTTACCAACCATTCAACCAATGTTGCAAGAATTAGAGCTCCAATTGTTCATTCTTGAGCCTTGTAGAAAATGACTCGAGTATAAAGAATGGGTTTATCAAATAATTCCAAACATCAAAGAATTAAAAATTAAAAAAAAGAAGCGACAACGGCAGGGTTCGAACCTGCGAGTACAGAGTACACCAGATTTCAAGTCTGGCGCCTTAACCACTCGGCCACGTTGTCGACATTTGTGCTCATTTATGAACAAGTATATTATGAAACAAAACTCAAATCAATGTTTTAAACCAGATCTGACGAGTTTTGTTCAATCATCTCCATTCATGTCAAGAGATGAAATATTTCTTAAATGCCCTCTTATGCCACACCCATACTCTCATACTAAAAACACAATATAATAGTGGACAAGTCAGTCAGACACCGCAACAAGGCAGCACATGTCCCAGTGAACAGGGAAATTGTATTGTGGTGATATAAAATATGATTATATTTATGCAGACTGAGCACGAGCAAAAGCAGCCTTCTTCTGAGCAATACGATTCTTGCGCTGCTTGAGATTCATTGGCTGGGGCTTGTAGGACTTGAGCTTGGCCTTTTCAGCATCGGTAAGAGGCTTACGCTCCTTCTTTTCAGCAACAGGATTCTCACGAATCTTGTTGTGAGCCTCCTTGTAGATGTCTTCAAGATCTGCTGGCTCAATACCATCGGCAATATAGGTAGCAAATTGACGTTTGTAAGCCTCGTCATCTTCCTCAATAAGGTACTCCATATACTCGGTAACGTGTCCACCATAAATGTAGCTGGCAAGAAGCTCAGTATCACACTTTTTGTCAGACTTGCTGTATGCAGGGAAACGATTCTCGCTGTAAGGAATAGCAAGGCCACCGTCAACAGCACCCTTAAGAGCTCCAAAGATACGGGAACCAGTGGTGGTACGACGAAGACCAATATCAAGGAAAGCACGGAAAGGACGGGGACCATCCTCCATAGGCTCAATTTTGTAGTATTCTCCATCAGGCTCGACACAACCCTCATACTTGGAATCAAGGTTAAGTTTGGTAAGAACACGGCGAGCAATAAGCAGACCGGTAGCATAAGCAGCAGCCCAGTTGGTAAGACCGTGCTTAATGCCGTATTTGGGGAGCTCATGGGAGTAAGCTGCAGCCATGACAACGTCTCCTTGGATCTTAGAGTAGACGATCTGGCAGACAATGTCCTTTCCAGTAATACGGACAACAAGACGGTGTTTGGGAGAGTTGTACTTGTTCTTTGCCTGAGTTACAAGGCGCTTACGAGCATAGTAGTCAGTCTTTCCCTCTACGATCGTATATTTAATTTGTTGAAAATAGCAAAGAATTAGTTGATCAATACTAGAGGATCTGATATTCAAGCTTGGAATATTCAGTGCATTGCATCAGATAGGGGCGAAAGAAAATTTGTATCTACATGATAGTTTCAGGTGAACTATGCTTATACAATCATCATGCGCAATAGTACACGAATTCCATATACATCATGAATCAAAACATACCACGACGACGACGATACTTGGTTTGGTAGCGCTTAAAGTAAGCCTTGTTCTTGACGACTTTGACAAAGGGCTGGTAGAGGCAAAGCAAATGCAGTTAGCAAAAAATGTGCACCAATGCATAGATGGATGCATGCAGATGGATGCATGCGATGGATGAATCAAGCCAAAGAATAGCAGCAATTACCATGATAGAAGGAGCTGCTGTTGTGTGGAAAAGAAACCAGCAGCTTGAAACTTGTAAAATTCCAAGTCCAAATACCTGAGGATCTAAATTAATTTGGCGTACACTGAAGTCCAACTATCCGATCAAGCAGTTTCTGGCCGAGTTTGCCCACACTTTCACGCTTTTTCCAATGGTATTGTGCCATGCCTCTTGCTATTCATTTGTGCATCTCTTGATGCATCCATCCATCAAACAGCATATGCATGCATGCAAAAGGACCACCAAGCTGCCCATCCAACTGCTCATAGTACATTTGCAAGTCCAAGCATGTCTTGTGCTTATAGCAGACTATTGCATGAGTTGACATTTCAACTTGAATTACGTACTACTAAATTGCTTACAATCATTGAAACATCAACATTTGAAGCAGGATGGGCAGAGTCTTTATTTTGTAAACTATCCAGGACTTGAATTCGGTGGCCTGCTAAATATGCAGTTACCTCGCTGCATGCTATACTTGATATGGATACAAAAGTATAATCTTGCCATACTAACGCTATATTATGTAGACTTTCTCAAGACTTGTTGAGGTTGGCCGCGTTGTCAACATTACTTTTGGTCCCGATGCTGGCAAACTTGCCGTTATTGTTGAGATCATTGATCACGGACGAGTATGTTGTTGGATTGACATTACTGCAGTTGTCGGATTCATCTGTACTCATTCTTTTCAATCTGTAATATTATTTGGGCATTGCTTGATCTCTAGGTTCTCGTTGACGGTCCCACCACCGGTGTTACTCGCCAGTCTCTTCCCTTTAAGCGTCTTGCCCTTACCTCGATTGTTTTGAAGATTCCTCGCGGTGTTGGCTCTTATGCTCTCAAGGGTATGGTCGAAAAGCAGGACCTTTTGGGTCTTTGGGGCCAGACTGCATGGGCCAAGAAGATCCAGCAGCGTGCTACTCGTGCTGCTCTCACTGACTTTGAGCGTCACAACCTGCGTCGCCTCCGCGCTCAGGTGTGTTTTGATTGGAGTAATTTGTCGATATTCTATTGTACTTACAACCTACTGTCATGTAACTCTTGTCTATAGAAAACTGCAGTTATTGCTAAATGCCTCGCCAAAACAAAGTCTCAGTAAACATTTGTTCTTTTCTATAACTATATCTTATTTTTTTCAGTTGGAATGGATGAACAGTAGTGCGGGGTGAAGAAACATTGAGCTTTTAGATGATTGGTGACTATTCTGTTGGATCTTTTACACGACTTTTGGATTTCGAGCCATATTCGCGTAAAACGGAACTCGTATTTGTCAATACACAACGGCTAAATATTCGCTGCACTTTTCTACTAGAAATCGACTTTGATCAACATAATGACCATCATATAATACAAACTATAGTTTTGAGCGTGTCTTTTCCCCACTTTTGGTATAGCCATACAGTGTATGATCACCAGACTTGTCCATTACAGTTCAGATATTGGATTTGATTGTTAGTCAAATCCATATCTGTTGTCAAACTAGATTGGATACACTTGCGTCCTAGTTTAAAACAAAAATTGAAATTTGAGCAATGCAACTATTTTTGTGCCAATCACCAGGAGAAGCCCACCAAGCTAAAGAGTTTAAAAGACAATACTGTAGTGAATTTGGCGTAAACTAGCTGTTATATACTGACATCCTTATTCAATGCTTCATTTTACGTGAATACGGTTACAAATATAAAACTTTAGTACCCGGAACAAACTAGAGTAGTAATTGGGTGCAGGTTACATATGAATGCTTTGCAATTATTCGTTTTACAATCAAGATCAAATGGTCTAGCTCCATCAAGATTGTAACTTTTCGTCGTGGATATACAGTTTTTTGGGTGGATTAAACACATGATTATAACTATAATATCTCGAATTCTCATTATTGTGTTACGTCACCAGTAACCATTGGATCTAATTGCAAAAACCTATATAAAACACCTTCTTTTCCTTGTACCACTATCATTCCATGCCATGTCACTTCAAACTCAGTCCATGATTTTTATGCTAGATGCTGAGAGCCTTCATATCCCAACGAAGCACGCCAAAATGTCATTCAATGATGATGTGGATACACATAGCAATCGGAATAGTCACCAAAATCACATTGCCGTTTCTCACCAGTTTGTAGCCAGCACCAATCAGCACCAACTAGATCTGAATAAAAAAATGGGTGCCGAATTGCCTGACATGTTCACTTTTGCACAGCATAGTGCATCAGCACCCTTTGATTGTGTCGCTCAACCACCGACTGATCACAATGTCGCGTCGACAGCATTTTGTTCATTACCATTATTACAGCAAGTATCTCCTGATTCTATTTCCAATTACGAATGTCCGGGACAAAAATACATGTCGGAAAAATTAAAGGACTCGGCATACTTTTCAGCAAATTTTACAGATTGTCCCGACATGGCTCATATGCGTATTCCACCATTTGCTACCTTAACAAGACAAGTTGCCGTCATGTCAATTGGCGAAAACTGTATAGATTCTGGACTTGTGTATTGCCCTGTACCAAAAAATACTATTTCCATCCCTTTGCTTGAAAAAAACACCATGTTTCAAAGTAATGATTATTTGCATGCCTTTTCATTCCAAAAACAATTGATTGGGCTTAAGCGCAAGGCAACTTGATTGAATTTTATTTTTGTAATGTCTGCATTCAAAAGTCGTTTTACAGTCATATTCACATAAAATGGAGCTTTGAATAATACAACTGCAGTAGCTCTAAACCACTGACTGCTGTACTTTTTTGTCCTTTACACAACTGCTACTCTGCTAATTCACGTATAAAATCGTTATATGCGTAATATTTGCTCTGTATACTCTTCAAATGATTCCTTGAAAACACTTTTTGTTAAAATATATGAGTTTCAAGTATTTTGTCACTTTGGTTTATTGCACATGACGCGTATGTTGGCTTTATCACCATCGTACTTGCGCAAAATAGAGCACTAGGATGTTCAGTGGATAATAAGTAGTTGGTCTCATGGAATGATAGTTCTCGCCACATCTACTAGACACGTTTTTTGTTTTCTTGAACTAAAACGCAAACATATTCGAGGTTTTTGGATACCAATACGACTTTATACAGAATTTAAAATAATTGAATTGTGTCTGAATTGCAATCAATGAATCTGGTGATTGTACAATGCATGGCTATGCAAAAGACAAGAAATACCCTCAATTCAAAACTAGTTTGATTGTTTGCATCATATAGTGGACATTGTGTTTTGAAGAATTGATGATGCCAATATTCAGTAGGAAAACAACGAATATTCAATCATTGTTTATTTTAAAGCAAAATAGGGCAGTGACTAAGATAAATACAAAAGTGTTCCGTTTACGTGAATATGGTTTTAAATGCCATCAATGTTAAGGCTCTTTTTGTATTGTCGAACAACTCCATCACCAACACCTAGTTTTCCCTCAAAGCGGGTAAGACCGCCATTGTCACACACCCATACTTCGTTGCAGACAGCATCCAAAAACTGTTCGTCGTGAGATACAATCGCAATACCGCCTTTAAATTCTCGAAGTGCTGCTGAAAGAGCATCGATCGACTACAGGCCATATTTGTTATCACCACATCAGAAAAAAAACAGAAATCAATGGTTAGAACATTCAACAACAAATTTAGCTCAGCAACAATGGATCAAGCGTTTCATACATCCATATCCAAGTGATCTGTATAGTGGATATAGTTTAGAATAATTACAAGTTAGTTTTTTGCTTGCATATATAGCTCAGGAATAGTTGAACAGCAACTCACTGGTCGGTTCATCGAGAATGAGAACATGAGGGTTAGTCATAGCCATCCAGGCAAATACTACACGAGATTTTTGACCTCCAGAAAGCGTGCCAATAGGCTGAAGTGCCGACATGCCAGGAAGTCCAAATCTGCCCAAAACACGACGGTACTCTTCTTCAGGCATTCCAGGAAACTTGGATGCAAGAAAATGAACAGAGCTACCACCCAACTCAAGTTGATCTACATGATGCTGCGAAAAGAGTGCAAGGCGAAGTCTGCCGTGGCGATGGCATATACCGTTCTTGGGTGCGTTTTCTCCTGTAAGCAAATGTACCAATGTTGATTTACCTAGTATATAAAATACAAGCAGTAGTCCAGATATTGGTATTCAAAAAAACTGATCATCAAACTCGGCACAATGAATCCAGCAAATTACTTTTCAAAATCTACAATAACACTTACCAGCACCATTGGGACCCACAACAGCAATTTTAGAATCCATTTGTAAATCAAAACTAATGTTTTTGAGAATTGTACGATCAGGAGTGTATCCAAAAGATACATCTGTCATTTGCAAAATAGGTGGCGATAATTTTTCAGGAGCTGGAAATTTGAAATAAATACTGTCCTGGCCTTCACCCATCCCCTCCATGTCATCTTTGGATGGAGGAACCAAAGGTGGAAGCTTTTCAAGAATCTTGATCTTGCTCTGTGCTTGGGCTAATATTAGGCAGTATCATCTGGATTAATGCCATCTTCCAAATTAAAAGATTCGCTTAAATCCAGTCAATACAAACAGTATGCCTTATTAAAAAATTACATACCAGAACGCTTAGCATTATAGCGCCATCTATCAATAAAAGCCTGCAAATGTTGGCGATACTGAAGCTGAGCTTCGTATTCACGAATCTGGTTACGCTTGCGCTCAAGTCGAGTAGCGACAAAATTGGTAAAGCTTCCACGATAGTGATCCAACTGATTTGAATGGAGGTGCAGAATATCTGTTGATACAGAGTCCAAGAATGATCGATCGTGCGACACAATCAATAGGGTGGCAGGCCAATTCTGGAAATAGTTTTCAAGCCATACAACTGCTGGAAAACTGTAGTAATGTCAGTATTGCTGGCTAAACTCGTGGCGTGTGTTGATCAAATACATACACTTTTTAATTGCATAATCTATTGAATCAACTTACTCGAGATAATTGGTCACTTCGTCAGCAAGCAAAAGATCTGGACGACAAAATAGTGCACGTGCAAGTGCAAGCCGCTATTGAATATTAGTTGGAAACACTACCATAGTCAATATTAAACTGACACATTTTAAAATAAAATAGTCATGCATGACTAAATGCAGCAGTTATGCCCAAAAATGATGCACTTTACCATACGCCATCCACCAGAAAAAGTTCTGGTAGCCGCTTGTTGCTGGACAGGGGAAAATCCAAGGCCGTTAAGAATAGCCGATGCTCTAAAATAATGTGTAAAACAAGTCGAGTGCATAAATATCCAATGCCAAAATAGTACCGACATGCAATTCCTATGATATTACTTTGATTCTGCTTTGTCAGACTCAATCTCTTCCATTCTTGCATATATGTCCTTGAGTCGTTGGTTCAAGGCAGCCATCTCGCCAGCAGGCGTAGATGTCTTGTTCAGTTTAATATTGGTAGACTTTTCTTCCTTGATAAGCGACTCGCGCTCTTCATCAGCTTGCAACACAGAGTCAATAGCTGAAGTATCATCTCCAGCAATCTAAAATAAGCATTTTAAAGCAAATATGAGATTTAGACTGGCATAAAACAATAGTTGCATTTCTGATTACAATCTCTGTTCTCTTGAACCAAAACGCGAATGTATCTGAAATTTTAGAATATTGAAGAACTGAGAATGCTAATATCCAGTAGGAAAACAACACATTCAACCATTGTCTATTCCAAAGCAGAAAAGTTGAAAGTGTTGCATTTACGTGGATATGATGGCAAGTATTTGCAAATTCGTGTAGACTGAATCATCAATCTACACTAAAAGCAATTTTATAAACAAATCTAATCTGTAAAATACAATTTCTAGATCTTGCCTCTTGTTCAACATGCAACACTCGCATGTGTGAAGACACTACCAGCTCCTTGTGTGCAATCGCACGCAGCAACGTTGATTTTCCAATACCATTCTTTCCAACAAGACCGTATCGACGACCAAAAGCCAGCATAACATTAGCATTGGTAAGAATAGGCTTGCCAGCATACTGAATATCGAAATTTTCCAACTTGATGTCTTTGGATCGGCTGTCGGCCACTGACTGTGACTTGGTCTGATTAACAATGATCGCTGGCTTGACATTGGGATTCCAAACGGGAATATCTTCTTCTCCAGTGTATCCACCTCTGGCTGCTCTCTTCTCAGCAATCTTTTTTTCAGCATTCAGCAATTTGCGCTGATCGACTAAACTTGTACCTGGACCTCGAGATGACATGATATGGCGGATATCGCCAGCTTTTGGAGCCTGCGTGAGTTCCAAGGTATTGGATGTGGTTTGGCTCATGGTCATGGAGCTTTCCAAAGCCTTGACTTCCCCAGACTTGCTAGTCTTGTTGGATGAATTCATATCTGCAAATCTCTGGCATAAGTCCTGAATCAAATCAGTAGTAGCACCTGCTTCATCCAACAAAGGACCCAAAAAGTCATACAATGCTTCATATGAATGATCGTTAGACTCGTCTTTAAAGTATCCAAGCATCTGTATAATAAGATCGTATTAGGATTAGTGTTGATGTCAACTTTGAATCTTGGCTAAATCAACAAGGCACGAAGTAGCCAATGCAGTCTTGAATTAACCAAAATGCATTGATAAAAAGTCTTGAAGACCAAAACACTTGCATAGTCGAGTAGGTCCGAATCGACTTGTGGTGCTGCTTCCAGCAGCAAAGTCCTCGTATTGTCAATGAGCATTAAAGAGCTTGAACAGAATTTGATCCCAAAGGAAAAGCCGAAACTTGCAAAAAGTTCTGCCTTGCGCTCATTGCCAATCCATCGTATTCACGTAGAACGGAATACCACCAAAATAATAATAAACAGCTTGTTCTCACACATTTACTCGACAATATTATGTTTTGAATTCATTTGTTGGGGTTTCTCTTACTGATTGGCATCGAAACAACAGTTGCATTCCTGAGATTACAATCTTTTTTCCTGTTAGATTAGAACACAAACGTATTTGTGACATTTTAGAATACAACAATGATAAAGTTGTAGAGTCTGATTAACATTAGAACAGTTGAATTCAATATCTTCATTGCAATCAATGAATCTGACGACTGTACAATGCATGGTTATGCCAAAAGTAGGATGATTCCAATTCGAAACTATAATTTGGTTGTGTTTGCATCATGTAGTGGACATTGTGTTTTGAAGAACTGAGAATGCCAATATCCAGTAGGAAAACAACGCATTTAACCATTGTCCTGAAGCATCCACTGCAAGATAAACATGTGCTTCATTTTACGCGAACACGGCTGTAAATGATTGATGACCTTCGAATCATTATCAAAGTTGTTGGCAATGCAGTAGTGTGGATATGTAAATAATCCGATTTAAGTGTGAATATACAACTTGATAATAGCCACAAGTTTCAGAATCTTGTTTTATACTCGACTTTGTTGCCATTGATAGTTTAACCTTGTACTGTTACTATTTGCATCTTTGTTTAAACTCCGCCAGTCTACACCTGTTTACTTGAATTCAAATCATCGAATTTGACTACTGCGTCCGCCATCGGAACATTAAAACTAAAATCTCAACTCCACAATCACCACCAATCTGCTCATCTACAGAATGTCATTCTACACCGCCGTATCATTGCTACTTTTAGCCAACGCCATGTCTACTGCAGCACAAGGATGCATGGACACCTTTTCACTATGTCTGGTAGTTTCTGATCAATTCGAAGCTGCTACGTGTGTGCCTCAGAAACTCGTTAATCAGACCTTGTACACTGCGTGCGAATGTTACCGTAATGTCAATAGAGAGTAAGTCGTGGTATATGCAATGCATGAGATGTCATTCCCAATACTAGTTTGAAATGCTATGAGTTTGACAGTGTTTGGTCATTGCAACCACTACGATGGCTTACAATCCATGTATTTATTATGTATAGTCTGTGTTACAATCAATGTTCTGGCAACGCAACCCTTCAAGCAGAGCGATTGACTACCGTGGCCGTCATGATCAACCAAACCTGCAGCGAGGCAGGCCTGAATCCTCACGCTCTTCCCCAGCCTCCACCGTGGCAACGATTTGGGTTACCTTCATCGACTGTTGCTAGCACACCGCCCACCAATACAGCTGGAACTGCAGGCGCACCAGTAGCAGGTACTGCCAACACTCCTGCCAAAGCAGCAGCAGCAGGTGTTCATGAATCTGGTGTCTGGATGAGTGCAATGACAGCCAGTCTGCTGTGTCTTGTCACTGCCATCATGGTTTAATCTGATTATTATATTTAAACTATCAAATAAGCTAGTTGCATATAATGTTTGAATGTCTTTTGGCCATACTTGAACGCTCCATACAACAGTCTGGTCAATGTTGATACATTAATTCATTTAATTGTTGTGCAGTTACTTGTCCATCAATGAACCAATCCATGTGTAGCCCACATTCTGACTCAACTCGATTCTTGTCTTGATTGTCTTGTGTCCGTTATTGAAAATGCCAAATAAACTTTGTTTCTCAATTATGCTGCAATGGTTGGTATTGAATTATCTGGTGTAATATTGGACAAAATGACCATGCATAGAATATGCGATATGGTTGGTTTTGTCAAGCTACCATTTGATGAATAAAACCATATATGGATCAAACAGGTTTGAACAGGTCTGAACAGGTTCGAACAGAGTGAAAATCACTTGTGATGATCAACCACTTGCAGTTGCGATCCTGTTGACTGGTTGGACGACTGACATGATGTTTAAAACTGGTCCATTGAATTGATTGACAAATGTAGTATTATAATCTGGTTTCCAAACACTTGGCAATCAAGATTCAAATGCATTTAATTCATATAGGGTTTTCATTGCAGTGCATCAATCGCAACAGTTTTGATTAGCCAACAATCAGTAAAAGTTTAGTGTATTATTGTTTGGTTGCTTTTTTTGGCTGTTGTAGCCTTCTGCTATTCATCATTGACACATAGTCTTTGTCGAGCACTTTACTCTTGACTGGCACACCTCGTTTATCCAGTACGGGAGTTTGTGGATTGGATTGTACAGATTGTGACAAGTTGGTATGCGATTTGGTGGATGAAGCGGGTTGCATGACAATGTCGTTTACTGACAAGCCGTTGGATAGAGCAGCATCAACTGCTGTCTTGATGTCAGTGACTTTTTTTTGGGTTTCTGATGTTGGTTTTTCTATTTTAGTATTTTTTGATATTTTGATGCGGTCTCGTTCATTCTATACATGATGGAGTTAGTGAGTGCATAGCTAGCATTATGCAATGATCAATTTACAACATACTTTGGTTTGTCCTAACCGGAAGAATTTAGCTGACCTTCCCATAGTATATGGTGGACAAGTAGTAATTTTGAAGGTTTTGTTGCATGTCGAATGCCACGTGATATTATATATGGCTGGATCTGTCGGATCAAATTACTCGAGTGATCGGGATTGTTAATGTATAGTGTAAAGTTGATTGAGTTTTCATTGGGTTATACGTATATATTGGATGCATCATGTCTTGATGAAAGCAATACAATGGTTTTCAAGTTGGCGAATTTAGAAACATTATTGATGGCAGGAATCACGAATGCAACAGTTCGACCACCAGATTTAGTCGAGTTTTCAAGGACGTTGATAAACCTTAATCTTGGCAAGATTGGCATTACGAATGCTTGTTGACCAAGTGATTGATTCACCTGCGTCTATTGACGAGTCTAAGCGTAAACAGAAGAGTAAGATTGGCAAGATTCGATACTTTTCAACAAGATATAACTGATGTTTTTATGAGTTTCAATGCAGTGATGGACACGTAGCTTTACATCAACCAAAGCCAGTTTATAAAAAAGAATCGTGAAGATGAAGTGCAATAAATAGTTTAACATTGGTTTGACTCGAATCATTGATAATTTATTCGATGACAGACCGCTCTACTGTTGGTGTTCGTGGTGGAAAGAACAGCGATGATAGATATCCTAGCCATGTGTCGTTTAAGAACACTCCTCTCCCTGCATCGCTTGCTGGTTCCCATTCTGCATCGATTCGTTATGTAAAACCTGCCGAGTCTGCTACTAGCGATCCCGCTCGACAGCGACCATCCAACACTTGTCATGCAGTGGTCAATTCTCCAAAGACGACCTCTACTGACACTACAATCGGGACTCCTGTCGTAGCTCCTGTTGCTAATTCTACCCCTCAAACTACTACAGATACTATAGATACAGTAACCAAGACACTCCCAGCTGCATCTACTCCTGTTCTGCATACTGCAGTCAATGAGTTGCGACACAAGTCGCCAATCAAGGCCGAGTCTGCATTCAGCAAGGCTCGTAGCAACATTTTGCTGCAGGAATGTAAGAGTTGTATTATAATTTCATGTTCAATGACTATCGTGCTGTAGTCGTATTAGTTTTAATTCTAATGTCGATGCAATGACTAGATGAACTGGGTCGCTTTTCGGACATTTCTGTTGTTTGCTGTGGACAGACATTTCGTCTGCATCGCATCGTATTGATGCAATCACCATTCTTTCGAGGGTTGTTGCTATCGAATCTGGCCAGTGCCATCATTTCTTTGCGCACCGATACTGATCCTCGTATCACTACTAATGGCTTAGAAGTTGCATTACGAGACCTGTACACAATTCATCCCTCTTTTCAACGCAAACTGATTTTAACCGAGTCAACTGCAATGTCCGTATTGTCTGCAGCTTGTTTTCTAGAGCTTGAAGATCTTGCTGAATATAGTGTCAGGCAGATCGCTACTGTCATGTCGTGCACCTCAAACATTGGTGTTCTTGCATTACAATTGGATCATTTGGATCCACTAGGATTTGCCAAGCCTACGTCCTATGGGCCACAGCATCAATACACAGTGCTGCTAGCTCGTTATCATGCACAATTAAGTAGATTTTGCACTGCATCGTTGTGCCGATTTATTGGTCTCTGCAGTATGAATGATAAAGATGCTGAAAACAGTTGTGATGAGGACACCAGTGCTGATTCTTTAAATGATATTGGCTCAATGACTGCTGCTGTGGCTGCCGAGCCTGTATCTAGTGACAATACACCAATGGTATCGGCAACATCAGGTGCTGTGAAACAAGTTCAGCGCAATAATACAGAGAAAGTCAAATTGCATCTGCAGTCGACTGATCTTCAAACTAGCAACGTGGAAGCAGCAATATCTCCAATCGTTAAATTTTTGGCTGTTCTTCCCATGTCGTGGATCAAAAAGCTTATCGAATCTGACTGGCTATGCGTGCGTTGTGATTTTGATCGATATCTAATCACCACTCAAATCATTCGGATCAAATTTAATCAAAATCAACCGCTTACAACCCATGGCACACTGCATGGTTTTGAGTCCACTTCCTTTTTTGATTTTCCTTACACTAGCAATACTTCTTGCCAGCAGTCATCAGCAAATGTGTTTGATGAAATAGACACATCTTTTGATCTTACTTTTGAGCCTCAAGCCAAAGTTAAGAATGACGAGCATTATGTTGCTTGTGCGTCCAAGAATGCCAACAAGGCTCAGGAAAATAACAATAAATCGCATCCTGCTCCAGTTCCTGCCGTGTCAAGTGTAGCTGGACTGTTTTCATCTCTTTTTGACGGATTTTTATCATCCAAAAAGCGAAAACTCGATTCTGATGAAGAGTTGCCAAGCAAACATACTTCCGATGACAGTGACATTGAAATCAACTCAAAGCGCGACTCATCGTCTGTGACTTTTGATTATGAAGTTGGTGGCAAGTCTGATGCTCAGCGCGACAGTCAAGCTATGGATACTAAACATCGGAAAATCAAACCTCTTAAATCGAATCGTCGTGGAAATGGTACTCGCCGTGTATCTCCAGCCAATACAGTTTCGTCGGTAGAAAACCAGTCTCTCATTGTCAAAGAGATTTTTGAGCATAGTATTACGTATACTTATATGACTTTTCCTCAGTTGGAGGTGGTCAAACGTGATGGGATTGTCCCCACAAACATTGTTCTTGAAAGCCATTGGTTACAGGCTGAGTTGAGCAATCCTACCTCCTCATTAAAAAGTCGATCTCGTTCCAGTAGTCTTGTTCAGAGCTCAACAGATATGAGCATGCCTATATCAACAATATCTACTGCTGGGTTTGGACAATCTACCAATTCATCACATAAGAAACTGCCTCCGTTTCGTTTTGGTGTTCGATTCGATAATATTCGTGATCAGTTTGCTGCTCATCGACATCTTATGACTGGCGCAGCTGGAGATTCAGATGTTTCACCATTAATGATTTACTCGCAGTCTGTGGTATGTGCGGGAACGCAGTACCGTTTGGTGCTCTCGTATGAATTCAACTGCACTTCAGACTTGTCTGTATCTGCTACATCCAATAGCATATCTGGTTTGCAAGCAAATGCTGAAGCGCCTTTGAATGCATCAGATGCTACATCCATGCAGAACAATGTAGATGGTGTTGCTCAATATGGTGCCAAAGCATTATTACAGCGTAGTCGTACATCCACAAGTGGTGTTCAATCAAGCTGCCAATCCATATCATATCGAGTGTATGCTTTCGATCATATGGCACCTGTGAAACTAGATGATATAGACATGTTTGAACCAATAACCAAGTGTGATTTTTCTGGGAATGGACACGCACGATCGTTAAATATTGACCATTGGGAGAATAACAGATTTGATCATACTGATGATGGACACGATAGTATTTGGCTTGTGGCTGTTATCGAGTTTTAAATGAAGATTCTGTATTTTGGATGACTACTTCTTGAACTATTTCATCAAATTGATTTCAATAGTTGCCTAGTATATGTATTTCGTGATGAGCGGGGTTTGGATGTGCAAATGATAATTGTATTGGTTAGAAACTAAAACCTTGGTAAAAGTAATATAAACACACGTCTTTTCATACCCATAATGGTTACATGCATTTATCTTGAAGTTTAAAAGTGATTTCCAAATGCCAACAACTCAAGCCAAATAACATCGTTTCAATGGATGTAAAAGTATACATCTGATGTTTGGTTATTGATATGTAAAGTTTGAATATATCGTAATGACAAATGTGGCACTATCACGATTCATTAATCTAATGTATTGTGAAAATCAGATACAAAAGTATGTTATTGTGATGCAAATAGCATTTCTGTTGTAATAACACCAGCAACGATAGCTCCAAGCCTAAGCGACCACCGAATATTAGAGCTTTTCCACGCCCATAGTCCAACAAGTCCTACAGTCAATGCTCTTGCGCTATATACAATGATCGGATTCCGTGGATTGCGTTTTACTACTGCATCCTTGTCAGAAATATTCGTTGCAACAGATTTCATGCTCAGCTCAGCACCATCACTACGTGCCTTGATATTAGAATTGCTCTTTGCATTTTCCCCAGATACGGATTGAGCATCTTCAAAGTCGGAATCTTGATAAACATTGTCGGCCACTACTTTGACAGTACGCTTAACTCGAACAAGTTTGGGCATCCGTTTAGGAACAACTTCACCGTGTGACAGTTCAACCGTCTTTTTGTCGATGCGATCCAAATCGTCTTGCAGAGGCTCGCCCATCAAATAAAATTTACTGGCTCGTACTATCCGAACATGAAATGTCTGACCCATCAGCTTTTCGTTTTTTGGCACAAGGATCTGTTGGTACGGCTTATTATGGCCGACATAGTGGTTTCCGTCTGCACTTTGCTCTGTTACAAGAATCTTTTGTATGGTGCCGACAAGTGAATCGTACGTAGTGTATGATTCAAAAAAGGTAGTGGCTCGACGGCTACGATTTTTAACGATATTGGTTGAAATACGCTTCATGCGAGCTGCAGGGGTTCCCGGACGTGGATAGAATTGAGAAATATGAAGAACTGAGAATTTGTATTTTTCCAATAAATGCATAGTCTCGTCAAAATCTTCGTCTGTTTCTGTTGGAAACCCTAGATGTTTAGAGTAGATAAAAATATAGTGAATAAACTACACATGAATAAAGTAAAACAGACAATGCCCGAGTGGCATTCCGAATTATTGTACAATGAGTTTATAGTGCATCAATACAGCCTACCACAAATGATGTCTGTGGCGATAGTGACACAAGGCACCTTTTCTCTCAATACATCCACTACACGCTCAAAATCTTGAACCGCATACAGACGACGCATATCATCCAGCACTTTTGTGGATCCAGCCTGTACAGGAACATGCAAAAACGAATACACTTTGGGGTGATTCAGTACTTTTGCAATTCCTTTAAGATGCTCTAAAATGTATGGAGGATTGGTCATGCCTACACGCAACATAGCGTCTTGAACAATATGTTTATCCATTGCAACCAAAATTCCTTCTAAAAGATCAACAATAGATACACCAATATCCCGCCCATATGCACCAGTATCTTCTGAAGTAAGCCAGATTTCCTTGACACCCTCATGCAGCACGGATTCGACTCGTGCAATGATTTCTGCTAAACTATATGATCCTAGATCTCCTCGAGCATGTTTAGTCTAATTCAGCAATTTCAAAAAAAAAGGACTGGTTTGTATTCAAATTGGTACTTGTAGATATAGCACAACCCAAACCACACACCTTGCAATATGTGCATTGATTCAAACAGCCTGTGTTGATGGGAATGATTTCAATAAATGGATTTCTGCGAACTTTTGGTAAATCCAAACGAGCACCTCCAGCCTTTCGCTTGACACCATCAGCAGACACCTCTTTGGCCTCTTTCATCAATCGAATAGTATTTCCCTTGAGTGTTTCTTCTACAACTCTTACGACTTGATCAATTTGTTGAACCTATTTCAGTGGTAATAGTGTTATAATGCGTACGATCCTACACGAAACTATCCAATTCATGAGCCGACTTACACCAATAACACTCAGACCTTTCCATTCGTCATTACTGGGACTAGCCTGTGGAACGCATCCAGCAACCACAATCTTTTTTCCAGCAAGTTTCCCCTTATCAATGTCATTGACAAAAGTCTGTTGAGATGGACCTTTAACAGTACACGAGTTCAACACCCACACTTGGGCTTCTTCGGCTTTGCTGTGATCGAGAATAACATTGTAGCCGTCAGCAGCTAGAAGACCAGCCATGTATTCTCCGTCACTGTTGTTGTGGCCACATCCCCATGTTTTCACAAACACACTGGCCTGTCCAGGCAAAAAACTGTTGGTGGATATATCCACTGGAGTGTCTGCGATGTTGGGATTCCACAAGTCGATTGCAGGTTGTTTCTTGAATGTCTTGACAGTGACAACTCCCTGTGACTTGCGCTGGGAAGTCGGATCAAAAAACATCGACTCTGTGACATTGTCGATTCCATGGCCGGCTGGGCCTGATTCCGAGGCAAGCAGGTCTTCAATATCCATTGCAGTCATGGCTTTTTATAAAAAAAGAACCCAAAATAGTTTTGTAATGAAACTCGCTTTTTATTGCTCAACATTATTACTGCAGTTTGCAACAATCTATTCACAACACTCTGAATGGATAGTTGACACACTTTTCAACAATATGCTTGCATCAAGTCGACGATTATTCGCGAGCAAAGGATACGACCAACTCGCATGGCATGGTGTGTGGAAATAAATCCACAGTTGTGCCTTGAACAGGTCGGAATGGAGTGCCTTGGTAGCGCTTCGATGTTGGACGACACAATTCCACAAAGTTGCTACACGCTTGCTTGGCATCGCATGAGATGTACACTACATGTTTAAGATGGCGACACGCTCGAATGGCTGCAATGACAGTTCCATTCACTCCAACACGAGCAGGATCTAACACGGCTACAACTTGATCTTCGGGACCAACATGGTTACGGAATACTTCTCCAATTTTTTCTTCTACTTTACCGCACAGATACACTGCATTGGTTACCCCATTATCTTGTGCATTTACAATCGCATTGTCAATTGCTTCCTGAACAAGTTCAACACCAACCACTTTTTTAAAATGGCTGGCCAAAGTAATGCCAATTGTGCCAGTACCGCAGCAAAGATCCAAAAGAACCGTGTTGCTACCATCAATCGGACTGGATGAGGCTAATGGCGTGACATCCTTTGTTTTTGGTATTTCAGACTCTGTAACACTAACACTTTCAGACTCCTCAGTATTTTGCTCTACTTTGGTAGTCGAGTCTACTGTAGCAGAGTCCTGCGTTTGTTCTATTTGATCAAAATCGCGAAGAACAGGACTAGACAGGCAAAGATCTTTAACAATCGAATACAAGACTTCAGTGGCAGGAGTGTTGATTTGGAAAAATGAATCGGATGAAATTTTGAAACTAATGCAACACGACAACAATAATGAAATTAGACAATATACATGTGAATCAAGTTTGGCCAACAATGTAACCATAAAATTAAAAATCGTCATTGTATAATAAAACGATAGTCACTTACGTATAGTCAAACAGCTTTTCAGTCACAGTACTGGATCCTTGGAGAATTTCAAACGAGTCACTTGGCTTGAATCCACAAAACAAAGCAGAGGATTCTTGATATAAAACGTTTTCAATGCTGATCCCAAGCTTTTCTGCCTGCTCGTTGATGTAGGGAAGAATACGAGATTTTTCAGCCTTGGCTAGAGCCGAAGTTTCGGCATCTGTGGCTTCGTCATACAGCGCAACTTGAAGAAAAACCATGTCTAATTAAATCAAGATCAATATGGTTAACATTCACGCTTGACTGTGCGTTATAGTATAGATTTAGAAACACGATTTGAATTGACACTTACTTTTACCAGTAGATGGAGTACGAACCTGAGCCAAACGCCAATATCCACTCTTGGTTTCACGATCATACACTGGCAGTTTAGACGTTTCAGCCAGTCCCTCAAGAATAGTAGAAATCTTTTTGGCGGTATCACTAACATGAACACATTTGTTGGGTCCCATAATAGAAGTGGTGCCATCTTTGAACCCACCAAGGAGAAACCCAACAGCAATCTCACCATTTGGATCCTTTCCAAATGAAAATTCGCATTTGGTTCGGTATCCTTCAGTTACAGGAGATGGGTGAATATCGTTCAATTGAAACAAAAGTCCACGATTGTATGCTGCCTTAGCCTTGCGCACCCAGGACATCTGATTTATGATATTTTGATGGGCTTCCTCGGCTAGAGTCACCTCAGGACTTACCTCGGCTTTTTGCAGCAGTAACTCGCGAGTGGCTTTGCTATGCGGGCTAGAGGGCTGGCTCACATTAATCATTTCTTTTGTGTATTTATTCAATATGTTGGTCATGGTTTTCTGTTTTTGAACGAGCTGCTGTTCGTAGGGAAGTCTGCCAAGATAAAGGAAATTAGAGATGGATTGATAAGCTTTAAATTCAATACATCACTGTTAAAGTGCTCAAATCATACATAGTAAATCTACACCACTCACCGCCACAGTGGAGTGACCTGATCAAAAAGTCGCTCATCAGGGGTGCGTTGATCGTCATCAGTGATTTCATCGCCACGACGCATAGGCTTATTGGTACGAGGAGCATTAGCATTGGATACTTCAATAACACGTTTCTTGTACAGCATGCCTTGCATCTTTTTTCTGCATGCCTCCATATGGTCTTCGGTATCAAATGCAATAATAGCATACTCCCATTTGGGACCTTTTTTTACGTTACGATACGAGATTTCGTTTTGAGTAAGCAATTTCTTGATGTCTTTTGGGGTAGTGAATATGACTAAATTTCCAAGAATAAGACGGTAAGCAGAAAAGCTATTATCTCGATCATCTTGACGAATTGGTTTAGCAGGAGATGGCTCTGTAGTTTCGACGCTGGAAATAGCAATGGGTTGAGTGACAGTGCTTTCCTCCTCCATAGGTTCAGCTGAATGATCAACTGCAGGTTCCTTATCTTCAATGGATTGCTTCGTGGCTGCTGTATTGGTAGATTCACAGATTGGCGTGGCATTTTCGACACCATCCATTGAATCTTCAACAGTGCAACTAGAATCGACTGCAGTTTCTTTACTGATATCAGCTTGCAATGTTTCATTGTTTTCAAGCACTACGTCATCCATTCCTGTAGCAGAATCGGTATCTTGGATAGAAGCAGCCATTTCATCTACCTCGAGAACAGTCTTTTTCTTTGTAGCAGATTTTTTAGTCATGCTAGTAATGGAATCGCAAGCTGTGCGTTTTGATTTTGGGGTTTTAACTGGGGATGGTTGATGATTACTATCTAAATCAGCATCATCATTGATGGGTGATTCTGGAGCAGCAATTGCAACTTCTTTTTTACCCTTGGCTGTTTTTTGGCGTTTAGCAGCAGATTCAAGTGGTGATTTGGTGGTCACAGTAGTAGTGGACGCACGGGCTGGAGACGTACCAGCTGTGTTGGCAGATATGCGAGTACTTTTTCTTACCATGACAATAGATGGGCAGAAATCAGGGATCGGTGTTGAAATGGTTTGTACTTTGCAATAGTTAGGGTTAGTGAAAACAGAGAAAAAATAATTGAAATTGTCAGCAACCAGCATTTTGTGTATGCTAGAAAATACTGTAAAATTCATTCAACCACACTTGATTCTTGTTTGAGATATTCTCTGATATTGGTAGACTGTTGATTTGAATAGCAGAATCATCTATTGCTCGTGTCTTTTTTACGACGACAATCTGGCTTGTTGACACGATCCGATTCTCTCGATTCAATACAAAGCGTCACTCATTTGGTCTTGTTCTGACACAATCTTGAGCATTCGACATATAGTCACATTAACTTGAACAATTGTGCAATTTTACAAACCAAAAACTTTTAAAAGACTGCCTGATGCTGTCAGAATGTCGATTTTAAACATGATAAAGTCGAGTCTTTTATATCGAAATAAATATTTCACCTGTCTTGATATCTTTTATCACCAACTGTAACAAGCTCTGTACAGATACTGTCATCACCAAGCAACACGTGGGCTTGCTGGTAACGTTGTGATCGCAAAGCTTTGGTTTGGGTTTCTTTGACGGATAGTTTATATCGTTGCATTAACCATGACAGACACTATGGTTGAATCTACAACTACCACTCGACTGATTGTTGTTTCTAATCGTCTACCAGTTACTCTCACCTATGGCGAGAATGGATCTTGGAGTTATGCCATGTCGTCTGGTGGGCTGGTGTCTGCTTTGTCTGGGTTAAAAAAGGAAATGTCGTTTACTTGGATCGGATGGCCAGGTATTACGATTAAGCCTGTTTCAAGCCATTGATCCATGGCATTTATTTGTGAATTGTGCAGCAGTAACATGTGTTGGATATGACTTAGGACTGGAACTTCCTCCCAGCGAGCAAGCAATTGTTCGTAAACAGTTGATGGAGCAATACTCTTGCGCTCCGGTATTTATTGATGATGATGTTGCTGATAAGCACTACAATGGGTTCTCCAATAGGTACAAGTTTTGTTTTAGTTGGATCGCAGATTGCATACCCTTGTTCGAATGTCTGATTTCGATAAACTTTTAACCAGGCGATCTAACATTAGTCAATTGTATTAGCATTCTATGGCCATTGTTTCACTATCATCCTGGAGAAATCAACTTCAATGAAGATCATTGGGAGGCTTATCAGGTTGCCAACAGAGCATTTGCTGATGCTCTAGTGGATGTTGTTGAAGATGGGGATGTCATTTGGGTGCATGACTATCATCTCATGTTGCTTCCTGCCATGCTTCGCAAGCGATTAGAGCCTACAGGGAGGAATGTTCAAATCGGATTTTTTTTACACACTCCGTTTCCTTCAAGCGAAATCTATAGGTAAAGCCATACACCAATCTAGTGAGCCACATGTGCGCTGGATTTAAATTGACACATTTGAAATCCTAGGATTCTGCCTGTAAGAAAACAGGTTCTTTTGGGTGTGCTGAGCTGCGATCTAATTGGATTTCACACGTACGACTATGCAAGGCATTTCCTTAGTTCATGCACTCGTATTTTGGGCTTGCACACCATGCCAAATGGTGTAGAGTACGAAGGTCGATTGGTTCATGTTGGCACGTTTCCTATCGGTATTGATCCCAGCAAATTCACAATGGTAAATTTTATATTGCACTATAATGCAATATAAATATTAATGCCATGATTTTTTTGATTTGTTTTAAACAGGGTTTGCAAAAGCCTTCTATTCAGGACCGTATTGCACAACTGCGAAAAAAATTTGAAGGTGTCAAGGTCCTTGTTGGAGTAGATCGTCTAGACTATATCAAAGGCGTTCCCCAGAAACTACATGCGTTTGAACTATTTTTGGAAAACCACTCAGAGTGGAACGAAAAGGTAGTGTTTTACGATTGTTTGATTGCATTGTTAGATTGATGAACTGCTAATTGTCACGAGGCGATCAGGTTGTTTTAGTTCAAGTTGCTGTACCTTCCCGAGAAAATGTCGAAGAGTATCAACACCTGCAACAAGTGGTTAATGAGCTTATTGGTCGCATCAATGGTCGATATGGTACGTAACTTTAAAGTGAGCACTATACTTGATGTTTACTGATAAAACTCGTCAAATACACCACGTTATAGGCACGGTTGAGTTTACTCCGATTCATTTCATTCATAAATCAGTTGATTTTGAAGAGCTGGTATCCCTTTATGCTGTTGCTGATGCATGCATTGTCTCTTCTACCCGTGACGGTATGAATTTGGTGTCGTACGAATACATTGCATCACAGCAAAATACCCATGGTGTGTTGATTCTTAGTGAGTTTGCAGGCGCTGCACAATCACTCAATGGTAAGTTATGTCGGCATAGTTTTAATTAGCAATGCATTGGCCAAGTGTCGTGTCTTGATCCAATAATCAGCAACACTTTCAACTTTATTAGTAACCATCATATTTTAATGTACATCATTCTAGGCTCGATCATTGTCAATCCATGGGATACAGAAGAGGTTGCACAGGGAATATATGATGCAGTGACCATGTCAGAACAAGTACGGATGGCAAATCATCAAAAATTGTACCGATATGTGACAAAATACACCGCAGCTTACTGGGGTGTGACTTTTGTCAAGGAACTTCAACGTGTATCTGAAGAATACGATCCACGTCGACTACCCAAACTTTCCTCGAAAAATGTGCTCGATTTGTGCCGTCGCTCGACAAAAAAGAAGATTTTTTTGTTGGATTACGATGGAACGTTGACTGAATTGCACAATTTACCAGAGTTTGCTCGACCAAGTGCATCTGTGCTATCGCTGTTATCCAGACTGGCTGCTTTGCCCAATGTATATGTATATATATTTTCTGGTCGATCAAGAGAGCATATCATGAAGTGGTTTGGTGAAGTTGGAGTAGGTTTGAGTGCCGAGCATGGGTGCTTTTATCGACATCCATCCAAACTGCCTCACCCTATCGAATGTAGCAGTAGTTCGGGTAGTGCAGGCTATGACGAAGATGCGAGTGTAGATGGATCTGCTACTGATATGCATGATTCTGAAATCAAAAATTTGATTTCTTCTACTAGATCTCGTCTTTCCGAGATCCAGGTACAACCCAACTCGGGAGCACAGGTTGGTGAAGCGCGTACCATCAAAACTGACCATTTTGGGAGTGTAGCTACTGATTTGATCGACTCCAGTCTGAGTGGCATGGTACATACTGATGCTCATCTTGGAGCCAACCCAACAGACCTGCCATTGACTGAAGATCATACCGATCGAGTGGTCCGTGCAGTTGATGATGACGGTGATGGTGGCACAGTTGGCGTCATGTCCCTTCAGCGTCGTCTCAGTAGCAATGGATGGTATGCAATGGTAGATCAAGTTGACTCATCTTGGAGAGCCACGATACGCCCCTTGTTTCAACACTATACTGAGCGCACTCCTGGCAGTTTTATTGAGGAAAAGGAAATCAATCTTACATGGCACTACCGCAACGCCGATCCAGAATTTGGTACATGGCAAGCAGCAGAACTTCAAGTGAATTTGGAAAAACTGTTGAGCCATTTGGCCGTTTCTGTAAGTTGATTATTAGGATTGCTGATAATATTTGAATTTTTAGTGTTGACAAGATTTCTAATTGGTTGATCAATGTATCAGATCATGATTGGCAATAAAACACTCGAGCTCAGACCATCGATGGTGGATAAAGCCACATCTGCTCGAGCAATTCTTAAAGATCTTGATGCAGCCAATGATTGTGATTTTCTTTTATGCATTGGCGATGGCAAGACTGACGAAGCTCTGTTTTCGCTTTTGAATGGATCTGAATCTGCATTGACTGCAACTGTCGGAAAGAAACAAACAGACGCCAAATTTTACCTTGAGAATGTGCGTGATGTTGAACAACTTTTTATTGATCTTGTTGAGCAAGGCGAGCAAGACGCCAAGCAATAATTAAACTCGAATGAACAACTTTGAATTGAATTGTGGGTTAGCTTTTACAATGGATACTCGAGTTTAAAATAGTCTACTGTGAATGATCAACTTTATTGTCAAACTATTTCTTCTCAGAGGTTGTCCAAGGGAGAGTGATACCCAGGGTCGACGCAGCCTTGTCGAGCACTGAGCATGTATACTCTGAAACTGACAGATTGCCAATCTTGAATGGAGTAGCAGTGCTTGCATGGCGTTGCATGGCAATGTTTTGTAGAGTGGTTGGAAAGTAGTAAGCAAATGCACCCATTGAGCCAGCAACTGGAGCCAGCAGACCCACGAGAATATTGCCTAGTAGAACAAACCTTTAGTGATCATCCAAAGTCAATCAGCTCGAGTCCATTTCAAATTAAACTCAACTGTTTTTAGCAAGAATAGATCCAGCAAATCCAGCAATGGTGACATAGATCAATCCAGGAATATAATCCTCTGTAGGCTCATGATACGTCCCGACCACATCTAGCAAGAATTCAAAAGTTTAACAATTGATATGAAGCCACCAACCTTGATTGCATTTCAATACCTTGTGCACTTTTTTCCAATGCTAGCCAGTGGTTGACTATGCCCTGTGCCTGAACCTTGTATCAATTGAACAGGTTTATAGTAAAATTTTAAAATGTCTGATGGCAGCATTGTCATATTGATAGAAAGTTGACAAGTATTGATATTATATTACCCGAGTTGAAGCAAAAGCCTTTGTAGTTTCCAAACGAGCCTAAAGGTCGATACAATAACGTGGTTTAGAACAACCAACTGAGCATCAGTAGCAATCTAAACCAAAACAAGAGTAGATTACATCACGAATCAGCAGTTCAAGATCATTTGGTTTGTCCTGGAAAGTAGCGAGAGTGCGGATGGTAGAGAATGTACGGTAAGGACTCGAATCATGAGGAGTGGTAGTAGGTTTGGTAGGACACTGCAGTTCAGGAGAGTCGTAAATGGACAGTTTCTAATCAGTATTGAATGAGTTGGTTAGACTAGAGTGATTCAAGATAAAATAAAGAGTAAAATAAAGAGTACCGAAGAAGAAAATCGAAATGGATGAGGAATTGAAGTAGAACCAGGAGTAGAACTAGGATTAGAACTAGGATTAGATCCAGTAGTAGAACTAGGAGTAGATCCAGCAGTGGATTCAATAACAGATTTGGACATTTTTGGAATAAAAGTCGAGCTTGGATTCATTCAAACAATCTAAATACACGTGACTTGTGGATATTTAAACTCCTCGAAATCGACAGTCGATCACTATCCACAATGCGACCCAACGTCGTGACTCCTGCAGCTGCTCAGACTCTTGACGATGCCGCTGCTCTCTCGCACGGTGCTCTCACTCCTGACATTCAGACTGCTATGGGAATGAACGGCATGCAGCCTCAGAATAATGCTGGAACTGTAGGCAATCTGCATCATACACCCACCACTCTGACTCCATCTTTACAACATCCTTTCTGGCCCCAAGTTGTCAATATCAATGGTATGTTGTACGCTGTTCATGCTGCTTCCAGCTACCCACATATCCCGATAAAAACTACGCCCATTCTACAAAGCTCTCAGGACTCGGTCAATCCCACTGTCGTGGTTGAGCCACCGCTCAATCCTGCAACCCATATCGAGGCTCTGCAACAAGAGGGTGAACAGTTACTGGAACACATTCCACAAGGACAGGCACACGGAAACATACCGCCTCAGCCCCCTGCTGCTGATCCAGAACTACGCAATGACCATAACCAGAATGCATTTTTTTTAATTGCAAAACTAGCAGTGCTTTTGTTCATGTTTTGTCAGAATGCAAGCATCACTCGAATCGTCGTCCTTCATCTTGCTGCCCTTCTTGTATTTGTGGGTCAAATGGGTTATATCCAGGTTCCTTCCTGGAAGCCTCTAGACCAGGCTCAGGAGCCTCTCAACCCCTCTAATTCTGACGCTACTCAGCTTTCTGGTCTGTCTGCTGCCACTGAGCCCCCTGCTTTTCATCATCAGTTACTAGACATTGTTTCTGCTTTTTTGGTATCTTTGATCCCTGACCACGACAGAGTCCCCGAAGACAATGCTGCTAATCCGTTCCGGGCAATGTAAATATGCTCTTCGATCCATTCCATCACTCATATCCTGCCATCCGTAAAGTGTTGCACCAAGTGTTGGTTCACTCATGCTTATCTCAGTCGAAAGCTTATTTCCTGCTATGCCGTTGGGCTCTTTGATCGGCTTGGTGTCTGTTGACACTAAACAAATCGTTATAGATGGCTTACACCACTTTTTCAATTGATATGGCAATAAATGCATCTTATAAACACTGACCATTCAACTGTTGATTTATTTTTAAATATATTGGTTGATCTTGCAATGGATCTGCCATTCACTACTTGTCTACAAATAAGCCTCTATCCAGTCATATTCCTGGACGTGCTAGACCCAGTCTTGCATTGATGTCAATATAAGCTTGTTTTAATGGTGACAATGGCGACTTTACACTCAATGCGGCACTCTTGTCAAATTCAACACTTGGACGGCTCATATTAACATCATTTTCTTTGGTGCTTACGGTCAGAGTGTGTGGTTTGATACACATACGACGATCATTGAAGCAGTAACTCGTGCCATTGTCAAGTGGCTCATTACGGGCTACCAACTCGCTAATCGGTATTTCATCCTCTGATGTGTTGGAATTCAAGACTGTGTCTGCCACGATCTGTGTGGAATCAACCATCTCGAGTTGATGTGGATTCAGCTGTCGAGTGTCTAGTCTTGAAAATCCCAAATCGGAGATGCTGTGTGTTTGAGTAGGCGATGTGATGTCAACGCCCTCATGACAGTCCAATACAGGAAGAAACTCTGTATTGGCATTCAGGGCTGTTGGATTTCCGGCATCAGTTTCGAAATGAGCCGCAGGTTCATTGGCCACCCCACTCTCTGCTTTCATTGCCGCAATCAGCTTACGCACCATATCCTTGTATGCCAACTTCTTGTTGTGTGAATTCAGTCCCTGTGTCGAGCTAGTCCCATTGGAAACGCTACGCCCACGTTCCCCTATCATATCTGCTTTTAAAGATTCGAGTGCATCGAGATACTCGCTGACTTTACCCGTAGCACTCAATCCACCAGCTGGGCGTTTTCCTAAAGTGGCAGGTTGTATGGATGCATCATCTCCTTGTTGCCCTTTCATCATGGCTATGGATTTCTCAACAATCATCACTGGCGGCACGTTGGAATCGTCACTCGAGAGCGAGTTCTGCTGAGGATCAACTTTTACCACTCGATCAAACTCTGGCATTGATCCAGGAGACCGCAGCGGCCCTAGCCCTACCTGGGACACTGAGGGCACTGAGCTTGAGTGAAGCTGCGTAGGAAACCTAGAGGCCGTTCGCGGAAGCGGCTGCAACACTAACTTCATTGGCTCGTCCACACGCTGATGGTTCAAAGCATAAGGGTCAATGGAGTTGGTACGCGTCGATGTTTGTGCACGAGCAAATGCGTTTTCAGAACTGGTTTCGCTACTCTCGTTTTGGAGATGGTTTGATATAAATGGGTATTCTGACCAAATGCTTGAGTCAAATAAAGGCGTAATAGGGCTGACGCTTACAACGAGTTGTTCACGATCATGGGGCTTTGGTGTTAGGACTGGTAAGGGTTGAGTGGAGATTTGTGCAAGAGGTGGAGATGCATTTAATTGAGCACAAGTGGGTGGAATAGATGTCAATATCGTGCTTGGTAAAGCGACATTTCGTTCTGTGGCATCGATAGGTGTGACAGATGTAGTTGGAACGGACAGTGTCTGTTGATCATCTGCCATTTTAACCAAGCAATCGGAAGAGCCGCCATCAATACTTTTTATGCAATTCTTTGTAGATGAAGATTCGGATTGGGCCATTTTCAGACGATTGTTCTCTGTTTGAAGAGCATGTAAAGCCACACCAATACTATCACAATATGTCTGAAGTCGATGCAGAGAGATATGAACTACGGCAAGAGCCTGTAAAGCATATCGATGCAGATCCGCGTCTTTTTGCCCAGCAGTGATGGATGCAGCATGCGATGCCAATGCAACACTTTCTGGTACCTCACTTCCTTTGGCTGCTATATCGATTCCTTTATCTCTAAGCAATTTTGCATCAACACTAGCTAGCATATGCTTGACTGCTCCTACCAAGCCCTCGTGTTCCTGAATGGACAAGTCACCATTCTTTAATTGCTCCTTCGTGTCTGTGCCAGAAGATTCCCATGATGTACAAGACCCACCAACCAATATATCCACCAACTGCCTTAGACTTCGAATCTCTTCTACTCTCGACGCATTCACTACATCCAGCTTGCATTCAATTTCAACCATTTCATTGTCCATGCGCAAAAACTTGCTAGATAGATCTTTTAGCTCGTTCTTGGCATTCAAAAGACGTCGCGCTGTTTCCTGTAGCTTCTGTTGAGTCTGATCTAGCCGTGTTTGTGCTTTTTGGGCTGCTTCAGTTGATTTGTGTAGCGTGTGGGATTTTAGACGAAGAGTTTGGTGTGAGATTCGCAAAAGACGAGCTACAATGTTCATTGTAAGAGGAACGCGGAGTGGTGTGCCATCGCCTGCAGTAGCTTTTACATATACGTGATAGGTAGATTGAGAATAGGGAAAATCCTGAGTGACAGGCTCAGGTGGAGTAGATTCAAATGACAGCGTATCAAGTAATTGCTCAATGTCAGTAAACTTGTTGGACCACGTTTCTGAAACAACCGCTTCTATTCCAGTGTCTTTATCATGCGCAGTGACATCACTACCAATATTCTCAAAGGGATCGGCCTGCTGAGTCTTTTCGTATGTGTACTGCTTGATAGACGCGTCGAGTATAGACTGAGCGGATTCCTTGGACGCCCTACACTGCTCAATACTATCGAGAATCACTCGCTCAGCATCATCAAACTGTCCCAAAAGATCTTCGTCGCTTTCAAGTGGTTCAACCTTGTCCTTTCCAGCACGAGTAAGTAGATCGATTCTTTGAGCCTTGACACTTTCTAAACTCTCTTTTCTGTGATCTAAATCGTTTACAATGGCATCCACTTGAAACTGAGCAGCACTACACAATAAATCCAGCATAACCAACGTTCTATCCTGTAGAGTCTCGTCATCTTCATCCCGATGACCACCGTAAATCTGCTGCTTCAATTTTCCAATCATCTCCTGCTTTTCATCAACATCGTTGGCCAATCGATGACTCATGTCTAAAGACTTTTGATATGCCATCATTAAAGCCTCAGACCCGCCTTGCAGACCCTGTAGCTTTTTCTCTAAAGATGCTACCTCTTGGCGTAGCTTTAGTACTTCTTTGGATGATTTTTCTGTGCGAGCTTCTGCTATTAACACGTCTTGCTCTAAACGGCGAATATGATCTTGAGACGCAGCTAAACAGACCGTTTTGTCTGAAATAGCTTGATCAAGCTCGTGTTCAAGAGTCATGCAGCGAAGATCAGAGTCAGCTAAAAGTTGTTTAAAAAGAGTCAACGTGTCTGTATTAGGCAGGTCAGTAAATGTTGAGGAAGATGAGCGAAGCGATCGGTAGATTTGTTTCATCAAAGTATGATCCGAGGCTTGGATTTCCGCATCAGCCAAGTCTGTTTGTGGTTCTTGAACAAGCTGGGGTGTTGAAATAGGATTGGGCGTTTGTATAGATGAGATAGGGGTTGAATTGGATTGGAGTGAAGTAGGCGCACTAATAGACAACACCTGCACTACTTCTGGAATGCCACCTTGAATAATTTGGGATGGAATGGGTGAGCATATCTGTGCCTGCAGCACTGATCCATCTTTTTCCATCGCGACATCATTCGGGTTTTTGATGGTCATGTCTGATAGATTTGTAATGGCTCGTTTTGCTTGATTTTTAGTAGTATGCGTTTCCATTGTGGGAGAAGTCGTATGTACATTGACACAAACAGCCGATTCAGGTTTGATGGTGTTTGCTGAATAGGTATTGTCAGTACCATGAGTAATCTTGGTGTTTTGCCCACCTGTAGATTGAGTTTTTGTAGCAGTCTCCAACAAGAAACGAATTTCTGGAAATAAACATTCTTGCATAGCCGTCCTTCCTTTTCTGTTTCGTGCAAATACATCTGCTCCATACTCCAACAGCAACTGAACTAGCTGGATTTCACCTGTTTGACAAGCATAATGCAACGGATGATTTCCAGTTCCGTCAGCACCACTAGGCAATGCACCAGCATCCAGTAAAATTTTGACAATCTCATACACTGCTAGTTTGAGGAGTTCTAGTTCAGTTTTTTCTTTTTCAGCCGTCATGCTACTTGTACTAGCTGCTATTTCTCCTTGCTCGTCTACTTTCTTCATCATGTATGGATTGCGCAATATATAATGTAAAGCACACTTGTTTGTTTTATAATTCGGTGTGGACGCGACAGCTCCTTTCTGAATTAGCATGAGGACAATTTGAACGGATTCAATAGCTCGTAGAGGCCGATGTCGTACTGCATATTGTAAAGCTGTCAATCCACTTTGAGGGTCTGTATATTGAACTGCTTTGTGCGCATTTGGACCACTTAATACTGTATTAAGTAATGCAGTGTCGCCGTCTTTGATGGATGAGTAAAGAGTGTACTGTTCAGATGGCGTGATGGTTTCTTGGTTATTGACTGTATTGGATTCAAAATAGTGTGGATAGACTTTGTGATGGTTGGCCGATGGCGGAAGTTGAGCTACTTTATTTAAAGGTGATACCATCGCGCTGTTTTTTTGAATTGATCTAGGTAGTACTGGATACGAAGATGGTGTCGAATCGATATTGACAGTCTCGGCTTGTGGAATTGAAGTTGAGGCAGTGTTTAAAGTGGATTGTTTGGCATTGAGCATATTGACAATGTGTGGGAATGGTGCAGCATACTGAATAGTTGTCCATCCGTAATTATCTTGAATCAAAGGCAAGGCATTGAAATAAAGCAAAACGTCAATGACTTTTATATGTCCTTCTCGAGCTGATTTTATACATAGCATTGGTTTGCATTTGCCAAAGTTAAATCACGCGCATCATATATGGACATGTCTATACATGTTGGGCAATATACTAAATCTAATGAAAATAATCAATACGTACCTGCATACATTAGCGGCGTCGAACCTAAAGATTGGAACATGATGCATATTTTCAAGAATGAATGTAAGGATGCAAACGATTAGCGATCCAGTTTTGAAAATAATATTTGGAATAAAATCAAAACCATGTTGGTGGTAATTGACTAACCCCTTGCCAACTAAAACCTTGGTTGTAGACGTACCATTGAGATCTTGAGCATTTGCCATGGCACCACTTTGAATCAATGTGCGCACCATTTCTGATTTGCCAAGATAAGCAGCCAGACAAAGTGGAGTAACACCTCGTAGCAATTTTCCACTCTGTGGATTGTTAGCGCACTCATCAAACATGTCGGGTGTGTCTTTGACCAAAATTCGAAGTAACAATCGCATTATGGCAATATGATTTGACGTAGTTTTTGTCACTATCAACTGGTTTTGAGATGTGATGGTCAGAGTATCGCATGATCCGTAGATGCAGCAAATTATTGCCGTTCTTTATCACAGGTTTGTGTAGAGTTTAATTTAAAAAGGATGAAAGGTCGGTTATTTGTGGTGTAAACCAAAATCGAGCTATTCAGATATTCGAACAGTCTTGCACACGATCGTATGCATCAACAACTCAAAATCCAAATCATCAACACTATTATGCCAACAATCCGAGTTTATTTTTTGCCGACCATAACTACATAACATACCTATCTCTAGAGTCTTTTTTTGTCATCGACGCGCCATGATCTAGCAGCAATTGCACCATATCATAATGGCCATGAATAACTGCCAAATGTAACGGCAAAGCCATATATACATCAGAATCAGCATTTTCGTCGTTGTTTTCATGTGAAGAGGCAGATGAATCGACAGTGCAAGCTAGACGAGCATTCCATCGAGTTGAGCTAGTATTTGGGTCGATTCCCGTTTGAAGCAAGGTTTGAGCCTGTTGAACTGCACCTCTTGATGAAGCTGTGCACAAATCCATTCTGTAAAACAATAATCAGGTCTGTATCTATATAAGCCACAGATATAGTGTCAGATGAGATTGCAAGGGCATGTTTGAGCAGATCTAAAAATTAAATACCAAAGCGGAAGCTGTGTCTATTCTACTACTTTGGTTGATTTACCTTGTTTTGAGCTGTCAAGCCTATTAGATTTGTTCTGGAAAAGAAGTTTTCAGATAGTTTGCTAGGTTTATCAAATTTCCCCTAAAAATTGAAGGATATGGGGCTGTAGGGTTACAAATCAACAGAACTGACCAAAACAATAGAGTCGATTCAGGAAGAAGCAACATACGGAATTAGTGTGACGTTAACTCATTTTAACCTTGATGGTGACAAGAGGTCAAGGTGGCAATGCTCGGATTTGAATTCAGTCATTTAGCAAACCGTGGTCAAGCGGAGTTGAATTGCAAAAGGCTTGACACACCAAACTGATATTATTTTGCCTGTTTAGCTTTGTTGAAACTTGGCTGAGATATCTCGATTTTTTCCTCATTATTACTCTGAGCGGAAACTTGCTTAGATATAAGCGGGGTCGGAACTGTAAGGCGAGTTTTTGAAAATATTTTGCTATATTATCCAACAACATTACGTTCATGTACGAGGTGCTGTGAGTCTGATCCCAAAAGCACCACTGAATAAAAAGCATATTGACTATTACATAAGCGCAGATACCAGGGCACATAACTTGAAAAGCAACAGTAACAAGACAGTATATTGAAGCATTTGGTGATTGGCGACTTGTTTAGAAATATCGGTTATAAAGATTGAACAATTTAGCAAGTTTTTATTCAAGTCGCCGGTAGCTTCTAGTTCCCAGCAAACATGGTTCCTTCTGCTGGCTGAGACAGCTTCTTGTTTGCTGATGAAGCCATTTCCCTATAAGCCACGCAACGTACACAATTTATATCAACAAGTGTCGTGTATTCAAGTATCACAATGGAATGAATTGTGGACCAATACATTCTAACCCATCATTACAATCTAAAGGAATAAAAATCTTACTTGCGAAGCTCGGACAGGACAGTTTCAATCGTGTAACTTCGTTTCCAGTTGTCAAGACATGGTAGTTTTTCAACCTAGATATAGTAAACATTAATGGGATCGCTAAACCAATAAACTAGATCAAATGCGCTGAATCTTGGATGCGTATCAACCAGTTTTAACAGGTCAATTCACAATGTTTTACCTTTCCGTGTTGCTGATTGACACAAGGAAGATTAACTTTAGAACAGAAACTAACAACTGGAGGTCGATCAGGGTAGTCTTCGCCACAGGTGATTTTAAGACTGTAAATCCTGTTTTCGTGGGCCGTCTAGATCCATTCGAATGATGGTGTGAAAATGAACAAGTATAACCATGCGAAAAGTCAGGCTCTAAGATCTCAAAGATGACTATAGTTTGAGAAGATAGACTCAAGCCAACGACTGGTCTTGAAGATCTGGGTTTCCAATACCCATATCGGTTTAGAATTGGAGTGCTTAAACCGTAGTTAGCATATTAATCTTACATGGCCAGGTCCGATTATAGTTCCATGCCACTTGGTCATGAGCAAATCTTCGCCATTTGCAAGACCGTAGCTAATAGTGCCATCGCCGATTCCCTTTTCACCTTTTTCGAGTTCCTCCAGAAGACGAAAGTTGCGAGGGACTATTGCAATCCGGAGCGGGTTTGATGAGCGCCAAAGCCATGGATGATTATAAATCAAGCACAAATTCAGAAAAAAGTAAAGAATTGGCTAGTTAGTTGACGATAAACTGTAGGTTTGATAAAGTCTATAGAAACCCCGATTACTATACTACAGATTGACTTGGGTGTTGGCATCAAACAGGTCGATTTAAGCAATCCCAACCCATGTAACCAGTACAGTGGCTCTCTATATAGTCTATGATTTCATGGTATTCTCCACCATTCTTGTTGCAAATATCAGTAGACACAACACACCTTTAGCCATTGTTGCCGTTGATGTTTAGCTGTCAGGAATAAACTGCTTTAGATTTCGTTGTACAAGTGAAAGTATAGCACGTGATGTGCTGCTTGATTCTCACTCATGTGTCGGACTTGCTGCAATTGAATTCAACGTTTTTTGAAAGCATTTTTCATTAACTGTTACTATCTCACTAGAACCTTCTTCAAAATATCACTAAATGCCAAATCAAGTCTGTAGAAATAAAGATTGCCAGGATATACCCGTTCCTAAAATGATTACAAATTCCGTGCTTCATTATCCAGAATTCAACCTTGTTACTGTTCAGCTTCACCGGGTTGGATCACATCGTCAATTTTAAGCACCATTTTGACGAGTTGAGTAGCAAGATACAACTGAGATCGCTTAGAGATCAGTGGGTCAAAGACATGTTGCTCACGCATGTCGTTTGTACCTTTGAGATTGCAGTCAATACCAAGATGAGAATTCTTTTCAGTAACGTGGCGTGATTTAATTTCTGCCAAGGTTTCAATGGGAGAAAGACCAGAGTTTTCGGCAAGAGCAAGAGGAACAGCATCAAGAGCGCATGCAAAGGCGCGCATGGCATATTGCTCAATCGATGAAATCTAACGTTTGCAATCAGTGAAAATTGGGCGTATTAAATAAAAACATCATAGGGTTAGCGAATCAAGTCATGCAAGCACTAAACTTGCGTCTGTATGCACACGAAAATCAGTGCAAAAAAGATGCTTAATACATACCTCATTTGCAGCTTTGGCAACAGCAAGAGAACAGGTGATTTCAGCAGCACCTCCACCATACACAATACGACTGTCACGAACAAGGTTACGAACAACGCAAATGGCATCGTGAAGACTGCGCTTGGCTTCATCAATAATCTATATAGATTTCAGTAGTAGGTCGTAGCAGTTAGCATCAAACAACATATCCCAGTTAGTGGCTCTAAATACAAAACACTTGAATGCCTACCATCTTGTTTCCACCACGGACAAAAATAGTAACAGCGCGAGTATTGGCGCATTGTTCAATGACAAGCATGCGATCTTTGGTCGTACCAAAAGAAACTTCACGAACAAGACCTGCTTTGCCAAGCTTCTCGGCAGAAAGCTCTGCAAATCGTGGTACAATGCGACCGTTGGTGGCAATAGCAATCAGCTAAAGCGAATTATTAATTGTTTAAATACAGACATGAATTCAATCAGATACAACTCGCACTAGGTTCAAAAACACTTCTAATAGCAGACCAGCATAACAAAATTATACAAGTTTGTACCTCAAGCTCGGGGCCACCAACCCATCTGACAGCAGGAAGGTCGTTTTGCATAAGTAAATGGTTGGCCTCATCGTCAAAGCCCCACTGGCAAATAACTAAATTAGCCCCACAGTCCTTGACCTGTTTTACCATCTCCTCAAACTTCTCCTTCTCGTATGCTTGTAGCTTTTCGTACTCTTCTACAGATGTGATATCCAGTTGATGCTTGGTCTTTGGCTTAGGGGGCTCGAAAGGACAGGTAAGGATAGCAATTTTGGTGTCATGGAGTTCCTTGGGCATTTGTGGATGGGAAAAGTCCTTGTCGACCACAACACCCATGACAAGTTTGGAGTCAACTAACGACCCTCCTACCTTTCCGTCAACCTTGATGAGCTCAAAATCAACATCTTTGCGATCAAGATCCGCAACGGCAAGAACTGCATCAACAGCCATTTTGGCAAAATGGTCATGACATTTGGAAACACTAAAATAACAGATGAATAGCAACATGTGAATAAAGTCCATGCAGTGCATAGGATTTAGTTTCAAATCTACACCTACATTTTAGATCCAAGACAAGTCTTGGCAGTACGTAAAAGAACATCTAAATTTTGCTTATCAATTGTAATCTCATCGGCAATTGTGTCCAGATGAGCAACTGCTACGGCACACGCACGCTCGTAACCATCAGAGATACGGATAGGATGAATGCCTTTGTCTAGCAAAATCTCGGCTTGCTCTAACAATGCACCAGCAAGAACTAATCGGAACAGTTAGATCAATATACAGTCAGCTAACGTGAGCACCAAACAATGTACCAGTACATTGTTTGCAAATTAAACAGAAAGTAATACTGACCAACAACGCCAGTTGTGCCATCACCAATCTCATCGTCTTGACTTTTTGAAAGCTGTACCAATAACTTGGCAATCTGATGCTCTACCTCCATTTGACCCAAAATAGTTGCACCGTCGTTAGTAATGGTGATATCTCCGTCAGAGGAAATAAGAATCTTGTCGAGTCCTAAATAGAGTGGATATAGATACGAAAAACAGTATTAGTAATGTGACAGCGCAATCAGTATTGCTAGATAGATCAATTCGGTAGATTATCATAGCAATACTGATTGCATGAGCAAAGATTTAGAGTGAATACCTCGAGGACCAAGCGAAGATTTAAGAATACTTGCAACTGCCTTTGCAGCCAAAACATGAGACTAGATTCAACAATCAGATACAGTCAAGTGTTAAAAACATTAAAATAGGACTTGGTAAGAAATAAAAGTATACAAGTAGGAGGCAATGGTTCACTATTGAATGGTAGCGGGGATGTGAAATTATTCCAGCAAGACAAACTAGGCGGAAGTATCAGTCAAGCCGATATTCGCCAACAAATAGATAAGGAAGAGCAAAGCCAATTCAATAGCAGCAGCCGTCTTTCAATCAGGTATTAATTGGTAGTAATATCACAAGAACATAGTGTGAGACCAAGAATAGCCATTTTCAATAGCAGTCTGTCCGACTCGTTTCATTTCCTGATTTCCTTCCGCACAAGTCGATGATGATCCTGTGGAGATCCAAAGTAAAGCAGCAGCTCTCTCTACCCAGTGAGACTCAAGCTAGATAAAGTATAGTTTATGAAGCAAGTAGTCGTGCTCTTTATCTACTTCAATGGTAGTGCTACAAGATCGTAGTTGAACACATACAGGCTGGCTAGATCGAAGAAAAAGGAACATCATAGAGCAATGGTTACCTTTTGAGCCTCTAATCCCTTGATACGAGATTTACCCTGGTCTCTAACAATGATGAAGGGGCGACCATATTCGTCCTGGGCATACACAGCGTTAGATCCGTTCATGTTTAGTTATTGGTTTTGCAGCTAAAGACGAAAAGGTTGAAAACGCACGAAAAAACGATTTATTTGAACAAGTCAATTTCATTGTTTTGGAATCATTCAAACAGCATTAAACAGACTGTTGCAGCATTTCAAAAACATGGATTTTCTAAACCACAAAATTGTTTAGTCAATGTAAACTAGAAACATTAATGTTCGTGTCAGAACAAGACCAAACGAGTGACGTTCTATATTGAGTTTGATCGTTTGGTAAACTGACCGTGTCAATACAAGTTAGACCGCTGTTGCAATAGATGATCTTGCTATTCAAATCAACAGTCTACAGATATTTACAAAAAAACAACATCAAGAAAGCACATTTGGACTAGATTCTTCAATCTCAAACTTTCCCTTTATTCAAACCAAGTACTACAATTAAACATTGCGTGGTTGGCATAAAAACAACAGCTGCATTTCTGAGATGCTTTCTTGAACTAGATCACGAATGCGTCCAAGTTTTTAAGACCCAGCAAAAATGAGCTGTATTGCCAATGTTTAAACCCGATATCTGGGTATGTTGATCGTGTAATGTGACTACCAAAAAGGATAGTCTCGGCTTAAAACTATAGTTTGGTTGTATTATATGATGGTTGTTGTATTTATTGAAATATTGAAAATGTCGATTAAAGTTAGTTTGTAATAGAAAAGCACAAGGAATATTCAACCATTATTTATTCCAAAGCAAAATAGAGGCAGTGATTGCAAGATGAATAAACGTTCCATTTTACGTGAATATGGCTGTAAATGATTTAATCCACTAAAGTGAGAATCCTCCTTCTAGACAGTCTGGTATAAACAGCTCATAGTCCGAGTGTTTACATCGGAACGAGAATCGTGGAATATTTTGTCTTACAAATTTGAGGCTGGGGGTATCTGTTATTGATGAGCCATTTTTGTTAAACTAGTATTCTTTTTGATACACAGAATATGCAGCAATCAATTTATAAACTCACATTGTCCAGGTCCAGGTGTTGGGTTTTTACCATCAAATTGATCTGATTCTTTTGTATTGAACGTTGGCAATTTCACAGCAAAATATATAGACTTTTAAACACAGTACATAACAAACTTATATCAATATATTTTCCAACACTATTGTTACCTTGATCTGTAGATTCGCCATGATTGTTGGACTTGTGCACTCTTGGAACTTTGATCGAGTCTGGTTTATCCAATCGCGCTCCTAATGAATATGCTGGTGCTGAATGCTTCAATTTGGAATTTGTTACTGGAGAATACGCTGCTGGTCCAGGTGAAAGCTGATCCACTATATAGTTGACGCAAAGAATTGTGATTTCTATGTTATGATCTTATTGATATCTTGACATTTGATTATAGTTTAAATTTTCAATTACTTACACCTGATAGGCCGCTGAGATCGAATAGAGTATGCAGCAGCAGCAGAAATAGTTACCACTGGATGCATTCCCAATGTTGAGTTGATTTCATCTACACAAATTATAATTGGTTTTGATAGTAAAAGTAAAGTGCACAGGTTAACATTTCAGCCTTGACTTTATATATCCAATGCACCTACATTGAGCTGGTCCTGGATTCTCATTAACTAAGCATAATTGTTAATAGTACATTGGTGTATTTGAATTGCATTAGCTGATCTAAATCTATTATTTTATCATTCAAGTATATATCTACTTGCTTTTTTCAGTCTGACGTCGTGGCTGAATACTGTAGGCAGGGGCTTTAGATTCCTTACTCGGGATATATGTCGGATTATATTTTCCTGGACCTATATAAAATTGTAAGTATTATCAGTGCATGCTAGTTGTATGTACTGGCAACATAGTGGTGACTTGCCTGGGGTATCCTTTCCAAGAGTATCACAGTCAGCTTCGGAAGCATCCGTGGCTAAATATGTATTTATTCAATCATATTAGTATTTTATTATACGAGATAGTTAAAGCAATATAATCCTTTTAAATAGCATAAATATTGATTGCGTGCAATTTGATTCTGTAGATATCAAAAAATAAACACCAATTTACCACGCGGTAGCAGGATTGATGAGATTGCATGTTTGCCTTACCTCGCTTTTTGAATCCACCTTGAAGAGAAAATGCTGGTCCTTTGGATAATCCGGTACGTGTTGTTTGAGGGAAAAATTTGTTGGGACCAGGAGTTAACTCTAGAACATCAATTAAAAGGTTAAAATATTTTGAATGACTTGAAAGTGTAAATTGTTCACATATCTGCCATTTTAAGATGCTTTCAGTCAAGTTTGAGTAAAGCTGTAAAAAATGCATGACTGGGCTCAATCACCTTTTTTCTCGGCCTTGAGTTTAATTCCAAATGAGTATGCTGGAGCACGAACTCCTTTGGCTTTTCCATCTGGACCAATTGTTCTACAAATGGTGTTGTATCAATATATCGTTAAAGATCAAAATCATTACACAGTTTTATATAAAGAACAGTCGGTATACTTTAAAATTAGTAACATATTTCAAAGCTAGTTTACATACGGGGGTAAAGTATAAGCCGCCGGTCCAGGTCCTAAACGCCAATAAACAGTTTTTGCGACAGATTATCCGTTGTAGACACGATTGATCATGATGTTCAGCATTTGTCGTGTGATCAATGTCGGTAGATTGTTAAACAAAATCCGGCGGGTTCATTGTAGTATCACGAATTCATTCCAGTTGATGAGTTTCCATTCATAATGTTTACAAGTGTTAAATATAATACAAAAAATAGTGAATGTTGGATTGCAGTCCAATATCGCATAGTGTATATGATTTATACTATTAGTGGCAGCGGGTGATATTGTTTTGTATATTTAATGGCGACGTGTTTTAAACCGAATCGACGCCTATTCATAGTGTCCTCATCATATACACAATATAGCTCCACATCAACAATATCACACGATAAAATGGGCTATGTAGCTATAAAAACTCATGTACCTCTGGCTCGAGCTGCGATTGGAATCTCTTTAGCAGTGAGTAAACTTTTTCCACCCTTGAGAATCGGGAGCTCGCCATCTACTGCCCTGGAACTAGCTGCCATATTAAAAAAAGAATATTTGAAATGTGAGGCAAAAGTGGAAGAGCTAATTGCTTTGTGGATATATTTTGGCTTGTCGATTTCACACGCTGTGGAACAAAGGATATTAGGGCAAATAATAGTAGACTTTGGATAAATATTTTTGGTTTGTATAAATGAGTCTGGAGGTTCATAAAACTAAAAGAAATGCTTGCATTCATGTCAAGTGACCACCATAATGAATATACATTACAAGATGTACAGGCTTTAACTACTCCACAATGTATCAAGAATAATTATACATTAATGCAAGATACATGTTTTATCTAGTCTAATGACGAATTTTTTTGATTGGGTCAAGTTTATCGAAACGATCTACCAACGTATATATATCAATTTGTTATATTGGTAGTGAGATTTAAGCCTATACATTTGGATTTTGAATCTAAAACTGCTGATTTCAATTACAGCCGTATTGTGTAAATGAAACATCAAATGTCAAAATATATAATAAACTGACATTCCCATGAAATAGTCGGTATCAGGCTCTGCTGCATTTACTAAACAATATCATGTCATCTAAACTTATTGACAAATTTTACTGGTCTTTCTCTTTTGTGGTCATTTTGTATAAAACAACTAAGCAAACGTTGCATTTCTGAGATGCTTTCTTGAACTAGATCACGAATGCGTCCAAGTTTTTAAGACCCAGCAAAAATGAGCTGTATTGCCAATGTTTAAACCCGATATCTGGGTATGTTGATTGTGTAATGTGTGACTACCAAAAAGGATAGTCTCGGCTTAAAACTATAGTTTGGTTGTATTATATGATGGTTGTTGTATTTATTGAAGTATTGAAAATGTCAATTAAAGTTAGTTTGTAATAGAAAAGCACAAGGAATATTCAACCATTATTTATTCCAAAGCAAAATAGAGGCAGTGATTGCAAGATGAATAAACGTTCCATTTTACGTGAATATGGCTGCAAGACCATTCAAATATGCTTCACAAGCAAATCATACCTTCAAACTTTTACTAAATCCACCACGCTTTAGTTTGAACAAAACCATATACCAGTATCAGTTTTCATGCAAGAACTTTATCGGCGTTATATTCCAGCCACAAAAAATGATGTATTTCTGTACAGCGACTCTCCCAGTGGTCTGTCCTTGCTGTCGAATGTGGCTCGTGTCTTTAGAACGACTTTAAGAATTCAACCCGACTCCTACACAAATATTCCAATATCTACATCAACCATTAATATATCTGATTTGGCTTCGTATTTTCCGGCAAGTTCAATATTTAAACTTGCCATGGCCATCCAACTAGAACCCACGTGTTGAACGAAATACAAGTCTACAATCCTAAATAGTAACTAATACTGTTGCGAATCAAATTATTTAGGGCTATGGATTTCTTGTTGCTATTCTATTTTGTATGGCATTGTATCTTATTGCGGCTGCCATATACAACTGGTCAGTGTATGCATGTTGTGTTCGTCGGATATTCAGATCAGAAACGCGTGGTCTGCCTTCAGCTTCATCAAAATTCATTATCAAGCTGGGCATTTCGCTCCTCACCCTCATATTGATGTAAGAATGATATTTAAACTGAAATGACTGCATTCAATACTGTTAGAATTGCATCAAAATAGTGTCAAATATTCAAGTATTGCATATAATCCATAAAATACAGCATTCTAGTGCTTGGAAACTATCAAGCAAGTAGATTCATTACAATAACAGGATCGGCTTTTCAATCAACTTCAATTCAGCTCGTTCAAAGCCTATCGAAAATCGCCAATACAATTCCTTCTGATATTGATGCAGGATTTATCGATCTCATTTTGACAGTAAATAATGTGACTCAGTATAGCCCTGTTACTGCTCAAGATGTCACACGCCTTGCTACGGTGTCCAATGCAAGTATCCAAGGATACTTTACTTCATTGTCCGACTCTGAGAGATATCGTGTAGCTTTAAACTCGTCGCTGGTTCAAGGGGGAACAGATCAAACATCTGCCATAACTGGACTTACTTCTGTTCAAGCCTGTAAGTAAAGACTAGACAAATGCAGTATCGTTGCTTTTGGCTAATATCATGGTTTTTAATTGGCTTGACGCGGTCGCTTGCTAGATTACGATGCACTGATGTTGGCGATTCAGGCAATCAATAGCGCATATATTGCAATACCTGGATCCAACAATCAGTATTATGCCATTCAAGCTTCACAAAAGCTCAATCCAACAGATATTTCCACAAACATGACAATACTAAATGCATACTTTGGCTCTTTTCCTAGTTTAAACGAGCTATATAGCCAGTTTCCAGAAAATCTAACTGTTATGCTGAGTGATGGACAGGCCATTGCAAACAATACAACTGATAGTCTCTCTACTGTAATTTACACCTCACTTGAAGGTAAGCTCAAGTCTACAAAAAACTAGCCAGGATCGACATCAATATTGACACTTGATTAATAATATTATTTTAGCTCTAGTGCGCTTAATAGCAAGTGCAGTTGTATCCAGAAAATTCTCGACAATATCTCCAATTGATATATACACAGTAGCCATATCGATGAGTCTTGATTCCTTTACATTAAAACTCCAAACCATCATGCCATCAATAAGCACCATCAACGTATATAGACAATTAGCCCAACTTTCACTCACGGCACTTGTGCTTTTATTTTTCTTCATGTGGTGGATAGAAATATTTTTGGGAAATGCAGTGTGTATTCGAGCCCAGATCATTGCAGCTTCGTTTGTGTTTTCATTGGTAGTCTTTGTCACGATTGCGTACTTTGTTTCAACAGCATTGTTGGCAGAAGGCAAGTAACTGCAATGACAGTGATTTGAATCAACCGTTTATCTGAAAACCATCTTACAATGTTCAACTTTATTGGCTAAATGGTTCAAGGTTGTCGAATGACATTTGACGAGTCGCCGCCCGTTATTCAAAAATATTTAGACTACCCAATCGCTACCAGCACTATAAATAATCTTTTGATTGTTCGTAATGTGTGTATGAGTAATAAAACGCTGCTATCTGCTGGTGTTGAACTTGGTGCCATCGATGCAAATCAAGCCAATATTACAAGCCAGATGATGATGACGATTCCGTCTGTTCAAGCACCTCCTCAGCTTAATGTCGAGTAAGGTTATTTCATGATCCAATAATGGGTAATTGTAGTCATGGATTTACAATGTAGCAGTCACTAAACATCGTACTTTTACATTTAGAACATATCTCCCAATATCCACACCACCTGCACAGTTTTTTACCAATGTCACTGCATTCAACATTAGCACTTTGAACACGTCCAATCTGACCATGCTAACAGCAATGTCAATTCCGGCACTCAAAAACGCGCTATCTACACTGCGATCGATCGTGAGCAATATGCAATCCAGCTATACGGTGTCCGATTTACAATACACTGGAGGTGCTACCAACGCAGATAAAAACAATGCATTGATTGATTTTCGTTCCAGATGTACCACTATCATTTCAGGCATTGATAATCTTGGTGGCAGTACACTGGATTGGTTTTCAGCAAACACTACCTCGCTAGTATCCGATGTATCTAATTTAAGCTCCAAAACTACTCAGTACCAGGTATAGTTTATTAATATCTAGACCACTGCCTTGTCCGAGTAAATATTGAAAAAGTTTTGGGCTGACATGTAAACTGACTTTTATGAACAGAACTCGACAACAACCGCAATCTCATATTATACTGAACTGACAGCAATAGTAAGAAACTATAGCATAGGATTATCTTCAAACGCAAGTATTTTGATCATTTCAAATTCCACAGTGATGTTTTTGAATGTCAGTGTTTTAAATAGTCTACTTGTGTTTCTAGGTCTCAATTCTCATGGCAGATACCATGAGTACATCGATTTCCAATTCATACTTGCGATTGTCAGACCAATTAAATTGCTTTAGCATGGCTCAGCAAGCATACACTCTTCAAGACCAAGTATGCGGAGTTGGTCTGTAAGTAATATCGCGATATTGATGTATTGGTATTTCTGATTGCACTGCTTTCAACACTTGATTGGCACTAAATGTATCAATATACGTTTGATTATTATTGAACATGGTTTATAATAGTGCCGATTTGGATTCTATTTGGTTTATCTTTCTTCTGATGTCTATTGTGATTACTGTGACGATTCCACTCATAATGCATGCAACAAAAACCCTAATGTACAATCAGAAAGAGCTTGCCAAACCCAAACCTCGTTCCAAACCTCTTGATAAACTCCAGCAAAAGTCTGCAAATCGTACCCATCCTGAGATTCTTAAATCTAGTCGTAGACACGGAGAAAGCCGAAACTCGTCCGTATCATACGTTTCCAGAGATGACAATGCACATGAATTCAATGCTGGGGTAGCTAGAGCCAGTACTACAAGCTCTTTTTCTGGAACGGATCAGGATATAGGCGAGATTTCGCCTGGTGTGGGCATACCTTTGAATTCTCGATATCAAGGCTATAATGCTCCCACATCGAGGAACCACGAAAGATTGTCGTTGAAACCTCTTGTACCATCCAATCGACGATGATTCCAGAGGATCAAGTCACTGATGTTTTTTTAAAGCACTAGAAAATAAAATAATCATTGATTGTGTTGATTTTTCTTTTTGAAATATGCATTCAGTTTGTAATGGTTTAGGTAGCTAGAGCCAAAAAGGGGTATATGGTCTATAGAGATCCATGCATGCATAGCCGAGTATTAATATGTTGATGACGTAAATGCTTGAGTTTCTATTCACAGCCAATAGTAAATGTTGCTCTAATTAGTAATATGAATATTTGATTATCCTGTGAAAAACAATGTTAGTCTCTGCAAAATGAATACAAAAATATTTCACTTTTGCGCGAATGCAGTCTAGTACAGCTTGAATCAAAATGTTGCAGTTTTGCAAGTTTTCAATTCATTGCATTCAATCATGACGGCAAAGATTAGACAGAAAGGTAAAGCGAAACAGGCTGACAAGCAGACCAAAAAGATTGACTTAAATCGTCCACCAAAAGCCCAGCACTTGGACTGTATGCATCGACTCAACTTTTTATATCAGGCTGCACACTTGTATACTTCTCAGCAACGCACACCCATTGCATCTCCATATACGCCTAGCATTGCTGGCATTGGCCGTATGTTTGGACATCAAATGAAACATGTCGCCAAGAAACTTGTTGTTCGACTGTAAGTACTTTGAATAAGGATTGCATTCGTTGCTGAATCAACTACGAATCAATCTGATAATCTTGGAAAACTTGATACCACAATCTTTTGGATTCAGTGATCCACACGTTAAACGGACAATCTGCAAAAAATGCCATGGTGCATTAGTGCCAGGAATCTCTTCAACAGTGCGACTAGATGGTTAGTTTAACTTGTCGACTATTTGCAACCAATCATAAAATTACAGCAAGATCCTGTTTGATTTCCAGTATCTAACTCATGTGTCGAATGACAGATACCTCTGCAAAGAAAGTGGACATTACTTGTTTGTATTGTGAGAATGTTCGTACTCTGGGAATCAATACCAATTATACGCTATTTAATGATAAAAACGAGTGGGTTGATGACACGTTAGAAGTTGCATTATAGTCTACTCAATCTCGGAACAAGATTTTGGATTTAAAATGTAATTCATGTAAAATGAACCACTTTTGTATTGATCTTGTAATGACTTTTTTGCTCTGGAATAAACAATTGTCAACTATTCGTTGTTATTGAAAATTGATTACTTTTTCTATTAAAACTATGTTATCTTAATATCAGATACGTTCGCGCTCTAGTTCAACATATCTCAATAACGCAACAGTTGTTTTTATGTTGGTCACCCAATGCTTACTTCAAATGTTCGTTTTGAACAAAAGGAAAGTTGGAGGTTGAAAAGATGTGGAATGTATTGAAACAGGAATGTGATCACTCACTGTATTTTTGTACAAGAATAAACACAAAAACCAGTCAACTAACGAGTTCAAAAGACATAATGTTATCCAGTAAGATTGTCACCAAATATGAGACTGTTTATCATGCATTTTGACACTCATTTAGTGTTCCATTTTACGTGAATACGGCTGTGATAATCGAGCCCATAAAGATCTCGTTCAAGACTTTCCATGGTCAATCTCACTAGGCAAACCCAAACACTGAATATAAACAAGAATTGGTTTTAAAATCAAACGAAATAGATGGCTGTAATGCTTTTAATATATTGTATTACAGTATTCTATGTATCTTTCTCTAGTATATTGTCACTAGATTTAGAAACATCAGATTGAGAAACCAAGTTTTCCTCAGTCTCTAAGCCTTTTCTTTTCCCAAGGATTTTGGGTTCGGCAAATGCAAGGGCAGATGGGAGTCGAAAGGAAATACATAGCATGTCCTTATTTGGTGCTACAGTTCGAACACTATGGACCATGATCAGATTGGATCCAAGCGGCATTCCAATCACTCGTTCTACCCGCTATATTCATAAAGTAGGCAAAATATAAAAAGTAAATATAGCGTTATGACCAAGTGATTATGCTTGAGCATACCATTCAAATGTCAAATATTGAAAGGCTGATATGAAAAAATGACACACCTCAATCACGTCTGCCTTGACGTCTTTGGCATTGGAAAAGCAATGGCAGTGAATCGTGGGCAAGTCGGAGTCCATAATTACATCACGCATGCCACTATACAGACCGTGAAACGCATCTAAAAAATGCATCATTTATATCAGTATAGTATAAAGATTTCCGACACAATTTTTAAACACAGTCGGGAGATCATAAACACAAACAAGCATAGTATACCTAGAAACTCGATAGCAGTTGCAGGTAGATTCATTACATAGTGCTTAAAGTGCCGTATACCACTTATTGCGGGCTGATCAGTCAAAGGAGCAACTGTTGGCGATTCGACCTTTCTATTACGCTTCTTGTCATTGCTTGTCGGTTTTTGCTTGGTAATCTTATTCCAGATCGCTGGATTATTTAGATCCTCTAGCGACTGTTTGATGAATTGGCGTCCATCCATGTTGAATGGCAGTATTCGAGTTTCAAGCTTTATTTTACAAATTATGTAGATCAAGGCAAAAAAGATATCCGTTAAAATCTCAATAAATTCAGATTTAATCAGATTTATATAAAAAACCAATCATGCGTACCTTGTTGAGTTTGATGTTTTCCATCAAATATTTGAACGATTGAGGATTCAAATCGTTGGCAAATACTACACACCGTTTGTGTTTAGCAGCCGGTAATGCAAATGGACCAACTCCAGCAAATACATCACATATCAGATCGTTCTGACCAAACAATTTAATGATTCGATCGTGCTCTCCTTGTAATCTAGAATTCCAATATACCTTGGAAAAGTCAAAATGAAAAAAACATCCTCCCTCTTTCTAAAAACTCGATTAACAATGGACCTGATAAAAATATAGCAAAATGATGCATCCATAGTGGCGATGCATTAAATCTTATGCATCATTGTGACCTACAAGTTTGGCATTCATATCATTAATACCAGCAAGAATTTCCATTTGGAAAAAGCGAAAGGTGTGGTCAATGTTGTCTAATTTGTTCACTACAGTTTTGATATGAGACGATTTCTGTTATAAATTGCAATTCAAAACAGATACAAAAGGTAAATAAAACAACAGATTGAATCATAATAGCAAAGCAGCACACATGATAAAATGCAATGTCATACATCTAAAATGACTTGTCCAATGATATGCTTAAATGGTTGGTATCGATCTCTCAGATTAAGATGAGCTAAAGGAAAAATAAACTCATTTAGTGCTTTATGCCAACTAAATAAAAAGTATAAAGTTCTTACCAATGTGACCGACAGTTTCAAATGCACCCGGAGTTTCCATCTCATCCGGCAAAATCGATCTTAAAACTTGATCTACAGTACCAAATTAAATATTGAATCTGTAAATCATCATATAGTCTGATGATTTATATATAAACGAGTTTTGCGGTCGTATTCATGTAAGCACCAAGGATGTCAAGATACATAGTCAACAGCCAGTGTTGTGGAATAATTGATATCACCAAATTTACTGGACAGCATAGTATCTTGTAAATTTCTTGACAAAATCCACCGATCTTTTTCCTGGTGATTAGCATGAAAACAACTGTTGCGTTTCCAAGACATGCAGTCTTTGTTTTTAAACTAGATTATGTCTGAGATTTTAGAATACAAGCAAGAGCTTGTACAGACTTGAGAACAGTCAAACCCAATATCTGAATTGTAATGTGTGAATCAAGTATCACACTTGATGATTATACAATGTATGGCTATGCCAAAAAAAGAGAAGCAGCACGTTTAAAACGATAGTTTGTGAGCATCATATGATGAGCGCTGTGTTTGAATGGGAAATGTATATTCAAGTCAATTTGTAGTAGGAAAGCACAACAAATATTCAACTATTTCTTATTCCAAAGCAAAATAGAGACAGTGACTGCAAGATGAATAAAGGTATTCCATTAACATGAATACGACCGTAGTTTGAATCTACCTGAAGTCCAATAATCGTATTTAAGCTCGATCGTATGTTTAACAAGTTTAGCCTCATGCTTCAACGCAAATTCTTTAAGAGGATTAGGAAGATCATTAATTTCTATCAAGAATAGCCATACATTTGATATTGATCAGTTTTGAATAAGCTACATTCGAGAGTTGTGCAAAATGGTATGAGTTCATAGAGCCTCTACCTGATGCTTCCATTGATGGATCAAGTAGCAATAATCTCCATTTTTTGTCAGTTGGATCATCTACAATAGTGCGAAGTCGAGGAGCTACAAGAATACTATAAAGCAAGCGGTTGTTGAACCGAGTTATTATCTGTTTTGGTAAAATGTTTGTATTTGAATAGGAATGCTGCACAAGTAGGATAGATCATAATCTTTAGATACAGTTTGATCCAGATAGTAAATGCCAGGCCAATCAGCATCGAATACACTGACGAGACTTACTGGCTACGAAGTGTTTCCATGGCAATTCCAGATGCGTGGGCAGGGATTTTCAAAGCAGGAAGTGTATGACTGGATTCAAACAAGGCATGGTTGAGTTGCTGAAGACCCTTGTTGGCAGGTGGAGCAAAGATATACTTCATGCTTGCTATTTGAATTCCTGGAATCCTAATTGATGCTCACTATAATCGTATTCTCGGCAACCTCAAAAATCGGATTAAAATTCAGAAAATTTGGGGTTGAACAAGCCACGTGGACTGCCAGTTGAAGTGCAACTGCACCAATAAAAGTAGATTTATTACGGAGACGGTTCAGCTGAGCCATGCATAAACAGCTCGAGCTCATTCTGAGTCTGTTCGTACTCATTTAACAAATCATCGCACTTTTTAGAAAACACATCGCTTTCGACATATGCAATGCCAAACTCTTCAAACACGCTATGAATTGTTGCCTCGAGTTTGTTCGTGTCGGTAAAATGAAGTGTGATTTGATCTAGCCTTTGTGTTAGTGCACAATGCTCATTGATTTTATCATACAGCTCCAATTGACGATTATATAGATCTTCAATCTTGATAGGAAGTTCTTCGTTGATCTGTCCTACTTCAAAATCAGGTGGTGGCAGTGTGTCATCGTCTGATAAGTGACGCATGTCCAGTTGTAATGATGCTTCGTGTCGTTCATTTAGCTCGTGGGAAAATTCTGCTGGCGTAGCTGGAATACTAAAATTGTCGCTGCCCATACTCATATCCCACGAGTTGTCATAAGGAATATCAGTTGCTGGTGGTGGAGGTTTAGAATCGGTTGATGTATATGACTCGGGTGCTGATCGCAAAGAAACTTTGGGAGATCGATCAAATTTCAAATCGCTGTATCGCTGTGGAAGGGGTTTGGCGTCCATTGCGCTGAGAGAGTGATTTGCAATATGCAACGGAGGACTGTTTCGACTTCCAGCTTTCAGTTTCAACTTTTTGACAGGAAACTTTTTGCTAGGATTAATTAATTTAGATTGAAAAGGCTTGTGTGTTTTGGGATCTACAGAAGCACTGCCAGGTTCGGCATCTGACAGCATAGAAACTGAAGTTAAAGGAGTAGCAGAAGTGGCTATAATAGGAGACTGCTCTGCTTCTCCATCACTATGATATTGAATGTGGACAAGTTCAACATTATCATATGTCGTAGGCGGTTGGGTTCGAACTGGTGCAGAATTGAGAGAGATGTCGTCGGGAGATGTTCTCGCAGCAGTAATCGCTTTTTGGATTAGTACTGGAGGTAAAGTAGTTTTGGGACGAACCTCCATTACAGCCTTCCATTCTGCCGAATCTTTTTGATAGCCAAGAGCGTCTAATGCAATCTGTGCATTTCTTAAAGCTTTTTCTCGTTCTCCAGGGGTATAGTGTGTCCAGTCATGAGGTGAAAGATTCCGGTATGCTTCATTTGTAAGTTGATACATGTGAGTAGCCGCTTGTTGTTGTTTGGCAATCTGATTACAGACAAAAAGTTAAAATTAGGATTTCCATTTGCCAGTCTGTTTTCAGTATTTGTTAACAAAACACAGTCGTGATTAGCAAATCTTACTTTTTGTAAAACACCAACAATCATGGGCTGCGGAACCTTGAATCGCTTGACCATCATTTCAAGAGACTGGGGGCATGGAGCAAGAAAGTGTAGGAGTTTCCGTTCAAGTCCTGGGTCTTCTTTGTAGGATGCAAGATTTCGAGGCCGGTTTGTGCGGATAGTCTTGTTTTGTGAAAATTTGGGGGACGATTTGATTGCTACAACCAATACCGATTTATGTGGTTAATTTCTGTCAATGATCAGATTGGATATAGCAGTAAAGTCACGTTGCAGTGTGCTACTATTTATTCATAGTTTTAAATACCTTTAGGTGGAACTGTATCTAACACAACAACACTAAACAGTAGTATTATTGCAGCAAGTCAATTGTACACGAGATTGTAAATACACCATTTTAAGCTTACACGAATAGAAATATAATTGATAGAAACACTTGAACTTAAACCTACCTGTTTCTAACTTTGGCATTAATTTCAGATTGTGTCACATGCTTGATTCGTTCGTTGACTCCACTTCCGCCTGGTTTTGGAAACAATTTTTTTTTTACTGAACCCACATACAGCAATTCTTCAGATGTGCCAACTCGAGATCGTTTATAGCAATCTACAATCTGATTTTCCTGGTGACTTTGAAGATCCATAGACTCACCATCTATATATAGAGTCTATAATATATAATCCATTAAAACGACATCATTTGATTTAGTTGCAATAATACTATACTCGTCTAGTCAAATTATAATCTACTACAAGATTGACCAGTAGCCATATTGATTAGGTCTAATGATATGACAAGGACAAAATATCCATCTATTTGTTGAAATAGCAGTCACATTTTCAATAAAAACTAGAGCAAGAAGCAATATATTGCATCGATATTCTATCACGCATTAAACGGGATAAAAGATAATCTTCCAACTCAATTGAAAATATGGCAGTATCGAATCGGGTATAATGGCCACTTGAAAACATCCATATGACCGCCAAAGGCCGCTCTTTTCATAATAACACATCATTTTATATGTAACCAAATGTTGCCAACATAACATACTAAATGGGCTGGGTTCGTCATGTCGATTTCTACAGAGGGAGAATCCCCTTGCTGGAGTCGTTCCAAGAGGGATCTGCTCAATTTAAACGTCATGACTGGATAGCTACATGACTGTTTTTTATTTTCGTCTGGAAGCAGAGTATATCGTTGCTGGGGATCCAAGTCGTTTGTCCGTAGTGACATTACAAGCAGATTCTGCAATCTGTTTCTGTACAAACTAAACTGGCAACGATTTACGAGTTTTTGGCAGTTCAATAACCAATCACGTGGATTGTTTAACATTCTTGTTACAATGTTGCAAGCAGTTTATGCTGACTTGGAATGGAAAATACTATTCAAGAATGGACAATGTCGTCCTGATAGATTTGATGTTCAGCAGCCAAGTGTTTTTCAGCAAGATCTAGTCGAATATTTCGTGTAAATCATTTCAAACTGCCTTTTTAAAATATAGAATAAATAGTGCTATACAGATGATACTTGAAAGATCAATGTTTAGCATCTCAGGGTTCATTCATGAACAGTTGGGTTGCAATTGTGTTGATTTGGAACTTTGCCTTGCTTTCGTATTCGAGTTTGAACACGATGAAGGGCGACGAATCCCGACAATCACAATCCTCGCCTGGACATGGTGTAGATATGACTGCAACCACCACTTGTTCAATTACAGGTAATATTAAGCAGAATCTGATTTGCTCCATTAATATTCCATTTTTCAAGACTTGTGTGCAAGCTCAATGCACCAGTTTAGTATCGGCCAAATTGGTGCATCTGAACAAGTGTCGTAGTCGTCCTGTATAGCTACATACATTCAATACTTTATTGGTTCCTACCAACCAGTATTTGATTCTGAATGCATACTATCCACACATTTAATTTGTCTTGGCTTTATACTAATTTTATTTTTTTGAAATGCATATTTGATGATTATAGATACAGCAGATTACATTGGCAAGCTTCTGGATGGAAGCGGTGCATCTCAGTACGTCGATTATGCCGATTTGGGTAACAAGCTGGAGATTATTCAGAAACCAAATCGGTCCAGTCTTGCTAATGAACCTGGAAATAATATGGTAACCATAAAGTACCATGCTGTGGGTTGAATATCTTGCAAATATATTTTATTTTTACCAACGACAAATCTGCTATTATATAGGTTACAAGCAAGAGTGATTCTCCAATACAGCCGTTCATTTTAAGAAATTCTATCACTGCTACACCAAAAACGGAAGTTTCTCAAAATGCAGATGTATCTAATCAAGGACTAAAGTCGGGCATGGATACTCTATCTGCAGCCACAGAGTTTCTAACACAAGAAACCAATGCGATGAACACGCAGAATGGAGTACTGATTAATCGACTGATTGAGCCAAATCGTCAGTTATCGAGATCTAAACAGCAGAGTATGGCTGCTAATGTTTTGGATGACCAGTTGAATGGCAGTGAGTCTGCCCCGGTTTCTAGACGCTCTATACTACCAGAAAGTATCAGCGTCACAAAACAAATGGATCAATCTGCTCCTGCTCCACAAGATCTGAAAATTCAAACTAGGTAGACTTTTTCTTGGTTTAGGATGCCTTTTATCTTGATTTCGAATAATCTGAAAATGTTAATTTATTTTGTAATTACATGTAAGCCATGACTTGATGCTAATTTAAATCTTTTATTTGTTGACATAGTCGAGCATCTACAACTAAAGGTGCGACTTGTTTTGATGGCGAGATAAACCCAGAGGCTGCATCGGTAGTAAACATGGATGGTGGTGCTGTACCATCAAATTCCAAGCTTGACCAAAACACGGATCATCAAAAGGGAATTCTATCACAAACCTCTCAAATTTCTTCACACGGCACCAATACGGCCAATCCCGTCCAGAGCAGCGGAGCAATAGTTAATGAGATTGAAAGTAGTTGGATCAATCTTTAATCAAAATTTACCAGGAGATAGTTTTACTAACAATAATTCATATACTAATATTAATTTAAACAGGCCTCTTTGGTGGATCTGTCTTCATACATGGTAGCACACGGACTCCCGCCATTACCCAGATCTCTTGAAACCGTGTCATCTACATCTTTGGCTATTCCTGGAATTTTGACAAAAGCACAGGGTGAAGATTTGCGTGAACTTTTAAAGTGCATTTCTGATACGCTGGCTACCCAACAGTTTGAATCAAATTCTGGAAATGTAAATTCACATGATATAATGTGTCCATGATGCCTATTGTATCAGCAAGTTGATGCTAATTTGAAATCTTTACCACCAAACGTTGCTACTTTAGTCTGTTACCACACTTTGTGCACAGCTAAATGATTTGAAAGAAAGTAATACACTTTTACGCAATCAACTGGATAAGACTCTGAAGCAGGCATCTCAGAGTGCTCGGGAAGTTGATGCACTTAAGTTTCATATACAAGAAATGGAAAGACACGACGCAATCATCCAACAACGGGATGCGCAAATCTTGAAAGATTTACAACGAAAGTACGGTCGTCACTATCTACAGTCCGTAGCTAAAGGCGGACCAGCTGACGGACTTGATAATTTTGTGCTTGAAGTGATTCGTGGCTATGAAAGCAAAATTGAAAAAATGCTCAAAGTTGGTGGTGAGGCTACATTAGGTGCCCAGCCTATGCCATCTCGACCCATCTATCATCCGCCTGATCAGTCTACTCTGCATTCATCGGATCATTGGAATCCTAACAGACATACGAATACTACGTTCAACAATTCCGATAAAGATAAAACAGAGGTTGTTTACTATTTTACAAGCCATTTTTACTTGGATGCAATATTCTAATGTTTATATTTATTGTAAATGTCTAGGATTTGAAGCATCAAATTTCTAATTTGACAAAGCTTTTGAGTGCTGCCAATAACGAAGTTGAAACTTTGAAACTGCAAGTATTGAATACTAAAAAGTTTAGTTGGATGGATGAAACCACTCATAATTCTGGTAAGAAATCAGTATTTAAATTGTCTATTTTAAGAAACTAATTTAGCTATTCTTTATATCCCAAATATTTTAGCTGAAAAAAAGTCGACGCGAGAAATGATTCGACGAGATAAACTATTTCGAAAGTCTAGACTTGCGCATATTGAGCAATTGTCTGCTGATCAAGCCCGCAGTCTTCTTAATGTGTGTTTTGCTATTGTTATAAACTTATGTTGTTAGTGTGGCTAGAACTTGGACTGACAGCAAAGTCGACATTTGTCGATATTTGAATTTACAGGATGTATGTGTTAAACTATCTATACGTCAAGTAGAGCAACTACCTTCTGGAATTGAGCGAATACATGTTGTACTTTGCCTTATTGGACAGATGCAGTCTGTAGGTTTGCTTTTGATGAGACTTTTCAAAATTCTCAAGTATTTAATCAGTTTGCATTTTAATATACTGCTTAAAACAAACTAGTTTATTCGCGAGGTGGACGCAGCTGTTCGACTACATACTACAGATCCCAATGACTCTCAAGATCCAAAAAAACTCCCAGAATTGCTTTCAGTGATTCTTAAATGGGGCGAAAACACTACAAGCGCAAATGATTTGACGGTAAGATTTTGTTTTGTGTGACTTGGATCATGAAACTAGTCAACTAACTCGATCTTATTTGAATGTGTTGGGCTACTAGTATTTTAGTCAAGAGATTCACAAAATATTAAACATTCAGCATCGATATGGAAGCGATTCATACTGCCTTGAAGAAATTCGTCAATTGGTTTACTCTAATTCCAACAATTCTCAAGGGAAATTAAATGTAAGAATTGTTTGATGGTATAGTTGCTGATATTTGATTACATAGATGTAACTTTCTTGTACTTTCAATGCATTTTAGAATATGGGCGATGCAGAGTCCAACCCAGCATATCATTTTAAAAATCTGTTTAATGTTCCAACCATGTCGGGGGTTCCATCCAAAATTAACGAGGTGTTTGTGTTTTGTTCAGAAGTTGGAACTCGTGTTGACCAATTTCGCGCAATTCTTAAACTGGATAACCATATGCAGCCGGGAATGGTACTTACACGAGCTGTAGATACGTTAAAGGAAATGATGCAAAAACGTGCTCGAGACTCTACAACTACTCCTAATATACTTGGAGTGTTGCATGACCAACGACCTGTTTCATTTCAAAGATCGTCTAAATTACAAGAGCCAGACGAGTCGTTTAGTTTATCTGTTTTGGAACCCAGCGAAGAATTTGAAGTCGATCCGTATACTTCTGGTCAATTTCAAGCTGCGAATCCAGACCACTATACAACTCTGTCACCTAGCAAATCGCATAGAGATCACCAGCCTGTGGATGAAGATGGAAAATGGCTCGAACCTCGTTCATCTTTGAGCCCGGACGGAAACTATTTGATAAATAACCATAGAATTTTGCCAGACTCTCAGAACAATCAGCCTGTATTGTCTTTTGCAGCGACGCCTCACACAGATACGGGAGTAACTAGATTGGGTCGGACTCCAAGACACGCAGACTCGCCCATTGATGGATTATCTCGACTTGTAGGTAGTAGAATAGTAGATGAATCCATTTAGTTTGAACATTGCGGTAGGTTAGCAATAAAAATTGACTTTACATATATTTGCCGATTAAGACGAATGCAAGTGTTGGATTTTAACTGTAGAGAATTGAAAGGTGAAACTAGACATGTGACATCACGGGATGTTTAGTGTCCGATTTTGGATGTCCAGCAAAAGGTTGAAATTCTTTAATTTATCAAAGATTCAATTGCTATTTAGACCATGTCATCTCGCCGCTCTGCTGATGCTTACTCTAAAAGACAAACTTTGCAACGTCTGAAAGAACTCAGAGAATCTGGAAATACTAGTTTAAGAGACTACGAGGTAGCTTGATACCAGAGTTTAAGCAATCTAACCCTAATCTTGAAACTTTATTGAATCCGGCAATCTAACTCTTAGAGCCGAAATCTTGTTCAACTCCACATTATTTTGATTGACTCTTCATGCATGGACTACAATACCTTTCAAGCCTGTGGTTTTAAACTGGCTCTTTTTGCTCTTGAAATAAGCGTTTCCATTCATGGTTTTGTCCGATCGATTAACTGATTTCAATACTTTCTTAACTTGGCAGGTTGCGGGAACAGCCGACATTTTTGATGTTGTAACCGAAGAAGAGTACAATACGTTAAGCAAGCGCACTCGATTAGAAGACGATTTTGTTGTTGATGACAATGGCGAAGGCTATGCCAATGGTGGCCTTGAAGATTGGGACAACCCACAATCTGGTCAAAGCTCTACCGATGAAGACGGTGATGCTATCAATACCAAATTCAACAAAACAAAATCAACAGGAAAAGGCGGTAACTCAGGTAAAATAAGTAAATCTTGCAGCTATTGATCGCGACGTATATGAAACAAGATAGTGTATTGCTTTTAATCCAACATCTTGCTTATCTAATATTGGATAAATTTGTTGATCATTCAATGAATAGAAAAGCGTAAACGCGATAAAAAATCACTTGTAAATCCAGCAACTGGAAGTGCCAGCATTGTTAGCATGCTTAGTAAACAATCCAAGGCCAGTGAAAAATCTGTTCAAAAGGTGCAGTTGTTTTCAAATTTCTCTAAACCTAACTGCTTTATTTTCTTGACCTGTTTTACTGGGACGCTAATTCTCATTTACTGTTTGATTTTACTCATTCGGGCAACAATATTCGATATTAGACGGGAGATCAGACACTTGAAGAATCTACTCAACTGCTTGATTCAATTTTGGAAAGTCTTGACGATGTTGTTTCCACCCAAGAGGAGAAGCGTCGCCGTGTTCATTCAACGACTAATGAATTTTCTGCCAATACTTCCATCGACAATTTTTCTGGATCTCTGTTTTCTAAATTTCAACTCAAGGAAAGTTTATTGACAAAAGCATCAACGGTAGCTTCTAAATCTTTTGACTCCGCAATAGTGGGAGATAGAGAATACGCTCAAGACGGGCTTGATATCATGAATAATGATGAAAGTTCAGCAAATAATTCGCCTTCAAATAGAGTTGGTGTTTACACAAACAACCAAAGTATGGATACTTTAGATCTTGACAGCGCTATGGAAGTATCTACTCAAGCACCGTTAGCCACCAAGCCAGTCTCGGTAACTGATGCAGAGACTGTCCAGAAAAGCTCACAAGTAAAGATCCGGAAATTGCAAAAATCCTCAGCCAATTCGAAATCAGCAAAGTCTGCTGCACATTTTCTTCCCAAGTTTGAACAAGTCGCTGTGGCTACTGCTGCATCTCAACCCAGCGTCATTTCATCCACAGAAATGGCTGGTTGTGTCAATTGGAAGAACGTCAAGGATACCGTGGCGATCACCAATGTTTCTTCAAATGAAGAAAGTTCATTCATCAAATCTAATATAGGTCAAAACGATATATTAGAACCGGATGGATCCTTGAAAATGTACTGGTTTGATAGCTATGAAAAACACGGAATTGTGTATTTGTTTGGAAAGGTAAATTTGATTTGCTCAATTGGCTGTGGCAAGAGTACCTCGCTAAATTTTAGCATTTGCTTTAATTGGATTAGGTATATCAACCGTTGACTCAACGCCATGTAAGTTGCTGTCTGGTTGTCAAGAACATTCAGCGCAATTTGTTTGTGCTTCCTCGTCCAATCAAACTTGACGGTATGTTTAATTATTGGCGTTTTTGATGTTCAGTATGTATCACATACGTAGAATCACGCTGAATTTAATGCAATCTATAAATATTTTAGATTTGGGTATACCAACCGATACTGCTGTTACAATGGCAGATGTATATCAAGAATTTGATACCATAAGGCAAAAGCACCAAATTTCCGAATTTTCTTCTCGCTCCGTTTCTAGAAAATATGCCTTTGAATTACCCAATATACCATCTGAATCTGATTATCTTAAAGTATTATATCCGTTTTCTGGTACGTTGCTATGTGGTAGATTTAGACTTGTCGTTATTTGACTGGCTTATTGTTTGAGATATTAACATATCTATCTTGACTTTAGAGCCTGAGCTTCCATCGGATATCTCTGGAAAAACATTTAGCCGTGTATTTGGAACTCGGACTCGTGCAATGGAGCTACTGATTCTTAAAAGAAAACTTATGGGTCCGTGCTGGATTTCCATCAAAAATGTCAAAGTTTCAACCCCCATGGTAAGATCACTAATACTCGAACTGTTTCTAATCATCATACCAACTAATACCACGCGTACAGGTTTCTTGGTGTAAATTAGAATTCATCGCGGATGACCCAAAAAGCATCAGAGTCTTTAGTGACAGTGATCCCGATGCTCCCAAGCAAGCACCCCCTTTTGTCGTCATGAGCTTATCTCTAAGAACATACATGAATCATCAAAAAAAAGTCAATGAAATTGTTTCTGCCAGTGCACTTGTTTACAACCATGTCAATATCGAAGGCGATACTACCGATGACAATGCCGTTCGTTTAACGGTGGTTCGCCAGCTGAATCAAATTCCAATTCCTGTCGAGTTTATGGAAATGGCAAATCGACAGCGTACCAAACTTGTAGTGCTGCCAAACGAAATGTCGTTGCTGAATTATCTTCTTGCCAATATTTATCAGCTTGATCCCGATGTACTTGTTGGCCACAATATTGTTGACTTTGATTTGGACGTGCTGCTTCATCGAATGAAGATACATAAAACTCAAAACTGGTCGCGGATTGGTCGACTTCGTCGAACAGTGTGGCCCGTGATGCAGACAGGGGCTGGAGGAACGGGCGATTCGTCTTTTTCAGAGCGAGAAATTGCGTCTGGTCGACTCATGTGTGACACATATCGTACTGCAAAGGATCTGATTCAATCCAAGAGCTACAGTCTGACCAGTCTTGCAGCAAGCCAGTTAAAAATTGAGAGACCCAACATTGATTTTGACAAGATCCCATCATATTTTTGGAATAGCGAAAAGCTGATGGAGATGGTACAGCATTGCGAGTTTGATACATTTTTAACCTGCCAACTCATGTTCAAACTACAAGTTCTTCCTCTTACCAAACAATTAACCAATCTGGCTGGTAACATTTGGTAGGTGTTGGTTTTCAGTTTTTGACATGCAACTATTGCTGATCCATTATTTTACAGGTCCAGGAGTCTGACTGGCGCACGCGCCGAGCGTAACGAGTATCTACTCTTGCACGAGTTTCATGATAGAAAATACATTACTCCCGACAAGGTGTATAGTAACCGTGTAGTGTCGAATCAACTCGACGAAAATGGTAATTATTTGATTTATTAGACAGTTTATTTATCGATTTAAACCATCATTATTGCTGCTGATATTATTTCAATGATCTACACCAAATACCTTTAGATGCAGAGGGTACAGGTGCTGTTACCAAGAAAGGTGGCCGGCGTAAGGCTGCATACGCTGGTGGACTCGTGCTGGAACCCAAAAAAGGCTTTTACGACAAATACGTACTTATGCTTGATTTTAACAGTCTGTATCCGTCAATCATTCAAGAGTACAACATTTGCTTTACCACAATAGCTCGCTCTTATGACAATAATGGTGATCACATGCCTACTCCTCCCAATTCCAGTGTTGATCGTGGCATTTTGCCCAAGCTTCTTGGTACACTGGTGAATCGTCGTCAATTGGTTAAAGGATTGATGAAGGATCCCAAAAACACACCTGCAGAACTTGCACAATATGATATTCGACAAAAGGCACTCAAGCTAACTGCCAATAGTATGTATGGCTGTCTTGGATTTGTCAATTTCCGTTTTTATGCGGAACCTCTGGCTATGTTGATTACTTCCAAAGGCCGTGAGATTCTACAAAACACGGTTGATCTTGCTGAAAAGTCCAACCTTGATGTAAGCATAATGGGTTTTGAAAGATGTCAAAAATACGTTTATTTAATGTTCATTTAGAACTACACTCACATACAAGCATGAATGCTTTAGGTGATTTATGGCGATACTGATTCCATCATGATTTATACCAACTCGACGGATCTTGCAGAAGTCAAGCGTATTGGCCAAGAGCTGAAACGTGCTGTCAACAAGCGTTACAATCTTCTTGAAATTGAACTCGATGGGTTTTTTGAGCGCATGCTACTTCTTAAAAAGAAAAAGTATGCAGCAATTTTAGTAGAGGAAAAAGATGGTCAGTTGAAGAGAACGATTGAAACAAAGGGATTAGATCTTGTGCGTCGTGATTGGTGTGGCATTAGTTTTGATGCCTCCAACTATGTCTTGCAACAGATCTTTTCGGGTGAAACCCGAGAAGAGGCGGTTGAGCAAATTCATCAGTACTTGAACAAACTTGGTGTAGAGGTGCGATCGGGAACTGTTCCACTTGAGAAATTTATTATTAACAAGGTTAGTGTTTATAATGGTGTTGTAGATTTATTTTGTATTTGGTTTAACCTTGGAACTTGTGTTTGCTCAATTTTGTTATCTGTAGGGCTTAACTAAGAACCCAGAAGAGTATTCAGACAAAAACAGTCTTCCTCATGTTCAAGTAGCACTTGCTTTAAAAGCTCGGGGTGGTATGGTCAGAGCTGGTGATACTATCCCATATGTTATTTGTCAGGGTGAATCCACGCATGTTGCTCAACGTGCCAGACACCCAGATGATATCACAAAACAAGGATCTACTGAAAAAATTGGCAAGTTGAAAGCTTTAATAGCATCTATTGACAAGTAATCTAATTGGCTTGTGATGCTTATATATTGATACACTATTTAGACTTTAATTGGTATTTGAGCAATCAAGTGCATCCACCCATTACTCGATTGTGTCAGCATATTGAGGGAACCGATACTGCTCGTCTTGCTGATTCTCTAGGTAATCGATTGGATTTGCGTGTTGGATGCATCTGGCACTACAAATTCAGAGCGAGTATATGCTGAGATATGTATATATATAGGTTTGGACATGACAAAGTTTTCTTCAACTGCGCAATCTCGATCATTTGATGATACATCCGCGGCAGATATATACACATTTGAGTCGCAAATCAGCGACGAAGAAAAGTTTAAAGATATCAAACGCTGGAGTCCTCGTTGCATTCACTGTGGCGAATCTTCTGAATTCAAGGGTGCTGTTTATTTCAAGGCAAGGATCTTTGCTGTTCAAAAGTCATTTATGGTTTCTTATCCATAATTTTGTAATTTAAATAGGATGGTACAGCTATGAGTGGTTTGACATGCGCAAATCCCATGTGTGGTCAAACAATGCCAATTCCTTCGTTGGCAGTGCAACTTCGTGTTGCCATTTGTGCTCAGATGAGGGTGTATTTAGATCAGAGTGTTGTATGCGATGATCCTTCATGTCTTAATATCACAAAAGCAACTTCTGTGTTTGGTAGAAGATGTCTAGTTCCTGGTTGCAAAGGAACTGTGTTTTTTCAGGTAATTTCCTATTTATACTTTTATTTGACGGTTCATGGTTTCTAAACTGTTGTTTTTATCTGCCATCTAGTTATCGGATCGTACATTATATCTCCAAATGCAATACTTTGAGAGTTTGTTTGATATTCCTCATGTAACGAAAACACTCGAGAAGAGTGCTGAAAATGACGAGATTGCCAGTAAGTTTGATCATGTTCATTTTATATTCGATGCTGTAAAAGCCCACCCACTTGCTTATAAATGTATACTTTTATAGATTTTGCCAGGAGTATTTTAACGAGAACAATTTCCGATATCAAGTATCTTGGACAACTTGTAGAACAATATCTTTCTACTAATGCACGCAGATGGGTTGACTTGGGAAAACTATTTTCATTTCATCAAGCAATGTAATACAAAAATGAAATTTGGATTAGCTAATAAGATTGAAGATGTGAAAGATTAAATGAATCGAATCCGGATTTCCATTCCGGCATGATCAAAGTTTTGAATTCAAGATGCCGATTTCTTTCCTAAACTGATTGTTACGCCTAATATGATTATGGAATACGTGAGTTTAACTCTGCGCCTTGTATGGTTGTTCATGTCATGACTTGACACAGATGCTAAAATCTACATCTGCTACACACTATGACTGCTTATACAACTATTGATCTTACAGTCTAGTGAACTCAACAAAAACACTTACACTACCCTAGACCACAAGGGTAACAAGTATCAAGTGCCTACTGGCCTTTTCATCAACAACATGTTTGTGCCTTCAGTTTCTGGTAAAACATTCCCGTCTATAAACCCGTAAGTAATAATGTTGGTGATGTACAAGACATTCTATTACATCAAGATCTGTTGTTTTGCAGCCAGCAGTTTGATGCTAGTGATGCTTGTGATCTGCCTGTTTTGTTGTATTGTCAAGGAAATCCGTTACAGTTGTGTCGGCCTGTTTAGTTTATTTCTACAGCCAACCATCGTACAATTAGGGTTTGGTAGATCTCGACGTTCACATTTTGTGATCGTGAGGCCGGTGGTGGGATGTGCTACAAGATTTGGCAGATTGTTGGTAGCTCTAATAGTTGCTTACCCATTACTGACTACTTTGATATAACTTATATCATCAATCATTCAGAGCCACTGGTGCCAACTTTATCGATTTTTTTGAGGCTGACAAGGCTGATGTTGATGTTGCTGTTGCTGCTGCGAAAGCCGCGTTGAAGGAATGGGTCAAGTAAGTCGAGTATAAGCTGTAAATGCTACCCTTGAGTTTACTGTCAACTGTTGACATCTTTAACTTTCCAGAGTGTCGGCTGCTGCTCGCGGTGTTCTGCTGTGGAAACTTGCTGATCTTGTTGAAAAGAACGCAACGCAGCTTGCAGAACTCGAGTCGCTCGACAACGGGAAGCCAGTGAGCGTAGCCAAAAGCTCAGATGTTCCACTGACTGTCGACTGTCTGCGATACTATGCTGGATGGGCTGACAAAAACTCTGGTCAAGTTGTAGAAGCTTCTCCCAATCAGCATGCCTTTACCCGTCACGAACCCATTGGTGTGGTGGGCCAAATCATTCCATGGAACTTTCCACTGCTTATGTTGGCTTGGAAGTTGGGTCCTGCACTTGCTTGTGGCAATGTTGTCATTGTCAAAACCTCTGAAAAAACTCCCTTGACCGCTCTTAAACTAGGTGAATTGATCGTGCAAGCTGGCTTTCCTCCTGGCGTCGTCAATATTCTGTCTGGTTATGGTCCTAGTGCTGGTGATGCTATTGCTCGTCATCCTGGTATTAGCAAACTAGCCTTCACTGGGTCCACGGTCACTGGCAGAAAAGTCACGATTGCAGCTGCCGAGTCTAATCTCAAAAAGGTTACTCTTGAACTTGGCGGAAAATCACCCAATATTATTTTCCCTGATGCTGATATTGATGCTGCTGTCAAATGTGCTTCCTCTGGCATCTTTTTCAATAATGGACAATGCTGCTGCGCTGGATCTCGTGTATTTGTTCACGAGGACATTTATAGCAAGTTTGTTGCCAAATTCAAGGAAAACATGGCCAACATCAAGACTGGCGATCCCACAGATACTGCGTGTGATCAAGGTGCCATCATTGATAAGATCCAGTATGATCGCGTCTTGAGTTATATCGACTCGGGCCGCAATGAAGGTGCTCAAGTTGTATCCAACACTCTTTCCCCTAGCAAAGACGGCTTTTTTATTGCCCCTACTCTGATCACTGATGTAAAAGATACCATGCGTGTTGCAAAAGAAGAGATCTTTGGTCCAGTAGTGTGTGTTCTCAAATTCAAGACTATTGAAGAGGTATTGGAGCGTGCCAACAACACCAACTATGGTCTCGCCGCTGCTGTTCATACCAAAGACATTCGTACTGCTTTGCGTATGGCCAATGAACTCCAAGCTGGTACGGTTTGGGTCAATCAATACAATACCCTGTACCATCAGCTGCCATTTGGTGGATTCAAGGAATCTGGTGTTGGTCGCGAACTTGGTCAATATGCTCTGGCCGAATACACCCAAGTCAAATCAGTCATGATCAATCTTGAATAGACTATTGCAGTCTTGGAATATCTATGCATCATCAGTTTTATTTGTCTTTCATCCATTTGAATGAATTTGCGATTGATACTTTGTATTGGCTTGCTAGTGTAGTTTGAACAACTTTTGGTTTTCAAACCAATCTTCAATAGTAGTGATTTTCTGCAGACCATAATTATATACCTGTATGGAGATACGGGATCGACCATCTTTTGATGCAATAGCAAATGGTGGTGACAAGAGCAAAGCCTGTTTACTCGCCTGTCCTGTCAGGAATGCTGCACTGCTTGAATCTAACAACGATCATGCAGATCCCCTATCAAGTATACCAAAAGAGCTAGCACTGTCAATTCTTGCTTATCTAGATTTAAAGTCTCTTTGTTCTTCATATAGAACTTGCCAAAGATGGAGAGTTTTGTGTTCTGACAATCTACTGTGGTATAAGATTGCTGTTCAGTCTGGGTTCTGGACTGACTCGTCATTTCCAGGTAATATCATTGTTGGCTTTAGGAGATGTCAAGAAGCAATCTGTCACTATTTATAAACATCACTTTGCATACCGAATAGCATTTGTTTCCAAAAGCCAATCATTATCAACTGATGTGGATTTGAAAGCAGAGTTTGCTTTATCCGGCCAACTCTTGGACACATCTATATGCTGGAAAACTCGTCTTAAACACCAATATGCAGCTGAACGCAATTGGATGAACTCAAACTGTAAAGTGATGGATTTTTCTGGCCATACAGATGTTGTGTTGTCAGTTAAACTGTATCGAGAGAATATCATTTCAGGATCTCGAGATGGCTTGATTATAGTATTTAATACTGTGACTGGAAAGTGTAAGCATATGATTCGTGGCCATGATGCTGGCATATCTTGTTTGGATAGAATCGGAAGCGTCGTGTATTCTGGATCTTGGGACAACCAACTCAAGGTAATTCGAGTACTATATTGGTGCACTGTCAAGTTTAATGATTTTTACAGCTTGGTACTGTTGAACGCTTATTCTCATGAACGGATTTCTAAATATAAAAGGTGTGGCATGTTGACGAAACTACTGGGAAACTAGAGATCAGACATACGTTGATGCATCACGGCTCAATTATTTGTTTGAAAGCCCGACACAACCATCTGGTAAGCGGGACTTGGGGAGGACGAGTCTATTTATGGAACACGTTGACTCGAATGCTCGAGTATATCCTGTCTTGTCCAAACCAAGTAGAACTAGTCAGTTGCGTTGACTTTAATACCGCTCATATATTCTCAGGCATAGCAGGCTCCATCACGATCTGGTGCAGGATCACTCGTCAAGCGGTACGCCAATTCACAGGTCATTCCTCATCCATCACTTCATTAAGCTTAAAAGGCGGAATGCTATTCACTGCATCTGAAGACAAGACTGCTGTAACATGGGATATTTCAGGCTTGACACCTAGTAACGTCGACAAACATCCCATTCCTATTTGTAATTCTTTAGTTGGCCATTTTGATGGTGTGCGATGCTTGGCAAGTCGTGCCAATCTTCTCATTACTGGATCCTACGATTCGGTGAGTTAGCTTTATGCTTGCATTATACAATTGGCTTCATAACTTGTACACCACATATTGCATTATGACTATATCAAACGATTGCCTGCTTATTTTGCTTACATATAATTGCAGACAATACGAGTGTGGTGTATAAAGCGAGGAATTTGCTTGTATAGCTTATCTGGTCATGCCGGAGATATCAATACTCTCGACTGTGATGAATCACGCATTGTTTCGGGGTCCGACGACATGATGGTAAAAGTATGGGATTTTCAAAGTTGGATTTAAAATGTAATTCATGTAAAATGAACCACTTTTGTATTGATCTTGTAATGACTTTTTTGCTCTGGAATAAACAATTGTCAACTATTCGTTGTTATTGAAAATTGATTACTTTTTCTATTAAAACTATGTTATCTTAATATCAGATACGTTCGCGCTCTAGTTCAACATATCTCAATAACGCAACAGTTGTTTCCATGCGATCACACAATGCTTACTTCAAATGTTCGTTTTGAACAAAAGGAAAGTTGGAGGTTGAAAAGATGTGGAATGTATTGAAACAGGAATGTGATCACTCACTGTATTTTTGTACAAGAATAAACACAAAAACCAGTCAACTAACGAGTTCAAAAGACATAATGTTATCCAGTAAGATTGTCACCAAATATGAGACTGTTTATCATGCATTTTGACACCCATTTAGTGTTCCATTTTACGTGAATACGGCTGTAAAAAGGGCTATTGGTAGTGTGACTTGAGATCTTGCAAAGTTATATTTCTGACATGTACATCTGGCTGATTTCACCCAGTTGATTCACTCTGTAAATAAATTTACGAATCAACTTTAATTTTTGAACTGTTGCATACGATCCGCTATGGAAAGACCACATACATTTATACCTGGATCAAGATACAATTTGTATATATCTGCCTCTTTTAAATTACGACCAGTTACAATAGACAATCACGTAAATCAAACTCCGACAAGTATTGGCTTGACAAATCAGATGACTGTCAAATATAATGCCAATCCTTGCAGCTGACGACAAATGATGAGAATGCAGACCTCAAGTCCGCCTTGATGATTCTGAGATCCGTTTTAAATATCCCAGGTTTTTGTTCCTAACCTTGCATTGAAGTTTTAACTGTATTTTAAACATCAATTCAAACTGCACTTGCCAACTTTTAAAATCGACTCTTCAGACTAAAAACTCGCATTCATTGTTCATTTCGTCATAGCACCAAGATGCCAGACATACCATTACCTGCTATTGCTATTACCCTTACCAATACAACCATGCTTTTTTCCAATTGGAAAGCAATGACAGAAACGGTCAGTCCAACACAGTTGTTCGAATCAAACTTTATAAAGCTTATCTAGAAATCCATCGAGACATTGCTTTCTGCAATATAATAGTAATCAAATTTTAAAATACTATTTTGAATAGTATGATTTAATGCCAGTATTAGAACAGCAGTCTTGCCTGTTCATTTCTTTTTTTAATAATACTTTATCCAACAGTGATTTAATCAAGCTTTAGTTTTGCCATCTTCCATTAAATTGGACCCGCATACTTATCAGGTTGAAAAGCTGCTTGGGAATGTCCCGCCATTGGTTGCTCTGGAAAAAGCCTACAAAATCACCAAACGACACTGCCTTTTGCTGATTACACTCTCCATCTTGTGGACCATCCTAGTCATTAAAAATGTTCAGGGTGGTCCTTTGACAGATTTAGTTGGATTCAGTTTTCCAGCGTATGCATCAATCAAGGCAGTTGATTCAGGAGACAAAGTCAAGTATACGCATTGGCTGTCCTATTGGTACGTGATTTCAAATTAAGCTTTCACTACATGTCTGAATACGTCTAGACCAAGTACTAACTCGTGATATAATTGTTCCAGGGTTATATTTGCACTACTCAAGTTGATTGAGAACTTTCATATTACCATTCTTCAAGTGCTTCCGTTTTATTTTATCTTTAAAATGGTTTTTCTACTATGGGCCATGTCCAAATATAGTATGGTGAGTTTGTAATAGATTTGATCTATCCAATTGTATGTGGAAGTATCAGTTAAATTAACGATTTATCAATACTATTTGATCGAACCTTGGAATGAGTAGGGTGCATATGTATTCTACCACGGTATAGTCAAGCATTGGATTCCATTTCTCGACAGAACATTTGGATCTATGCTTGGTGGGGTCATGTCAGATGCTCTCAAAGCCTCGGTGGATGCAGAAGCCAAATTGCCAGCACCACCCAAACAAACAATTATATTGAATCCCAGGATTGGACATGCTATACTTGCAACTCCTGGACCTGGGTTCAAGGCAGCGAGTGCCAAGTGGGGTCATGCATCTATGGGACTACGCGGTAGATGAGCATTCTTGAACGACCAGATGCAATAAAACTGGAATACTATATATCGAGTGTTAATCCATTCTAACATCATGACAATAAAATGTTTTACCAAATTAAATCTAAAAGAATTCGACTTGGTTGATGACTTGAATTACATGAATATTCACGTAAAGTAAAACACTAAATAATGGAGTCTGAATAGTAAACAGTTTGATGTGCCAATTCACTGGATACGATTGTTGTTTTAACTCTAATTGTCTTTTTTATTAATGACTGAAATGTTGAAATAAATTGTAAATCGATTTCAAGTTTGTAGAATTGTGTTGAAAACAGTTTTAAACTCTGAAATCATTCGTCTGAGAATCTCGACATTCTTTGACAAACTTCAGGATTGAAAATTAATATTTTCCTTCTGTTCTCATTCTTTTTGTCTTGTGGATTAATCAGCAACTCGAGTGTAAGCCAAATCATAGTGACCGTCATTGCTTATATCTACTGTGGATATGGCCGGTCAGACAGACTCTGTAACTGTGCCATTGGAAAATGGCATCAAGTCGTTTTCTCAGCCATTAGCACTTGACAAGGCGCCTTTTAGTCCAACTGCTGCTGCACATTGCCATCAAGCTACATCAAGTCTTTCAAACGGACATGATATGACATCCATCCCAGAAATGTCTGATGAGGATAGAACAAAACTACTTCCAGAAATACCGCCCAATACGTTTCCGTTTGGAGAGCTGTTGAGTCGGACAGTTCAAACAACATACACAGACCTGCTGGATCTGGCTGAAACGTATGTTCTTTTCTTTTTGTATTGCTGGTATCATTTGCTTGCTTGAAGCAATTCAGTGCAGTTTATTTCCTGTAAATACTCTATAATTGAATGCATTCAGTGTAGAGATTTGTTACTGACTTTTTCTGGGCATTCTTATAAATCTGACAACACGAGTTTAGACTTCCGAGTGCTAGCAACGATGAACGCAAGAAACAGTTGCTCAATTTTTGTTTTGCAAAACGGAAGCTTTTTACAAAGTTATTGGTTCTTCTTCGTGCTAGTTCAAAGTCCAAGGATATCATGACATGCCAGGTGTGTTTTGCTTGCTGCGTATCACATTCAATTCTTGGTCTGATATCTGACCAATATCCAGGTATCATTCGATCAATCGTTTGCTAACTCAGTTAATATGGCTTTTTGAATACATAGAGAGTGCATGCATTTATCGATCATCAAGATGGCGCATTTTCACGAACTGCTGATGACTTGTTTGCAATTCATAGTCAGATGCGGGTAGCAAAGTAGGTTTGAATTTGATTCAAATCCATAAAGTACCAACACTTTTTTACTGATTTTTATTCAACAGAATTGCCAACTATGATATCCAAACTGCAGTTGATGTGCTTACCACTGGCACATATCAACGTCTTCCAAAGTCACTCAAGGTAGATATTGCCATGACACGAGACTTGAATTATTTTACAGTCATGTCGGTTATTTAACTAGTATATGTAAACACAGGCACAGCTTGTTTCTGAAGAGCCTCTTACTGCAGATGAGGTCAGTCGGACCAAGGAAAGATTAAACGATTTGATACGTATGCGTCTCACATGTGAAGAAGTTGTTCCAGCTGCGCTACGCCATAATATGAAAATCGGTACGCTATCTTTCCTTTAATCCACCAATATAAAGACATGTTCTAATTTGACACTTTAACCTTGTACGCGATTACTTGATAAGAAAACGGCTACGTTTTGTTCAAAGTTCCTGGCGAGTTTAGTGTTACACTGACCATGTCACCCGGCAATAGTGAGCAGCCGTGGACTCTTGTGGATCTTCAAATTTTGGCAAAATCAACATCAACTGGTTATGGAGGTACATATTACTTGATCTTGTTTTTTCATGACGATCAGCTGTACAAGATTAGTGCTTTTCTATTTGTATGATTTAAAATATCATTTATGAATCTAGGTAGTCTTCCTAGTTTGCAACCAACACAATTACAGGCTTTTAAGGATGCATCACAACGTCATTTGGCCGATGACAAATCATCCTATTGGTTAATTGTCAGACTTTATGAGTTTATCCACAAATTTTGTCTGACTTATCAATTACACATACTATCGTCGCAAGCAAGCTATTTATGTCAGAATCGATGGATGGATCATTTGCAGGTTGAAAAACAAGAGTTGGTTTTGAAACTCAATATGTGGCACAATCCCTCTGCTTCAAACGGTTAGAAATCTTTTAAAACATTGAGCATGCTGTTTGATCAAACGGGAAACACTAACAAAATACTGTTTTGATATTTTCTATTGATTTACTCGCAATTAGCTGTATCGTATCGGGAATACTATCAGCTGCGCATTTCTGCAGAGTACATACCAACCGTGTATCCCGATAGATCTTTCGAGCCAATGTCAGATTCAGACGGTCTACAAAAAGTGGTGCTAGAGTCACTATCGCAGATGATTGTGAATTCAGGGAAAAACAACGGTCTCAAAATATCACTTATTGGTATTTTGGGAAGTACTGTTCGTGATATTGATATTCCAGACATGATCAAATTGGTATGGCTGTTTTGGCGTTGAACGTGATTGATTTTTGATGTTTATAGTGTTTTTTGCTTGTTGAATTGCTTTTAGAACACAGAATCCTTGGACATTGAAGAGCTACTTTTGAGTATCACTGATTATCAATCGCGCATAATTATTTGTGCAATGCGGGATGAACTTCTTACAAACGCATCTGACTCATCGGCTGGTAGCTTGGTACACAGTGCTTTTACTAGTGAGCATGTTCAGATGAGCATGGGAATAGAAGCAGAGACTGGAAATTCAACTTCGCCTACAATCAAAAGCATGCTTCCTGCAGCCTCGTTGCTGGTCATGTATCGTCCAGAGTCTTGGGTTAGATTATCAGTTAATCCTCGAACTGGCATAGTGATTGCTAGTTTGGCAGATGCGAGTGGTCTAGGGAGTCTTGTTGGAGCCAATAGTAGTACGTGCTCGCCTATATCCGAAAATGCTCCAGCAGGATCGACCCTGTCTAAGGAATCAGGCAATGGATTAAAGCGAATCACCACTTCAATAGATCGTAATTTAAAAATAGTAGAGCAGCAGATTAATGCGAATGTGCGGAATACCAAGCAAGCCATTCTATACCTTCGCCGTGCTACTACCATCACGCAAATTGAGACTATGGCTCTCTACCTTGGATTAGAAGTAGCTGATTTTGCACATATTGGCACTGATTCACCTCTAAAGCACCTACAAACTGACAAAGTTAGATTGACACATCTTCGATTTCCAGGAAAAGATGACAATGTTTTAGTTATTGCTGCAGGAACACCAAACGACATACATCATGACAATGCGTTGCATTCTCAAGTCAGCGATACAGTAATATACTCTGAAGATGCAGAGTTTTATGTGTGGATCATGTCGCTTAAGCCGTCTGAGCATCGCACCAAAAAACCAGAGTTTCAAATCATTCCATTGTCTCCTGCCGATGTTCCTGGCGTATTAGACTCGACTGATTCGTTAATAGATGTGGATACATCATTCCTTACTGCCAAGTTACGACTTTCCAAAACCTCACAACATCAAAGCTTTTCACAGGCTTGGCCACGTATAGACTTGCCTGTTCTTTCCAAAATCCAAACCGCGTCAAGGTAGCGTAGTTTACTGATGATAGTCTTTTATTTTGGTTTAGCATGATAATTTATTGACATGCCATGGTTTTTACGAATTTGATATTTTCATGAAACAGTAATTTGTTTGCATTCGCAAAGCTTACTGAACAACTCGACCTTAATGGTTTGACATACCAGATTCTTGTCAAGAACATTCCTGGATATATTCCTAAAGGTCAAACTCATGTTGGTGATATACATATTGCTCGTCTGAATCCCAAAGTTGTTTTATCTGTTCGCGAGCTATTTAGTTTATATGGACATGCCGCGTTCAAAAGCACACATTCGTCAAATTCAAGCACTATGGATCCTGGCTCAAATATGCACATTCCTAACAGCAATATTTACGTGTATTTGGAGCCAGCAAAAAGTTTGTCGTTTTCTGCCAAATCACAATCCCCTACTGCCAAGATAGATGCTATTTCAACTGAACACCATACACACAGAATCGTTGCCAAGATGCGACTCCCGGATCGTCTGCTATCTTTGGAAGCACATTCGTTAAAAATCAGCGAGTATATCGAGTATGATGGCACATCGCAAACAATCACATTCCAATATCACAGTGTTAATGAGTATATTGAGTGCTTCATCACAGAGTTTTTGAGAGTTATAAGCATGATTTACTTGACGTTACAGCTCAAGCGGTATACAAAGGCGTTGGAAAATATGAATGTAAAGATGGATTTTTTCAATCTATTGATGGTGAATGTGCAGTTATTTCCCAACACAGTCATGCAGATCAAATGGCTACCTCAACATGATTCACAGACTAATGAGTCTGGCTTTTCGGTATGGCACGGAGAATATGCTGCATCATTTCAGCACAATGACGGATCACCAGATGAGCTCATGGTTATTGCAGACCTGTTTACAGCGATACTAAACAAAACCAAAGAGATATTTCCTCTTATTCAGGTAAGACTTGATTTATTCTTTGCGAGTACTAGCAAATCAAAACTCGCTGCTTTTTAAACTCTAATGCTTACTGTTACCTTTTACGTGCCATGCATGTTTACTGTAGCTACTTCATCGCGTAGCTCCTCTTGTATCTTTGCTGGAACACATTCGTCAAAGACGAGTTGCTTTTGGACAAACTGGAGTTGTGTTGAAGATTCTTTCACTTACCCATTTCCGTATCGTGTTTCCATACTTTTCGCAATTATGTGGCATTGAGTTTGTATACGAGCGTCCCGGCTCGTTTATGATGTTTGATGCATCTATGCTAGACTATGCAGCTGAATTGGGTCTTGGGAGTCTTGCCAAGGTTGGATTGGGGATTTTTTGTGACGACAGCATTGTTGACAATTCAATTGATACTGAACATACTCTAAGGCCTTTGCCCGAGTATATTGATATGCCAGCTGTATCTGTTCCAGGAATGGATCAAATGCGGCCACCCCGCATTGGGCTATTATATACACTGGGCACGCGGGTGGCCCAAGAGTTGGCAGATTCAGCTACAGCCACTACAGATCCACCTCGCTCTTCTCGTCAAGTAGCAGATACCCCGACACATTCAAAACATGGATCTATTGTTGTTCTTCCACATGGGATACTGTGCACTTTTAGTATGATTGACACAGTCATGGTTGGTATTGAGGGATATATCGATGTAATGTGTGCAAGCGATCTGATATTCTCGTATCTCAAAACCCAGCCAGTTACACATTCTATTCATGAAGAGCAGCACTGTCGAATTTTGTTTGCTACTGAATCTTCCAAAGCAGCGCTTACCTGCCATTCAAACGGCCGTTGGGGTTTCGTAATTGCTGCGACAGGTGAGCCATTGCACTTGTTGAATGACCACGACTGTTTGAATCGTATTTGTTGTAGTATTAATAACTGATCTGTTGTGTAGAGCGAACTCATGACAACAAGGCTGCTGTAGCAAACATTCCTGATAGCAAAGCTTGGCTTGATCGGCTTAATCATGATGTATGTGACAGTCTGATTGTTGATTGCGGATGATTTGTAATACACTCATGTAATTCTTTACTATCTACCAATAGGTCAATGCGATTCCTATCCCAAAGCGAAATTCGCTACAGTGGCTTAAAACAGTTGTTCATATTGCCATGCTGCCAGACATTCCTCTACGCGAGTTGATGAGTGTGACACGAGTTTCCAACTCACTCAACAACACCAAACCACTGGCTTTAGAATGGATTCTACAGTCTCCTCCCGATGCACCTCCACACATTCCTGCTCCTGGAGAAATGTCATTTATTTTTGATCGTGATCTTGAACGGATGAGACTGCTGGTGAGTTGTATACCATGTTTACAACTGTGTTGGACAAAAGTAATTTACACTCTATTTTGTTGATTAGTACCGATTTACCGATACGACAACACAAGAGTCTGTTTTGATACCCATCAAGTATAATTTTGGATCTGGCGTCATCTCCATATGGCACAATGAGGCAGGGGATGCGATTTATCCAGATATAACGCCGTACCACCCATTGGATCCAAAAATGGAAGGACTAATGAAAACCTTGACCAATACAAATTTGCCTAGTTTGCCAATCCTGGAGCGTACGTTTGTACAAGCCTCAATCAAGCATATTCCGCCGACAATGGGTGGACCTGGCAAGTTATTTGCTGTTCTTAAGCATCTCACTTCACGAAACATATTGGAATTGAAAAGTGGAGTAAATGTACAATAAATGTTGAATTTTTATTCAATTTTAGCAACAGTTTACCATTAGCTAAACTAGCATTTATAAACTGGGCTATTTTTTTTGGCATACCAGATGGTTTGGCTTCAAGTATCATAGAGCTTAGTGAGTGGGGTGTCGGATGTAGGCTGAAGCCTAGATTAAAGTCAGTCGGATGTCAAAACATTGGTTCCAGTATAGATCATTGAAATATTGAAACCTTGCAACTCACCAGTTGTCCTTGGGATACTCATAGCCAGCATCTTCGCCCTCGATACAATGGAATGTATAAATCCAACGACTTTTGCTCGAAGAGTTGTGGTTAGATTTGTGTAAAACAGATCCGTGGATGAGTACCAACGATCCAGTCGAGACAGGAGCACATATGTAGTCAGATTCAGGCGGATCTGGAGTATGAGGTGCAATGTCGATAAACTTGGTTCCTTGTCCATCTTCGCGTCTTACGAATCGTTTAGAAACCGAAACATCTGTATTTAAATTAGACTCGTAATGGCATGTCAAGATGTGGAGTATGCGATACACCAACTTACTTTTATGAGACCCGGGAACAAACCACATGCAGCCATTCTCTAAAGTGCAGTCTTCCAGTGCAAACCAGAATCCAATGGCAGAGAGAGGCTTGGTGAACAAGAATGTCGAATCTTGATGTGGAGGTACACGACCACCAATCTTTGGTTGCTATAATGATAAAACCACGCACGTTTATCTTGATGATACTTGGATGGAATACAGTTCAATAAACAGTAATTACCTTGAAAATCATCATGCTTTGAAGAATGCGAGGATCTTTATACTTTAGACTCTTCATAATCTGCTTGATGCCCTTGTCGGCAGAGAATGATTTAAATGCTGGTTCGAGTTCATGCAAACCTAAGTGATTTACAGTATGATTAAAGAGAAGCAAGCCAGATTGAATCTAGTTATAGCACTTACCATGACCAATCTTGTTGATTGCTTTGGCTTTATCGGTAACCAGAGTACCATTAGCATCAAACGCATCCTCTTCAAAAAAGTATCTTATCTTGTCACCACTAGACAGAAAGTAATCATCGCTGACATGTTCCGAATTACCAGTTTCACCGGTAGTAAACTTGGTTTTTGGATGAGTGTTTATGTCCAAAGAAGCCAGTAAATCTGCAGCTGCATGACGCAGTGCGGTAGCCTGTTCAGTAGTAAAAAATCCAGGAATAACCAAGAATCCATCTTTATCAAACTAGAGTTGATCATCATTAGCATTCGTTGACATGTACAAAAGTAGAATGAATTAGTAACGAGTTGAATCAGACAACTGTCAGCATGCAAGCAATTGTAGCGTACTTGTTGCAACTGCTCGTTAGTTAATCCCTCAGTCATGTCTTCAAGTCAAGATGTGGCAAGTCTTTATAAATTCAACTTGCTATCCATCACAAGACGAAAGATTTGCATAAATACACCCAAGCACACCTGCAAGCAGTCAAAATGGTATAACGATTAAGCTGGTATTGCAATTCAAATGTTGAGTTTGTCTTGAAATGTAATGTGTATGTTTATTCCATATTAAACAAACCAATGCAAGAGCCTTTCAATGTATTATTTAGCTATCTTTGGGCTGTAACAGTCGCTCTTGAGGATAGCTTTCATCAACATAAGTCGATGCTTCATCGCGTTGATATACAATCGGCTGTCTTGTTTTCTCGCTGTGAGCACAGTTCCACCAAAAGAAAAGAGCAGTGATGAAAGCTATACCAGGAATGACCAGCGAGCTCAGCATGAATGCACCAGCCGTGACCATGGCATCTTCCCAAAAGGTAATCATCAGAGGCAGACAGATCGACGTGGTGGATTGATTGCATGGAGGAGTTCCAGGAGAGGAAGAGAGCGGAGCACCAATATCGGTTTGAGTGAATCCACAGCAATGAAGCTGAGACTCGAGCAATGCTCTAGATTCCTGCGATCCTTTATTCCATATCTGGGTAACATCATTCTCCGCATTATTGGCATGGTGCTGAGCAACAAAAGATATAGTGACATGTACTGCAGCAGCAATTAGAAGCATCATCGAGAATATAACAATGAATGGCCGTGTCTGACGATACCCAGCACCGCATCCGATTGCGCCGACTCCAAGATGTATGAATCCAAGAGCCATAGTAACTACAGCATAATCCAACGTAGTACATGATTAGCAAGGTGGTTGAAACCCAAACACATTCTATTGAATAAGCAATGACATTTAAAATAGTCGACTGCATGGAAACAATGACAGTGTACATACTATACAAAACGTCTTTAGGCAGTAGGTTTGCCATCAGTTCTGGTGAGGTATTGACCAGGTAATTCATAGCAAGCGAACACAATGCAATGCCCAGGATAATGATAAAAATAGTGCCCATAAAATAGGCAGCTCTTGCAAACCGCTGCATATTTCAAATAGTGGCTGGAGCTGTAAGACTGACAAAGACTAGTTGCAGAACAGTAGAGTATGAGGCTCAGTACAAAGCTACAGTCAAGTATAGTTTAAAAGCACCCTTAGACTCGAGGGTTATGCTTTATATTCACGTAGTGTAACATTTTCTGAATTAAAAAACTGATTTTCAAGTGTTTATCAGCAATATAAACTGACATTCTCTTGACAGAGTTGTGCGATTGACAGGTTTGAAACTGACAATTGAACGGTTTTCAAGCTATGGATTGCTGCGTTTCAGAACATCAGATACGCTCTGGCAGAGAAAAGACTGCATGCCAATCACAAGAAACAAAAGTCAAAATATTGGATAAAATTATCACAAAACTTTACTATTTCCATTACATGAATACAGCAGCAAAACTACTCTTTTGCCAATCACTTTGAGCCATCAACTATTCCAATTCAAAAAATACTTGCAGAACATCAATTCAATGGATAGTGGCATGCTTCATTCAGCTATTGGAACCAGGCATCAAGAAATACACACCGTTTATTCAATAGTATCTTTGAGATATTCAGATGCTGCATTAGCATACAAACAAGGAAATTACCTGGATTACATCTTGTATTTGAACATGGCATCTTGTGCAATCAGTGACTTTCAAACTCAAGCCAAGAGTCTAGATCAATCAACATCATCCAACACAGTGCTGTCAGACATGGAAAGACGAATCTCTCATTCAAAGCTAGTTGCTGCCATGCATCGTTATAAATTGTTTTTATCCAATGACTCGGAGCATCCACAATCAGATATTACTGCTGCAGACTACCTTTGTCAGCTTGAGAAAATTGCCACTGACAGGTACTTGTTGCATCATACAGTAGATATTGCTGCTGCTAGATCTAAACATATCATGGACTCTTTAAAAAATTTCATGTATACTCCTTTAGCAATTCCAAATGTGATAGGTAATTATTTTACAAAACTATTACTGATGTAGGCTGAGTTAAATTTTGACAATCTTGATGTGATTGACTACATATAGATGCACTATACCATGCTGTAAAGAATGCCGATCAGATTAAAAACTCGCTTGCCATGCAGTCAGCTTTGGAAACACATTCTGTGACTACTTTGAATCTTAACTCGGATGCTACTCCACCATCACTCAACACACATCACAAACCATATTTATCTGATGATGATTTTACAGCAGATCTGGATAACGAATTTGACGACCTTTATGATAAAGAGTTTGGGAAACGGATAGAAGATGAAATTGCCAAGATCCCATTGCCACCATTGATTGCAGATCTTGCCAGCTCACATTACAATCTTGCTTTGGAATATTTCAATTTGGGATTGTATATCGACTCGATCCATTTATTGAATCCACTTTTGGAAGAACTCGAATCACTTGATTTGGGATTGGCACTAATGACATGCATGCTTGCCATCGAAGTGCTGGTCACTTTGGATAGATATACCGATTGTGTGCGAGTTATAACAATGATTGAAACATGCATTCTCCCATTTTCTAATGACTCGGACACTAAGCAGACGGATCTCATCAAATCTTCAAGGTATATCTGCATTGCTTTTGCATTCTCTACCCAAAAATCATCTAACTGTTTGAGTCTGTAAATATTGTATTTACCAAGTTTACAGTCAGAATCTAGATGTTTAAATCAAATCCCTATTCAAAACTATAAGCAGCAAATACACTCGGCTATACCATGCATGTACTTTGGATCCTTACTTTTGCTGATTTCCGTTTTACGAACACGAGTTTCCCTCATGGATCCAACCTCTCCAGAAAAAGCACTGGCTAATGTTGAAAAAGTAGAGCGTATATTATCAGAGACTTTAAACGCATTGGCACCAATATCTAAACCAGATGCATCGGCTGTTCAAAATAATACAAAAGAGGCAACGATCCACTCTAAAACCCAATCTGATTTGAAAATAGAGCTTCAGCATTTGATGGTGTCCATGAAAACGCAAGCTCTGTGCCAGTTGAAGCAGTACGATGCAGCCGTTGATGTGTTATTGAACTGTCTTGATTTTTGCTTGATCCCTAATGTCAAGCCATATATAGTGTCGACTGAAAACATAACCGTGCAGTCCGCAACCACGTCAAAACCAGTTGATACTGCCATGATGACAACTCGGATGATGTGGCCCTCGTGGGCAATACGCCATCTAGCCATGGTAAATATTGATTGTGGATTTGCTCATGCATCTATGGCATTGTTGAATCGAGTAGCCATCATGAACCAGTTTTCGGGTATGTGACTTGTTTGCTGGTTAATGCCCCAATGAATAGATATTCAATGGGTTCCAATTGACCAACCATTTTTGTTGAAACCTATAGGCATACAAAAAAACGACTACAAAAAGGCTGATGAGTACCATCACACTACAACACTTGCGAGCATCCACACATTTTATTCGCATTCAACCCCTAGTGTAGATATGGCAAATATGTATCAGACCCTATTGATGAAAAGCAAACCTACACAACCATCACATGTATACTTGCTGAGATGGTTGGAGAGTATTGTTTCCAAGAGTATCGCGCAGCAGCAAATGTATCAAGAGTCATGGATTAGTATTGTACCCGATCAGTCTTTATCAATGCCATCATCTATACGCGACTACAATATACGTGTTCAAATACAGCCTCCGTTGGGCCAGCTTCTTACCAGCCATTTAAATGAGGCACTGGGTACAGGCATGGACTTTATAGAACGTGGTATAACTTCGTTACTGGTTACGTACCTGCTTTGTGATGTAGATAGTCAAGTATCTGATCGTGATGCAATCCAAACCCAATTCCTTATGGTATTGGAGTTGATTCAAAAATGGGTCAAGTCGTACCATGCAACACAATAACAAGCTTGTGCTTTTCCTGATTGTTTCTTTTGCAAATATATTCATTTCTTAATATATGTAAATGTTTTTATGCTCTTTGTATACCAAAAACACAGTTTTAAATTGATTTGCAACAAAACAGAAGTCATATATTAATACATCAACACATTCTCTCACAAATCGTTCCGAATAGTCTCCCATCGTTTGAATGTATATCCAACAAACGCCAAATCTTTGTTGGGGCTTTTGAGCAAATCCATTGTTCCTGCTCCGATCTGATCCCGACCGATTGCTCTGGAATCCGCATCAATCATAACCTGCTCTGGAACACCTGAAAGTTCATCTGTAGGAAAGTACGATGTGTCTGTGATAGATTTGAGTTGAGGGATAAGTGGTGCGCGGATTTCACGAAGGCGATTCCAATCTACACCTCGAAAATAGGGATGTCGTTTGATTTCAGGGCCAGGAAGTCGATCTGGTGCATCGCACAACAATCTGAGTGAATACATGTGCTGTTAGCGATATGATACCAATAAAACAAGAGCAGATTTAAGCATGTACCTTTGCAGTAAATCTTCAGCCTCCCGGGAAAGATGCACATCATCCGGCACAAACAGGTTTTCACGCCAACTCATAATTTTACGGTAAGTTTCGTGAGGACTATCAGAAACAAAAGGTGGGTATCCAACAAGACACTCGTACATGATGGCTCCTAGTGACCACCAGTCACATTCCTGCGAATAGCCACGCTGGGCAAAAACTAGCCATCGACAACAGTTAGTATTATACCTAGTCAGAAAACTACAAACACCATCTAATTAGACATCAAGAATCTAAATAGTACTACCTTCTGGTGCAATGTAATCTGGAGTTCCAACCGTAGAGTAGGCAAGAGCTCGTCTGTTTCGTTTCCAAGTGGCAATTCGATTTTTGCGAGAAAGAGTGAGGTCAATGTTTTTGGCAGTGCCTACATTTTCATATGAACTATCAGGGTCTTGCATTTGAGTTTGCATCATATTTTGCTGATCTTGTAACTCCTGTTGTTGTGCCTTTGCCAAAAGCGTGGTATCTTTGTTAATGAATTTTTGGTAAAATGCAGAGTCGTGTGTTTTGTGGAATCCAGTCGAAAGACCAAAGTCGGAGAGTTTCAAATGTCCGTCCTTGTCAATCAATACTATTGGGCAGAATTCAGTACTTTTAAAGTTCAAGATTGCAGCAACATGAATATAGTATTAAACTTACAATTATCTGGTTTAATATCACGATGCACAAAGCCTAGATTGTGTATGGCGTCAATAGCACATACACATTCAGCCATGTAAAACCTTGTAACATCTTCCGAAAATGTATCGTATTTAATAAGCATAGTCATAAGATCACCACCCGGCAAAAACTCCATAATTAGGTACAAGTATAGTGGATCCTGGAATGAATAATAGAGCTGCACAACCCATGGAGTTTTTGAAGATTCAGCCAAAATGTCTCGTTCAGCTTTCACGTGCGCAAGCTAAATGCATGAGCAGTCCCGAATGGGTTGTCAAGGATTTGTACCATCAAATTGAAAAGCACCAAATTAGCATCGAAAGATGGTTGCAATCTGATAGTAGAAGCAATTTTAAGGCAACTGCTGGTGCAGCTTGACCAAAAGCATATTTACCTGATCCTTTTTTATCATTTCCGACTTTCGTAAAGTCTTCATTGCATAGATTTTTCCTGTATCAGACTTTTGCACAAGCCGAACTTCGCCAAACGCACCCTTTCCAATCACTTTGAGAGTATTGAAATTATCTACACCAAGTCGAACTCGACGCAATCGCAAAAACTCCGACTCACGACGCTCTAGATTTTGTAAAAAACGCTGCTTTTTTTCTTCTGACCATGGCTCTTTCATTAGACGCTCTTCATTTTCTACACGCCTATTGGGCCACGATTGAAATAAAATGAATACATCAAGGGATCCAATCAAAACGTTGGTTAGTCCAATGTAAAGTTTATACAGATTTAATGTCAAGATTGGCAATACTGTTTGCATTCTGTTGTCCATGCTGAAATCAATAGAAACAAATGTTTCATAAAATGCAAGCTGGTAAACCACACAGGTGGCGTTTCAGTACTTATCGCAAGAGGACTTTAGTAGAAACAAGCTTTTTCAGATCGCATGGTTTGAGAAAGAGTAAAAAAGGGAGTTGGTGCCAGTTTAAGCAGAATAATCTCCATTTCGATGGCAATGCTCAGATTGTATAGCCACCGATGGTGGCGAGAAACGCACCAGCTAGAATACAGCAATAATGCTTGTTCATAGATAGTGTGACTGTAAGCCAAGTTCATCTTAATGAAAGTAGAATACCCTCGTTTGACAGTCTGCTTGGACCGAGCTGGATTTGATATGAAAGCACCAAGCAAACTGCCAAGGCTTTACCAGCATAACATTTCGCAATTCAATCCACCTGAAAGTCTGTTACAGGTACAATAGGACAGAGCAAAAGTAGTTTATATGATGCAAATAGTCTTTTATACTGTGGAGTGAACTGAATCTTGGAAAGGTAAAGTGGAAAGTATTGATGATGGCTGTAAGGACAGATTGCTGGTTACAAAAAAATGGCTTCACCTGGACTCACGGTCTATACATTCAGCAACGGAAGATTGATAAAAGTGAGATAAACGGTATTTAGCAGCAGCAGATCGTTCAAGAGTGCCTAAAGAAATGCCATCTGTAGTGCGTTCAAACAGAGTGATGCCATCCATTGATAGGTCGACATCAGAGTTTTGAGATATCTGAGAGTCCATAGTTGAAAATAGAGTACCGACAAGTCCAGACGACAACAACTCCCAAATACACAATCAAAACAGTGACAGTAGTAACTCCTGACCCGCTACCACTCCTGCTGAAAATCCAATTGTTTCGAGTAAAAAACTCCCTGAAATAATTGCTAAAACAGTGCGTCCCGTGACTGGTTTCATAGACTCACGTGGTTGCTTTCACTTTATTGCTGCTTCTGCACACCAAGTTTCTACTTGACATGTCAACAAACTCTTACTTTGCCATTGTTGGCACAAAGGACTCTCCGCTATACGAGGCTGAGTTTGGTCCTATTTCTCGCGGTGAAGTCTCAAAGGTGCTCGTATTGTGCTGTTTACTGCTTTCATACGCATAGTCTGTCTTTTAACCCTCGAGTATCTATTAGAAGGATGATCTACGCCATATGAATCAGTTTGTGGTCCATGCTGCTTTGGACGTGGTGGATGAACTTATGTGGGGAACTCAGGCAATGTAAGGACATGCGTTTGAATCAGATTGATATTCCAGATTCGAACCAGAGGGGTTGCTATTCAAGCTTAATTTGTTTGAACTCTTTGCATTCATATACTTAGGTACCTCAAAGTAGTCGATAGATTCAATGAATGGCTTGTTTCGGCATTTGTTACTCCCAGTGGTAGTGTCATGCATGTACTAAACTTGTGTTTTGAGCCAGATCTACACGCTTACAATGTTTTATTCTACAGGTGTGAGATTCATATTGCTACACGACACTTCCAATACTGACGGCATACGCAATTTCTTCCAAGAGTGTTATGAACTGTATATCAAGGTGCTGATGAATCCTTTTACTGAAATTAATGCTCCCATTACTTCTGGTGCGTTTGATCAACGCATACGTGCTCAGGGTCGTAAATGGCTGTAGTCTGGATTCAAACTTAACCCATGCTCCGCACTGCTGCAAAGAGTTGGTTTTCTTGTATATCTTATTTTTATCCGTGAACTGATCCTACGTTTCAGGTATTGCTCTTTCAAAGCACTTGCTGCATTTCTAAACAAGATTCATCAATAACAATGCACACTTGCATTAAAGAATGAACATGGTTATCAACTACCCAAAGAAAAGCATGCCTGTTTGATAAATTTACTATTTTATTTGAATAACAAGTATACCTCCCCGTCGATCATGCAATGTTCCATCTTTCGGTCGCCATCCACCTTGCTGCAAATATGATCGGACATGAGGCAATACTTTAGCTTTTTGTGTCCGACTATGGTGTCCTGTACCTGTAACAATAATCAAGTCTCCAACAAATTTTGATTCAACAAGATTATCAATTGACAATTGCAGCATCGTGCATGCTTCTGATGGATGCAGTCCGTGTAAATCTACTATATGGGAAGAATGATGCTCAATTGGATTCACAATTGATGCCTGTTGCTTTTTAAATGGCTGGGATTTGGGCGTCCCCGTCAATCCTTTTGTACTTGTTGTAGATGATGATTGTGATGGGGAGTTGTGTGCATTTCGAGATAAAAAGATCTTTTGGGCTGCAATATTGTGCAGTTGCTCCACTTGGTCATTGAGTTTCTTTGCCGACAATGACAGGGCTCGTGCAGCCGCTTTGTTACCTGAAAGAAAAGCATCCGTTGCACTAGAATGGTTGAAATAGATTCAAGCATTTAGTAACTATGCGCATGGTAATAAAAACTGATGTTTTTCAACATAAAATCGAGAATTATAAACTCACCGTTGAAAAAGTTGATTACGATGGATAGCAACGTCAATGGCTTCTTGGCGGTACTCTGCATATGAAGCAGCCAAAGTATCGCCTGTACTCAACCATTTGGAATTCACGTATACTCGACCGCCAGTTCCTGCATGTGCCGATAAAGACGATGGGATCTCCTTTTCTGTTGATACAATTTGTGGTGAGTTTGAAAAAATAGCAGGTTTTAACGACGCACCAGATCCACCAATCAATATTGTTTTTCGACCATTAAAAGCCTTGTCAATGATAGATTCCTGTCCGCTGGAACCATTAGCCGCCTTTTTGGTCACATCATTATACTTTGCGGTAGGGTTCCAGAAGTTGATCTTTGAAACAGCAGTCGGTTTAGAGCTAGATCCTTGAGCAGGAGTAGATGGAATGACATGGCATGAATTTTTAGTAACAGATCCCAGCGATGGAAACTCTTCCTCGGCAGACAAATGAAGATCGATTGGAGCAGAGGTAATAGAAGATCCAGTATCATTCAAGGTAGGAGATCCAAAGTAAGACGCTCCTCCAAATTTTGTTTTTCGAGCACTATTGATAGTTACATTCCCGCTAGTTTGTGATGAAGAAAAGGCAGATTCAGCTCCACTGCCCAATGATGAAGATGCTACGAAACCAGTGAGTCCTTCACCATGAACAAACTCACAATTATTCCCTTTAAAACATCGGCCTTGAAGCCAAAATTTACAAACAAGTGCATCAGGATCGTGAGAGTACCAGCAATCAGATCGATAGCATTGTCCAATCATAAAATGGCGACAAATCTGTTTTGGTTCTCGTGATTTTGATGTAGCTAAATGTATGACAGGAGTAGACGGCGCTTCAGAAACAGAGGCATCGTATGCTGTGCACATGGATGGATTAGATTCAAAAGTCCGAGGTTCTGAAGCTGAATGGACTGCACCAATTGTTCCTGAATCATTTAGCAAGCAATCCATTGAGCTCTCAATATTGTACATGTTTGCTTCCAGAACTGCTTTGATATGATCTATGGGTATGTTGATAAATATGGACTGGAGAACGTCATGTGCTTCAAGCGTGCTGTACTGCTGACTCTCTTCTAGATCCCAATAAGCGTTTTCAGCCTCGTCAACATCCTGTTTTAAATCTAATGAGTCTGAAAATTCGGGAGAATCATACGAGTAAGATTGAGGAGTTTCAGTACAGTCTTGCATGTCAATGCGTGCAAATAAAGGATCAATATCTCGAATAATATCAGGAGTATTGGATTGTAGGACATGGTGCGTGGATCCAGTGCTATCTAACAAATCGGATCGAGAATATGAATCGGTTTGTGATAAACACCCAGTAGGATATGAAGGAGTAAATTCTTGCGCAGCCAAATTGAGTTCTTTGGAAGATAATCTAGATGTGGAGTTGCTGGACACCATCTGAAAATTACAAAGCATGAATCTAAGTTAGTAGGAATGAAATATGCGCATGACTGGAGAGCACATTAGACGATCAGAGGATGCAGTCCAAAGCAGCAATGAGAATAAAAACTCACAAAGCTCGGATAAGATGTGGTGGTAGCAGTTGGGGAAGTGAGGGATAACGAAGATAATGCAGAATGAGGAGCGAATGGATATTGCCGTTGCTTGTACGGAACTCGTCGAATTCCATCGTTAGTTGTGATATCTTGCCGATCATGACCAAGTCCGCTACTATTACTACCAATAGTAGAATCTAAGGACTTGAATGAAGTGTAATAGCAAAGATTGTCTGTATATTCATTATCTGTACTATCACATAAAAGACTGTCTGGACCTCTAGATTCAAGAGTATCTAATAAAGCTCTAACCAGCAACTCGGCATCCTGCTGACCGAGAGCACCAGAAACTTCAACAGCATCCAGCAAAGCCTCACATTTCTCAGCAGGATCCAAAGAAGTGGATGTAAGAATAGTAAACAGAACATCATAGAATGGTTCGATTGGAAGAAGCATCTTGGCCATGTGGTGATGCAGCCAGGTGGATTTATGAGCTGAAGCCATCTGCAAGAACAGCAGTTGAGCAACGAACGAGTTTTGGGTCAACACAACATCACGTGCATAAAGAAGTGGCCAGACCGTATATTATACAGTCTAGTCCTGGCTGATCATTGTGCTGTTTTTACCACTTGCGCTGCCTTGTGGTTATGGAAGTGACTGCAACTACCATGATGGACTGGGCTACTGCAACCACTGCGACAATCGACTATCCTATTTCACAGTCGGATGTTTTTCAATCCACTCTAGAGCAGCAGCCACCATCTCCCGAGTCGGCTCGTATCGACACTACTGCCATCTTTGATACATCTTCAGATAGGCTTCAGACTGACCCAATCACGGACAATGCTGTTCTGACTGATATGCTTATGGAAGAACCACATATTATTCGTCCTGCAGACTCTTTGCATTATTTCAAGCAACGTCCTGCTGGTGGGTTTTATTCTGAAGATTTCCATCAAGTATTCCAATCCATGGCCACTTGTTTGAATTATATTCATTCAGTGTGATTCTATTGAGTGAATAGAACTGCATTTCTCATCTTACAATGCCTTGATATACTCTGAAACCTGCCTTGTGCTATTTAAAACTACTCGTCTGTCTGATCCTCTGCCATTCGCTCTGTTTAGATCTAGACTAACATCCATATCCTTGTTCAATTTTATATGGCTCTTTGGATTTAGAGCTTGGTCCTCGCTTGCCAGAAACTTTAACTGCAAAACAGGATCTGGTATCTCTATTCGGCATACGACCACTATATGATTCATACATCAGACCTTACAGATTACAGTCTACAGCATCCTCTACTAAACCTGTACAGTTGCATAATGGCTCTGAAGAATCAAATGGAAGCCCTGCTAAAACTATGGACTCATCATATACCTCATATATCGCCGATCTTCCAGGTAAACAGCATTCACTTGCTCATGTGTTTTGTAATAGAGTTGCCATGTGCTGTATTTTAACCGTCTTGGTTTTATAGGAAATCCAGATTTGTCACCAGATAGTGGATTGCGAGATTTGCTATTTGGACCACAAATGAATGTTTCCATTCAGCCCATGCCGTTTGACAAAGATACTCTAAATGCTGCATTTTCACTTGTCCCTGGACTCATACCTGGAGTAAGTTGCCAATCGCTTGGTTTGAAACTTGATGTCATGTTGATTTACCTTTTTAAATCGCTGTTGAAACCTGTTTTTTGTCACTACCAAATGTGTAATTGACATGCTAACAATCTTGATTTATTTTAGTTTGAAGGACTTTTTTTTGGACTAGACAATTCAATACCACCAGATGAAAAATCTGAATCCAAATTAAACTCGCCAGAACACTCATCACCTACTAATCACACTACAGTATTGCCAGCAGCATCCAAACCCAACTTAATGCCAGAAGTTTCTGGTGTAGCATCTTCTAGTGTTAGACTTACACTCATGCCTTCAAATCTTAAAGCTACCTCATCGGCTACGACAGCTTTCACCACACCAGCCAAGTCATTGACATCTCCCATCACTCCATCTACACAACCTACTAGTCGACCGCCTTTAAAATTAAACTTGACACATACTGCAGCATCAATAGCTCCAACGACAGCAGCATCAGCCGTGGCTCCACTTTCAGCCAATACTTCCGCAACACCCAAGCTGGTCATTCGATTGGACATGCGGCCAGAAAATGCCATTGGGTCAGAAATAAAGAAAAAGGTGCGGACTCTGCTTCATATGATTGAGTGTACATGAGCTATTGTTCAGTTGGTTTCTCAAGATCGTTTAATCTGGTTTTGAAAACTGTATCCATGTTCAATTCAGTTCCATCATACACTTTGAGATTGCGCTAATTCCACTTTTGTTTGACTTAGAAGCGGCGGAGACCCGAGGAAGAAGAACGACGAAAAAAGAGGTGAAATGACTCCATTTGCCACGATGCATCAATAATATCAAATGATATCATTCATTGGTTTTCAATGATATCAATCCCATGTATGAGTAATTTGTGGGGTGCTTTAATTAGTACAAGTTTTAATTTTAAACCAGTTGCAGCAGAAGCATATGCCAGATGTAGAAAAATAAACTTATTTTTCAAATTGTTTATAAAATGCCTTGCACCTTTGCTACCAGTAGACGATATACCATTTTTAATTTAAAAGTCTCGATTATAATTGAACACAGTATTTTTTACTATAAAGAATCTTGAATGTTCATCTATTCAATGTGAGCAGCATAAGCCTTTTCATCCATGAGCTCATTGAGCTGGGTAGAGTCGGACATCTCAATCTTTGCAATCCAGCCTAGTGTAATGGCATTCCAAAATAATCCAGCGCGTTTTGTCCATTCAAAAAATAGTTTGGATCATCCAACATGTGTGGAGTAGTAGCCATTCATGGTACTGTATTAGTAAGCATAAAACTGACCCATACCACACTTCAAAAAAGTGCTCTCTGAACAACAGCACTCTTGTAATTTATCAAAATTACCTTCAGCGTATGGAGACTTGTTGATGAGAGAGGGTTCATCAGCGAGGTTAGTGTTGACCTCGAGAACAGTGCCGGTAACAGGAGTGTAGACATCGCTAGCAGCCTTGACAGACTCGACTGCACTCAGCACATCTATAAAAATGATACAACAGGAACATAACAACCATCAGTGATCCCATTCACCTCTGCATCATCCTATGACTCCCATTGACAGATTCGAAAATCAAAAATCAAAAATGAAAAAATGGAAAGCTATAGTAAGGATGACAAGTGCATTCATGTATGGTAAAAGAAAAATGATACCTTTGCGCTTGAGTAGGGAGCCGACTTCAGGAACTTCAACATAGACAACATCACCAAGTGCCTTTTGAGCATACTCGCTAATACCAATGGTGGCAACCTTGCCATCCACCTTTACCCACTCGTGATCAGCAGTGTACTTGCGAGCTAGATGAAGTCAAATAGAAAGCAACAGCAAGTGTTATTGGTTTGCCAACAAGATCATAGGGTTATAAGAGTTTAGCAAGGCTTGCAGAAATATGATCAGCAATTCTGCTCAAAACTAAAGAGCCAGCAATTTGATAGGATCATCAATTACAATGGTAATATAAAACACAAGAGTTCATACTGGAATAGCTGCGCAGAGTCTGGGACAGAGTCTGAGACAGAGCCATGGGAGCAATGCGGAGAGATGATGGACAACGGAATGCAGTGCTGGCAGCAACACAGCGAGCAACAGTGATGGATCTGAACATGCCGATTCAATTTGAGAAAGTTTTCACTCGGGTAAGTTGAAATCTGTGAATGGCAATACAATGTTGATTCTGCACATTAAAACTGGGAATTTGTCGTATTGCTCTTGCTAAAAACAAGTGTCAAGATATACTGGATTCACTCCAAATCGGATGTTCTTGTAAAACAACTGTCTAGTGTAGACTTGAATCAAACAAGTTTATGAGTCTGTATCTTATTAGCGAATCAGGTCTTGTTTAATCTTGAATGCTGACAAGGCGAGCATCTTGGCGGAGTTTACTTTCCCAGAATCTTGTTCATATCGTTTATTCCTACAACAGTCTAGACAATTCACTCTTGTAATGGCAGCATCAGGTATGTGCATCTATCTTTTAAACAAGTTACTGTACAACTCCATACCTTCCAACATAGGTATCACTCACTGTATTTTTAAACTCTTGTTCAAAGCTTGGAATGACGCTTTGCCTCCATCGAGCAGCAAAACCATGGTAGATGCATTCATCGATAGGGATGGACTAGATGATGGTCCACCACCACTCGAGGATATGACTCACTTATTTAATAAGCTATCAATGAGTATGTTAATGAATACTCAAAACTTGTTCATTAAACATCACTAACGTTCAAATCGACTCAGATTCAGATCATTGTCCAGTCCAAGTATCTTCCCAACACAACACCACTAATTCCAACTATTTAGCTTCTGCTGCAAAAAAGCAAAATGCACAGGCTATTAAATCGGTATCAAACATATCTGGGTCTATATATAAACCTCCAACACCAGCTTCTGACAAAGAGGTAGTTGATATCAACTGAATATGTCGGCATAGCTTCGATATGTTATGCTTTTTGCTTACACATATTCAGTTTAATGGCTTGAAAAAGGGATTCTTTGCATTGGCAAAATCTAAAGCACCAACTATCAAGACCGACGTGTCCCGCACCAATAAACCATCACAATCTATTTCTCCACCTACCAGTAAGAAACTTGACACTGCTTCAAAATTGGAAAACACAGAATCGGATATGCCCTTCATCCGCGCTACTCCGAAACAATCGTCAGGATCTCATGCCGCTCATGTGCCTTTTAATTCACATTTGACCGATTCTATCCAAGAAATGTTCAAAGTTGATGCCGGTGCAAATGGTGCAACTCCAGGTACAAGTTATACTGGATTAGTATTACTTTTTTGTTCACCTGAAATAATGTGTTTTATACATGTCTCAACTTGTATTCGATCTATCTCCTCAATACACAGCATGGATGACGAATGCATTTTGGGAACGGGTACGACAGTCTCCCAACTTGGCCAAGGCGTTTGCAGATCCAATGTTTTCTCAAGCTGCACAAAATCTAGTAACTAGTCCACAGGAAACCTTTGAAAAGTATGTCAAAGAGCGACCTGATTTCTTGCTGGCATTGAAAGAACTGGCTGCAATTATTGGCGATCATTTGATTTCTTTTGCAAAAGAAGGCGCTGCTGTCACCGACAATAGTACAACAATAAAGCATAAAGTGGAGGAACAATCGGTAGCTGTCAAACCAAGTATACCCAATGATCTCCCAGAACATGAAAAACGCATTATAGAACGAGTCTTGAATGATCCCGAAATTCAGGTTGATTTAGAACATTTGACATATTCCATGTAGACTACTAAGATGTACAACAATAGGTATTGGCGCTAACAGTAACGGCCATTCTTTTGTGGTTTCTATATCTAAAAAATTAGAGTATTCTTCGAGACCCTCAAATTCAAACGATTCTGTCACAGATCCAACACAATCCGCCAGAGATTACACAGATTATGCAACGTGCTCCAACTAAAATAATCAGCAAACTTCAAAAACTTGTTGAATGCGGTTTACTTCAGGTTCAACGTTGACCAATGTCTCACTTTTGTGCATGGCATGTGGTTCTTATTCACTTTTTATACTTGAGCTACTCGATCAATTCAAACTCGTTTATTCTGTGTTAGTGAAACACTACCGGCTGTATTAGTTTATACAGGATTTCGCACAACATCACCAAATAAAGTAAAGCATTTCGAGCACAGAAATCAGCGATAGAATGAATGTTATTTTATTTTACCTATTTTCAACTACCCCCTTGTACAGTGCATCTACTCTGAATTCAACACATCTTTCCCGCTTTGCTTTCCAGATTCCATTTTAGCAGTCCTTGCACCAAATTGCACTGCACGCTTCGGTTCAATAGCAGCTCGATCCAAACCCATGCCTTTTGCAACCAATCTCAACACGAGTTTATCGCCAACCCCTTTGGGTTTTCTCGGATCAGTTTTTAAATGAATCGGTAATTGACAAAGTAAACTCACTACATTGCGATCCAAAAATGGAAATCGTGCTTCTTTGCCATGGGAAGATATAATTCTATCATCACGACCAAGATTGCGAGTGGATATGCGAGATACGTCTAGCTGAAGTTCGGTAATCAAGCCTTCCCATGAAAGTGCATTAAATTTCGCCTTATGACGTCCATATCCACCAAGCTATCGACACATTTCCATTTTGTAAACACAATCATGTAAAACAGCATGAGTATCAAACTAGAAAACGATGTTTTTAAAAAACACATTATATCAAGCGAATGACTTTTAAATCTATTCAAGGTGACGCTACCTGTTCGTCTGCACCTAATCCACTTAAAAGCACTTTTGCGTGACTATGGTATACATTCTGAGCGCCGTTTTGATCCAAAATGGTTCCTGTCATTCAATATAACACACCTTGTGAGACATTCAACTATTTAGCCCGTCCAACATAATATGGACGAATCCAACAACTTTGAAAGCAAATAGACTAATCTATTCAATCATACTTACCAATCCCACGGGATGCAAACCAAAATGCCATGGCAATGCTCTAATGGTATACAATAAATACCAAACTTTCGCATTAGTCTACTTACAAATCACTTGGTAAAACAATGTTGCTACATAATCATACAACTTGATACTATAAAACATCGAGAATAGATAACTACTCAACTAAATCCATTACAGTATTGAGCGGAGTCATTAAATTCATAATGTAAGGCTGACATGCTACAACTTCCGTGTATGGGACATTAATACATACAAATCGCCATTCACGCGAAGGAAAAAGCTGCTGCAGCTCTGTAGCACCAAGTCGACCTGTCAGTCGATCTGGAACGTCAAATGAATTGGATGCAAGTAATAGCGGTGGTTCATCTTTTAAATTATCGACATTTTTTTTGAGTGTAGTTTTGTTTTTGTGCTGAGCAATTCGTGGGTTCTCAAACCCAACATTTAAAAGATCTATTGGCTCCATTGGTGGAATAATACGATGAGCAAGTGCAGCTAATGTGATACAATCTAGTCCGCCAGAAAACAGTATACCAAGTCGTGCATTCCCACTATTGTGGCAAAATCAGATGATTAAAATTAGTCGGCTTTTTAAATGCTAGAAAAGTAAAGTCGTCAACAACTAAAATCGTTTCAATAAAAGCATGGCTTGCCTAATTGGAGCAGGAATGTTTTCTGTTCTTGTGCGAACAGCATTTGCAAGTACAGATTCAAGTGATTTCACTGCGCTATTCATTGGGGAAGCATCATCTATCATTGATAAACCAATTCGAGGATCTGTTTGATCTATACTACCAAGATCTAAATCTGATGGGATCTGGGTATTTAGCAATAGTGATGGACATATCTATGCAGTAGAAAAAACAGTCAAATGATAAATATTCTTAAATTTCAATGTGGTGGTTAGAAAACGCATTTTAAAACATAAAAATAAGCATTTACCAAGTTTGTTAAAGGGTCAGATGAGGTTGACCATGAAATATGCCTGAAATATTGTGTAGGATCATTCCAGGCTGTATTGACAAGAGCTAAATCCACAACAAATAGTCCGGTAGTAGGAACTTCTGTCCAAAAATCGTTATTTTGAGATAAACTGGGCAGTTCATCTTTTGGTAGTTGCGAACCAACAGAAGATAGTATAAACGTGTCTTGTGGGTGAGTTGGAAGATGCATAAGAAGCGATCTCCGGCCAAGATGGTCTCGTCCAAAATAAACACAGTTTGTTCGTTTCTAAAAAGTTGAAATCAAAATGGGACAAGTATAAACATTGATTCTCAATTGAATTGACTAAACACTTGTGATAAGTGAAACCCTACATGATAAAATACGATTGCCCATTCACCATGTATCTCAGATAACGTTTTTAAGATATGAGACTCGTCCAGATTTTCGATTGCCAACTGGGACGACAGCATAGTAGTATCATTTGAATCTAGTGGCACATGAAGACCTCCAAATACTTGGCCATTAAAACATAGATAGTTGCCATGTAAATCTATCATGGGCTGTGGAGCTGGCATATTGCCTCGAAGATGCAATACCCAGCCATGCAGTGTTGCCTTTATTTTGCAATCGTTATGAGCTGACTGTGTGATCCATGTTTGAAAGGTATAACAGTCTGGGCCTATTTGATTGATTTGAATGATGGATTGGTTAATTTGTTTGCAAGAGGTATCTGATTCAATTGAAAATACCTCGAAGTTGATTGGACTGACAGAGTGATTGAATCAAAGGCTCATGATTGGATTTTATTCCGTCTGAACAACCGAATCTTTCTATCACAAACAGAATACCACACATTGATCAATTGTTGGGAAAGTGCAACTCGACAGGTTTCAAATCTATTTGAATAAAAACAGACTTGTCGCTCAAGCCAGTTTAAGGCTGCGTTCTGAATAGATTTGTATTTAGAAATACTAACAAAATTAAATTGGTATTTCTAAATCTAAGCATATCTCAAGCAACACATCATTCTTGATAGGCCGAGTCAACAAAATTCAACTTGTCAAATTCATTGAATTCTGGCACTTACTCGGAATATACTATAATAAAGCACTTGGTACAATGCCAAAGCACTCTAGAAATGATGCCGAGCTGGATAAAAAAATCGAGTTTCCTATTTTAAAGAAAGTACACACTGATCAACACAATCAGCCATCGTCTGCAGAGATGACTGCAAACAAGAGTATTGCTGTTGAATCTACCAACCCACTACAAACCAAACTGACAGTTGAAGAGGCAAAACTCTATGATCGGCAGATTCGTCTGTGGGGAATGGAGGCTCAGCAACGGTGAGTAATCTGCATGAATGTATAGCTATTACTCGCTAGCCATTTGTAGATTGGCATTGCAATCTTTACAACACTTTCTAATTGATGAATGACAGCTTATGAGAGCTTCGGCTCATAAGCTTGCACATGTATGTCATCAAAACTGCATTAATTCTATCGATTTAAGCCAATGCTTAATATCCATTTTCTGAAATTAAACCTTGAGCTATAACTGATTTTTGAATTTATAGTATGCGAAATGCACGAATTCTTGTTGTAGGATGTACTGGGCTATCTAATGAAGTGCTCAAAAATATTGTTCTTGCTGGCGTCGGAGCTGTAACCATTGCTGATTCAGAGGTCGTACAAGCCAAGGATCTGGGATCACAATTCTTTTTGCGAGATGCTGATATTGGCAAAAATGCAAGTTGAAAGTAGTCTGATTGTTTAAATTCATCTACTTTATTGAAAATGAGATGCCAGTTTAATCCTAAATCCATCTTGATTGTAAAAAACACTACTTACAATGTATATTGTTTGATGCATCAATATAACTTTCAACTGATAGAAAGCAGAGTCTGTATTGCCTCGAATTCAAGAACTGAATCCTCGTGTGCGTGTCAACGCAGTGTCCGACGATATCAACGGTCTTCCCGACACCTTTTTCACCAATTATGATATCGTTTGTGCAATTGGACAAAATCCAGATATAGTGGTAATGTTTTATACTCGAGCTTTATTGACGAAAATGAGTACTATAGTTTGGCCAACAGCGACAATGACTTTTAACAAAGTGCTGTCAATTTGCTTTTGCACAAGTATAGGCTAAAATCAACACGATCGTACGAGTAAAGAATATTTTGTTTTGGAGTGCATCGATATTTGGAACATTTGGCTATATGTTTTCGGACTTACAAGACTATCGCTACTCTGCCATATCAAAGTCTGCTGATAGCAAGGAACCGCAGCATACACCAGCACAACTATTGTTTTGCTCATTTGAACAGATGCTTAGCACTACGTTTAATCATCCTAAAATCGATAAACGCTGGAGGCGAAGGGCACATCCATTATACTTTGCCATCAGGGGTTTGTTATAATGGCTTGTGATTACAATAGCTATACGTTGGCTTGTTCCATACGAGCCTTGATCTGACATTTTGTTATAATTACAACGCTTGAATGATTCTAGCGGTGTGGGAATATTGGATGAAACATAGGAGGTACCCAGATATAAATATGCCATCAGATCTTCAAGAACTAAATACTATGAAATTACAAGTCACCAAATTGCTGGAATGCGATGGTGCTTTTGTGGAGGATGAATTGGTCAGGTACATTAGCATATGTATATTGCTTGAATGACTGTCAGTCAAATATCCCAAGGCTAACTGTTGGAACCTATACATACAAACAATTCCGAGATTAGAAATGTAGCTAATATGGTATCAGTAGAAGTTTCGGCATCATGTGCCGTCCTGGGCGGGATCTTAGCTCAGGAGCTATTGAAAGCACTGTCACGAAATGACTCTCCTATTCATAATGTTCTCTTGTATGATTCTTGGGAGGCGATCGCACAAGTCATGAAAATTATGCCCTGAATGAATTTAAAAGTTTGCATTGATATGCTCTGAGAATTGGACATGTTGTGTAGATTTGGAGATGAAAAACGTCAAAATATCAAAAAGCACCAAACCGAATGATGTACAACACATGCAGACTATTCAATGCATCGATAGTCGATTGAATCTGATGAGTTCAACAATCACATTTTAAATTTGATTCGAACATGTACAAAACCATTCAATCCACTCCAAATAGGTCAAATGTAATATCACAACTCGATCGAAATGGCTATATACATTCAATTCATTAAAAAATAAAACCAATCCATTGAATCTGGATATACTAACAACAATGCATCTGGGAATCTACCGACTGGATTAAATACACCCATATGTTTCTATATACAAAAATAACTATCCAGTCAGCCAATCAATATTATGCATGACGATCAACGTCCAATTACGTAGCGCTTTTCCCACTGCCTTTTCCAGCAGGAGCTCCCGATTCACCACACACTGCAGCCCACAAGTATGTCAGTGCTGCACAGGACAGACATAGCACTCCAGTATGTGTCGGTGCTTGAATCAATCCAGGAACAACACATGCCGCATACAAGAGTGCTCGTAGATACAGGTTGTTTGAAACGAATCCAAGTTTATCCATGTATGGAAACGGATGCTCCAAGCCAATAATGAGCAGACTGATAAACAGGTTGGCTCCTGCGACAAATCGATTGGGAAACCATGCACTGATAACTGAGCCGATTAAAATAACTGATGTTGGGTATAACAATGAGAGTTGGTTAAACTGAACGGTTCAATTGTGATTCAATTCAAAGTCTGAACTTACAGACAGCCGCATAGTAAGCCTGTAGGTTCGCCCAAGGCCTCCATTGGAATGCAAACTTTCCAGCAGTCATGATTAAGTTGAATAAAAATGGTTCAAGTTTTGATTTATGCGGCGGATTCCGACTGTGGCGCATATGATTCAAGTGGCTGCTGACCGAATGCCACTTGCACGTGATCTGATAAAAGTGAAATTGTCGTAATTGCAATTCCACAAACATTTTGTATCGACACAAATCACTTGCAAAATTATCGCATCAACATTGGATATTATGAGTCATGAAATGGGCTACATTTATTGTGTATCGTAATTGTTAAACATTTGACTGACTAGGCAAAAGTGAATGCAGAAGCAGAGGCATCGCCTTGTCCAAGGTTGCCGAGGTTCCAGTTGGCTTCAACAGTGGCCAACTGAGAGTAATGATTGTATGAATTGGAGTCGGTAGTACCAGGGGCAGCAGGACCACCAACAAGCATGGCATACACCTGGTTGCTGTCCGATGCGTCTTCGTCAAACGTGATTAGGAACACGGTGTTGGAAAAGATTGGCTTGGTGAGCAATGGTTCAAGAAAACCCTCCAGCCAGTTGGATGCATACGATACATCAGTATCGTGTCCGTCATTGTTCATATCAGGAGTGTAGAATACATAGCTGGGAACGCTATTTTTGGCAATATCCTTATTGAGCTGAGTAGCGGGAACAATCTTGGCACAACGAGCAGGATCTTTGGCAATATTGGTGAATGAGATGAAGGGATTGTGCTTGCGACGATAAGTTCCAGAAGATGTCGCAGTTGAGCATCTTCCCGGATAGCTTTCCTGGTAAGAACCCCACGAGATTCCGCCAGTTTCAAGAAGATCTACAATGGTATTGCTGTTGACATTGACATTTTTGTCATTCTTGTTGCCCTGAGTAGATCCAGAGATCTAAAGGTTGGATTTGATGAAAACCAGACAATCAGCACGATGATGCAACTATAACCTCGACAAACAATCAAGTGGTTTAATACATACCATAGCAAGATAGTTTGGCTGAGAAGGATGACGGATGGCACTGTAACTAGTCAACAGACGGCCCTTTGGTTCAATTACAACCCGAAAAACTGTTAGACATGGCAAAGCAATACCCAAATCTTACCATGAAATTAGATTCAGTTGCTCACCTTTTCAGCAAGAGTAGTACCGAGGTAGGTATCTGCCATAGCATCTGAGTAGTTAGTATTCTAAAACAATGTCGTATTTAATCGTTAGTGTTGATTTTCTACAATAACAAGCAATACCATTCTAAAAGTGTACTAGGCAAATCAATAAAAAGACTTGACAAGATAAAACAGACCAGCTCACCTCGAGAACAATAACGAAAAAACGATCAAAAGTGGTGCTTTCGGCCAGGACCAATGTAGATATAGCAGCAGTGGTAGCAATAGCGGCAGATACAAAGTTCAAAAGCATTTTAGTGGTTGGGATTACAGACAATGACGCTACTATTTTAAAACTATTTATGCACACGAACGTGCATTGACCTAGTCTAATTTGCTGTGCCAAATTCAATGAGTGGATTCATCATGCATGTGAATAGCACACATGAACGCCAATACATACAGCAACCGCCAAAAAAGATATGCAATGCTTCACCATTTGGACAAGATTGCTTGCTATTTGATATGTATTTATTGATCTTGGCACAGCAGATACCCTTCATTTGCTGGTTTTAGTGGGTACTGCATGTGGTAAAGGCATTCATAATTATAATTATGCGCGTGCATGGCAACATTATAAACCGACAATGCTTCTGGTTAGTCTCAAGTGGTGAGTGTTCAGGTGATTGGAACGCATTTATCCAGCTTTTATACGCACTGATGCACGAGTAGTGTCCATTGGCTTCCATCACTTGAAATTCACGGCTAGCGACAAAGGGAATGAAAAAAGGTAAATGGAAAATTGCTAGCAATCTCAACCGTTCTCACTCCCAGTGGCCATGTATTTGAGGTATTTACATGCCCTCTTGGTCATTGCTCATTTTATTGATCAAATGTTGTCAGAAAATAAAGACTTTAGTTTCGTGATCTGGCATTGGTCTAGCTAAATCTACTATCTGATACAGATAGAATGATACCATCACAATCAAATCAACAGGAGCACATCACCCTGTTCATTACAGCAAAGTGGGTTTGGAGGTTTCAAGCCTTGGTAAACTGACAAAACCTGCGAGTTGAAATCAAAACTCCGCTTTATAGCACGTTTATTCAGTATCTGTAGTTTTAATATTGACCAAACTAGTTATAATGAATGGCGACATGTTTTGTGCTCAGGAGTTATCCAGTCTATTATCTGGCGGCTCCCAATCTTGGGCGGTAAGCGAGTATATACAAATAATGACTTATTTTCAAGGAGTTGATGCTAAATTGTTACAGATGAAATTGAACTGGATAAACTGTTTTGATTGATATACAACTTAGGAGAATCCAACTCGGAAACAGCTGCAGTCTGAACAAACCGAGTTAAATCGAGTTGGTAAAACACTCACTCCTGGATCTATTGGTCTTCCCAAAAAAACGGTATCTACTACAGGTGTAGCTGTAAAGCCACAGTTAGATTCCAAGGACATTTGGGATGAAAATGAGGTGGATGATTACGTTGAGGATGATGACCCGAGACCAGCACCAATGTAGGTTGGATCGGAAACCAATATTTTTGGGTTTAGGGCAATGAAATGTCTAGCCAAGGGGTTTTAAATCATTATTGCTTTGACAGCAATATGGACATCAAGTAAACTAACAAAGATTGATGCAATTAATGTTCATAATATTAGATACAGCTTTGGATATCGGCAAAAGGTGTCCTCGGAAGACATGTTTCTTGGAATGAGTGGTAAATGCAACTCTATTGGTCACTGTGATGAATGTGTCGTCAAAGTAGAGTTGCCAGAAACACTTTCAAAGGACATTGAAATGAGTTTTATAAACAACATTATGGATCTCAGATGTCCTCGATTGTAAGTTTATCGTGTCGAGAATCATGCTTTACAAAATGTTGAATACTTGATAAATCGCCAATTCTTGACATGCACTATCCGTGTTTACAGTAAGCTAAAGTTTCCACTGCCCGTCAGTGTCAATGACAAGAGCGGAAGTGCACATTTTGATGTGAGCAGCCATGTTTTGACTGTGGTTCTGCCAATTATACAGCAGTTTCCACTATAGACTCATCAGATCTGGACCAAATAAACTCTTGTTGACTCTTGAATATTCGGTTAGAGATGGCAACATATTTCATCTATTGAATAGTAACATTACTTTTGGATAACATGGCCATCCAGCAATTTAAACGATCCAGAGAATACATAAAGGGCTCAAGTGAATGACTTGATGCAATATTTCACTTGACTTTGAATTAGTCGACTGCATACATGCAGTCAGGCGGTGATGGCCGAATGCATGGGCGAGGAACTGGTGCAAGTCGTCACAATAAAAACCGTTTTTCTAGTGGACAAGGAAAAAGGCAATCCAAGACAGGCAATGGCATTGCTGTGGATGGACCAGCTACTGGCTTTAATGCAGGCAATACTGCTGATGTTCGAATGGCATCTAGACAGTCGGCTACTGTTCAACAAAAACCAAGTCAGATGCTTTCCAAACAGCAATCTGGACCAGCCTATTCTGCAGAGTAAGGCTCTTGTTTGCTAGTGGAGTGTTATTGAATAGTCTATCAGGTTTGATGCAAACATGGCTAGGAAGTCTGACTTGTTTTTATACCGAGTTGATAATAGAACATTGGCAGCAATCATTAAACAACTAAAAGATGCCACTATTTCTCAGTCTGGAGCGACGAATAAAGGAATACATGACGTATCCCAGATTAATTCGCCATCAAAGCAGTCAGAGCTTATTCCAGATGTCACTCATTTGAGACTTCAGATCGCCATGCTAGCAGAGGATGCTATTTTATCTGATCCACAAACTGCACTACAGCAAGGACTAGACGAAACACTTTGGTCTTTGGTATACCAACAGCGTATTCAAATTCTTCGCAATAGCATTCAATCAGTAAGATTGCATTTGAATGACCGATAGTTTGTTCTTGCCAGGCCCATTAGTAATACTATTACACTATTAGTTGCAAAAACAGCAGTCCATATCTTCAAAAGAAATACCACAAAATCATATAGATGGTATAGACCGCATTAAAGATGAATTGGCATCCCTTTTAAAATCGGCAACTTGTTTTTACAGGACACTGATATTGGAACTGGACAGTCGTCAGGAAGAGTTGTGGTCTACAGTTTCAATTTGTATGTATTTGTCCAACGAGATATTTAATTTTAACATGCCAAAATGCAAATTTTAACAAATCCAATTGTATCTTGACTATACTGGTTTGGGCTCATCTTGGTTTTAGGGGAATTGCTGAAAATCAACAAAAGTAACCATATCCCAGATGTAAAGGAATCTATACGTACACTCATCTTCAACTGCCTAGTTTTTCTTGGAGATATTGGTATGCATACTATTAGTATCAACAGTTACATTTGGTGCCATCTACTCCAATTATTCAACCTTGCATTAACTGTGATCATGATGCTTATAAATCTAGAACGCTATAGCTTCTCCCTAGTTTTTCCCGACTCTTCAGTTTGGCATACCTCGCTGATGTACTATGAGAAAGCATTAAGAATTCTTCCATTTGTTGGTAAGGTGACCACTAATTTTAAAACTGTTTCAATTGCTACTGTTGAATTACAGTTTGTTTCGAGATTCAGTTTAAACTTTGATGTATTATAGCTCGTCCACACTCCAAAATTGCAATGATGTATAGTTTTCAAAAAAATACTCTTGAATGTGTGTATCATTGTGCTCTCAGGTATGTCGAGGTTTAAATTACTGAATGCAGTAAAGTTTGGATCAGGTTTTAAGACTGTTTTTATATTTATATCAATAGTGTTGGGATCGCCAAAGAATCGGCAGTAATTCGCGATAATTTGACTCATGCTTTTCATAAGCTATCCAAGTATATGCGCGTTTATAAATTATATATGTTGGAGGCTTAATGCTACTGCAAATGTATAATCTAATTTTATGCATCTTTACTATAGTGATCTACCCAGTGATTCAAATACTTGGGTAACTTTGATTTTACAATATGCTGCTCAGCTGTTCTTGGCAGCTAATGACAAGCAAAATACCATTGGTTCATTGGATTCCAACATACTTGAAGCAGTAGCATTGGCAGATTTTACTTTGTCTCAAACTATAAAACAGCTCGTCAAATTAGCAACCATATTCATAGTTATTGCAAGCGATTTGGATTACAAATTTGAATCTACTCCACAAAGTGATGTAGCAAAACGTCAAGATATTCGCTACGCACAGACAGTAACAGTTGCTGGATTGCTAACAATGGCATCGATTTCATTGAAGATTTTAAATGAGCAATGTGAAAATGAGACGTTCATCGACGATATCAATACCGATGGGTTTGCACTGTCGACCCATCTGGTGCACGTCTCGCTTGTATCGACATATCTATCCATTCATGTTGAACAGCTACAAGTTTTACAAGTATACAGTAAACAATTGGCGATTCAGTCTATGCAACATGTAAGTTTAGTTGTTTATAATTGTAAAAATGATGCTTTTCAATTCAATTGGAGATGCATATTTATAAAACACTTTTTATACTTGTAATTAACTATTGATCCATGGTTGATGTCCTGTGCAGAGATTATCTCATTTTACATCTCTTTTAGCAAACTTTGTAAATTTCATTTCATTGTTTGCAGATGTGGAAAGCAACAACAAGCCAACGCTTGAAGATATTGCTTTGGTTGGTCTTGAATGTATGCGCAAGATATATCTCTCTGTTGACAGCAGTTTAGAACAAACTCGCATTGACTCGGATCCAATATCTACAAGATTATCGCGAATAGCAAATCTAGCAAGAGAAATTGCTCAAACAACAGTATGTAATAGTTCAAAGTACAATATTTAGTTCATGAGTCTGTCTAGCATTATTTTGACTTTTCATGTAATATTTAGCAATTTTCAGAATTTTGGTGGGATGAAGACCAGTGCAAGTTTATGTCGGTCGATCTTGAAGAAAGGGCAGGTTATATTGGGCTTGAATGGGCTTATAGAGTTGATGTTTATTTACATGATAGTTTGACTTGTTTAGAGACGAAATCAAATCAGTGGTATGCGAACACTTGCATCCGAACGTCTTAAGGATCAAGTTCAGTCACTGCAACTCAAGGCAGATCGAGAGAGTAGTAAAGCATATCCCTTTGCTGTTTTAGATGCACATGCATTGATTGATGCGTTACCAGCCATCAAATTTTGTCTAATGAAACAAACTTGTGTGATTGCCATACCCATTGATGGTATGTACAGTTTATCAAGGTTTTACGTTACATGTGACTTTTGATGGTTATTTATTGCTTTCACTCACTGTTGATGATTGTGTAGTGATTCATGATTTGGATCAATTTAAAACTGGAACCAACACAATCAATGTGCGTGCTCGAGAATGTATTCGATATCTTGAGCAACGTTTCAAGTATCGATCACCATTTCTAGTTGGACAGCAGGCAGGTGAAGCAATCGAACCCACACAACGTGCTGCTGTTCATGCAGAGGATGCCTTGTTAAAAACCAACAGTAGCGCTGTGTTTGTACCCGAGACCTATAAAGGAATCATGACATATTGCTTGTTTGTTCGTGCCCGTGTCAAAACAGCATGGAGTTTTGGAAAGATTGGCGACTTTATGCTTGTAACAGACGACTCTTCAAGAATGGATGTTGCACGATCGCTTGGAATTTCTTGCTTATCTGTTGGCTCCTGGAGAGCACGGTATGGCGGCAGTCTTAGGTTTCAATCAAGAACGTCTCTGTAATAAAAATTGCAGCTATTCAATTTAGTTTGTGCTATATATTTGGGTTGATATTTCTTGATGAAAAAAAACATATTTTTGACTGCTTGCTACATCAATCCTAAAATCCATCTAATTTCCAGTATTTAAAATTTAATCCGAGACTGCCCGTATTAGTCCGACAATGTAGCATCGTGTATACTTTTAAAAATTCCAACATATTTCACAAGTTACTATGTAAAGTAGACTGAATTACAGCCATATTCACGTAAAATGGATCACTGAATAAACGTGCCAAAGTGCATAGTAAACTGTCAGTTTCGTAGAATAATTGATGCCAACTTACTGGACAATATTGTTTTTAAACTGCTAGCTTATTGATATTTTCATTGGTGATTGGCATAAACAATTGTTGTATTACTGAAACATGCAATGCTTGCTTTTTTGAACTAGATTGCAAACATATCCGACAGTTTAGGATACAACAAAAATGAGTTTGAAAACATCAAGATCCAATATCTGGACTGGACTGCAATGCAATGCATCTAGCTTGATATTCGATATTTGATGATCGTACAATGTATGGTTATGCCAATGAGAACAGTCTTGGTTTACAATTATAGTGTGATTGTATTATATGATGGATGGTGTGTTTATTGAATTGAAAATGTTGATTAAAGCCAGTTTGTAGTAGGAAAACGCAACAATATTTAAATATTGCAATACAAATCAAGTCACCACAAGATAAATACAAGTTTTCCATTTTACGTGAATACGGCTGTAAAACAACACATGATGGCAGGGGAATATTTGTAAGCCTTGGCAATACAAATCCAGATGATTATAGATGAGCTTTATAGATGTTGTTTATACTAAACTCCTATTGTGCCTTGATAGTTTTAAGCATCAGTTGGAGCAACAACATGAGCCTAAGCAGGCGCGACTGAATTTGCTGGAGCAACGGCTACATATCCAACAACTTGTGCAAAAACTAGCAAAGGAAACAGAAAAACAAAGAAGGTAAGATATTGCAGCATGGCATTTAAAGAGCTCATGTGGTGTTCTATACAGTAGTTGCGTTCTGATGTAGTCATCTGAACAAGGCTAACCAAACGCCATTTCATAACTTGCCAACACTCGAAATGAAATCAATACATGCCATTAAAACCATCACTCAATTTTACATACTATTTGGTCAATATCTATTTATAATGCATTGATTGGGCACAATCAGAGCTGCACTCGAACGACGGCTTCAGCTTCAAACCGAGGAGAAACAAAAAAGATGTGAGCGACTTCATCTTCCTCGATCTCGTCCATGGTCAGCACCAGTATCATCCAAATTACCAACACATCTAGCAAAATTCGAAAAGTATAACCAATATGGTACAAGGAATTCGCAGTCCTGTTTTACTCGACACAATGAAAATCTAACAACTAGTTTACATTCAATACCATTTCGGCGAAATCTATCACCAATACAAAAATGCCATATTAAGCTTTCACAACCACATCAGTCTGCATTCGACACATTCACTCAAGCGCCAAATCCATCACAGCACAAATTTACCACTAATAACTCGGATCCATCACATTCAAATGCGCATTCAGCATCAATATCCAATCGAACCTCCAGTAAACTCCAAATCCATAAACACAAAAGTGACCACAGTCCTGCATCCATTCCATCTACAGCGGATTTTGATGATTCAAGCGATTCTGACGAGTTTGATGAACAGTTTAAAAAACAAAGCATGACAAAATCTAGCCGACCTAATACTGCTTCGTCTATATGGCCCATATCAAGTGAGTTGCATATATTGTATCAAGGCAAATAATAACGACAAGCTGGTGTGGTCTGTTAATCAATTTAAAGTATTTTATTTGAATTTAATAACTGTTTATTTTCCACAAACCAATTCCATCAAACTTAGAAGCCCAACTTCAATTTCCTTCAGTAATGACTATCAATAATCGGGAAGTGCGGGTACTGCGTGGTATGGATGTAGAAGTAGTCGAAAAAGCAAAATACCAAATGTAGGTTTCTATTTTATATTTGCTCACAATTGTATAGTCGAGTGCATATTGATTGCTGGTGTTGTTCATATAGGTACTAAATACTTGGATTTATAGATTTCCAGTCAAGCCTAAAGAAGTGCCAAGTATTGTGGATATATCACCAATCGGAGAAGAGTTTGGAGCTTGTAATGATGGATTGAAAATTATGGTACACGATCCATTCCAAAAAGATTCAAGCTGGGCACATTCATCGCCATCATCCTTCAAAGCCACATGCGAGCTGAATACAGAGCCAGTATCGCGCAACGATGCTGTGTCTTGTAGTAAGCATACTGGACATACTGCTGCATCTTCAAAAACAAACCAAAAAGAATTCCTTGCAGCAGATTTAATGGATCAAACGGTAAATCATGTTTCTGAACCAGATTCATCTCAGTTTGTTCCTGCTCCTCCAAAACGTGAAAAACCTCGATCTCAATCTGCAAGACTTCGTAACGTTCAAGCCACGCCATTATCCATAACAAACAATACTTTGCTGTCACAACTACAAAATCGGAATTATTCCAACACTGATAGCTTGCCAATATGTAATACAATGATTAGTTCATCAGATTGCGTTGACTCGATGCCTTTTTGTTCCGAAACTCAACTGCACAGCACTTTACAGTCTACAGAAACGGAAACAGCGAAATCTGGTGAAAAATCATTACTAGGACACAATTGTATATTAGAAACCCCACCTTCATTAGAATCCATATATAGTACACCACAGTCTTCGTGTTCTTCTACTGCAAACATTCATGTTGAACATTCTCTTGAAATTTTGTCAAAAAAAAGTCATCCAATACAAGCACAATCTAGACTTTCAGCACACAGGAAAAAAAGAAATGGCGATTTAGAAAAGGTTACGTATAAAAAAGATGACTTGGTTGCATCAAAATCGTTGCATCAACTAGATAATGCTTCTCTTGAATGCCATTATCAACCCTGTACTACTCCATCGACTCATTTTAGTGCTCGCAGTGAGGATGATCATCCACCGCATTCAGGTAAACTTTATTTTGCTTACAATGATCAATGTTTTAGTTTTTAGTAGTATCAATTATTGAAATATTTTCAAATTAACATAAATTAAACCCACGTCAATACTCAATCTTTTAGATGGCCCAAAAACACATCTTGGCGAAAGTAACTTTTGTGATATGGCTTGTTCAAAGCTACCTATTCCTAATGGTGTAGGATCTGGTTCAAACATATCAGTTCAAAGCCTAAACTTGAATTCAGGAGCAGATCGAGATTCAGCACAGATTCAACCGGCAGTAGATTTAAATCTCACAGTGTCATCTATAAATGGCTCCATTTCGTCAGCTATAGCACATGCGTCATGTTCAAATGAACAATTGATCCAAGATACTATACTAGATCAACAATTGGTTACTGGCAATATTAAAACAGTAATGCCTAGTCATTCAACGGAAAATTTGAAAACTGAGTTGAGCACCAACAGTGCACTTACCACTCAAAATTCTCAAACTCTGTCAGTACCATCAATGGATAATTGCTCAGCTATTACCCCAACATATACCCAAATGCATAGTTTCGGATCGAGTCAATCGTCAGATCAAAGCTTGTCACAAAATATAAATTTAGAACACACGCCAAATACCAAACTTGAGCCAGAAATAATCATTCATGTACCTCATTCGCCAAAAATAACAGTTCCATTTCGTACATCACTTCCACGTCGAGCATCATCAGCCGGCCGTCGCGTTTGCATCAATGAGTTGAATCAAGATACACCAGAAAAAGTTCATGTAGCAACAAAGGGAATGAAACCAATTCGATCAGCCCTCAAAAACACACGCAGTTCATTTTTAAACATTCGACCCGGGTCAAGTTCAGTGAGATGTCCAGTCATGGCCAATGCTTTGCTAGAAACCTCCAATTGTTTTTCATCCAGCATTCCTGTTCGAAAAAGCGTATCAAAACCCAACAGGCCTAGTGTTTGCGGATCAACATCAATAAAGCAGTCAACGCATGGAAAGATTATTGTAGAGTCTGATAAAGTAAATCTTTTATTTGATGACGTGCCAGTTTCGGTAGCGGATCATAAAGGTAATGGTCAAGATTGATTTTTGTTTCGAGAGCCAATTTAAGTCGGCACTGTTTAATGCACTAACACCAATTATTATGGTATATAATTGTGACAATATAAATAGCCGAAATGGAAACTTTTTTACTTGTGGAAAAACTGTCAAACATTTCTGAATTGACAGTAGAAGAAGTAGATGCAAAAGTAGGAAAAATTCAGACGAATCAAAATTATTACTCTTGCCAAGATGCAGTAAAGTCAAATGCTCCATATGATGGTGCTATTTTATACCAGTTGAGTGAAAGTCAATTGGTCAATTCTATCAATGAACTTGACAAGATCTTGGAATATCGGCGAAACTCGCAAAATATCACTTTTACAACCGCATTCACATAAAATGAAACACTTGTATTTATCTTGCAGATTTTATTTGCTTTGGAATAAACAATGATTACATATTTGTTACGCTTTCCTACTACAAACTGATTTTAATAGGCATTCTTAATTCAATAAAAATAACATCCATTATATAATACAAACCATAGTTTTAAACTGAAATTCTTGATCAAGTCTGTACAAACTCTTTATTGTATCCTAATCTTGCAGATATATTATATACTTGGTATCCTTGTTTAGCGTTCCATTTACAATAATATAACCGTAAAAACAGTGGTTTGATGTACAGCAATCTTGAGTATTTTTCATATTTGCCATCCGATTTGGACATTGAGCTTGATTCATTTGCTTTAAATTGAAAATGACACATTTTTCGATTTTAAAAAGATACAATGTAGTTTACCATAAAACTCAGTCATGCACTGAGGGATTAAACAAAACATCTTTAAGCACTTGTGACATAAGTCCGTGAATGGCTTCTGTTGTAATTTTGGAGCTGTGTGCATTTGTATATGTAAGTGAATGTTTGATTTACGACCACAAATAAAAATCATGGCTCAATAAAACATGCACGAGTTAATTCAAAGTTACATTTACCTATCTTGTGCTAGTTTAAATATAGGAGCTTCGTCTTTTTTGGCCGATTCTACACTCAGCATCCGGGGAGCAGCTCCAACTGAACTCTCAGTGTGTTCAATTTTGTTGGCCAAGTCCTTGATTTGATATGCAGCATACTCTCGATTCTACACGAAATAAAGAAAATAAGTCCAACAAAACAGTTGAATTTTATGCCAACATTCAAACATACAGTCAACAGTCGCGACGATGAAAGCGTATTGACCCAGTATTTGTTCCAAAGAAGCTCCAATAGCTGGCTATCGGTACTTGACTTGAAGTAAGAAATTTCCAATGGGTAATATTGGTTACAATGAACACCAAAATCTTCAATTTTGTTTAATGGGATACTTTGATACTCTAGTGCATCTGTATTTGAAGGACTATATCCCTATATACAAAATACAGCGAGTATTTCCAAAAGTCAGATTTGTATCAATGGCAAGCTATTTGCATAAACGTGGTATTGCAAAGCACCATACTTGTGGATATGTACGAAATGCGCCAATTTCAACTTTTCCTGCAGAAATAGTTCGGTTGGGATCAATCTATAACGGTAATCAAGATTAGTTATGAAAAGTTGAGTATTCAATTGGTATTATAACCCACAGGACATTTAGACTAGGCTTACAACAACAGCAACAAAAGGTTCTTGAAATTGCTGATTAAGCATCTGTGTGCCAACATCGATTCCAGAGAGCCAACATCCATAGCCGGGATGACTGTGGTACCATCCAATAGCATTTTCAAGACGGCCGACCTAATATGCCAAGTTTAAAACGATCCAATCAGCTGTCATTTTGTCCGAGTTTAAAGCTTGAGATGCAACATAAACATCAGTACTAAGTTGAATTACTTGTTTGATTTTGGTCATATATTCGACCATATATTCATAGCCTTCTGCTTGAGCATTCACCCTGGTTTCAGTTCCTTCAACCGGAAGAGCAAATGAGTCCATAACAATCATGGTGTCATCTACAACTTTTCCCTGCATCATGCCCATGACTTCAATATTTCCACCAGAGCGGGAGTGAATGACCATTTTGATGAGCGCTACAGCAGAGATCTTAATTTTTTTAAAGTGATGAGGACTAGATACAAACACAGAGTGTTCATGAAATGCCAGTGAATTAGTTGAGCGGAGATCAAGATATGGTCATTCTGCTAGTTGAGCAAAAGCCAATAGCAGCCAATGTATCTTAATAAACAGTACAACCAGATTAAAACATACTCCTTGGCCCATGGACGGGAATTCTGAATCTGTTTTTGCTGATTGCTGTCGTAGTAAAAGATTGCATCTCTGCTATCGACTTCCTTGATATTGTTTTCCAACTCAAACCTCTAAAAATATTGAAACGAGTTGAGAAATGGCATACCAGTTCAAAACAGTCAAAACAATCCTCAGATTACCTTGCGGGCACTCAAAGAGCTTGATGCCTGCATCCTTCTCCTTCAGATGGTTTGCGTGTAGAATTGATGTCAAGATTGCCAACATCGATTGTTGCAGACAATTACTCATCACGTGACAATTGGGTTGTTTGGCTCGTTTGGCCAAAGTTTGAATTGCCAATAAATTCCAATGCAAAACGATCCCGACGGAACGGAGAACGAGCTGCTCGACACTCTGTCGCAGATCGACTCGATTAATTCAGAGTTAAAACTTATTGATGATTTGAATGTGTCTACAGACTCTATTGATCCTGCAATGAATATTGCTAGACAAGAACTGGTTGCTGCTCGACACCATCTACAGGAATTGGCCAATCTTCAGCAACTGCTTTTACAAAATGATATCGCTCTACCGCCTCAGCCAACTTTGGATAGTCCAGATATACAGTATGTTCATGATGTTACTCATCCAGATATCGAGGACTCTGCCACCAGTGCATGTGCTACAAATACTTGCAATTTTACTGCTGGATCTCTGTGTTGTGCTCCGTTTACCATGCCCAACTCGTCGCATACTTACTATCTCTTGGCTACCATTATGTCAATCCAAAGTGAATCCAAACAAAACAGCTCTGATATTGATTCACAGATGAAATCTAATCACAGCGATTCCACTGCAACTGTCATGCTATTGACGCCCATGACTTTAGAATCTTGTCCATGCCAAAACTTGAATGCTTGTTCTGGAGATTGCAACAGATCGCATGGCATTACGCTACCACTGTCCGTACTGCAGGACTCTTCCACTTTGGACTATGAAGCTATCCTTTCTGGTGCTGAGCCACGCGTTCTGGCAAAGTTTTCTGATGGGCTGTATTATAATGCCATGATCGGGTCCATTCGTGAATCGGATGTGCTGGTTGAATTCAGTGATTATACAGGAGATATCCATAATGTTGCGTTTGAGGATTTGCTACCGATTTTAAATATAGACTCTAGCTTTTTGTCACATACGCATCAGTCATCTAAAACTGATCTGGGTAATGCTGTCAGTTCTTTAAGTGAGGTATTTTATGACAGCCAGGATGACGATTCCACTCATCAAGATTCAGACAGTGATGATTTCTTGGACAATACAGTTCATGTTCGGAAATTAGCAAACACCGAGTTTGGTGCTTGGGAAATACACACAAAAGGAATTGGAAGTCGACTGATGGCCAAAATGGGTTACCGTGTTGGATCTGGTCTAGGTGCTGCTGGAAATGGCATTTTAGAACCAGTGGAAGTCAAAGTGTATCTACCAGGCCGTGGCGTTGGACATGCAGATATACCACAAAAAAAGAAGCGCAAGAGAAAGAATGCTCGATATGATAGCAAAAATAGGCACACATCACAGAATCATGAAGACACTGAAAAGCCGGATGTGTTTTCATTTATAAATACGCTAAACGGAGCTAGTCAGTCAGCAGCCTCATCACTCAATATAAAAAGTTCTATGGATTCTGACCAGTCACTATCCAACGCATCACAAAACAGCAGTCTTACTTCTACATCCGTAACAGATACAACTAAAAACAAGACATCATCACATCTGCGGATCATTCAAATACAGCAAGAAACACAGAAGCTTAATGCAGAACTCAAGCGTGCAACAGAAGGACTCTTGCGTAATCGTGGCGATCCTCGGTTGAAAGAGATTTATCAATACAAAATATCCCATATAAAAGTGCACATTGATCAACTGAGTCATGAGGGGTCCAAAAGTAGCAATGCGCTCAAACGGGAAAGAATCAAAAAAAGCATGATGGAGTTTTGAGACTTGTATGCCATGCGGATACTAATGCGGATACTTGTGATTTGAGTTGTAAATCGGATGATTTGACGCAGTCGAGAAGGTATGGTGGTAGGATTTTTACCATTTCATTGTGTAAAAGAAGTGTATGTTGATCCTTTGTAGACGGGATCGCTATGGTGTGATTACTTTGAAAATACGTGATGAGAGAGTCGCGAGCATCTTCAAGACTCATGGTATTTAACGGAACCGATTGTTCAAGTAGCTGATCCACAATCCGCTTTATGTCATCATGCGTATATACTATATTAAAATCATCTGCATAGATATTGGCTATTGCCAAGTCCAAATAACTGATTAGTTTTAAAATTCTGCTATTGGAATGAATTCTAAACACATGCTAAAACCTACGCTCAATCCTATTAATACTGTGACCAGATATAATCAAAATACGATGTGTAGGTGAGTTTGGAGCATGTTCTGATATCTCACCATCCTCGGATGGATCGTTTGCTTCGACATTGTCAGGAGTTGCTATAGCTGGTGTTGTAGATTGACCACCACTTTCCTAATCAAATGAATATTGTACAGTCGATATTCTGTTAAGAGAATATTGAATCATTTCATTCGGTAGTGTATTTTATACAAATAGATTCAATGAGTTACATACTGGATGGTTGATCAATAACATGCAACTATTGGTGACAGGATCCAAGCCAATCAGACTGCCGTGCACATCAATTACTTTTGTTCTTGAATTGAAAAATGGATTCATTCTGACAATAACATGCATTCCCAGCAGTTTTGCTAGATCGTTGATACCGTTTGTATTCATTTCGAGGTTGAAGTGATTTTCAAGAATAAAATTATATTTTCAATTCTTTGTCAAGATTCCAATTATTGGCTCTAAACTGGTTCATATTTAATCTTCATGGCAGACAGACGGGCTACAAACAAGTACTATCCTCCTGACTGGGACCCCAGCAAGGTATTTATATGATTTTGCTCTATTTTCTGATGCATATCTAGCATTAACATTGTTTTTTGATGGTTATATAAGGGATCCATCAATACTTTTGTAGGCCAGCATCCACTCAGAGATAGAGCTAGAAAGCTTGATCAAGGAATCCTTATTATTCGGTTGGTTTTTAGCATTTTAAAGACATTGGTTATATACTGCAGCATGTTTAGAACATCAACTTATCCAGCCACTTCATTCTACTGAATCAATCACATTTAGATTTGAACTGCCATTTAATATCTGGTGTCTGCATTGCAACAATCATGTTGGAATGGGTATGTCAGATGTTTTAGTTGATGGATTTATGCACTGGTTTGAGACCTCCGATTCTAGACATATCATGCTGTTCAAAATAAGCTTCACTGTTAAATCCGAATCGCTAGATATTCTTTTCTACTATAATCTTATTCATAACCCATATGTCTGTAGGTGTACGATACAATGCAGAAAAGAAAAAGGTTGGCATGTACTACTCCACACCCATTTTTTCGTTTCGAATGAAATGCCATTTATGCAGCGGACGGATCGAAATTCACACAGATCCTGAAAACACAGAATACAAGATCATCAGTGGTGCACGGCGAAGAGAAGAATCATATGATCCTGAAGATATTGGACTAATTACATTGCAAGGTATTTCATGGTGCTGATTTGAAATATTTTAATTCATTATCATGTACTGTTCAGTTTACAACTGGATCTACGCATCTAGACTAATGTAGTTTTTGGTATCACATTCATCGATTGACCAGATAAAGAAACAACTGAGAAGATTGTCAATGATTCATTCTACAAATTGGAACATGGAGTAATTGATAAAGATAAGGCAGTGGCGGTTGCGCCGCGTATAGTATCGCTTCAAGATTTGAGTGATCAACACTGGAAGGATCCATACACTGCTTCTCAGAAAGTGCGCAAACGATTCCGAGTAAGTCTTGCCATTGATTTTCTGGATATTTTAGATACCTGGCAATGCATTTAACCTGCTATGTACGCTACATTCTGGTAATCTTTAAAATAGGCAGAAAAAAAAGTACGAGTAGCAGATGCATTGGATTCTCGAAATATACAATTAAAACACGGATTCAAATTCAATATACTTCCGCCATCAAACAATGATACGATCGCTGCTCAGGACGTAAATTGGTCGTGTATGTCATGCATTTATTGTTTCCTGTAGTACTTGTTGTAGTGTAAAATGGTGTGTTCATTTCTCATCCATTTACTTTTATTGTGTTTGTATTATATTGGAGTAGCTCAAAATATTGAGACACATGAACAGAAACAATCACGCATATCCTCGTCATCTGTTTTTATAAAAAAGTCAACCAAACATGAACCCACGCAACAGCAATACAAGAAGCTTCAAAATTCCAGCGCAGATCTTATTCGTGCTGCTATCTTCAAAGATTACAAGCATAGTGCATTTTCAATATCATCGACGGATGCTACAACAAGCTACGGTTCTAAAACGCACACAGACTCAAAACCGATTGTGGCTTGTAAAATCAAAGATACTACTAGTCAAATTTTGGATAAATCAACTATGTTGGCTCTAGTATCGTATGATTCAAGTGATAGCGAAAATGCATCCGACTGTCCGGTGTAATTTATAAATCATACTTATTTCGCCGACTTGTTATTTTTTAGACAATATATTTTGATTTGTTATCGACTCTGTATATAGTAATGTTGAGACATGTACTTGATCATTTGGCAAATTCAGCACTCAAGGCTATCTAGTCAATATTTGCACAATCAGTGAATCTAAATAAATGACAAGTTTATTTTTATTTTGCAAATGCTTTACTCGACAGATTTAGACGGTTTTGAAGAATTGGCAGCAGCGTTTGTATGATGGCCAAATCGTGCCTTGACAAATTCAACGCATTGCTCTTTGGTCGAATTTACATGAGAAAGCTGCCATTCCATGACATGGTAGAGATATCTTCCAATCTGTGGACCTAGCTTAACCCCCAAAATTGTTGCAATTTCTTTACCATCAAGCAATGGCCTTGTATTGTATGTATCATAAACTTGATGGCTCATAATTGATGTAAGTAATTTGGAATAGACTGCAATTGCATGAACAACTTTTTCATCTATAAATGATTCATTCAAAAATCAAATGAATTGAAATAGCATCAGATTAAATGAGTGCATGGTTTGATTGGTAAAATAATGGTGTTCAAAAACTAATTTAGAGAGTCATTAAATTACCATTCAAGGAAAACTGGGACGGGTCCGCAAGTTCAAATGCAATCTCTGTCAACTGATGCACCAGTGCCATGAGCACAGCAAGATCCCACTTTTCACCTAGTGGACGAGCACCAAGTTCGCGAACAAACATTCCTAAAATCAAACATTTGAATTTGCTCAATTACCAGCACTAAAGGTATGTAAATCAAATCAACTCCTTACCCAATGTAGTTCGATCAGTGTTTCCGTCATTATAAAAGTTTTGATTCGCTAAATCACGAATATGCAAGGAGCTATCCAATAGTGCATGGGCAGTATCTCCATCGTGTTTGCTCAACTACAACAGTTACAAAACCAATCAGCCTAAACATCTCAATAATTGAATATTCACAAAGTATATTTTTAGTCATTATATTTACTCTAATGGATGTGCCAACAACGTGCCTAACTACAGAAATATACTTGTTTTTTAGTCTAAATGTCAATCCTTGATAAGGCAGCACCGTTGCTGCCAAATGTAGGTTTCGAGAGTCTTGAAGAGAAAGGGGAATCTGAGATATTCCCATTTCAGCAAGAATCCCTTTCTGAATCATACTAAAAATGTATATTTCAGCATGCCATTAAAAATTTCAAATCCCAACAAAAACTTTATATTAATAGTCTAAGCATTAAACACATCAACTTACAGTTTTAAAATGTAGTTTGCTACATAAGCATACTTTTCATGCACAACAGTTTCCTGACAGATATTTGGAGGAGCTAAAAACACCAAAGGATAGAATTCAATATCCTGCAATATCTTGATGGCTCGCACAGGATCTGGTCCTTCAAGCATCTTGTTCAATTCTACACCAATGCGTTCACGAGAGATTTTTTTAATAAATGCGGTCTGATGATTGAAATATTTTGAAAATAACCATGATTAATAAGCATTAGAATGGACCAGATAATGCATGCCTGTGCATCTAGAATCTAGCAGTATGATAAATGCCTGCGCACACAGAAATAATTACCTTGATTAAATCATCAGAAGCTGCTTTTAAAATATTGGAAACAATCTCATATCCAAATCGAGTAGCAAACCGAATGACTCTCAAAACACGAAGCGGATCATCTACAAATGTGGATAGTGGCTCCAAAGGTGTACGAATAAGTCCTGCACTCAGATCATCAAGTCCATGTCCTGTCATATCTTCTACCTCCCGAGTATTTAGATTGTAAAACAAGGTATTGATTGTAATATCTCTACGGAGCGCATCTTGCAATGGAGTGCCAAATTCCTATTTAAATGGCAATATAGAATTAAAGGTGTGGATAAATATTGGGTCAAAGATTTGAAGCCACAAACATAGCATTCATTTCAATGTACACCCGTGAAAGACCTACTACTATTGGGTTTCGAGAGTTCTCATCATATATCTCGGTACGTAAATGAACAAAATCGAGATCACGTCCCAACACCCGCACAGTGGCAGTTTCCAAATGCTTGGATCGATCTGGATTAACTTGTATTGTATATATGGTTCCTAGAGACATACTTTTAGACAGCATGTATTCTTTAAGATGACGTGCAAATGGTTCACCCTTCATGGTGTCGATAGCAATATCAATATCATCCGAGGTTCTCCCAAGTAGCTATGTTCAAAAGATTGCAATTCAGTCTAGATTTAAAATAATGGCAACTGGTTGATACCAAACAACAAGGTTTCAAAAATAAATTGGAATAGCAATGACTGGGGTGGTAAACCATGCACACTACACAAGAGCACCAGCACTAATTCAATCAAGACGATCATTCCAAGGAGCGCAGTTATCCATTACCTTGTCTCTCACCCAACCACCAGCAACACGAAGAACCAAAGGAGGCTGATCAGGGTTATTTGCATGAATATGAGTAGCTGTCTCTGACAACAACTGAAGAATTTGAGATTCTGTTTCTGTGAGCAAAAGTGTTGCAGGACGAGGTATCGTATGAGTATTTTTTTGAAGCTGCAGTGAGGTCGCAAAGGGAGAAATCATGGTGGTTTTGTGTGTCAGTGTGTGTAATCGGTTGCTAATGTTAAGAGAACAGTATGATGATCTTTGGAAAATAGGTGGTGAAAATACTGCAGATACAGTGGGTCGAGTTGCTGCAAATCCACTCCGCCAACTTTGCATTCAAGTTTTGCTGGTTTGATTTTGGACCAAATTTGAATCAACTCAAATTATTATCACGTGATATAGTATCACCACGTGATTAGAACTGGCTTGAATCTGAAGGCTTTATACCTAAGCAGGACTCCTTGTCGACCGTTTCCTAGAATTCAAGCCCATACACGCAAACACTCGGTAACTACTCTTGCATCGACAAGCCATCGTTGATATAATGTATCTTTAAACCAGCTATAGACGGGCATCCGAGTTTCAGTTTTGAAATGAGCAAACTCGCTACAAGCCAGAAAATAATTACAATCAACCAGATAATGTGTTCTAGCCGTAATTATTGATATCTAAGTCTCGACAGTCCAATTATACGGGTCGTTACACAAGATTGCAAGCCAGCACGATGCCAAAATACAGGATCTGCACATTCAGACTTTGCTCACATCCACACCAGCTGCAACCAACTATTGTATTGAACCACCCTAACAAAGAGCCACTGTATAGTTTCTAGTTACATCATGAACCACCCCTCCCATTGCACCCATACATGCTCTTTTTGGGATGACTCCTGCTGCACTGGCCATGATAGTATATCAGCAACTGATGACAGATTTTGCTCCTCACAGTCAGCTAATACGGCCAATGACAACAATGCTGGCATTCAATTGTTGCATTCGCTGCGAGAATACGAGCATGGGTTGATGCCAAACTCCCTTTCTTTGTTAGATACTACAGACATCACAAGCCATGGTCAATTGAATACAGACCCCAGTCTGCATATTCCCAACGTTATCACTGATTCGACTGAAAGCATCTCGACATATACTTTCTCGCCAAGCCCACATCAATCTGCAGCCAACCACCCATACACTTTGCAACTGTGTCTTTTAGAAGGTGTATGGTGCAAAATACAGCTTGTATCGAATGGCTTCAAGGTAAGCCCGCCTATCAATTCATGCAACTCGACTCGGTTTGCATATATCTAGATATGCTTCGAGGTTTGATTTTCGCATTGGCAATATTCTAGTGTGCAGTTGTGCTTCCAAACGGCCTGTCTACATTCAACCCTATGGTCGATTGTTTCTAGCTTATTCCAACCCACCTTCATTAATCTAAACAAGGATGCTTTATTTCTAAACCAGATAATAGTATCAATCCTCTAAATTGCAAGGAAATACAACCCTGCTTTTTATGTTTTGGTATTTTGATCTTTTTCACTAACCATTTCCTGACTAACATTATTACTACTCTTATACATCACTATTTTCTGCGCCGCTATAAATAAATTACGGTAGCTATTGTCCGCAAGCGCCTGTCCAGGAGTATTACCCGTGATCAAATCAAACCCCTATATTCAAACTCCAACTTTGTTGGAAAGGATCGATACCCCTGATCAGAAAGCCCTTGACCACATCCAAACTCACATGTTCACGACGTTCGAGTCGATGGATTCACTGCTAAACACAATTAGTCCTCTCTACCGAGACAACCTTCATGCTCGTCTATATAATCGTTTACAATCTTATTCCGAAAATAAAGATAATGTATTTTAATGATGGCAATGTGTGCAGATCGACTCATTTTTTGATTGATCAGCAGAATCCTGTAAACCCCCGTCAAGTCCATGGTTTTCATGGGTTACTGACAGATCATAAATGAAATATTTTTTTTCCGAGGGAATTGCCAATCGACTTGTATTGCCTTGAAAGTCGGTATTTGTTCTGCTCATCAAACTTTGAGTCTCCTCGAGTAGCTCGGCTTGTAAAAACGAGCCATCACTTCTACTAGTGTTTCTGGTCCTTATACATGGAGTTGCTCCACGAATATAATCTAGCTCCGATATGGTCGTCTCCTCGTTGATCCCTGTCAATTTAAAGAGAATATCGTCTTCATCCACTCTGTGATGCTGCGAATGCGAGAAAGTTTGTGTTGATGGTAGTCTGAGTGACCCTTGAGATGTTGGTTTCTTTCTTTCTTGTCTTGATACACTACATAGTTGGCCAGAGTCAGAGAACTCGTTTGATCTTTCACTAGCACTAAAGGGATTTAAGCGGACACGCTCCATTGGCATCGATTTGTGTGGCAATATATGCATTGCCAAGGAGCTATGCATATATTTTGCAGCATCTGAAAAGATGGGTGGAAAGGCCACTACATTCAAATCAATCATAAATGCAACCACATTTTAAATCAAGTTAGTTTTACCACAATATATCAGATCCTCCAACTTCATCCCAAGTTCATTCCCACTCATATCTATACTCCATCGAGTTGGACACTTGTAATGAGCAACATGATAAACTTACTCATTCGGACATCTAGCGTTTCACGCGATTCATGACAATGGCTCTGGTGAGTATGCCCAACGCCTCCAGTTCGCATGTCTGACAATTTCATTCTAGATCTAGGCTGTACCGGTTTATCACTGTCTTTATTTGCTCGTTTTAGTTCAGCAATACGCTCTACACGTGCTTTGTCTCTGGCTAGCTTTTCCGCAGCCTTTTGCGCCTTGAGAATCAAAAGCTTATCTCTTGCCTCTGCCTCCAAACGAGCGTGTTCTACTTCGAGAGCTGCACGAAACTCCAGTTCTTTTTTAGCAGCCTCTTCGTTTTCTAATTTTGTTTCTGCAAGAACCATGACGTAGTTGATTGCATCAATAAAGTTTGTTGTGAGTGGGTCTTGTAGAGTTTGAATAGGATTGCAATGGCTCTGTGTAATGTCGAGTTTAGAGACTGGAGTCTATATAAGCAGTATTGTGTTTTATATATAGAACATTCAAGTATAGTCAATGCAGTGAGTAAAAACAGTCACAATGGTGGCTACACCAACATGCCTACAGCAGTTGACTTGAAAACATCAAAGTTGCAATGATAAAATATTCCATTATTAGTATATATCAAATATACATACCACTGGGTAAAACATCAAATCCAGACTAGTTGGAAATTGTCTGAAACGCATCTGGGTCACTTTGTTTTCCAATTGAGCTGCTTTGGCTTTATAATCCACAAGTGCACTCGTGTCATCTACTTGTTTTAGAGCCGGTTCTTTGTTGGACACATCAGCCGATGATGCAAACAATGGCGATGCTATCTTATTGCTGCTTGAATCTAATCCTCTAGTAGTTTGAGAATGGCTATAAATATCTGGTGTTTCAGCTGTATTCGTGTTGAGCTGATTTACACTTTTTAGACTTTTGCGGTGTGTAGCAAGATTGGCTTTGGCGTTTTGCTCATCAAAAAGCATGGCACTCTTTTTTCGTTGAAATCCATCTTTTAGTAAACTTGTGTTTAAAGCAGTATCTTTGTCAGATGTCATTGTTTGCTTTCGACTCGATTTGATCGCACTTGTGGCATCTGTAGACAACGGTGTTTTGCTTTTGATCTTTTTTCCATCAGCACTATTCGTCCTTGCATTAGTGCCTGTCAAGGCAGTTGTGTTTAATCCATTTCGCTTGGCACTTCTTCTTCCACTAGGAATAGTCGTTGTAGGTTTGACTTGTTCTATTGCAAGTGGCGATTCAGATGGAGACTGTGGAGGTTTTTTCTTGGATTTCTGCCTCACCACTCGTTCTTCCAATCTTTTTTTTTCCTCCAGCCCATATATTGACAATGCCTGTAGTTTTTTAGACATTTCAATACTTGGAGTAGACTTGACAAGGAAATGCTTGAGGTTTTCGCGTAGAAACTCGACAATCATTGTCCGGACATCACACGCACCAGCAGGGTTTTGTTGACTGGCAGATGATTCTAGCGTGCATTCAGTATCGCTTGCCTGTTCAAATATTCTTGTTAAATTTTCCATGAGTGGTGGCTCTTCAATACACATGACACCCATTCCGCGAAGAAGTTGGATTGCCTTGAATCTTAATGCATCATACATACAGGTGGTATACATAAGCAAAGTTGGGATCAGTTCAGGATTGTTTGGATTTAGCTCCACAATATAATCTAGGATTTTTGTACGAAGCAGTATTTCGCTTGATAATAGTGATCCCATTGCGTGCAATTGCAAATGGCGACAGTAATGACGCTCCATTAAAGTAGTATCTCTGAACCCATAGTTTTGATTGATCCACGAGATAAACTGCAAGATTTCTTTTCGAATCTCTCCTAAATTTTTTTCAAATATATTCAAGAGAATGGGAATCAGAGCATCGCTTGTAGAATCGACCTTGACCTTGCGCATACGATCTCCTTTACTATTGGTGATAATAGTGTGTATATCATATTCAAGTCCGCTTTGAGCTGCATAAAATATTTGATCGTCAGGAAACCAGTCATATTCCATCATTTTTTCAATGATGGGTGACAGTTTGATTTCTAGAGTTTGCTGAACAATCTCAGCTGCACCAGCCAACATTCGCCGTTGAATTCGCATGTTTATAATATTATCGTCGTCATCATTTTCGTCATCGCCCATATCTAGAGCCTGCTCATCCTCTGAAACAACTTCTGAAGTACTTTCGTCGCGTTTCATTTGCATCATCAAATCCTTTAGCCTGGTTTTGTACTGTTCACTGCGCATCCGTTTTTCATCATCGTCAGGTTCAACTAGTCCTAGGGTTTCTCGTTTATAACTATGCACTGCATCTGTTGTCAATGGCTGTTTTCCGTGTATAGTCAGCCATGAGTTGACTTGTTCGATGATACCAGAGTTTGGAATGGATCCATCAGGTGCAATTGTAATCTCATATTTGTGCTTTTTTTCAGTATCGGCCAAGACCTCAGAATTTTGCTGAAATGCTGTATTCAATACAAATGAGCAAGAATCTACTTGATTCGTAGCTGACAAGTAGAAATTGAATTGGTTAATGAAAAAGTTGGTTTAGTGCTATTAAAATTGGACAATCTTTTATATTAGCATCCATCTCAAACTAGTAAATTGTACCTATATCTACTTGCTCGATATTTTGCGATTTCGATTTGATAAGATTTGTATTGATGATTTGACTCTAAATATTGCATTAGTTTGAAATGCATTCAGGGTTAGTTGGTAAATAATGGTGCAATCAAACAAAACTATAGCAGTTGACAGTAAAATTTAAATACTTTGACTAGATTTTTGCTTTGAATTGCCTTTGCGCTAGGAGATTGAGCTCTAGATTCAACGCAGCGTACGAGATCTGTCTCATATTCGTTTGTATTATTGCTTTCCTCCAAGTAGCTATCAATGTAGTCTTTATATTCCAAATCTCTCTCTTGCAGGTTTGTCATTTTGGCATGATATTCTTGCCCAAGTTTGTTCAACATATCGCTAACGTATCGAGGCTGCGCTTTTTTGAGCGAATAAGAGGCATGAAGATCTATATCTGCCCATTCATTCTCTACAGAGTCAAAATCAAAAAGATTGATTTGAGAAAATACACTCCATGGGTTGGATTTATCAACTCTTAGCAATCGCCTAATCAATCGATCATCAAAAACAGTTATTTTAAAATTTGAATCATTGAAAATTATAAACTACTGTGGTCAGCCACAAACCATCAAAATAATGGGGTACCTTTTTCGAATCAATTGGGGGGCTCTAGTTAACGGAATCAATCCGTCGTCAAATGGGAGGGGTTGCTCAGCTTTGGTGTCGCTCGTATGGGTTGTTTTGGAAATGCCGACAAGATTTGGTGGTAGATCTGCGTGATATATAATATACCAAGTAGTTATAAAATAATTCAACATGAAACTAATTTTGACTTTAACTTACAAGAAGAATGCCGGATAATATCAATACGATTATGAATAGCAATCAGCAAATCTCCTCGTGGATTTGCCACACACAATCCATCTGGCTGTTCTTGAAATTGAATCTCGCTTTGTAATAAGCATCAATTATCGAATAAAGCATTAGTAACGAGGCTAGTTATTATGATTCACAGTCATTTTAAGATAAATGCCATGACTTTTGAAATCAATGGTATTTAGTATAGTTTAGTGGCTTACCGAATAAGAATGTTTTTCTTATTCCACAAACGCATGGATGCGTCTTTTCCCATTGTAATAAAGAATTCTGATTTTGGCAAGCTACAAATCGAAATAACTTCGTCAGTATGATCCTCTGTTTTCGGGTGGCCGTCAATAATACTCCATTCTAAAATCAAAATCAGGATTAGTATCATAGTTTGGCTATGCAATTCCACAAGCCAGTAGCCGATTAAATCCCATCAGCTCTACATTATTACAAATCAATTTTACCATGTTTATCTAGATTAAATTCAAACATGTGCAACGTGGCATCTTCTGAAGCAACACAAATGGTGTTTTCCATCACACACATCAACAATGGATTGAAGTTTGTTGGAATCGTCAACTCAATTTGAATAAAACTTTCATGCGTTGGACATACTCGACATACTCTAATGACTTCATCTGATTGAATCAATTATACAAGTCAGTGTTTCGTGTTTGAGAATACTTGCATCTTTTAAACCCCAACTTTTCATACGTAAGCTTGTATATTCACCTTTTCCTAAACTAAACAAAAGGCTTCTTGTCGAGTCACAGATAATCTGCTGGATGGGTCCAAGATGAATCTACAAAATTTTAGATATGTATCATCTATGGATAATTAGTATATAAACTACTCCAATCCCATTGCCAATCAGTTTGCAATTCATCCACCTGAAACCGGTTTATGATTGATCCACCTCTGCCAAAAACAATCAGGTGCCCATTAGCTGTTGCGCCAAACAAGAACCCAAACCGATCTGGCAAAGCTACTTTTTGATCTGAGCATCTGAGTAAAAGTTTCAACGATCGACTTTGTTCACCAGTGCGCTCAAGCAGAGTACATGGCGATATACTTTTTGACTGTTGGGTCGTTATATCATCTTGTGTAAAATTTGCATTGGTACCGAATCCTTCAAATACTACTAGCTTTGTACAATGCTCCATAGCTTTTTGTCGAAAATGGTAAGTTGTAAGACTAAACTATTCTACATTCAAGATCGTGAAGTTATAGAATGTATACGGATATTCAAATACTGATTTACCTGTTTCTGCTTGTCTCCAGATATCTACCACAGTGCATGGATTGTGGTCGGTGCGAAAAGTCCAGATTTCTCCATTATTGAGCATAACATAAAGTCGATCTGTTTAAGCAGTAAATTCAATTCTTAGGTCTGAGTTGATCTGTGGCCTTTATAATATGATTGCATTGTGTATTTCTAAAACCAAATGATCAGCGTACCTAAAGCAGGAAAATAAGAAATATCTCGAACGGCATCAGTCTCTAGCAAAGGTAGCGTGGCAGTTATTGCTCTTCCATTTGCTGGACTTGATAGTCGAATTACACCATCGCTTGTCCGAATCACAATTCTGGTAGGTGTATTCAAACCTTTATACGCAACCAGACTTGTTGTAGATGAACTGGTTACAACAAGCAGCCATTTTAATCAATATTGCATGCCAGCATTTAAAAATGTAAAATGATTCAAAATCAGGGAAATACCTTAGCGTTGCTAAATTCAAGTTGATTTGGTTTGTAGCCCAAATTTCTACGGTATTTCGTGTATAAATAAAAAGCTGACTGTCGTTGATCAATTGCATCCCACGTGGTAACTCATGAATACGGAAGCTATTGGTATTGACTTGTTAGTTTTGATTGGAGCTTTGAAGCAATGCACAGTTGACACAACTATTTAGTTGACCGTGTAGTAAACACTTGAATTTACCTAAATATTTCACGAAATGATTTTAAATTGTACATTCGAATACAATAATCCAGTCCACATGACAAAATCAATGGTCCGTAGGGGTAAATTGCAATTGCAGTCACTCGTTTTGTATGTGAAACAAATTCGTGCACCACTGCTCGGACAATATTGATGACTTTGACTGAGATGTATAAATTTAGTCAATGCATATTACAACAGTTGTATATTGGACAATAGTAATGCACTATCTGCATGCTTACTTGTTCCATCTATATTCCCTACAAGCGTGTACTGGTATGCGTCGTGATTTATAATGCATGAAATTTTGCGTGATGTAACATTTTCAATGTACTCAAGCCGCTCGCCAGTAAAATAGTCGAATAGCTAATGTATTGAATAGTAAATTTGTAAAATAAACTGATTTTTTAAATTGTCAAAAGAATCCTCATTCTTACCATTAAATGAACATCAATAACTGCCCAAATCTGCTTGTTTTTTTCATCAATATAAAAATTTTCAATCCAGTCATTTTTCTCGAGACCTGTTTTAATTGTGATTCTATGAGTGGCTTCCACCTGGATCTGTCCTCTAAAGTAATTGTATTAATAAATAACTAATCACAAAGTCAACAGTGTTTCAACTGTATTTTATGCATCTGCCTACTTTTGATGCACTCCATTTAGTGACCATATCTGTGAATAATATGTTATACCAGGATTAGTAAAATTGAAAACCTTTAATCACGTTTTAATTTGGATCAAAACAAACTGACCGTAATATGGTGTGTTCCCGCAACAATAAGCTCGTTAAATCGAGCAGAATAGTGTATACTAAAACATAATCAACCAAAAGTAAATATAAATGTGCGGTTAAACTCAAATCTATCGACAAAAGTATACAAGAAACTCGTTTGGTTACTTTGACATACACATAGATTGGATGCGATGCATTAACCCAGTTAGTTATATCCATTTTGGATGTGAAAAACTAGAAACGTATTTAAAAGGCAGAGTTTAATGCAAATCTAGTGTATAATCTCATAACTACACAAATGGAGTCACCTTTACTGTATGCTGATCATATACTCCTGCGTAAAAAGCATATTTTGGGATAAATATAATCTGGGAAAACTTGGCTTCCATTTGTACGCATTGGCGATGCTTTGATCCGCCATCTTTATCTAAATTCCAAATATTAACACAATGGTTACGATCGAGAGTGGCAATACTGGACGGTCTGAATGTAGTTGGAGCAGTAGGGATATCTCGAAACACATCATCTTCATCTTCTTGAATTCGAGTGATACGCTGTTGGTCCTCGACTATATCACTTTCCTTGATACTTTTAGTTTCATTATCTTTTTCAGCTTCGTGTCCAATACTGCCGTTAGCAAAATGTACAGGAACTCGTATATGATGAATAACTGAAAGAAATTGATGACGATGGCGAATAATGTGTTGAAACTTGAATCCCTGTCGAAGTAAAAAGGCATACGAGTGTTGTTCATGACCAGTCTGATAAAATGGATCAGGATCGCTCAGTTCAGCAAGATCGCCATTATTGTCATCAGACAAGTTGGCGATGGATTGTAGTTGTGGTTCGTTGTTTGCGCAAATATTATGGAGTTTATGCGAAAAACTAGGAGCATTTGCAGCTGTAGAGTCCAGTAGATCACGGCCAACTTTGCGCAAATTAAATGCTGACGGAGCTATACCGGCAAATGAAAATGCACGTAGCTTTTGCTTGGAAGATAATTGCTGAAATGGTATGATCTTGCTCTGAAGATAATGTGGAAGTAAGTTGGGAATGTTTAATTCAGACGTTGGAATAATATGTAATAACTTATTGACGGCATTGGCTAGATATGGGTGCGGCTTTATCATGCATAGTAATTGGATCTCTGATTGTAAATGGGAGTTGCTATTGTATGTGTTGTTTTTAGTATATATAGTAGCTGTGCTATTATTTAGATCTGTATCATCATTTTTCAGGCTGCTTCTTGGCCGTACAGGAAATGTATCTTTATGGCTGGGTATTTTAATATGAGAAGCCGTCAGCCGACTCGCGCCAACCTCGGCCATATAAGCGATTTAATAGTAAAGGAAACTACAATTATATTTATTAAAGAGGTAAATTTTTAAAATTTGTTTATAGTTTATTACCATTATTCAAAGCCGCTTTAAACTACATACTATTGGCAATTCCATACACGAGTTTTTTGTATTTTTTACAGCCGTATTCACGTAAAATGGAAAACTTGTATTTATCTTGTGGTGACTTGATTTGTATTGCAATATTTAAATATTGTTGCGTTTTCCTACTACAAACTGGCTTTAATCAACATTTTCAATTCAATAAACACACCATCCATCATATAATACAATCACACTATAGTTGTAAACCAAGGTTGTTCTCATTGGCATAACCATACATTGTACGATCATCAAATATCGAATATCAAGCTAGATGCATTGCATTGCAGTCCAGTCCAGATATTGGATCTTGATGTTTTCAAACTTATTTTTGTTGTATCCTAAACTGTCGGATATGTTTGCAATCTAGTTCAAAAAAGCAAACATTGCATGTTCCAGTAATACAACAATTGTTTATGCCAATCACCAATCAAAATATCAATAAACTAGCAGTTTAAAAAACAATATTGTCCAGTAAGTTGGCATCAATTATTTCACGAAACTGACAGTTTACTATGCACTTTGGCACGTTTATTCAGTGATCCATTTTACGCGAATATGGCTGTAAATCGCTTCTCAACCATTCACTACCATTTAACCTTGCTGGACAATTTGCTGGTAGAAGGAATGCATACTAAAAACCCCATGTTGGTGCTATGGCAATTGTATCTTGTCCTTATCATCTTTATAACACAGACAACAGGACGGCAGATAGTGGATAGGTTTCTTACCCAGCTACAAAGCGCACAGTTGCACACACTGGCTGCGTATTCTGCCAAAGAAAATCTCACCATCACAGGCTCAACTCTAGCACCATTCCTGATTCCCAGAGTATCTGGCACAGACAATAACAAGAAAGTACAGCAGTTTATTATCCAAACGTTCACTGATTTAGGTTGGCATATAGAGCAAGATAAATTCACTGATGATACTCCTTATGGCAAAAAAGAGTTCAACAACATCATCGTTACCAAAGACCCTTTGGCCCAAAGTAGGCTTGTACTGGCTGCTCACTTTGACTCCAAGTTCTTCAAGGATTTTGACTTCATTGGAGCTACCGATTCATCAGTCCCTTGCGCGATTCTAGTTGATATTGCCAAGACTACGAACCAACTGTTGCAGAATAAGATCCAATCAAACGATCGTTTCAGTACCCTTCAAATGATCTTTTTTGATGGAGAAGAGGCCTTGGTAGAATGGTCTGAAACAGATTCTATCTATGGAGCTCGACATCTAGCTCGCAAGTGGTCTGAAACGCATATCCTTGCTAAATCTGACCCCATCCAAGACATGCTGAATCAGTTTAGTAATGGAGGAAGCTACTATACAACTCCTATAAATCAAATCGATGCCATGATTCTCTTGGATTTGCTAGGCACTGCGGACATAACTATTCCCAATACCCACCCTGAAACAAGTTGGATCTGGGATCAGCTGGTCGATATTCAGAAAAGATTAGCTCAGGAAAAAATTCTATCACCAGATCTAATCAAACGAATCAATAATCCTCTCGATCAAGGATTTTTTTTACCTGGACTGTCATCATTTTTGACGCCTGAAAGTATCCAGGATGATCATGTTCCGTTTTATCGTCTTGGTGTTCCCATCGTGCATTGCATTCCTGTGCCATTTCCAAAGGTTTGGCATACGAAACATGATGATGCCAATGCAATTTCTGCCGAATCTGTTCATGATTTGGCTTTAATTTTCCGAACTTTGGTAGTGGAGTATTTTGGACTACATGTTCCTGATGTATAGATTCTATGATATCTATTTGCCTTTATATCGGGTCTTTTATTTTTATTAAATCCGAATCAATAACAATGACGTGAAGAAAATAAACCATATTTAATCACAATGCTATTTCAAAAACAAACCAAAATATGCAATTTTATTACGAGTGCATTTCTTACTAGACATTGCACTTCAAAAATTGCAAAGTTGACTTGCTATACATTATCTTTTTATCGATCCAATACTGTGCTATTGTAAGTTGTGCTGATATAATAAATCACCATACATTGTTTAAATTGAAGCATTTGCATCAAGTGTCAAAATATGTGACATACTCTACTCTATACTTTATCGAATTTTTATCACTGCAGTAGACTAATCGTTTGCAATCTATAAAACCTCGAATCCAGATTTATCGAATTCTAAAACTGCAATCGCGCAACATTCAAAATGAAGTTACAAGATGATACAGCGTGCATTGCGACACCTGGGTTTGCTGGGTTTGTTCCGTCAATGAAATATCAGTTTGGTCTTACATACGGCAATGCAACAAGACACATTCTGCACACTGACCCATCGCTCAAAAAAGGCTCTATTCAGCAAGATTATGCTCGACGCGTTCGGGCAGCAAAGGCAGGTACAGCCATATCATCACCACAAGATTCGCAACATATGCATGCTGCAGGTGAAGACACAGATACGCATATTTGGAAAGGACGTAATAAGTACGCTACAGGGGATGATCGGTTTTCGTTTCCACCTGTTCCTGGATATACAGGTATGCTTTATTTTTAATCTTTATTTTAGCTGTGGTCGTAATATGTTTTACCATTTTTGAATAAAGCAGCTATTACTGAGACACAGTGACACCACATTAATGTGATGTCAGACTATCTTATACCAAACAAGACAATCTACTTGATTCTACAAAATAATGCACTAACACTATTCAATACATTAAAATGATACAGGATATATTCCACGATCCCAAGAGTATTTTGGAAAGCCATATGTTGAGACAACAAATGCATCACTTGCCAATTTCCAACGGATGCTCAAATCTAAAAACCAGCTTCCACCTCGTATATTGAATATTAAAGCAGATCGGGAGCGAATGCAAAAAATACAATCATCTAAAATAGGTCCCATCAAAGAAACGCTAGGCACTTTAAAACCTCCCGCGTGGAACATGGGGATTTCCAACTCGAGTAGCTACCAAAACACTCATACCGAAGATATGAGTCCATACAGGCTTCCTGTGAATCATCCCCAAAAGACTTTTATTAGTGGGTACACTGGATTTGTTCCAAGGCTACAGAATCATTTTGGAAAGGTATGCCATGACTTGAATATTACGATAGTAACTATTGGTGTCGTTTTTTGCACAATGACTCGGATCAACTTGATCTAATTAAACTACAAACATTAGTCATATTCCCATAGTGTTCGCAGTGCCATTGATGAATTCACCTACCATCCAGAAAAAAAAAGTCCGTACGCTGCTCCAAACCAATAGAGGCTATAAAAAATAAGAATGCTGTCAAACCCAATTCTATTTCAAGTAAATACCTTGTTTAAGTGTTGGTATAACTGCACTTGAGTCTTTTACAGCCGTATTCGCGTAAAATGGATCACTGAATAAACGTGCCAAAGTGCATAGTAAACTGTCAGTTTCGTAGAATAATTGATGCCAACTTACTGGACAATATTGTTTTTTAAACTGCTAGTTTATTGATATTTTGATTGGTGATTGGCATAAACAATTGTTGTATTACTGAAACATGCAATGTTTGCTTTTTTGAACTAGATTGCAAACATATCCGACAGTTTAGGATACAACAAAAATAAGTTTGAAAACATCAAGATCCAATATCTGGACTGGACTGCAATGCAATGCATCTAGCTTGATATTTGATATTTGATGATCGTACAATGTATGGTTATGCCAATGAGAACAACCTTGGTTTACAACTATAGTGTGATTGTATTATATGATGGATGGTGTGTTTATTGAATTGAAAATGTTGATTAAAGCCAGTTTGTAGTAGAAAAACGCAACAATATTTAAATATTGCAATACAAATCAAGTCACCACAAGATAAATACAAGTTTTCCATTTTACGTGAATACGGCTGTAACTCATCGCTGACCATCTACACTCACAATATCAAACTTTTTGAATGCCTCTCGGCCTCTAGTGCTTACAGCTCCATTTGCACCGCCTGAATTATTTTCCAAATCGACACATAAGCATATAAACACCGTTTCGATTGCAATCGTAAAGGGCTCAATAATAACTGATGCCACCAGATAGGAAAGGATAAACAACAATATAAAAATGGGTGCAAGAGTTGATGTTGGAGTGTTTTTCTGTGTTACAGTGCATACTAGGACTACTCCAGATGATCCTGCTGCAAGTGTAATCAATACTTTTCCAAAAAACATGACGACTCCAGACACGCCGCTTACAACTTTAAGTCTGTGGTTTCAGCAATGTAGCATTTAGCACATTTTCGACAAGAGTTGACATTGATAATACACGTATAGAAAAATTAATGGCAATACAATATTTAGATACTATTTGATATTTAGCAAAATACTACTCAAATATTTCAAAATTTACGTGCCTGATACTGTTTTGCTCGGTAATGCGCACTCCAAGTCTAGCAGATTCGCAAAAAGGGTGGCCAAACAAAGCCATCTATACATAGTATCCATTTGGAAACAACAATTGAATCAGCAGCGTTCTGGTTCGACATGCACGTCAAGTCACATTCTTACCGTGATATATGCCTTTTCGTTAACAGATATCATACATTCGCCGAGCCACCGATACCACCGATCAAAAAATAAATCTTTTGTTTTGGCAACTTCTATTTTTTCTACTTTTGAAAAGGTAGAGGAAATAAACCAATTAACAATATTGATAACTTTGATCAAAGGGATACTGATTGACCCAAACAAAGTAGAGCCAAAATGAGACAAAAAAACTCGAGCGACAGCTGATTTCATAGATTGATGAATCACGTCGGGATCTTCTTTTTGAAGCGTAAAATAGTTTTCACCAATCACGCCTGCAACAGACACTGCACCGACGGCGTGCACCACATTATATAGCCATAGAAACCATACAAATGCATAGCATTGAAAATAGTTGTTGTGTCTGTATTATGTTGTTAAACAGGTTTTATAAGATCTCGTCAGCAAATTTAGGCAATTGAATATCAATACATATAAAGACTTCTTACATCGATGGTACAAACACTCTTCCAGTAGGAACAGTATATGTTGAATTATGAAGCGTGTATGTACGTGTAATTGGCGTTACCACTTTTCCTACCGTTGATAGAAGCGATACAATGAATACTGTGTATAGTCCAAGAAAAATAACAGCACCTGTTTTTGCAAGTGGGATTGTTGATAGAACCTGAAGTTTTCGAAACGAGCTGACCAAGTGAAAATTTAAATAGTATTGTTTATACCATGAGCAAATTAAAGATTAGATGAATACCCATAATTCTACAATTTTGTAAGTTGTATAGCATGTTGAGGTCTACTTACTTGCTAGTTTCAATGATAATCCGGATAGCAAGTGCAATTGTTTTACGGAAAAAAAACGACGAAATAGAAATGGCTACTGAAATGATGAATACAATGCATGTCAATGTAAGCAGCGTAGAAGCAGTATAATAGCCGCCCGCAGCTGAGATAGTAGAACTAAGTGGAGACAGTCCATAGTACTGCAGTGAAATATACATGTATAACAAAAATCCCGATCCACCCCATGCCACTAGTAACACTAGCCACAGTGTAGCCCACACGATGAACCTGCTCATGATCACAAGCAAGAAAATCCACGAGTATGATAGAACCAGCGTGATGCTCATAGATCTGAATTTATATAGTATTGGTGAAATTTACAAGTTAAGCTAAAATGAATCATCTACTTTGAGTATTTTCCACAAACTTGAACGATTACTTTTAATCACATACACTATAAGAATCCACCAATCCAAAGCGATTTGCTGGAAAAGCATTGCAGCAAAAGTATCGTGGTTAAAATCTACCACTAAATTGGAAGCCCATAAAGTCACTGCGGTAGTATTGGTCAAGGCAATATCTTTTGAAATGCTATTAAATAACACATTGGGTACGCATCGATTAAAAACTACACGAAAATAGCATTAAACTGATTAGCATTCAAATATACGTATATGCATTGCTTGATATTTTAAAATTACCTGGAGTGCTAGCATGTGTCAGTGTACAATTCCCAGCAGCCACAAGTGCTTGACGAACTGAGGTTGAAGCAGTATCTGGTGGGTCCATTCCATATTGGCAAATCAGTGAACTAAAAGAATCAGTTAAATCAGGACATGATGAAATACATCGACGAAATGAGTTTGTGGAACTCAGATTGTAGTAGGCGATATATGGTTGGCCAGATAAATCGCGTGACGAATCGACCTCGCCAGCAGATGTTCCACACAAACTTCCTTCGGAATCTCGTTCATAAAGTAGTCTATTCAAATAAACAGTTTAATTGAAATTTAGTTAAAGTTTTAATGTACACATGGGTCATTTAATTCACTGTAGACCTCAATACTTGAAAATATAGCACCCATATTTCCAAAATCTTGTTAAAATAACTAGAATCACACCTTTGATAATAACCGCGCGTAAATGCCATATAACTTATAGTTGCCATTCCGCCTGTTGCGCATAAAAAAAGCAGCAGCCATATTGCATCATTGCAGTACTTTCGCTTTTTTACAGGAATTTGAACATGGATCCCAATAGATTCCCTTACTGACGATTTTCTTGGGAGAAGTGCTGTTGCAGAGGCTGGCGATTTAGTATCTGGAGACAAATACGCGGATTGGGGAGATGCTGATGCCAGTGGTTGGATATAGGAGGATCGTCGGTCATTAACATTCACTTGTAGATCTGGGCGGATAAGAGTAGATCGACGCTCTTGATTACGTTGAGATGGAGTGCGAGTGATGGTTATACTGGGTGGTTGAAGGTGTTCTCGTGTATTTTGAGACTGTGGGTTTAGTCTAGACATTGAGATATGTGTTAATGTTGGAAAAGACTTGGCTGACCGTTTTTCAAAAAAGTTTATTCAATGCTTTTGTTTTGGTCGAATGTAGAATTTAAATCACTGAGATAATAAAGACTAATTGAAATACATTGATAAAGCACCAAGCGCCTTAAATCTCATGCTTGGTCATTTGAATATATGCTATATACAACTTTGCTAATTGGCTACACCTTCTCGGTCATAGGATGACAATTTGATGCAGAACAATAGGCTATCGATACAATGGAAAGTTTATACGAATTATAATTGTATTCGCGTAAAGTGCAACTTTTCTGTATTCATCTTGTGATGACTGCCTCGCCTCGAAATACACAATGGTTAAATATTTGTTGCAACTTGCTACTAGAAATTGGCTGTATTGCTTCTTTGATAGACACTCTCGACTTAATAAATACAATGCTGATTGATATGATGCTCACACAATCAAAAATGTAGTTTTGAATTGAAATTATTCCTTTTTTAGTATAACCATGCATTGTATGATTACCAGTCTAATACTTTATTTCGCGTGAATACGACTGGCGATTGTCGAAATAAAGCATGTCAATTGTAATTGGTGTAGTCAATAGTGCATTCGTCTAGTCAGTCAAATGTTTAACAACGATACACAATAAATGTAGCCCATTTCATGACTCATAATATCCAATGTTGATGCGATAATTTTGCAAGTGATTTGTGTCGATACAAAATGTTTGTGGAATTGCAATTACGACAATTTCACTTTTATCAGATCACGTGCAAGTGGCATTCGGTCAGCAGCCACTTGAATCATATGCGCCACAGTCGGAATCCGCCGCATAAATCAAAACTTGAACCATTTTTATTCAACTTAATCATGACTGCTGGAAAGTTTGCATTCCAATGGAGGCCTTGGGCGAACCTACAGGCTTACTATGCGGCTGTCTGTAAGTTCAGACTTTGAATTGAATCACAATTGAACCGTTCAGTTTAACCAACTCTCATTGTTATACCCAACATCAGTTATTTTAATCGGCTCAGTTATCAGTGCATGGTTTCCCAATCGATTTGTCGCAGGAGCCAACCTGTTTATCAGTCTGCTCATTATTGGCTTGGAGCATCCGTTTCCATACATGGATAAACTTGGATTCGTTTCAAACAACCTGTATCTACGAGCACTCTTGTATGCGGCATGTGTTGTTCCTGGATTGATTCAAGCACCGACACATACTGGAGTGCTATGTCTGTCCTGTGCAGCACTGACATACTTGTGGGCTGCAGTGTGTGGTGAATCGGGAGCTCCTGCTGGAAAAGGCAGTGGGAAAAGCGCTACGTAATTGGACGTTGATCGTCATGCATAATATTGATTGGCTGACTGGATAGTTATTTTTGTATATAGAAACATATGGGTGTATTTAATCCAGTCGGTAGATTCCCAGATGCATTGTTGTTAGTATATCCAGATTCAATGGATTGGTTTTATTTTTTAATGAATTGAATGTATATAGCCATTTCGATCGAGTTGTGATATTACATTTGACCTATTTGGAGTGGATTGCATGGTTTTGTACATGTTCGAATCAAATTTAAAATGTGATTGTTGAACCCATCAGATTCAATCGACTATCGATGCATTGAATAGTCTGCATGTGTTGTACATCATTCGGTTTGGTGCTTTTTGATATTTTGACGTTTTTCATCTCCAAATCTACACAACATGTCCAATTCTCAGAGCATATCCGATGAGCAGTTGGCATTGATTCATGCCAATAAACAAAATGCTTTAAAGCGACTAAGAAGTCAACAAAACAATCAGTTGAATGGATCGATTCCTGTATCTACTCACACCAGGTCTGGTGAGCTTGCACCATCCAGCGCATTGCCAGCTCACACTAGAAAAAAGAAGGCTCTTGACCTGACATATTGTAAGGATAGCTGATATACTAGTATTGAATACTTTTGTGCAAACTGTAATTATGGACCCATGAATGTCATTTGTACTGGAACCTGAGCAATTGTATTATCAATTGGTTGAACTTAGGCGAGTTCAATTTGGGCACTCTGAAGGATACTAAAGGAGGGTTTTTACCCGAACCTCCAGTACCATCAGCAGACAATGAGTTGATGGGAGGTTCAAGCAAAAGCAATACACTGAACGAGACACCAACAAGCATATATGATCACCGTAAGTAGTTGATTATGATTTACAACTCTAGAATAAATTTATATTTGGTATGGACTAACCAGTGACTAACAATTGGGTGTTGAACATGTATATACATTAGAGATTCATCCAGATCCAAAAGAGAACCCACAGTGCAGCAAATGTAAATCAATTGATATAGATTACAACTATGAAAAGCATTTCAAAGAGCTTGTGTGCCGCAAATGCCGTGATGCCTATCCAGATGAATATAGCCTGCTTACCAAAACAGAATGTCGAGAGGACTATTTACTTACAGAAAGTGAGTAGTTTATTTCTACTATGAAATATCTGTTGAATAGCTCAAGATTTGCACCAGAATCGTTAATTAAATGCTTTGATATAGGTGAACTGCGAGATTCGGAAAAGTTACCGAATTGGATCAAAGCAAATCCGCATAAATCGACCTATAGTAACATGTTGTTGTATCTACGAAAGCAAGTTGAAGCATTTGCATGGAGCAAATGGGGATCACCCGAAGCATTGGATGCAGAGTTTGTACGCAGGGATGCAGCAAAGCAAGTGCAAAAAGATAAAAAGTTTAAAAAGAAGCTAGCAGGCAAGTGATTGAACTAGTCAATGTCAAACAATTACTATTAGACTGATCTATGATGGACACACTATTAGAACTGAGGGCCAAGACACGAACAAGTGTATGGGAGAGAAACCGCAAGACAGAGCACGATCACACGTATGGTGAAGAAGTGTACGATGAAGCGAAAGGAATGTAAGTGAATGAATTGTGTTCACAGCCAAACTTTGAATCTAACAAGCGTGACTTAGTTATGTGCGGACATGCTCAGGATGTGCAATGCAATTACAATATGAAGATTTATAAATCACTGCAGTGGCGTGATGGTCAACTTTAACCATTGATTGCCATTCAACCACTTCTGTTATGTCATTCAGACCCGGCGAATACTACAACTCTACCTACAGCAACCACTCCATCAGTACTTCTACCATGAACGACCACACAAAAAGATCACTTCCATCTACTACTACCACGACTAACATCACTTTGGCTGATGCTTACTTGTTACTGGATCTGCCTTATACTGTCAAGCCTTCTGCTCCATTGCCTATTCCTGCCTCTGGCTCAGCCATCACTACTCTAGCTGCCACTTACACTACTGCTGCATCTGCTCCTACCTTCATTGTCACTACTACTTCAAGCACACCTATCGATTATGCCAATGGTCGCAATAGCTACGTCGATGGCACTGCTCTTGGTACCACCACTGCTCCCATTTCACATGGTCTTTCTCTTGCATACTCTCTTCCAGGAGCTTCTACTTGCTCAACAAGCTCCATGGGAGCTTCTCTTCAGCCACAACTTTACTACGGTACTAGTGCTCCCACAGACGATGAAGAGTTGATGTTGGCTGCTCAGGTCTTGGTTCGCACTCAGGCTCTGCGAGTCCCTGCTAATACAAACAGACACAATAATGAAAGCTACAGTAGTAGTTTGACCAGCAGCACCGCCAGTCTAGGCAGTAGTTACGGAAACAACTTTAGTAAAGGTCTTAATCTCAACTCGTCTATGCCAGGGTACAATGCTCCCATCAAAGCTGAACAGCAACAAGAGCACCTTAGCAGATTCAGTTATCACTACACCAACAATCACAATCATCTGTCATCTTACTATGGCTCATCTACTGGTGGGTATAATCAACAGAGCTATCATCAGAGTCATGGACCTATGTCCTCCAGTTTACCAACTACTTCTGTCCCTTCGTTGCACTGGCGAAAGGAAAGTTTCTCTTCGTCCACCACTACTCAACCACCCACATCATTTGTTTGGCCGTCTAGTTCTGATGCTGACGCTACTGGATCCAAGACTGCCCATACTTTTGCCACGCCCAGCCCAACAGGCCCAATTAGTATGGGCCGTAGCAAAAGCAATACTAGCAACACCGCAAAATCCAGAGGGTTTGCTTCCAAAAATAAGGGAAAGCCAAAATTTGCCACTGCCAAATCTGGTATCAAAGGAGGTAAAGGAAGCAATTCCATGCTTATTGATAGTCCACAGGCTGAAGGATCTAGTCATTCTTTTGGGAATTCGTCTTCACCAATCATGGCTAGCTCAACGGCATCCATATCTGTTACTGCCGCTAAAGGACAAACTGCCCGCAGAAAACAACGCAACCCATACGATCGAGATTTATCCATGGGCGATGGCAAACCTCCTCCATCTCACGCTGTAGCCTCGGCATCCCAAAAGTTTAATCCCGGCGCGCCATTTGATGTCGATTCTTTGGCTGAGGGTCATGAAGTAAACAGCGCTACTCCTGTCGCCGTCAAATCCACTCTTTCCTCGTTGCTCAAAATGTCTGCACAGTCACATACAAAATCCGACCAGCTTTCTCTAGGTCCCGACACAGCTGGCTATGCCCTGAATAATGGATCTCCGTATTTGGCTGATGGAATGGACACTGATCAATCCATGGTTTTGGATACTTCTATATCGACTCAAGCATCTACTATCAAACAAGCACCTGCAATCTCTACTGCTAAATCCAAATCAAAACCTGTTAATGCAAGCTCACAAAATCGTGTTTGTAATTATTGCCAGGCTACAACAACTCCAATGTGGCGACACGGCCCTCCTGGCTATCCTGATCTGTGCAACAAATGCGGTGTCAAATGGATGCGCCGCCGTATTTTACAAGACGACGTGATCATGTCATAATCAACCGTCAACAAAGTTACATTACTGTTCAACCATTATCATATTAAAAATAGTGATGCTGGAAGCTGTATCCAGTTGTGCATTAGTATATGTGCTTGCCCAATTTTTATGTTGCCTTTGGGAATTCTTTTGTTATAGTTCATGTCATTTACCCCTCAAGTTTAAATTCATGTCGTTTGACTTTTTGAAATTTTTGTGCATAGTCATGTCCCAGTTCTTTATTGTCTATATGTTCACAAGGTCTTGTCTATTCTTTCACATTTTTAATCTGAGCCTGTTCCCAACATACTTTGCCTTGTATGCACTACCGACTTGTTTATTTATCTGACGATCTTCAAGTCTGATAGCGCACTGTTTCTATGTTTTTGGCTACTTTTATCTGCCTGTACTCTATAAAGTCCGTTTGGCATTTCTTCTTTGATCTCTAAATGCAAATGTGCCATATACTCTGAAGCGACGACAGATATTTATTTTCTATTCTATTTTATTTCCATTTTATCTTTCATAAACACCTAAATATTAAAAACTGATCTATACAATTTTTTAATGCTAGTTTTATCTTGAGTGGGGCTGGTCTTTGTGGATTAGTAGGGAATAGACTGCATGATGCTAACCTAAAGGGCTTGAAACGACCATTCCAAAAGTTTGATTCATGCAGTTCAATGGGGCCACCAACTTGGATTACGACTAGCGACAATCTGACTTGTTAACACGTCCAGTTTATTGAGTGATATGTTGTCCCTTTCGATTCAATATAGGATAACGTCGCTTATTTGACCTGGCTCTAACACGAAAGTTTCGACGCTTTACCCACATGCTCTACGTTGACCTAAAGCAATTGTGCAATGTTACGGATTATTCTTGTTTTTGAAATGCTGCAATAGTCTGTTTGATGCTGTCTGAATGGTTCCAAAACAATGAAATTAGCTTGAAATATAAATAAACGTTTTTTTGCATTCTCATTCTTATTTTCAACTGTGATGGCATCACTTAGCCCCCAGTGCAACGAACTCAAACAAAAATATGATACTTGCTTCAACAAATGGTATGCAGAAAAGTTTCTGGAAGGTGACTACAGACCCTCATGCGATGCTATACTCTTAGAATACCGGAACTGTGTGTGGGTCAGTTGTAACCCTGATTCTAGTTGATGGATGTGAACTACAGCTGTCTTCATTCATATACTCATGGGATAATACTATACTTTACTGATCCATGACTATAGAAAGCCGTCAAGGAAAGAAAACTAGAGTATTTGATTAGGGATGCTAAAGGCCCAGGAGCAGGCTACACACCAGGTTTTGAACCTGCAGCTTCCGAACCCAATAAATAAAAACAATCCAACTTCAGTTTAAACCTTTTAATTATTGACTGTCATGGATTACTATAATCAGGACTGATAATAATTCAGAGTTTCTGCCAACGCTTGGACTAACTTGGATTTAAGAAATCAGTTGTACATGCCAATCTTGGGAAGCTCAAGAGGCTGCAGAGATTGATGCTTGCGACTTGATTCAAACTTTCTAGCCTGTCGATTTCCTTCTGCCTCGATGCTCATTTGTTGCCAGATCTTTCGCATTCTGGATCAATTTTATATACAGCAGGAAAGTTAGTTTTTGTGCTTTGATGTTGCAAAGTCGTTGACAAGGCGTTACCAATTTACCTCTGGACTTGCATTGCGGCAATCTCAACTTTACGCTCCCATCCTTTGAGTTTCTTGTTTAGATCATGCTGTGATGCTTTGACCAATACATAGTCCATCACCTACAATTCCATACAGTCATAGTTTTGCTTTAAAATTAAACTATAGCTTCAAATGATTGTTTTTTGGACATCAGTCTGCATGCGCGCAGCTTGTTGAAACACTTACATCAGGAACCTTGTAGTCATCAAGTTGTTTTAATATCCATCCATTTAATCTCTCGCTTTTGCGCCTATCATTGTCTACCACTTGGGCTTCGCTATTTAATTTTCCAAGCAGATCTTGGCGTTGTTCAATCTCCGATCGCAGTCTTGTCGACTCGGAAGATAGCATTTGAAGTTTTTTTCTATAATAGTTGAGAATTTGCACTGTTTTCCCGGCAGTCATTTTGAGTTTGAGCAGCTCCGAGTTACGCTCGTCAATTTTCTGCAAGTACTGTTTGTTCTCGATTTGGAGTTGGTCAAAATCAATTGCATGCAGTACCTCACCCATCTCTTCTTTTTGTTTCAACTGCAAATGAAGCTTGTTTTTTTGAACTTTTAGCGTAACGTTCTTGAGCCGGACCTTTTCAATCGTTGCATCTTTTCCACGGATCTTGTCTTCAAAGTATCTGATGACTCGTTCAGCCATGACCTTGCCCGTACGTTGATTGACGGCCTGCTGAACAATATCTCTGCGAAACTCGTACATGGCTTTTTTGATTTCCGATACACGGATTTCGACCTCTTCAATTTCAGCCTTGTAATTGTCCATGACTTTGCCCCACTCTTCCTGCTGATGCTGAATCTCGTCTCTAAGTTCTTCCAGCTCTCTTGTAGCAATCTCACTCTTTTGTTCGGATGTGAGGAGCAATGGGCGATCTGCTTCTTTAGCCTTTTCGTTTTTCTTCTTTTTTTCACGACGAGTATCTTTTCCTCGATCTTGAGAGTCTGAATTGTCAATATTTGTTCCTGCACCACCTGTTCGTACTGATCCATTTGCATCCCCTTTATCATCCTCTTTTCCTTGAGGCGTGACGCGACACAAGTAGCTTTCAAACATGATGTTTTCGGCCTCATAAAAATGCATCTTGCGTTCCAGTTCAGTTTGAAGACGCTGCAACTCTATATCAGTGTAGGCTTCAAAATCAATTTCTTCTGTTACTGAGCTTGTCTGGGGTTGTTTTTCTTGTTTATTTTGTTGTATCAAAGGTGCATTGATTAGTGAGTGTGACAGGGGTAAAGGTTGTGGATGACTAAATATGGTTTGCTGCGAATCTGTTGATGGTGAAAGTTGTACTTCTAATGATATGGATGGAGTACTTTCCAAACCAAGTGCTGATTTTTGTAAAGTATCCATCTGTGGATAATATGCGTTCGATATAGAGTCCAAATGTGTAGTGTTTAAAAGTAGCTTTTACAGCCGTATTCACGTAAAATAGTACATTTTTGTATTTATCTCGCAGACTTTATTTCACTTTGGAATAAACAATGGTTGAATATTTGCTACGCTTTTCCACTACAAATTAAATTGGCTTTAATCGACATTTTCAATTCAATAAGCACATCATCCATCATATGATGCACAATCCACCCTACAAACTCAACCTTGTTGTATCTTTAAACTCACAAATACGTTTGTGCTATAGTTTAAAAAACAAAGCTTGTACATTTTAAGAATGCAACTGTTGTTTCCATACCAATCACCAGGGGGAATCTCGGTAAACTTTATTAACGAGTTCAGGGACACGCTATTGTTCAGTCAATCTGACACTCATTTCATGAGACTGCCTATTATTTGTTCAAGCGCGTACAATAGATTTGGCATCGACAGCCGTACCAACCAAAATAACACGTAAAAATGGCATAGTTGACCACGCAGTGGATTTTCACCTTTACTATTTTAAAATATTTTAAAATACTCTAAAATGTATGCGCCAAATGCAGCACCCACTAATGCCAAAAAGTATTTCAAACCAGCTATATTTACCCGCCTTCGTAAATGGTTTCAACGCTTGTTTTCGCCATGCGGTTCCAGTCCCGAACCTGAACCTGAATCTGAACGTGCAGGTAAGATGTAATCTATGCATATTGATAATTTGGACTACAAGCAGATTATCCACTTATTAGTTCTGTACTTTATACGCGTATTTATCTAAATAAATCACCTCGTTCTCATACCCATGATCCAATGTAGTCGTGCCAGTCACTAAGGCTGCTGCACCAAAAACTATCAATGTAGACAAGCTTGAATCGCATCTATCACCCCAAAGTACACTCGTATCACTTGCGCCAAAATGTATCGAACGCCCAAAGAATGATGCTGTTGTAAATTGTCGTAAGTAGATTTTGGTTTACATTATTGACTGAAACCTATAGGGTTTTTAGTCAGAAAATCAGATGTTTGAATCATCAAATTCGAGGTTTCTAAACTGTTTTTTTTACAACAATTTTAAAGCAAAACTCGATTCTCCCAAACCATTAGGTAACAGCAAGCTGCTGATTTAAACTTAATTCGAATGATTTATCATATGATCTGATGTTCTCAGCGTAGCATTTTAGCGTAGCTAAAGCGACTTGTGAATGACTGACAACTAGACCGTTTTATTGTGCTTATTAATCATTCGAATATAGATGATGCAAAAACACGAGAAGACGCGTTGATATTAGATAATGGACACTCAATTCCGCCATTCGTGTTCACTTGGGAAGAACAGTATTTTAGCGTTACTTCCCATATACAACTTGACGGTGCCTATCCTCACCCAATTGTTTGTGAAGTGTCTTACTCAAAGGGTGAAACGATTGTGCTCACTCCGTACAAAAACGATCAACAATGTGTGTGGTATATAATAGACTCGTTTATGCTCCATCAAATACAAGCGGATATCCTAAAAAACCCACCCCAGGTTCCAGAAGGACTTGGACTTGAGTCATACGAGTTTGTCTTGCAGATCTTTTTTAAGGAAAACGACCGCAAAGCGCCTATCAATACTTTAAATATTTGGTTGAATGATGTTAGGACGGCACTGAATATTTACGGGATAATTACAAACAGTTATTTTTCACAATATTGGCTTGATAATTTATCTACATACTCGTTTTAAATTCTTTACTATGAATCAAAATGACCCATAGTAAAGCCTACATGTGATAAGCACAAAAGAACGCGCTTTATTCATTGGGCACAAAAATATGCTATCCCAAAACCTACAATACTGATTAAATAACTCTGCCAATACTTTAGATCAAATATAGATCTATATCTACCAAGCCTATTTAAACTTGGCTGATAATTCAAATAAAATGCTTGTTTTATTCACTAAGCACAATATATTTTAAACTAAATTCTGAAACTGCTTTAAACGAGAATACTCATCGAAATCGGGTCGGCTGCTGAGACCAACGTTGATCAGTGGGATACGTCGAACCATTTAACTGACTGGTGAACTGGCGATCGTCCATCATGCCATGTGGTATATGTTGTGAATGACGGCCCTGTTCTTCACGATACAGAGAGTTTGTAACAGAGCCTGCGGCAGAAGGCGGAGCGGGTGACATGCGATCCTGAATAAAATGCATTGGGGAAGATATATGTGATAGATTATGTCGATCCTAAATAAAATAAAAAGTACACGATATCACTAGTTAATATCGCCTTGATAATGCTTATCTAGCGTCCAAACATAGTCAGCAAAAGGACGTTTTTACATATTTGAGGGCACGTAATAGTCGTTCGTTTTCCATTTCAATTGCTCGCTTTTCGTACAACTCTTCATTCAAACGCTCCTCAATTGCAGCCTGACCCATGCGTGCCTGCTGTAGATTGCGCTCTAAATCCTTCACGTGCTGGTTTTGTGCATCAGAACTCAGTTCACCATAGGACCATTGTCGTGAAAATTGGTTCTTTGTAGATACCGCAACAAGACCTGTTTGATTATAGCCTATTTCCGCCCCATGATATTCATCCAAACTAAAGCTGCCATTTCCTTCCAAAAACGTTTGCCATCGTGCTGCCATTATTCTAAATCAACAACACAAAACATCAACTGCATTAGTAAAACGTGATAATCTAACATGGATCCTTTGAAAATCAACAGTGTTTACTTGATACGATGGACAGCAATAACAGCATTGATACATCGGATCAACTTTCTACGTGGCGTCAAACTCTTTGTAAAGTCCGGCTTGTCCATTATTACGCCCATCCCATGAAGATAGGATAGCGACATTTTTTGACTGGTAAAATGAAAAGGTGTTGAGTATTTCCACTACAGTGATATACATAAAATTCTAACAATGTTACCTTTCGAGTAGATCATCTACTTTAAAAGATAAATATAGCTTTTGATATCTTAGATCTCCTCGCCACAAAACAAGTCGGTTTACCAAAGCTCGCACATACACCAACTCCTGAACAAGCGATCTACATTGTTCGCGCAGCTTTGGAAGATTCAATCTAATTTTGTTTACTTCTAAATCAGGAATATCGATGGCGCCAGGACCAATTGTGTTTATGAGCATCTCACGCAAAATGGCAAGCACTTCGCCATTAGAAATCCTAAGGTTGGATAATTCATGCCTCATACTTTCAATTTCTTCAGCAGCAGCTTGTGAGTTAAGCTGCATAGGCTGACTATGAGTTTCGACTTGTCGCTTAAGTTGCTGATTACGGTTCTTTAAATCTTCAATTTTAAGAGCCAATCGCTTTGCACGTTCACGTTCAAATTTGATTTGTGCGTCGGCTTGGCGTTTGGCCTCTTCCATTTGACTATGATGCTGTTCAGATACAATCGGAGAAACAATATCCTTGTTTTCAAATTGGCTCAGTTGTAGAGTGAGAGAATGTACCTTTGTTTGAGCTTCACGTAGCTGAGCATCGCGCTCAATGAGCCGGGACTCCATGACTTGAGACTGAGCCACGACTCGATGCCAATTCTCGGTTGTTTCTGTATTTCTAGCAATTTGATCTTGTAATCGAGTCTCAAGATCTATTAATCGTGCCTCACGATCACGCAACAGCGTTTCAATCTCATTTTTTTGCTCTTGAAGTGATTTTAATAATCCATTGGTATCCTCAGCACGAAGTTGAGAAGCTAGCTTGGCTGCATCCTGACGAACACGATCAATTTCTTGCTCAAATCCGCGCCGCTCATTAGTCCACAAAACATCTCGATCTGTCAACCGCTGGTCAGCCAACCGAGATTGAACAACAGCATCATTTAGACGCTTTTCAAGATCCCTTCGTTCAGTATCAAATTCTTGCTCCAGCTGAGTAATGCGCATCTCTAGTTCCAGTGACTTGCAATGCCACTTTTCTGCTCGCTCAGTCAAACTCTCAGTAGTCTGTCGGTCTGATTGTAATTTATCTCTACGAGTTAAACGCTCCTGTAAAATAATAACCTCAGCACTCTGAACACGCTCTCTTTCCTCCGTATCAAAAAGACGGCGTTGCAAGCTATCTCTTTCTTCAAACAGCATATGTTCCGTATCATCTAGCTGCTCCTCAACTTTTCGCTTCTGTGCCCGTAGCTCATCTAAAGCAGTATCATATTTTGATCGAAGTTCACCAATGCGAGCATTAAGAAGGTCGCGAGAGTGACGCTGTTCAGCAGCAACAGCACTACGAATCTCTTCATCCGCAATGGCACGCATACGCTGACGCTCCTCCATTAGAATTTGATCACGATCAAGTATTTCCATGTGTTTTTTACGCAGCTCAGTCTCAAGCTGTGCTCGCTCGGATAGCCAAGCATGGCGATGCGACTCGTGATCCTCTTGGGTTCGTTGCAAATGATGAGTTCCAGGAACCTGTTTGTATGTATCCTCCATCGATCGGTATCGGTCGGAAAAATAGGCAGCTTCCTGTGATGCACGAGCTGCATCTGCCAAAGCTTTGGCAAGTGCAAACTCAGAGTCCTTGAGTTTTGTCTCTAGAAGCTGTGAATGTAGATTCAAATGCTGAAGACGTGAGTCCAAATCAGCAACAACATCCTTATGCACTTGATCCATTTTTTTAATGTTAGCCTCACAGTCTCGAATATGAAACTCGGCGTCACGCACTTTGATTTCGACTTGGCGAAGATTGGATTCGGCTTCTAACAGCATAGCCTCTTTTTCAGCCAATCTTTGTTTAAAAAAGTCGCTATCACGAACTGAATCTGTCGAGTGCGATTGCTGACGAGACTTTAGGCGAGCAAGTTCTGAAACAAGACGGTCACGCTCAGCTTCAAGCGACCCCACCAGCTTGTTCAAAGCAGCACGCTCTTTAGTATGAAGTTCATCTTGAACAGCAATCTGATTATGGTGCTCAAAGTACTGCGTATTGAGACGATCCTCAAATTGCTTTTCAATTGACCGAGCATTCAATTCGTGGGTTTTTGCCTCGTGCTGAACCACATCTATATCACGCTGTGCAATTTCACAAACATGAGCCAACTCGTCAAACTCTTCTTTCATAGAAGCTATTTTGCACTGAGATTCTTGTTGATACTGATGTGCATCGGCTTGTGCTTTTGCAATCAAGTTGCGAAGAATAGAGTTTGCTGACAACTCATGCGACCATAGCTTGCGCAGCTCATCAATTTGTCTTTGAAGAAGCTTTAAATCGGGACCATCTGGCGTCTCTGACATACCAGCAAAGCTATTATTCAGTAGCTCTTCAATCGTATTTCGTAATGTCTTGATTTCGCCATCATTTTCTTCAATCAATGCAAGTGCACTTTCCAGTTGATTCATGGATTGATCAACATTACACGCTTTTGCTTCAAGAAGAGCGTGGTCGGCAATGGACACCTGTCGCATACCTGCAGGAATTTTAGGACTTTCATCTTGCATAAGAACCAAAGCAGTACCGTTAGCATCCATTTTGACACCCAACGACCGAACAAGATGTGATAGCTTTTCAACCTCCCTGTTTTTGCTATCCAACTCGTCAAGAGCGGGTTGCAATGCACTCAATAAGTGATCACTCTCTGCAAGTTTTCCTTGTAATTCAGCAACCACCGTTTGTAGTCGAATCACTTCCACGGCCGCGGAAGTATGTTTTGTACCGTGATGCTCAGATCTGGCATCTAACGCAGAGATAAGAGCTTGTTTTTCACTGGTTAGCTGTGCCATCTCAGCACGCAAACTTTGAAGCTCGGCAGATGAAAAATTACCTCGATCATGCATGCCAGTCATTGACAAATTGGTGATTCCATCGGCAAGTGCTTGTTCAGGATTTGTAAAAGGACGAGCTAAAAGCAGTTTGTTTTGAGTGATTGCAAGAACATTCTTGGTGTCCGCAAGCTCGGCCTCGAGTGCCTTGTATCGTAGTTGCTCAGAGGTGTCGGATTGAACACAATTGCTGCGATGCATTTCCAAATCAATTTTATGTTGTTGTAGCAACGAAGCCAATTGTGCATTAACAGCAGCAGTGGCTGCCTGGGCAGTTTCCAACTGGCCATCCTTGCGTAAAAGGATATCGTTCATTTCCTCCAACTTGACAACAACCTCAGACTTGGATTGTTTAGCATCAGCAAGTTTTTTAGTCAAATCATCTATATTCTGCTGTAATTGTTTTGTCTGTATGTCAGCATTGGTCGATTTGTCAATAGACAACAAATTGGCTGCTTTCAACTCGGATAAGCGTAGCTCAGTCTCGCCCAGATTTTTCTTGACGAGATCATACGCATCTTGCACTTTAGTCACGCTGTCTTGAAGCTGAGTGATTTCTTGAACATACTTTTCAACACTTTGCTTCAACAAAGTATTTTCAGCTTCTAATTGCTGGGCCTTGGCTGTTAAAGTAGAAAATTCAGCAACTTGGTCACTTAGGTTTGTATTTAGCTGCCCGATAGCCTCAGAATGCACATGTTTAATAGATAACAGCTCAGACTCGACATCACGATGCTGTTCTTGAGCCATCGCAACGTTGTGTTGAGCTTCCTCTAACAGCATAGTCAATCGTTGTACCTCGTTAGCTTGATATGTCAACTGAGAATATATTTCATCGTAATTGGCATTCAATGATATTTTGTGGTCTTCGTGACTAGCTTTCAATGCATCCATCTCAACGCAATGAGCTTCATGATTGTCATGAAGCTCATGTTTACAATCATATAGTTCCTTTTCAAGTGCAGCATATTGCTCCTGTGCAAGTTGCAACTTTTCATTACTGGCGTGAGCAGCATCTTCCATCAAAGCGATTTTCTCCAAGTAATATGTAACATGAGATTCAAGCTCAGGCACCTTGGCAGACAATTGAGAAAGTTGATATTGAAGGTCAGACACTTCAGCTTTTTTATGCGATTGAGCCTGTTCTAAACTATGCTCCATCTGAACATATTTTTCCTGAACAGCAAACAGCTCGTGATCGCGCTCAGCAAGCGATTTCACAGCATTGAGGTGGTCGAGTTTGCATAGCTCCAATTCCTGTGATAGCTGGCTTATTTCTTTTGAAGAATGATCAATTTCTTCGGTTTTGGTAGCAAGTTGTTGCTCAAGCTCTGAAAATCGGGTAAGCTGAGAATCTGTAGTTTGCAACTGTAGCAGTACTTGTTGATATTCTTGCTGGATTTGCGCGTTGGTTAGCTTGAGCTCATGATAATGTTCTTCCATCTCTCTTGATTTGGTTTGAGATTCTAATAACACGTTCAACTCCTCTTGAAGAGCATTTTTTTCTTGCTGAAGCTCAGCTTGCTCCTGTGTCAACTGCATAATACGTTCTTGCAAAGAATCAAAGTCAAAAGCATTTTTCTCGAGTTGCTGTTGATAGTGTTGCTCAGACTGCTCCATACTAAACCGGAGTTGTCTGCTTTCTTCTTGAAGTTTTTCAAGTTCAATCTGAGTAGCCTTTGAAGCATCCGTACTTTTATGCATGTTTTGAATTTCGTATTCCATCTCGGAGCGCTCAAGTTCAATTTCAGCCATACGCTTGCTCAGATTAGAGTGCTCATGAGCCAATGTAGCAAGTTCATGTGACTGCTCATTGTGAACAGCCATGAGCTGCTCCTTTTCATTTTTAACCTGATCCAATTCCTGAATAATTATATCCATTTCGCTACTACGCTCATTGGAGATATTGGCAAGACGATCCTCAAATTCAATGCGTCGAGACTCCCATTCAGACTTTTCAGTTTCAAAAGTTTGAGCATAAGCCTGCCATTCGTTTACAGCTTGCTGAGCATCTTGTATCTGCAAAGTCAATTCGCTAACGTACTGATCATTTTCAGCACAAGTAATATCTAGTTCGTTCTTTTGAGTTTTAAGAGCATCAAGATCGACATGCAGCTGATCCTGCGATGCACGCATTTCATCAAGTGTGTTGACAAGTGTTTCTTTGTCGGCTTGTAATTGCTGCACTAGCAGCACATGCTCATCCAGTCTCTGCTGAACATCACCAAAAGCACTCTTATCACTTTCAACATTTGCACAAAAATCATTCAAACGAACAATATCCAATTTGGCGGCATCAAGGGACTGCGACAATTGTTGTATCTGCTGAGTAAGCGTGTCACGTTCAGCAATCAATGCCTCTTGACTAGTACAAATAGACTCTATATGTGACCTATGCTCCATATTCTGTTGTTCAAGATTCTGGCTGCGCAAATCAGCGGCTTCAAGTTGAAGTTGCAAATCGTCTCGAATAGCAACTATATTTTCATAATTATGCTTCAGTGCCTCTGCTTCTTGAGAAATATGAGAAGTGCGAGATTCATTATTGGATATTGAAGCTTCTAGTTGCTTAATATTTTCTTTTAGAGAAAGTACATCACGCTCAAATGCTTCTTTTTCAAATTTAATTTGATCATGCGTATGGGCTAGTTCGTCATATCGACTCGACGTCTCCTTAAGCTGTGATTCCATTTTTGAACTTTGGTCTTGAGCCTCGATAAACTTGACATTTACATCACGCAGCTTATCGGTTAAAGACAAAACCTCTAGTTCGGTGGCATGTCGTAAATCTTCAAGGGTCGTTTCAAGGGTATTGTTTTTACTAGTCAAATCCTCGTTAGCGCTGACTAGATCCTCCGTGTTAGAAAAAGACTGTTGAGCTTGCAAAAGTTGAGCAGAAAGATGCTCAATTTTGTGTGTAAGAGCACTTTCATTTTCGTCACGACATGCAAGCTCTTGTGCATGCAGCTCGTTGGTTTCTTCAAGCGATGTTGCTGCATAGTCCTCCCATTGCTGACTGGATGTACGCATAATGTCCAGCTCATTTTCCAAAGTTGCAATTTTATCTTCCAACACTAAAATATACTCTTTCAAACGCTCAACTTCTTCGCTTAGAGCGCTAGATGATTGAGACGCATGTATAGCGTCGTCCAGCTCGCTGCGGGAAGCCAGAGCATCCTTTTGGGCTTGCTCAAGCAAAGCAGCTAATTGATCACGCTCCTGTTTCAATGAACTGAGCTGCATATTTATAGTCTCGATATGTAGAGCAGTGGATTCATTCTCCGATTTACGCTCAATTCCCACCTCGTCCAGCTGATTTGATGTATTGGAATGAGCAGCTTCAAGTTTAGCCAACTCATTTTCAAATTTGACGTTGTTGGATTCAATAATTGACTGGAGCTCATCACAGCGCTCTTCAAAATAGTGCTTTTCATCTTGAAGATAATTAAGCTCGTCCTGCATTTCTACAATTTTTTGAGTCAATTTTTCTGCAAAAACTGTTTGATCTGCCAAACGCACTTCTATATCTGCAAGCTGCGCGTCAGAGGTTTTCTTTTCGTTGATCAAATCAGAGCTATTCGCCAATTCTGTAGCCGACTCTACAACTTTAGACTGAGCAGCACAGAGTTGATCCTGCAGTTGTTGAATTTTATCATCACACTGTACAAGAGTATCAGAATAGTCTGCCTCCATACTAGCAATTTTAGCTTCCAACTCTGTTATTTTTTTCAATGCTTCAGATAGCTGTTCGAAATCGGGGCTGAAATCAGTCAAAACACTAGCGTCCAACGTGTCCAGTGTACTAGTACGCTTTAATAATGCATCGTTTTTGGCTTGCAGCTCTGCCAGTAAAATCTGATACTCGCTGTTACGCTCGGTCAGATTACGCATTGTGTCAACCAGCTGCTCTTGATCATCAATTGACTGTTTGCGAAAAGTTTCTAGTTCAAGACGAGCAGCATTTGCTTTAGATTTAAGATTATCCGACTCAGTTGTAATGGCAATCAACTCATTTTGAAGACTACTCATATCGTAAGCACCAGATGAGGATGCTGATCCAGTGGTTATTGTACATGAAGCAAGATGATCGCGTTCGATAGTTATAGTCTGCAGTTGTGTTTTTAAATCGTCAATTATGACTTTCAAGTCATCAACTTCAGGAGAAAGTAAAGGAAACTCATCCCACCCATCTGTGTCTTGAGCCGACAGGATATCTGGCTGAGTAACTTCAGCAAGTTTAGTCATGGGAGAAAGTTGTATTGTTTTGGAAGATGTAGTCGCTGTGTTGTGTTTCTGTGACAGGCGTTTTAATGTGTCATTTTCGTCACGAACAGATTGCAAATCAGTCTTTAATGTCTCGACTTCCAACTCCAATTCCATAGCACGCGCAAAGGACTCATCCTTATCAATAGCAGTATTGCCATAAGAAGTATTGGTATGCTTTGCATTAGCAATCAATGCATCACGTTCGGCAGAGATGGTAGAAAGTTCACATTGAAGCACCTGAATTTGCTGCTCAAAATCGGCAGTTAGAGTTTGTTTTTCTTCTTGAACCCACTCGATCGTATTTTGTAAATTTTCGATTTTGAGTAAATGCTCTTGCTCCGATGTTGCAGTGGTTTCTACCAGCTGAGACATGTGTTCGGTTAGCATACGATACTGCTCGACGTCAGATGAATCTGCAATTGCATTTGTAGACTCGGTAGTAGTTTTGGAATACAAAGCATCAATCTCTGATTGCAATCGCGAGTTTTCGGCAGATAACTCTTCAATTTTTTCATGAAGTTGTTGTGTCTGTGAAGAAAAGTCGGCACCCGAGTGTGAAAGATCAAGATTCATACCATCAAGTTGGATTTGAAGTAAAGCGCGCTGTTCATTGGCAGCTTCCAGTCTGTCAGAAAAATCTTTTTGTCCAAGCAATGCATCGTGAAGCTGCGCCTGCAATTGCGAAATCTCATCTTTGGCACCGGTAGTTTCATCGAGGCAATTAAAAAATTCCCCAATAATGCCAGACTCTACATTAGTGGATGCTGAGGGATGAACAAGAGTCTTTATGGCTGCAAGTTCCGTTTGTAAACTAGAAATCTGCTGCATAAATCCATCAATGGTTAAAAGAGAGTTGGACTCGACTTCAACAAGACGAGCCTCGACCTGTTTCAGCGCTTCTGTACTTTCGGCCAACAAACTTGTCAGTCTTTCAATCTCTAGTTCAAGTTCTCTGTGACTGTTGGTTTTGTTCAACAAGCAAGTTTCAAGATCAGCAATTTGATCCTTGAGCAAAGTTACATGTTCTTTATGCTTGGTAATAATGTCTTGCAGCTGCACAACTTCTTTAGAACAAGTGTCGAGAGAATCTGAATCAACGTGTGGCATCAGATCAAAATCACCTTTCAACGACTCTACTGTTTCCTCCAGTACGTGTTTGGCGCTTATCAATTCAGTAATCTGAAGATGTGCTTCGTGTGCTCCTTGTTTTAGTGTTTCTGTCATTGACTGATACTCCAATAGCTGATTTTGCAACAACTCTACTTCTGATAAATTATTATCCGGGACCAAAGATGATATGGGCTTATTTACAGAAAGAGCGTTTTCAAGTTGCATCTCAAGCATCTCACGTTGTTGATTCAACATTGCATTATCCTCTTCAAGCAGACGTGTGCGCATACGATTTTCCTCCACCTCGCCATAGTCACGTTCAAATTGCATATCGAGTTCAGCAGATCTAATCTCGGCAGTTTGTAAAGCAGCCTTTAAATTATGGTTATGCCTGCCAAGGGTATTCAGCTCAGTGTCATATTTGCTTCGATACTCGTCTAGCTCGGCCTCAAGCTTCTCAATACGTGATATATACTGACCATGAATTTTTTGAAGCTGCTCTTCTTGTGAATGTAGCTTAATGTTGAGAAAAATTATCCAATGTTAATTTACTGGAGTGTATAAATAGTTGAAAATGCAAGTCATCATTCTTACACGTTGAGATTCATGAATACTGCTTTGGATCGAGTCACGACGACCAGAAACAGAAGCAGATCTAACCAATATATCTTGCTTTGATTTCATTACTGATTGGGTTGATGGAGAATCTGCCCTGATACTTGAAGACCTAGCATTTGAAGTAATCGATAAGCTAAATTTAATCAACAGAAACTTGGTATAATAAATATGTACCTGATAGAATCATTGGCACCGTCATACAAGACAAGTCTGTCAATTTCTGCTAAATTAGGATCAGTTTCCAAGTCGATACCAACCATGGAAGTAGCTGATATTTTTGATTCACATTCAGAATAATTAGATGTAAAATCATGGTCTAGATCCGTTCTCAGCTGAGAACGAGATGTCTGACGACTCAATGACTTGAGTGATACAGTGGATGGTAGATTCATAATTTGACGTCTAGTGTCTGACATTTCAGATGATGATGCTATACTAGATGCAGGCTGCACTTCGATGTCTGAAGTAACCGAATGTGCATCAGTGCGTTTAAGGGATCCATTGCTAGACTTGGACACAAGACCCAGTCCACTCAATGGCTGACCATGAACTGTAGATGACGACGAAATAGCCGAATGAACCGAGTATGCTCCAGGGGCTCGTGAATTCCTGAAGCGCTGTAGCTTCTGTTTAGTGCGTTCCAGCTGTTGCTCTCTGGATTCCATTGTAAAGTTGTTGCTGTGGTTGGGTTAGCCAATGCTTAAGAATTGGATTGACAAGAGTAGACCGTTATGGTCACTGAACCAGACACTAAGATATTAACAGTTGCTGATCCGCAGACAACTTGGTGGTTAGTTCAGATGATCTTGTTGGATAAGAAAGCAAATCGATGGTTTGATGTTTGTAACAAGTCGATTCTTGTACAAAGCACAGCGAACAGGCTTGAATCCATTTGGTATTCAACCAGGAATGTCCAATGCAATCCACAAGATGCTGTATGAATACTAAAATATATGCACAACATACCAAGAATGCAATCAATCTTATATTGACAGATTTGACCACCTTTGCAATGTGTCGGGGAAAGATTTAAACTCTGGCTTTACAAGATTGTTCAATCATTCTCAATTCTTTTATTTGAAATGGTTTCTCTGCTGCTCAACTACGGTGAAAAAGGTCTTTTGAATCCAGTCTAATATTTCAAATATATTTAGTATTCACGACTCAAAATCATACTGTTGGCAGATCTACTGCACTACTTACAGATTGAAGGATGCCCATGGCTGATCGAACTCCAAAATTCACCACATTGCTAACATCCGATACGGCTTTGCCAAATCCGCCTACATCCTTTAAACGTCTATCCAGAAATTTGTAGGTTTGCTCAAACCCTTTTGACTTGTCTGTCGTCATAAACAATTCTAATACATATTGTTCAAGTATTGTATCAGTTGAAAATCAAGTACAAAAATACACATGTCAAGACTAAACTACTCTGCTTACCTGACGAGGTGTAGACTCCTGAAAGAATTAATCGCTTGGTATACCAATTAAGCTATAGAATACCAACATATGAGTTTTTAAAAATTACAATAAAATGCAAATATCAATTTCTCAAACTTGCATCTACAGATCTGTCACCAGCAAGAAACCAAATCTCGTCGACAAGACCACCTAAATCCCTCGCAGTATTGGCCAGATTCTGTGGCTGAGAAAGTAACGCAATGGCCTGTATTGTAAAAAGTATCAATTTGAAATCAGGTTCATCAATATCAATTAGGGGATTTGAATCAATTCAAACTATAATCTAACCTGCGGCCATTTGTGAATATATGGACCAGTCATCATTAAACGAGCAATACATGCTGTTCTTACTCGTGCAGTCACTCCCATCCTACAAATATATCAATCTCAGTATAAACCAAACAACCATGGCATGCAAACAACATTGCCTTTACTCACTGAGATAGATCAACCTGTTCCTTGGCAAGTGCAGGTCCAATCATTTTTGTACGTGACTGGATAAAGTACTCGACTAGTTCAATGGGACCACGAGTAAGTAACCCATGAGTAACATCAGTGTATCCGAGCGATCTTGCTCCTTGGCGGATTGCTTGCAACGTCCATCCATGCTCGGAAACATGTGCCAATGAGGCTTCCAAGAGTCGAGATTGCGGTGTTTGGTCAGCACTAGCAGTATGAATCCATAAGCACATTATCTGATATAAAACAGTATAATCAATTCAAACAAAGCAGACATGCATAAAACAGCTTACTTTTTCTCAACCAACAAGCAAATATCGTACGGAATGGACTCGGATGTGCCTGCTGAATAAGTTCGAGTAATGAAATCTGGTGTCGATAATTGTCCAGTGCGGTTTATGGCTGTAATAGGCCGTAATGCATAGTTGGGTTTAAAAACAGAAACAGTTGTAGATTTTGAGATCATATTAGAAGCTGTAGTGCTTGCAACTCGACCCCAACTCATGGCTGCTAATGAATCGAATTAGTCTGGAAAGTTGACAAAAAGACTGCAGAGGATTTCAAGATAATCTTGCAATTGGCTGTTGAATGTGTCAAAAAAGCTATCGACTGTTTTGCAGTTTCTAATAAAATTTAAGCCTTTTAAATGCACTTTTTCAACTTTGGCAGCAACGTGCCAATCTTTTTACAGTTGGTTCAAGTTCAACTTGAACAGTAATTGTCATTCTATTCCAGAGTTAAACTGCAGTTGCAGTAAAATAAAAATGGGTTTTATTACAATGCAACAAACTAGATTGTTGGCTTTTCTAGTTTATACTAAAAAGTGTTGATAGAAATCACTTGCGACTGTATTCATGTAAATGGCGTACTAAATAAGGTTGCCAATTGGAACAGTCAATCTCGGAAGAAATAAACGAATATTCAATCATTGTTTATTCAAGGCAATCACTGCAAGATAAATACAAATATTACATTTTACGCAAGTGCAACTAAAGATCGCTATTATTTTCGGCTCCATTGACACTCGCTTCTTGCGATTGATTGTCGATAAATTGCTGCCTTCTTGCAGTTAAAATTCGACGGATTATCGTCATACGAGATTGCTGTTGCTTGCGATTATGTGTCCACACTTTGCATTTGGATAACCACCACGCCGTGGCTTTGAGATTCTTGGTAAAAGTGTTGCAAAATAATTCACGCCACTCATCATAGTCCTCGTTGTCCTCAAAAGACGACACTGATTCGGTACTAATACTGGCATTAGAATCAATCTCTGTGCGGTTATCATCGTCACTGGATAGACTTGTCTGTGTACCGATTGTGCTCGTGACAACTACAGATGGTAGCACATTGTCAGTAGAATACATACGATCTGTAAAACTATTGTTTTGATGATATCTATACGTCGTCTCTGTTGCTGATTGCCTAGTAGTACTAGCGGATGTAGTCGGTTCACTGTTTGATAGTAATGTATCCGAGGTAGCATGCTCACAACCAACAGTATATGATCGCAATGACTGATCAATACTTTCAACACACATGTTAAACTCTGTTAAATTGGGTAGACCTTCAAGTAATGTAAATACAATTGGAATCGATGGCTCCGGTAACGTAAACTCCAATGTTTCCAAATAATAACTATATGGGTTAATACTACAGTTCAAGTCGATGGGAGTAGACATCCAAACTAGCGCATCCGGATCAATTTTAAACCCAACAAGCTTTAACGATTTCAAGCATCTGCATTGGGAAAGCATTGAACGTAAAGTGCTGCAGCTCATTTCAAACGCCGACGTGTCTGTTTGTAGCGATTTCTTAGGACTGTTGGTAATTGAAATCCAATTGTCTGCATTGATATCATATACGTCGTTGGTGTGATGCGATTTAAGCATTGGTTTAGTGGAACTCAAGTGTATACTAGATAGTTTTGGAGATTTTGGCGTAATCAAAAGTGCAAGGATTTGGATGATATAGGCGGAATCGTTACCATGACTATGAAGCGATAGACTGTTCAACTGTGCAAGATTCAGCAATTTTTCTTGAGGATATAAGTAGCCATCACAAGGAATGTAATTAAGTTTGAGTTCCTGAAGACCCGGCTGAGAGTCCAAGATGTAGCACACAGCGGGTATGGATGATGGTGCGTAAATAGAAAGATATTTAAGTTGGGTCAGCGATGCAATTGCTTTTACACTGGGAGTCCGAGATTCGTATGCCAAATCAGAGTCTCTGGCGCGTTGTAAATTTGCTGATATCCGAGTACATCGCAAATCCAGATCCACCAAATTTGGCAAGTGTTGACACAATTCTAGCCAAGTAAGACTGGCTAGTTCATTAGTTGATTCTGCTTGTGATGTGCTCCCGGTTTCCTGTCTCGATTCCATATTCATCCCAGCAAATGGCAATGCAGATTCAATTAAACTCGGTGAAATATCATCTAGCTTGAGCGTTACTAATGGAAACTGCAAAATAAAGCGAACATCTGGCATTTGACGTCCGAATCCCAAAAGTGTAAGGTGTTTCAACTTGGGTTTGATGTTTTTGAGTGCATTCACGGCCGCCATATGATTATTGCTAGCCAGTATAGTAGCGTTTATGAATGCAGCTTCATCATATGCCAATCGGCAATGATTTATTTCAAGATTCTCCAAGTTTTCTAAAACTTGCGTTATGCACAACACTAGTGCTTGAGCAATGTTGGTCGTTACTGACAAAACTGGACCAATTTGAATGTTGCATGAAAGGAGATGCAGTAGTGTGATTGTTGGAGGAAGAGCGCACACAAAGTTTGTAATGTTGTCAGATCGGATATTGCAATTGGTTAAAACAAGGCTTTGAAGGTTTGGAGCAGAATTGGACAGAATTGCCATATGCTTTGAAGAGATGGAAACTTCATCAGTAGAAAGATGCAAGTAAACAAGTGCGTTTAGTTTTTGGCAGCCAATCCATCCTCGAAAAAAATCGCGAAATGAAGATGTGTGGAGTGACTTGATTGTGAGTTTAGTGATTGCAGGCTCTTGAGGACACGAAGTACGTAGTATGGATTTGGAAGGATCTTCATCAGATAATGCTGATACATTTTGATTGGATAGCAAAAATGAGTCATCTGAATTATGAGTGATGACAGTTGCATTATCATCGTCGCTACTGTCATCATCGTCGCTAGGAAGTTCAATTTGATTGACATTTGCATGACGAAAACATCGATTTAATTCACTGAAGCGATAAATAGCCCAGAGCAATGGACAGTCAATCTCCAGATATTTCAAGGTGCACGCCAACTGAACAAAAACCATTTCAAGACCATTATCTTTCATGGATAGCATGTGAGGAATGGGCATAGAAAATCCTTCCTGCATCACTAAGCGTTCCAGTTGAGGCGATCGAGATAGTCCATAAATCACTGAGGAGGTGTCAGAGTGTATATAGCGAATAGAGTCATGACCACTAAATGACGACCCCAGACTAACTAAAGCATGCATCATTTCATCTGTGTTATCAATCAACTTTAACTATGTATTCAGAATGATAAACGTGTCAGTCTAACAGTATATGGGCTACCATTAAAAGGCGATTGTGCTAAATGATACACTTACAAAAAGACTCTGTAAGCAATGAAACCTAGACAGTATTTTGTCAAGACCAACGGATGCCATTTTCGGAGTGGCAAGCAAAGTCAAAGAACGACAATCGGCAACAGCAGCAGCCCACGATTTACAGACCAATGCAAGAGCGAGTCTTGAATGAGTTGGGATAAAAGCAAAGATATGACAGAGAAGCTCTTGGCAGAGACAATCCATTTGATTTGAATATATATGCAGTATAATACAAGTAACTAATAGAATAGAAATTAAAGCTTGGGAAAGTTTAAAGCTATTGACAGAGGAGATAAAAACGGGAAAAAAGTATATTTTTGGTTGTATAGAAAACTCCACTTTGATCATGTTTCGAAAGCATTCAGACAGCATCGAACAAGCAGCTGTTGCAGCATTTCAAAAACGGGAGTTATCCGTTTGTAAAGCTGCACGATTGTTTCAGGTTAATGTGCAGACTCAATATAGGTGTGATGCTGAAGATCGTGTCAGAACAAGACAAAATGAGTGAGTACTGTATTGAATCAAGAGAATCAGCAGGTTGTTTAGTAAGCTGACTGAGATCCAGGAAAAACTATTAATAGATGATCATGCCATTCAAATCAACACATAATTTACTGAGATATGCAAAACAACATCAAGAAAGCAACCTAATCCATCACACAAAAGTGCAGTTGAATGAATTTTACGTGAACAATTCCCAAATACATGATCATTGACGGCAATGGTTACTGACAGCTTTTCATTTATTTCCATTATCATCCCTTTTGTCACTAGATTGATTTCAGCGTGTTTCAGAACCTTGTTGGACGCGCTCGACTGTGCCACTTCAAACGAGGCTCCTCAATGCTAGTTGTAGTTTTGATGAGCATACAGCCAAAAAAGCATCAAGTTTCAGCTTGATGGAGTCAAAAAGAACTGGTTATGTTGATTCCTATTTAAGCTGCGGTATTGTATAGACATGCTAGTAATGAGGAACTGATATTCAAGATTGGATTTACCAAGCAAGTAAATGCATAAATCACGTGACCATTGCTGCTGTTTTGCCTACAAAACCCGTCCCGCGACTATCAGCTTTCCTCGACAAATTTAAATTTCGCAGTGTGAAGCAGTGAATTATGAAGTTTGGCACGCAGCTCACCAATGCTCTAAATCCAGAGTGGAAGTTTTACTATCTGTAGGTTACTTGCGATTCTTAGTTTGTTGATACCAGTGGATATACTTATTGCACTGCTGTTGCCGTATCAGCACTTGGTTTATATTATACAATGTTGTCCAGGCTTTTGGTGGTTCATAGCGAGTCACTAGACTAATAGCATCTGAATTCCTTGACAAACCTAACTTGTTCATCTTATCAAATTGGGCTATTTACATATTAACACACAAACATGATTTTGATTTGCCTTGTAGTGACTACGATGAATTAAAACATCTACTCAAGACTGGAACGGCAGATGCACAGTTTTCAGAGAAGCACGAGGCTGTGTTTGTCGAGGCACTTGAGAGAGAGCTTGAGAAGGTGAGTTGGAGTTTTGATGTTTATGCAGTGGTCGCCCTTTTTAATCATGGCATAATTCCTTGAATTGGACAACTGGCTTTTCAGTGACCAAATCCTCAATGCATGGCAAATAGAATGTTTGACAGGCAGATTTGGAAGAGTGCTGCTATGGATTACTAACATGCTGCTTAATTGGAATTACAATTCGCTGTTGAATAGGTAAACTCTTTTTGCCAGATCAAAGCAGATGAACTTAGTCGCCGTGTCCAGCATTGTGAAACATCGGTCGATGCAGTTATCAAGAGTTCCGAAGCTGAAGGCACAGAGATTGATGACGGCCGTTTCCAGCTTGTCGAGGATGAGATCTCGCGTATTACTATCGAGGTGGGCGAGCTATCCAAGTTTGTGCGTTTGAATTACTCTGGATTCCTAAAGGTAATGATTGCCATCACTGTGTACACTGTTTTTTTTCAAACATATTGTGAGTGAGCATTCGGCATTATACGCCTCTGTTACACAATCTATCATGGTAATCTACCATGTTTGCTATAATTTGTCGATACGACAATACTACTGGTCATTTTTTTCGTATACTAGTTATGGAATGGCCTGTAGTTATTTCCTTTCTCAGCCAATTTGATGATGACCGCTATGGCCATGTCACATTGTTGCAAGATGGGTGTGTCCAATCTAGCATTTTTGATTGGCTCTTCATTCAGCGTTGGATCAGTTTACCCGTAACTGCAGAGCTAAGCATCTCAAACAGATCAGCCATCGATTACTATGAAACCAATTGGGGCTTTGCACCTGTTCTATGGTTCTTGCAAATTGGATTGATTGTGGATATTTGTGAATTTGTCTACCCTAAAAAAATTTCAAAACATGCTCCAGTATAGTTTAAAGACTCCGCTGGTTTTGACTGCACGTGGCTTTTTCTGAATTTTGATTGGTTGATGATGACATGTTGAGGGAATGGCGAGGCACTCCCTCGCGTGTTTTCGTCTAACGGCATTGGCCAATTCATATTGTTTCCACATTGATCAAACCACGTTTTGAATTCTTTTGTTGGATTGGCCAAGATGCCGCAATTCTATACTTTGACCCTTGTTTTCGGGTAGATCAGCAACACGATCTGAAATGACTTGGTTTCAATCTTGCGCTTTTTCAAGTACAAATTCTACTCATTATTCTCCAATGCATTCAGATACAAAACTATACTCATGTATACATGATAGCCTGTTGGTTTTTTAATACAGCTGTGTTGCTAATCGTTTTTGAACCAACACATTTTCAATCTTTACAACTAGATTCTCAAAAAGCATGATAAGCATACATCGTATGTTCTCAAGACTATGTTCATGGTTCGTTTAAACGCAAAGCCCTTTTACAAGCAAAACTTTGACAGCATGATTATTCGCCTTTCTGGTATCTACGACACGCTTCGAACTGGCGGCAAAAGTGCAAAGACTGCTCCTCCATCTGGCGCTTCGCAAAGCTATGTTCGTCGCACAACCAAGTATTGGGTGCATCCAGACAATGTCACTGAAGTTAAAATTCACATTCTCAAGAATCTTCCCGTTCTTGTATTTGCTTCCAAGGACAGCAAGGCTGCAGATCCAGCCATTTCTTCAATTTATTTTGATAACGATTCGTTTGATCTATATCTTGGTCGTTTGGAAAAGCATGAGGGTGCTGAAGCTATTCGTCTGCGTTGGTATGGAAACATGGATCAAACCGAGGTTTTTGTTGAGCGCAAGACCCATCGTGAAGACTGGACCGGAGAGACTTCAATAAAGGCTCGATTTTCTATCAAAGAAAAATACGTGAATGCCTACCTCAAGGGTGACTATACTATGGATCGTACCATTGAAAAGATGCGCGTGCGCGGACTCAAGTCTGAAAAGGATCTTGAGGAGCTCCAAGCACTCTCATCTCAGGTGCAGCAAACTGTTGGCGTCAAGGGACTGAAACCCATGGTTCGCACCTTTTACAATCGCACTGCTTTCCAACTGCCTGGAGATGCTCGTGTTCGTATTTCTCTTGATACCGAGCTTACCATGATTCGAGAGGACAACTTTGGTCGTCCTCGTTCTGGTGACAACTGGCGTCGCATGGATGCTGGCACCATTGCCCCCTTTTCTCATTTGCCAGAAGAGGATCTATGTGCTTTTCCCTATGCCGTTTTGGAGGTAAAACTTCAGACTCAGCACGGCACTGAGGCTCCTGCGTGGGTCACAGAGCTGATCAACAGCCATCTTGTTGAAGAGGTTCCCAAATTCTCCAAGTTTATTCACGGTGTGTCTACTCTGCTTGAAAATCGTGTTTCTCTTTTGCCTTTTTGGCTTCCTCAGATGGACAGAGATATTCGCAAGCCTGCTCCAGCTCGGCCTGCCAGTGTCAGCACATTTATTGAAACTCGCCCCAAACGTTCTAAACTTAATCTTAAAAACGGAAGCGATACTTCAGGAGAGGACCGTATTGAAGTTCTTATTGATGAGGGTGGTCCATCCACTTTTGGTTCAAACAACAGGGATCATCAGTGTGATGATGATGATTCTAGAGAAACCTCTCCACTTCTTGGTCGTGGCTCGAGTGCACCACGCAAGCCACAGCCCGCAATCAATTGGTGGACTGGAATGGGCATGGGATCTATTTTCCAAGCTCCTCCATCAGTCACTGCCAATGGCATTCCTACTCAACATTTGCAAAAACGGATTGCGCTTCCTGTGCGTGTAGAGCCCAAGGTGTTTTTTGCCAACGAACGTACTTTTCTTTCATGGCTGCATTTCTGCATTGTTCTTGGTGGCCTTGCACTCGGTCTTCTCAATTTTGGTGATGCAGTGGGCCAGATTTCTGGATTGGTCTTTACTCTTGTGTCGATGATGTTTATGATTTATGCTCTGCTGCTGTTTCAATGGCGTGCACACAAGATTCGTACCCGCGATGCTGGCCCATACGACGACCGTGTTGGCCCCACTGTTCTCGTGTTTTCTCTATTTCTTGCCGTTATCATCAACTTTTATCTCAAGTTTTCCCAGCATTAATTGAAGTTTCCAACACTTTATTTTGTAAAAGACGGATGACGGCAATCTATATTAATTTTACTTTTGATGGTCAACCGTGCCTAGTTGTTTTACTCCTATAACCCCTCATACTTTTCGTATTGTCGCTTTCTGCATTTGAATTTAGATATTCGGATGGTGGCCAGTACGATTCAAACCCATTTATCTTTACCATTGCTCCAGTGTTTATTTGCTTTTCTTTATTTGTTGGCATTAGCATATACTAAAATGTTTGAATACAATACAATAAAATATCGAATATTTTGAGATTGGGCGAGTTGAGAATAAAATGAAATTTTTTGAATCCCGGACACTTTCCCATCAACTGTTACGACAGCCGTTAGTTACTATAACTTATTGTCACCCATCATGAACACTGCTGCTCCAAGCCATACCGTATCATCTAGCAAGCCTACTGTAGCTGATAATTCTGGTGTTACAAAAAGGCAAGTGAATTGCAGTTTCAAGGCATTTGATTCGAGTGACATTGCTACTTGTAGTGTCCGTCTGTAACACTATAGATGAGATGGTCTCAGCTCACCTGCTTTCTTGACTTGTTGCCATATTACCTTTTCTTGTCCTGTAACATTTACTGAAACGACCGTCATTGCCATTGAACTGCGCCTTTTGCTCTGGGTGCTCGTGCTTATTCAATCCTGTGCATGGTGTGGTGGAGAACAGACTGCAAAGCGAGCTCATGTCACTCATGGTAAGTTGTCAAGCTTAGTAATATGAATGCATTCACACTTTTAATCTCTGCAATGTCCGAATCTCAATCTCGTTCAAAGATGGCAAAGATACCTGGCGTATCAGCATTTCCTGAAGCCGATAACCTCATGTCATGGATTGCGACCATCATTGGCCCTCAAGACACACCCTATGTGGGTCTCAAGTTTAAACTGTCAATGAAGTTTCCTCCCACCTATCCCTACACAGCACCCCAAGTCAAATTCGAATCGAATTGTTATCATCCCAATATCGACATGAGTGGAAACATTTGTTTGGATATTCTCAAGGCATGTGTTTATGTATTGAAAGTGAAGACTGGTGTTTTCAAGCTTCCTGATTAGATTTTGCACTGTTTAGGATAAATGGTCGGCCGTGTATAATGTTCAAACAGTGCTGCTGTCGCTGCAGAGTCTGCTGGGAGAGCCAAATAACGATAGTCCATTAAATGCGCAGGCCGCCCAGCTTTGGGGAAATGATGCCGAGTATATTCCACATGTTTTAAGCCACTACAATGCAGGCAATATATAATATATTTCGTTTTTAAACGATGGGCCTGTTGGCTTGAACTATACTTGTTGAGATGTGCAGGTCTGCGTTGGGCAGCACTGATCGAATGGGAGGCTCCAAATCGTTTGGAATGTTTTATCTGCATTAGAAACGCAGCCCATTTAAATCACATTGGAATAAACAACAAAAAATATGATTAAAGTTTTCATTGAAGTAATGTAGAGAATAAAATCAAAAGGGAATCAAATGTGCACCATGACTGGTTCAAAAGCAAAACTGTAGTGGTTGCCAGAGAAATACAGGTTCGGACCCATGGCATTGCTTTACTATTGTGACGAAAGAGGCGATGTGACGGTGGGTTGAATAGCGTCAACATCTCCATTTGTGCCAGCAGATTTGGTAGAAGCAGACGTTACAAAAGGTTCAGATAGCTCAGCAATAGGCGATACGGTAATCGCCGGTTTTACTATGGGAAGACAAGAAGTTTGGGATGTTTTCCCACGCTCCAATAGCAAGGCTACAGCAGTAGGGTTAGATACTGTCGACTCATTTATAGCTCCTTCTGCAGCTGTATCTCGAGGTGAACATAATAGAGTGTTTGACTGCAAAGGAGTGGATGTAGTACGAGCGATGCTCAACAATGGCAAAGAATCCGCGGTTGATACACGAGGATTGTTTGACTGTAATCGCATCGATGGACTAAACAGTTCCCCCAGCGCACGAGGCATCGCCGGAGACTGCTTAACAGTTGGGCTGCCAATCGATTCGACAATCGAAGACTGTTCACCACCAAGCTGGCTTTGCGATCGCGATCTTGTCATGGTTGAGTAGGCAATAGATGCAGCATCCCAGCCTGAGATATGTGATGGTCGTGCGGCCGAGTTTCGACTGCCAGCACTAGTTCGCGCATTCATTCCAGACACTTTACTTTCATCAATATCCATAAGCGTAGAAAACGACGTGCTTTCAGTACTGCTTCCAACAGAGCCAGCAATGGAGGCATTGGCAGCTGCAAGTCTGGAAGATTTGGCATCTGCCTTTGCTTGTGCAAGTGCTCTTAATTTTTCTGGGTCAACATCACCCGTCTGTGACAGCATTAATGAGAATTTGCTCTTGGGATTATCCATCAACACCAGTGGGGTATCAAACTCGACCACTTTACCATGGTGCATAACCATCACTCGATCCATTTGAACAATGACCCTAAACCGACTTGCAAGAACAATGACTGTGCAGTCGGAAAAATTCTCACGAATGACAGATTGAAGCAGCAGCTCAGTCTCCTTATCAACAGAAGTTGTTGGCTCATCGAATACAACAATCGACGTTTTGATGAGAATTGCCCGTGCAATACAAAAAAGCTGCCGTTCAGACAAGTTGAATGTTTTGCCGTTTTCAATAATGGGCGTGTCAAGTTTAGCAGGCATCTCTTGGATCTTGTCACCTAAATGAACATTTTTAAGAGCTTTCCAAATCTCTTCGTCTGTACATTGTTGAAAAGGATCCAAATTCGATCTGATCGTTCCTGTTAGCATGACCGGCTCTTGCGGAATTACAGCGATTCGACTACGCAAATCTGACAAACTTAGATTAGATGTATCTATTCCGTCAATAATCATTTGGCCCTCGGCAGGTTCAGCAATTCGCAGTAGCGACATGAGCAATGTGGTTTTACCCGATCCAGAACGACCCACAATAGCAATTTTCTCCTTGGGAAGAATGTGGAACGAAACGGATTTAAGTACAGCAACACCATATCGATGATACCTCAAAGTAATGTTTTTAAATTCAATCTCGCCATTCATGGGCCATGTGGGGTCAGGTTTAGTCCAAGTTTGTTTCGATCGTTCTTCACGAGGCACATGCTCGCCAAAATAAATTACAGATGAAACACTGCCCACGGACGAATGAAACTCAAACGTCATTTTAATAAACCACGGGACAAATATCAATAGTTGAAGTGCGTTGGAAATAGCCAGGCCCGTTTTGGATGGACTTACAGGGAACAGAATAACAAAGAGTGCTGTAATGTAAATGAATACCGACGAGATAAGATCAATACAGAGCGCCATCAACGTTCTGACAAGCAATACTGAATATAAAGCTTTATGATCTGCATCAATAAGAGTGCGATTAAACAAATCAAATCGCTCTTGTACATTATAGAGTCGAATAGAAAAAAGTCCTTCCAGTGTCATTGAAAGATGAGCAAACATGGGTGACTTGTTGCTTGCTTCCAGTAGCTGAAACTTGCGCTGAACAGACAAACACGTTCGAATTGTAAACCAGCCCAAAACAAAATAAATTGGCAGTGTTGCCCAAAACCATGGCACAACGATAGCTGTTAAAACAATTGTTCCAAGCACAAGAGGGGCAAACGACATGAATTGAAGAGCAGTTTCAGGAAGAAACTCGTCAATCAAAAATAAGTGTTTGGCAAAAAACGAAAGAATATGCCCCAATGGAGTAATATCGTAAAATGCCATGGGTGCTCGTAAGACTGCCTCAATGAGTCGCTCATGTAATGCAACGCTTTTTTGCAAAATCAAACGAGAAAAGGCAAACCCACGCAAAAGAACACTAAATGCAATTAAAGCACAGAGTGCACAATAAAAGTACAGATAATAGCTGCTCGATGAATTAAAGTAGTCGTCTACATAAAATATAATCCATGCATCTGTATAACCAAATATCATTAGCAAGAGTAAAAAATGATACAACAAAAGGTATTTTTGATATTAGATCTACATATATCCAAGTTACATACCACTAAAAAAGCGAACACCATGAACAATAAAAAATCCCGTGATAAGCGTAATTCCAAATGAAAGTCCAGTTTTTTCTTGCAAAAACTGTTTATAGGGTAGCCACCATGTTCGTCCTTGAGCAGTCTCACTCAAGATTCCAGGCTCAAGCGTAGCAACATCAAAATCATGCACAGAATGCACAGTCAGCTGATTGGCTTCAATGGTTCGTGTCACCATATCTTGGTTTGAGAAATTAGCTGGAGGCCGAGATGTATTACCCGTCAAAACGGATAGTTGATTACGCTCAATTAGCTTGGAAATAGTTTGCTCGTTAAGTTGTGAGTTTTGCATAGATCCAGCATTGCGCTCAATCAATTGACGAAGAGTATTTTGACTAGTTGCATCCACATCCTTTTCAGCCGTGATAGGCTGAGCAAGTGCCAGAGGACTACTACGTGGTTTGGTCATAGCCCGTTTACGCATGGCAAAATGCGTAAACGGACCAGCGCCTGGCAAACGAGGCTGCAAAGGACTAATTTGCTTTGCTTCGGGATGTGCCGAAGTCTGTGGATCCAGTCTGATTTCATTCATTCGGTCAAGTAAACCCGTTGGATCGTCCTCTACATGCACATAATCACTAACCCAGGCAGAAAAATTGACATTTTTGCTTTTAAGGTCAAGGTATGTTCCTTGCTCAACAACTTTACCTCCCTTGAGCACAAGGATCAGGTCACATTCTGGTAAAAAGTGTTTCTGTTGAGTAAACATTACAATACACCGATTTTTCGATATCTGATTACGAATGCACTCTTTAAAAAGACGTTTGGCATGATTCTGGTCAAAATCGCTCAAAAAATCTTCCATAAGAACAATACTTGGATTATGATAGATGCAGCGAGCAAGTGAAATACGCTGTCGCTGACTAGGCGATAGATTCAATTCACTCAAAAAGGTTTCATCACCATTAGACAAAAGAAGAAAATCATCCGTCAAGCCAGAGAACCGAATCGCATCAGCATACGTCTTTTCATCTACCTCGAGTCCAAAAAGAATATTGTCTCTTAAAGTAGCATTAATAAGCCAAGGTTCTTGTGGAATGAATCCAAACGTGGAATTATATGATGAAACTGTGCCTTGAGTACGTTTGATTTGGCCCATGATGGCAGCCAAAAGCGATCGACCAGATCCAACATCACCCACAACACCAATAACTTGACTGCGACGCAATGTTAATGATAGGTCTACAATATGAGGATGATCTAGATCACCGTCCCATGTAAAATCAGCGTGTTCAATAGTCATGAGTATGTCAGGATTTTGACTAGCTTCGATAGTACCAGGCAAATCAACTTCGGGAAGTAAAAAAAAGGTTTCTAGTTTTTTTAGAGATATGGTAGCAGCTAAACTCTCGTACAATTCGAATTCAAATTTGGCTTGTTAGCATGCTAATAATTATCAAAACTAGTCAAATCCAACAACACACCTGCAATGCTTCTTTCAGCATTGGGCAAAAAAGCGAGTGGGTACCGCAGTGTATTAAACAGCGACAGCAAAGTAAACGCAACATGTGGTTTGGGAACACCAGACGTTTTGTACATAGTAACAATGCACAGAGCAGTAGAAACAACAGGAGCAATAAATACAACGGTAAAGCTAGAAACTTTGGTCAGCAGGGCCTTGCGCATTTCAAGAATCTCCATTTCTCGCATCTGAGTTACTTTCTTTCGGTAGTATCGCTCCCATGCATAGAATTTGATTAGTTTGATTGCGGTAAGAATTTCAGACATGAGATGAACTCGTTGCGTAACAAGCACAGTTGTTCTATAGGACATAGTAGACGAGTATCGAGCAAGTGCGTATTGCAGCGGAAGAAGAACGACTAAAACAAAAACAAGAGTGGGTACAGCGGCAACACCAATCTCGACAATCGCAAGTGCTAGCAAAACAACACATTCTAAAGCAGCAGACCAAAAAAAGTGCCAATTGACACATGCTTCTGCAATACGATTGCACTCGTTGGAGATGAGATTGACTACATCTCCGACACCGCCCTTGACATAACTCAAACGCAGTGATTTTCGGTAAATTAATACCATAAGAGCAGCTCTGCACTGAATGCCAATTCTGGTATTCTGAAGGGTAAGCTGGTGGAAACAGAGCGATGCAAAAACCGCGCAGACAAATAAACCAGCAGTGTGTATATATGCATGATGAACAGGCCATGGCGAGGCCGTTTCTCTGGCTTCTTGGTACATTAAAATCCATTGAAGAAGCCAAAATGAACCTGCCCAGGTGAATCCAGCCCAACAAATTTTCCATAGGGCTAATGGGATATAAATTTTTCCAAATGCTTTAAAAAGTGCTCTCAGCAGTGATGCCTTTCTGTAAAATCCAAACAGATTGATGTTAGATATATCAATATTTTTGAAAAATAGTATGTATCAAGTCAAGCATGTGAATAAAAGACTGATAAGCATATGCAAAGACAGACTTGAACCTGAATTACAGATAAAGGGATGTTTACAGTATGCAATTTGAGAAACAATCAAATAAATGATTTTTAGACCATACTTTAATGGACACAGTGTCCATTAAAGTAATCAATGTGTAGTAGGAAACCAAACACTCATTGTATGTTCCAAAACAATGAATGCAAGATAGTGTTGTATTTTACGTGAATATGGCTGTAATACAGCAAGGGATAATGCATGCATGATACAACTCAACTCGTTGGATTGATTCACTTCAGCATTCCAGATTGATTCAAGCTTGTCTCCAGTAGCTTTGGCAGTCTCGGACTCATTCAGACTAAAGTTGATGTTTCTGATATCCGACACTCGACGACACAGACGAACCAATCGAAATACCCAAATGAACAAAAGCTGAGAAATGATATTACTAGTAGAAAGACAAAACTTGGGCTTCTTGCGCTTCTTTTTCCTACGACGTAGAAGAGAGCTGGCTCTACGGTCAGTAGTGTTCTCTGGAAGAGGGTCGGACTGTTGCGGGTTGTTTGGGTGCTGGTGGGTATCACTGCTGGCATCACTCGATGCATATCCAGAACTATTCCCACTCTCACTGTTGCGATTGGGAGTGTTTGATGAATTAGAGAGCTCATTATGTGTTTTCTAGAGCATCGTCTGTATCAACACTGTCAACATCCGAGCTGGAATCAGCCATGTCTTGATTGCTCGACTGTCCAGCCATTGCCTTGACAGCAGGAGTTTCCATGTGACGGTTGCAAATGCGATTGACAGTTGTAAGGTTGGTAAAAGAAGCGGAATCAGCAGTTGGCAGTACTAAGCAGACAGTAGTGGAGATGGAATGAGCAGGAGATGGGGTGGATATAACAGCGGTGGTATTGCGATTAGCAAGATCTAGAGCGGGAAGTTGTCTTGGTTGCTGAGTGTCGAAATGGAATTCATCATTGCCATTAATATTCACAAGACGATTGCCAATTGCTGTGTAGCGTAAGGAGGGGAGGGTTAGTGAGGGCTTGTGAATTGACCATTTGTAAGAGGGAGGCCATGGGCAGAATCAATATGGGGAGTTGTCAACATTGCAATGGGTTACCGAGTGCATTCGCTTTTCTCTTGTCAGGAAACTCGTTCGTATTCTCTACTGAAACTGCCACCAGCACTCCACTGGTCGCCATGTGTGAGCAATTGAAAGTCGATGGGAAAGAGTTGCTCGGTAATCGTCAGTGTAGTTGTGACTTACTGCTATCAAACACTCCAACTATTACTACGGGTCGCTCGTTGCTTTATCGGCCATCTACTGCATTCACTCCAATCAAGCATCCCATAAATTGATGCAAGTTTTTAAACCAATAAATCTCCTTGGTTTCTCATAGGAAATGCTCTTTCAAAAACACTTGGGTTTACCGTTTGGACATTTCGCTTTGAAAATGGTCTAGCCCTACTGATTACATCTCCAATGCTCCTACTCAAGACTGTCAATATATCTGTAGATTCACTGTATGGTTGAGCATTCGTCACAATTGCAATGTGTACTAGCTCTTGTGATTTCAAATTACAGCTATATTCACGTAAAGTGGATCACTTGCATTTCCATTTTGCTTTGGAGTAAGCAATATCCGAATATTCGCTTATTTTCCTACTACAGATTGACTGCCTCGACCAATACTCGGTTTGAAATCGCATGCCGCACAAAACTATTTTTATTATGCTAAATTACCAACGGGCGTCGAGAATGGACAATATCGAGCTTTATACCCCCGCAACACTGCTGTTTGTTGAACGGCTGGAAAACCATATTAATCTGTAAATCTGTGGCTTTGTTAATGAGTTTGAAGGGCACAATGTCGACCAGTAAAATTGGCACCAATCATTCCATGAGACTGGCGGTGTATTATATACCTGACATCCTTATTTAGTGTTTCATTTTACGTGAATACGGCGACAAAATCCCGGCATGTCCCTTTTATTTCCCACTCTTGTTATTGATTAGAGTCCAATGCACAACCTTCTTGCAGATTCACTTGTTCGTGTTTGTCACTTGTACTCACTCTACCCCTAGATGTCTTTGGTCTCGTATTTTTTTCTTCATCCAATTTAATGACTTGCCCAAACAAACTACTTCTGTTGCTCAAATTAGTGTGATGTTGCAATGATGTATTAGTGGGGCTCGACCATACATCAACCATGTTGTCTCCAGTATCGTCTGTAGCATTTTCATCGCGACTGTATGTGTCCTTGTTTCGAAGCGATGCACCTCGATACACCGGTGTGGAACCTACATGACAGCTGCTGTTCCATCCTTTTCGTGTTGAGTTAGATGTCTGGTTATTTGGCGGAGTAGATAGGCTACGCACACAATGTTGTCTGAACTTGGATTTTGCGATTACCAATGGCTGTATTATACTCGCGAATGATCGAGGGTTGGACAGGGCCGTAGATGTATAAGATAGATCCATGCTTTTGACTTGAGTACACTTTGGAGACTACAGCAGTCAATACAATCCAAATAAATAAGATTAGATCTATTATAATACATTTACCAAAATGGGTTTGATGTTTAAAATGTAAGCCTACTTCTGATCTGGATCTTTGACGAGATGGCTGAGCAGTTGATATATGCAGTCGAGACGTGTCATTATTTTCCATAGTATATTGTATAGGTTGAACCGAAAAACTTCTGGGTCGAGCATCACTAGAAGGCATTTGAGCAGAAAGCGCTTTCTCTACAGTAATATGGCATTTTGTATTGTATTCTTCCAATTGAACCAAAAAATCATTCGCTTTTTCAAATAGATTTGCATACTCGGCAAGCACTTTTGCACTACTAAACACAGGTCGTGGAATAAATGATTTGAATGTCGTTTCTGCCATCAGACGCTGGATAAAAAGTCGATCTAGTTCGCAAATAGCGGCTGTAGAATTATTGGACAAAAAATCAAAGCTTTTGGTTGAAGGTCGATTCATAACCATCGAATCTGTATAATACTGACTCGGATTGATCGCGTCTTGCTTTTCAATAGCTATGGTAGGAGCGTTAGTAGAGTTATTGATGGAGAGTATATCATGGTTTTTTGTTTCAATGTCCACTTGTTGTGGTTGAAAAGGCTCGGCTGGTTTGGGCTCTTGTGCAACCATCTTTGTCCATTTATTTTCACTCCAGCCATTTGTTGATTGAGCTCCAATCACTTTGGCAGATCTTAGCTCGCTACCCATATATCTATTACCTTCACTTGAATTAGCGACGGATTTAGAGCGCATGGAAATAGAATTTCGTTCATGTAGTTGAGTCATTGATGAATCTTCAAATGCATAGAATGACAACAACGATATCTCCGACTCGGCGGCAACCATTGCACTCATATCATCTGCAATACTCATCAAAGATACAGAATTATTATTTAATTCCTGGATCTTGTTTTGATCTGTGATGGAATATGCCGAGCTAAAAGGCATTTGTCGAGCCTCGGATGCTCGGCGTGAAATATGTGTTGAGCGAACTTGTGAGCTAAAATCAGTTTCCGACTTTAGAGATTGTATATGTTGACTGAGTGCATTTTTTTGAAAGTTTGGGCTATGCATTTCTACTTGATTTGATAATGTGGGAGTACGAGTGCAGTCTAATGAGTTGGACTGAGATGTATTGGATCTGGAAGATGATACACATGCGTCAGTTGAATCCAACATCAAGCGTGGCATATCCTTTTGCTTGACTGATAAAGCAGAACAGGAGAGTGAATACGGCATCGAAGCATTAGGTTTGATTGGGTATCGTGGTCGAGTTACGTCATCTACAGGAAGTGTGATGCAATCTATTGGTGATATAGGTGACGGTAGTAGGGGAGGTAATGCGACTTGTGTAGATGTGATCGAATCAAACATGCATGTTCCTTGCTGTTCAGTTTTATCCACAATAGATTGTGAATCGGTGTTTACATGGCCTTTGCTATCGAGTTTCTGTGTTTGAACAAGGATGTTTTTTTCTGATTGAACAGGCGATGGCAAACAATATTCTGGTAGTGTAGGAATCGGTGTTCCATCTGGATAAACTGTATGGAATTCTGTGTATTTTATGATTATGTAATATCTTGTCAATATTATTGATAATAGTCAATCATCTCCACATCCCAAACTCATCGCGTTCAAAAATATGAATTAAGCTTTTCATCTTGGCAACAGTAGTGCGTTATTTTGTAAAATGAATATCGCACTCTAGAGCAAATGAATCAATCTTCAGCAAGGTGTGTATATTTGAAGCAGCATACAATACGTACCCCGCAGCTCTGGATACTTTTTGCAGATTTCTAGCTCACGGAGTCGGTTTTCTAGTAAAAGTACTTTGGATTTCAAGTTACTAATCTCTTGAGTAGCAACTAATAAATACTCAATGCATTAGCAACTATTTTAAATTCGAATGCTGTATATAGAAATATATATTACCTTTTATATCAATACGAAGCTGCTCAGACTCGTCGACTCTAGACAATCCGGAATCAGTAAGTGCTTGAAAAGTTTCCATCGGGCCTGTGATATTAACACCACTTTTTAGCTCGTTATGTATATCAAAATGGCAAGCTTCAGGAAAATAATATTTATAATTGTATTCACGTAAAGTGGATCACTTGCATTTCCATTTTGCTTTGGAGTAAGCAATATCTGAATATTCGCTTATTTTCCTACTACAGATTGACTGCCTCGATCAATACTCTGTTTGAAATCGCATGCCGCACAAAACTATTTTTATTATGCTAAATTATCAATGGGCGTCGAGAATGGACAATATCGAGCTTTATACCCCCGCAACACTGCTGTTTGTTGAACGGCTGGCAAACCATATTAATCTGTAAATCTGTGGCTTTGTTAATGAGTTTGAAGGGCACAATGTCGACCAGTAAAATTGGCACCAATCATTCCATGAGACTGGCGGTGTATTATATGCCTGACTCCCTTATTTAGTGTTTCATTTTACGTGAATACGGCGGCAAATCAAAGGTTCCCCAAATGATAGTTTCTAGATGATGAGTATTCAAGACCCAACAGGATTTGCAGATAGCAGACAACGAATGGCAATATTGGCACTGGGATAGGTAAATATGGGCATGCTGCACCTTTTAATAGGACAACGGTATTGGATTATGGCCAATGATGAGTGTAAGCGGAAACTCATAGATTCGCCGCTTCGTCCATTAGCAACACAAAGGCTATACAGCTACAATATAAGCAAAAGATCGCGTGACAAGTCAATCAAACTGTAGGACGAAAATCAAAGCTGTTCAAAGGGAAAGGTCATGTGGGATATGCTGATTGGCTTTGATGGTTGTGGAGTTGCAAAATATTGAACATCATAGACTAATATTGCTGTAGTTTTAAGATGTAGTGGTTAGATATGAGTATCACTACAGACAGGAAAAGGGTTATACGGACTAGTGGTTGATTGATTCTATATCATTCAACTACGGCATAGTTTTGATTTTGAAGCAGCTGGTTGTGAACTAGTTGTAAACTGATTGTAAACTGGTTGAGATTGTGCCGCTAACCCGCATAGAAACACCGAATTTGAGTGGATCCAAAAAGTACATTTCGATTGGACAATTGCAACCACCAAGTCCACCCTTTGTGATAAATTGGGTGCAGACAGTGCATCAACAGTTAAAATTCAAGGGTTTCCTTTACGAAACCAGAATTAAATTTCATCGAATCTATTATCATTACATCAAACTCTTCATTATTCTACTACATCATACTGTCATCGTCTTAATAACTCCTCGGATATTTTATCACAATGGCTAATCCGGCTCCCTTTGACGACCCTACTTCTCCAAATGTTGATACTCACAGAGTACCATTGCCAATGGACTCGACCGCATCCCCAAGTTCTGTGTTAACTGGCATGCCAGCTTCTGGAAATGGCAATCTGAACGAATCTGCCAATGGATCCACTCCCATATTGGGCGGTAGTGTTTTTTCTCCTTCTAGGAATAACAGTATTGGAGCCACGCCCAATACTGCACTCAAAGACTTTGTACTACAGGCTAAAGGCCATACTGTTATTACAAAGGTATTGATCGCAAACAATGGCATGGCTGCTGTCAAAGCCATCCGATCTATTCGTAAATGGTCTTATGAAACTTTTGGAAATGAACGTTTGATTGAGTTCACGGCCATGTGCACTCCCGAAGATCTAAACATGAACGCAGAGTATGTGCGCATGGCTGATCATTACATTGAAGTGCCTGGCGGTACTGCCAACAACAATTACTCGAATGTGCAACTGATTGTTGATGTGGCTGAAAGAACTCATGTTCATGCCGTTTGGGTCGGTTGGGGATTTGCCTCTGAGAATCCTGTGCTTGTGGAGAAACTGGCTTTGTTAAACCCTGCTGTTGTCTTTATTGGCCCTCCTGCCTCTGCAATGAGGTCTTTGGGCGATAAGATTGCTTCAACTATTGTGGCCCAATCTGCAAATGTTCCTTGTGTGCACTGGAGTGGTGATGGCATTACTATCGATACCGAGCAGTCTACAGGCAAAACCGCTTGCGCAACAGTTCCTGAAGACAAATACCATCAGGCCACTACCCACGATGTTAACGAGGGTCTGATGCATGCCAAACGTATTGGATTTCCCGTCATGATCAAGGCAAGTGAGGGTGGTGGTGGAAAAGGAATTCGTTTGGTAGACGACGAGGTTGCATTTGCTTCGTCATTTGTCCAGGTTCAGCGCGAAGTGCCCGGATCTCCCATTTTCATCATGTGCGTAGTGAGCAATGCTCGCCATCTGGAAGTCCAGCTGCTTGCTGACGCCTATGGTAACGCGATTGCTCTTTTTGGTCGTGACTGCTCTGTTCAGCGTCGTCATCAAAAGATTATTGAAGAAGCTCCAATCTCGGTTGCACCACCAGAGATTCTGTCACATATGGAGCGATCTGCTGTCCGGTTGGCTAAACTTGTTGGATACGTCAGCGCTGGCACTGTCGAGTATCTATATGAGCCCCATACCCAAAAATACTATTTCTTAGAACTCAATCCTCGTCTACAGGTAGAGCACCCTACTACAGAAATGGTTTCTGGTGTCAATATTCCGGCTGCCCAGTTGCAGATTGCTATGGGTATCCCGCTCAGTAACATCAAAGATATTCGCATTCTATATGGTCTTACTCCCACTGGCTTATCTGATATTGATTTTGACTTTGAATCTCCAGCATCGTTGCAAATTCAGCGCAAACCATCTCCTCGTGGACATGTTATTGCCACTCGTATCACTGCAGAGAATCCTGATGCTGGATTCAAACCCAACAGTGGAAAGGTGCTTGAACTCAATTTCCGTAGCAACAGCAATGTCTGGGGTTACTTTTCTGTCAATTCTTCTGGAGGTGTGCACGAATACGCTGACTCGCAATTTGGTCATATTTTTTCATATGGTGAGAGCAGAGACGACGCACGCAAAAACCTTATCATGGCACTCAAGGAAATTTCTATTCGTGGTGACTTTCGCACAACTGTCGAGTATCTTATAAAACTGCTCGAAACTGAGGTGTACGTTTCCAACACGTTCACTACCCAATGGCTAGATGCTCGTATTGCCAAGCATGTTGAAATTCAACGACCAGATACAATTCTGACTGCTATTTGTGGTGCAGTGGCCAAGGCATATGGACAGTTTACCAAAAACACTCTCGAGTATCGTACCGCTCTTGAAAAGGGCCAAACACCTCCCACATTACTTCTCAAGACTTCCTTTTCTGTACAGTTTATTCTTGACAATGTGCAGTACAACATGCATGTTGCTTTGACTGGCCCGGAAAACTATGTCGTGACTGTAAACAAGTCATCCGTGGAAGTCCATGCAAAACCACTGGCTGACGGTGGATTACTACTACTACTGGATGATCATAGTCATTTGGTGTACGCCAATGAGGAGTCCCATGTGACGCATCTCTTGGTGGATGCCAAAACATCTCTTTTGGAAAAGGAGAACGACCCAACAAAACTACGCTCTCCATCTCCTGGAAAACTTGTGCGATACTTGGTTGCTGATGGACATCAACTCAAGAGCGGTGATGCCTATGCAGAGATTGAAGTCATGAAAATGTACATGCCTTTATTGGCATCTGAAAGCGGTATTGTCAAGTTCATCAAACCTGCTGGTTCATCTCTTTCGTCTGGTGATATCATTGGTACTCTGGTGTTGGATGACCCTGCTCGTGTTCAGCGTGCAACTGTGTTTGAAGATCCTTTGCCCGTAATTGGTGCCCCAACTGTTGTGGGCGACAAGGTCCACCAGCAATACAAATATGTACGATCGTCTATCGAAGCTATTTTGGATGGTTACGAACCCTCTACTGATGCTGGATTGCTGGTAAAACGTCTTGATACGCTTTTAGCTGACAAGGATCTTCCCCAGCTTGAATTTACTGAAGTTCTTGGCGCTCTCGTTGGACGTATTCCTGCTGGCTTAGGTGATGCTTTGCTTAAAATAGTAAACGAATACCATGCTTCTGGTGACCCGGATGTGTTTCCCGCTGACTCACTTCGTCATTTAATTGATGTTGCCGTAAATGACATGCCTATTGATGAGCGTATCCTCTTTACGGGTATCATTGTTTCAGTTCAGAACGTAATTGATACTTATGCTGGTGGTCTCACTTTGCATGCCAACGCTGTGTTTATGAAGTTACTAGACCGTTACATTTCTGTAGAGTCTATTTTCAATTCTGCTCGTTACGAAACTGCTATTTTGGATTTGCGTGACAAGCACAAGAGCGATCTCATGGTGGTTCAACAGCTTGCACTTGCTTCATCCAAGGCCGACACTCGCTGCGAGATGGTGTTGGAGCTGTTAAATACCGTGCGCAGTGACTGTGAAGAAATCAAGCAGGTTTTTATGCCATATCTTGAATCTCTTGCTGATTTCAAGGGACGTTCTACTGCCAAGGTTTCTCTCAAGGCTCGCGAGTTGCTGATTTATTTCCAGCTTCCCAGTGCCGAGGAGCGTCGTGCCATTATGCTAACTCAACTTCGTGGCGGTATCAAGTCTCGTCGCACTGACGGTATTGCTGGAGATGCTAATCTACAGTTTGATTACTCTGCTTTAACCAAGTTGATCATGGCCCAGCAATCGATTCTTGATGTGCTTCCCAGTTTCTTTTACGATGCAGACGAGGGGATTCGCGCAATTGCCCTGTATACATATGTTTTACATACATACCAGGCATACTCGATTACTTCTATTAAGCAACATCTTGGTGGATCGCCTACTGTTTTTACGTGGGAGTTTGTATTAAGACAGGCTCAGGGAACTTCATCTACTGCTTTAACTCGCATCAGTTCTCTTGGTAGTTTCAGAGATCTACGCTCTCTAAATTATGGATCTGATTTTGCTACTCCTCGTCGTGGTGCTATTTGTGCATTCGAATCTGTGGATCAACTCTGCACTCATTTGCCTCGTATTCTAGCCGAGTATGGTGTATCAAAGTCTACTACAGAAATGGACAATCGAAGCATCTCTGATGTTTGGAACATTGCCATTCGGGATGATTCGGGAAGTTATACTGATAAGGAAATACACGGTATTCTACACACCACTATTGCTAAATGTCATGCTGAGCTTCGTCAAAGTTTTGTTCGTCGTATCACCATCATGGTGGTTCGATTTGGCCAATTTCCTCGCTACTTTACTTTCAAGGCCACTCGAAATTACTTTGAAGATGCCCTGCTTCGTCACATTGAGCCTGCTATGGCCTATCAGCTCGAGTTTGAGAGTTTGCAAAACTTTGATGTAAAACCATGCTTTGTCGATAACCGTCGTTTGCATATTTACTATGGCGTAGGGAAAAAAAACACATCTGATGTACGCTTCTTTATCCGTGCAATCATGTACCCAGGACATATCCTTTCTAACATGCGCACTCACGACTTTTTGGTTTCGGAAGGCAATCGCATTTTGACGGATGTGCTAGATGCTCTGGAGCTTTTATCTGCCACGCATCCTAATACGGACTGCAATCATTTGTTTTTAAACATCATCCCTACTTTCCAGCTTGACCTGGATGAAATGGAGTCTTCTTTACGCAGTTTTGTTGAGCGTCACGGAAAGCGATTGTTTAAATTGCGTGTAACAACTGCCGAAGTAAGATTTTTGCGCAAGATTCCTGGATCCGACATTATTCAACCTGTGCGATTTGTTGTTTCCAGCCACTCTGGATATGTAATGCAAGTGCAGGCATACCAGGAAGTACTGGATGTGACAGGATTTAAAAAACTGGTTTCATTGCTGTCGCCACCTGGACCTATGCATAACCAACCTGTAAGCTCCCCTTACGCTCCCAAGGAAGCTATTCAGCCCAAGCGATACAAGGCACATTTGATGGGTACCACATATGTATATGATTTCCCTGAGCTGTTTCGCCGTACTCTGGAAAAAACATGGCAAAAATATGCTGGGGCTCAAGGTATCAAGCCTCCGACAACCGTCATGTCTGCTACAGAATTGGTCCTTGATGCACAAAACAAGCTAGAGCCTACTTATAGGCCTCCTGGATCTAACACGTGCGGTATGGTTGTGTGGGAGCTTGAGCTACGCACTCCAGAGTATCCCGAAGGCCGTCATATTATTATTATTTCCAACGACATCACATTCAATATTGGTTCATTTGGACCCACTGAAGATCTCGTTTTCTTCAAGGCATCCGAATATGCTCGTAAGCGTGGTATTCCTCGTATCTATATCTCTGCCAACTCTGGTGCACGAATTGGTCTTGCTGAAGAAGTTGCAAGCCGGTTCCAGATTGCTTGGATTGACTCTTCAAATCCAGTCAAAGGATTTGATTATCTCTATTTGTCAGAGTCTGATTACGAGCTATTGAAACGAGATGCAGCATCCAAGCGCCAACCTCCTCCTGTTGAAGTCGAAAAGCTGATTGTTGATGATACTGTACGTTACAAGCTGACTACTGTTATTGGTCAAACCCACGGCATTGGTGTTGAAAATCTGCAAGGATCAGGAATGATTGCTGGTGAGACTTCGCGTGCATACGAAGAAATTTTCACCCTTACGCTCGTTACTTGCAGATCGGTTGGTATTGGCGCGTATCTTGTGCGTCTTGGTCAACGTGTGATTCAAGTCGAGTACACTCCAATTATCCTTACGGGTGTTGGAGCTTTGAACAAGGTTCTTGGACGAGAGGTGTATACCTCAAACCTACAGCTTGGCGGCACTCAGATCATGCATCGTAATGGCATATCTCATCTTGTGGCTGAAAACGAGATGGAGGGTGTCAACGAAATTCTCCGGTGGTTGGAGTATGTTCCCAAACATCGCGACGCTCCTCTTCCTGTTGTTGCACCTTCAGATCCTGTCGATCGCCCAATTGATATTCCTATTCCCTCTGGTGCATATGACCCAAGAACTTTATTATGTGGTACTGAGGATCCTGATAAGGGATGGATGAGCGGATTCTTTGATAAGGAGTCATTTACCGAAACTTTGTCTGGATGGGCTAAAGGTGTTGTTGTTGGTCGTGCACGTCTGGGTGGTATTCCCGTTGGTGTGATTGCAGTTGAAACACGTACTACAGAGCATATTGTGTGGGCCGATCCAGCCGTGGAGTCTTCCCAGGAGCAAACCAACATGGAGGCAGGACAAGTGTGGTATCCCAACTCTGCTTTCAAAACTGCTCAAGCCATCAAAGACTTTAATAATGGCGAGCAACTGCCACTTATGATTTTTGCCAACTGGCGCGGTTTTTCTGGTGGTCAAGGCGACATGTACAAGGAAATTCTCAAATTTGGAGCTTATATTGTCGACTCTTTGCGTACTTACAAACAGCCTGTGTTTATATACCTTATTGGTGAACTGCGTGGCGGTGCATGGGTAGTAGTGGATCCCACGATTAACTCTGACATGATGGAGATGTATGTGTCGGAAGATGCTCGTGGTGGTGTTCTTGAGCCCGAGGGTATTGTTGAGATTAAATTCCGTAAGCCACAGCTCATTGCCGCTATTCAGAGATTGGATGAGCCATTCCGTGACCTCAAGAAACAGTTGGATAAAGCTACTACAAGTGAAGAGCGCACCGCTATTCAACGCAATCTGGATGCACGAGAAAAAGTGCTGCTACCCATTTACCAGCAAGCTGCAGTGCAGTTTGCTGATCTGCATGATAAGCCTTATCGTATGCTTGCCAAACAAGTTGTAAAGCATATTGTGCCATGGCGTGAGTCGCGTGGATTTTACTACTGGCGTCTTATGCGTCGTATTTCGGAAATCAGTGTTGTCAAATCAATCCGTCAAGCTATGGGACCCAATGATGTGTCCTATTCTGATGCTCTGTTCCATCTTAATACGTGGTTTGGTGAATTTTCTGGCAGGTTGAACAATATGATGTCTGGCCAGATAGCTGATAATGCTTTTAGATCTGGCGGAGTTTCTGGCACTGCGCAACCTCACGCTTACTCTGGTACAATGGCTCTAGCTTCGGGTGCCGCAGGCAGTACTCAGGAAGGTCGCGATGTGGACGTTGTCAGGTGGATCCATCAGTCTCGAAACACGATTGATGAGAATATTGCTCGACTGACTATGGAGCGTCAAGCTACGGAAGCCAAGAGACTTGCTGTTGACTCGCCTACTGCTATTCTGGATGCATTTTTGGGTATGGCCTCTGGACTTGATGCGGAAGCTAAACGCAAAGTCATCGAAGCACTCTCAAATAACTGATTTTTTGTGTTTGATTGGGGTGTGGGTTGTCTGTGACACTGCTATTTGAGGCATTATAAAATGAAACATCTTGACATTCATTATTAAAAAGATATTTATACGATTTGCATTAGTACACAAGTTTGGTTTTATGGCCATGTTCACGTAAAATAAACCACAGGATAAACAGTCAATCTCGTCAAGTTTACTAAACAATACCATGTCCTAAACTTTTTGACAAAGCTGGCTGATTTCTTTTTTGGTAATTGGATGAAAACAGCTGCATTTCTCAAATGCGCAAACGTATCTGTGGTATTTTGGGATACAGCAAAGTAGGTTTGTAGAACTTGATTAACAGCATCATAACAGTCAAACTCACTATGTAAATGCAATGAATGCGTATGGGTTTAAAACCGTCGATTGTACATGTATGGTTATGTCAAGTGTGCAGAAAGGGTAGATTCAAGACTGTAGTTTGTGTGCGTCATATGATGGACGTTGTGTTTATTGAATTGAAAATGCCTATTAAAATCAACTTGTATTAGAAAGGCGCAATAAATACCTGACCATTGTTTACTTGAAAACAAAAAGTCGCTGCAGGATAGATACAAAAGTAGTTCATTTTACGTGAACGCGACTGTAAATCCAAATATATAAATTGGACACGTAAAATCATGGTTGCAAAAACTTGACCTTGAACATTTCGAAAATGTCTATTTCTATTCCAACAGCAAATATATCAGTAATAAAAGACTTTTTATACTCTTATGCTCCAGCAGGACTGTCTATATGGTCAGGGTTTGCTAAAGGAATTCGTATTGCTACTCGAGGTAGTTACAAGTATCTTCCAATGACAAATGGGAGTCTTATTCCTCCTACAAAAACTTTGACGAGCTACTATATGGTAAATACGCGGCTTAAAGTGTATTGACTATGATATCCTGTCATATATATGCCAACATCATTAAAGATATACTGGCACTAGAGTTTGTAGAACGCAACTAATCATCCATATCTGTCGTTTTTAAACTCTTTGAAACGTACCACCTTAATTTGACAAACTCTACTGGCTTAATCTAAATACTTGATTGCTTTATTTCAAAATTACTAAAAACATTGGCTACCACTTTAAACTAAACGATTTTTAACGACTAAATTGAATTTTTCATTGCGACTATCCCAATATTTCATTAAACGACACACATCTGCAATATGAACTCTTGTGCTATAGGGCTCTGCCATTCTTGTTGGAATAATTGCTCTTATTTTCATAGCCACCATTGCTATTGCCATCATGCAATGCTGTGCTCTGTGTTGTTGTAAAAAAAGTTTAGCCCGAAAGCGTAACCATCGTGTCTGGTCGCGTCAATCTGCATGGTGGTCTGGGATCTGGTTCACGTTTATCAACCTAGCCTTCATGTAAGTAGTTTGTTCTATAATTGGGCTTTGTAAAAATGAAGCAACATGGGCCAGTTTATAAGCGTTAAACTTTGCTTTTGCCCTGTACATTGCGTTTTGAAAAACTGTACCAGAAAAAGATTCTTACTCGTTGTTTAATGTTGATATACCTAAACTCGACGCGTCTACCTTGTCTTTATATCCCAACACAACACATGTACGCTGCTGGCCCTTCTCGTGTTGCAATTTTTAAAATGTTTTAGTATTTCGGCTATTGCAAGTTTTACTGGGAGCGTGTACCTGTCTACATCTGTAGACTCTGCATCATCTGGAACTCTTGGGACTATCAAAAGTGGTCAGGATATTGTTGCAGGACTGCCTGTTTCAATCAATGCTTCCTTTACTAGTCTTAAAGGAATTGTAAATCAGACCGCGGATTCTGCGCTACATATTATTGATTTTAATTCGCTTCAGACCACAGGTGTTACTCCAAATATGAATGCTCTTGCTAATGGAATTCAGGCTACTCAGGATAACATTACAGCAATGTTAACTCAGGGAGATGCTATTTCAACTACAAAAGTAAACACCTTGTCAATAGCAATTCAAGTAAACACAAGTAGGCTATTTATCTGGTTTCTTTCAACATCAATGTGTACTAAAGCTACTAATACATGTCTTGTATAATTCAAATCTGTGATATTTGAATAGCAACTACAAATGACAGGGCTGACTTGGCGGCTTGGAAAGCAAACCAACAGACATTTAGTGGAAGCGGTGGTGCTACATACGTTTATTCTGGTACTGATCTTAATCAAAATGCCTTTGATGTTGCATCCGCTGCGGCTTTAGGAATGACAACTGGTCTTCAACAAAGTCCTGACGGTTCTTCAACACTAAGTCCGTTGCAAAATCTTGGTCTTAATTCTTATGCCGCTCAGATTCGCGATGTCGTTACCAATCTTCCCATCAACATCAATACTCTTATGATGAATGGTACTAATACATTCAAAGTAAGCGCAATTGGAGCACTCAACGTTGCTCAAAACAGTATTGGTAGCTCTTTAGCTCCTTTCCAGGGATCTGCTGGAAATTCATTGACCAATATTTACAATCAAGTGTCAGGTATATTCACCCAAGTCAGGACATATAATAGCTATCGTCACATTGTAATGGCGGTGCTTTCTGCCATTATCCTGCTTATTCTGGTTGTTGTCAACATTGGAGCAGTCATGAAAAAACCTCGTGTTGTAAAGGGATGCAACTTTACTGCAATTGGTTTCTACGCATTAATTCAATTGCTGGCACTGATTCTATATATTTCTGCCATGCTGATCGGTGATGCATGCAGCCTGACATTTGACTACTCACCACCTCCAATTTCAATCGCGCTGGACCCATTTACTCAAACATCTGTAAACAACGTATTTATTTTGCGCGATCAATGTAAACAAAACCAATCGCTTTTGACTATTGCTACAAATCTTGGATATCTCAATGCTAGCTCCATAAATATGACCAAGATTGCATCTGATCAGCTAGAATCCCTTGATTTTTCTCCAATTGCCAATTCTTGGAATCTTAGCTCATCTATTTCAATTAATCCTTCTCCAACCCAAAAACTGAGCGCATTGACTAGCTTGGATACCACTGGCTTGAATGTCACCACTTTGAACAATATTTCAACGAATGCTCTTCCTGCTCTTAGAAATGCACTTACCAATCTTCGAGATGTGTACAATGTTGCCATTACTACATCAAACGGAAATAGCGGGCTTACATTTTCACCCAGCAGCCAAGCAGCTGCAGTTGTGAATGCTGGATATGCTGATTTTGTAAGCAAACTAACAACACGAAGAGATGCTCTCAATGCATTCCTTGCTGTCAATGGATCTATTGATCAAATGCAAAATTCTATTACGTCTATGATTTCGAGTGTACAAAGCTTAAACACCAGTACTCATAATGCTATTGTAGGTTTACACGTGTTTAATAAGTAAATGTTGATTTGATAAAGTACTTACCTATTTGAATATGTTATTTTTTAAAAATTCAGAATAATGCAAACACCATTCCTGGATACTACAATTCCTCCATATCTAGTCTTGGCTACTTTTCTGGGAATGCCACAAATAATGTACGATTGATTTGATATGAACCTAAACACATATATTTATATTTGAAAATTAACTGCTATATTTTACATTTGATCACCAGCTTACTATAGCAATCCCCCAGATAAAAAATCAAACCATCAGTAGTGTAGGAGGTGTGCAGAATACTTTGTATGCTTCACTAACATGCCAAAGTCTCGCAGAAAACATTTTTGTCATTCAGGATGCTTTGTGTGGTAGATTCATGTGAGTTTTATTACCAAATTCTTTGATTTACTCATGCCAATCATGACCTACTAGTTATTTATGCATTATTACATTGATTTATGCTTGATAGGGGTGGTCTTGATGCCGTTTGGTTTGCATACTATGTGATTGGTGTATTCTCGTTCCTCTCCATTCCAGCATTCATTTACTTTGCCAATGTTATGGGTGCATCAAGACGCCATTCTGGAAGTGTAGACGTTGAAGCAACTTATGGAGCCTCTCCCAAATACAAAAAAGGGCATTCCCAACGACAACCCCAGGTAAAGTTAATTTGTAAATGCAAAAGACTGTATACTATCAATAGAAATGCAACTAATATTGTAATGTCTATTATTTCCAAACAGATTGAGCGTTCTGTTCACATTAATTAGGTTAATCAAAACCATCACTGTTCAATTTTTAAACTCCCTAGTCCGCGTTAATACATTATTTCAAGTCAAATTTATGATATTTTAATCGCTTTAATAGTTTTATTTTCTACACAATGCTAAATTTGACGAGTTGATATATCAAGGTTTTGATTTGTTGATAGCAAATTGTTGAAACTGAATGTACTATCAAAAATAATGTGAGCTATGATGATGATTTACTGCACAAAACAACAAAGCTTCATGTGATACAATGGTCACAATAAATAGTACGTGGCGCGACCAATTTGAGAAATGATAATCGAATAGCTTATTCTGTTTTTTCACAATATATAACGCGCTTTGTGAAATTGTTTTTATAGATCTAAATTTTTCGAACCAAGTATTGGATTAATTTTAAAACACTGTTGGGTCATATTGATCAAAATCAAAAAACTGAACCTCGATTCAAACTAATTGGCTTATATTTAATCTACAAGTTGGTGATTTAAAAGTATTTTCAATAGTTCATTCGATTAATCAGCCAAAAATAAGTATGGACAATTTTCCAATATCGCTTTTCAGTAGAGCGGTAACCAAGGTGTTTTCCTACACACAACCTACTGGAGTTTTGCTCACATGGACCAATCTTGCAAAAGCAATTCGTCTTGCACTACGTACTTCTTATTCTCATGTTCCTGTTCCAAATAACTTTGATATTTCTAAAGTCAGTTATACTTCGTATACTGGATACTACTTGGTGAGTCGAATTTGATTTGATCGCGACTGTCAAGCAAAACCATATGCCGGCTGCGCGAATACTATGTAGCAACACTAATTTACGTAAAACTTTAATCATTGTTGATACGCATAGCCATTTGCTATTCTTGTAGCCTTGCTTATTCTATCTCTAATTTTTACAACACTCACTGTATGCTGTGAGTGCTGTTGCCTTACTTGCTGTCGACGATATGTTGTTCGCAGACGAATTCAAGCCCCCAATGCTGCTCGCCGTATCTGCAATATTGCCAGTTTAGTGATTCTCGTGATTATTATCACGTAAGTTGATTCTTGGCCTTGTAGTTAATTTGTACTGATGGTCAAATTAGTATATAACCCAAACAATAGATTGTTGCATGTGATGATTGCATATTTTAACCTGTATTATTGAATTGAAACTCTTGCATTTTGAATTAAAATCAACAGTGGAGCAGCTATTGGAACGTTTTATGCCGTTGGATTCTTTACTACAACACTCTCTACTTTTAAACAAACGTCATTGGCCAGTCTTAATGACACAAATAACTTGGCTCTTACGATTGTTCCAGTTATTAATCACGTTTTCTCGGATCTTAAAGTCATGGTGAACAGCAGTATTGACAGTGTAGTAGCATCTGTGCATTTTGATGTGCTCAACACAAGTGTTATTCCTGCTCTAATTGGCTTGGCATCTGGATTGGAGTCAACCCAAAACACTATCACAGCTCTTTTGCTTAATTCAACAGTAGTCGATGGAACTCGAAACGCATCCTTGTCAATATCAAACTCAATTGTAACCAGTAAGTGGGTATAGTTGCTTTTATATTAGAATTCACCAGAATTGGTTTTTATCATTGACATTTACCATGCTGGATTGATTAAATGTATCATTTAGCATCAATGAATATCTCGAATCTCTCGACTAATCTTAGCAGTACTGTCCATCCAGTAAATTCATACAGCTGGAGTCTCTCCACGTCTGTTAATAGCGGAAATATTAATACTGCTGCTCAAAATATTTTAAGTGATGCCTCTTCAAGCCCAAGCTCTGGAAGTGTTTTAAACTCGTTAAATAATGTCCCAAACTTGACCACTTATGCATTGGATATCCGAACAACTGCAAATACAGTTCCAAATAACGTTATAAATCTGGTTAATCAAGGATCAACAAGTAAGTGGGATTGACATGCTTTAAATGCACATCAACATTTTAAACAAAAAATGATTTTATAATACAATACTATAGCATTCAAAGGTGCTGCAGGTCCAGGTTTAGAAAATGCACGCGCAAGCATTGTATCTTCCCTTGGCGGTACTGTAGATGGTATTTCTGCTCAAATTCAATGGATATCAACACTTTTGAGCGGATCAATGACAACTGTCACTAAATACAATGGATATGTGTACGATCTTGATTTCATTTTATTTACAATAATGCAAAAACATGTTTGTTTCAAGCACTGACACTGTCTAGTCAACTGTTGAATGGATAATCACGTATTTAGAACAATAGGACTATATGTTATTCTCAGTATCTACTTTCTGATATTTTTGATCATGTCTATTGGAATCTGCTGTAAATCTCCTCGGACAATGAAAGGGTATGCGATCCGTTATTTACTTTGCCCCATCACATTGACTGCACTATTAACTTTAAAACGTGTATTGCATATATTTTCCAGAGCCAATCTTGCTTTTACACCATATTATGTTATCTTGCATATTTTAGCTCTGGTATTTGTAATAGTTGCTGTTCCTTTGGGTGATGGTAAGAGCGCTGAGAATGGCTGTTTTTATAATGTCAAATTTACACTTTAGCCACCTAACATTGATGCAAACCCTGACTCGGTCAATCATGTAATGATAGTATGCACGGTTATGTATGATGGAAGTCCTCCATATATTCAGCAAGTGATGGCAGGTTCTCCTACTGCAGGAATGATCAATGCAGCTCTTGTAGCTGTTCCACTGTGCTACCAAAATCAATCCTTTATTGACGTAGCAGTCAAAGTGGGTTTACTCAATGGATCAATGATAAACGTAACTCAACAAGCTAGCGACAAGATTAATTCGTTTAATTTTTCTGCCGTGACTTCAGGATGGGATATTAGTTCTTCAGTAGACACCTCTAATAACCCCACATCCAAACTTACCAACGTCAATTCAGTTGACCTAAGTGGCTTTAATATTACATCTTTGGATGATGCACGACAAAGTTCAATCCCTGCATTGAAAAACAATTTGGTTTTTCTAGATAACGAATTAGTTGGACTATACAATCAAGCAAGTAGTGCAACTACGGCCAGTGCCATTGGAAGTTATTTGACATTTACTCCCTCAAGCCCTGCTCCATCTGATAGCCAAGCTGTTGCTTGCAACAATGATTTTCTTGTAAAAATCAGTGATATTCGCTCGAATATTCAAAGAATTGTTCAAACTACCGGGTATTTGGATAATTTGAACACAAGTATACTGTTGCTAGAAAATCAGATTGTTTCGCTTAATAGTACCGCTACAACTTTGTTGGTAAGAATAAATGCACCGTTAAGCATGCAAGAGTACTGTTACTAAATCACAAGTCGACTAATCATTGTTGTTGTGTATGTTAGGGCTTTACTCGCAGTCTCCCTCGACTCTACAATTTATCTATTGACTCACTTCAAAATTTTGCTGGAAATGCAACAGCCAATGTAAGAGTTTAATTATTGAATGGCTTGTCAATGAATACACGCGGAGCGTAGTTTTATACTACTCGGTACTAATCTAATATATTGCATTTGTATATTTAAAACAGTTGACTATTGCAATTCCATTAGTCAAAAACAACATGATCAGTTTTGCGGCTGCTGAGCAACAATATGTTACAAGCTCGTTTCCATGTTACTCGGTTGCAGAAGCGTACTACTCTGTGCAGGATGGAATGTGCGGTGGTGTCTTGTAAGCCCCAATACAACCTTGAATATGTAATACCTTTTGACTATCCTCCAAAATATTGACAGTTTATCTATTGTATATTTTAATCATTTTGGTGCAGAACGACATTTGATGCACTGTGGCTCACTTTTTCAATTCTAGCAGTGGGTTCGTTTATATCTATTCCGATTGTGATCTTGACTGCCAACTCGTTATTTCCAGCTAAAACAGGCGGATTGCGTGGGGGGTCGAAAAAAATGGTGGAAGCACCAGCCCCTAAAGGAGTGGAACAAACTCGCGAAATGGAGCAATCTCCATATACAGCTGCACCACCCGATCTGGGTGTGTTTAAACTAGATGAAAGAAATGATAGAATATATCCCAACCCTCAGGTATCACTTGTTGAATTTGTAGGCGGCTAATACTAATGGGTTCATGCTTTTGGTGTGGTGATACTGGTACCAATTAAACCAGCTTGACTAATACTAAACCGATACTTATTCTTTACTATTAACAATATGTAGAATACAACTTTATTACAGCCAATTAGCTTGACTCCGTTCGAGTACAATAGTTTGCACGAAGGTGATCGCGAGCCAGCCAACAGTGACCCGCACATTATTGGGATGATATCTCAGCCAATGGCTAATCTTGCCATATTGTTGAACCAGCCACGAGCGCGCATACCCTCACAAGTATACAGCGAAAATCACCCTCATCATGCCTCACAGGCGTATAGTAGGGATCACTCTAGACAAGCATCCATATCTTCCCCTTATATTGAGCGCCAAAATTCTCAGAGAGCTGCTAGTATAAACCATCAAGGTCCTATAATGTCGTACGATGTTGTTGATGGTAAACTACACATGTGATTATGCCTAGAGATGTCTATAGAAAGTGTTATTCTTGTATCAATTCGAAATGACCGAAATTCTAATGCCTAGTTTGGATAACTATAGAATAATTGAAACTGTCGATGTAATCAATGTGATTATAATTTCTGTCAAAACAGTATTAATACTGGTCTATTATAGTCGTATTTGTGTAAAATAGAACTTTTGTATTTATTTTACAACGGCTACCTCTATTACCTTCAAGTGCTTTGATCTGTAAATAAAGCTCTGTACACACATTTGTTGTATTCTGAATCACGGATACGATCGCAATCTAGTTCAACAACAATGATGACACATGTCAGTAATGCAACTGTTTATCACACACCAACACTGTTATTTAGTGGTCCATTTACGTCAATATGGCTGCAAGTTGTTGTTATATCACATATTATGGACATGGTTTTGGTATTGCACATCCAGTTCCATCACATTGTTGCCGACCCATTATTGTAATGCTGTATGTATCAAACACTGACATGTCACCATAACCATAATCAGTAAAGTGACACTCGAGTTGTTTACTGTGTCACACTGTTACTGTGATCAGTATATGCAACTCAGTGCGACTACACATACTGGATCCAGTCCGTTGATTGTTTCAGTTGATCTTGATCCATTTTTGACATTTTGTCCGATTGACAATACAAATGTGTCAAGCTGAACCCAAACTACACGACTCGACTGTTCATGTCAATTGGATCGTGACTGAGCTACGTGATCATGATGTGGTTCATCAAACTAAATGTCCGGATTCCAATACTGAGTATTCAACTTGGAAACCACCATCTCGATGTTGTCAAACCCGAATATGATTGTATCCATACATGTTCAAACAATCAGTCCATGTTTTTACTGTAATACACGTTGTATATATGTCCACTGCATCATCTCATCACACATCCTGTCATAATTATGATACAAACTAGCTTAATACACGTCCATGAGTCTGTAGTCGATTATTAACAATGCAATGGTCCCAGCTGAATGATCCATATCAAACATGTATAAAAGCAATTGTTGTATACAACATACTCGGTAAACCAGTTTATGTTGATTTTTTGTTGGTATATTATCCAAATCTATTGCATGTCATAAGCAGTTGCATTTGTTGACAAGAGGGTTCAAAACAACAGCCAATGACAATCCATTGCATTCATTGTTGTATAATGTGCACCTACAAACAATATGCAGACATCATGATTCCAAACTTTATTGTTTCAATTTTATGCATATTGATAGCAGTTTGATATTTAATCAAGTTATTGTTGATAATTGGATAGAAATCTTTGAATTTTAACCTCGATCTCGTTTACTTTTGCTTCGAGTTGACTAGCTTCATCACATATATGGATTTTTTTTGCAAGGGATTGAAGGTACAAATCCCTGGCCTTTTTAGAATTTTCTTCCATACAGTTGGAGGTGGCCTTTAATCGCATTTTTTTTGATGAGTCTCTATCACGGATGCACTTATCTAGAGTCTGCGTATGTATAAGTGTTTGTATACGTACGATTTTGTCGAGTTTTTTGCAATTCCGTTTTAGATTTTTGCACTGGGCGACTTTCGCATCGTACCGTTTCAAAAGTGTATTATAGTGCAAAAACAGATTAGCGGCATAAGTATCACTATGAGATTGAAATAATGGGTCTGGGTCTGGAGTTGATGTTGAACCTGATGCTGAGCCTGATGTTGAGCCTGATGTTGATGGTGATGGTTCGAATGTGGGAGCTGGACTTTCAGAAGTTGATACGACTATAGCCGACGACATGGCTGTCAACAGCGAAATTACAAAAATCACAGCTTGTTTCATTGTAAACTATCCAGATGAACAATACAGACGAGCAGCAATTTATTCCGATAGTGTCGAAATACTGGATAGTTTTGGCAGTTTGTTTTGATATTTATACAACATGGATTGATTAAAGGGTCAAAACTAAAGGTTATTTTTACAACTGTACTCGTGTAAGATGGAACATTAATAAGGGAGTTCAAGCACACAATAAGCAATCGATCTCAGTATTTCCGATGCCAGTTTCTACCAAGTCTAAAGGGCAACATTGTGTCTTTCAAAACCCTTACGGCTAGCGACATAGGGATAGTAGGAACAATAGGGACCAAGTGAGAATAAAGTTAAAAAAATACGTAATTGTCACCATCAATGTGGATCAAGTGTTTGATGTGTACATTTCATTCAACCACACAAGAGTATGTTTTTATTGATGTTTATTCAAAGTATCGGTAGATTGTTTAGTGCTGATTTGGATGACAGAATCATTTATTGTTCGTGTCTTGTACACTGCAACCAGTTTGTTGAACTGCAATCCATCTCGATTGAATACATGACATCACTCGGCTGATCTAACGATACTGTTTGGTGATTTTGATTTTGGCATGATTTTTGGCATACCATTTGTAGAATCTGTACATTAACATAAACCAAACAGGCAGTTTACAGTTCCAAACCATGATCAAAGTGGAGGTTTCTATGCAACGTTTGATTGTAATACATTGTTAATAGCTGCAGGATACGACTTTGGTGTACTATTACAATCGTAAGCCTGCTATGGTCATGGTTTACTTTTGAACAAGTTTTATTTAAACGAATGCCAAGACATGAAATGAACTCATGTGAACATGCCATATCCATACGAGCATATGCTGGTGGTGTTACAAGTGTGTTGGTCAACTGTTGTATGACTGTCCCAGTGATGGTGTCAGAACAGTGTTTGTTACCAATGGTACGCTACCAGCAGAAACTCGACTGATCCAACAACCATGTATACACATTGTTGTCAGCTACATCGAGTGTTTGTCCAAATAGGTCGATTCAAACAGGTTGCATATAACCGACCAATCCAGCATTCATCCATTGTCAAACAACCATAATGCACAATACCACCAAGTGTGCAATCACACCTGCACTGATCAGTCGTTGCACAGTATGCATCGGTCAATGTCAAACATATGTGTGTCTGCAACTAAATTGCAGTCCATGACACATCCACACGATCCAACATGTCAAATCATGTATCATGAGTCCGATATTGATCAAAAACATGATCATGGTAAACACAGCATGTTGTTGCATATCAGACTCAATATATCGAGTGACAGTTGCACACTGGCTGATGGTGCACAGCGTATCAGTCACAATACATGCACGGTATTGCATTGCAGTCATTGGATGTCAACCATTTACAATGTGATACCGATCGACATACATCAGCATGGTGTGATGTGACCATGATCATGGTGGAATGTGTTGGAGTTGACAATCGATACACCATGCACATGACTGGAACATATGCATTCGAGTGTGATTTGATTGGTGTCAGGTTGATCATGCAATCACATCGGTGCAACGAGTGAGTGAGCTAATGGTGATCTGAACCCATTTCAACAACAAGGAGTTGACAGTTGTGGATTTGCATGCACTCAATATGTGTAGCACACAGTTGTTGACTGTTGACTGTGTATTCAGGTCAAGTCATCACCAACCGCCAATCAGATCCAGTGCATACATGATCACTACTAGAATGACTGCCAAGAATATTCGTGTCTGAAAGTTGATTGTGAGTTGATGGTTTGCAAGAACCGGACACAACCAACATGCTATTGGATACAGCAACCTGATTATAGTCCAGTCACATGGTGTGATACAGTGGTTCATGCAATACAATATCCAGATATTTGTAGTGTTGAACACGACGAATCTGTTGTTCGTGTAGCATCATATCAATTGGTAATTTGGAATCAAAGTGTTGTGACCACGGAAACTGAGTATGTTGCATTTGACTACACCAAAACTTGTTTGACATTGTTCCATCCATCGTGCAAGTACACCAGATGCCAATTGGAGTGACTGATCAGAATCGGCAAATATCACGATATTGTCGGCATACATGAACCCTCACATTGGTGGTGATTTACACAATACTCATGCAATCACAATCGGTTGATATCATCGTGTGTGTCGTTGATGAACATATTGAACAACAATCCGACAGTGGACATTACAGCCGGACTCCATGTCCAATTGGAAATGGACCAGAAACCAATGATCCAGTCTGAGCACAAGCCGATGAGCATGTGTGCAGCGCTGTTAGCAAGACCAGTGTGCGTGGTATCAATCACATATGCTGCAGTTATCATATCAAGGCACCAACCGTGACAGTGTCGAATGCATTTTGAATGTCAATCAACACAACAATAGTATTGGGCTGCACGCACAACCGTTGTTGAACAATATCAACTAGTGAACCAACCTGCACAACACACTTGTTTGGTTTGAAATCAACCATGCTCAGTAGTGACGAGTTTGTTGAGCACCACGATCCATCAATGTGTGTTTGCAAGACCTTGCATACCAGTTTATGACACATCAATCAGCATAATACCGTGTTTGTCATTTGTATCAATGTGATCGCCGTTATTCTTGTCGATATATGCAATCAGTACAATCGGTACAGTGTATGCAGACTGCCATCAGGTTGCATAGTGGTCGTCAGAATATTGCCTGAACTGTGTGCAGCAGAACGAGCAAATGGATTGGGTGGTTCATCAGGAGTAGCATTCGATGTATATAATGCGACTCGGTAGAATGTGACCAATATCCTGTTGTTTTTCAGGTGTCTGGTGTGGACCAGCTGCTGTATTGCATCAGCTAGTCGATTTCAAGATATATCCGAGTCGAGATCAGTTGCATCGTCACGAATTGGAAACAGTTTGGATGATGGAAGTGAATCACGTATATGCCAGTACTGACATTACTGCAAGTCAAGTAAATGTCCACTATCGTCCATAGCAAGACACAAGTAGTGATTACTCGGTATGTCAAAAATATTATCACTGCTATACTGAATGATACGATTGGCATCACATCACATCGTATAGTGGAATGGAATGAAATGAAATGGAGTGATGGCTGTTGTGTGTGTTGCACCACCAGACATGACTCGAGCTGCTGCAAATGTCATATCAAAACGATCATCAATACTGCCTGGTCAAATGTGTCAGCAAACTTGATCCAGATCATATGTTCATTGGCGCATTCAAGTCGCTGGATTGTTGCATTGTGTTTGTCCCAGCATGCACCTAGTTGGCTGCGACAGAGTTCATTGTGATTGTCACGGATACTTGCTGTAATGTACATCGATATTCCAGTGTTACCATGTCAAGTTGTCCGTTTGATTGAGCGATACAGTCGACGTTTATGTTCCCGAGCAGTATGTGCATGTGCGTGCAGTTGACAGTCATTCACTGTTGCATTGGCAGCATCCAATAACTGAATGCATAGCTCGTGTGTGTCCGTGTATGATCCATCAAACGCTGCATATATTCCACCAATCGTGAACATTGCAATCCGATCATAGGCATATATGCAGAGTTGTGATATGTCAGTTGGATGAGTGGAATGGACTGAATGAGTTGGTGCATGTGTATTAGTGAGGATGCAAGTGTAAATGACACATCGTCAACAACCGCAATGTTCATGTCTACACAAGCAGATTCTACAAGTGTTTGTTCAGTCTCGTCACACACAAAGTGATTGATAGAGTGTCAATGACATGCAGTCCTGCTCACTCGAATGATGTTACTGTCGGAGTATTGCCAACATACTGCATGACAGTCAAACGCAGTATTCATGCGTGTATGATGCGTTGTAATGACATATATTCAGTGTTCCAGTTTGCAAACAGTAGCACTGATGAGTGATCGTCAAACGGAATAACTGCTGACAGGACATGTTGAATGGCAGACAAGACATTTCGCGTTTGATAGTCGCATGCAGCCGAGTGTCCAATGTACACAGCCAACAGTCCAAACACAGTCAGGTGTAAAGTTTGGAATGTTTGCGACAATTATGGTGCCATAAACAGTCATTTTGCAAATCCAAACCATTTGTCAATACCGAATGGTGTCTCGATGTTCGGGAACAGTTGCCGAGTGTTGCAATACATTGAAACCACACACTGTGTGCTTGAAACTGTCCGTTGCAATGCAAGTCTCGGATAATCCACATAGTCGGTTTGGCTGAATATATATCAAAGTAGTGAGTGTTTGCTGGCAATGTTTGACACATTGACTGACAATATTTGACAACAATTAGGAAGTGGTGGAACACACAGTGAGGATGTCGTTGGATGCCTGCGTTGACAGTTTTTGTGTGTGTCAGTTGTTGTATGGATGATTGGTGACAGAGTTGATGGATAGTGTGTGCGGAACATGACTCTGGCACAGTAATGCGGACTCGTGCACCGAGTTGAGTTGTCCAGCAATCGATTTTGGAAATGTGTTTGATGTGATGGTTTGAGATGAATGCCAAATGACCACGAATGTTACCCATTGTCATGACAGTTGATTGTTGATTCAAAACGTTGTTTGTTTGGTATTAATGGTTAGAGTGTCACTCATTGACCTGTCAGATCAGCAAGTGTTATTTCGGTGAGTTTCGTGTTTATTGTAGTCACATCAACATCAGCAGGTTGCACTACGGATTTGCTTGACAGAGTTGCAGATCCAGTTGGATTGATAGACGAGCAACTGTGCAAACAACTGTGCGAGTTGCAGGATGTTTGAGATCCAACAAAACACTGCTTGCACACAAGTTCACGAATGCAGATTGTCAGACTTGACCATCAACTCACAGTATAAATTGCGTGTACGACAGTTTACACGCTTACCCATCAACAATAAACCCGCATAACCAGCAAACCGTCAACGAGCAGACAGCTCAGTGGTCGGGTTGATGTTTTTTGTTGGAGTTTCTGGATCAAATTTGACCTGATTTGTACCGAGTTGGGTCATGACTACAAGTTTGACAGCAATAGATTGATGTACTAATAATCTGATCGTGCTGTTGATTGTATGGATGTTGGTAATCCGTTGCAGATTGATACGGAATGTGACCAGAATACCACAAAGTTTATTGAGTGTGCACATCGCATTCGATGCAAAGCACAATAAACAAATGCGAGTTGCAGCATTCATTCAAGGTTCGACACCAGTCGATACAGCATTGACCGCAATGGCATTTATGTCAACAATTGCACAATTACGGAATAAGTTGATTGTTGCTTGGCATTCCGTATCGACAGTCTGCGTGTGTGTGCAACGTGCTGTTGTCGCATATAAACAACTTGAATTGACTTTGTGGACAAAACACAGTCACTGTTGCGGTGATGTTCACAGTCGTGAAAATGGTTTCGAATACCACAACTGGTATAACAACTACATGTGTTGGTGAGCAACCAGAGTCCAGTTTGACCAAGATCTGTCCCAGTAATGATCGAATGACATTGTCGTGTTTGGTCATCATGACAACAATGTCATTGGTTTGACTCTGCAACTGACCAAATGCGCTAGTCACAGCGTTTCCAATTGAGTTCATATTACTTGTGAGGATCGTGAACATATGACGGCACTGATAGCCGACATTATTGTCAAGTTTGTTACAGTAAATCAAAGACACAAAAGAATGAATCAATATTCGATTACGTCATTTATTAACAAGTGAGTGAGTGTGTTTATAATATGAGAAAACAGTGAAAGAAACCAAGAATACAGAAAAAGGCTATGCGGATCCCAGTTCAAACGTCATTGTTGAGGGTTTTTGATTGTTAAACTATTCAGAAATGTCTACGACCGCAGCCTAAACATACACAGCCCACACATTCACACACTACTAATGTCTCACACAATGCAAGTCAACACTCTCACACTAGTAATGTCTCACATTAATGAGACATTAATTCTGGTGTAAATTTAACTAATTTCCAAATATTTAAATCGTGTGAATTGTCTTGAAATATCCCAAAATTTTGTTATTTTGACTCGATTAAAAAGTCGATTTTTGTTTCACTTGACAAATAACTACGCCTTTTTTCCTTGTCTCCTCACAAAATGTCAAAAAGATATCTTAATGTTGAATACGCTGGAACAAGAACCAGAATCGACATTACTGACTTTGAAGACCTGAGTGACGCTCAGGATGCCATCAAGGCAAAGTATGGCCCTGCTATGGCTGACATTGGTGCTCCTCAACTCCAGCTCTACGACCAACAAGGCCAGCTTATCGCAGACCTAGATGACATAGCAATTGAAAACACTCCTCAGTACTACAAAAAACGTACTCGAGGAGGCTCCTGTGTTGTTATTGGTGTTTTACCTTTACCTCCAAGACAACCTACTCAAACTGACCTAGATTCAGCATCTGCTGCAGCCTCGACCTCTCACTTACCAGCAGAGGAAGGCTCCTCTCACAAACGACAACGTACCGAGCCTGAATCTGAATCTGAGCCCGATAATTTGACAGCCCGACTAAAGTCGTTTGCAAATGCCCAGCTGGTCGATGAATGCATACAGTCGACAGATCATGTCTTTTTCCCATACACCCAAGACAAGATCCAAAAGCTATATGTTAGAGAGTGCTATAAAGATGTGTTTGAATTGCTCTTGAAACACATTAGTCCTAGCATGGAATCATTTGCAATATCTGGGACGCCGGGCATTGGAAAGTCGCTATTCTTTGTCTACATTTTGTACCGCCTGATGGATGACTTTGCCGAGAAAACTCTGTCTCTAAAGCCAAACCGAATTGTTTATCAAATGGGCTCTACGTACAAATGCTTTGACTTGCAACAACAACTCGTCACCAGGACCACGGAGTTTGATGCGGAGGAATTGGTTTGGAAACAAGATACATTCTACGTTATTGATGGACGAACGTCTGAACCGCTCGCTTCGTCTTGTATTGTATTGTTCATTTCATCCCCCCGTTCGGAATGGTACAAGGAATTTGTGAAGCAGAAGATGGCCAAGGAATGGTATTTTCCTGTTTGGACTTTGGACGAGTTACAGACTTGTCGGCTCCATTGCTATCCGGGTTTAAAAATCGAAATGCTTCAAGAAAGGCATCGTATCTGTGGTGGAGTCGCTCGCTTTGTATTTCACAATGATTATTCTATTCCAGTGCCAAAGAAAATGCTAAGTGCTTTGGCTGACGTCAATGCTGCTGTCGGGGTCAAATATGTCGGAGAGACAACAGACATATTTCCAGCATCACATACGCTGCTGCAAATACTGGTGGGAGATGATGAGTTTGGGAATACTTACCAGTTTACCGACTTGGATGTGGCATCAGAGTATGTTGGAGAACAACTCTGGCAACTTCGTTCTTCTCAAATGATTACCAATCTACAGGAAATGTTTGGTGGTGCTCCCAACGAGATTTCCAGGCATTTGTTTGAGATATACGGACATGTGGTTTTTTCTACTGGTAGGAAAACTCTTAAATGCAGATGCCTGGAAGATGGTAAAGCGACAAAGATCACTTTGGATGCTCTCAATAGTCAACGAACTACATTTGGAAAAAATACTATCCCTACTGCTGCAGCACTTAATGGCAACTATTACGAACCAACAGATGACGATAATTTTCCAGCAATTGATTCACTCAGTCAACAGGGAATGTTTCAATTTACAGTTGCTGCTGAACATCCTATTCGCGGAGTTGATATTCTTACACAACTGTGCAATTTGTATGATGAACCCAAACTCTACTTTGTGGTTCCACCTCATCGGTTTGAAAAGTTCAAAAAGCAGACTTTCAAAGAAAAGAAAGGCACAGAGCAGGTACGACCCATTCCTGGATTGAAACAATACGTTATAAAACTCCCTATAACGCAATCAGATTTGAAGAGTAGAAAGTGGTAGTTGTATTTTACAACTGAAATGGCATATTTTCAACCATTCCAATTATTTGATAATTCAATGTTAATAAAACTGGCATTATACAATTGTGTACATTCAAGGAATTGATATGCATTTAGCATGGAAAGTCCAAATTCAAGTTTACTATTGTAACATACGCTTTTTGACAAATAATGGCTCTGTTGACACATCCTTGTACCATCTAATCGTGTCCGATTGAAGCATCAAGTATGAGTTTGGCAGACAACTTGCAACTTTAATCAACTTGTATACGGTAAGCATTTTGATAATGTCGGCATTTGTCAGGATATCACACCTGACAACTTTGAATCAAATTTAGCAGTGATTATAGGTGAAAACACCAATCTAGCACATCAACAATTTCAGACAATTCCAGACAATCCGATTCTGATTAGTTCTAAAACCAGAATTCACATTGTAACCACAAACCAAATGCGTTCAATATCAATCACAATCATCATGGACGAATGTATCAAAGTATGTCGTCAACTTTTGAATATTTTAGCAGTCTTGCTTAAAACAAGTGGTATCATCCAGTGCACTACATATACTACTCATGGTCATTGACAACTGATTGTGTAGCAATAGTGTTAGTGTATTGTGAGCAAAGTATTGATGATGGAATAACACACATTTTGGTTATGATACTAGAAACACACAAACTTCAAATAACTGCGCAACTATTTGTTCAAACTCTGCTCCAAATATATGTTGTTGTATACAGCAAACCCGGTAAAGTGTTGTATTTTGTCATGGTTGCATTGTTCCGAGACATAATTCAAGGCTTGTTACAATGGGTTACTGGGTTTGATATCCAATAGATTTGATAAAAGTGTTGCAATTGACATTTATGTTTGTGGATAACAATATTTTGGAATCAACTCGTTCAATTTGGAAATCAGTTGGATTTCTTGCAGATATCAATACCAATGTCAGTTCAACTCAATTGATTGGAGTAGCACTCGAGTGCTTGCAGTATTGACTTTGGTTCAAACAGTAATACACAGTGACACACTGATTATCATTTCAACAAAATATGAGACAGAAATGATCATTCCCAAAACAAGGAATCTGAATGACTGAAATGTAGATTGTGAGCATATGACTGCATGTTGATGGTCATCATTATTGACAAGTAGATCACAGCAAATCAAAGATACAAAGGAATGATCCAATAAACTAATTGCGTTGTTTATTAAAAAACGGGAAGAGTGTTTTATAAAGTAGGAGAGCGATGAACAATACCAGAAGGAAGGAATGTATGCGAGCCATCGTTCAAGCATCATTGTTGAGGATACCTGATTACTATAGATCTTCCATCCGAGGTGACTGGTGATCACAACTGATGATCACATCCCAGATATATACAAAGGATTGACTCAGTGCAAATCAACAGACTTGACATCTCAACACTCTCACATTACAATGACATACGCTATTAACTGTCCAACAATATCGAGTTTAATTTGGTGGATATTAATCGGTGTTGTTTGATCATCAAATGGCATACATGTCTAATGACCGGTATCAGAAATGGACACCACCAATCTATCAAAATGACACAAATGGAGCATACATTCCAACTGATCATATATTGAGTTGTATAGCAACATATTGTGTAGTAATCATGTGTGATCCATTGTAAATCATAACCACATGTCTAGCATACTTTGTGACAATTACTTGTCGGTATAAAATGGATGATTTGTCCAGTTTATATTCAAATGTATTGTAAAAATGGTGTTTTTGATCAACTAATACTATATGACCATGAATGATGGAACTGGAACATGATTACAAGTATACACATTCAAACATTTGAACAATTCTGATACAATCAGATGTATTGTCACTTGTCAGTTCTACATGACTGTATCGGATCTGTTCAAATACCTGTGATGTGTATATCTGCAACTCGAGATCGTGAATGATGTTTGTAGTGCAATGTCTGTTATGACAACCCATATCAGTTATACAGTGTGTATCATATTTTAACAGCACTGATCATGTTTTGATGGATTGTTATACGTCGCAACGCTTTGAAAGTCAATTCTACCACGCAAGTTGTGAGATTGCAAGTCGAACAATATCTCGTGTGATAGTGTTTTCATATGGAGCAATATTGTATCACATCAGAACATTGTATTAGTCGACAGGCACACGATTGTGATGGTAATGGTTTGCAGTTTGATACACGTTTGACAAATGAAACGCAAGTTTATTTGGACAATTACGAGTGTTGGCTGATTGCTGCAAGATTGCACCAAGATTGCTGATATTACAACAACCACAAATGTGTCCAGGACTGCTGTGAAGTTCCAGTATATGGACAGTTGGTAGGATTACAACAAAATGGCATTTGCAAGTTTTATGTCATGGCTATGTGGAGTCATGCTGTATTGATATGTCCATCTATGATACAATGCCAAAAATGTTAAATGAACAATGGATAATGAGTAATGAACAATGGGTAATAGAAATATAATTGGTGAGCATTTTTCAAGGCATACATTAGGTGACATTCCGTATAACAATATCAACAAAAACAGTAGTTTAATGGATGAATCTAGAAATACTATACCATCGACATTGGATTGCTACTCGAGACTGATTGGTGGTTGATCAAATGGGACAATGAAATATTTGACTGGTTGTGATTAAACATACATTACAAATTGTAATTTACAACGTGGTTGTGGTTGGTAAACCGATAATGTCATGCATCTACAGTAAGATCCAAACCCAAACTAATCCAATTCAATCCATTCTAGTCCAGTCCAGTCCATTCGTGTTGTTTTGTAATCACTGTATCGTGTAATATTTGATTTAGTGACCAAGAGTTGTCAGGAATCAATTGATGTAATGAGTGGTTCAAATTGATGTTTTGTGTGTTGATCACAATGGTTGTGTATTACAAGATCACTTGCGGTATTGATTTGTCAATCGACGAGTGTAAGTCACTCGAAAAGAGTTTACTTGACTGTATGATTGAAAACAATACCACCACTTTGGCACAATTGATACCCGATGCTGGATTGACTGCATGATTATTTGGCAGTTGGATCAACTCTTGTATCGTTGGAACCCAATTTGACAAGCCAGCCATATCCATACAAAACAGACGACTCGAATGGCGTGTTTGTAGCCAATATTATTATTTGAACCAGTCTTTCAGTTTTTCCAACCTTTCCAACACTTTCAATCCACTTGATCCACTTGGTTCACTTGATCCTTGTATCAAGTCGGAACATTTAAACATCTACCATAAACCATTACAACCAGTTTTACATATTGGATCTATCAAAATGTTGAACAAGCTCAAACCAGCCATTGATTAAATCGAGTTGTTAAATGCTGAGTTGCATGACTGGTTTTGGATAGCTTATTATTGACTACGCCATTCAAATACCGATGATCGAAAACACCAATATTTCAATACACGATTCGATTGGTAACAGTGTGGTTTGGGTATTTACTGTTGTCAACCGATTTCAAGTCTTGTTGATAAATGGTTGCACTTTTGACAATCAGTATATCCGCAATCAGTTGGAATTGGTTTTGATACTGTATGCCAAGAACCTATTTAGTGTTGGTGTGATTCAGGTTTTGAAATACTTGTATATTTAGACATGCCATCAATGCAACAATGCAACAACACAACAAACAGTAATACACTGATTGACAATGTATACGCTGAATAATCCAGATATACTTGATATATTTGATACTGTATTAGAACCAATCAAGTTCAACTTTGATTTGAATGTCATGCATAATAGTAAAACTAAACGTGTGATATCAACAATCCACCTAGTGTATGTTGTATATCGACATCATAATGCATACCACGATCACCACATGATGGTGCACAAACATGTTTGACATGTGTCATGTAAACACTCGATATGCCGTGTATTGGCATCTTTTATCATAAACCAACAGCAAGTATATTTGACTGTAGCGACTTTTACTAGCATATTACATCAATCGACTATGCTGATCGACTGTCATACACACATAGTATACCATACCATGCAATATCACAGTATTAATGGAATGTATGATACTGTTGATGACAGATCCCAGCAGAATCTGAATGGTTAGATTCGATATTCAAAGTAATGTATTGCTGTATGTATGTATTGGTCAAATTGTAATACAAGTAATATCAATGCATTAGTATGCATTAATATGCCAGTCAACAGTCATATTCAAAACCAAGTCAATAATATGTAATGAATGTCAAATCACATGCAAAGTTTAATTATGGATTCAAGTCGTGAAATTTCCATTTTGATAAATTGATTCATTTTTCCCAAATAAAATCCTAATGAACAACTCGACTCATCACATATTAAAACTACTACACTCCCACATACTCAAACGACCACTTACCACTACCAACAGTCATGCAGCAACATCCAAACCCCTGCATGACAAGGTTCAAGATCATATCAGCAAAAACTACTTGCTGTATGGTGCAATGTTTGGAGTAGCTACTATTCTTGGTAGTTTCCTCTGTAGTCAGATCAAAGAGTCAGAAGTCAAACTCAAGGCTGATGTCAGTGAAATCAAGACTATGCTGACTCCGTTCATCGTCAAAGTCAAGATGAACAAGGAGAGACTTGATGACATTAAAAAGGACTTGCACAAGAGATGACGACTGATTACTGATTGTAAATATACTAGCATTATTATAATATATTTAAAATAAAAACATGAATGTATCAATGACTGTAATCATGTCAACGAGACCAAAATCACTCATAATTGCCATGACCAGAGTGTTGGATGATCTGTGAGTATTATTAGATGATTGTGTAGTTTAACTTGTAGAGTTGATTGTCTCATTTGTCTCACAGTCATGACTCACACTCATCATGACTCAGTCGTGCGTTCCGATTGAATATTCAACATCCGATCGTGTGAATTGAATAAATTCAATCAACACATTGCATGACTTGATATCAACACTGCAATACAATGAATTATCAATACCAAATTGTGTTACAAACACTAAACATTGTTGTTTGAATGTGTTGTATTCAATCCATAACAAACTACTAATCGTGTATTTTGAA